ATCAGTTCATTTAATATCACTCACCAATAAACATTTCTTTCATTTACTCAATGGATTATCATAAACGTCAAGCCTTATTGCATCCTAGCTTCTAGTTGGCCCAGCCAGAAAATAATTCATGTCCATTAAGCAGTAATTCTACACATACCTGATCTTCCGCAACTTAATGAGTAGATACTGTATAGGCTACAGCGCAGTGTGACCCTCAAATACGCAGCTGCCGCATCGCAAGTCCTCTTTGCTCTTGTCTATGTACTCTTACCGACTTTTCTCAAATTTTCAAAATTTCTAGAGCAGTCCTGTACTGCTCATATAGGACTACTGCTTAAGAAAGCTTAGAAATCCTCATAGTATAAGATCATATAAATCCCCCCTGTATCAAGATTTCAAGATCTTATAGAAATTAAAGTAAGTATGCTAATATTGTAGGATCACAGCTCTCGAGTAATATTATTTAGATCAGCCCCTTAATATAAATAGCGTACATTCGTTTTCCAGTAGATACAACACCGCACGCATAAGAAAGGTACAATCAAGCCTCTCAGCGATTTTACCTTGCTCTACTTACAACCCCTCGTCACATAGCTAACCGATATTAATACAGCGATAAGATTTTGAGTTAGCTGATCTTTTCGACTTATAGCCCATTTGTGTTGAACAGATGTACCTCGAGCCCTTCATTATATATCACGCAATGGACTGATTGGAAGTTACCGACATTGTGCAAACTATAAGCTGGATCTGACTTATGTCAGCTCTCCCATCACGTCGGCTCAAAATAGGAAGAAATACCTCAAGCGCAATCTCCCATTTCCTCGAAATAGCACCAAAAATAGCGGCTCCTAGCAAGAGAAGACCCACATTTGATAAATGAGATAAGATAAAATGTAACTTTCTCCGGCCTTGCGTAGCTCCCTTTACTAACCACAGGTACCATGCCATTTCACAGAGATGATCCAAGAAAAGTAGGAATAAAGTGATGAATTGAATTAAATCTAGCATAAATATCCCAATGAATGTAGTTATTATCTTTCACACTGTTGATACCAGAGCATAGATTCTGATTACAACCTGCGCCGATCGTTTTATGAATGGATTATTGAGCTGCTGAAAACCAATGCAGAGAAGCTAGGCCAGTATTAGCATATAATTGGCTCTCCTCAAGCTATACTGTAACAAATAATTTGCACAGAAGAAATCATTGAAAGAATTCCAAGGAGAATTTGAATCCATATCAATAGCTTCTCGCTCCAGAACAGCCCTGCCAATAAGGCGGACAGGAGAATGGACCCCCGCCAAATCCAACGCCGTTCCGTATCGGCCGCTCTGTCATTCCCTCCACGAATGAGCAGCAGCTTGGCCCAGGACATACTGATGAGCCGGAGCGGCCCGTCAATCTAGTTCTTCATGACTCTCCGGCTCTTTCAATCGAAGAGCTCAGGACTCATGATGCCCGTGAGGCTAGTCCTTCCTGATCTCTTGGCTACTGTATCGGGGAGACTTTGACTCTGACACATCACTGGCCCTTAGTGTCAATGATCACTATTTGCATCATCTTCAACAATGTTAGTATCTCTGGCATAAAATGGATGTGGTCTTTCACTCTCATGGAGTTTGCTTATGTGTCGGAAGAATGGACGAGGAGAGCGTCATTTGTCTTCGGCTAAGTCGGTCCCTTGACTTGCTGAAAGTTCATATCAATTCTTGCTCTGTCGTTTTTCTGTCAAATGTGTAGGGGCAGAGGAAGTTACATCGCGTCATATGATAGGCATCTGACTTCACTAAATAAAGTACATTACTCGCTTAGCTGCGCTATCCTCCAATTCAAAGTAACGAATTGATCGTCCTAGAACACAAAACTACCATTCGCTGTAACAAAAGCTCATTTGTAATAGCTTTATGGGGTTTGAGATGGCGCGTATTAAATTATTATCTAACGAGGAGCCTGCAATGGCAAATATTCTTTTCAAATAAGGAAGCTAATGGGGGCATAAGATCAGAGATTAGAAGAACGATATCTAATATTGTTGTTGGGACCAGTGGTCTGGTGTTGTAGATATTGCTGAGAAGGTTAGTTGTGGTGCTCTTACATGCTAGCTTGAAATAAGAGGGTGCCACAATACATTCTGTGACAGAATTCCCCAGAAGAGCCTGAGTCTTCCGCTGATAATCCGGAGCTGTCTTTGAAGAGACTCTTTGCTCGTCTGTTCCATCGTTCCCGTGCGCGAGGGAGAATTTTTAGGTGTTTTTTTCTGATAAGATTCGTTTCTCAGAAGCAAGAAGTGCCACACACGGTATCCGTGGACCTATCGACAATCTGTGGCTAGACTACTCACAAGTCACTGGTACGTTGAACCAAATGCTCGTCTGCAAACCTGGTGGTTCGGCAAATGCTCGGACCCATTGGGAATTAATCTATGATGATGTTGGCCCAGATAGCTGCGCCCAATGGAGAGTTTCTGTGGGGGCCACTAAGCCCAAAGTCCATTTGAACCTCTCATTCGTGAGGCTGCTCAGCAAGAGCAATATGTATTGCACTCATCTCATAAGCATGCAAAGAGAGGCTTTCTCAAACTTTGAGAAACTGACTGAAAGTAAGTTGAACATCTTATGTAATTATTATTCATAATCAACTACATTTTAGCACGTCTATATACCCTGTCCCCACAGCCATTTTTCAAATTCGTCCGAGCTTAACCCTCGAGGCACGTCATCCTTCGAACGTTTCCATTCCGTTGATACTCCAAAATTTGCATGTCTGGGGAAACTATCAAGAAAGGCACGGATCTTCTTGATCCAAAGGATTTGCCAATCCCTTAAGGCCCTCTTTATGAATTTACTAAGGCCGAGAAGGTCGCCACTGAGCAGGTCATGAGAGCAGCGGGCTATGGGCTTAGCCTCACTAATCAACGGCAGTGCCGTCTTTTGTGGAAACGGTTGTCCCAGATACGAAATGCGGGTGTTGACAAGATCCTCTTGTATCGCACTAAAGAATTCGACCGCTTCTGCAAAAGCTATTTATCGGAAGCTGGGGCTGCTTTGGTAGAGATGGTCCAGCTCTGGGATTAAGTATGGCTTCTATATTAAACAACCGGAAGAATGGTTCGCCGAAGAGAGCAAGGGCGATTTGACAGGAAGACTGTGGGCGAGCCAGTCGTTTGGAGCGGACAGGCTCAATGTTCCAGAAATTGAATGGCGCAGCGCTATCAACTGGTGGTCCTCCAGCGTAGAGGAGACAGTCTTTCAATTGAGCAGATCACACGAACCATCAGCTACACCATTCGGTGGGCTTTTTGACTTGCAGCCAAAGGCAGCAACAACGCGGAACAAGTCTATGTTTGTCACCATGCAACCCAAAGATGATACTTTTCTCATGGTTTTCCCTATCATTACCGTCCAGGAGGGAGATTTTCTTTTGGTATTTGCTGGAGAAGTTCGTTACTCTTCTGATTGCAACCCCGTCTTCAGTGGGATCTCATCGATTAACGCAACGAAGGAAGGCGCATCTCATGTGGAGGGTCTCGGTTATTGCTTCTCGTGTAATCCAACCATTTGAAGAATTTATTCGCGTTGCTCTTCACAAAGTACAACATATTCTGCATCAGAAGCGAGCTTGCGCCAGGCGAGGATATACGAAGCCCCGAAATTCCTGAATCTTGGTTTCCTTTTTAGATTTCGTGACGAATGCAATAGAATAATCGCCGGTAATGAAGTACGATTTCTGTGTATACTGTAAACGGCGTAACTGTAAATTACTGAATGTGGTGAATCTTACCTTCTGTGGTTTAACGCACCAACACTGTCCTATAACCTCTCCTTTATATCGCCTCAATATAAAAGAGCCGACCTTTCCTCTTGTCTCACCCTCTCCTTCTTTTCCCTCTCTTCCCTCTCCTTAACTCCTCTATCCTACACTTATTACCGCCCCCCTATTTCCTTCCTATTGCTTCTATAGACTACTGTACTTTGGCTTTCAGCCCGACATACTACCCCTTTTATTTTGCCAAAATACCACGATTTCTAATTTATTTTACATGTTCTCCGTGATACAATCTTCTTCCAAAATAATTAGCCTGTTCAAACTTTTCTATTTTCAAATTTTAGTAACCAGGAATATTCCTGGGCCATTACTTGAGGCGTTAGGACGTTCAGCCCAAGGGGAGCAGAAAACATGAACCTAGGTTCAAATACTAAATAGTCTCTGATTCCTTTTCGTCTTTCTTTACCGTGGCGCTTGATGGTTCCTTCCAGACAGGAGTGATGATTCAATAGCGAAAAATGCTCGCAATAATCTTTTCTGTTCTAATCGACTTACCTAATTGAGGTATTTCTTTCGGCGAATCTGAAGCCCACGCGCCATTGCCGCATAGCAAAAGCTTATCTTAAACACAAAGAAAACATCTCAAAAAATTTAGTTGAAGCATAACGACATTAAGAAATGGTGGCTGTATGGCGAAAATAATTCCCTCATCGCGTGTCCCGAGCCCAACCCAGCTAGTGGCCCTGTTTACTAGGCCAATTTGGTCGTGTGGAGGAATCAGCTTCCTAGGTGGTGCTAGATTGCCTTGAAACAACAGTTCTAGATGAAGGTACACTCCAGCTCAGGCCGTTACTTTTCTCCACACTCCCATCTCGTATTGATGGGTTTCTTTTTCCTTGCGGGTTTTTTTCTGTCGTATCCCATCAATCTCCTTTTTGGAGATTCCACTCAGTCCATAAGCTTGACACTTCTGACACATTTAGTTGTATAAAATTTACGTAAAAAGCTATCTTAGCGGATAAGATCAAGCGTCTGTATCGTATCTCAGTTTGTGCTAGGAGAGGCGGACGCGGGTCTATAAGCAAGGTCGCTGCACGATCGAACCAGCGTTCAATAGTCTACTGCTTCAACCTTCCTTTCCCAATATTACCCCTGCTAGTAGCTTTTTTTCTGTCTGCGATCGGACTCATTTTACTCCTTTGAATTCATCGGGCCGTCTCTTCTATACTTCTCTCCGGGTATGCATAAAGACAAATCAAGCACCCAGCTTGACCAAGACCCCGAAAAGAATGCAAAGAGCCCACCCCAACCCGAGCATTATGGCGTCAGCATGCAGCAGCGGACCATCTCCTTCGGGCCTAATGAGCGACGTGGACGGAGAGGATCCGAGCATCGACGATCTATCTCGCGCTCGCGTTCTCGGAGCCGTGCTCAATCCATTTCCAGCATTCCAATCGAGTTCCGTAGGATCAGTTTTCAAATCGCCGATTCTGAGACTCGCGAGAAATATGAGGTGGACCTGAAAGATTCCAAAAGCAAGAGGGGGGAGACGCCCGATGATTCGCGATATTTTGATAGTCTTCAGTTTCATCACCAGTCCGTGGACGTCCTCTATCGGCATTTCAACAGCACCATTGATGGACTGTCTTCTGCGGAAGCCGCTTCCCGACTGGCTCGCAATGGCAAAAACGAACTGCCACACGTTCCAACGAACTACCTTAAGAGACTATTAAAATATGTTTTCGGTGGATTCTGCTCGATTCTCTGGATTGGTGTGATAATCTTCTTTATCTGCTGGCGCCCTCTCGGCGATCCCGATCCAGCACCCTACAACCTGGGCCTTGCTATCCTGGTCTTGATTGTGATTTTCTTGCAGGCCTCGTTCTCGGCGTTTCAGGATTGGTCCACTGCTCGCACGATGAAGTCCATTCTGGACTTGGTTCCGACAGATGCAATGGTAGTTCGATCTGGCGAGACTACTACAATTTCCGCCGCCGATGTAGTTGTGGGAGATATTGTCAAAATCAGTGTGGGGAACAAGGTGCCAGCGGATCTTCGCCTTCTCACTACATCTGGAGATACCCGTTTTGACCGTTCTATGTTGACTGGAGAGTCTGAAGACGTTGATGGTGCCACCGAGATGACAGAGAGCAATTTCCTAGAGACCCGTAATGTTGCATTGATGGGAACCATGGTTACCAATGGAAGCGCCACGGGAATTGTGGTCCTGACTGGAGAGCATACGGTTATGGGACATATCACAGTGTCGTCTACTTCGGTCAAGGAGCAGCCAACACTCATTCAACGTGAGATTACTCGATTCGTCAGAATCATTGTTGTTTTGACAGTGTTTCTGGCTCTCCTGATCCTTCTCACCTGGGTTGGCTGGCTCCGGGTTAAACACTTCCAGTATATGAATGTCATTGCCATGCTTGACGACGTGATGGGTTGTGTCGTGGCATTTATCCCCGAGGGAATGCCTGTGGGGGTTGCCCTCACTCTCATGCTCGTGGCCACGCGCATGAAGAACAATAATATACTCCCCAAAGGTCTTTCTACGGTCGAAACCCTCGGATGTGTGAATGTCATTTGCTCTGATAAGACGGGTACGCTGACCCAAAACAAGATGAGTGTCGTGACAGCCACATTTGTGGATCAAGTCATGTCGGCCGAGAAGGCCATTTCAGCTGTCAAAGAAGGAAGCTTGAGGCCCATTATGGATCTTCACAAAGCTGCAGCTTTGTGCAACGACGCCACGTTCGATGCCGCGACTATCAACTATCCCGTTTCAGAGAGAAAGGTTCTCGGTAACCCCACCGATGGCGCTGTGCTCAGATTTGTTGAAGAAGCACATCAAGGCGCCATAAAAGAGCTGAATGAAAGATACCAGCGGGTTTTCGCCATTCCGTTCAATTCCAAGAATAAATGGATGCTCACCCTACACAAGTCTGAGATATCTGAGCCAGGGAAAAACAGCTATCTCCTCTTAATGAAAGGTGCCTCAGATATTCTGTTGCCGCATTGCAATTTTTACTGGTCCTGCGTTACCAATACTGTCCGAACACTCGACGATTCAGCCAAACAACAGCTTGCTGCTGCTCAAGAACAGATGTCTCGCAAATCTCAACGGGTCATTCTCCTCTGCCAGCGCCCCTACAGCCCTACTCAGGCTTTGGGAACAAATGCTTTTGGTGATGAGATCCACGCTTCTGGAATTGCTGATCTGACTCTGATTGGTATGTTCGGTATCGTTGATCCCCCTCGCCCGGAGGCTGCCGCAACCGTGGCATCTTGTCGTCGCGCTGGAGCTCGTTTCTTCATGGTTACGGGTGATCTTGGTCTTACTGGGGCCGCTATTGCCCGTGAAATTGGTATTTTCAGTGGCACAGCCGAGCCTGATACCTTTGAGACCATCGTGCAAAGGCGGAGTGATTGCAATTCTTCCTCTTCCCAATCGTCGAAGGAGCCTGATTCGAGATGGCCAGAGACCAGCCTGCTTCTTGAAGGCCCTTCTATATCACAGCTCACAGACAAGGATTGGGATTTGGTTTGCCAATATGACGAAATTGTATTTGGCCGCACCATGCCAGACCAGAAGCTTCGCATCGTCAACGAGTTCCGAGCACGCGATAATGTCGTTGCGGTGACTGGAGACGGAGTGAATGATGCGCCCGCAATGCGGGCTGCTGACGTTGGCGTGGCTGTGATTACTGGCAGTGATGTGGCTCTTGAAGCTGCGGATTTAATCTTGATGGATAAATTCGACTCGATTATTGAAGCAATCCGCCTCGGACGTCTGGTCTTCCAAAATCTGCAGAAGGTTATCAGCTACCTTCTTCCTGCGGGTTCGTGGTCCGAGATTTGGCCGGTGATTCTGAACGTTTTTTTTGGTGTCCCTCTCCCTCTGTCATCCTTCCTGATGATCATAATTTGTGTTTTCACCGATTTGTTATGCTCGCTGTCCTTAATTATGGAACAGCAGGAGTTTGACTTGCTTGATCTGCCACCTCGCAATCACAAAAAGGACCATTTGATCAATTTGAAGGTCTACATCCAAAGTTATCTTTTCATTGGCGTCTTGGAAACCATCTGTGCGCATGCTATGTTTTTTTACTATTACTGGAAGCATGCCGGTATTCCTGCCGGTGCACTTTTCTTCGCCTTCGAGAAGTACGCGGATGGATTTTACGGCTACACAGATGCCGAGTTGACCCAATTCAACGTTGTTGGCCAGAGTGTTTACTTTATTGCCCTTCTCATAATGCAGTGGGGTAATATTCTCAGTGTCCGCAACAAGCGACTTTCCATTCTACAGGCCGATCCTATTCGCAAACAACGCCGCAACCCGTGGCTGATTGCGAGCATGGTTGTCAGTCTATCCATTGCCATCTTTGTCACGGAGGAGCCGGGCCTTCAGCAAATCTTTGGCACTGGCTCTGCACCTCTCGAGTTTTGGTTCTTACCTATTCCCCTTGCATTGGGAATACTGTTGATGGATGAACTTCGCAAACTGTCAGTGCGGGTCTGGCCAAAGGGGATTACGGCACGCATTGCGTGGTAACTTTGCCTCTAGAATGTAACCATGGACTCTTCTCGAAAAATTTGAGGAAATTGGGTTATCGAGTGATCTGGACTATGGATGGATTGATACGGAGCAGACAAGTGTAGCTTTGCTGGAGAGAGCCACCTTGTACTTCAGCCGGTGTGAAATGTGGAAAGACTAGAATGAAAGACACCGTGTCCTAGACGCGAATATCCTGCACCCATAAATTCTTTTGGGCGGCAATTCTATTTTCTTTACTATAAATGAGATCACCGCAATGCTATTAGCTTCTGATGCTTATGAAACAGTGGCGTCTTCGGGTATTGATCCCCGCACCTACACGTATCCATACGGCCAAACCTACTTGCTAGCAATCTAAGTCTTGTAGCATTAATCCCTAAACCTTTGGTTGTTAATCAGCCATAGCACACTAGCGTAGCCTACGGAATGGTTCAGAAAAATCCCGCGAGTTGAGTCAGGTGACGAGAGTGCCCGTAAGGGAGAATCAGCAGAAACAGTTCTTTTTTACTTTTAAGCTTCCGGAGACCTAGATCTGGAGTTTCAAAAACGCTTGATGCTTGTTGTGGGTTAAAAATAATAATGCCGCCAAGGTCAACAAATGACATTCAAGTGCCCGCTTATCCTTCATTTCTGATCCCGGTTGTGTGCGTTATATTAGTCCTTGGTCTTAGGTAAGTATCTAGACTGGAATTTTGGCTTTGGTCACAAAAGCTCTAACGTCTACCTGAGCAGTGTTATTGTAGGTGTCAATTTCTGGCGCCGTAGCCGAGCACCCTCATGGCAGCAACTGGAATCGGATACTGTACTGGCCTTTATTCAGATGCGATCTCATCTATCTAAGGTGCATAAACAGTGCCTACCAACAGCACATGATCTGAACAGAAATATACCGGTCACCACATATAAGTTGTGGAAGATCACTCATTCCCAGAAAAGGTGAATTGTGCCTCTTCCGATATGTCAACCCGCTATCTTGGGACATTTAAAAGTCTTGCTAATGACTGACATAGATTTAACCTAGATCAACCTATGATCAAGAGTGACCTAGCTATAACAACGGGCTTGAACACAGAGTCCCCCCTACCTTGCTTCCCAAGCCCGGTTTTTCAACCTTTTTCTAAGAAAGATCCGAAGATTAGAGATCTGGAGACAGCTCCTACGCTAATCAACTTGACATTAATGTCGTCAAGTGTAAGCATAACAACTTCAAACGACTCGTGTGCCATATGCTTGGAGAAAATGGAAGATGAAGATAATGTCCGTGGACTTGAATGTGCCCATGTGTTTCACGTTGCCTGTGTCGATGAGTGGTTAAGCCGACAACAACCATCCTGTCCAGTCTGCAGGATTGACTATGAATTTCCTCTTACTCGAGCTTAATTATGTGATTTATCGATATTGTCTTATTTCTGAGTAATAGACCCGACCTGGGGATCACCAATTCCTCAACAGCTCGTAGCAAACAAAAGTACCTCAAGATCTTCATCCAGTTCAGCCACTACTTCTCACATATCATTATCCCCACATAGTGCCAAGCAGGTTGTATAATCTAGTTGTTTTACTACTAGCGGTACATGAGCTCATCGCTTTAGCTTCGAGGATTAGTAGCCAGATTTGGCCACTGTTCAGAGCTACGGGGGAAGGTAATCATCTTGTTTCATGTTTTATGCTACCAGTTTTGGAGGGGCACTCGTGTTTGATTTTCTTGATATTTATCCTTAGTTATAGTGTATTTATCTTTAGTTATATCTTTAACTAGGTCTTAGTTATAGTATTATAGGGTAATATCTATATATACTAATACCTAACTTTCTTGAGAGTAACCTCTTGGTTAAGAGCTATTCAACTCAGAAACTATAATAACTGTAAATGACAGTATTTTATTTTGCTGAAACAACTATGTTATAAATGCCAAGGCTATAAATTTATATATATTAGGGTTACATATCGGTATATAATAGTACTAAGCCCTTATAGTGCCTATTAAACCTTATTCTAAATATTTTGCTGAACTAATTTACTTAAAAGATAGTACAATCTAGTTCAAAAGTATTTACCTACTTCCCGCCCCACCCACATATTTCACCACCACAACAATTTGCAATGGCACCCAAAACATCAAAACTACACGAATTCAGTAAGATTATTAGTAGAAATCGAAGGCCAAGTACCAAATTACCTATCCAAACACATTCTGTAATTGTAACGGCTGTTAAATATAGCCAATCGCAGTCAGAAGTTACCCGCTGTTTTAACGTTTCCCGCAAGACAGTATTCAACACTATTCAACGCTTCTATCAACAAAATAACTTTGAATCACACGTTAAAATAAGGCGACCTCGAAAATATAATAATCAAACAAGACGCTATATCTATATGCTTATTTGCAGAAACCCTCGCTTAACGTAGGTGGTCTTAGTTGATTAAGCACCCGGTAGTTTCTCGAAATCTACTATTCGCCAAATTTTATGTATATATAAGATCAAAAAATAGAGAATTCACAAAGGGATTTCATTAAAGAAGTATAGCACTTTCCGCTAGCGTTAATTTGTACCAAAATAGTATGGTTTTACTTAACTAGAGCGGTTAATATTTTCTAATGAATGCTCAGTCTAACAACGCTCAAATTTATATCTTGAATGGGTCTTTAGACTCTGTTCAGAAGTATACTGACCTAATTTACTTAATATTGGGTGTTATAGCAAGGATATTGCGTAAATGGTTTAAGGAGTCATCTAGATTAGAGATCATTCTGACCCTATTATTATAGAGCGTGATACCAGTCCCGGAAAACAAGGTTATACTGTATTATCATACATCAACGCTATTGAGGAGGGTCTACAGCCTTATTATCAGCCTTAAATAATCTTCCAACAGGATAACGCTTGCATTCATACCGCTGAACATTCATATTTATGGTTTGAAACTCATAGAATTTATGTTATGGAATGGCCGCTACATTCGTCAGATATAAGCCCAATTGAACCCGTGAGGAGTTACTAAAACGTCAATTTTTCAAGATCGACCGGATCTACGTTTAAATAATCGTTCAAGGTTAGCTTAGACTGAGTTTCATAACATTTTGAAGAAAGCTTAGTGGGCTATTAATCAAGATGTAATTGATAGTCTAATTCGGTCATTTCCACGCCGAATGGCCGCTGTACAGGCAGTACGAGGATATTACACTAAACATTAGTGGCTCATTTGTTGTTTTGTGTATATTTTACTCGTTTTTACAATCTCAAATGATATTATTAATCAATGGTGTTGTTATTCGAATTATAAATCTGAGATATATTTTGGTGGGGAGGGTCGCGGGTAGGGTGGGTAAATACTTTTGAACCAGACTGTAACATCTACTCTCAACCGTTTTGTGGGATTGATTACTTGTTTACTATGGCAATACGCCGTATCTCCTTTGTCTTGTGTTACCATGGGCGTGGCGTTAGGATGGTTCTGGTTCCCGATGGAGGGAACGCCTACATAGCTACACGTTCGAAAGTATGGCTGAATTGGTTATAGAATCTTGAATTGAATTGAACATCTACTCTCATAAACGTGTTTCATACTTTTCAATCCGCTTGATAATCTCTTTCACATCTTTCCAGATCCGCTGTCGATTCTGTAACCCCCTAAGACTGCTCCAATTTTTCTTGATCTCTGTGTAAAGCTTGTGCCAATCTGTATTTCTTCTTGAGAGTTGCAGCTGATTGGGTACGTCTTTTGGAAATGGAAGCAGGAAATCAACTATCTCAGTAGTTGGAGTATAAACATCTTCCAGGAGTAATGAATAGTGGTCTCGTTCTTCTTTGAACAACTTCAGAGAATTTGCTGTCACTGCTGTCCAGAATGAAGGAACGTGGACTTCTTTGCCGTCGTCACGAGACTCCCATAGCCAGGGCATCTCCTCTCTGACAAGTTGATGCCAAACGCTATTTGGAAGTCTGGTAAACGTCTTGGAAGCTATCCTTAAGTTATTGAGGTCGGTACCATTCAAGAAGCTGACTACTAGTAGACATATCTCGAGGGGCATAGAATCAAACACATCACCATGACCAATCGAAAATGAAGCGTGATTTCTCTTCAGAAGTTCGGATTCCTCTATTCCACCGTGAGATAAATCTTCTTCCTTTTTGGCTGCATTCAACAAAATGGTCGGTAAACCTGGAACGTAAAGTGGGTTGGCGGCCAGATATTCCTTGCCTGGTAAATGCTGCCAGAACTGCTGCCGGCATTTGCGAACGTCTTCTGACCGAGGAAACTTGCGAAAGTCGCAGTCGGAGGACTCGGCATTGCGCCACGTTATAAGTCCAGATATATTGATGCGGTTGAACCTAGCTTTGGATTGGCGGCAGAAGATATCGAAGCACCAAGGATGGAACGGCATGGCCCATTCTTCCGAGGGTGTCGTTTCTGGCTGCTGGCTGTTAGCCTCTCTGAAAGTTGAATGGTGATTCAAAAATCTTGAACCTGGCTTTCAGAAAGATAACCCACATAAAAATTGATATTCTCGGCGTGTGGCTCGTCGACTCCACCTTGCGCGGGCCATACTTCAGGGTAATCACTATCGCGCGAAGGCATTCCGTCACACAACCCAGACAAGAACCAATCTTCAGAAGCCTCCCAAGGCTCAAAATATTTGATATGCTGCGATTGTCCTTGTATTGCGCTTTTGTGGACCAAACACTGAGCTGTACGACACCCTATCATCTCTTCGGGCGATATCGCATAGCCCGAGTACGCAATCCCCTCACGGGGAAAATGCTCCAGCTCCGGGTTGCATCCGCCTGGCAAAGTATGTGGCTGGATTAAATTTCCATATTCGTCATGAGAACGATTAATTGAATAACCAAAGTTCCCAAATATCCCAACGGGCTCTCCGGGGAATCTGGCGTGCGGATTCCAAGTTAATGCCAACCATTTCGAGTAAGAATCGACTTTAGTATCTTCCTTTTCGTCATTACCATTCGAGTCGCTGTTTGTAACATCCCCATCATCCTCCCCAGAGAGACTTATGGAATCGATTGATTCATACTCTGAATCGTATTCACCAGGGTAGCTGTAGTCATCTCTTCCATCCGGAGGGATATAGTCTGAATCCTCGAGCACGTTGTCATCGTCATCACTGGGGTAATTGATTGCCGCGAAGCAGCCATTCCGGGCGCACAATTCCAAATCTACCTCGTCAGCTCCCGGCTGATCGCATAGCCCGCCAGTGTAGTCCCAGCTAGCCAGATCCGGCTCTCCCAGTTTTCGGCGTCGGAGGATGTTGAAGCTGACACCACAAATGTGGCAGTAAACCTTCGAAGCTGTCAGAGAGGTGTTCGTATTTCTTGTCAAAGACACGGTTTAGCTGTACCTCGGAGTAACCTAAAGATATCTGTCATTAATGCCATTCGTTTTCTCCCTCGATACAGCTGCAACGCACCCATTAGAGCTAAATTGAATTTCAATTGATTGATTGCAGCCAGAAAATTTACAGGCTTCTGGACCAAGTGATCTCTGAAAGTAATAGTTTTCTTTATAAAACCGGCGAGGAGTCACGTTTGGTCACTCTTGGTGCCTGGAAGTCTTTGAACTGTCGCTTAGCGTAAGGTGGGGGTGGTTCTGACAGGCTGCAGGCCTGTGAGTTGCCTAGTAATGTGGGACTGTCGGCTATAGATGCCTACGATGCCTGTGGTGCTTGCCGCTTCTACTGCCTCTTCCTCATGTACTATCGAATACTGCGATATATTGATTCCTTGATCCTCATTGTATCTATGATGTTCACAAGCTTGACATGTTTTCACCAAGAAAAAAAATCAAGATACATATCATTTCATAACTTAAGATAATGTTTCACAGCATCCTGACAGTACTCAGAGGCCTTTGTGGTCTTAAGTAGGCCGATCGTTATAAACAAAAGTATAGAGTAATATTCACTACAACTAAGAAAATGATCCTTTTAGGGACCATCTGCATATATAGCATATATAGCATATACATCTATACATCAACAACGAAGTGCCAGGGATAAGAACTAGCCCCAATTATGTCTGAATAGTCACCCCTTTCCTGGTCATTGCCTCCTCTATGTGAAACCCAAAGACCAGCCGATATAGATCCCGCAGCCAAGAGTACTGCCCATTCTGAAGCATTGCCTGACATGCCCGGCCCACCTCAATGGCACTGACACGGGCCTGTAAGCCACTATTTCTGAAAGCAGGATCATAAGCCACCAGCTTTCGGTAATTCTTCAGCAGCGACGTCTGCCAGGGCGCCGAACCAAAAGAGTCCGAGGACAAAGATTTGACAAAGGACGACATATTCTGAGCACCGCCTTGTTGATAACCACTATTTATAGCGGCCTTGGTGATGAGAACCTTGAGCCTGGTAAAATTAGGATCCTCCGAGATTGTGGTCACCGTGTTTGCCGAGGAAGCCGTTTGCCCAGATGATCGAGACTTCTCTGAGATACTCGACGCACTGGAGGGCCAACCCGAATGAGAAGCGTGGCCATTTCCATGGCCTAGAACAAGTATGTTTGGAATCGTGGCTTCATCGGGCGAAACAGTAGCTGTATCTTCGAAGATAGTTGTGGGTGTTTCCGGATTTCCCATTTGAACGGATACATCATCCATAAGATCGACCTCGGACTGCTGCGCTACTTGCTGAAAAACCTGCGCAAATGTAGTTTGGCTAGGGCGTGGCGTGCCGCGGTCTGAATTGCGCATACTGTGCATAGTCCACCCCTCACGGAAGATATCACAGAGCTCCCAACATGCTTGAACGGCGGAGCCGAGCAGATCCTCGTCCAACGTTTTCCCTTCTCGTTTACTCTGGCGGATGCTGAACAGCATTTCAGCCAATGTCCAACAAGCGCTCAGGAGAGAGTCTGTCTCCGTCAAGCGAGTTCGTTGCTTCATGAGTCGGTGGCACAGTGTGATATAGAAATCAAGCGTTCGTTCCCGGAAGGCATCAGGAAGGTTGCGGTCGTGTGTATTATAAAGATGATTATTCAGCTCAAAGCTGACTCGCAAGACCGAATCGGCCAGATCATTCTCGGAAACTCGAACTTCAAACAGCGCTTGGCAGAAGTCTCGGCAGAGATCAAGGGTTGGATTAACTTGCGATGCATAGTCGTCGTCATGAGTATCATAAAGCTTTTGGCACAGTCTCCAGCAAGATCTCCAAGCGTCTTCCTGCATGTTATCTTGATAGGATTCAAACAACCGTTGTCGATTAATATAACTCAAGTTCGCGAGCGTGTTGCATAATGTCCAGCATTCGGTTAGAGCCGCTCGTAGAACGTTGATTTCAGTTTCTTTATTACCAAAAGTTCCTAGGATAATATAAGTATGGGAGATGCAGATGGAGATACAGATGGAGATATAGATGCTCGATTTGGCTTTGGCCCGTGCGAGTACTGTATAGGATGGGAGTATGCTGTGATCCAAAAATTTACCTTCAGGTATGTCTACCATATCATTAGCTAGCTACCAAAAATATTGAATGGTCAGGATTAAAAACCTTCTAAACTGCTTGAATGGGTGCGTCGTCCGATTTCGTCGAAGTCATCGTTTCGTGTCTGGGCACGAGGAGTTGCCCTATCAGCCAATACAGGTGCGATGGTGGTGGTCAATGGAGGCGGCGAGACAGGACTATTGCCAATCTTTGACGAGAGACGGAATATAAGTTAACTTCAAATGCCCCCATTCTGATCGGGAGTCTCGGGTACTATGCGCTTACCCCACTGGTGCTCTTCGGAATATACAGAGGTTCGGCGTGATCTGAGATCGAAGACGAAGATGATTCTTCATCGTCGCAACCATCCTCGTCCGATGTATGCACTGTACCTGTCTAGATATGACATTTGGTTAGGCACATCTGCTAGCGAATTGGTGAGGGGAATCCTCACAAATTCTCCAAATCCAGGTGGCGCATGTATCACCGACTGCGGTGGTTCGTCCTCGTCTGATCTGAAATGGTTGGGCTGATACGTTTGCGCGGTTTGGATCTGCTGCCATCAGCGCCCGATAACAGATATATCGCTATTTCACTTTTCCCTTTTCCTCTCTATTACATACCTTCAGTCCCGGACCGTGACCGATAGGAGTGTTCGCTGCGATCACGTCGTCGCCGTCGCCGTTCTTATCGGCCTCGTGTAAGTGATGAGGATCTCCGATGGCCAAAGAGGGGGTCTCCAATGCATCCGCCGCACTGATCGATTCAGGATCATGATCAGGGGCGGAGTACCTCGAAATACCCCACACTCTCTGGGGCAGAGGGTGCTTCGAGCGACCTACACATGTATCTGTCAGCGATGGGGTGCGATGCGATCGTTTTTGGAATTCCTGTTCCTGTTCCTGAACGGGGGTGCTGACATCAGGTCCGACCCAGCATATGGGCTTGGTGTTTCGCGAAATGGAAGAATAGAAATCGGCGACCTGACGGCCATCACGGCCGAATAGCCAGACAAAGACAAAGTCTCGCACTCGCACTGCGCTCCGGGGGAGTTGTAAAGTCGAAGATGAAGAGCAGGAAAGTCGATCCCCGCTTGAACAAGCACAAGCACAGGCACAACAGACGCAGGAGGGAGCTCAGGCCGTCTCGAGACAAACCATCGGTAATGGCCCCGGGGCTTTCAGCACTGTTGGTTCCAACGGAGCTTGCTGATACGACGATTGACCAACACCAAAGCAAGCGACCCCCATAACTGGGAGACAAAAGCGCCTGGGGCGTGATGAGCATGCATGCGTATCCACTCAGACGCCGCGGAGCACCGACCGCCTAGTCCGTATGGGGTTGCCGGGCGCTTGCGATTCTCATTGATTCCCCAGGAACAGTGGGGCTAAAAGGTAGAGAGAGATGCAGAGATGCGGGCAGATGCAAGCAGGTGTTGGGTGAGTTTGGTGTTCAGGCAGGATTTCGTGGGGCTGAAAAGACAGAAAGATGCTGGGGGGAAAGATACACTTGGGCGCGTGAAGCAGAGCTACACACTACATACCGTTGATACGTTGATCTGGGCCACACACGCAGAATATCAAATGATTTTTGATGATTGTAATAAATTATCTACAAAAAAGATATTTCCCAGTACGCCAAATTCCATGTGGTGTCCAACGCCTTCCCATATGCATATCGGCGAGCAAACCCGATCATACCCGCTTCAGTTCAGTCAACATAGCCCGTGTTGTATCCCGTCCATAGCAACCCTCACAATGCGTGAGTACACAAAGCCACACAGAGCCATAGCCATTGAGGTAGAGTTCGGGAACACTGCGGCGACAAAGATAGAGTTGCAGGAGGAAGCAATGACGGCGGGGTTGGTGTTGTGATTGTGATCTCCGAAGGGGGGTGGGCGGTGGTTTGTTCTTTTCGAGAGTAGCTTGTAAAATGTGGCGATTCACATAAAATGCAATGCTTTCGGGTCATTCAGGTCGACCTCGAAGTGGATTGTTGGTATTCGATACGATCCTCCCGAGGGGGGTAGAAACCAAGCGGGTCAGGTGAAAGGTATGTGACTAGACATGAGCCTTGGATCGGTCCTTCTCGGCGGAGTTGTAGCTAAGGAGATATAGGTTAGCATAATTGACTAAAGCGACGAGGTTCGATGGGTGTTTGAGCACTAGAACTCACCGGAGAAGCTTCTCGATCAGATCCACGTGGGTCATGATCATTCTGCGGCAGCAGTATCGTCGGCAGCCGAGCTGATCCATGGCATCACTAGAACATTGTCAGGAGCTGAGGACGGGGAAACCGAATACCACTATTTTGTGAAATAGTGGTAGAGACACTCAACACTCACCCATCCGGAATACCATCATCCAGAAGCTGTAGGTAACGCTCCCAAAGGTCTCCGACAACCTGAACAATGTATCAGCAAAAGCTCGAGACTAGGTCAGGGCGAACAATATACCTTTCCACACGAGAAGCAGCGCACGGGGATAATCATCGTGACGACGCGCGAATTTTGAGAGGAACGAGAAGAACGGAGAAAAAGTGAACGTGATGCTATCGGGGCGACGAGGAGACTTAGAATGTCATTCTTCTTTGCTTGAAGTGAAAATTGAAAGTTGCGAAAGGCGGTGAGGGAAGGCGGTCGAGAGTTTTCGTTTCCTTTGCGGGAAAAAAAAAGTCGCCGGACTTAAATCGTCAATCATAAACTGTGAACCCGTGAACCCCTCCTCAATTTAAGGGTTTCAACCATGGGAAAGGATTCGAATCGACAGCAAAAGCGCTCCCGCGCTAGTGATGCCGCCGAGAAGGTATCGCAGCCAGTTGATGCAGGAACTAAACGGCGTCGGACTTCAGAAACCAATGAAGCCCAAGCTTCTGCGATAAAGTCATCTTCCGGTGCGATCAAGAAGGTGCGCAAGAGTGATGCCTCTTTAAATGGCGAAGAGAAGCGAAATTCTCCTGCGCCCTGGTCATTCTCTCGTCCGGTGGGCGGCCGTTATACCAATCTGGACCCCATCGTGACCGAAGATGAAGCGTAAGTCTTTGACATGACATACTTTTGTATTGTCTCAATTTTTTGAGATATTGGTCACTGACATTGCAAGCTAGGTACCTTTTTGTCGGCCTCGACACAGCTGTGCAGGTTTTCGCAACCTCCACCTCCCGCCTGCTCCGTACCCTGCAGATGGAGACTGGTCAGAAAGTTACCGGATACAAGCTCAGCCCCGTCGATCCAAACGTCCTCTACATCTTCACACCTGCATTTGTCACGACATGGAATTGGGACACCGGAAAGCGACTTGCCCGCTGGGGAACAACCAACTCGACAATCGCCGCCGATGTGTCTGGAGGAGAGGGAACTGATCGCGTCGCATCATACTTCATAGGGCAGCAAAAGGATGGGAAACGACAGGTTCTTGTCAGTGCCCTTGGCGACAAGAAGCTTCCCGATATAGTCGCCCTCGAGACCAGCGAACAGATCAATACAATCCAGGTCGCCTATGAAGGACGTGTTATTGTTGTCAGTGATGGGGTTCATCTCTTCCTGGGAACCACGCCCAATGTTGACCTGGAAACCCCAGAGTCTACACAGTACACATGGAGAGAGGCTACTCTGCCCGTATCTGCAACCTGCATTCATTTGCGAGAAAATCACGATGGAGTCAAGTCTGCTCACGCACCTGATGTCGTTGATTTGGCGATTGGCGAAGGAAACGGATCTATTCTCATTTACCAAGATATTTCGAGCACCCTTTTCGGTCGAAGTGCAGAGAAGAAGTCTCCACCCAGGAAACTTCACTGGCACCGAGGTGCGGTTAGCACCGTGCGGTGGTCTAAGGATGGTATGTTTTGCTTAAGATCCCTGCATGCTGCGTTTGAATATGTCTGACAGTCCTGATTTATAGGAAACTACGTTATCTCGGGTGGCCAGGAGTCAGTTTTGGTTTTGTGGCAGCTTGATACTGGCAGGAAGCAATTCCTGCCACATTTATCCTCTCCAATTTGCAACGTTGTCGTTTCACCGAACGGCAATTCCTATGTCGTGAAGTTAGCCGATAATTCAGTTATGGTACTGTCCGCGAGAGAGTTGCAGCCCTTTTCCAATGTGACTGGTCTTCAATTATCGTCGGACGTCGGAACCCACAAAGACTCTTCCTCGAGAAAGTCATCCCGCGCCATTGCCAAACTACACCCACAGCACCCTGAGCGACTGCTTGTTGCCGTGCCCGCATCTCACCTGTCTAATCAGCATGCTTCTTCCCAACGGCCAAGCTCGGCCGTCCTCCAGACCTTTGACATTCGCGCAAACTCTCACATTTCTCGCCAAGCTCTGGCCCGAACCAACACAACAACGCTGAATATGAGCCCAGAGGGCTCTCCAATCGTGACCCCCAACGTTCGGCACTTGGACATTGTCGAAGATGGAAAGTGGTTAGCAACTGTTGATACATGGACTCCCCATCGCCATGACCTGGAAACTGTCGATAGCCCCCTGCGACGACCGGAAATATTCCTGAAGTTCTGGAAGTGGAATGCTTCCAGCGATAACTGGGAGTTAGTGACTCGCATCGACGCACCCCATTTCAGTGAAAACCGCCACGCTTCCGTTCTCGGACTCACGGCTCGACCATCCAGCCATGAATTCACAACGCTCGGAGATGACGCGATCTTGCGCTTTTGGTGTCCAACTGCCCGGACTCGAAGCGGACTGAAGACAAATGCCGAGGACTTGCACCAGGATACTTGGAAGTGCCGAAGTGTCATTGATCTGAAGGGATGTCTTAACAATGTATCTGCACCTCTGCCCGCAGCCTGTATGAGCTTTTCCGACGACGGCTCAGTACTTGCTGTCTGCCTGCCATCAGACTCCGGTGCCAACGATGGTCTCGTCCTCCTGATCGATGCGCGAACCTGCACAGTGCACTATCGCCGGACGGGCGTTTTCTTCGGAAACCCCTGCTCCGTCAATTTCCTCGGCAAATACTTGATCGTGGCCTCTACCGGATCAGTGGCTGTCTGGGACACAGTCGACGACGTCGTGAAGCCAATCCAACTCGCCAAGCCCGGCAGCCCACTCGATGTCAGTAACTCACCAATGCTCGCAGTGAACGCCAGGACCCAATCCTTCGCCATCGCTACCCGGGAACTGGACGGTAGTGCCAACAAAAGGCGCCGCCGAGGCCGATTCCACATTCGAATTTACGATGTTGCTTCTTTCGACCTCGTTTTCCAAGAGAGTCTGGGAAGCTCTCCGGTGGCTCTGCTTTCGGACGCTTATTCTGGCGACTACATTGTTGTCGATGCTTCAGGTAGCGTTCAGCGCCTGGGATGTCTGGACAAGGCGTCGCAGAAGAGCCTGCAGCCTCAAGAAGTCACCAGTCACCTGAACTCTGGACTGGCGAATATCTTCAGCCGTGGACAGGAGAAGGTTTCCGCGCAAGTTACTGATGGCGAGAACGCTGGCTCCTCAGGAAAGGGGCTGGCTGGTGTGTTTGGCGATACCCCGTCATTCTCTTTGCCTTCTATTGGTGTTCTTTTCAGGAATGTTGTTCAGACTTTGGGATCTAGTTAGGACTCTTAAAATGGTGGATATGTTTAGATGTATAGGTTAATAACCATGTGTATGTTTCTCAAATCAAACTTGTGTTGATAAATGGATTGTTTGATGCGCGAATGTAATACTATGTGTCTATTTTGAAGCGAGGTAAAGTTCCTACAGCTAGGGAGGGTGCCTTTTAAGGGTTCAATTATTCTCTCATTGGGTAGGGGTATTGTATTAATGTATCGAGATAAAGATATCAGGTAGTTAGTTACGTTACACCAGCAAAGCCGCGGTCAAATTTGTCCCAGGGTCAGATTAAAAGAAGCCTTCCTACCATTACCAGCCACATGAGCCAGATAAGAATCCAACTCAGGATCCTCTTCAATAGGAAAAAAGTGTTCAATCCCATGCTCATCTCGATCCATGCCTTCGATCTTACTGACAATTGCGTAGGGGTATTTAGCCGAGATGAGCTGCCTGAGCTCCTCCATCGACCTGGTGGCCAGTTTCTCCATCCAATTTTTGGGCGGAGGACCCTGTAAATGACTCTGTGGACTTATTTCGAACGAAATGTGCGTATTGAGCAGATTCGCGTTGATTATGGGGTCCATGTATTCGAATCCTCCCCCAACAGCCTCGTGTTGATGTTGCGAATTCGTGAATGATGTGTCATTTGCAGCTTGCAGTAGAGAAGGGTCGATTTGCATATCGCCAATATCATGGCCTGTTATCGGTGCGCTGGCGAGGGCTTGTGAGGCGAGTGTACTTATCCCATTACTGATGCCGTCGTCAATCATGCTGCCCATGGAATGGGGGGTGACAGCGACATTCGATGAAGCCGGATTCTGATTCTGGTTCTGATTTCGATTACTGCGAGGAGTAGACCTTTTCCGCGCCGGATCTCGCTTGGTCTGATCATCACGCAGTCGTTTCATCACATCTCGACAAAGAACCTCCATAGCCTTGAGTTTCATAATATGACCCGGATCAGCTTGCCCAGGCTCAAGAATCCGTTGAAGTAACGCCGAACTCCGAATCCACTGCGTTTTCAAATCCTGCCAGTGATCATCACCAGCTTCGAGCTTGCTGGTAAAATGATCCGCGCGAAGTGTATCATAAAAAGCGTTTCGAATCTGCCGACTTTCCTCCGGATTAATGCCCAGAGCATTTTTCGCCTCGGCAATCGTCATCCGTCGCTCAAGCGTTCTCATGCGCTTCGTCACATCAGTACAAACAACATCCAGGGCCAACGCCTTCGCATCACGCTGGTTAGGCTCGGCATTAAAAACCTGCTGCAAATGCGGCGACTCCTGAATCAATCTGTCCTTAGCTGCTTGCCATCTTTCCGGGCCTGCAGCTGTCTTTTTAACAAAGCCCGCTTCTTCACAAATCGTTTGGAAATGATCCCGTATTTGGCGATACATGGCATTATCCAGATTGAGGTATTGTTTGCTCTCGTCAATCGTGGTTTCGGATGGAAATCTAGGCGGTCCCGGTGGATCAGCTGGCATTCCTGCCCACCCTCTCGTTCGGCGCCGTCGTTTCCTCGAAGCCCATCGTTCTGCACTTTCTGATTTCAGCTGGTCGAGGCGTTCTTTGCGCTTGGCCACGACATCTGCTGAAACTCTGGGTGACGAAGGGTCTTCCATGATTGGCGTTACTGATTGGGATGGTGGTAGAGTACCATTCCCAAGGTTGTTATTGGCGCCTTCAAAGTCCGTATCTTGCTTGTACACTTCCTGTTGTAAAGCGAGAAGGCCTTCATCCTCCTCCGCCTGTTGCTGGGCATTTCCATTTGCATTTTCATCTTGGGCCGTGGTGTTCGAGTTCGTGTTCGATTGCGCTTGCGCTTGCAGTTGCGATTTCATGCCATTAGGAACACGAAGTAACCAGCGATTCTTCGCGCGCACGCGCATCAACTCTCGTTCTTTAATCTCAAAGCCCTCCTCGTTGAGAATGCGGAGCATATCGCGTTGATTCGTGTTATGTTCCCATAGCTCCTTGACGCGGGCGACGAGCTGGGCATTTTTATGAGCTGGGTTTTGCTTTGAAGGAAACCCCCATCGTTTGAATTGGGTTTGGAAGGCGCGTTTGCTAAGAATTGAATACAAAGGTCAGCTTGCTCCAAAGACACTGTTCCAGGGAGAGTAGTATAAGTGTACCCTGTACCCTGCGGGGATGGGGATACTCACCTTGGTGCGAACTGATAAGCGGTTCGCATGTACTCCATGATCTCTTCCAGTGCCTTTTTGTCTTGGATGTACATGCGGTAGCAGATGTCCCGCTTACCGGCCCAATCATAGACCATGATTGAGGAGACACTCCCCGGGTGGAGGTGTGCCTGGGGAAAAAGTGTAGATCCACGAACTGATGGAGCTCTTATCAGGCGGTTGTTGTCGCTGCTGTGCGCCGTAGCGGATGGGGGGGAGATGGGAGGCCAGAGGTGCCAGAGGTGCAACTCTCACCGCTTACATTCTGCCGTCACATGGCAGAGGTTTTCGTGTGCCTCAGGAATATGGCACAAACTCATCCCTTGACTGCTTTCGACTACTTTCGAGATTAGTTTCTCGGATTACTGAAAAGATGGTAATAGAAAACGCCAATTCGAATTCGTTGCCTTGTGATGAGGCGCGGGGCAGCCCAAAAATCAATACGCCGTTGCCAAACTCCCAATAATATCAAACCCTCCAACGTGCAGCTGCATGTATGCCCAAATGAAAATAGAAGAGTAGACTCCCAAAAGCAAGAAAAAAGAACGGAAGATCGCTTCATGGTACGGAGTAAACTATGGACAAACAATAACTTGGAAAAAAATGTGTGAGATCAATTGACCTTCTTCAGCTTTCGCCGAAACTTGAACACTCGAGTCCGAAGCCAAGTCATGAAAAGCACCCACGTGCTTTTGGATTGCGATTTCCATGAATCGGATGGCTGCCCCTCTGACTTTGAAGTCTTAGGCTGGGGCTCTCGCTCATTTGAATTCGTGTTCCCGGTTTTCTCGGAGACCTCTTCACCCAACTGAAACGCCGGTGACTCAGGCACCGGCCCCGGCCCCGCCGACTGTGTACGCTTCACACGGCGTCGAGTTTGCCTTTCTTCGGCCTTTATCTGCTGTTTCTCGAGGCGTCGGTTTTTGGCAGCCTCCTTTGCCTCGAAGGCTTGTCTGGCAGCCTGAACCGTGGCTTGCCGAGAGACCGGGTCGGTGCTGGTCCTCGTCCGAGACCGGAAAACAAAATCGAGAGACGGACGAGAAGTAGGAGACGCCGTATCCAACGTGCTTCCATTGTCGCGGGAATAACCAAATGATGGTCGGCTCGAAATGTTTGTCTGCGAGATCCCAGAAAGACGAGTCAGGGAGTCGTCTTCGATCTGCAATGAGAGCCGAGGCATTGGCCCCGAGGAAGCACGATGTGTACGATGGGTCTCCATCACCGAAGGTGTCCGAGACTCCGTTTCGAGACTCCGTTCGAGACTCCGCCTCTAAGCCATCATCCTCGCCGTCGCTATCACTGGGCGATGTTTGGTACGATTGACTCAATGGTGGGGTGTATGCTCTCGGGGTTGGGCGCATCGGATAAACGTATTGCGACGCGGCTGGCTTACCTCCACTCGATCCGGTCGCCGAAGAAAGCTGAGATGTCCCGCTCGTGGACCTATGGTGGAGGCCGGAAGGAGTTCTGCGGTAGGTTACGCCAGTTAGAGATTCACTGCGACGGCGATCTCTTTCGAAGTTCATGTAGATGCCCAGTCCCTCTTGCTCAGTCGAGGATCGGGACAGGTCGATCGAAGTGGACGGCGCATCATCGCGTGACATTTTCCGAAGCATTGGTTTGATGTGAACCTTTGGTTTCATGGGTTTGCTCCTCAGCCCCTCGGAGGAGTCATTGAACCCCGAGGATGACATGAGATGGGATGAGTCGGGATGCCATGCGGACTCGGTATCGATCGGCGTCCTTCCCGGGGATTGCTGGAGCGTATGGATCCTCCATGTCTCTTTGATTCGGGCGAATTTGAATAATCGGAGTACTCTGGAAAAAACGAGGACTCGCGTGAGGCATCTACATCTAAGGGTGACGGGGCCTGCCCGGCGTCACCAGTCCATTGATCCTCCATGCCCGATGTTCTCGAAGAAGTGCGCATCTTCAATTTCAAATGCGGTCGCGTTATTGAATCGGTTGACAGGCGACTGCCCTTTCTTGCCGGAAAGGCCGGCTCGCGGGCAGAGGGAATGCCTACACGAGCCATGGCGATCTCCTCCGCGATCTTCACGAGACAAAAGAAGCCTTAAGAATGGGATGCACTGCGCATGATTTTTTGGGAGATGGGAGTGGAATGGAATGGAAAGATGTTCCGATCGTAGGGGGGGCGCAGACAAAGAGCAATTTAGAGGGTGCAAATGCTGGTGGTGGTGCTGGCGGTGCTGGCGCTGGGGGCTGAAGTATCGGACAAGACGGAGCGGGGGCAAAGGCGTAAGCGCGGGGGGGCAAAAAGATCACGAAGCTGAAGGTGGTCTGGGTTACGCTGGCGCATGTCCGAATAAGCACTACTGCCAACGGGTCACACGTTCAGAGTAAATGGGGGTGGGTAGGGGTGTAAGAAAGGAAGGCTAAAGAAGATAGAAAAATCTCTGGGGGAAGAATAGGCCGAGCTCTCCTGAAGTTCGTTGAGGGAGACTCACCGCCGCATGCGGGAAGGAACTTGGGGGAAATCAACCGTTGCATTGGGATTCATTCCATCTCATCTTTATCTACTACTCATACTCATACCCATACTCATACTCCATTTTGATTCCTATAGACCCAATTAATCATCCTTATCTCTGTTCTCTCCTCTCCAGACCCAATTGACCCTGGCAATGTTACAATTCCATCCATTTCAGCCCCCTGATCCTAGGGCTAGATGAAACCACTACATAATGTACTATAGGCATATACATACACATACGCTGAACCCAACATCAACTCAACTCTCCCTTGCGTTGAACACATGGCAATTTCCACATTTCCACATTTCCACATTTCCACTTGCATGATGCTGATGGGAACCCGCCAAGCACAGCCCCCCTTCCCCCCGGCCGCGCTGTCGCCAAGCCAAGCAGCCAAGAGCGCGCATCAACACGCCCAACCCCACCAACCAAGCGGGATGTTGTGCTCCTCATTTTTTAACCTCCTGAGAGCTTGCCCCTCCTTGCATTCTGCATCTCTTTGACCTTATCTTTTTTGAGCCTCCTCATCGCCCCCATCAACCCCACACCATGGGTTTGTCTCTACCGAGCTGGGGCTTTTCCCTTCTCATTCTTCTTGCTTTCTCCGGCCAGGCTTATGCCTTTGGTGCCGGTAATATTGCTTCTTTGTCCAAGATCGAAGGTCAGAATTGGCGTCATGGAGATATTGAAGATACCCTTCTGAGTCTCGTCCTGGCCCGTGTTGCTGGTGGCCGCAAGTTCGGCAAGCTTGATGTCAAGCGTGTTTACTTTGGTAACTGGCTTCGTGACTACAGTCAGGCTGTTGATGTGGGCACTGTCAAGTACGTCAGTGCCGAGGCCATTCGGATTCTTATCTGGGTCTTGGGTTTCATGAGCTTTGGGTATGTTTAAGTTTCCATATCAACGGCCCTCTGGGCAGTCTACCCTCTAGAAACGTTGGCTAACTTGCTTACAGCTATGGCACCCGCGAGTTCGAAGTCACAACCGAGCGACTGGGCTGCTACCAACCCACCGAACACATCGATAACCCCCCAAGGATATGCTGAGGGTGATGATGCCCGACGCTACGATCGTCGCCTTCGTGGTCCAATCGACGAACGCCGCGAACTTTCCATTGACGAACGCACCGGTTTGAAGAACTACATTGCCTCCGAGGACATGGGTATCGATACCTCGGCCGAGCTGATTCGCCGCGTTTTGGGCAAATCTATCCAGCTGGGTCGTCGTTATGCTCGCTCTCGCAATGATGAAGATCTCCACGAGGCTCTCCGCTTGCTGGGTACCGGTCTGCACTGTCTGGAGGACTATGCTGCGCACTCAAACTACACTGAACTGAGTCTGCTCGAGCTCGGTGAAAGGGACGTCTTCCCCCATGTGGGTCGTAACACCAAGGTTCAGATTCGTGGCGCTCGCAACTCGGTGTATCCTATTGTGACCGGTACTTTCGGCGGTGTGGACTTCTTCCACTCCGTGCTCGGTGAGCTGTCTGATAAGACCAAGCAGTCGGAACTCCAAAACTTGGAAGGTGTCATCTCTCAGTCAGAGGGTGATAGCCCTAGCCTCCTGCAGGATTTGCTTAGCAAGATTCCGAGCGGATTGATTGGCGACACCGATGACGAAGCTGGTAAAATGGACGACTTCAAGGCCAAGGCGGATGATCAGCGACAGAACAATCAAAACATCAGCCCTCGTGAACCAGAGGAATGGACTCGCTATCTTGACAATGTTCAGAAGCAAATCTACCCTGTTCTCGAATGGCACGACCAGCTGCTGAAGAGCATCAACGAGGCCATTGAGAAAATCCCAGTTCTCCCAGACCTTATTGAACAAGTTCAGGATCAAATCACCGTCTTCGTCTTCTCCGTGCTGGCACCCTACGTTCTCCCCATCATCAAACAAGTCAAGGCCGAGCTGGAAACTGGCTCTTCGGAAGTCATCCAGAGCAGTCGGGAACAGCAACACATCGTCTTCAATGACGATTCCTCTTCCAACCCCACCCACTCCATGCTCTCTAAGGACCACTTCTCCAACATTCTCAACGAGCCCGCTGGCCGAATTGCCTCCAGCGTGGTGAAATGGTCTGTTCCCCAGCTGATGCAGTGCTGGGACGATGAGAACGCCGACGTCGATCGAACCCTGACGAGAATCATCAATGGAGTCTTCCACCACCCCGCTCTCCGCGAATATGGAGACGACGGCGCCAACGAGATGCGTCAAATCATGTTCTCCACGGTGGAGAAATGGTGGGGCGAGCACAGCGAAAGAGAGCGTGGCTCTCTTCGCGATCAATTGAGCCGAGACGGCGTTCTCCATGGCAGAAACCACAAAGAGGGCGTTGAAGATTGCGGACATGGCTGCGGTAAACCTATTACCTTGCCTGGAAAGAAGCAATCTGGCGGCGGCGGCGGCGGCCACAACCAGGGCCAGGGCCGCCAATCCAAGAACGATTCCGGTCTGGAGAAGGTTGCTTCCGAGGCCGTCGGGGGCGGTGCCCTTGGTGGCCTGATCGGTGGCCTGGTGGGCGGAATAGGCTCCATGGTTCTCGAAGGTGGCTCGGATGAGCGAAAGAGCAGCCCTAAGCCGCGCAGAAACAAGGACGACAGCGATGACGAAAAGAAAGAACGACACCATCGCCCCAAGCCTCGCAAGGACGACTCCGGCGATAGTGACGAGGAGCGTCGCCAGCGTCACAAGCCCCAGCGTCATCAGTCTCCTAGACGTGAGGAGCGTCACGAGCAGCAATCTTACCACGAGGCTCCATCGCGCTATGGAAGTTCTGAGTACCAAAGTGAAACCCAGACTCCTTCTTATGGCCAGCAGTCTAGCCGTCGTGATGATTACTCTTCGCGTCGTCCGGAGACTGGTGGATATCAAAGTGAGGCCCCGTCCTACGGTGGTTCTAGCGGTGCTTCGTATGGCGGCGGTGCTTCTTACGGTGGCTCTGGCGGTGCCTCCTATGGCGGTGGTGAAGCATCCTACAGCGGTGGTGGAGCTTCTTATGGTGGCTCTGGCGGTGGTTCCTACGGCGCTTCTGGACGTGACTCCTACAACGAGCAACCAGTCCGTCGCAACGACTACCAACCCACCCCTCAAAACTACCACCGCGAGGAATACCACGAGTCTCCATCTGGCAACAGCAGCTACTACCAAGAGGAAAGCCGTCAGACTTACGGAGGTACTCGTACCGAATACCAGCGTACCGAGGCTCACCATGAGTACTCATCCTCTCGGCCGACCTATGAGTCTGTGCAGCAGAGTTCCTACAGCCGTGGAGGATATGAGCAGTAAGTGTCATATGTATTGACATTATAGAAAAATCCGATGCTAATATAATTTAATACAGGGATTCATCGTCCGGCTATGGTCAGCGCGGCAACGATGAATACGGAAGACCCGCTTATCAGTCCCAGCAAGAGAGCTACGGCGGAGGCCGTGGAGGTGTCGAGGTCGTCGAGGTCGTCGAGCGTCGGCCTCGAGGATCCGGTGGCTCTCGCTCTCGCTCTCGTAGCCGTAGCGACTCTCGCAAGCGTCACCACCGTCACCACCATCACCGCCGTGGCTCTGGCTCGGGATCGGATTAAGTGGGAAGGTTTTCAATTCGGGTTTATGTGCTTTTTCTTTGGTGTAAATTACCATTTCTTGATCTCGCCAGGTGCAGGCTGTTCAATTCGAACGACCTTGTCGCAGTTGAGCAGACGGAGAGGATCATAGGCCAATTTTAACTAAAGATTGTGTTAGTCGTCATTTGTGAATAGGTAGAGATAGGTAGATTTTTGAGATTTTTTCAAACTTACCCGGCGCATGGCATCCACCGTAGTCTCACCCAGCTCATGGGCAAGATAATCCCGCTTAACGAGACCGACGCCGTGTTCACCTGTCACGGTTCCCTCCATCTCCACGGCACGTTTCACCATGCGGTGAACGACGCCCTCGGCAACCTTCTTCTCGCCATCATTGAATAAGATGATAGCTGCAAACGTCAGAATCAGAATCACACCATCAAAGGGATTGCAACGCATTGCAACGCAAGCCTGCTGCCATCCTGGAAAACTTACCGTGAAAGTTCCCATCACCAACATGGCCACAAATACCAGCCAAAAGACCACTCTCAGTCATATCGGCCTTGGTCGCCTCAATGATATCCGGCAACTTACTCATCGGCACCGCGACATCCGTCGTCCAAACATGATCATCAGCACCACGTCGCATAGCCATAACACTCCACAGAGCCTGCTTCCTGGCACTCCAAAGTTCAGTCATTTCCTCCTCACCCTTGGCAAATTCGAACGATTTTCCAGAAGCCTTATTCGCAAGTTTCTGCACCATGCCAATCTGCTCCTTCACCGCGGCGGGTGTACCAGTAAACTTGAAAAAGATAGTCGGCGACTCCTTCCACTGCCGACTAGTACTCTGACTAGCATTGATACACTTCATCTGAACATCGTCCAGAATTTCCACGCCAGCAACTGGAATCCCCGCCTCAACAACACTAGTAACGCACTCAGCCGCGTTGGCGATACTTCCAAACGACGCAACAGCGACATTCGTGCTCTGCGGCTTAACAGTCAATTTCAGCGTAGCCTCGGTAACAAGACCAAGCGTTCCCTCAGAACCAATAAAAAGCCTCGTCAAATCATATCCAGCACTCGACTTGCGCGGACGCTGTCTCGTCTTAATAACAGTTCCGTCAGCAAGGACAACCGTCAAACTAAGAACCCACTCGCGCATCGTCCCATACCGATACGCATTCGTCCCACTACACCCGGTACCAACCATGCCACCAATCATAGCGCCCGGACCCGGATCAGGCGGAAAGAAGAGCCCATCCTTAGCAAGTTCCTCATTCAAATCCTCCCACCCAAGCGCCGGTTGAACAACAACGTCCAAATCGCGCTTATGTAGGGAAATAATTTGATCCATGCGTCGGAAATCAATACAGACGCCGCCCCTAGTAGACGCGAAATGGCCCTCGAGACTGGTGCCGCCCGAGTAAGGCGTGACCGGGATAAGACGGGCGTGACAGATCTTCATGCAGCGGGATACTTCCTCGGTGGTGGAGGGGTAGAGGATTAGGAAGGGCTTTTCATTTTCTTTGGCGGAGTAGGAGGACCAGTCTGAGCCGGAGTGGGATTCTAAATCGCCTGCGTTTGTAGAAACGTTTTCTTTGCCGAGGATTTCGACAAAGTCTACCCATGCTGCCTGGAGATTTGAGGGGGTGACGTTGTGTCTGGGGGATTCGAGGTCTTGGAGTGTTGTTGTTGAGGATGATGGGAGGGAGGCGGGTTTTAGAGAACCTAGGTAGTATGCGCCTGTTGAGAAGAAGACCAGTGCTGGAAAGGGAAGTGGAGTGTTAGTTAATTGATTCGATTCAATTCAATTCAGTTTCGACTCAATTCAATTCCAATCGCAGTTCGCGGAGGGTTTTTTTGAACTTCAAAAAGTCGACGGAGGGTTTTCGACTTACCGAACATCAAGGCGGCATAGCGACTGCCGGGAGATTGGGTCTGCTGATATTGCGCGAAACGCTCTTGTTCGGCTCTCTCGCGCTTGAGACGTTGCTGGGTGCTCTCGTAGAGCTGGCTTTTGAAGGAGGGCTGTTGCGACTGCTTGTCCTTGTCGTTGGCTAAGCAGCGGGATGATGCGCCGAACAGTCTCTGTTGCGGGAATGTAAGAGGGCGGGCGCGAAGGTTGCGGAGGACGCCTCGAAGGGCGGGGGTATTTGTGCGAGCCATCATTGGGAGTATGGCTGCAACGGAGCTTGTGGAGGAGAGGAGGAGAGAGGTGAGGTGAGGAGAAGAAGTGAGGAAGAGGAGAAGCTCCGGGTCTTGGCGGAGCGGAGCACGGACTATTATCATGGAATGGCCTGGCGTGCTTCGGGGAAGCGATGGCACATTGTAACTAACCTACAGTAGTAGGTTTATAGTTGATCAGTTAGTCATTAGATATTCGATATAATTAGATATAGATAGATTAGTTTACTAGATATAAGTCTAGGATTGGGTTACTAAATGGATCTTTCTGGGTCTATTGATATAGGCTAATTGTACTGTCATAATATGTCTTAACACCAGTATACTCGTAGTGAAGTACTGTACTACTCCATAGTGGTAACTACAGTCAGTTCTCTGCAGTTACTAACTAGCAGGTATGATCTCATTCTCTACCGGTCAGACTATTTGGCAGTTCCGAGTCCGTACCAGATGTCAGTCTCTTTTTCTCTCTCTGCAGCTCCACACTCGGCCGATATTACCGACAATACAATACTTGTACCCCCAGGCAAAAGGCAAAAATCGGGTAAAGAGCCCCCCTGCGGTTAAAATCCCAATTGGATCCACCGGGGGAAGGTCGCCCGACTGTGAGTTACTAACACTACGTAGTAGTAGTACTAATACTGCGGGGAGCTACAGCTCGGTTCAATTCATTTCACACATTTTGCCGGTTTATATACCACCTGACTCCTCGCTTTTTTCCTTTGGTTTTTCTTCTCTTAATTCCATATTCTATATCCTCCTCTTCCTAAGATTCTCCTCCCCTCCATATTCACCATGACTTCAGCTGCCACTGCCAAGGTATGAATAGTACTGCTATGCAAAGCGCGGGGCTATCTCAGATTTGCCCCGCTGTCCCATCTCTCCTCCTTTCCCGGAAAAATATACAACACCATACTCGTACAGATCACCCGGACTAACAGCTCAATTGAACCAACAGAACCTCTCCTTCGTCCTAGAGGGCATTCACCAAGTCAAGTTCGAAGACCGCCCCATTCCCGAGCTCAAGAAACCCCACGATGTCATCATCAACGTCCGCTACACCGGTATTTGCGGCAGCGATGTACGTATACCCATAACACCAGTATTCCCGGCCCATATCGCCGGTGGTTCTTCATTCCTTGGAAAGTCCCTTTCCAAAGCCAAAGCCAAAGCTAACCCCCTCTATAGGTCCACTACTGGGAACACGGCTCAATTGGCTCCTTCATCGTCAAAGAACCAATGGTCCTAGGCCACGAATCGGCAGGAATAATCACAAAAGTCGGCTCATCCGTAACAAGCCTGAAGGTCGGCGACCGAGTCGCAATGGAACCCGGAATCGCCTGCCGACGCTGCGAACCCTGCAAATCCGGCAAATACAATCTCTGCGAAAACATGGCTTTCGCAGCAACGCCCCCTACGACGGCACCTTAGCCAAGTACTACACCCTCCCTGAAGATTTCTGCTACAAACTTCCCGAGGCGCTGTCGCTGCAAGAAGGCGCTCTTATGGAACCGCTTAGTGTTGCTGTTCATATTGTTCGTCAGGCTTCCGTTAGCCCGGGTCAGAGCGTTGTTGTATTTGGCGCTGGTCCGGTTGGATTACTTTGTTGTGCTGTTGCGACTGCGTTTGGGGCTTCAACTGTTATCGCTGTTGATATTCAGCAGAGTCGGCTTGATTTTGCTAAGAATTACGCTACCACATCTACCTTCATGCCGGGTAAAGTTTCCGCTATCGAGAATGCGGAGCGTATGAAGAAAGAGAATAACCTCGGTGCTGGCGCGGACGTTGCTATCGATGCCTCTGGTGCCGAACCTTCCGTTCACACCGGTATTCACGTCCTTCGTAATGGAGGCACGTATGTTCAGGGTGGAATGGGGCGCAGCGAGATCCAGTTCCCGATTATGGCGGCCTGTTCTAAGGAACTTACTCTCAAGGGAAGTTTCCGCTACGGCAGTGGTGATTATAAGCTTGCTGTTGGACTTGTTGCGAGTGGGAAGGTTGATGTTAAGAAGTTGATTACTGGGACTGTGAAGTTCGAGGAGGCTGAGCAGGCTTTTAAGGAGGTTAAGGCTGGTAAGGGGATTAAGACTTTGATTGCTGGTATTGCGGAGTAAATATGGGAAGGGCTGTTGAGTTTGTTGCTTTGCTGCGAGCGGGTCCTTTTGATAATGTCGTCTATGATGATGGGTTTATATGGTGTTTTGCGTGAATCCAAAAATGGGGATGGGATGGTGTCTAGAATTTGATTGATGAACTAGTTGTGTTTGGGAATCGGTTGGAAGCGAGAGAAGAGAACAAAAACATTGAAATGATATGAATAATAATAAGGAAAAAGAGTCGAGTCAGAACTCAAACCCAACCAATCCTCGAGTAAAGTAACTAAACTAAAACAATTCCACCCTCTTAGAGACTAGGGTAATATGACGACGTATCTGCAGAACAATAATGAACGAAAGTGCAAAATAGGGGGGTATCGTGCAGGAATATTCAACGAAAGACAAGTCCGAAGGAAAGGAAGAGACCAAAAAAGGAAAAGAAAAGAAAACAACAACGCAAAGCAATGCAGTGCAGCACAGTTTCAACCAAAGAAACATATGGGGTGGATCGCATCACAACGCATCGCATCGCATCTAGCAACAGCCCTGATTTCTCCGCGACGATGAACCACCCAGACGAAAGACATCCTCCCATTCTCTCATCCCACCCATCCAGCCCTGCCCCTGCGTAGGCCCCTTCCCTCGCCGCCGCGACGTCCGATGAAGAGGCAAAGCATTATCATCCAGAGTAGCCCTGCTCCGAATACTCGACGCATCACTCGTCCCATGACCAAACAACCCACCATCACCATATTGAATACCACTCTGGGGATCATCAGGATCAATCTCCCCCAATTCAATCTTAGTCAAGATAATGCGCGCCAGCCGCTGAAATATCTCCTCAACACCCTCCCCCGTTAAAGCAGAGACCTCCACCGCCACGGGAATATTAGACTGAGCCGCCCACCGCGACGTATCCTCACTGCTAACGTCTCTCCCCTCAGCAAAAGTAGCAGTCAATCTTGTCCCAGCGTTGATCTGACTCGTTGAGCGAATCGAGCTCGACCCTCCGCCGAAGCCTATATCGAAGGGCATAGAGGACTGCTTGCTTGAGGTCGTACTGGACGGAGTTGGCGGCGGGCGCATTTCGTCCGGGAAGTCTGAGTTGTTTGCGTTTGTGTCGGCGAGGTCGGCCTTGTTACCGGCTAATAGGACGGTAAGGTTCGGTGAGGCGAGGGCGCGAGCATCCATGAGGAAAGTCGGTAAGGCGGCGAAGGAGGCGTAGGAGGATACATCGTAGATGAGAATAGCGCCCGCAGCACCGCGGTAATAGGATCGGGAGACTGATCGGAATCGTTCGGTGCCGGCGGTATCCCAGAGTTGGAGCTTGATTCGTCTTCGTCTGGAGCCGGTGCCTAGCTTGACTATTCTAGAAGCGAATTCGACTCCGATGGTTTGTGAGGAGAGGATGCGCCCTGGAACGTGGAGGCAATATGTTAGCGATGGGGATGGGATAGAATGGAATGGCGGGGGCCCGGGGTGCTTACATTCATTCTTGACGAATCGGTGTAGTACACAGGATCTGTGAATCGGAAGTTAGCAAATGTGCATGGCAGAGAATGGATCCATTTGTGTAACGTACTTGCCGGCACCACTGGGACCGAGTAGAATGACTTTGGCGAGGTAATCGTACATGCTCCCCAGTTCCTGGAGGATGATCAGCGCGGAGCGGGGGCATTAGGGGGGCCGGGGGAAGCGGATAGGAGGGCACAAGGCGCAAGAGTGTACATACCTGATCCTGGTCAGGAACGGAGGAGACCGAGGAGGATGTAGACAGACCTCGAGGACGCATTGCTGCGGTGGATGAAGAGGAAGTCAAAGTCGAGGAGAGACAAAAGATCCCGAGGCAGTGCACGTCCTTATCTTCGTACCCTCTCAGTATTGCAGTATTGGGACTGCCTCAGACTACTACTACTAGTTTCTAATAGTACAACTGTTTAGTATTTAGTATTTACTATAGCTAGTAGTATAAGTTAGAGCATTACTCGAATAATTATCCAAGGCATAAAATATAGGATAGAATAATAAAATAATAAAATAATATAATAATATAACGTAATCCACGGCCGAGCTGCGCACACGGTCGGCCTGCGCACCCACCCCTATGATATAGTTTTAAAACAGAATATCGCAACCGAAACACATTAATTAATACTAATCTAGCGTTTTTTACATTGATTAATCTTGTGGCCTTTTCCTCCACATCCACTACAGGTAGGCAGAGCCCTCCTGCGTGGCTGATCCTGCTGAGTAGGCAAATTACCCTGTTCATGCGATACCACCTCATTAGCTTCTACCGGCTGAATTGGCTGCTGAGCTAGCTGTAGGCCCTCTTCGATCGATAGGCCCCCCTCATGAGTAATCTGCCTAGTCGATCGAGTGCGCTTTTGACGTTTCTTTTCATTCGCTGCGCGTAGATTGGAGTTCTCCTTTGCTAGTAGCGCAGTGTTGTGTAGCGCTATACAGTGGCCCTTGATAATCTGATCAAGCATGATTTTTGATGGTGTAGGCGGGCTGTGTGATCGCTGGTTTAATAGCTCTTTAAGCATAGAAGCTTGCTTTTCTAGCTGAATCGCTGTTCTAGGTGTTTTTGGTGTGAATTGGCTAGATCTGCTGTTTGGTCTGCTGCTTGGTGGTGTAGGTGTTCGGATAGAGATATTAAGCTTAGAAAGTACCCTTTCTGCATTAACTGGTACTATACCAGAAGCTGCAAAGCTGCTTTGTACGATATTTAGCTGGAAAGCTTCTAGTCGTGCGCGAGGATAATCTGCTAGAAAATCAAGCTTGTCGATATGATTATAGCCAGTTCGGGCTAAATCGCTCACAAATCGACCGTACGCACGCTTTAAAACAGCAAAACACCCAACATCAAGCGGTTGTAGAAGATGCGATGAATGTGAAGGCATACAGAGTGGTATAATATCGTTTTCAGAGCAGATTTGATCGAATTGAGGTGTAAGGTGGCTACCATGTCCGTCGAGGATCAAGAGACGAAATCGCCCTCGTACGCGCGAATTAGTGTATGGAATAAAGATCTTTTGTAGCCAACGTAGGCCGATCTCATCAGTAGTCCAGCCGTTATTCGAAACCTCAATTCGCCAATCCCTAGGGAGATTTGATTCAAACCAACCAGCAATATAAACCTGGCCTTTAAAGATAATACACGGCGGTAGCGAATAGCCATCAGCGCATATCGTTTCAATCGCAGTAACCCATTCACGATTTCCTGGCTGTAGGATTGATCGCCGACCGTAGTATTCTGCTCGCGTTACTACCTTCTGTGCTGATATAAGGCCCATTGCGAAGCCAGTTTCATCAAAGTTATAGATATCCTCCGGTTGGATACCGTTCTCCTCAATCGTACGTTGTACCATCAAAAACCACTCTCGTATAGCCTTTGGATCCTCGTTAAGAGCACGCTGATAGTCATATCGTCGCGAGAAGCGTGTTCGAAGCTCATCGCGTCGTTTAACAAAGGTTGACGCCCAATTAACACCAACAGTCAATGGGGGGGTTGTTCCACGCGCTGCAAGAAGAATATCGGCCATCTCTCGTACAGTAGAGGGCCTAGGGGCTGCTCCACGCGAATCCATAGAGAGTATCCATTCAGTAAGCGAATCCTCTTCAAGTTGGGTCAATTTATAGCCGTTTGGGCGTATATCGACGCGTGATGATATACCCTTTGCGCGACTGCGGAGTGTTGATTCGGGTATATCATATAGCCTTGCTGCTGCGCGAAGAGATATGATACGTTCATTTTTGATATCGGATAGGGCTAATAAGATCCTGCCCTCTTGATTGGCCGATTTCTGCGAAGATTCAGTGCGAATTGGTGGCATGGTGGGTAATTGAACTAGGCAGAGTGGCTGGAAGACGCGATTTTCGATGGGGTGCGCAGGCCGACCGTGTGCGCAGCTCGGCCGTGGATTACGTTAATCAATGGTCACTCTGTTAGTAATAAATAAGCTATGAGGCTGTGAGTGCCAACTGCGCCTTGCTGGGCACTTTTCTCAAAGGATTAGTGGATGTGGATAAGCAGAAGTACCCTAGGGTACTCCTATCATACTCGTATATACTGTACATCCTATGGACCCATTCACTCTACTCGTATATACTAGTACGCCACTCTCCACTCCGCTCCGTGATTCTTTCTCCGAGGACCCTCGCACATATGTACTGGTACTGTTTGGGGGCCGTCATAGCCACCTAGGGCACTACCTAAGGCACCCTCACATGAAGTCATTCTGACGCCCAAACTCTGGAAAGGGTAGTATTCTGGAAGTCTGACTCGTATGAACCCACTCAAGCTCCTTCAAGTGGCGGCGGGAGAGTGTAATAGGTTCCGCTCGTTTTCGTTCAGGGTAAAGTTCCAGTAAGTTCAGGGTCCCTGGTCCACCGGGGCTGTGCCGAACCCTTTCTCGTCATCCTTTCGCTTTCTTTTTTAAAGAACTTGCTTTTTCCTCTCTGCACCTAACTAGTCCCTGTATCTATCTACACTCACTTTCGACTACTGTCGCATCCATTCAACTTCAACTTCAACTTCAACTTCAACTTCTTACGAGTTCTACTCCGTACACACCTACTGTTTACATCATGAAGTTAGCCTGGGCAACCTCGCTCCTCCTACTCGGCTCCACCGGTGTCACTTCCTTGTCGATTCCCCGCTTCGACATCAGTCTACGTGATACTATTCTCCCAGCCGACCATGAATACATCGATCTAGAAAAGCGACGCGGCGGCGGAGGAGGAGGAGGTGGTAGTCGCGGTGGCTCCAGTTCCAGTTCCAGCTCTAGTTCCAGCTCTGGTGGCAGCAGTGGTGGTCGATCAGGTAGCAGCTCCGGTGGTTCCAGTGGTTCCAGTGGCAGCGGTGGCAGCAGGGGAAGCACTGGCAGTACCAGTTCTGGCAGCAATCGAGGCGGCTCTTCCAGCGGTGGCTCGGGCGTCTCTCCGTCCTATGGCGGTGGAAGGTACGGTTCATCCGATTCTTATTCTTATGGCTCGTCTTATGGCTCGTCTTATGGCTCGTCCGATCCCCATTCCCATTCCCATTCCCATTTCCATTCACACAACAGCGTCGGTCATTCTAGTGGTGGCCATTCCTCCGGTTCAACTTCCTCTCAAGGCGGCTCTCGTGGTGGTTCTCGTGGCTCTGGCTCTCCTCCCTCACACGCAGGGTACTCTCCCTCATCCTGACCGTGGTCTTTACATAGTCCCGGATCCGGACTCCCTGCCCCCCTCATCCATCTACACCATACCCATATGAAGAACGCCACCAGAAGCTAACATACCCCCGCAGATACTATGCCGGCGGCGCACGCACTCCCTACTCAGCCGGTCGAGCCTCACCTCTAGGAATAACCCCATTCCTCCTACCCGTAGCAGCACTAGCCTTCTTCCCAGGAGTCTGGCTATACGGTGCCTACGCGTATCCCTACTCACACCCATACCACTACGTCAACCACACCAGCAACCACAACGACACCATCCCCGTGGTCTGCCTGTGCCAGGAAAAACAGGAGTGCGGATGCGACGATAACAACAACAGCACCTACTATGAGTCCCTCTTCAACGGCACCGAGCCGAAGAACACTACCAACGCGCGCGTTGTGACTGTCAACGGTACCGAGAAGATTTATATTAACGGTACTCTTGCCAACGGAACTACTGCGGATGATGGGACTTCGAGTTCGTCGGGGGCTTCGCCCGTGGTTATGACCCTTATGCACGCGAGTGGATACTGGTTGACTTTTGCCGTTGTGGCTGCTACTGTTTCGATGATCTAAACGACTCGATTCGATTCGACTCGTCTTGACTCGACTCGACACCTCGGCTTCGGCCTCGAGAGCGCATGAGCGCGCTTTTCATTGCTGTTTCTTTTCTGAAGAGTAAAAATATTTGCTTCTCTTTCTTCACTAGGCTTGTTCATTGCTCTTGGCTGCTTTGCTAGGGCATGCCAAGATTGCTGGCGGCAACGATATGACTTGACTTGACTTGACATGACTGGGTTGGATGTCTGTATTTTTTAGATACCCCGATGCTTGACGATGCTGAACAATGCCTCGACTCTATATACATAGCTTGAGCATTGCTTAATACATTCTATTATTCTAATTCCTGCAATAATTACTCCGTAATCATTAATCTACTCTGTAATTAAACTCCACTATAACCAACTTCACATTCCGCCCGTCGCGCGGTTACGTATCAAACTAAACCCAAACAGGTAAGATGTTCCACCCCTAATCTTTGGGCCTTCATTTCCCACGTCCCATCATTTCCCGCGTTAGACCTCTTCTCTTCTCTCACACAACTCTCCTGACTTTTCGAAGCAGTGCCATTCGTTTCACCCAGACACGGGCTGTCGCATTCTTTTCCAGCTCCATTCACTCTTTACATTTAATCTCTACGAAACCAATCCTCCAATCTATACCCAACATCTCTCCAATCTAAACCCCACAACAAACACAACCAACACAATGCACTTCGCAAAGTCCCTCCTCCTGCTGGCCACAGCCCTGGCCCCCATCGCCATCGCCGCAGAGGCCGCACCCGCAGCCGCAACTCCTTCCTGCGTCACCCAAACCCTCACCCTAGTTCACTCGGGCTACGTGACTCCCACCCCAACTCCCACTTCAACCGTGACCCCCAGCTCGACCAGCACTCCCACGCCTACTAGCACCCCTCTCTCCTCGAGCGCTAGTGTCAGCTTCAGTCGCGCTCCTAGCTCCTCGACTCCCCTGGTCAAGTCTACTGCTGTTCCCGTTAAGCCTAACACCGAGACTGGTGCTGCGCCTGCTTCGACTTCTGCTCCTGCTAGCGGTGCTGCCTCGCTGCAGGTTTCGGGCGCTATGGCTGGTGTGTTGGCTGTTGCTGGTTTGCTGATGGTTTAAATACTATGAGCTTCGCTTGGTGTTGGCTCGGTGTTGAGTCGCATTGAGTCGCATTGGGATTCCAATTAATCCTGGATGGAATGGAAGTACGTGACGCGCAAATGGATCGCGATCGTGATCGCGGATCTTGAAGATCCCAGACTGGATGGAATGGACAACTGGGGTGCTGTTCAATTCAGAACGGCAATAATCATCCTTGATTGTCTTGTCCACACCCACCACACATATCAAATTCTCCCATGTTTTTGTTGAACCGAACTTCATTTCTCCCTGGCCGGGCCGACTTTTTATTTTCTGATTTGATCACCTTTACTTTCTTCACGGTCCCGGCTCTTCTATTTTCTTTCCTCCATACATATTCTTTTTCACATACGCTTTTTTTTTCCGAAGCTCGATGACCACGTGAATATTCTAATATTCTCTTTGATGTGTTCTCCGACCCACCCCTTTTTGATGCCAATACCCTTCTACTATCTACCTTATCTTCTCAACAATCCACATTTTTCTGTTCCGTTCAGGAACTTGGTATTGCTTAATTTATCCTTAATTTTTTATATTGAATTGGTTCTGTTTGATATCTGATTCACTCGTACTCTGGGCAGAGCTGTAGGGTTTATATCTGCGACACTGAGAAAGTACGTCATATATGTATCACCACTCGTAGTAACATTAAGCTCAGCTTGTTGAATTGATACATCACATCCATCTCCACTGATCTGAAGATCACCTTCCGAGTCCGTTATTCGAGGCTGTATAAGGCTGTACGAGAACGTGCATCGTACAGTGTGTACATAATCCTGCAATACTGTGGAGACCCTAACCATGAAAAAATATCATTGGACGCCAGTGCTGAATATGAATATGATGTCTAACAATTTGAAGTAACAACTTGAACACCGTAGGGGAGAGAGGAGAGGACATAAGTAACTTGAAACTTGGGTAGGAAAGGAAATTCTATCTACTACATATTCCCCAAATCACTGGCAGGAGAACAAGAAAACAAATATAGTACAGAAAAAAAGAGAAGAAAAGAAAGGGCGCGGCGCTTGATATCCTATCCTACACCGTTGAGTAGAGCGCATCTGTCTCTGTGTAGGATCCCTTTCTTACTCCTTGTCACTCATCGCAGCCTCGTATCTAAATGAAATATCATGTTAGCCACCGCCACAATTTCCACCGGGTAAAGGAGAACAATAACGTACCTCTTCCCACGGAATCCCCACAATCCCCAATTTCCGCACGAAATATCATGAGGATCCATATCATTCAAATCCCACCTCAAACTTCTAAAAATATTCTCCCCAGGTTCAAGCAACATATCAAACTCGCCCTTACACTTCTCACCCACCCACTTGATATCTCTCTCCATATCCCACTGCGTATAACCGGTACAAAGAATAGGAACCTTCGTCTCAAGTAACTGAGGCAGCGTCTCCTCCCACTCATGCGAACTGGCAGGGTGTCCAAGACCAGGATGGAACAGCATAAAGACATCAAGATAAGGATCGAAGGGCTGGAAATACTGCGCCTGATACATAGTGTGGAAGTAATCGACGTAGGTAGTTATCTTCATCTGGCCGCCGAGACGATCCTCGACGATACCGCCGAATGGGTTTTCGGGCGTTCGTTCGGGAGAGAGGGAATTCTGCGTCTCGGTTTGACATGCTCTCTGGTCCGATGAAGACGAGGTGGATTAGTGAGCGCGGGAACATGTATTGGAGTTGTAGCCAGACGTCGCGCGGGAGGGAGGATTCGGCTCGTGCGCCGAGGATGAAGATTCGGACTGGGGGGGGCTTTGAGGCGGAGGCCTTTTAGGTCGATGTCTTCGCCGGTTCGGGGTGGGTGGAGGGAGTAGCGGAGGGCTGGGAGGAGGGTATGTTAGCGGGTGGGTTCTTGAATTGGTGAAGTGTGTACAATTCAATTCCCTTCTCTTCTCTTTTATCCATGAACTGGGCTGGGCTCAATGAACATACCAGAAACACTCTTCAACCCCTCAGGCGTCAAACGATCCTTCCCCCGAATACTGTACGGACTAAGCTCATGCAAAACACTAGCAATAGTCTGCGGGTAAGTAAGCATGCGCGTAACCTGACGCATAGAGCGATCATCATTAACAGCGTCAAATTCCCGAGTATACATGAGGGTATCCCAATTAGTCATGTTAACCACGAAATTATCATCCTGAACACCGGGGTAATTGAATTCCGGGAAGAAGCGACCAGACTGAAGATCATGATCGTCCTCATTGATTTGTCGAAGCGTGTCACAAATCTCCAGATGAGCTTCGAAGTCATCCATCCAGTGTCCCTCGGAGCAGTAGACCGGTACACCGCAGTCCGGGCACTCGAAGTGCGAGTGAGCTGGGGGTAAACTGCTTCCACCGGCAGTTGCGTCCACAGTCTGAGTCTTTCGCGATTCGGGATCGTGAGGCGAGACGGGGGCACGGGTTTGTGCATGGTCTGGGTGAGGGCAGAAAGCATTTTGTTTGATGAATGCGGCTCGCTGGCGAATTGCTGGCGAGGGCGAGTTCGAGAAGGAGTGGAATAGATTGTCGGGTTTTAGCAAGGCTCGCGTGTCGACGGAGGGGCCGGTGGAGGTTGAGGCGGAGGCTTTCTGCGACAGGGTGGTAGGAGATTGAGATTGAGACTTTGCCGTAACGCTACCCTTGAGCTGCTCAGAGGTGTTTCCGCCGAGTGGGCGGTTGTTGCGCTCCGAGCCAAAGCTGCGAGTCCACGATGGGCTGATGGCGCATCTTCGGCGGACGTGGGCTAGGCTTTGGAGGCGAGCGGGCGTATGGGTTGATACCCGCACGCCTTTGCGGAGTACCTGAAGGCACTGGGCACAGGTGTAGCCTGTTGCCATTGCGAATTGGTGGTGATGGGGCAGGTAGAGCTAAAGCATGTGGTTGATCCCGGCCGTTTTTCCTTGAGGCCCGAGTTCACGTGACTTGATGTGGAGAGTAGGTGGTTTGATCGGATTTCATTTTAGAAAACTACTGGCTACTGTGCAGATCTGGGGAATTGTGAAGAGCTGCGCCAATTGTAAGGATTTTGATTAACTAGATTAAATGATAATTCTCGATAAAGGCAAAATGTAGAAACCGAGAAAAGCCTATGTATAATTGCAGTGCTAAGCATATGAACTATATATACTCCCAGCGTGTAAGTAGTGCAACAATTCCACTTAAGAGGCAGTGAATGAGTATCTACCTAGGTAGGTCGATATGCGTTTCCATATAAGTGTGCGCAATTTATGAGGAAAAAATGTAAATATGAAGTCAATTCTGAAGTGCATGGTGAATTTGATAGGAAAAAGACGCAGAGAAAGTACAGGAGGGTAGGTAAGGTAAGCGTTCAAGTTAGCCATGATCATTTATCCGTGTCGTCGTGAATATTAGCTAATGCTCATGAGGGACGTGAGTTTGTGCTGTGTGTATCTGATTAAAGTATCGTGGAAGTATCGTATCAATCTGCTTTGTTTTGCTTCGCTTTTCTTAGTGATGTCTGTCGCGCATTTGGACAAGAGTAGTCCACCCCTGGCAACAAGCCCTGGTCATACCATGTCCACACCAATTGCATTGAACAGGCACCAACGCAGAAGCGCCATTTCCATTGTCATTTCCATTTAGCTTCTCGGGACTACAATTCTCAGCACCACCACCGCCAGTACCCTTATTCAAAGGATTTTGCACCCTTAATTGACTCGGTAGTCCCCTGCCCGACGGATCTGAAGAAGAAGAGAAAATCGAGTTCCGCCGCGAAGAACTTTTGCGAGAAAACGTGCGAACGAGACGAGACTCGGATGGGAGGCGCTCTGGACATGCTAGTCGGGCGTATATCTCCGACGGCATGTCATGCCAGTATTTGCAAGAGCAGCAGATGACGAATAGTTTTGCGAGGACTTGGTCCTTTAGTGGCTTTTTTGTGCGTTGGACTAGATTTGATCTCATCATTGCGATTGGACCGTCCGGGACGAGGGGTGGATTTGGATTTGTCCTGGGAATGGGGAAATGGACGTTTGAGTTGGTTATTCCATTTGTTCCGGTATCTTGCAATTGAGTACTCATGGGTGGGTTTGTGTTGGGGGACTTTGGAGCTTGGAAGTTGGATGCTTGAGCTTGGGCCTTGGCGGCTTCAGAAGGCGAGGTCTGAGGTGACGAGGGCTGAGGTTTCATTTTTGTATGAGCTTTGGATATATCCAGAACTTCCTCATCTGCTGTGTCGTAGCTCGATCCCCCGTATGATGAATGCGATGATGTTCGACTATGTCCCGGTCGGTGTATGCTTTGCATAGAGGTATTGCCTGGACCTCCGTCCGTGAGTTGGTAGACCCGGCGTGTGGAATCAGTCTTCGAGTTCACTTGATCGAGTGCTGGTGTCGGTGCCAGTGCCGATGCCTCCTGTGTCTCTGCCACGACGATTGGTGCCCCCTGTGCCTCGTTGTTTGACTTCAGGCTCCCCGGCGTGATGATCGTGGACCGTCTGCCAGAATGTTTCAGTGGCGGAACCATTAGAGGGGACATATTTGCCTCTCTTTGCATATGTTCGGCTTTCGGATCGGGTGAGACTACACTCGTAGGCCGGTTCTCTTTTGACTTTTCACTTGCTGGGCGTTGGTGCTGGGAAGTGGCAGGAGCTTGCATTTTGGCAGTGACCAAATGGTCCGCCACTGGGTGGGTTGGTGGGCTTGATTTCTTGAAGCCATTCGTATTCAAACGACCTTGTTCTCTCTGTCCTTGTCCTTGTCCTTGTCCTTGTCCTTGTCCCTCGGGGAGACGAGACGGCGTCGTATTGCCATGACCATGACCAGCGGGCTGTGTTGCAGATTTTGAAGACCGCTCCTTCTTTTGATCGACATCTTTGTTTGTGAAGGGATTCAGGGCCAGAGGAGAGGACTTGTAGGTCTTTGGACTACTATCGACTCGGCCTTTCTTTGGGAAATTCCCCGGTGTTGATGCGGCTATCGCTGTCGAGCCATGGAAAGCCTTAGGGCTAGTTTGAGTGGGAGAGTTCTCTGGGGGAGTACGTAGCGCGTTGTTTGCTTGACGGGCCGCTATGACTGAAGCTGGTGGGCAAGCTTCAAGCTGTGCAGTATTTCTCGGGCTCTGATTCCGCGGAGGAAGGGAACCATTAGGAATTGATACGTTGTGGTTTCTGCTTGCCACGCCTGGCGCGTTTCTCTCGACTCGAAGTGCTGCGGTGAAAGAATCGCGGTCGAGATCTGCAGATAGTTCCGTCGCCTGCGAATGTGCATGGGTAGTTGGATGAGGTGTAGCCATAGCCTTACTGGGGGGATAGCCAGTGGAGGATCCATTGGGAGCATGCTTATCCGACCTTGTGAATTTTGATCTGAATGATGCCCTTCTCGATGTCACAGTGTTCTTTGGCTCCGTGCCTCCATTCTTTTCCTTCCATTCTTCAGCCACCTTCCAGTTCTCACGAAGATCATCTGACTTGGCCGTAGTGTGGTGCAGCGTCCGAGGCATCTGATGCGACGGTACCAGACTTGTTCCGTGGCGGGTTGCGAGTTCACGAGAGACGGCAGTACCGAACTGTTCAGGCAGCGTTAAGGGGAGTGTTGGAGGTCCATTCTCGATCGAGCTACGCGATTCCCTATCACTGCCAGTCATTGAACTCGCTCGCGATCGAGATCGTCGCTTGGAGGAGAAAAGTGAGGTGAAGCTTGATGATCTGGGTCTTTCGGTATTGGCACTTGATGAGCGGGTTGAGCTGCCTAGAGGTTGCTTTTTCGTCAAGCGGCGAGAATTTCTGTCGTAGATGCCTTGATCTAATTTGAATTGGGCCTCTTCAAGATGAGAGAGGCGCTTTTCGAGCTCTTTGCGCTCTGCCTCGAGTCGCTTGGTGGCGCGTCGTTCTTTGCGATTGACGTCTTTCTCCCAGGTTGGAGATCTGCAGATGAGATCTATGTCGGCGGTACTCGCATTGTTGGTAGTGTTGGTATTGGTATTAGCATTAGGGGTACTCATATCTGAAGCCGGTTGTTTGGGGTCTTCATCTTGAACCCGCACTGGATGCACTGGGGGACTTGAACCCGGCGTACTGACGGATGGCAGGCGAGAATTCCGAGAGGAATGTGTCAAAGAACTGGGCATGGTTTCGCCAGCGATAGTGCTGCCGGCACCAGCACCGACGTCGAAGCCGATGGTGATTTCGGACTTGGGTACCAAGGCAGCGTTCCTCGCCTGATCCGCCTGAAAGCCATCGCTCGCGCGTTTCTTCGGGCAGGTTAACACAAGGTCAAATGCAAATGCAGGGGAGAAAGGATGGAGTTCATTTACCTTATCCAGTCGATCCACATTAAAGACGCGCTGAATATGCTCGGAGATGGAGGATCGCCGACTTCTGCGGGGCTGATCGTCCGACATGGCGTTCAGAGTCTTGGTCGCATGGGGACAGAGACAGGGGCTGGAGTAGTGGTGGAATCGAGAGCTGAACGAGTGAATGCTCTGCGATTCAAGGGGACAGGAGAAAAAGAGAAGAGGGGAAGCCCCCTGAACTCCGAGCAAAGAAGGAAAAGGGAGAAATTGGAGGATGAACCGCAGTCGGGATCGAAGAAAGAAATTCCAAACTTGCGAGTTGCCACTGTGTGAGGTGAGACCTGCAGGACCGGTGATCCAAGTGCCCTTTTTTTGTGACAGCTCGACAGAGAAGTTTCTGCTAAGATTTTTCAGATTATTTTAACCAGAATGTCAGAATTATTCGATAATGCTAGATGTTAGTATTTCTATAATATTATTGTTTACTGCCATGGTTCTGCCTGTTCTGTTCTACTCTGCTCTACTCTGCTCTACTCTGCTCTGCTCTGCTCTGCTCTGCTCTGCTCTGCTCTGCTCTGCTCTGCTAACTGGCTGGATTGGCAATGTTTCACGATAATAACTTGAATTAAAGCAAGTCTGATTTATGCATTCACTACTGGTACTATTCTATAAACACAGTAGCGTAATCATCTACTGTATACTCTACTGTACTCTGGGTATATCTTTTGTTCTCTGGCACTGCCCCGCTTGGCAACCGTGGGACAAGATGACAGACAACCTTATTCACTCACCACCACATCTCCCCTACAACACTCACTTCTCACCTCTCACCTCTCACCTCTCACAGTCACAGTCACTCACTACACTCGACCATATCCATCATGGCCCAAAACCAACACTCTGGCGCTCCGCCTAGCTACGAGGACTCACAGATGGCTTCCTCCTCAGCCTCAGCCTCAACCTCAGCCTCAATTCAACCACCACCATATCACAACTGGCAAGAAGCCGTCCCCGATACATCGATTTTCCCACCACCCCCAGTATCAGGCTACTACAGTTCAGGCGCAGGTAACGCCTCCGCCACCGACGCAGATCGAGCCCACCAATTCTGCGACTCAACCCCACTCTGGACCCCAGTCTTACCATCATCAACCGTCTGGAACGAAGTGCACACCCACGACATCCGACCCGTACAGCCGCGTGAATTCCACGGCAAGTTAACCACAACGTCCCGCGGTCATTGGAAGGGAAGCTCAACCGATCGGAACGGCGACTGTGTCCTATTGACGCATTTACCGTTGTACTTTGCCGCGGTGGATTCCCCATTCGCGCAGAGCAGGAAGAAGACGATTTATTTTGAACTCAAGTTGAAGGGTCTTCGCGCTGGGCCGGGTTCCGGTGGTGATGGTGACGATGCATCCGGGTTCACGATGGGATTTGCAGCGGGCCCTTATCCTTCTTGGAGATCTCCTGGTTGGGAACGGGGTAGTTTGGGCGTATGCTCTGATGATGGGTGTCGATTTGTGAATGATTCATGGGGAGGGCGAGACTTCACAACACCGGTTCAGATCGGCGAGACGGTTGGTCTGGGCATGGTCTTTGATATTCCGGATCGTCCGATTTTGAGCGCCGACGACAGCAAGAAGTCGAAAAGGTGCAAAGTGGAGGTCTTTTTCACCCGTAATGGGCGACCTGCTGGTGGGTGGAACTTGCACGAAGAAGTAGATGAGGATTCTGGCGGGGTTAATGGCTTAGAAGGGGACTTTGACCTGTATGGGGCCATTGGGTTGTTTGGTGGCGTCGACTTTGAGTCTTGCTTTGACCCTGCAGGGTGGCTCTGGAAGCCTACGTAGATTCCTTCGAGAGCATTGTGCGTCTGGTGCTTTTGGTGCTTTTTTTTCATTTTACCTCACCACACCACACCACACCACACCACACCCCTGTCAGGATCGGGCTTCGGCTTCCAATCCGGGACAGCCTCCAATCCGATTTCAATCTTGCTTCTGCTTGTCATGCCAAGTTTCAGGGACCAAATACCCGTTAGGGCTGAGATTGACCTAATTCTTATATCTTATTGGGGGTTTATTTTTGGCTTTGCAGCTGTTTTGTGATAGGTCACGATGCTTATTTTTTTGCTAGACCCTGGGTGGCTTGAGGGCATGACATGACTTGATATGTACGATTATATCAAATTACGGAGGAAGGTTAGTTAGTTAGCTAGTTTAGCTTGGCCATATCGTAGCCATATGTACTAGAACAAAGGGAGTGGAGATGTTTCCAATATGACAGAAAATCCTGGCTGCATTCGAATTCTACTATCTACTCCGAGTCCCGTCTTGTGTACTTCCCCTGTCCCTGTTGGCATTAGCATTAGCATTAGAAATACATTCCACCCATCTCTGATATCACATTTCGCTCCGAATCAAGCAGCGCGCATGGAACTATTATCCAGCGCTCCGAGGTAACCGCCGAGCACGGCATATGAGAGGCTGGTTCAACGGGCTGCCGAGGCTTGCCAGACGCTATGTAGCAGGTAGCAGGGGTAACATGCCGCCATCGTGCATCCCCGGTTCTAGAAAGCTATCGGCCTCGCTCCTTTGCATCACTTCCTTGTAGATGTGCGCATTAGTGCGTTCGGGGGGAAGTAACTCCTGCATTCCCGACCTGCAGTAGAGTACAGTTGTCGTATGGCGTAGATTAGTTAGCTGCTAGCAGGGGTATGTACATAGGGGTAGCGGGTTGTATTTACGGAGAACATCCATATGGTATGTACAGAGTATGCAAGTATGTATTAGCCCCGGGGCCCCCTCCACTAGTCCTCCATTCGGAATCGAGGATTCGAGAGTATTCTGCAGTATTAGAAAGTAATATATATGTTTCTCTTTTGGGATAGTTTGGATGTACTTTTGGTTTTCTTTTTCTTTTATGGAATACTGTACTCTTTTTTAATTAAAAAAAAAGTTCTCTAGTTTTCCCCTTTTCCTCCTTTCGGCCCTCCCTTATGCCCCCGTCCGATCCGCACTGTAAATCTATGAAACGAGCTTGCATGAACAGCAGCAAAACCTAGAACTGGAACTAGAACTACTTCAAGTTGACGTCACAAACTACCCGTCCCGCGGTGGGATCGTCTCTTTGCATGCATACATATTCCGAACAGCATTCATTTCATGCTTACCAGTGGGTTTGGTGTAATTTGGCTTATGTCTTCTTGTGAAGATGAAGATCCGGAGGCATCGGCTACGTGAGTCGAGTCGATTCGGACCTAGGTTCTAGCCCGACCAAGTTCGGTTTGGTTTGTATTGGCCTAGACTCGCCGGTTTCACATCCTTGACATACGAGTAGGGATGAGCCTCAGAGCCGCGTACAAGCAGTCTGAATTGAAGTTTAGACCACGCCAGGGTTGCCTGACCCAGAGACATAGGTTCTAAAAACAGCTTCGTGCTTCCCGCCGTTCATGGAGAGAGGCCCGAGCCATCTGGAGCTGGAACTGGGGAGCGCAATGACCGCATATCAAAATGCATGTCATGCGCTTGGACGAAAGGGGCAGTAGTTACTCGGTACATTATCGCTTTTTTGTCGCGTTCTTTATCTGGGAGGTTTTTTTTACTATGTACATACTTACTTTACTATGTATGTGCTTACATGGGTTCTATTCGAAGGAATCTGCGAGGATCCTCGTGGGGGTTTTTTTCATGTCATTCCTACTGAATAGGGTAAGGTACAGAGGTACTTTGAATTGACATCTGAAGATACATTGTACTTATTGAGTGAAGGCTTGGCAGTATTTAAATGTGGATCACAGGAAACGAGCATGAATCATAGGTTCACTCGGATTATGAACGGAGTCAAAGTATACGATGACCATTGATGTAACTTGAACGGGACGAACACGAGGCGCAACACGCAATGGCATTGCAAAATTGTAATCACTTCATCAATGGGAATTGATTGCGCCATATCCATATCCATGTTCTTCTAGGCCCGAGACCGAAACCATTGTGTCCACAATTAAAAGGACCGACTGAAGGGAGTGGTCACTTAGACCAGGTACCTGCTGTAGGTACTGGAGTAGCCGACTTCGCGCCTTGGTACAAATCGCACTATAGCCAACGACGGAGCGTAAATGTAATACCGGGAAGAACCCTCCTCTACGAACAGTCCAGTGGGGACCGAAATCGGTGATAAACCCGAGACTACCCTCGATGGTTACAGCGGCTGCAGCCTCGCTGCAGCTAAGAAATCAGGGCGTCGGCCGGGCAGGTCCAGTAAGCGAGCAGAGGGCTAGACGGTTGAAGCATGCCCCAGGTATCGAGCCAATGGAGATCGGACGAAAGCTCCTCGAAAGACGGAGCGACTCCTGAGCCTCCGGAGAACGGATGTGATATTACACGGGACAGTGCGCAACCCCCTGCAGTGCAGGGTGGGGAGGAGAGAGAGGCTGGCCGTTGCCACCAGATCGCACGCGCTACACCTGTACGGAGTACATATGTACCCAGGGTGTACCCATTCGACAAAGATGTGTTTCGTCCCGCGCACATCGATTTGAAATTGTGGACGCTGACAAGCCGACCACGTCGACAATGAGTGGAGCTGAGGAGAAGAGGAACGGCGCTTGGTGGGGTCGATTATCGTCGCAGAAATGCATCAATATGGAGAACGAGAACGGAGACGGAGATGGGACGGGGAGTTTCTCATTGTCCAATTTACTATGGATACGCTATTTTATACGACTCTGTAGGTCGTTTCCCCCTTCTTATTCTATTCAAAGGTACTTTTTAGTAGGGTCTTATTTTTTGCATGATTTTTTGGATGTTTTTAATTGTATTTTTTGAATTCCCTCTCGCTCGGCCGACGACAAGCGTGGATCTTGCGCGCTCGCGCAAAGATCCACCCTCGGCGTAACGCCGCTTGTGACTGTACGGAGTCCTCCCGTACCTATCGTATGGATACTCGTACAGGGAAAGAGAGAGAGCCCCACGGCCGATCTAAATGGTGTTGCTCCCCCATTCCCGACCAAAACGGGTAACACGAGAGTTGGATAGTGTATTTTGTGAGGAGGGGCGGGCGTCGCAGATGTGGGATTGCTAAGCTTGCCATTTGTCGGAAGATCAAAGCGAATTATGGCTAATCGGCTTGTCTGCGCCAAAAAGGTAAACTGATGAGGACGAGAGGGGAAAGCCGTGTGGGATCGACCTCCTCCCCCCCCCGTCCCCGTCCCCGTCTCCAGCTGCAAGTCATCTCTCCCTTTTTTTCCCACTTTCCGTGGTCCTGTCAGGTCTTGGTGCGAAAGTTGAATTCAAGTTCCCACTTAGTTTAGTTTCCGTAGAGCACTGTACTCCGTAGGCACTCCCGTACACTTCGGGGTAGACATCCCCGTCTCCGTTGGATGTCCGTGGCAGTTCTAGTTCTAGTTCTAGTTACCATTTGATTTTCCACTTTGTTTGATTCGGTTTAATCTCGGTTTACTAAAGATCGCTTTTTATTACTTTACTTTCCTCTCCTCTCCCTCCCCCTTGTCCATTTTTGCCGAGTGGCTATGCTGACTCAAGACTCAAGATTCTTGTTGCCTCATGAGATATCGAAATAAGGAACAAAGTGCGCGCGACTCAGTGGATCCGGACTCTTCCGGGATTTGAAGTCGGAGCTGTGAATTTCCATTCCAGTGTGGAGTCCCGGACAACACTGGGTCCAAGGGAGTCCGTGCAGCCGAGATACGCGTCTGTTTCACTCATGACCGAGTGCTCCATGATCCATGAATCGGCCGGGGGGGGGGGGTACGATCTGGCGGTTCGGTTCGAGAGTAGGCAACTGGGGGGACTGCGCCTCTAACGGTTATTGCTGGGCCTGCATTCCAACGACAGGGCTGGTGCAGCACTTGACTGGAAAAGGGAGGGGGGAGGCAAGCACAGTCGCAGCTCGTACGCAGAGAAGGGTTGGTGGGCTGTAGGTTGCCACTAGAGTCAAAATCGAATGCAACGGCCTGTGCAAGTGACAAAGTACCAGATTGCGTGGACCCCGAAGAACAATGCAGCCAGTACTTGGCGGGTTGGGCTGTGCAGTGATCTCTTCAATATACTTTGCAGCCGATCCTCGAGCGCGTGCGGAGATAACGATGGCCCTTTTAGGCCGGGTGCAGATGGCTGGCCGCACGAGCTCCGGCTGAGATTAGACGCCAGTGCGCGTCTACTTTGGCCAGGATGTTGGAAGGATTTCCATGTGCAAAAGGGAGGATGGAGGATGACTGGTGAACCCCTGTCTATAGGGAAAAGTTGATACACCCGGCAAAAGTATATCCAAGAGCTAAGTATGCAGTAAGTACCATGGCATATAGGGATGTACTAGTATAGTGGTAAGTGTCGTATATTTCTACCGAACACAACCGAAATGATCTACTGTACTTCTCTCATAAACAGACAATCTCCTCTATTCTCCTCCAGTCACCGGGATATGCACTATCTTGGACTAATGGGCTAATGGATGGTTAGTCGCTATTGCTGACAACCTTCGCGCCACCCAGTTGGGTCGCCTAACCCTGTTTAGGGGCGTCCGCGGCATCGACCGCGCCTTTTCTTTCTTTGAGTTGCCTTAGGTGGTCGGAATGATACCTCCTGATACCTTTTTCGGCCATTCTTGCTAACCTACTGACTACACCCTCCACAATATCCTATCAAGTTTCCAAGGTTTCCCTTCGTGCTGACACTTACCACATAAATACGCCCTACACGACCCATGTATCACAACAAATACCACACTACAGTGTATATTTAACCCCCACTAACTCCATTACTTGGCGCTAGTATGTATGAATGCCCCACTCAAGCTTCACCCGCCCACGACTGGCCAAGTCACGGCGTGTGGCGATCGCCGCTAGGATTTCCCGCCCCATTTCGCGTGACTTTCGTGCCCCGGTTACCGTGCAGGAGTGGGTTCGTCGTCGAGATGGGCTTTTCTGGTCTGGTGCGCTGTTCTGCTTCCAAGACGCACGTTAAAATTAAGGAATCCATCCTGTGCCACATAAGGCGTGCGAATCACGGTCGATCATTTCTCGCTCCACGTTGGCGTTGGTCCTGGCGCTGAGCAGAGAGAGGTACACTCCATACAGCACGCGGAAAGGCTTTACCCAAACACGCTAGCATACTGGGGGTCTGCTCAATTTCTTCCACTAATCAGTGTTTCATGTTCTTCGTGAGTGGTTCCCCTGATAGCGCGCGCGTGCAGCATTTCTATGAAGTACGGCAGAAGAGAACTCCTGTACGAATACTCTTCAGATTGGTCATTATTAGTAACGTGTACGATGTACACGACTAGTTACTTATCTATAGCTACTCGTACCTGCTGTACCTGTACCCATGTCGATCAAGACCAAGTTAAGAATAGAAAAAAAAAGGTTCGGCTGGGCACCAATGATGAAGGGCCGACGCATCTCCATCCGAGATGCAACCGGAAATGCAGAATGTGCAGCGATGAGAGAATCTCGCGTGCATGATCGGAGATGTTATCCTTGGCTTTTGCTTTTTTCTTGAGATTGCATAATAAAATACTAAATACTTTTATGTTATATTATATGTACTGTATATATTTTTTTCGGATTTCCCATTTCCGATTCTATTTCCGATTTAATTCAATTTCATTCAATTTACTCCGTTATTCATTTTAGTTTGGGCTTCCCGTTATCCATTCTTGTTTTTGTTGATGTTTCGTTCTACTGATGCATGCCGAGACTAAAATGACCTAGTCGATCACGATAGTGTACCTGCGACAGAGGAACGACTAGTAGCCAATGAATACAGACGTCGTCAAAAGAGTCAAACGACTCAGGTGGTTGCCTTGCTTTCGTCATAGGGGCGCGTGGTCTCAGGCCCGGAATGCTAGAACCGAGCTCGCATGGAGGAAGTCGAACAAGCAGAAGCGCAGAGCATACGAGGAGAGCAAGAACTGAGCCAAAAGCCAAAAAAGCCAAAACCAACGAACCGCTGTAATACAGTATGATACAGTACATCTACTATACTACTACATACCAAGGCATTGTGGCCCCACCGCATGTCACTGCTGCATGGGCCGCCAATCCCTCCACTCTTTTCCCATCTAGATCCAGGGTCTCTGACGCACGAGGCAAAAACTACACCTGCAGGAATCTCAAAACGACAACGGCTACTGGGGCACTATGCTCTAGTCCGGATTCTTTTATTTTTGATTTTCCTATTTTTTTTTTCTTAAAAAAGTATTTTTTAATTCTCATTTTTTTTTTTTTGGCAATGACATTTCGGATTTTTGATTTTAGTTCCCTTTTTCTTACCATCGCGTGGATTAGTATCAGGATGGCCCATAAGGCATGTGCTCCCCCTACAAATTAACTCGACCTCGTCTCCCATCTATCTCGTTATTTATTTTTCTTCCTTTTCCTCTCGTCCTCCCCCCCCCTCCCCTCTCCTTCCTTGGGCTGGTTGAGGAAGCTGTGTCTTCCCCGACATTCGTTTTTTATTCTTTGCTTGCCTCGACTTGCAATACCAGCCCATTCCTCCTCCCCCTTCTTCCTTTTTTTGGATTGAAAAAAAGGGTTGATTCGGGAATATTGAGGCTATAGGTAAGAATTCTTTTTCCGATGAAGACTACTTTGTCTTTTCTTTTTTATATTTTTCAAATTTCCTTTTTACTCCCCATTGTCAAATCGGAGAATACGGAGATTTACCAATGCCAGTGCTAATGCTTGGAACTTTATAGTTGAATGTTACCATCCGAACATTCGACCAACTCTATAAATCACCCAGAGACTCCGGACCATTAATTGTTGGACCCGCCATGGCTTTTCCTTTTCTGCGAGCCTTTGTTGCACTTTTGTGAGTGATAATAATTATTCCACCCCCCTCTTCATCTGAATAATGAAATTATCTCGTTTCTTGTCGCGGTTCTTTTGTTATTTTTTTGCCACCTGCACGAGCTGCAGCTGACCCAAAATAGTATCTATCGCTACGCTCGACTAGTGGTGAACCTGATCTCTTTCTGGTCATTTAAGCCGATCCCGCCACCGGAGAACCCGAAACTCACCTCGCAGGATGTCACGGTTATTATCCCCACACTGGAGGGTTGTGGCGACGAATTGGTTGAGACGATTCGGTCCATCCTCGACAACCAGCCCTACGAGATCTTGCTGGTGACGATCGAAGCAAACCGGAAGAAGGCCGAGCGCATGCTATATGCTATGCCAGCCTCCAAATCTCGCATTCGTCTGTTTACCGTCACCCACCCGAATAAGCGCCGCCAAATGACTCGCGCGATTCCCGAAGTCCGAACCGCTATCACCTTGCTTGCCGACGACGACGTGAGCTGGCCTTCTACCGTGCTTCCCTGGATTCTGGCGCCCTTTGAGAAGGATGACCGATACGGTGGTGTCGTGACGTGCCAGCGTCTGCGCCGCGCGGTAAACCCTAGCCTCTCGCAGCGAGTTTGGGGATATTTGGGAGCTTTATACCTAGAGCGTCGTAACTTTGACTGTGGCGCGACGACGAATATTGATGGAGGATTGCCGTGCATGTCGGGCCGTACGGTGGCTTATCGGACGCAGATTCTTCAGAATGAGGGCTTTACTTATGGGTTCACCAACGAGGAGTGGTGGTGGGGAAAATATCAACTCAATGCGGATGACGACAACTTCATTACTCGCTGGATGGTCTCGCATGGCTGGGAGACTTATATGCAGTACCACCCCGAAGCGGAGGTGCTCACCACCTTGGAAGATAATCCCCGATTCTTGAAGCAATGCGCGCGGTGGTCCCGAAGTAACTGGCGGAGCAATCTCACCAGTATGTTCCACGAGAAGCACATCTGGTAGTAAGTGAAACCCTCCTTCTCTCGTCCTTCTCCCCGTCCATTCCCTCTATTGTTTGATCTCCCCTGCAATTGCCTTCTGGTCATGGCTTTTCGGGGTGGGTGGGCCTTTGCCTAGACGCCAATCCCAGTTCAGCAAAGATCAGACATGGGCTTGTGTTGATCTGCTCTGGCCCCCTCGTCAATCTTTGGTTCTGATTTATGTTTTACTTTCCCACGTAAAAGTGGTAAAGTGTATATCGTTTTTCATTTACATTTTCAGCCGCAGCTAACCTGTCGTGCAGTCGTCAGCCCTGGAGCGCCTATGCAGTACACTTGACGACTTTGTCGCCGCCGGCCCTGTTGGGCGACCTCCTCTTGGTGTGGTTGTGCCACAAGGCTACCATCACTTGGGGCGATGCTTCTCATGCTCATGCAATGATGGCTCTCGGCTTGTGGATGTTCACCAGCAAGTGGATCAAGTTGGTTGGTCATTACATTCGGTACCCAGTCGACCTTCTTCTGTTGCCCATCTCCGTTGTATTCGGTTATTTCCACGGAGCAATCAAGATGTATGCCGTGATGACCTTGAATGTGGTAAGTATTGTATTTTTTTTTCCATTTCTCGTTTCCTCATTTCCTCATTTCCCTCATTTCCCTCATTTTCTCATTTCCTGGCTTATTGCGTGGGGTTGTGTGTCTGGGAAAACTAGTGGGCTGCCTAAGCGTCAACCAGCCCCTCATCCTCCAGCCAACCCCCGTATTGGCTCTGCTTTCTCCTATGACATGCCCGCCTCACAACGCTTTGATCACAACTCCTCCCTCGTGCAGATGCCCTTATCCACCACTGTCCCGTGTGCAAGCTGCCTTTACGTTCCCTTTTTTTCTTCCTTTTGTTTTATGTTTTGTGTTTTGTGTTTTGTGTTTTGTGTTTTGTGTTTTTGTTACCCCACCCCACCCATTTTTGTCTGATCCCTCTGATTCGTCTGATGTTCTATCCATCCGGTCCATCATCGACTTGATATGCATCCAAGCACCCTTCGCCTTTCCTGGAATTACTAGCTGACCCTCTTACCTGCACAGACAACATGGGGTAGCCGTGACGGCGCTGATGACTATGACGCCGAACGTATGAAGAAGCGCACCGATGCGGATCGCAGGAAGCAGCCCTATTACCCAAGCTACTTCACCAAATAAGTACAACAGTTGCATATACATCTCTCTCACACCACACCATACCACATCACATCAACCGCCCCCCCTCAACTTGAACTCAACCTTGGCCTCGCCGGATACCATCTCCGTCGCCCCTCCTTCCTGCAACCCCCCCCCCCCCCCACTCCAGTTTCCCTTTGTGGGAAGGAGTCTCTTTTGTGGCATGTGCTTGTCAATTTCAAACATCTCGGGGATCACACAGGCCACCGCAGACTCGGAGTCCCCGCGGCGATAACGCGGGACCCCCAGCCATGTCCACGTCTCCCTCCATGCACGGGCACGGCAAGTAAGATGTGCTCGGTCACTCTTGGGACCTTTTTTTAAGGTTCTACATTTGTTACCTTTTTTCGATTTTCCCGTTTTTCTCATTCTTCTTTTTTTGTTTTTTTACGATGATATGCCGTGACGATCTTCTTTTGACTATGCCAAACCCGACATGGTCTTTTTTCCTCCCGAATCTCCCATTCTCTCTGTGTTTCGGCTTCGGTTTTCGATTCGATACTCGATTCTAGATGCGTCCAGCGCTTTACTTTTCGAACATTCCTCTCATCGAGACAGGTTGGGTCATATCATACAGTGTCAACCTACAACCACAACCACAATCCACAACGGGACCTTGCTCATTGCTTGCAGCTAGGCTTGGTCCCTTAGGGCGTGGGCGTGGGCGTGGGTGTGACTCTGCAGACCCTGAGAAAAATCCTTGTCCCCCTCCTACCAGTTTTGTGAGATCCGACAGATTTGATATGTGGTACTATGGCAACATTTGCCATTCGTGCGATTCTCGTTATTCTTTTTTTTTTCTATTGAAGCTTTTGCTCTTCTCTGCGCACCATTGGTTCTTCCTCTATTCAAAAAGAGAGAACAACCTTGAAAAAAACACCCCAAAAGCAAAAAGCAAAAACAAAAATGGGCGGCTAACTTTTGATTCGATTTGAGCCTTGAAGGCTTTTCTTCTTTTTTTCTTTGGATTCTTTGGATTCTTCTTTTCTTTCTTGTGTAAATTACAAAAGCATGGGCGGATGTCATTTGCTTTTTTTTTCTCTTCTTTTTTCTGAATTCTGAAATGTTCTCTTGCGCGTTGCATCTCATGCTCTCATCTGCTGGTTTGATTCCCCTGGCTTTCTTTTCTGGCGATAGCATTTGAAATGTCTTCCTCATTTGAATTTGTCAATTTCAAGTTTTCCCTCTCCCCATTTTCTCTCTCCATCTTTCACGTCCTATGCCTTGATTTGCTTTGACTCGATTCTAGATGCAATATGCAATATGGGAGGTCTTTGTGATTTGTTTTCTATCCTTTTTTCCAATCATTTTTTTTTGGAACTGCTTTTTTGTTGATAATTTCTAATCAATGGAACTCATGCAGCACAAGTCCCCATTTCTCTTAAAGGCTGTAGGCTATAGGCTAGTTATACATAGGCTTCTCGTACTCCGTAGGATATCATATTCAGCTAGTTCAGCAAGTTCAGCAAGTTCAGCTCCACCCATTCGAAGCGAGTCAGACTGGTGTCATCGTACATATGGTCCGACCATAGCGTCCCGGCTCTGATGCAATACTGCAGTTGATCCCTGGCTAGAACTGGAAAGAAGAGCCAGCTGCCAAGACAAATACGAACGATCGACTGGGTGATCTGGAGAACCGGAATATGAAATGGAAGGAATAAAAAGAATATAAAACATATAACAAATAAATATAAATATAAATATAAATAAAAACCTGATGCAGGAGAGTACATCACCGTATGTAGACTATGTACAATTCCATCCAAACTCGCAAGGCGGCGATCGGGCCGAGACTCGAAAAAAGTTCCGCTCACTCAATTTCTCCGCAACAATCGAACCTCTCCGTCTTCCATCCCATTCGTTGCTTCGATTTCCCTCCCCATCATGGCTTTCCCCCGCGTTGTGTTACCTTCGCGACTGGCTTCGGTCGCACGACGTAATGTTTTCTCTCGCCACATCCACTCTTCGCCCGTGAGAGCGGCCGTCGCCCATCCCATCACAGCTCAAGGTCCTCCGCCTAAAGCTCCGACCCCGGCGGAAGCTTTCAGGGAGTCAGCTTCGCAGAAGGGTAATGCAGGATCTGCCGCGGGAGCAGAGGGTGAATCACAACCGACCAGGGCGAATGTTTCGCTGAAGAAGAGATTCTGGAAGGATGTTCATGTTCATGGGAAGCCTGGTAAGTTTTGGCACAGCCATTGTGATTCATCGCATCGCATCGCATCGCATCGCATCAAATTGCATCCTATTCCCATCCCGGGCTCATCTCATCGTGCTGTGAATATGTACTAATATGCTTTTTTTTCCCAACAGGAGAATATCAAGTACTGCTAGACAAGCGTCCCGTCCGAACCCCGAACAAGGACATCCTCTCCATCCCACCAACAAAGCCCCAACTAGCCCACGCCATTGCACTAGAATGGGACGTCATGACCTCCGCCCAACAAGCCTTAAAAAGCCACCTAATCCCCCTGACCTCCCTCGCCGCCCGCGCCGAGGATATTGTCCGCGAAGAAGCCAAAGGCATCAACACGACCCGCGACCAAATCATCACCACAGCCATGCGCTACCTGGAGACAGACACATTGCTATGCTGGGAACCAGAGCGGGAGCGACACCCACTGGAACGACAGAATGATAAAGGAGAACACATCGAGAGTCTACGGGAGATTCAGGTCCGTGTTTCGCAGGATATTATGAGCTTCCTGTCTACGAAGGTCTGGCCTGGTCTTGAGATTGTTCCTATTCTGGACACGCAGAGTATTCTACCTGTTGCTCAACCGAAGGCTACGCAGGAAGCTATTCGTGCTTGGGTGCAGGGATTGGAAGCTTATGATCTTGCGGGTTTGGAGAGGGGGATTCTTGCTTCTAAGAGTCTTCTTGTTGCGGTTCGGTTGGTTGCGGAGTGGAGTGAGAATTTCCGTCATGTTCAGCAGAATGGGAATGGTGGGAAGGACTTTGGACTTGAGGAGGCGACTGAGGCTTCGAGTTTGGAAGTTAAGTGGCAGACTGATATGTGGGGCGAGGTTGAGGATACTCATGATGTTAATAAGGAGGATTTGAAGAGACAGTTGGGGAGTGTGGTGATTTTGGTGAGTGGCGAGACGAGATAGACTTGGGGTGTAGACCCGTCCCTGTATCATCATCAATCAACTTGTACAATGCATTAGAATATACATACCCTGTCCCCTCCCCGTGGTCCGAGCCCCCGAGTGTTGTATGTATGTATGTAAGTTGTGTATAGAAAAGCGGCGTCTGCCAAGGCGGAGCAGTGATCGTCCCTTTTCCCAGGAGGGGAGGGGAGAAAATAACCCTGAATCCTTAGGCTTTCTCTCTTCGTCCAAGTCTTCTCCAGCTCCATTCATGCACTTGGAATAGTGTTTTGTGTATTTTGAATCATGTCTGAACGGCCAGAAGGGTATGTACAAGTTGTTATGTTTTCCCTGTTGTTATTGCCTTCTTCCCCCCCCCTCTGGTTCCCACGGATGACGAGCCACGGTTGTCTGGGGCCGTCAACTCGCCTTAGCCTCCAAGGCCATTGACTCTCTGACGAAAGTGGCTCGAAAGCTTCTTCTAGCCGCGCGTCACGGGCGGGATCCTTTGGAGAAGAAGAAAACATCGTATCGGATCTGCTCTCAGTTAGCCAGAAGCTGCGATCTGCCACTCTCCCACCCGCTTATATCACATGGGAATCCGTCCACTAATATGCTCTCTCCTAGGCACAAGCACAAGCGCTCGCGCAGCGCCCTGGCACTTTCCCTTTTACACCGCGACAAGTCTAGAGGCGAAGACAAAAACGGAGAAGACAGCGATAAAGGTTCGGTCGGATCGACTTCCTCTGGAAATGGCTCCTCCTCCCTGAGGCACACTCGCAGTAACAGCCGCCACACTTCTCAAACTCGCAAGGTCTCCCTCAATCCTACATCCCCTTCAACCTCCGGCCTACCCCTCCAACATATCCCGTCCAACCAGAGCAGGCAGAGCATCCACGCCGACGCTGTGAGTGGCTTGGACAAAGGCGCGATCACATCCGCGCCTCAGTCTCAGGCCCAGGCCCAGCCTCAGCTGGAGACAAGCAGCATGACCCTCGATCAGTCGGTGCGGACCTTCCGCCTATTTGAGATCCTGCGAAGCGGCGATACAACGGCCATTTCCAAGGCGATTAAGGAATCCCAGGACCCTCAGATTGCGAATAGCTTATACGGGACCACAATCCTACACCTGGCCTTGCAGTGCGCCGAACCCCAGGTCGTGGAGTTTGTCTTGTCATCCGGAGACGATCAGTGTATCAACGAGCAGGATCGGGAGGGAAATACCCCTCTCCATCTTGCAGCACAACTTGGCCGTGTATCTCTCATTCGGGAACTGCTGAACCGAGACTCTGTCAACGATGCCATTGTCAACTACCGCGGTCAAACACCACTGGACGTCGCGCGTACACCGGAGATCTTCCAACAACTCCAACTAGCCCGCTCGCTCTTCATCGACAACAAGACGCAGGAAATCCAAGTCCTGCTCGCGAAGAAGGATTACGAGAGTTTGGAAAAACTATTGGAAGAACCCCGCGCTGAGGGAATCTTGGATGTCAACGCTCTGGACTTGGTTACTGAGCCTACCACTGTACAGACTGGGGGTACTTTATTGCATGAGGGTGCTCGGAATAAGGACTCTCAGCTCATTCAAATACTCTTGACTCATGGAGCGGATCCTTTCCGCCGTGATAAGAAGGGCAAGTTGCCCCAGGATGTCACGAAGGATGACAAGACTCGTGCTCTTCTTAAGAAATCACCCGCTGCTGTGATCGCACAACGTGGTATTCAGGAGAGAGCGATTCTTGGTAACAATAATGCTCAAGGTTTATCGGCTCGTGCTTCGATTGGTGGCGAGGCGCCTCTAGCTGGTAAGGATGCTCGTGAAATGAGAGGATATCTTAAGAAATGGACCAACTATACCAGTGGTTACAAACTGCGGTGGTTCGTTTTGGAGGATGGCGTTTTGAGCTATTATAAGCACCAGGGTAAGTATTTCACTCTGCTTTTTTTCTCTTTTTTGAAAGTGGCTTTCTGGACTTGGTCTAATCGTTTGTCCAGATGATATTGGTTCGGCTTGCCGTGGCGCTATTAATATGAGAATTGCCCGACTCAACATGGATGCACAGGATAAAACTCGGTTTGAGATTCACGGCAAATCATCTGTGAAGTACCATCTCAAGGCAAACCATGTTGTTGAGGCCAAACGCTGGTTCTGGTCGCTGAACAACGCGATCCAGTGGGCCAAGGATGAGGCGAAGGAAGAAGAGCGGCAGCGCAATCAGAATGCCGAGGTCCTTCGCCAGGCAAAGATGGATCAGAGCGAAGGCCGTTCAGTTGGAACTCCATCCGAGTCCGGTCTAAGTCACCGTCCCAGCACAAAGAGTCTCGCTCCTCCATCCACTCTAGGCGTGCCTGGTAACAGCATCACGCGGCTGAGCACTCATGCCTCGCGCACAACACTTGAGACTACCCCCGAGGACGAGGTCAGTTCAGCATATGGCTCTCTTGACCAAAGCACGAATGAAGTCAACAGGGTGGCTAGCCATGCCAGCCATGCCACAACCATGCCCGATGGTGATGGCAACGATGACGATGAGGAATTTTACGACTATGCTTCTAGCCACGAAGCGCCTGCGGAGGATAAGGATGCCCTGAACATCACCGCGCAGTCTGCGAAGCTCCAACTGGATCTCCTTGCGAATGTCACTGCTTCATTACAGGCAGAACGGACTAAGAATCCCGGCACGGCAATTGCAGATCCTTCCTTTGAGCAAGCACTCGGTGCCTATGAAGGCGCCGTCAGTAGTCTCAAGGGACTGGTCCAAAGCCTGCTCAAGATCTCGCGGGATCGTGATTCCTATTGGCAATACCGATTGAACAGGGAAGAACATCTGCGCCAAATGTGGGAGGAAAGTATGGCACGCGTCGCTCAAGAACATGAAGAGCTTCAGTCCAAGATGGGCGAGTCGGAAGAGAAGCGGAAACGAACTAAGCGTGCTCTGAAAGAGGCCTTGGAAAATGCCACAGCCGCCAGCCGCTCAATTAGCGAAGCGCCTTCTCGTGCACCTGTCAATGATCAGGAAACACTGGAGGAGAGCCAAGAAGATTTCCGCGATGCAGACGCACCCGTGGAAGACGGGGAGGCATCGGCTCAACTTGCTGCCCGTCCTACCCTAAGCCGCAAGCACTCTAACCTGTCGCAAATCAGCAGTCTCTATGATTCTGAATCGGATGGGGATGAGTTCTTCGATGCTATTGATGCGGGGGAGATTGAAGTTGAGGACATGACTCAGGGAGAGACGAAGGAGACGAAGGAGCCTGAAGATGAAAGTTCACAGGCTCGTAATGATAAGGTTGCCGTGATCGCACCCTCATTTAAGGGCTACGAAGAGCCTGTGCGACAAAGACTCAAAATGGACAATGACAATCGTCCCAAGATTGGCCTTTGGGTAAGTTATTAGTTGCCTGATAGATATATTGTCTTTTTTTTGACTTTTTGCAAATGCAAACGACTAACCAACCGTTTTTTTAGGGCATCTTGAAATCCATGATTGGAAAGGACATGACCAAGATGACTCTGCCGGTATCCTTCAACGAACCAACTTCCTTACTTCAACGCGTTGCAGAGGATCTGGAATACACTGATCTCCTTGATATTGCCGCCGATCGGTCAGACTCGATGGAACGCCTGCTATACGTTGCATCATATGCTGCAAGTGAATACGCCTCAACCATTGGCCGTGTTGCGAAGCCCTTCAACCCCCTCCTTGGTGAAACCTTCGAGTACGTCCGGCCCGACAAGGGCTACCGGTTCTTCGTGGAACAAGTCAGCCATCACCCGCCAATTGGAGCTGCATGGGCCGAATCGCCCAAATGGGACTACTGGGGCGAATCATCTCTCAAGTCTAAATTCTACGGCAAATCCTTCGACATTAACCTGTTGGGCACATGGTTCCTCAAACTTCGACCCGTCACCGGTGGAGAAGAGCTGTACACTTGGAAAAAGGTTACTTCCTCAGTCATCGGTATCATTACTGGAAACCCCACTGTCGATAACTACGGTCTGATGGAAATCAAAAACCACACCACTGGCGAAGTCTGCTATCTCGACTTCAAACCCCGCGGATGGAAGGCTTCTTCCGCCTACCAAGTCGCCGGTAAAGTAGTCGACGCAGAAGGATCACCAAAATGGAGTATCGGCGGCCGCTGGAACGACAAAATCTACGCTCGCCACACTCCCGGCTTCGAAGCACCAGTCTCAGGCCAAGACCCCGAGTCCGCAAAGACACTGCTAGTCTGGCAAGCACACGCTCGTCCTACAGGTGTACCATTCAACCTAACCCCCTTCGTGATCACTCTGAATGCACTACCGGAGGGTCTGAGGGAATATTTACCTCCCACTGATACGCGATTGCGTCCGGACCAGCGTGCTATGGAAGATGGCGAGTATGATCTCGCTGCGGACGAGAAACATCGCGTTGAAGAGAAACAGCGTGCTAAGCGGAGAGAACGTGAGACTAGAGGCGAGACTTATTCGCCGCAGTGGTTCGTTCGTGATAAGTGCCCTGTTACGGGTGAGGAGTTCTGGGCTCATAATGGGAAATATTGGTCTAGTCGAGATGCGCAGGATTGGAGTCGGTCTGAGGATATTTTCTGATTGGCCGGATGAGGTGGGACTTGAGAGGCTGTTGCCTTTCTTTTTCTGTTCTCTTCTCTTCTCTGTCACCGGTTTCGAGTCCTGTCCTGTCTCGGATCGCTTCGTTCGGCTTTTTCTTGGTTTCTGTTTCTGATTTCTAGTCTAGACCCCTTCGCGATGTAATTTACAAGTACAAGACCTTGAACTCGACCTTGACTTCGGACCTTGACCTTCGTTTGGTTTGGCAGTGTTCAGTCAGTTCATGCATACACGATGCACCATGACCTGTTGTCGATATCACTTTGTTATTATCAGTGTTCAAATTAAGCCCCCTTTTTTCTGGTTCATACAAAATCTTCCAGTTTACTTCATGCCTTGTTTGAGATTGAGATCTTGACCTCAAGTAAATTATTCATGCCATAGCATACATACGAGTAGTAACATATACCATAGTAGTCGTACAGTAGTAGAGCCGCTGACTAACCACAATCACTAAGCGAGGCGGGAATTCGGACGGGACGACTCGACTCCATTTTTCCAAACTTCTCCAACCTCAACCTGCCAACTCCAAACCAAACCAAACCACTCCGACCGCGTGGACCAGAAACCGATGCTGCATTCTGCGTTAATATGCGGTCGGAGTGGTCTCACTTCAATTGAGATTGAGATTGCGTACTACTCACACGATATCAACCAGATCGAATCGAGCTCTGCTGGGAGCACGCTTCGGCTTTTTTACCCTTTCCTCCAGCCACCCAACGACAACGAACTGACCACAAACACATTTGAAACACAACACATCGCAACTCCACAATCCAGCTGTCCCAGTCCTCACGGACGAATACACGGACCCTTCTTGCAAGGACAGTCACCGTACTTCCACGTCTTGTGGGTGCGACCGACCGGAGCTGGATTGTGAGCTGGGGGATCTCGTTAGGGATACTCCGGTGCTTTTTCTTTTTCTTTTTTCGTTTGTCTTTCGAGAGAAAGGGAAAAAGAATGGAAAAAAAGTTGCTAGAGCAAGTAAAGGGCCTTCATAGTTCATGTTATACTTGCTCAGACTCTTTCCCTTTGGGATGGGGTTTTGGTGTTTATTTACCAGAGCATGACTCCTTGCGCACCTACATCTATATCTACATATACCTATCATTTACTTGAGGAAACAATTGAAAGAAAATAAAACTTGGAAATCTACCTGCTATATCATATATACACTATATCTCCAGATCAGATTCTCCCCGTAGCCCACCACTAAAGCTTACTCTTCGCCTTCTCATCAACATTAACAACAACCTTCCCCCAAGTCTCCCTCCCACCAAGCGCCTGCAAAGCCTTAGGCACACTATCCAGGCCAAAAAAGCTCTCATCCTTAAACGCCGTACCACGGAACTTCCCCTGAGCAACAAGATCAAAGATCCCCTTCCAAACCTCCCCGACAGTGCCCGTCTCAAACTTAGCATACTGCCCCCAATGCAAACCAACAATACTAACATTCTTCAACAAAACCCGATTAAGCGCAACCTTCTCAATACTCCCGGCAGCAAACCCAATAACCAAAAGTCTCGCATTCCAGGCAACACACTTAAGACTCGCCTCAATCATACCAACAGGGTCGTAAACAATATCAACACCCGCAGCACCATTACCGCTTCGATTCTCTTTGCAGAGTTTCTTAACAATCTCCGGCCAGGCCTTGTCGGTATAATCAACGACATAATCCGCGCCGAATTCTTTCGCAATTTCACGCTTTCGCGCAGTGCCTGCTGTTGCGATTACAGTTGCCCCTTTCGCTTTCGCAATTTGTACAGCGGATAATCCGACTCCACCGGCTGCAGCGTGAACGAGGACCCAATCGCCCTCTTTAACGCCAGCCCGATGAACAAGGCCCCCGTAAGACGTTGGCGCCGTGACGAAGAGACCGGCTGCGTCTTCGAAACTCCATCCCGGTGGGACGGGGAGGAGGGTGGATTCTGGTGCTAGGACATGGGTGGCGTAGGCGCCTTGTGTTGCGCCGAAGACGCGGTCGCCGACCTTGTACTTGAGTGAGGACGAAGCTGACGCTGACGAGGTGGGTAGGGCGGCGATTGTGCCGGCGAATTCGGCGCCGCCGATCCAAGGGAGTGGAGGTTGGTGTTGGTATTTTCCTTGGATTTGGAGGATGTCGAAGAAGTTTGTTCCTGCGGAGTGGATTTCGATGAGGTATTTGTCTGGGCTTGGGGTTGGTGTTGGGACTTCGGTTGTTTTGAGGTCTAGGGGGGCCCTGTAGTGATGGATTGGTTTGTTAGTTTTGCTTTTGCGGGGTGTTTGTTTAGGAGGGAGGGGATTGAGGTTCGATCTTGTGTGGTATTTCGTATATAGGAAGGACTGTCGGTGGCGGGTAATGGGACTAACCTTGACGTATTCGCTGACTTGAACAGCACGCATTTTGAAGAGGTTAACGGGTATGTTTGATTGGATTGGATTGAATTGGATGGGACTTTGGTGTACGCTCTGGTGTACCAAACAAGAAGATGAGGAGAGGTGTTGGTGTTGGTGTTGGTGTTGGTGTTGGTGTTGGAGTGGAATTGCGGAGAGGAGAGAGCTGTTCCCCGCAGATGCCGAGGTCCCTCGGATGGGCTGCGATGCAACGCTGGTCTACGCGGCTATCTGCTAGCTACATGTTAATCGGAAAATCACACATAGATTCAGTATGAAGTTGGAATGGAAAATGATTTGTCTCTGGCATCTACTCGTATAGCCTCTGTGCGATCACGGAGTATGAGGGATATCTTAGGAACTATTTGTCCCATTGTACCTCGGTCAATCCAATCTGTCGGACCCTAAGCTCTTCATGCTGAAGATGGCCATTGGCAGAATAGCCGGGATGCCGATCTGCCGACCACCACCAATTTTGCCACGGGCACGCAATAGTTTGGTATTGGAATTGGAGTATCCCGGATAACCGAACCAGGAACCATAATTATAATTATAATTAAAGACAAAAAGAAAATGGATTTCCGATATATCCAGGATAGAGGTTCCAGTGGTTTGCTCCGAAAGGAAACGGCATAGACGAGATCGTCGATATCCCGATGACCATATGACCATGACCATATGACCATGACCATGACCCATCGCATGGGATAACACTATCAAATTATCGGATAGTTTCCAATATGAGGTTTCTATTAGTCTTATCAAAATCATCATGATACTATTTTTGTCACAAGTAGAAAAAAACTTGATTCTATTATGTACAGCATACTCACGAGTCACATATTGTGATCGCTCACTAATTAATCTGATGCGTGGCGAGATACTAGCCTTAGTATCCAGCCTCATCCGATGCGCATCGTATACGAATAAAATCAGATCTGCAAACGCCACAACATACCTGCAGCGATCCTCCTGTCTCAACTCCGTTGCTATTCCTGATGTTTGAGCCTCGTTTCATCCTCGGCACTCCGCATGACCAGCATGAATCATGCCGTTCGATGCAGGGGCCAGGATAACTACCCCAACTGATGAAACAAAACGGGGATAGAACCCTTGTCGGTTCAGATTCCTCGGCCGAAGGAAAGTAAAATATACTGTACGATTATACTCCATAACTTTGCAATGTATGTGAAACCGGCCAAGGGCGATCGTAGAAACTGTAAAAAGTACCCTACCTAAGACAGAGTGCCGTGCGAGTACTCGTGCCCGTAACTACCTAACTACTCCCCCAAAAATAGGAACCGGCACTGGGACTGGAACTGGTATTGATGAAGCCTCGGAGATCGAGCAACGGTCTGATCTCCAGCCCCTCTTCTTCACCACCTCCTCATTCTCCCGAGGCCCAACCTCAACCATAACCTCAATCAAGAGGCCGGGGATATATCCCCAAAAAGAAAAACAAAGTTTCAGTCGAGGATCTCCCATCGGAACCGAAGATCATACAAATTGGAGAGCCGTTAGACCCGGTAAAAGAACCGGTGGACCCTCAACGGAGTAAGTAGTACTGCAAGTAGTAGTACTAGTCCAGGTCTGATTTTACGGTCTGTTCTGGTCTCGGTAGAAAAGACAGGAAAAACTTGAAAAACACATAGCATGCGTTGGAGATGGGGCAGGCAGGCAATCTCCCACCGGTTGCCTGTCTCATAATTGCGCCATTGATAAAGTTGGTCTAGTTTGCGCTAAGCTGGCCTAGATACGCCGATGTCTTCACTAGTACTCCGTAGATTGGGACGATAGTGAAACTGATCTGAAAGTTCGCCACGTGCGGGTTTGGGAGATTGCGAGTAGATCAATTAATTCGCGCTGTATTAGTTGATGTAGCAAAATTGATGGATGGATAGATGGATGGATGATTGGATTGTATTGGTAGGGGGTATCAAGATGCAGGAACGAAAACAGATAGGATGGTAGAATGCAGGCCCTATCATGAGAGAGCGAGGAACATGGAGAGGCAGACAGAGGCATAGATAAACATAGACACAGACACAGACACAGACACAGACAGAGACACAATTTGACAATATTCAGATTATAGAGACCACTGCACAGCAGAGGTATAAGGTATCAAGAGAACAGATTCCAACAACGCCGTGAATCAAAAACAAAAGTAGGTAGAACAAATCAACCTTCCGCCCACGAGTGCAACACCGAGTATTTCATACATAACAAGATCTATTAGATACAGATCGCCGCCCATTTTACAATGCTGAGATATAGAGAGACATGGAAGAAACAGATAAAAAAGTAAAAGAAAGTATCGGGAGAAAAAAAAAGCAAAAGCAACGGAGGTATCGGAGGTATCACGGAAAATAATCACAACCACTCATTCACGAGTATCAAACGCCAGGCCCAAGGTTCTGTTCTGTTCTGTTCTGCCCAAAGTCGAGCCGGAAACTTTAGTTGGAGTACGGCATCATGGGCGCGCACATCACCGGTTGACTAGGCGGGAGAGAAACCATGTCGCCGTGGGGATGGTGGTAGGCTGCTTGGTGGTGGTACTTTCTGTCGGAGTGATCAGGGCGACCATAGCCGTGGTGATGTTGATGTTGACCGTAATCATAGTTCAGAGACATGGTGCGCTTCCACGGCTTTGCGTCGTAAATTTGGTAATCTTCTCCGGGATAGTGAGTGAATTCTTGAGGAAACATTCCTGGGGGGGGAATCATGTATCCCGAGGCAGAAGCTGGCAGAGGTGCAGAGTGGGGGACAGTGGATGGCGGAGTGACTGGTTCAAAGGGGACAGAGTACCAAGGGGCCGGGGATGCATCGGTTGGTTAAGACCCAAGTCGAGAGAGACCGAACGAGGAGGCCACTGGGCCATTTGAGCATTTGTTGCTCCCGGGCTAGGGAGACATGACTCGGGTGAAAGTGGGAGAGTCGAATAGGTCGGAGTCACAACGGAGGAAGTGTTGACCATTAAGCCTGGGGCCGCTGTGGATGTTTGACCGGGGTGCTCGAAAGAAGTGGATGGACTGGGATCGGCAAATATGGCCGAGTGATCGCGAATTAAACCATCGCCCGATGGGCTGGGAGTCAATTGTTGAGAAACGACGTGAGGCTGAGGCGCACAGAGAGGATGCGCCCACTCCGGGTGTTTGCCCGCATCTCTTAGAATCGGCGATCGTTTCTGATTGCGAGGAGAGGCCGTAGAGGATCTTCCATCCTTGTCGAAATCATCATCTACGCCCTGAGGCTTCTTGCGAGTTTGGCGGGAGGGTTTTGTAACACGCCATTTCTTGAGGCGGCTGCGCAATTGTGTTTCACTGGGGAGGTGGTTAGTTAGCGGGGGGAATAACCAGTAGCCAAGAGGATAATCTTTTGCTCACCTTGGGTTGAAATCGTCTGAACGGATCTGCTTAATGACCTGCTTGAGTGGCCATTCCTCCTCCATATACAGTTTGGCAATGAGGGCCTTCTTCTTCTCCCACACGTCTGATGATATCGAAGTCTTCATTCTGGGTTGTAAAGTAGATCGGGACAGTGCACGATGAAGAGAGCAGGAGGAGAGGGGGAAGGAATAAGGGAGACGAGAAGATTGGGAAGAGATAGATATAAGTACAAAACAAGAGAAGAAAGTTTGGAGAAAGAGGGAGCGATATAAACTCGGCCAACCCCAAATGGGGATGGGCCTGGATCCTCCTCCACCGCAATCTCCCATGGTGCCGGGTCTGTCACTAACGTTTCCCTTTTCTTCCCTTTGCCCCAGCGCACGCATGGTCGATCATGGCTCGGGATTGGCATGACGATGCTTGACGTGGTTGTTGGTGGGTCGACGGCGATCTTCCCAAGTGGATCATTGACATCTCGCGCCATCGTGCGCTGCACCACGATTCTCTCAATCTCTCAAGCCCGGAGGCACAGTCTATCCCTAATGCAATGCTTGGCGCAGTAGGGTGTTCGTGCAAGACAAAGACAAGCGGAATCGACAGATCATCTTTCCGCCCCCAGCCAGGATCTTGTTGACAGCTGACAGATTCTCTGTGCTTTTCTTTTTTCTTTCTCCGTCCAGCTGGCAATGACCGCCTCGATTCCCTTCTTGCTCTATCTCCCTCATCTATGAATACGTGATCTATCGAGTACCAATCTAGCTCCCTGCAGCTCCAACTCCGATGTGGACTGCGCGTTTTACACTTCCCCCTCATCCGGTCGGCGGCAACCCTTCCAACATGGGAAGTGTCTCCAGGGACTAGGCGACGAATCGTCGCCTCTCCTGCAATGGTTTACATGCGGTACCGAACTAGCCTTGTGGATAGGTAGATTGAAAGTTCCGGTCCCGATAACCCAGAGACCCAATTCCTTCTTCCCCCACAGGCAGAAAGGATCCACTTGATCAAGGAGGAGAAGAAGGGAGGGAGGGGGTCTGTTGCGCTGTGCTGTGCCTCCTCCTGGCCCTGGCCTTGTTGGAGCCATCCCTCCAGTGGGGACTAGCAGGTTCTCACCCAAGAAAGTCATTGGTTGTCGATCCTTTACCGGTCCAGGGATTCTCACGCGGTGTCTCTGGGTGGACTCTGCACACGGATGTCTTCCCTAATGCAGAGGGGATCAGAGCCGTTGAGCGGTTTCAAACCTTCTCCCCCTTCGGGTTTACAGTTTACATGTACTATCTGGCTTCGACATGTGCAAAATACTCATACAGGAGGACACAAAATTGAATTACGGATGATTTGCCGGGAAATCAAGGAGGATCTTTTTCTGTATCAGAACGTGGGAGGGTCCTCGTCTCGGATCACTCGGCCTCGGCCCTTCCAACCACTATCAAAGAAAACGTGGGCCATACCAAGTACATACAGAGTAAGTATCCTAGTCAACGAAGGAATCGACATGCGCCCTTAACGCCCGCTTGACTTTCGTTCTCGCATTCCCATTTACTCCCCCCATTCAATGCACACACCATCCCCTGGCCTTCCCCGGTGAGTTCTTCCCTTTTGCGGAACAGCAAGTTCATCCTGAACAGAAGCCGCTAGGAAGGAAACAGGTATAGTGTCCAAGCTAGTGGGAAACCCCCCCCTCTCGGACGAGACCAATAATGTCGAGATTGTGGGGTACCAGTTCGTCCGCTCGCCAATCGATCCGGCCGTGGATCATCCATGATCTTCCCGGGTCCTCAATAGTGGATATAGTGGATCTGAGTTGGATTCCAACGAAGGACAGAGCCGCCCAGTAGCGTACCAAGCGATGTACAGACAACCCCAGCCAACCCCGTCCAAGACAGTCCGCAGGGCTAAGGTGGTGAGTGGTTGATAGCAGCTCGGGTACTTACTCCGGTCTAGCCTTAGTTCTCTGAAGTCCTTATGCCGATACAGAGGAGGCCAAGGATCAGAGGATGAGAGAGTGTGTGTGAAGCTGGGAAAGGCTGCACAGACCCGGCCGAAATCGCCACCGCACTTCCTGCACTGTCCATGCCTTTCATGCTACTGCCCCACCAATCACTTCTGCCAGTGCCAGGCGGCTGCATATTGTCACACGCCGGACGATGCAGAAACTGCCAACTCGGCACTCCGAGAAGGTTTGCCATGTGCAAATCGCGTTTCATACAATTCCTTCATCCGTATATCCTGTCGATCCGGAACATGGTAACATCCATTTCTAGGGCTGCTTCCCCGGACTCTTTACCCAAGGTGTTATTCTGCACCGATTCCCATGGTTCAACGATCGGGAATGAACAGCCCTTCCACTTGCCGTGACAATTGGAGATAATTCTATATACGTCAATTCCGACCGCCACCCGGTAGCCGTCACCCGAAACCCTAACAGTTTTCTTTGTTTGAGAGTTAAAGTCAAACTCCAAATTAAATTCTACTGTACTACTAGAGAAAGGCAGAGCAAGGCACCGAAGGTTCCCTCGGATCGCGCCACTCGTCCATCTGGCCAATCTAAACCGAGCACTCTGGCCGAGATACAAATAGCTTGAGACATAATAGAAAAAGCTGGGGAATAGTTCGCCTAGACTAGATCAAAGCAAGATCGGAGGACTTGCACTGGCCACGCCAATGTTCACCCATGCGTTCAAGCAGCAAGAGATGGCGGCTGGTACCGCGGGGAATGGACCAGGGGGTGCAACACAGACCCCCCAGTTGCGATAATGCAAGATGGATATTCAAAATAACCTCCTCCATACGGAGAAGGTAGACATGACATGCTATGCTCTGTACGGAGTAGGTAGGAGTACTAGTACACCTACGGTAAGCTATCTTGGCATGAAGCCCGCTTTTTTTAAGCTGACATTCCACTCACCACACCCCCTTTTCACGCATTTTTCCCGATGCAATAGGCTAGGCGGATTATTTCTTTTTTGAAGAAACCTGAGCAATCAAAGGCCCTGCTCGATATTACACTATAGCTGGTTTCCGGATCACCGTGGGTCTCTCTATCTGCAGCTCATGGGAGTTTCCCCGAAGCTTCTCAGGACGGACCCAATAGGTCGGGATTATCTCTCCAGATGGGGTATTTCCTCTGCGAGATGCTGTTCACCAATCAAAACCCCGGTCCGGTGATCAGTGGGGCACAATTTACACTACGGAGTAGTCTACCGTACTCTCTCCAACAGCCGTGCTCTTCAACCGAAGACACCCACATCCTTTGGATAGACCCAACAAAATGAACCCACGTCTTTGCCATATGACCTCCTCTGACAGTGGTACATACATTGCTACATACGTAGTTACTCTCCAAGCGAATCGATGATATGACTCGCTTAGAAAGATAAGAACTTACCCGTGCAGAACCTCAAACCATAATTCCAATGACTCCAACTGTCTCCAACGTATTTCGTATCGGAAGTAACCTCTAGGGATCCACTCGGCCCCGCCTCAACCTCGTGGGTGAGATGTCTAGAAGCTTGCAGACTACGGAGCTAGACTAGCCCTAGCTATACGAGGCAACGGAGCATTGCTGCCGAGATGGGTCACAGGTAAGGTAGGGTAGGGCAAGACATCCTTATTCGAGTACGGAGTAAACCGCAAGAGAACTCCGTATAGAGCTCCAAAGGGGGAGATCGACGTGATCCGAGAGGATCGACCGGGCGACCCTGATCCTCCATAGTAAACTAATGCTGTGAATGGACCACCTGGTCTGTGACCGACGACCTGACCAGCTCTCCGGATCCTCTCCTCTCATCCATTGGGTCGAGAACAAGTCGTTGGGTCATCATGTTGGAGAAAATAACCTTCCTTCACAAAATACCTAGGCACAAACCCAGAGAGAAAACAAGAAAATGCTCTGTCTCGGTACGAGGCGATGCTCTCCAAGATCGGAGCAAGAACTCTAACAAGAAACCCGCGCACGCAAGACTGTCTCACGACTAACGTTAGATCAGAACCTTGAACAGTCAGCGTGAAAATAACGGAAGATGAGTTAAGTCCGTGATGAACCCCCCATTTGCATCATGAGCACAGGGCAAGTCTTCCCTTCTGGGCTAATCATGATCACCGTACTAAGCAGGGCCGGTGATTCAAGCTGGCGGAAACAATGTGCTAGGCACTCCGTAAAAATAAAAATAAAACCACGAAAAAAAAGACCAACGTGCACGGTGAGTTGTGTATGGGATTGTGGATGGGATTGTGTGAAGCTAGCCTAGCTTCCTCCTATGCCGAACTGCGAAATACTCCACTCTGACAAGATGAGGATATTCTCCGGGTTTGCCTTTTAGCCATTGTGCCTGTGCCTATGCGTGTGCCCGTGCCTGTGCTTGTGCCTCTTCTCCCCGTTTAATCTAAAATAATTTGGAATTTGGCAAGGAGAACGGTTCCGATCGGAAGGGATTTTCGGAATAAACCACTTGTACTCCACAACGACGCACATGGCGCTCTCTGTAAGCCTGTAAGCTTGGTCTATGCTTGACGCCGTCGGAATTAGGCCCATAACACTATGCCTTAGTTGAGCTCTAGTGCTGATGGAAAACAATGAGATAGTTTTACAATCTATAGAGTAACCACTTTTGGTCATGGTCCATGTTCATCAGGGGAGGTCTGGTCCTGCTTGGGCTTGGGCTTGGGCTTGGGCTTGGGGGAGGCTACGGAGTAGAGATCTCCCTCCAGATTACAGAGTGGATCTTGATGGATCTTGAGAGGATCTTCGTAGATTAAACACAGGGAGTACAGAGTACAAATCGGAGCATCAACAGGCCCAGCCACCACCGCCCCCCATCCAAACTCAAAAAACCTTACTCCGGATGAGGAAACGGTAATCAAAACAAAGACGGCGCTATTCCCACCCAGTATAGTACCTATACACGGCCAATATCCTCATAATGCACGTCTCTCTTCTTTCTCTCCACTTTCTTCGAGACTATTAGTGTCCATCTCCACTCACGCCACCGACATCCTTCAAAAGAAGTCGCGTGAGAGAGATGGTCCACATCTTCTTGAATCATGTCAGGAGAAACAAGATGGCTGTGTGTGGGGATGAGAGCAAGACAAGAAATGAAGTTGGTTATAGGGTAAAAAAATATAGAAAAAAAACACAAGAGAGAAGAGAATAATGATGATAAGAAAGACACCAGAGAACATACACAGTTCACACAAAATGAATAGATTAGAATTAAAAGAAAGGCAAAGAGACAGGAAAAAGAAAAGAAAGAGGAACTCAATTAGGTAGTCAGCTCCGGAAATAGACAAATGTGCATTTGTGAAACGTCGAGGGGAAGACTCTTGCGTGGGGCGCTGAAGACTCATGCTAAACAGGGAAAAAACCCCCCGGCCATCTCTGACAGAAGTCAGGAAAAAGAAAACAATAGACCTCAAACTCGAGTGATGAGAAATTCACTCTCTTTCCCTTGCATGACGAGGCTCTCCCTCAGCTTCCCTCAGCGACGTCGTTTCAGGTGGTGTTCCTTGCCCTTCTTGGACTTTTTCTTACTTTTGTCCGGTGGTAGTACAAGGGGTTCATCACGCATGTTCCATTCCATGAAACGAAGCAGGTAATCGTCAATGTGACCAGGTAGCTGCTCCACGGGCACCGAGGTGGCGCCCGGGACTTGGGTTCCGTCTTCTGCTGCAGGCAAGGGAGTACCAGCCTGAGCAGGGGTCCCATGCGAGGCACTCTGCGCTTCTTCAAAGTCTCCATCGTCCGCATGCTCGAGCTCCTTCTGCGCATTCTTGGCTGCGTCGATATCTTCCTTATCCTCGGCCTGCTCGAGGTTTCGGGTCGCGGTTGTGACACGATTTCCCAGGACACGGTCCATGGCTGCACTAGCCTCGTCTTGGCCGTCGCGCTCGTCGGTCTCCTCAATGATCTTATTTTGTTCTCGCAACTTGGTGAAGTAGTCGGTGGTGAACTCGCCTTCTTGGATAATGACGTCGTCCAGCATCCGTTTCTGGTTGGATTTGCGGAGGATATTGGACTCGATGGTGTACTCGGACACGAAGCGGTAGATGTGCACATCGCGGGTCTGGCCGATACGATGACAACGGTCTTGACACTGTTTGTCCATGGCGGGGTTCCAGTCGAGATCGTAGAAGATGACCGTATCAGCACCCGTGAGATTGATACCTAGACCACCGGATCGACTGGATAGGATGAATGCCAAGATGCGAGGGTCACTGTTGAACCGCTCGGTCAGCATCTGTCGCGATTCGACCTTTGTAGTACCGTCGAGTCGTAAGTAGCGATGTCCATGGATGTTAAGGAACTGTTCCAAGATATCGAGCATCTTGGTCATCTGCGTAAAGATAAGAGCTCGATGACCGCCCGCTTTGAGGTCGCGCAACAGTTTGTCAAGACGCTGGAGCTTGCCACAATCGTATTGTAACAACCGCCTATCTGGGAAGGCAATGGATAGTCGCATTCGTGACTCATGGAAAGGGTCGTAAGGTTGCTCTTTGTCGGTGTTGGTCAAGAGTCGCGTTTCCACAGGGGTCAAGGCAGCTTCTGTCGTGCCAGAAGCGACTGCAGCGGGAGTAACGCAGGCGAACCTTTGGACGTAACCGTCCATATCGAGAGCCCGTTCTTCAAGTGTGAGAATCATAGACGCAAGTACAGATGACCGGCTTGACAGCCATTCAGCCATGTTACTTTTTCGCAACGGAGCATTAGAGAGCGCATGCTCCTTGTTGGTGCCAGCCCTGAGGAACTCGATCAAGCTGCTACCGTAGATAGGTCGACGACCATGGCGCTTTGATTCAAAGTAGAGAGAACGCTCGAGCTCGGCCATTCTCCTCTTACGACAAGCATTCTCCAATGACTCCAGAATTGTTTCCATGCGCGACCCATCGAAACCCATCTGCCAATTGGTACGCTGGTATTGGCGCTCACGGAGGGTCTTGAACGGCCCAAAGGCCATCAGTCGAATGCTGTCATCAGCCAAGCGGCGCGAAATATCCTCCCGAGATATGGGTGCAAGGTTCAGAAAGTCCAGGTCGACCTTCGTCAGAGGGTGATCGAAAAGCAACCTTCGTCGAACAAGGGATTCCTTCATCTTGTATTCCGTAGCCACGGATCGGGGCATCGCAAATGACGTAGAGATGGGTCTTGTCTCGAAAAGATCGGGATGGTTGCACACCTTACGCAGCTGCATAAGACAGTGGATGATGGACAGGAAGTTGCCGGAAGCCAAAGTTTCCTTTGTCTGTGCCATAGACATGAAGCCATCGTAGAGGAATCGCTGGCGCTTAGACAGTCGACAGTAGACCACATGCTCGTATTTGCCAGGCATCTGCTTCTCAACATCGGCCTTGAGACGTCGTAGGATATACGGGCGAAGAACGGTATGGAGTTTTGTCACCACTTGCTTGGCCTCGTCGTCCATGGTTTCCCTTCCGTGTTCAAGAATTTGCTCAACTGGTCGACGGAACCATTCCGAGAAGTCTTTGAGATCAGCGAAGCCTTCGACGCCAGCGCCTTTGCCATCGGAGGGCATGAGGAAGAACAGAAGAGACCACAGCTCTGTGAGGTTGTTCTGCAGCGGGGTACCGGTCAAGAGAAGTCTGGCCCGGGTTCTGAAGGTAAGGAGGGCTTGCCATCTCTGTGATCGGAAGTTCTTAATGTTATGAGCTTCGTCGAGAATCATGTAGTGCCAGCTTCTCCGCTTAAGAGGTTGCTGATCTTGTAAGACGAGCTGATATGATGTAATTAGAACATTCCAGGCATTGTCATCGGTCCAGCCTTTGCGCTTCTGCTTCCGTTCTTCCTGGTTGCCATAGTAGGTCATAATCTTGAAACCAGGGCACCATTTCTTGAATTCCATTTCCCAGTTGAGTATGACACTAGTAGGCACCACCACAAGATGAGGACCCCAAATACCATGGTCAACAGCAAGATGAGCGAGTAAAGCGATCGTTTGGATAGTTTTCCCCAGGCCCATCTCGTCGGCCAGAATTCCGTTGATGTGGCTGTTGTAGAGACCAGCAAGCCAGTCCAGTCCATAATGTTGGTATTCACGCAGTGTACCACGAAGGAGGTGTGGAATTGGTGTTTTCAAGCCGGGCGGTGGGGAGTGACTAGATTGTAATGACTTCTCCACGGCGTGTTCGTATGAAGAAACGGATTCGGGTTCGGATGGCTTTGTGGCAAACGTCCCAGGAGAGGCCTCACTAGATAGTTCTCCATTGGGCCGAGCATCATGGATGGATTCTCCGGTTAATTCGGGTCGTTCTATTACTTCGTCAACTTCCTCCTCCTCCTCCTCATCGATAGAGGGTTTGGATTCGGGCTCCGCGAGTTCGAGTGATTCTGGCGGTGGGGGATGGTCGTTCATGGGGGTATCAGCCGTCGAGACATCCTCCGTATCCATGGGGTCCACCACAGATGCTTCAACGACTTCAGCTGGAGTACCTTCGGAAGAAGTCCTTTCCTGTAGACCATTTGGAATAAGGGAAACTTCCTCGGGGTCTTCTGTTTCGTTCTCTTCGGCTTCCCCATCGGATGCTAATTTGAATTCCATATCTTCGTCTGGGTTTGTCGCAACGTCCACCTCTTCTTGTTCCCCGTTCACTTCTTCTCCGTCTTTAGCAATGGGAAGATCATTAGATGAGAAGAACCCAAACAAACCAGGCCCATCGTCACCCTCGCCGCCAGACTCCTCTTCGCTCTCCTCTTCGTCGTCGTCATCGTCATCACTGTCGCCCATGTCATCGTCCATATCGGTCGAGTTATCGCTATCATCCATCATTACTGAATCAAGGTCGTCCAGCTTGGAATCGGCTGGAGTTGCATGTGAATCTGTGTCACCAGGAACAGCTTCGCTTTCGTTCATCACCGATGGCGTGGCACCAGATAACACAGACATCTGGTCTCCGTTATCTTCGGCAGGGAGCTTGGCGTATTTCAATCGAAGTTCTTCTGCAGTAAGAGTCGCATCATCGTCAACATTGGCGTCATCATCAAGATCTGACTCCGAAGAGGACATATTGCTTTCATTATCTGCTCCAGATTCAGACGAAGAGTCTGTACCTTCCTCTTCTCCTTCACTGGTCGGGGCATCGCTGGGAACTTCTCCAAGAATCTCCGAGCGGCGCTTCTCGAAGAGCATTGTTGATTTCTTAATAGCACGGTCAAGGGCTTGCTGATCCTGTACTTTTCGCTCTTCTTCCCAGCGTGCCAGCCGAACTTGATCAATCTCGGCACGGGCCAAATCAAACATCTTTTGCAAATCCTTGCCCAATTGTTTGCGTTTGACTCGTAGCTCATCTTGTTGTTCGCGAAGAATGTCCTCGGGGTTCTTATGGCGTTTCCTGTAGGCGTCGGCGCACCACTGCGCAAACAATTTCGCCATTTGTCGGTGACGCTTGTGTTCCTTGTCCAGCAATTTTTGGAAGTATAGTGCATGGGAAACCAGATGATCCTGGTGCGAGTATTGTGGGGGAGGTTCCTCCTGTTGGTCGGTGATGTAGGCTGAGCAAACCTCCGAGCTCAACGGACCACCAGGTTCGGCCGCAGTCTGCACTTGACGTCGTCTCTGGGCTTCCTCCAAGGCCTCCTGCTCCGATAACAGACTCGGAGCATCCTCTTGTTCTACCCATTCCCGGAATGAGGTATATTTCTTGGTCGAGATGTGGCCAGGGTGTCGAACGGGTAGAATCGGCTTCTTGACTTTGATCCGAAGTCGCGGAACCTTTTGGGATCCGGATTCCATCTCCTCCGTGTCTCCATTGAGATCGTCTAAATCGTCGCCGTCGGTTGGGGGGATGGCTGAAGCGGAGGTGCGATCACGGAGTTGGTGGGGACTTGCGCCGTTTGCGCCGGGTCGAGGACGGTGCTGGGTACCGGAGCTCCGAGATCTGATGCGCGAGTGATTTGATTTAGATGCTGGCGATTGCGAATTAGACTGTTGCTTAGTAGAAGTTCCCCTTGATGGCGCCGTCCGGGGAGACCCATTTGTAGTCGCTTTGCCACCAAGCTTGCCATTGACCACGGCACGCGACTGGGTCACGGCCAGTGGTGATGACGTGGCCGGTTTTGCGCTATCGCGAGTATTCTTCTTGGCATAGTCGTTTTGCGCGGCGCGAGTATGTCGTTTGTCGGATTGGGGTTGAAACTCCATAGGGACCGCGTTTTGACGAGACGACCGTCGCTTGCCCTCTAGCTGAAACGAGGTAGGCCCCTCGACCCCGACCTTCTTCCATGGTGGCGACGGTGGCCGCGGCGTTGAGCGACGCGACGGGGTAGTATCTGTCAATCTTCGCTTCTTGGAGGGGGACCCTCTAGTTGATGGACAATTTCATCGTCTTTCGGCTCGGAAGGGATCGATTCGTAGGGGCCAGAAGCGGGAGTATTTTCTAGGACGGGGTCTTCGGGGCCAGGCGTGTCGGGAACCGGTGTTACGCGTTCATCTTGGGGTGATGGGCCATTGGAACTGCCGTTTTGCATGACTTGAAGTCGCGGACGACAGGGGCCTTCTGTACAGTTGACCCCAGTTCTCCCAACAATGACGCAGTCGGAGTAGGCGATTTTGGCATCAGAAGGTAGGTAGAGTCAAGTCGAGGTGCCACACGAAGTTTGGCATGCTTATCGGCTTCGTGGCGTGGATGGGGATGAAAAAACGACCAGGACGGGGGGGGAATACGTGAGGGAGTGGTTTTTTCTATCATCCGAGCCTTGCCTTGTCAGCGCGCCGCGTTGTTGCTGGCCTTGATGCCTCAGGCGGGAATATTGCCGGGTTTGGCCGCCCAAACCTCCAACTTCAACTTCAACTTCACTTGGTCACTCCACTCCCCTCCACCCTTTCACCCGCCTTCTCTCTCCACTCCTTAAGGCGACACAGTGAGTTGTTTCCCTTTCTTATGGTCTGGGAATTGTCGCCTTTCTTTTTCACCCAATTTCTAACCTCAATTGCTTTTACAGATGCTTCCTCAACGGATCCTGGCCCGGCGCCTCCCCCAGGTTGCTGCTCGCCACGCCATTGCCCCTCGCGCCGCTTTCTCTCAGATTCCTGCTCTTCGTTCTTCCGCTGAGATCGAAGACCCTCACCAGGTACGAATTCCGAATGGCCGCCGGCCGACTCCGCCATGACCGTCATGCACACGCCCATACCCATACCCATACCCATGTCCACATTCTAACTGAACCTCCAGAACAACAACTACCCCAACCCTCCCCGTGTGAAGCGTCAGTTCAGAGATCCTCACGGTGGCTGGTGGGATGCGCAAGAGAAGCGTAACTTCGGCGAGCCCGTCCACGAGGACAATGAGATCCTTGGTGTTTTCAGTCCCGAGCAATACAACCACGTTTCCGCCGGCAAGGGTTTCCTCCACCTCGGTGCTTTCGTTGTGGCTTTCCTATCTCTCGTTGGAGTTGTCAGCCTCTACCACCCCGACAAGCCCTCTGTCCCCAAGACCTACGAGGGTGGTCTAGAGAAGGAGCTGGGAGGCCCCAATGCTGTGCCGGTAAGCAAACGATTTTCCCAGAAGATATGCGCCGATTGGAATCGATCTAGCAGTGCTAACTTTCTTTCGTTTCATAGGCTCGCAAGGCTGGTGAGGACAAGTGGTGATTCAAATCTGTTTTATTTTGTTCGTTCTCTCTCTGTGTGTGTAAATACCAATACGACTTTCTTCCTTTATTCGGCGTCACTTGAGGGCCTTGATGGCCAATGGAGCAAGGCCTATTGGTCTCAGCTTCTTTGACATATATTGAATCAGCCCAATAAAAGAAATATGACATTTCCTTTTGTTCAACAACCACTTGTTTCAACCTCGGCTTGTGACAACTCGTGATGACTGTGGGGTAGGCGCATATCCGTGAAGCCACACCAAGCCACTTGAGGCTCCACAACGAGAGCAGCAATGTGTCTGAAGTCCCAGTCCCAGAACTGATTTCTGTTTCGTTTTGTTTCGTTTTGCCTGGTTTTCTCCGTCCAGTCAGCGCATAGACCTCTTGTAGATCAATCTCCGGAGTAGTGCGGTGGTGCGTACCAAGAGAAAAAGTACATAGAAGGGACCTTTCTGGAACGTAATATTGAGTTCTTTGGCAAACTTGCAATAATAACCACCTTTAATAAGCGACTCTGCTCGACCAAGCTTATAGAGTTAGACTGAAGCAGCGGTGGACCTCGGTGATGCCCATTCGTCATGAGTTGGGGGGGGAAGTATACTGAGTATACTAGACCACCCTTGCATTGCGCCTGCGTATCCTCCGTAGCGCCCGCAGGATAACCAGGATCCTTGGACAAAAAACCAGAAAGGCTTACGAATTTTGTCATTCAACCCAAACGAGTGGTTGTCATATACTCTCATCTCCCATATCTCGTCAGGCAGTGTTTCTAGCTCGGGCGCCTATCGTAGTTCGGCAGCCTTTGTGGTGTTTCATCAACCTCCCCCCTCTTCCTCTCCTTTCCTCCACCCCCAAAGTAAACAATCCACCTCCACCAGTTCCGTCGCAACGTCTCACCTGAGACATTCGCCCCAAATTTATTACAAACCTCTCTCCCTGTCAAGGGTCCTCCTCCCTCCGCCCTCCGTCAACAATACAAACAGCTAGCGGGTGGTCTGCGTCCTTCATCCATGGTCCCGCATTCCACTTGCTCTCCCCTCCGAATCCTCCACGATCCCGCCACCGCTTCACTCCATGTCGACAGCATCTACTCAGTCCCGAGGAGTCAACCGACGGATCAACAGTATCCAGAATGAAGGTCGCCATTCGCGCAACTCCTCGGTCTCGCGCCGCCGCCCTCTCAGCGCCAACGTCGCTAGCAGCCACGCTCTCCGTGTAGCCTACCTGGCCTATCTCCTCAGCCCTCGTTCGCGTCGCATCCAAAATGCCCCAGTCGCCCCCGCACGCCCAAAGCGGTCGTCCACCTCGATCCACGATTTGATGAGCGACTTCTCCCTAATCAGGGATTCGAAAAGCACAAGGATTCCCCATGGATTTGTTGGCGAGCTCGAAAAGCGCTTGACGGGGGTCTTGATGGGCAAGGAGAAGAGGAAGGAATATCAGGACCCTCTGGTGGTGCGCACTTTCGCTGCCTTCCTCAATGCGCTGAAAGAAGATTCATTCAAAAAGCGCATGGAGAAAGATCGTCGCGCCGAAGATCTCGTCCTCATCTTCTATTCCAACGCCATCAAGGAACTGAGCAAGGGCAAGGAACATGACGATGATAGCTGGAAGCTCATGGTGGACCGACACGTTGCCCTCTTCGTGCGCCTTCTGGCGCTCACTCTCAAGGGCCACGGCCACGACTGGGCCAAGGACCGCCCGGAGCTGGCGAATCGACTGTCTGTGCTGGAGAATAAGCTTCTACTGCAGGATCAGGATCTAATGGAAGGTAATGGCCCAGCAACAACGGAGGTCGTGGCCCAGCTGAGTTACGATGTCAAGGATATGCCGCTGGTGCAGCATGTAGCCAAGATCTTTGGTATGACATCAAGCCAAGCCCAATCGGAAATCGATAAGCATAAGTCGACGTGGAGCGAAAAGGCAGCATTGCAAGATCTCAAGACCTATCAAACACATCTCAACCTTCAGACTCACAAAACGTTATCGAGGGATGACTTTGAGACGGACGAAGCTTTTGAATCATGGAAGAAAAGCGAAGGACCCGATCTCTCTCAGATGATGCTCGCCATTGTTCAATCGAACCCCGAGCTAGCAAAGAGTACACCTGGGGCACTTCCTGGAATCAATCCAGCTTCTGAAGATGACTTATTGAGGACATCCTCTGGTCGTTCGGCTCGGATGTCTCATGCCTTCGATCAACCCGTCGACTTATCTGCACTCTCATTAGGTGGAGGGAACGATTCTGACGAATCGGATACATATACTTTTATCCCATCTGATCCCCAGAGATATATCGGCACATCCTCTCCCAGACTCTGAGCCACGACCTACGGGATCGAGAATTAGAGGCTAGCCAGGCCTCCTCCGATGCACCGTCGATGAAGTTGCTGTCAAAGCAGTCTACAGAGCTGCTTAATGAAATATGTCTCCGCTGGCGGATCCCTAATTTCTCCCGCATCGTTTTATTCATCGACGTCATCCAATCCAAGTTCGTTGACAATGAAATCGATCTCAACACCCTGGACTCAGCCTTCACTTTTGTAAAAGAGTCACCGGCTAGCGAGCCTCGATCGAAGCGCAGCAGCATGGCGGTTTCCTCTGTCTTTGACCGCCAAAAATGGACCATTCATGATCTCCAAGCGATGCAGGTGTCACTTTCCAAGCTTCATGAAGCCATGCTACGCGAACTCTACGACGTGATGATGGACTGCTTTGAGGCTAAACCACGTCCTCTTGGACCTGTGATGTACATTCTTGAGAATCATATCCAGGAGGATCCAAGTTATACAGAAGACCCGGAGGATCTCGATCGATTCTCCTCGTATGTGCAAGAAGGGCTCGCTCAGAAGGCGACGGAGAAGTACCAAAGTTTCCTTGGCCAGTTAGTGCCAGTCGACGGAGACACTTGGGGGTTCGACAATGTCATTGAACTTGGAGACGCACTCACAAAGCTCGCAACCAAGATCCAGAAGCGGTACAGGAATAATCCTGAGATCATGGGGTAAGTGATGAAAACACTTCGTCTATTGTTTATAACAGTCCAATCTAACTAGAACAGTGTCAACCCATACACAACGCTCTGCACCAATGTCCTACATCTCTTTGCTGAAGATGCGCATGAAATGATCATCCGAATTATTGAACGCTCCAAATCCAGAGGGGAAGAAATCGACATTGATGAAGGCATGGATTTGTACAAGCAGCTCGCGACGGTTCGCCGTTTATTTCATAATACTATCGAGGGGTATGTACCGGCGAACCTTAAGTCTTACATGCACCCTTTTCTAACGGCAACTGTGCAGAACTGAATTTCCTTTCCACGTTGAAACTTTGTTGGAAGAATTTGTTTGGAGGTGGCTTCGTTTAACGGATCAGAGCGTCATGGAATGGGTCAACCAGGCCATCAAAAAGGATGCCTTTGGTATTGGCGGGGAAGACCCGGCTAATTTGCCATCCGACGATAATCGACACAGTGTCTCGGTAATCGATATATTCCGGTCATTCAACGAAATCGTGGAGAACTTGGTGCATATGGAGTGGGATGACGACCTTCAGTATGCGAAATTCATGACTGCCCTCTCCAACTCAATTGGCAAGGGCGTGGCAAAGTACTGCGAATCTTTGGAGCAAATGTTTGCCCGGGAGCTGGATCGTCTCACGCCGGAACAGGAGGCGGCGTTGAATCAGACCACTCAGGAGAAGCTCATGCAGTTCGCCAAGGACACATGGACTAACAAAGACAAGATCGAGCCGTTCCAATTCTCCTCCGAGGTATGGATACTATGCACCTCTATATTCCCATATTTGTGTCTTATTGCTAATCGATGGTTATAGTCACTGGTCAAGTTGAACAACATCGAGTATGCGCTCACCCAACTGGATAGGCTTGAGCGTGAAATCAATGTCGATGGATGTGCGGACGTCATCGCAAAGAACACCCCTCCGCAGCTGAAGAAGGTGCGCAAATCTACGACCTACGTTTTCACCATCAAGGTAGTAGAAGCCGAGGACCTGAAAGCATGCGACATGAACGGTGGAAGTGACCCATACGTGGTCTTGGCGGATGAATATCAAAAACGAATTGCAAAGACTCGCATCATCTATAACAACCTCAACCCCCGTTGGGAAGACGCAGTGGACATTACAACGCAAGGTCCTCTAAATATCATTGCCACAATCTGGGATTGGGACGCGGTCGGTGACCATGACTATGTTGGTCGAACATCAATCAAGCTTGACCCGGTCCACTTCAGCGACTTCTTGCCAAGGGAATACTGGCTTGATCTTGACACTCAAGGGCGTTTGTTGCTGCGTGTCAGCATGGAGGGTGAGCGCGACGACATACAGTTCTACTTCGGCAAAGCTTTCCGCACATTGAAGCGTACGGAAAGGGATATGACGCGCCGGATCACTGAAAAGGTATGCGACGACTTTCCACAGGAAGCGTATTGTATCGATTAACCTCTTTTTTTTTTCTTCTCCCAGCTTTCTGCCTACATCAGTCACTGTCTGTCACGTCGTACATTGAAGTCTCTGTTATCTCGAGGCATCACCATGTCAACCGTCTCCAATTTCTTGAACCGAAACCGAGCACAGCAAGCCCCAGCCGGCCCAACACCAGCAGATGTTGAAAATGCACTTGATCCTCTATTCAATTACTTCAACGACAATTTCGCCATCATGAACAAGACGCTCACTGGCGAAGCCATGAAAATGGTAATGGCCCGCCTCTGGAAAGAAGTCCTAGCCACGATCGAAAGTCTACTCGTCCCACCATTATCCGACAAACCATCCCACCAAAAGCCGCTAACGATGCAAGAAGTCGACATCGTCTCACGCTGGCTCTTATTATTATTAAACTTCTTCCACGCCATCGACGACGAGTCCGGCGAAGCAGGCGGCGTCCCGATCGACATTCTCAAATCCCCCAAATACCACGAGATCCAAAGTCTCAATTTCTTCTACTTCGAGCCAACAGAGAATCTAGTCCGCACATCGGAGCGAATGGCCTCTGCAACAGCAAGTCGCCAACAAGCGAATCGCAACCGCGCCTCCGCACCCGCTCATCTCGGCGCTACGGGGCCCGGGCATGGCGGATTGGGAATCCCCGCTGCCCGCCGCGCAAAGAGTATCATGTTGTCGCGTAATCTAGGCACCATGAAAAAGGTCAAGGAGGAGAAGCGACGCGAGGCACAGGCTGATCCGAATGATGATATGATTCTGCGGATTCTTCGCATGAGGCCTGAGGCTGCGGGGTATTTGCGGGATCGTAGTCGGCAGAGGGAGAGATTGGCTGCCTTGGCTGCGGCGGATGCTATTGTTAAGCAGAGCTTGATGGCTGGGGTGGGGGGTCGGATGAGTGGAACAATTCCGAGACGCTGAAGCTGACCTTGGCCTTGCCTTGATTTTTATTTTTTTATTTCTTGTGCTCTTTATGTGGTTCTTTTTTCTTCCCTGTTAGCGAGAGGGGTTCTTAGGATACCGCGCCTTTACTCGTAATTGTCTTTATAGGAATCAGTATGATGATCATATCACGATTGTTTTGTTTTTTTATAGATATGAGTAGCCCAGCATAGATGGATCAAGTTGATCTAGTACAAGCAAAAGTAAAAACAAAAACATTTCAACCCCTCACTGCCTCACTGCCAACTAGTAACTAAATCATACGAGTACATGACTCCTCAAACCCCGCACTGGCAGAGCTAACAATTCTCCACCAGAGTGGATGCTACCTTAGCCCCAAGTGTATAAAAGCCCAGTACCCCAATAGTCCAACCTTGAAACCAGTACATCCAAGCCTCAAATTGATTCGATCCATCGTGACTCGTAGATCACTGAACCCAATACAAAACTTTGGTCTATCTTGTTTGCCCTGAGTTAAGACGAACCCCACTCATCGCACGCAATTGCTCACCATTACTCCGACATCAACCTTCAACCTCGAACAACCCAACTCAGCCAGACTTCACTTCACTTCACTTCCAACATCCCCCACCTACAACCTACCATCTACAACAACCTACACACAATCAAAACAAACCCCCAAATAAAACCCCAAATCCAACAATCCAAAATGCACCTCCAAACCGAACCAAGAACACCCTCAAATCCAACCCCCACAAACACAACCACCCAAACACCAACCTCCACCTCAGGCCAAACAAAACAAAAACACCTCTACTTCGCCTACGGCTCAAACCTCTCCCAACCCAAATGTCAACCCGCTGCCGATCAAACCCAACATCCTCAACCCCGCTCGCAATAGCCTTCCTCCCTCACTGGCGCTGGCTAATCTGTCAAGCGGGCTACGCAAATGTCCTCCCACCACCCGGGTTACGTACGGGAAAACAGAAGAGCCAAGCCGCGGACGAAGTCCCAGTCTCCTCGCCCGGGTGGAATGGGACGGATGGCGTTTATGGCATTCTTTATGAATTGGATCCCGTAGATGAGGGGGGTTTTGGATGGGTTTGAGGGTATTGATTTTGATGCGCCGCCTGCAGGGAAGGAGGGATTGGAAGGCGGGGAAGGGGAGGGGGGGAGGGGAGGAAGGGTTGGATGTTTCGCCGGGGATTCGGCCAAGGGAACAGGGTCTTGGTGCTTATAATAAGTGGTTTTTGGGGGCGAGGGTTGTGAAGTGGTTAGCTGAGAGTGAGGGGCATGCACTTCGACTTCGTGCCCGGCACCAAGTTCAAAATGATGCTGATGCTGGTGTTGAGGCTGGTGATAATGCGGGGGAGGAGGTGGATGTTCTGGTTTATGTTGATGAGAATAGGATTGTGGTTGGGCCGCCGAAGTTGGAGTATATTGGGCGTATGAATCGGGCTATTAAGGAGTGTGCGGAGTTGGGTGTTGATGAGGGGTGGATTGGGGGGGTTATGAGGAGGTTCATTCCTGAGGAATGAGGTTAATAGTAACTAATGGGAAAGGTTGAGTCGGGCCGAGTTGAGGGTGGACTGAGTAACTGACTAGTAACTACAACTAGTACATGATTTGCTTGGATGGATGTGGTGTTATATGGTGCATACGCAGATGGGCATAGATGACTCCTTTTTATGTGTGATATTCAATACACATTACAAGCTTTCCCCAGACTGGGGATACTGGCTCTATTTACTATAGATCACTGCGGTACTCGTACTCATACTCGTGGCTCATTCCTTCAAGTTGATACAATACTCTATTGTATATACTAAGGTTATAGGGCAATGTGGTGTATATGGCAATGATTGCTATTGCAGCGAAACAAGAAGCTAAATGTATCTGTCTATAAAGTATGGGATTGATTAGATTTGATTGTTGTTAAATTGTTGATGTGATGTTGACGGATGTTGATAAATATGGAAGTAGAATTCGGGTATGCGAGCCCGGCTCTACACACCACCGACGCGGATCCGCAAAGCGCAGCGAGCCCTAGCGAAGCCAAGCCAAGTCAATCAAGCCAACCGGAACAAACGAAGACTTCAAAGATAAAAATAGAAACCACACCAATGCGGTGACATGTCGGATGAACGTGGGATGGGCCGTTCGGGAGTGGGCGGGCTAAGCTAGGCCAGACCAGGCCAGGCCATAACGGAAACTGAACTGAGGCTGAGCTGGCGCGAAACACACCGCCGGGTTTCGGCTGGGACGGGACATTATGGCGATCTCGGTAGATCGCGGAAAGCGAAGTGAATTTGGTAAAAACTTTTGTTTAACTGCGTCAGGCAGGAAGGGACGGTCGCCTCTGAAATCGAGTCGAGTGGAGTCGATGCCGATGCCGATGCCAATGTCGATAGCAGTGCACTGGCTTAGGCCTGGCCGGTCAGAAGGGTGTAGACGGGGGCAGGGAGCTTGTCACGGCCGTGAAGGAATTCAAGCTCGAGGAGGAAAATGAAGCCGAGGATTTCGCCGCCCATCTTCTTGATCAATTCGCCACCAGCTTGAGCAGAGCCGCCTATGAGAGTCGTTAGTATAAGACACTTTTTCTTTTCTTTTTTTGAAGGGGGCTGCAATTGCGCTAGTAGCAATACGCCCGCATAATGCATGTGATTGCACATATACATACCGGTAGCAATGATATCGTCGACGACAATGACCTTCTGACCAGGCTTGATAGCGCCAGCCTGCATCTGGAAGAAGTCGGTACCGTACTCCTTCTCGTAGCCCTGAGTTTCACAGGGACCGGGGAGCTTGCCCTGCTTGCGAACGGGGACAAAGGCAGCACCGAGGCGCAGGGCCAGACTAGGGCCCATCAAGAAACCGCGGGCCTCCAGACCGACGATGACATCGGGCTTGACGCCGCCGGCGTTCTCGAGGATGTGCAGCTCCAGGGAACGGATGAGAGCCTCGTGCAGGGTCGGGTCGGCAAAGATAGGCAGGATATCCTCGAAGAGAATGCCGGGAGAAGGGAAGTCCGGGAACTGACGCAGGGCGCCGCGCAGGCTTACTTTAAGACTGGCGAGTTCGGCGGCGCGGGAGGCATGGGCGGCGGGGTGTCCGGTGACTTGGGCGGAGGCATCGGGGGCGGAGGCTGAGGATTGGGACATGATGAAGAGAAGAGAAGAGGGAGAGGAGAAGAAGGAGAGGGGAAAAGGAGGGGTAAAAAAGGGTAAAAAAGGATGTCGAGATAATGGAGGAGGGGACGAAAAAAATCAGCGGTAAAATTACGGTGATAAGGTGGTCTGCCCCTCCAAGTCTAGATTTAGTGTTCTCCTGGTACACTAGGTGTGCTAGTTAGTATACCACATGGTTTGTATTAATTAATTATAAATAATAATATAATATAGAGTACTATATCATATTCTATTATACTATACTATACTATACTATTATATCTTATTCTACATTTCATACATGATACTCATACATTCTCCTCTAGTACATATGTACTACCCCTAGTACCTCTATCAGTACCGCCACGAACAGCGGTCTACGTATATCTACTGTATCCCCCCGTCACGCCATGCATTCGACCCGGTTTCTAGAATCCCGCCTACCCTAGGCTACCGTAGTGGGTGGCCAGCGCAACAAGATCGGCCAGGACTAATGCTCCTCTTCCTGCAGCGGGCCAGGGCAGTTCCGCTCCCCAGCCAATCACAATCCACAACCCGCTCACCTTTCATGCCTATCACACCATACGGGGCTGCCGGTAGGTTTGGCCTGTTTAGCCTTCTTTCATACCGAGTACTCATACTCGTACATACTTACATATTTACTTTGTACTCGTACGCATAGGTGACTCTGACTCACACGGTCCCTGTCCATCTCAGAGCCCAGTGTCGATCTAGAACCTCTAGAACCGGCGGCCTGACCGAGGAACCCCCCCCCATCATGGCGGGGATGGCGTTCTAAGACCATCAGGCCACAGACCCCATGGCGAAGATGGTGTTGACACCAGTCCAATCAGGCTTGAGGGGATCGGGGGGGTGGTTCTGAAACTCGTCTGCGTGCATTAGTTCTGCAGTGAGGCGATCGGACGTTGCGTCCAAGATGAATCGGTTCTGCAGTGGTGCATTGGTCCGACAGGGGATTGAGAGTACAGAGTGGCAATGGAAGGGTGGGAAATCCTGGGCCTTGTGGAGGGAACTACTAGATACGCCACCAATGTATAAGAAAAAAGGAGCAAAAGTATAGAAACAGCCATTTTAGCTAATTCGTTTGGTTGATTTTAGAAGAGAAGCAAAAAGATATCTCAGGTAAGGATTTTAGGAATAGCCGAACGGGGGGGGTCGAACCCCCAACCTTGAGATTAAGAGTCTCACGCTCTACCGATTGAGCTAGCCCGGCAGGGCTGTTGTTTGGCAGAGCAGACTATGGCTATATGAAGCAGAATGATTGGGAGATCCAAGGCTCCCATGAAACGTCCAAGAGGAACCAACAGGTGGACAAATTTGAGCCTTACAACATACATTTAGGCTGGTATGTGTATTATATTTGCTAAGATTTTCAATTTATACTATATTATTCACAGGCTAGTACTAGTGGAATTTCCTCTTAGTACTACTTCTGGAGAATCATGCAATCCATTGCGTGTTTTGCTTTGCTGGTGTACCTGTTCATTGATACTCGTAATATATATACAGCATGGATGCCAAGCTAGCCATCCACTCGGAGTCCGCAACCAAGAGCCTGAACATTGCTGTATTCCAAGGATAATACTAAATACTATTTTAAAATATGGACTTAGATGAGTTCCAATTTAAGCACCACTAATATCAATGGCCCCAATACTGAGTACTATTACTCTTAATTCATGATCCTCAATGATCCTCACGATGCCCACCCCTTAGTACATCCACGTGACCGCACGGACCACCTCGCTTAACGTTTTTCCGGAGCTGCGCCCTCGGTATAAATCTGCCGCCTGCAGCTTCTTCCTCTTTCATCTCCTATGGGTGTTTGCACCGAGCTTGGCTCTCCTCTGCTCCTAAGCTCAATGATGCTTCTTTCTTTGTAATACTATTATTGGATCTCGCAACACCATGCCTGCTCCGATCGAGGACCATCCGTCCGAACCGCATCAGGACCAGCTGCAGGCCGTGGGCAAAGCCTTCGATGCCCTCCTACTAACCCTCTACCGACTTACCAATAGACACAACGACCTCAAACAGCACTCCGAGGATGTCTTCAAACAGGTAAATACTCCTTTGTTCTTTGCTCTTTGTTCTCGTTACCCCTATCCCCCTTTCACCACCCTCCCCCAGTCTCACATGATGAGAAAATTAGCTCTAGATCAGGAGCCACTTATGTGGCGATGACGGATTAACATGTATTATCTGATTGAGACTTGCTTTCATTTGCCTATTCTTTGAAATGTTTCTCTCATTCCATGACCCTGGCTAACTTGAAACGCAGTATACAGCCGTGACGCGACAGCTGGCCCCTGAGGATAGGCCGCATGCGATGGAAGTGCAGCAAAGGTTACTGGATCAACAGAAAGAATTGTGTCTAGGCCTTGTGCAGCACAAGTCCCCAGTCGAAGAACAGTCGCTCAATTCAATGGATGTAATCAAGACGCTCGTTTCACACCAAAATGTAGACGAAACTGCCTTCCGGGCCATCGTGGACGGGGTGAAGGGATATAAAGCTTTGCTCCGCTCCCAGGATGGCCAAGGCTCCTCTCCCAACTCCACCACCAACTCGTGCATCCTCTCCCGAGGCCCCGAAGACCCTTCGGTGTCGCTGGAAAAAGACTTCACCACCAACGGGACTCAGGGTAACCTGCACTGTCCTTTCTCCAAACCTCCACGATCACCCCACCCGGGCTCCATGCAGAACGGAGGAGCTGCGAATAGTGAGGGGCCTAAGATCCGCATCGATACCTGTGGTAATCCGGACTCGGACCCCATCAAGGCCGACATAGAGGAACGACGATCCAGTACAACCCCCTCGGCTCATACCTCGGGAAGTCGATGCCCCGTGTCTCGTTGTCCGATCCGGTACCTGGATAAGCATTCGCCAGAGGAGATCGCTGAATACGTGGAACGTCACAAACATGAAATTCCTCGCAGCCATGCCATCTGCGTCAAGCGATATCAGCGAGACCCCCAGAATATGCGTCAACTGGACGCCAAGTATGGCGGATTAATCAACATGATCAGTGGTCTCTCCGCGAAACACCAAGCCTTCCTCCCGCAACAGGCCAACGGCAATGGCGACGATGACCAGGCCTCCCACTCCGCATCTACCGAACGAGTCGAGAAATGGGCCGAGAACGTGGACCCCGTTGCCCCCGACACACCGAACACGAACGAGAATGGCCATGGCCAGGAGAACGGACACGGACACGGACACAAGGAGGAGGATGAGGGGAGAACAAGGATGATGACAACAGCCGTGAGAGTCACTTTGACCGGCCCCTTCGAGAGGTCCGAGTGGGTGAATCCCCAAGCAGGCCTTGGGGAATTCATGTCCCACTCGCCGAGCAATTACCTGCCCCAGTACCCTTCTCCGGATCGGCATCTGGTCCTATGTCACCACCAGCGCCCGTGGGTCCTCTTGATACCTCACCTGGCGATGCTCCGCCAAAGCCTGCTGGTCGCTGTCCCTTCGGTCATGATGCTCCCAAACCAAAGCCCGAAGAGCATGTCGTTAAGCCCGAGTCACTCGGATCACCATGGGCCAATTGGGGCAAGTCACTTGAAGAGAAGCCTGTGGATGAGGGCCCTGCTGGCATGAAGCAGCAGAAGCAGCACCCGGAGGAACCCACCTCGTCGCAGTCAGAGGCCAAGCCTCCACCACCAGCACATATCACCTTCAACGGCCCTGTTTTCTTCGGATACTCCGCTGAGCAAACGGCCAGCCTGATGCAGCAGCTGGGCAATCTGGCCAACTTCACCAACCCCTCCTCCTAACCTACTGGTCTCTGTGTGTCTGTACATTTCTTTCCTTCTTTGCTTTACTTTACTTACCTTAGCGATCCGATCACGATACCACGACCTACCTACTGTACAAGTATTCTAGCGAGCGCATCAATAATACCACACATCAACGCATTACCCATTACACATTACACATTAACACATTAATCACTACTACACCTGCAAACAAACCAGTAACAAACCAAAAACCCAGTGTAAACGTAAAAACTTACTCAAACAAGCCATCCTTTCCCGCATTCCTCCATTCCCCGAGGGAAACCGAATGGAAAGGCAAGCAACCCCCACCAACCGCGCGCCCCGCCCTTCTTATTCTCCGCCTTCCACCAACATGCATCGTTCTCGTCTCTTCTCTCGTCTCCCTCTCAAATCATCTCTTCATCTTCATCCATCTCTCTCCCGTCCTCAATTCATCCCCTTCTCAAGAATTGCCAATATGTCTGCCAACTTCACCATCGTTACTGCCCAGGATGCCTGCCCTCGTGAGTCACGTCACCTAACCAGCTGGAGCTGTGCCAGCCAGCCAGCACCAAGCTAGAAACAAACCCTGCCCTTAGAATCCAATGCTGACAATCAATTCTCACAGCTGCTGGCCCTTACGTACGTCTCCCTTGGAAATTGAATTGAATACCTGCCTCTCCCCTCCCCCCCCTCCTTCAACCAAACCAAGCTCCAAGCAAACGGGGAGCTTCCCCGCCAAGCGCAGGGCAGCAACGCAAGCAACGCAAAACCACCAACACTACAGAACCCCCCAAAAGCAAAACTAACAAAACTCCCCCCCAATCCAGTCCCAAGCCATCCGCGCCAACGGCACAATCTACGTCTCCGGCCAAATCCCCGCCGACGCCTCCGGAAACCTCGTCGAAGGCAACATCGGCACTCTGACCCAAGCCTGCTGCAACAACATCCAGGCCATCGTCACCGCTGCCGGATCCAGCGTTGGCAAGATCGTTAAGGTTAATGTAAGCTTGACCAAACCATATCATTCACAACTATGCTATGCTATGCTATGCCATGCTATGCTATGCTATGCCATGCTATGCTATGCTATGGATTTGTGGTGCAATTGCTAATCCTAGTCCCTTTGCGCAGGTCTTCCTTACCGATATGGCCAACTTCGCTGAAATGAACGCTACCTATGAGAAGTTCTTCACTCACAAGCCTGCTCGTAGCTGTGTTGCTGTTAAGCAGTTGCCTAAGGGTGTTCCTGTTGAGATTGAGTGTATTGCTCTGGAGTAAATAGGACCGGGATTGGGGCTGGATTGGGTCGTGCCGGAGCAAGGCTAGGCTAGATCTGATCTGATCTGATCTAATATCTTATTTTATAGAAAAAAGATTCAATGATTCAATGAATTTCTTCGATGTGATTTCATGTTTTTTATTGTAGAAGTAGAAGTAAGTTTCTATTTAAGCGTTGGTTTCAAGTTGCTCTGGCGTAAGGCTTAAAGATCTCCCTTGATTTTAGATAGTACTTGTAGATTGTTTACGTATATATTATATACTGGTTTTTGACAGACATTCTGAATACGGGGAAGATGAATGAATTGAGAATGAGAAGTATGTACATATACACCACAGGAATAACCAACCATAACCATATACAACGAATTTTCATCGTAGAGAAACAAGTTCGAAAAGAAAGGAAACAGTCCAAGACCACTAGCATTTATAATCGATCTCCGGGTATACATGTATTTGTAGGAACATAAGCCAAAACCCAGAAAAAAACCCCCAATTAAATTATGTGCAAATTCGCAATAGGAACACCCTGAGAGCGCATAGTATACCGCCTCTTAATCCCAATCCCAGTCGAAGACTGCAAAAGCGCATACGTCTCATCACCCCCACCAACCATAATCAAACTAACGAGATGATTACGCGGAATCCCACTAGCCGAAACCTGACCCTCATCAAGATGGGGTCTAATAAGCGACGACTCAGCGCGTAGCGCAGCCAACGGCGCAGATCCCTTCTCAATATTCTCTTGCGGAGAACTGGGAGGAGATTGTTGGGACTCTTCATCATCCCAGGATACGACGATGACTAGTTTCAGTGCTGAGCGTGAGGGCCGGAATGCTGCGATATTGCGCAACTTTTGCGAGAATGTACAGCTGCCGCGTTTTATGACGAGGACTTCGTGTGTTTGTACGATGTCTCGCAGGATGCGGTCGTCGCAGATTTCGTTGGCGAAGTAGATCGTTGACCAGGTTAGGCGGTCTTTGGAGGGTTTGCTGAATAGTGACATTGTTATTGCGTCTTCGACGTCGGGGAGTGGTGCTGCGCCGATACCGGTTGGTAGGGTGGCGGGGAGACTGAGGCGGAGGGGTTTGGTGGTGTCGTCGTCTTCCTCGGGCTCGGAGTCATCGCGGAGTAGGGCGGAGACTGAGTTGACGAAGTTTGATAGCATGCTTCTCATTGTTGATTCGGGGGAGTCGACTGGGCTTTCGTCGTCAACGACGACGGCGGGAGCGGGCTTGCGACGGCCGAGGTTAAGGTCCGAAGTTTCTTCACTTTCTGAAGACTCTGCTGCATGTGGTTCATCTCCTGGAGTAGCTGAAGCATTGCGCTGGCGAGAGGTTTCTGGCAGAACGTCAATGACGAGGTCTAGCATGGCTGTGTCGCGAACCCGGGTGAAGTTCGGATCATACGGATCGACGACATCAAAGGTGACCTGGCGAGAGATGTATACCTTCTCATCCTTTCCAAGCGGTACATTGTTGATCACTTGCACCCGGTATCCATCTTCGTTCTCGTGGCCAAGAGAGACGTCCTGTACCATGCTCAAGCGGAGCCCTCCGATTGTTTTGACTAGAATACCGTCTCGCACTCGCTCTAGAGCCCCGGGGCCGAGATTGACGCCGCCTGGAAGAGATGGGAATGATATGTCCAATGTGGGACGCATGGCCATCGGTGCACTAACTGCGTCGAACGGGACGAGTTGCGGCGGAAGTGTCCAAGGATAGAAGGTATAGTTTGTAGGAGACGACAAATCGGAAACAAACACGCTCTGGTGCTCGGGCGATTTCCCGAGAATGGGGCCCTCGGGTGCTCCACGACGAGGTCGAAGATGTAGACGCGCCAGGCTGGCAGCATGGAATATATCAGGTCGAGAAGCAGTAAAAGACACGCCGAAAATAGGCGCGGTGATAGCTTGACAAGTATCTTGAGGGGGGTTTTCAGAAGACCACGATTGCGCCTGGCGGGAGGGCTGCTTGGGAGCAGTTCTTTTCTTCGGGATGATCAGAGGATGGCCTTCGGTGTTGAAAACCCACGGCGCATCGATTTTGTTCAATGGGTGATCCGGAGTGAAAAGGAGAAACATATACTTGGCCGTTTCACCCAAGAAGAAGCTCTCCATGCGATCGATCATCTCGCCAGTTTGGACATTCCGGAGACCTGCCCATCCACATTGGGTCCAACAGCGTCTCTTGAGGTCACGAAGAACCATTTCTCCAACATGCAGGTACCATGGGTCTTGTGTAGATCGGTAGATGTAGTAGGTTGATTCGATAAATTCAGGTCGACCTCCATACCAGGCAAGACCTCCGTCAATATCACCCGTGGCCACGTTCCACCGCTCGGGAAGGGCCGAGAAGCGTGTCCAGATGGCTGTGGTGAGGAGATGGATTTGAATTGCTTCGTCTACTTTGCCATCCAGGGCAAGCAAGCCCGGGTAGTAAGCACTCAAGCTATCGATCCAAAAGGCCCGCGTCGCGCCGGTGGAGACATCTCCAACAACGAGATGAGGATGTTGATATCCCTCCCCACGGTACAGATGTCGATTGATCGAGGTATGGGAATCTTCCCAGACCTGGAGAAAGGCATCTGCAGAGTGTTGGTAGTCTGTCAAGGGGAGATAATGGTCATCCATCAGACTCCAAGGGCTGGAAGTGTCAAAAGGCGGGCGCTCCCCTCGGAAAGGAGAACGTGTGATTTGACCGCATATTCAAAGAAGCTGTCAATTCCAGCACCAATCTGTCATATCAGTCAGCTATGATCCGTGAACTTCAAAAAGCCTTTGCTACTAGTATGTTAACTTACTCCTGAATAGGGTCCCACCCATTTCCCAGATTCTGCATCTATCCCAAATCCAACGAGTCCAATCTCACTTCGACGGGCCCAAACTGCCCAGAATGCTCTTTTAGCCAATTCCTCATACCGGCCATCACCAGTTAATCTGCTGAGAACAGTGAATTCCAGGGTAAGACTGCCAGCGCCGGCACTGCATGTCTCCGTGATTTCTGCAGAGTTCATATACGCATATTTCCGCTTTTTGTCCTTTTCCTTTTTCTTGCTGGAGTTGGCATTCAGAGGAGAGTTCTCGTAGAATGGAATACCGTGTCGCAGATTCACTCGAGGGTAAGGAAGGCCGGTTTCCGTATAAAAAGCAGGGAGCAGACGATGCACTAGATCAACTGCCAATCGGAGTAATTGCCCGTCGTATACGAATCCATCCTCCCACATAATGCCATGGTCTTGCTTGGAGAATCCGCTTTTGTCCCAGGCGCTGGCATATTCGGCATCCCGTTCTGGCGGGTTATATCCTGTAATGGGTAGTTCACCGATAGCAAATAAGTGTGAACTTAGGAGTCCGCCTGGAGAAGTGTTAGCTAAGCTTCCAAACAACGGTGGCAATGGGATCATACCGAGTCCTCGAATCACAGTCTCAAATACCTGCACCTTGCTATCGATATCGAAACCCCTGGTTCTCTCACCCTGACCAGCAGGGCCCTGCGATCCATCACCATAGAGCCTCACAAACTCCTTCACACCGCCCTGGAAATTCGACAGAGCGCGATCGCCACTCTCCGGACTTGACGACAAGATCGCCAATGTCGATAAGCTGTCGATCAACGTCAAGGAGTAATTTCCGAGGACATCGTTATGTTCATTGTTCTTTTCGTCACGGGTCAAGGGGCCACAGGTCAACGGGCGCAATTCGTCTTCGGGAAAGGCGTGATCAAGGTAGTTCTCGAAACCATGGTAGAACATGTGTTCTGTTTCTTGTCTGCGCGATTCACGGAGAGGGTTAGCAAGGGCACAGTATTACCGGAGAAAGCAACAGCAATCCAACTCACCTGAGCTCTTTAATTTGGTAGTCTCGCATAGCCTGCGCCGACGTAAGCCATAGCGACAGCAGGACGGCCCAGACCACCATCATCCACGCGCGACGGGGGTTGAACATCTGTAAGCTCCAACATCGCGAGCGCATCACCGAAAAGGGTGGCCACCGAGGGGCATGGACGGGCCAGTGAGGTCTGTTAGTTTACAGAACTCGATCGTCGATTGTGGTGGGCGTTGTAAAGCGTGGCGGACGGGGATGGCGGAGGGAAAAGTGTCCCAGTGGATTTCAATGGCGGGTCGATTCGGTCGATGCGGTCGATGCGGCCAGATAAGCCTTGGCCGCCCGCGATGATCTTCGAGTACAGGAGAGCATCCGGGTTATTTCTAGTAGAGTTTAAATGCACCTGTAGCCTAGTGGGGTCCTCTTATTTCTATCTTTATTCTGGAAATTCTTCACCTACGGCAGAACTGCATTTTTTTTTAGCTTTCTGCAGTAGCGACTCCACCATGTAACTAGCAGTACGTAGTTCTTATACACCGGGCGAGTTGTGTATTTCCGAGTCTATAGAGATTTATTTAATTGTTCAAATAAATACTTGACTCGAACACTATCCTGTGCCAATAGAATAATGCAGTAATATAAGTGATTTGTAACGGTATATCAGAGCGCGCAACGTGGTATCTAAGATTAATATAGCGTATTGTAGATACTAAATTTACCGGTTTAGATAGTAAACGACGGTACTATATTAAGAGTACATGTTTATATGTATGAATAGGATTCAGGTGAGGGCTGAGTCAGATGTTAGTAAACAGAGTGTCCTTATTCTGCGGAATTCCGCCAGTGCTCATAGATTTCTTGTAGGTTTACGGATATTGTCAGAATCCCAGGAGAAATCCCGGGCCATATCTTCCTGATGTATAGATATCATTTTCCGAGACAGTTATTATACTAATTAATAATAGAATTATCCTGTCAGCGAAGTACACCGAGAAATAATTAATAGAATATTTAATAATCACCTGTATTCAAGCTTAAATATGATAACAAATATAGTAAATATAGCCTATTTAGCCGTAAGCACTTCCAAAGTAAATAGGAGACAGGAGCGACCCAATACCCTATCGTCAAAAGCGGCACCTGCCAACATTCACTGGGGCACGAAATATCTAAACATTTTCAAGTCGGGCAGCTAGCTCACCTCCGTCTCTTCTTTTCTCATACCACAATATCTTTCTTTACCCACGCTTACTTCCCACCAGCAGATGATATCCCTTTACTGATACCACAATATCTTCCCCGAGTCATATTGCCAATATGTCAACAACCCGTACTGTCAACAACCCGTACTGTCAACATATTTTCCTACCCCCCCCTGGAGATCATGGAGATGATCTTCTCCAGTCTTGCCGGCCCGGAAGATGGTATCGGCTTCGCCCTAGCCTCAAAGTACACTTACGATTGTTTCCTGTCGTTCTTGGAGCAGCGAAAGATCGGCAAAAAGCTCTCAAAGCTTCTGCCAATTGAAAAGGCTCTCCACGGCCAACCGTTTGATGCTCTGGACGAACGTGGCCACCTTCCACGAATCCGACTACTTCCATGTCTTCAAACCGATCGTTTGAGAGCATGTAAGCTGTGTTTAAATTTGCACCCTATTGAGTGGTTATCTACTCAGTCAGTGCCCCTATTTTCCGTCTCCAATCCCTGCTCTGTGTTGATAACTAACAAGACCCTAGGACCTTGGAAACTGGGACTCTTGAACTGCAACCCAGTGATCAGTCCCAGAATCGGAGTAACCTGCCTCATTCTCGTCACCCGATGGTCCAAATCTGACCTTGTATCCGCATTACCTTCGACGAAGCGCTACATCTTCACCGTGGCCTATCCAAAAATGCCGGATCGTGGAATTCCTCGGTGAGACCTTGGCCTCCGAATTATCCTGCGGTACCTTTCTACACCCATGGCCCTGTTTTCTTTGAGTCCGAGCACCACTGCAGCTATGATAGCTCTCCTGACCCGGACATGCCAATCCAGACAAAGTTCAAACTTGTCGATACCCTTCTGATTCATGTTCGATTTGATACTGATTTTGACTAGATGCCCCGCGGAATCCACGACGATTCGTATCAACTCCAGTTGATCTTAGATTGGGCTCGCGGCAGAACAAAGGAGATGAAAAGGAGATAGAGATATGGAGGAACTTGATGTCCAAGTACTTGGCTGTGGGGTTCCTACTGGGACGAGTGTGAAAATCCCAAGGGAAAGATGATGCTTTTGAGAAGGCAAAGCATCGTGGGGATGAAGGTTGACGGTTGGCCACGCGCTTTGTTGCTGCCCGTTTTGACCTAATTCTAAGAAGACCATTTTTAAGACATCTTCGGTTTAATATACTTCTTTAATTTTACGCTTGTGCTATCTATTCAGAAAGCAATTCTTCCTCGCTGGAGCTATTACATCTTAATATACAAAGGCGGAACATGATGGCTGGATCCATTCTCGACACTAGCTTGTCGGATCTCATTGCCTCGATTATTAGGGACTTCAGTTCCTGCTTTATGGCTTCCGAGGAGACCCGCTGAGGGCCATCAATATAATAAGCCTGACAATCGCATCCATCGACAAAGTCGTAGAGAGCATTGATTTTCTCCTCGTTAGACACGGAGACAACTTGCACGGACGCGTCGCCTAGCAGTCCAAACAAACCAGACTGTGCGGCTTCTCGAAAGCTAGCATGAATGAAAACAGTACGCATGATAACCAGCCAGCTTGGCACCTTTTCGAAAACATCAAATCTCTCATATTTCTGGTCGATCATCCGGGTAAACCAGTCGCACATAAATGAAGGACGACCGACTACCTGGCAACTGTGCCAGGCAAGAGAGGCCAATGCACTCCCGTCGTTGTTGCTGTAAGCTGCGTCGGCATAAGGCGTCCAATTTGTATGTACAGAGTCTCGTTTGGGGTCTACCCAAAATTCGTCGGAAATCCCAGCAGTTGTGCTCGAGACAAAAACAGCATCACCTGGTAAATCGTCATAGAAATCATCTGGAACGATGCTTCCTGATTCGTGAGCAATGTAGCGCGACTCTTGACACACCCGAGTGATCACAGGTGGAAGGCCATTCAGTTTAGCTGTGTGCGTGACTTCGCAGGGATAGGAGCCATTGGAATTACGCTTCATGTAAAGACCGAAGCTGGTCAGGAGATCCGTTTCCCATACGCGACATGGTAGACATAGACGCCAAATCTCCAGTCGCAGCTCTGTAGGCAGCCTCGGAAAGAGATGAAAGGATTTTTCAGACATGAGCAAGTATCGCGGAGCTGGAATTCCTAGTCAGTGTGGAATTTAGATGGATGACATTTTGGAATACTTACTGGCAATAGTGGGGGGGGTTGGTCCTTCCCTTTGCGATGAGCTGCAGACGTTATCGAGGTGAGAAGAATGGAGAAACATTAACCAGGTAATAACAAGAGCTGAAGATCATTGGTAATTCGGAAATCACCATCGACGACCAAGAAGTGCAAAGGTTCACTGCAGAGAATTTTTGGCCCCAAAGCTTAAACTTCATAATCCCCACGACCCTGATGTCTCGACTGCACCTGAAGACGGCGCAGTATCTGCCAGAGATTGTTTAGTTTAAAGCTGCAGGTCGTTCTGCCTAGCAACGATTTGCGAAGAAGAAAACTGTCAAAACCTGAATGGTCACAACCGCGATATCAATATCGAACCCTGGTGGTTGCCTTGTTGCCTTAATCGGATGGCATCAACCCCGGCACCATTCATCTGTACGCTTCCTTTTCTTCCTCTTCTTCTCCCTCCAAGCTTTTTACTTTCGTCAGACCGCTATTACACGTTGCCTGGTGCATCTTGATCCTCATAGTACCTGAGAATTGTCATAATACTGACCAGCTTCACACTGCACTCAGAGGCCTTCAATCCCCGATCAGATTCAAAATTTAAAGCCATTGCCAGCAATAACAATACAAACGCCGCGCTCACTGGCGACTCAGAGTACTTGGGACTGGCTCATAAAATCGCTCTTCTTGTTCTTGTCATGTTCTCGCTCTCTCTCCACCGATTCTGTTTCGGTCTCGTGGACATGTTCCTCGAGTTGATCCGGTAAAGCTACAACCTTGAATACATCGAATCCAACGGGTTGTCACTTGGTCCACCGAAGACCACAATGTGAAAGGGAGATACGGACGATTCCACAATCTCCGAACAATATCCGTGGCCACCCTCCCACCACGCCCCAATGGTTTCTGGGTTATGTACGCTCCCCCAGACAAACAAACTGCCCCACCATCTGTGAAGCTGGCAGACCAAGTCCAGGAAACTTTGGCTAACTGGGATGCGTTGGGAAAGGACCCAAGGGTCTCAGATCAGGTGCTGGAGAATGACGAAAAGATAAGGACAAGGTACGGAGCCAGCAGTTATGGAACAGGCAACTATTGGGAACCCTATCTTCTGACGCAGCACAGATGACAATTATTCATGGCCTGACAACGATTCCTCCTCCTGGTTTCTCAAACAGCAATGAACTATGGCAATATTCTCCTTTCGTCTGTGGTACGACTTCTGATCTGAGACTCATGGAAGCGTTGGTGCTTGACATGAATTGGCCAAAGCTTCGCCTATCACGGATTTGCTGTCCTGTCGGCCAACGAAGGCGAATGTACCTGGATACTACCCAGAACAATCGATCACACGAAACAGAGTATCCACATCAAAGCAGCCCCAAGTCTTGGGGCTCAATGCATATCAAATTTGAGGAATATTTTCTTCGAACAACAAGGAACAACGAATCGGACTTCATTCTGTCAAGTGATGATATGTCGGAAATCGCAACAGCTGTCTGGAGTCACTTTCCCGAAGGACCGGAGCAGGTCGATCGCCTTGGGGCAGATTTTGCTGAGTCCACCGATATTGTGACGGGTGACTACAAACAGAGAATTTCTTACGTTGATGCGAAGATGCTCAATCATTCCACGCAATTGTATCCTGAATTTGCCAACAGCGGCATGGCTGAAGGAGCTACAAGCCTGGCCGTCTCAAGAAGAGAGTTCGGTACATCGGTCGATTCAATTTCACTCGGAAGGCATATCATCTCCCGTATTAATCAATTGAGAGTTCCCCAGGCGTTGGATTATATGGGCAAGTACCTAACGACATCCCCGAACGTGCTCTCATACTACTGACCTATCAGAAAGCTGCTCACGCAAATTCGCAAAGAGCTCGGAAAGGAAGAACTACTGTTCATGGAATTTCAACTGATTCCGAGAGTTTCACTTTCATAAAGCTCGATAATCAGTCTCAAGTAAGTGTATCCAAATCTCATCAGCGATCCCGATTCTAATATTTCCTAGTATTCACGCAGAAAATTCGATACTGTTGGAAATGACTACGGCCAGGTACTCGGTCAGAGTGAATAGACGATCTAGTAGCCCAGCTGAAGCTGAGTTGATTATGGCGTTCGCTTAATGGCGGTACTGTACGTTCGTAGTGTTAAAGACGGACCAGCCTTAAGTACCACGTTATATCCGTGGCAGCAAAAAAGGGTCTATCAAAGGCGATTCACCACATGGAGGAACTGGCCGCACTGCCTCTCCCCACCGAAGAAATCCTCAGCGAAGTAACAAAGCACCAGGAACAAACCCAAGGTTGCATCAATCAATTCTGTCGCGTGCTTGACATTTGTGAAAATAAGACATTGCGCGTCACTTGAAATCGTCTAGGTACGTTGGCTTCTGAAATGGCAATCTGCATCGAACCACACAACAAATACCTTCTTGGTTGGGATTCCCTACTACCTTCCTCGAAGGAGCTTGATCAAGAGCTGGTCATCAGAGATTGACAGAGAACAGGATATAAAAAATACAGACCCATGAAGCCTGACACTTAATAGCGGATCAGCATATACCCCCTGGAGCTAGCATGGTTGACAACGATTCTTCTCTCTCAAAATTCTTGAAAGAGCAATGGAACTCTTCTCCAGATTTGTTGTGCTGCGGCACAGCTTACGCACCACTTGCATGAACCGTGAATAATGCCTTCAATATCACGGGGATACCACAATTTCGCACTCACCTTTCTGCAACTGGGGCCAACATTCGCGCAAACTTTTTCTCAATGATGTTCAAGCCAGATACCACGTCATCCGCATCCATTGTGAATTTTATTCCAGAACCATATAGAAGTGATCATATCCGACAGATCTTCAGCTTGTTGGAAATGGGCCCAAGTCAAAGGCTGCTTTCCTGCGGCAGATGGGACTCGGTAGCTCGTGACCTGCAAACCGCTCTCTTTCTTTTAATCATACTTTTGTCCGGATCTCGTAAAAACTTTGCCATCGCCGCCATGCTACTTCGAATCTGTCGTGTCTGTTTCATAGTGGAGCAGACTCTTCCTTTCAGGGCTTACGCTCTTTCGATCAATAGTTCTGTTGGCACCATAGTCAACATTGCTATTACTAGGAACTGGTGCGTTAGGGTGCGAAATATTATCACGATTTGGATGATCGCAGCCCGAATCAATGGCGCCGGTTTCGATCGCACGCTGGCCTGCCGAAAGAGCGAAGTCACTGGAATCAAAGTATGTTCGTTCCTTCAAGTCCGTAAGCAAGAAAATGGACCGGTTTAGCTCGGTTAAAATTACATTAAACCGCTTGTTAAGCAAATACCCAAGAGGCTGCTTCTCGTATAAACTAAAGTAGCATTTCTCACTTTCAGATAGTGGCTACAGGAAGTGCTATTCGCGTCGACATCATGTCATAAGACCAAAGTACAGCAGGGAAGATTATATAGCCTGACAAATAAATAGACACAACACAGCATTTGAGGTAACAATCTGGATAGACAAGGTATACGGTGGTTACGATCATAATTCGATAGCCAAGAGGTGGCTTAGAAAAGGATCTTGATCACAACTCTACGTCACTTTCTTCTGGCATAGGCAGTTTACACGCCTCGTCCATTTGTCTCTGGTTTTCCTCAAGTTCACCGGGGCGAGGTGGATACCAAAAGCCGGGTCCAGAAGGGTAATGGACTTGGAAACCCTAAGTTGACGGTCAGTTTACCTTAAGCGAATAGAATATTCAAAAGAGTTCGAAGTACATACTACTTCGGGTTGACCGGTTAGTTGCTCCAAGATCCATCCAAAGGGTCTTCGCATAGATGTATCCGCTAGAAGCATTGCGGAGAAGTGAGTCTCATCCGTCTCCCAATTAGTCGTATCCCGATGTTCATTGTAGTGAAATGGCGTGGAACCCATCTCCTCGGGCCAAGAGATCTCTGTCGGCTTTATCTTGTATTTAGTATCATCTTCATAGGCCTTGTAGGCAAAGACTATAATCGGCAAATGTTTTGGGTTATTGGAGTGTTGCTGGGATGACAGAATCTCTCCTAGAAATCTATGAGTTAGTTGTTGATATGTATTGCAAGGGGATCCAAAGATGATGAACAGGCTTTGGAAAACCAAAGAGAACATACGATACCACAAAATTGTATTATTGATACTGTCTTGATTAGCGAGATCCACTATAATAATAGCGGCATCGCTATCTTCGATCCATTTTGCCCTATCTTGGGGTGTGCTATGTGATCCAGAGATATCCCAGATATCAAAGGTACAAACACCAATCGTCTAAGAATGAATATTAGGGAGGGTTTCATAGTGTCACATGATACCATATATAGCAGTTAAAGGAACTTACAGAACTAAATTTACGCAGGCGACTTTGGTAATTAATTGTTGGAACATAATCATCTGAAACATAGTCATCTAGAAACATAGATACCCAGTTCGACTACGGGATATGGTCAGTGATATCGTTGATGATCGGGGAAATGGTTTTTCTTTACTTTGCCAACACACGCATCACCGACCAATGCCACTTTGATGTTTCTCTCGAGGATCTCCATGATTGCAAGGGCCCAGGGTTCAGGAATTAGGTGTTGACCGATTGCGCGGCCGTGTTTGAGTGATGGTCGGGTGTAAAATAAAGGTTATAAAAGAGAAAAGCGGGCGAGCGGGGTTTTCAAACATCCCGACGGTCGTGATTAACATAACGCTAGTCGGTGTGAGTGGGACACAAGTGGGTAGGACAGTGGAGAAAGCTAAATAGGGGCGAACAAGGCATACTCTACTCTACTATTCTTGTATATGCCTATCTACTCGAATAGATTTTGTTTTGTGTTGATATAATAGAAGAATAACCTCTTTAGAGATTCAAAATAACCATGTGGTCGTCCTATCATAGACTATTGGGAAAGATCTCGATGTTTTGTCTGGTGTTATATATTCAGAATCAAATTAATATTTACTGTATTCAGCTTGTTACGTTTGAAGGAGAAATGATCAACTCGTTTTTAAGTCAACGGAAATATATTATTTCAACGAAACTGGAGAAATCGAGTATTGAAGAACCGAGTCATGTTCTTATAGGCCGGAATGTGATTTCTTCATTGAATGCTCTTTTTGAGGGGAATATTGCGCTGTTCGCTGGGTGGAATAAGGTTATCAGGAAGTTTCTTGAGCTTGTCGCCATCGGTGTAATAAGCGTTCATATAAATTGCTAAAAGAGATTTAGTCAACAGTTGCAGACAGAGGGGGGCGAAGACCTACCCTGTGCGATCAGTGCAAAAGTATCGCAGTTTTTCCATTTCATCTCGGTTCCTACGATATTCCTGCAACCCTTATACCTGTATTGCTCCTCAACGGTCGGAGAAAGCATGAGCGGAACTAGAAAGAGACGTAAGTTAGTGCCATTCATTTCCCGTAGATGGTAGATCCAATCAACTGGGACGTTCCAGTCACCCAGAAACTACTTACACTGATTACTGTCCCCCAGATGGATCATCTCATGCATCAATTCTGAGCTGATGAACGCGGTAAGACGATCGACGGTCATTTCTTGTGAGGTGGCTATCCTATTGAGTGTACTGAAGAGATAATCTTGCGTTTCAATACCGTTACTATCATAGTCAAGCGCGTTAATGATCTCGCCCGGTCGTGGCTTCTTGCAGAGAAGAATGCCCTTTTTAGGATCATTGGCATTTGCAATGGCAAGGCCGAGTGCTTTTTCGCATGGGCGTATTTTGGTTCGGATTTTGTTGCCAAGGTGGATTAGACTTGGTGCTATATTGTGCATATAATTCTAACAATAACAGATATAGCTATGCTGTAGCAGGGTGAATGCTACGACATGGTCTGATATACATAACGGAGATGTGCTCTTATAAGATATAGTATTATAGGGACTTCTGTGAACCCTTAAAATACGAGACAAAAGGAACATATCTTGAGTATACTCTGGCAGTATCTGATGGCGCTCGCGCTGATGAAATTTGGTTAGATACTGACCCTGCTGCCACGCCTAACCCGAGAAGAAGCACGTTGGATGCTGGATGACGACGATAATATTTTGAACCTCTTTGTATTTTGTAGCTTTTCAGTTTTTGATCGGATTCGGCTGCGCTTTTCCAGGACTTTAAACATGCTACAACCCATCCAGCCACAGGTCTTCTCTTCGTTGGGCTCGTATCCAAGCACTGGCCTTGCCCACTTCGGCCCATATTAAATTTCAATTCTTATACCCCTTATCGCTGCTTCCAATAAAGCTATATATCGAGTACCATCCTTCGTTCCCTTTTTCCTTGCCGTTTCAGGGCATCGGCGTGCGAAGCTTGCGGAGCGCGCGATTCCGAAACACACTAGTCCCCATTCGATCTAGTCTATTTGAGATCTTGGAATTGTTTTGTCACGATAAATTACACAATTCCCAAGGGTTGGTGGGTTGTAACTTTCCTGAAACATAGATACAATCGTTACGCTACGGTTGACTCGAATGTTCACCAGTTTGATCGAGGCTTTGGTATTCCGCGACAACTTTGAGAAAAATAGCGCTACGTTCGCGTATCTAACTCCTGAGTGGTGCAAATGAAGAGACTTCGTTCTTCAAGGCAAATAGGGGTGTGATATCAAGGCGGTTGATTTCGCTGTCTTTAATCGGATTACCTGATAGCGGGGTAAACTGGAGACTGGGAGGTCTAAGTGTATATTTGAGCTACTCAAAACTCTTGTACAGGGTATGTCGACTACCATTTCCTAGGGCGAAAAAAACTCTAGATTCCAGGCAGGGGCGATATACGGCAATATCGGGAATATCACAACTCTCTCCTCTTTTCGCTCATTTATCCTCTCTTTTGTTCTCCCTGCTCACCTGCTCACGGTCTCCTCGCGCTCACCACAATGGCGACTCCAGCTGCCAAAGCGGCCCCGAGCTACGATGCACCCTCTGATACCTCAGCTGGCCCCGAGAAGTTTGTCGTTCGCCCTGCTCGATTCTCCGATGTCTCGACGATTGCCCACAATTCCACCAAAGCGTACTGGTTGTCCCCGATGGACCAGTTCCTCGCGCCGCGCGCGCCAGAATACCCCGATGACATGTTACGTATGTACCGGCAGATAACGCGGCGGCGCCTTGTCGCAGGGGACTCGGTGACGCTCGTTGCTTGCTTGGCATCGGATATGGATACACCGGTGGGCCACATTTCGTTCATGCGTCAAGGGAATGACGCTGGAGCGAAGGCGTTCAAGAGGTCTGTGGCATCAAACAGCTTGTTCAGGCTGTGGCTGTGTATCCTGACCTGGGTCTTCTGGGTATATGACAAGGTCGACGAGATTGTTAAACCGCCTTGTGCGTTTGACCCGGCAGCAATAAAGCAGCTCGGAGAATGGAACAGGGCGGGCGATGCGAAATACTGGACATCCCACCCAGAGAGGACGAACAAGTGGTACATCCCGAATTTGGTTATCCACCCGGACTACCAAGGCAAAGGTATCGGGAAGCTGTTGGTGACAATTGTATTGCAGAGAGCCCAGAGCGAGAGAGATATCGTAGGCCTCATGGCTAGTTCTCATGGAGAGTTCCTGTACCGCAAGCTTGGATTCGAGCGTCTGGGAGACTTCACCAATAGACCACCTACTGAAGGACCGGATCAAAAAGGTGGTGGGTACATGCTCTGGTATCCTGAAGGCGTCCGTCACACGGACTAGACTGATGGTATGGGGTTCAATGGTGTTTGGATAGGCTAGAGTTCCCTCGCTGTCCTTGTCCGAGGGTCGTGTGCTGCGTTGTTGTTCTTGTGCGAACTAACCATCTTGACTGCATATCCGATATACGCCATTAGATTTCCAATATAGCCCATATCTATCCATACCCCCACAAGACATACAGCGACCACCAGAACTATTATTGTTTTTTTAATCCTATATCAAAGAAAGCTAGACAGTCGACCGAATCTTTGTCACCCAGTCTGTTGGTGTGTTTGCAAGTGAGTGGTTCTAGACAGGGCATAGACCATACAGCGATGATACGGGAGCTATTTTTATGCGATTATTTATTACCGTACTGAGATACTGCCAAGATTGTGGGTCAGGGGCAATGTAACCATAATAGGTGTGGCGTTATGCAAGATAGAGTTCGACAAACAACTACAGAGTGTGAAGCGGTGAAACTGATTTCGAGCGCGTCTGTACATAGTAGCTAGATGCAGACGAGTGTCTAGATGTTTAGGCACCAAATATGTGATTCGTTCCACTACCATCTCCACCCGTATCCCGATGTGTAGTAGTCGTGTTATTCAATCACTCTCAGTAGTAGCCCCGTTGCACCAAAATCCATCCAAAAACCGTTGTCATCGTCGTTCCCAGTAAACCTAGCATCTGCACCGAAATTTCTAGAGCTTGCGCGGTAGCTTGCAATCAAGAGTATTGTATCCCATTCATTAATCCTTATCCCGGCCGAAAGTACGAGCGAGCTGAACGAGGATGGTATTGTATTCGTAAGTACCAGATGTTTGAGCAGAGGCAACCTGAGGGAGAACCATTGCCTGCACATGACTATCAAGATTCAGATAGACATAGTAGAACTGAGCTTTGGCATTGCCGATGACCTCACCATCGACAGCGAGTTTTCCTTGTATGGCAGCGTCCCACGTATCGAATCAGGTCCTTGTAGTGAACTTCTCAGGATGCGGAAGCGATGGTTTCGGGCGTTTTTTAGCTTGTCGAGGTTGGGCTTTCGTGAGAAGCTCGTGGAATGCTTCAGCTTGGCTGTTTTGGATCTGAAGAAGATCGGATTGCACTTGTTGCTCCTTGGGGATAGCGGCGATTTGGTCGATCATGCACTCCATTTCGAGGTTTGATGGAAGGATGCTTTGTTGTATGTGATAAGTCGAGATGAAGTATGATTGGAGTTGATGAAGGATGGAAAGTTGGTGATGTGAAGAGGGAGAATAGGAGAGAGTAGAGGATGAAGCCATCTAATAGCTATTGATATGGAAAGGACGGCCTGGATGCCTAAGACGCCTAAGACTCAATACAAAAAAGATCAAAATCAATATAAAGTACTCTGTGGCATTCGACTTTACGAAAATATTCTGGACCCCATGAGCCTGTGCAGTTACATGAATTGATATATACGGAGTAGAGTAACATTTCTGGTAATTTCCACAGTACATGGGTAGCTACTGCTGGATCTCATGGCAATATATAGTCATCTTCCAAATAGAAAGTAGCATCCAGAGCATCTGGTAAACTAAACTAAGAAGAGATGTAAACTTGAAAACAATCTTAGATCTTACTGAATGGCTATAAATAAACACAGATCCTAGCGATTCGAAGATCGACTCGAGTTCCTCTCAACAGCCCTCAGCTCAACATCAATCTCCTCCGTAACCAGAATTTGCCTCGATATCCTCTCTTCTCCGGGCCAGTGAGTAGTATTGCCCAAACTCAAGCACCGCGTGATCTCAGTATGGCAACCATCCATCGGTCCGGGTCTCCATAAATTCGCACTTTCATTGCTCGTATTATCTGCGTGTATCTTTTTCATTTTCATCGGCGTCGGTAAGCCCATATGACCAGCTTCTCCTCCTCCTCCATGATATCCATCAACATCCTCACCCGGCGAAGTATTAGTCCCCCTTTCAGTAGACCTTGCACAACAACCACCGGAACCAAAACCAAAACATAAGGAAGTACTGCTCAACGCTTCCTTTATAGATATCCGCATAGTGGGAAGACAGGTGCAGACAATCCCGGTCGAAATCTCGATGATACGCATCATGCAGGGTTTGGCAAAGTACCAAGTTTTATCTTGTTCGTGTTTATCGGGCATGAGAATGACACGCCCTAGCGCTGTTGAACAATCACTTAAATTTCGAAGAGAAATATGTTAGTTACACCGCCTCGTGAAAGCAACGTGAAAGGGGAGCGAAAAACAGAATACGAGAAAACGCTCTTCACATACAAAAGCCCCAACATAAAAACCAAAGAAACCGCCACCTTCTGCCCCCTAGGAAGTCTCAACCTCCAAACCCGGGGAATAGGCATAGCCCAAACAACCAAACTCGTAACAACATTAATAACAGCATAACTATAAGGATCCAGATCGAGACACTTGCCACTCCCCCTGTCCCTGTCTCTACTGCTCCCTGGCCCCGTCCCCGTCCAAAGCGCCGAGATCGGGACACAGAAGAAAATGACCAGAAAGAGGTTAATTATGCACCAGATACTTATCACCGCCATCATGGCGTAGACAAACCACAAGAAGCGCGATTGAGTGTATTGGAATATCCGGCGGTAGAGGCAGAGGAGGGAGAGTTTTATGGCCGGGGTGCGGGGACGTAGGTTATTTGCATGAAGTAGAGGTTTTTGGTGAAAGTTTTTATTTGGGATGGGGATAGGGTTGAGATGTGTTTTCCCATTCCGTGGATTTGGGCTGGAGGGGTGAGGATATTAGTTCTAAAGGTTGGATATGGACAGGGATGTGGATGTAGGTAGATTCGCTCTTTCTATCTGATATCTCATGTAGGAAGCCCTAAAAAGAAACACTGGCAGGCAAGAGGAAAAGAAAATAGTATATACACACCTCTCGCGGCAAGAGAAAACATAGCCCAATTCAGTAGCAATGCAATGCATATAATCCAATCATCCGCTCCAAAGGCCATTCGGCGAACCTTTCGAGCCGCGAGTCGGCCGATGACAGTAACCGTCGCTACCATGGTAAAGACACTATTCACAATCCAAAGTGTCGGTCCTAAGTCATCGGTGAAATCGGCCATTATGAACGACGGGCGGAGGAGGGTATATTATAATGATATCATTGCCAGAACTCGATTTGAATAGCATTGAGCATCTTTGGCAGGGTAAAACAAAAATAAAGCAAAGAAAGAAAGACAAACCACATCTGGAAATTCGATCTGATAAAACCAAAATCCCAAAGATTCAAATCTCGAGAAAATATCGGAAAATGCAGGACCGTCGTTTTCTTTTATTAAACTCACCATGCGCAGCGCCCTGTCTGCTCCGATTCACTCACCGAAGAGAAAAGCTCGATGACACGCGCATCGCATCGTATCAGTGTAGTGTAACCACAATAAAGAGACAGATGAGTCCGCAAAAAAGTTTATCTTTCCAGCTAATACCCTGGCCTTTTTTTCTTTTTCTCTTCATGGTAGGCGGGATCTAACTTGGTCTAGCTTTGACATGATAGGATGGGATATTCACTAGGGTTGTGTCTAACTACCCTCTCTCGTCAGTCCCATTCCACGCGGATGGGATTACCGACGCAGATTGTTGTACAACATATTAGGGATGCAACATTGGAAAAGCCGGCATTTATACCCCCGAACCGAGCCGACAAGAGGGCGCGAATCCTGTTTCCCTTTCTAGGAATGTCAACTTCGGATAAAGGGCACCTTTCAACTCCAACTATCTAAGATAACTCCCACGCCCTTGTACAGTCGAGTTTGATTTTGCTTTCTTCCGCGTGGTTACTAAATCCCCATCCCGTTCTATGCACGCCCTGACCTGACCTGACCTTATTCCGGACTCGGAAGTAGGATGGAGTTTATTTGATCGGGTATAGAGCAGAATGCATGCAAAAATCTTGAAATGTATTTGTATTTGTGCGAGCAGGATTCGTGGACTCGAAGCCATAGCTATAGCTATAGCTGTACTAAACTCCATAATCAGTAAGTAAATCCATACCAAAAAAGGAAAGTCAACTTTATTACGGATCGGAGTACATAAACTCCAACCACTGGCAGATATGTAGATCCATTCTATACATAGATGAGGTAACCAAATTGTAAATCGAGGAAGTTATTTCCTTTTCCTCCACCTGGTGGGTCATTGCGGAGTCGGATATTTTAACTTCATTTCAAGTTCTATATTGCGGTGTATCATGATACCTACAGGTAAAACAACTTGAATCATGGCATCTAGGGCTAAATAGTCTCGGAGTCATAATCATAAAAGCCAAAAAACAATGGCAATATAATGCATTACATTCGTTGAATACTCAACCCAACTCAATCCATTCCATAAAACCCATCAAAAAAAACTTGCAATGAAAAGTCAAATTCAAGATTTCCCAGCCAGCAAATGACTTCTGCTTTCTTCGAGTCATCCAATTCATTTCTTCTTATATCGCTCACTCGTCATTGATAATATGGGGCCTTGTTCCGAGTCCACATAATTCCTACTCATATATCATATCATCCATACTAGACCTATCCGCATAACCTCCGAGTCCCCCTTGCTACGGTAATTTTGAGGGGGGGCACTGTTTATAAAGTGCCTTCCGTTCCGTTAAGAAAATAAAGAAAAGAAAAAAAAGTGAAGAAAGAGAAATAAATTCCAAGCCCGAATTAGTTGCACAAATGCCCAGCATTTCAAATGGTCAACCTTGCAAGACGAGTAAGAGAAAATATAGAAAAAAGGGAAGAGAAGGCAAGGGAAGTATCACAAAAAGTTGAAGAAGGGTCGGTGTTGGGGTTGGGTGTTGGTTTTATCAAAAAAAAAGAAAAAAGAAAAGAGGCAAAAGAAGGACCAACAGTTTCAAAAACTGGAATCAAGAAGAAGAAGTAGTAGTCAAAAAAAGGAAAAGGAAAAGGAAGTGAAGTGGAGGAGGAACCAAAGCAAAGCGGCAATTCTCGCTTTTCGCTGCTAGTATACTGACTGAACTGGACTGGAAACCCTATCCATGTAGGCAAAAGTGCAGTAGGTAAAGTCCATATCGAAAGAAAGCAGATGGCAATGGGCGGGGGAATTAGGTTAATCACACGAGTCGAGTAATAAGTAGTAGTAATAGAAAGAAAGAAGAGAAGCGAATCGAATCGAAGCTCGTAGGTCACAGTGCAACTAATCTCGAATACAGAATCAAAATCTCAGTCTCCAGTCAGTTCTCAGCATCGCAACAAGCATCGCAACAGGAACAGCAACGAGCCAAGGCTTGGACAGAGCAGATCAGATGAATGAAATGAGGGAGGGACAAGACAAGAGGGAAATGCAACCAAAGACTAGGAAGACAAAGACACCAACGCCAATCTCACAGCATGCGCACACGAATAGTCCAAGTGGAGGAAAATGGATGGTAAAAACAAGGAGGAATGACCAAGGGTGAGAGTATCGTATCCGGTGGCAAAAAAATGAAAGGAAAAGGAGAGGGCAAAACAAAACAAGACCGCAACGCACTAAATCGATCAAATATACAAAAACAAGGGTATATCGGAGAGGGTTAAACACCTGAAGAGAACCGTCAAGACTTTTTAAATCATCCCATGTCTGGACCGGCCTCGACACCGTCGATGCTCAAAGGCATGTTTGGATCGAATCCAAAGCCAGTCCCATCACCGTCAGTGTTGAGGAAAGTGTCAAAGTCGAAGCTCTCCAGGATATCAGGGTTATCCAGAGCGCCGAAGTCAAGATTGAAAGCATTCTAGAATACCGGAATTGTTAAGAGGTGTCCAATCACACACGAAAGGTTAGGAGTTCCCACGGAGCTTACATCAGGAATTGAGAGATCATTGTAAGATTGCGGATTGGGATCCATGGTAGGTTGGACCATTGTTGGCGGAGCTGGGGCCGAGGTGGGCTGGATTTGCGCATTGGCACCCCCGTTGGCACCGGCCTTGTTGAAGGAATTAGGATGTTGAGGAGTGACAGGGGTGGATGGAGTAGGCGTCTGAGCCGTCTCTCCAGCTTCGGGAGCTTGAGCATTGGCAGCATTGGCAGCGGCAGCAGCACCCTTCTTGGGTCGCTTGCGGGTGTTCTCCTTGGCGCCTTCTTTCTTGCCCTTGCCGGGAGCTGCCTTATTACCCTGCTGAGGTGTGGGGGGAGCGTTTGCACCCGTCTGGGGAGATTGAGGGTGGGTGCGGCCGGCAGGGCCAGTAGGCGGAGCCTGAGGAGGAGGCATCGCATTCCGTTCTTGGGGAGTGCCGGCCTGGGGCTGAGATGCGGGTGAGTGCTGCGGGGGCATCGGCTGACCGGGCTGCTGCCACTGCCCACTGGGCATGCGGCCGCCGGCACCGGCAGGAATGGGCTGGCCCATCTGGGGACCAGTGAATTGTGGGTTAGAGCTTGGGGGACGCATGTTGGGGTTGCCTTGGAAGAACTGAGCCGCCATCTCGGGTGGCATTGGGCCGCCGTTCAGATTCATAGATCCAGGAGATCCGCGGTTCTGGCCCATATCGCCGGCGCTGGGGGAACCAGGAAGACCACTCTGGGGCATCTTAGGTGTACCCCGCTTCATTTGTTCACTGGGGTTCGGCGAGGCACCTGTGCGACTGCCCTGTGGGGAAGTGCCGGGTGGCAGCTGTCCTTGGCCGGGCATTGGTTGACCGTCACGGGCCATGCTGTCCTGCTCCTGACGAGCCATCATCAAACGCCGCTTATTCTGCTGTTCAAGCAGCATGAGTTGCATCTGATAATCCTGGAGAGCATGATTGCCGCCGCCTTGCTGGCCGTTTGGTTGTTGCATGCCATTTCGACCCGGGGGCATTTGGGCGTTCTGATAGTATTCGGCACCCGGGAACATTCCTCCATTGGCATCCTGCATCGCCACGAGATCCGTCTGATTCGGCATAACGCCGGGATTCATCATACCGCCGTTCGGAAGACCCTGGGGAGACAATGCTGAGCGAGTGTGATGAAGGGCCAAGTTTTGAGCATATACCTGCATAGATTTTTGTTGCGCAGCCTGTCCTTGCTGGAACTGCTGGAATTGCGCCGGGTTCATTCCCCTGTTCATTCCATTCTGCATCATAATAGCCTGAGCCTGGGGGTTAGGCTGTCCTTGCATTCCCTGTCCTTGACCACGGCCGTTAGGTGCGAGCTGTTGTCCGTTAACGGGGCCTCCTTCCAGGCGCGGGCGTTTCGATGGGGATGGGGCGTTGTCCGCAGATGCTGGGGACTGGGGTCGATTGCCGTTCATGTCCATGTCGGGCTGGTCACGTTGCATCTGCTGCATGATCTGCATCTGTTGGTTCTTTTGGAACTGCTGGGCCAATTGCTGTTGGGAGCTGTAGTAGATTAGGGGTGTCAGTATCACTTCACGTACCCTGTGAAAAAAGGGATGGGGAATAGCATCATGATGTCCTGGACGTACAGGCCAGTGGTGTTTTGCAACACCGTTTTCTGAAGGTTGGGGGGTACAGGGTGCATGCCATTGCGACGCATGTTGAGCGGCATCTGGCCAGGCATCATCGGCTGTTGCCGCATGAGCTGATTCTGTTGCTGCTCGCGGACACGCATAAGCGCCTATTGAGCAAGTCAGTTCGATTACCAGGGCGATACGGCTTGGTGGTCCCCAAGCGAATTCCATGGACGAACCTGGTTGTGTGAGAGATATTGCCGAATGTCGTGGTTGTTTCCTCTCTTGCGCTGCGCCTGCCAGAACTCCCAGAAGAGACTCCACCAGTCGAGCAGGAAAGCGGTTTGCGTACTGTCGTTGGGAAGGCTAGCACGAGGCAGATCATCGGGGATTTTGATCTTCTCGCCATCCTTGCCATCGGTCATCATGTCACCATCGACGCCGTTCATATCGTTCTGGCGATTACCGGGACTTGTCTTGGTACCGGGATCCGTGTTGATCTTCATTGATTCTTCGCGGAGAAGAGCGCGTGCACAGTCGTGGTAGCCGCGTTTCAAAAGTAATCGTAGATATATGTATTCAAGTTGTTGAGACTCCCATCGGAGTTGCTGTTCATGATTTGATCGTTACGAGGGGCAGTGGAGCCGTTGCTCATCATGGGGATACCACCGACAGGGCCTCCGACCCCGGGATTCATCCCACCGGCATTCATCTGGTTCATGGTGGCGATCGGGGGGACTGGGGCCGCCCTTGCCTATTTACTGTCGGATGCGAATTCAAATCGAAGGTGGTGATTAGTTCCAGGCGCGCGTCCACCGACTCAGGCGATCAAGCCTAGGCGCGGGGGTGGGACGTGCAACGCGTGGGAACGGGGGAGGGAGGGAAAGGGTGGAGGAGAAGACGAAGACCGAAGCGGTGAGCACTTCAAGTCTGAGAGACCGAGTCCGCGACGCGTGGGAGTATAAGGGCGCAAGATAGAGAGAAGTGGTTATATCAGGGATGGTGGAATGCGATAAAGAAGTGCGGCGACTCGGGGAGGTCTTTTCCGGATGGAGGCACGCCACGCGGTGATGTGATAAGAGTGTCGAATGGAATAATTGTTTGGGGGCGCAATCGACCAACTGGGACGAATCCAACTGAGAGAAAAAGGGTATCAGCGACGGAGATGCAAGTGAGTGAGAGGCTCAAAATGGCCAAGAGAAGGGAAGAGAGGCGCGATCGATGATAACGGCAGTACCAAGGAGGCGGGAAAAAGCGCACAGGCTGGACGTGGCTGGGTAGAGGAGGGGAGGGGGGGGGAGGCGGAAAGGAGGGGAAAAGCGTGGCCAAAGCGATGGTTGAAAGTGGCACAGAAAGAAGAGGTTGACATACCACCAAAGGGAGTCCGTCGCAGGGGGGGAAAGTAGGAGTATACGGAGGAGTAAAGGTGAAGTCGAAGGGAAGTGGATCTCAGCAAGGTGGAAGGGGACTGAGACTGGAAGGGACAAGACTGGAAGGAGCGGGTTCGGCCTGTCGCTTGTTCGGATCCGGATTATCTTGTTCCGGAGAGCGCAGTCTGCGTATTTCTGGGTCTGGTGGTACCCGTAGGGTATCAGATATATCAGATACAGATATCTATACCTGTGGTATAGATATAGTATAGATAGAAAGGACGAGAGATGAAGAAGGTGAAGTAGGTAACCAGGAGAAGGCAGTAGAAATAGAAGAGAGAGAATGTGTGTGTGTGTGCTGGTACAGCGATGGCTATAATGTACTCAGCTGGCCCTCTATAGATATGATAGATGACAGTGGGATCGCTTCAAGATCGCCGATCGGGCCAATCGGACACTGCAGCCACTATCCAAGCCCAGATATGAGAATGCAGAGGCAAATTCGATCTGTAGAAAAATCCGTGGAGAAGGACCAGAGAGGTGAAAGAGGAGGAAGAATAAAGAATAAAGAGGGGCGCAGTATCAGAGCGGTACACCGTACGGGTATCGTTACACCACCACATCAGATCAGATCATCGCTGCCCTACGAGTATTACGGCCAGACATCCCACCTACTACAGCACTAGTATAGTATAGTATAGTATAGTATACGGAGTACTCCAAGACAAAATAGAGACATCATATGGAATCATCTCGCGTGGAAATTATCCTTTTTCTTTCTCTCTTTTCTTCTCAACTAACGGTGAAACATTACCCCTGCACACGATAAATCGCGTGGCGGGGGACTGCGCTTGTTCCTACAGCGCGATAGATCAGAAACCTTACCTTACGTTGCTACAGGGTCGATCGAACCAGATCGAACCATATCCGAGTACATACGAAGTAAAGTAAGAATTTTCTGTTGTTAGGGTTCTTTCTGTCTCTCTTTTGCCTTTATAAATTGTGATCATTGTAGAAATATTGTTGAACATTGTAAAGATACCATCCCAGCCAACGCCATAATACATGCAACCCATCACTCACTCATCCTCCGGCGGCATCTCGTCCTCAATGTATCGTACCAGCGACACTCGCATCTCCGTCGTGTCGTCACCGCGGAGCACATCGCTCACAAAGTGCGCCTCGATCTGCATTTGAACCTGGATCCCGGGATCAACGTCAGCGGTCAGAGGTCAGGGTCAGAGCGAGCAACAGCGATCAGTCCCGACGCAAAGGTTAAGGTAAGGTGCATGGTTTGGATCTGGGTCGGGGTCCGAGTCCGAGAGAAGGGGAGGCTGGGGAAAAGACAAAGACAAAGGCAAAGGCCAAGGCAAAAACAAAGTTTGTAATATAACACATACCATCTCTAGCGATCCACGCAGCACACCGCAAAGGATATTCGAGAACCATAGTTCATCTTGTGCGCGCCCGTCATCCGGTAGCTCGACAAAGTCCGCCAGCGGGTTCTCGTCGAAGATCAGGGAGAACTGATTATTGTCGTTTGTCCAATTGGTGACTGTTGGTGCTACATTCAGAAAGATCTTGAAGCCGACCTATTTGTCTGTATGTCAGCAATCTTCCTCTCCACCTCTCTCCCTATCTTCCTCTCATCCAATCCAGTAACTCTGCAAGAGTACTCTGCAAGTATGAAGTTCTTCCGTAAATCTGTAAGAATAAAGTACCCACCTTCGCAATCATATCAGCCGTCTCACGGAAATTGGCACACCGACCAACCCCAGACTTGGCCAGGAAATCCTCAATCAACCGCATGCCAATATTGTAGCCCATCTTCTCCAATTGTTTGTTCACTTCTTGGTAGTCGCTGTCATAGTCCTGGCATAGTTGCGCAACAATTGTGCCATAGGTTAATGTGACCAGCTCCGCGTTGACTTTATCGATTCTCGTCCTAGCGGTTTGTACGTTAGTCCGGTTGTTCGAAGTATATAGGTAGTTGGCGCAAAGTGGGGAGAGGAGAAGAGATTAGGTCGGCACGGGATGGTATGGTATAGGATGGTATGGCATGGGCAAGGTATCAAGCGCCACCACATCGCGAGTAAAGTCAAGTAAAGTGTAAAAGCAATACTAACTTCCATATTCTGTAAAGAACTAAGCGTTAGTGGAGACTCCAACAGAACCCAGACAAGATGCAACTCAAAACTCACTCTTCCCCTATTCTGGAGGCCTTTGTAGCCGACATTATTTGCTGAACGGGCACACCGACGAGGTATAGTATTCAAACCAGGATAAACCGACAATACCCAAACACACAAAGGCGAATGCGACGACCGAAGAAACAAGGTTGATTGCGGGGAGGAGGGAAGTAACTAGCTGGAAGCTCTGCCCGTACACAAATCAGCTTGACCGCCTTTGGGGGAAGAGGAGGGGAGGAATATCATTCTTCCCGCTGAGCTCCTCCGGGAACTTTCAAGGTGAATCTTTCGTCGCTCCGCTCCGCACCCACGACCAAACGCCCACAGCCACCCACCAGCTCCAATTACGAGGCCCATATTTTTATATTTTTGCCCATACCGGGTATTGAAAGGCCAACGCTGCCGCGATCATGTCTGGAGAAAAACGTCCCGCGCAGGCGGCTTTTGGCTCGGCCAACCAGCTCGTCGTGAAAAGGAATAAGCCCGATGCAGAGCTCAATCCTGGTTCTGCGGTAGTCAAGGGCTCGTCTCAGAATGGGACTCTTGTGCAATCGGTATGTTTTTTTTATGTTTCCCCTTCGTGGTTTGCTGCTTGGATTGGGGATCAAATTGTGGCTTAGAAACAACTTGGCTAATCATACCCTCCCTACAGGTCCCGCGCACCAGTGGACTAGATGCGCCTATCATGGAATTGACAGGACATTCTGGAGAAGTCTTCGCTGTCCGATTTGACCCAAGCGCCCAACACATCGCATCCGGCTCGATGGACCGATCAATCTGTACGTTCACCAGCTCAGCTCCAGAAAGAGAGATAAAAAACCACCCCGAACCGAACCGAACAGAATCCACTAACCGCGAACACTCCACAGTACTATGGAACACATACGGCCAATGTGAAAACTACGGCCAACTAACCGGCCACCGAGGCGCAGTCCTAGACCTCCAATGGGCGCGCGATTCCCGAGCCCTCTTCTCCGCCTCCGCCGACAAAACCCTAGGAAGCTGGGACGTTGAAACAGGCCAACGCGTCCGCCGCCACGTAGGCCACGAAGAGATAATCAACTCCCTCGACATCAGCAAGCGGGGTCAAGAACTTCTAATCAGCGGCAGTGACGACGGCTGCATTGGAATCTGGGACCCGCGACAAAAGGACGCATTGGAATATCTCGAGACCGAGCTACCAATCACAAGCGTTGCATTGTCTGAGGCCGGTAATGAAATTTACAGTGGTGGTATCGATAACAGTATCCATGTTTGGGATCTGCGCAAAAGGGCTGTCCTTTATTCTATGACTGGTCATAATGATACGATCACTTCTTTACAGATTTCGCCGGATGGGCAGACGTTGTGTTCTAATTCGCATGATTCTACGGTGCGGACGTGGGATATTCGTCCCTTTGCGCCGGCTAACCGGCAAGTTCTTACGTTTGATGGTGCGCCGGTGGGGTTGGAGAAGAATCTTATTCGCGCCAGTTGGGATCCGAAGGGTGAGAAGATTGCTGCTGGGAGTGGCGATCGGAGTGTTGTGGTTTGGGACTCGAAGACTGGGAAACTTCTTTACAAGCTTCCTGGTCACAAGGGTACTGTCAACGATGTGCGATTCTCGCCAAACGACGAGCCTATCGGTGAGTACAAGCCAGAGCCAGAGCCAGCAAAATCTTGCGCGAAAATGATGATTTGACAATTCGCTAACCAAATTTTTTTTTCAGTCGTCTCCTGCTCCTCCGATCGCAACCTCATGCTCGGCGAACTTGGAAAGTGAGCCCAGCCCAGCCCTACAAAAATAATACTTGTAATGATGGTTAAGCGGGCGTTGAATTATCTTTATACACATCATCTCATCATTGGAATTGGACTCTGCCTATTCTATTCTGTTGGGTAGAGGAAACTAGATCCAAACTCAAACTCAAACCCAAACCTTATGAATATCAGCTGTACTATAAACCCATACACACCGTATGCAATTTAGCTTGATTTGATGAATATGTCAGGGGAAATAGGAGTGTTTAATAGCCTCGCTTATGGGGATTGGTCACTGGACTGCATCGGACAGCAACCGCTGTTCAATTCAGTCCAGTCCATCTATCCTTGTAGGGCACGCGCTGAATATCCTCGATCCTGATACAATGCGGGCAGATCTAATTTCCCTCGTACAGAGTCTAATAATTAAGTCTAATAATTAAGTCTAATAATTAAATCTTATAATCAAGTCAATGATCTATCAGTCGTCTACGAGGTCACTGACAATGTCTAACATTAGCAAAGCGAAGTTATCGACCTCCGCACCACATGGCCAGTCTATGTCAAACTCCATTGCCTGGTGTACCCGAGCAGAGTGCGAAGGCATACCAAACATGAGATCTACATTTACAAATAACTCGGATCTAGAAGAAGCTGTAGAAAAGAGATGGATATCAAATTGGAACCTATCAACCGTCGAGCTGACTTCAGCCGACTCGAAAACCTGACTATTCTAGATCCCCACAGCTGGTGCGCTGCTCAATAGTCGACCGAATCCCAAATCAAACCCCATCCCCCAGAATTAAACCCATGTCCATGAACATGGGGATATCATTGTAAACTTGAGCGACCTTGACCTGTTTGCCCTGAATCACTGAGCCAGAGCAGAACATCTTTCTTCAACTTTTCCATCGACTCAGACCATCATGGAAACCTTAGGAATAACAATAGACGATAACAATAAAGATGGATATTAACAAAGGGTTCCTCCGCCGCTACAAATCAAATCAAAGTACATAGACTTGATTTGATTTGGTACTCAGAGAAGTTGAACACGAAACACTGCCAGTCCATTTTCAGCAGATGTTTCGCGGTGAATGTTCAAATTCTTCCTTTTCACCATGGTATGCTGCTCGGGTATCACCCTCCGTATCGTGCTGTCGGATGACGATAAAGTATCCGACTCCTCGTCGAACAACCTGGGATTTTGGCACATGTGCGTGGATAGCAGGCGGCGAGTGCGTGTGAGTGCTTTTTTGTGGGGATAGAGAAGACCCCCAGCACTGTGATGAGCCCCGATGAGCAGACTCACGCACTATTCTGTATGCCGACGCGCCGCCATCATGAAAACACAAAACGTCAACAGACATAAAAGGAACCACAACATCAAGATGCCATGGCATACATCTTGATGGCGAAACCCACAACCAAGCCGAAAGCATTCATGGATTTGCAGAACAATCATGAACCACACCGGAGCACAAACCGGACAGACCTTCACCACACAAAGACCTTCTTAGCTTCAACATCACTTGTATCATAATCATGGAAACATCGGGCACGGGTAGGTCTTCAATCATGTCTAGATTGAGCGGGCAAAACGAAGCTCGACTTCATTCTCCAGGTCCCTGAGAAACTTCAGATCGTTCTTGTATTCTGCATCATCGAAGTCCAAGCCCGCATCCTCACGGAGCATTCGCAGAAGATACAGGATGAGCTTCATGATGCCCAGGGACTCCGCCGCATTAGCGCCCATCTGATTGACATTTGCCAAGAAGATGGGACTCGCACGGCTCAGGAAGGGATGGCCTTGGTCAAAGGAAGCAGAAATTGTGTGCTGCCCCCGGGCAGCTTCGTGATCAGAGGGATTGGTTGGGTGGAATTGGATTTCAGGGCGTTGGACGTTGATGACCTCGCAAATTGCTGTGTTTGTAGATTGACACGTCAGTCACGGAATTGGACAGAAAAAGAAAAGATGAAGAGGGAAAGGAAAAGGAAAGGGAAAGGGACAGGGAAAGACTGTTGGTCAATGGGGTGTTTGTAACATACCAGTCATCAAATCCAGATAGGCAGCATTTCCAGGAAACTTCTTCAATATTTCCTGGAGAGTTTTCAGAGTTTCGAGTCGATTGTCGACTTTCTCTTGGACTTCGACCTCTGGTAAACGACTGTTCTCAACCGGGACACAATTGGCCTTGGTACCCTTAGGTTGGGCGCTTTTCAATGGCAATTTCTTACGACCTTCGCCCACGACGGGGATAGGGCGATAGGTTGCCGAAGCGTTCGAAGGGGTCTGCTTGATCCTCTTCGCTGGAGGGGGCGGGGGTCCTTGGTTTCGACGCTTTCTCGAAACATAGTTTGCCTTTGCTCGACGTGATCCCCTCCAGGTAGGCGAGGTCAGATTCGAGTACCTTCCTCGATCATCAGAAGAAGAGGGATCAGCCGACAACCCCCAACGCCGAAGCTGCCCAGAATTGCCTCCGAGCTTGACCTCGGGCAAGTACTGAGATTCAGCCGGCAGGATGTATTGATTGTCATTAGAAAACTCGGATAGGATCAAATCACGAAGAGCAATATGGGCAGCCCTATTTCGCGCCTCCTGCTCCGTGCTGCACTCTCTGGTAGCGTGGAAGTGATCATTGCCGATAGTTACCTCGCTGTGCCATTGGTAGAAATTGGGGACATGTGAATAGTAGCGAGGAGGTCCCAAACCTCTCTCTTGGCAGTAATCTTGAGAAGAAGAAAAGAAAAAGTCAGCCTTGAACTAGATTCAATCTTGCAAAACAAGATATAGTATGGTTTGGAATGGTAGGGGGTTCTCTTTTTCTCACCAGCCAACAACTTTGTCCAATCCCACTCCGACCCAATGGGACCATCCATGGGCAGGGGTGGGAACAACCAAGTCGGGTTGTACTTCTTGAGCTCTTCGAGAGCAAGACGACAACCCTCAACCCTGGCCCTATCAATCGTAGCGTAGATAGGCTCGACCAGGATCGTATGGCCGTAAAGCGTGAGCCTTGCACCTATCCTTGATCCATCCCTGTCGCCGAATTTGAACTCGAATCTGGGCTGCAGCTTGGCCATAAGATTGATGACCCCCAAGGCGAAGAGGAGCTGGATTCTAGATTGGTATCTCGGGTCAATGGAACCAAGATTGTTCTATTTCATAAAGGCAATTAGTGATAGGTAACCAAGACAATGACAATGACAGCTCATGGGAATAGCGCTGGCTAGATATTACTCACCCTTGGAGGCTCCTCAATGACAAAGGATTGATGATGATGTAGAGTAGGCGTAGAGATGCTCCTGACCTCGCCCGGTTCCAGGCTGCTCTCGGTCTTAGAAAGAGGGGCAATTGCACCACCAAAGCCAGAGCTTGGAATTGAATCCAGTATAGAAGATAAAGAGTAGGTGGGATCAGCTCTTGGAGGAGGACGAATCGAACGGCTTTGGGTTCGCACCGGGATAGAGAAAGAGATAGCCGTATGGCCGTATTGATCACCTGGCGAGGGATTGGCAAGCAGCAGAGCTCCCGAGACTCGCGCTTAACTGCCATTGTATTGGGAACACTGCTCGTTTCCACAGGACTCACGCCCGAAGGAGCATTGTCCAATGTCGGAAGGTGACTAAGAAGTGCTGATGATTGGAAAGTACTGGAATTTCTGTTGACTTGATCGGAGAGTTCCATTGAGCTCGCCTGAAGACCACCGCTCGAGCTCAGGGGACCCAGTGTAGATGATTGACCGAGGGAAATTGACGAGGTCATCTCCAAGTCCAAGGGACTAGTTTGTATTGGCTCAAGTGTAGCAGCAGAAGCAGCAGAGGTATCGCTTGTCATGCGCTGCCCGGAACTAGTGCCGCCGCTTGGTTCCGACACGATGGGTTCGGAAGACTGGAAGACGGTTAGAATGAATTTGAAGCAAAGGAGAAACGATGGGAGTATACAGGATTCGGTCCACTTACGAGCTCTGCCCTGGCCCTGTCCTCGTGGAGCATGTCCCTGAAAGTACCTGGAGCGATGTCATGGACATCCTCAGGAGCCACATTACTATGATTGCTACTGTTGTGCGCCATTCTGAATGGAAGACTGCGGTCTGCGATGTTTTTTTCCGGTGCCTTTTCCCCAGAAATCATGGGGATGTGATCTAGACGCACCGCAAAGTGACGACAAGCAATTTCCACAGAAGGAATCTTTGAACAATGGAGAGGTGCGATTCTGTGCGACTCGTATTATGTATGGTTGGTTTCTCGAGTTGCCCTAGCGGAGTCGAAACTTGGGCAAGATGTGTCAAGATCACGGAAAGTAGCTGGAGTATTTGGAGAAAGCTTGAAGTTGTTTGGAGGCGGCCGTTGAGGTCACAATAGGTGCCTGCGAGCTTAAAATGCAAGGCAAGGAAAGGACCCTATGGGTTTGGGTGATATAGGATAGTGTGAAGCTACTGAAGTAGAGATTCGAAGTTAGCTTTAGAATCCTTGCGAGAACGCCGCCCTGTAAGACGGGAAGAAACTGACCTTGAAAAGCTGGCGTCACGGCAGTAGAAGTATTGCGAGCACGATTTGATGAAAAGGCGGTCCCCCCTCCAGTTGATCTTTCACAGCTCCCAAACTCCAACCGAAGGCTTGAAAATGCAGAAGCGGAATTGAACTTGAAACTCCGTACAATTAAAGAAACCTGCAGGTCAAAGTTGGAGATGGAATTGCCAAGGTGAAGTAGCCAGTCGTGAACTTTGATGCGAATTAGGTGCGTGAGGGTTTGGGAGGAAGAGGTCCTCCGAATACTTAAAGTTGCAGAGGCGAAGTTAGACGGTAGTCTTGGAAGAGAGACTCGGTGATCACTGTCGAAAAGAGAATCGATAACCTCGTTCTTCGGGACGTTTTACCGATTTGAACGAATCCCTGTCAAGAGCAAGAAAGAAGCCCTGACCAGACAACCGAAAGCTGACAGAATCTTGCGTGAATCCTGAGGTGCCGAAACGTCCTTGAACTTAGGTGAGAACACAACCAGGAAGCAGCAGATGTATTGGAAGAAGGAAGCGATGAGGTCAAGATATGGTTTTGTCCTGAGGCCTGTGAAGGGAACACCTGAGGTGTGTGAAGAGAATAAGGCGTCTCAAAGTCTTGACGCGACTTGAAAAGACTTGAAGCTGCAGAAGCGGAGTTGAAACTGAGACCTCAACGGGCTAAATATTCCGCGAGCTGGCCTATTGAACAGCCTAGAGAACCTGCGTGTTTGACACCAGGCAAGTATTGCAGTTTTGAAAGGAGGCGTCTGGGAATTGCAGCGATTGCTGAAAGTGTTTTTTTTTGTGAAGACAGCAAGAAAGTGACCTTGGAGATCAAGCGGAGAAGAAGTTTCTGAAACTTAAAGGTGATAGGTATCCCTCCTTTTTTGGCAGCCTTGAATTCCTGAACTCGATAAAAATGAACCTGGAAACAGATCTGGAAATTCGCAAATAATTGCGGTCAGAAATCGAATATCCGAATACCGAGAGGAAAGCCAAGGTCCACAATTGAAAGTCAAGTCCGCGAGATGCTGTATCAAACCCGGAGAACTAGCCTTGGAATTAGACACTGATTGAGTGTCAATTGTCGAAATCTCAGATGCGAAACGGAGAAAGTGTGTTGATTCGAAGAGCAAGGTTGTGAAAATCGTCTAGAAAGGCCGCAGTGGAGCAAAATTGCTCGTGATGGATGCGAAGTTCAAGGTGACTCTGGCGTTCCGAGATATCTCCAAGGGCAAGCAAAAGTAAAGCTTATTCGAGCGATATGGACAGCCCGAAGAACCTGTAGTCTCAAGGCGGATATCCGCACTCCGCGATGAGAATCGCGTTTGGGAGAATGTCTTAAACACAGCAATGGATCAAAGTTACTCGCGTTGAATGCGATAACCCTGTAGAGAGTAGCCCGGTTCCCACTGATAAATGTCAAGTTGTAAAACTGAGCAATAACTTCGGCGGCTATGAATATTGGCACGAAGGTTACCCCCGAGAGACAAAGTGACAAAATTCAATTTGAATTCCTTTCTTGATAAAGCAGAAGTGTCTTGGATATCCGGCGAACCAAGATCCCAGCGTCTTTCTTCCTGGTATGGAGAAACTTGCGAGTGAATGTAGGAAGAGAATGTCGAAGGCGAGCAGCCTCAGAATCCGGAATGAAATCACTTGTTGAAGCTGTGGTTGGCACAGCCGTCGATTGATGGTGAGGGAGCAATGGGTTGTTGAAGAATTGGACCCAAGGAGAACCACCGGGTCTTGAATCTCTCAAACAATTTCTGAAATGGAATATCGAGGCGGAGTAACGAAGTCGACGTGAAATAATGACCCTTGGGTAGAGCAAAAAGTGACCGGGAAGGTCGTTCACTTCCAGGGCTGGAGAATAGCAGGAACTGGAGCTTTTGCAAGCTCAGTGTCCGATATCCACAGCTGCCACTGCAGTAGTTGCAGCGAGAAATCTCTGTGTTTCCCGCACAGTCAAAGACGAGGATCGAGAAGGTATTGAGAGTTATCAGTATTCCAAGCTTTTACAAGCTCTCTGACTGGAATCGATGTTACAATAAGCCTTTTCAAGATATCTGCCAGGACGGAGATTGTCGTAAATGCAATATGAGCGAAATGGATAGGATTCGGTTTCTGCCGCGGTCTCTCAATCGCTCACAAATGAAGAGGGTGAAGCTGCTTTTCTGCGGACACTGCACCACTTCCAGAGCTGAAGACTCGAAGCGCTGAACTGGAGGATGGCAATATTTTGTGACTTCAACACCGCAAAAGGAGAATGCAACTGTACTCCGAGGCCTTGTTGGCACACGAGATGTGAAAAGCGTCGGAAATGCCAGTTCCCGTTTGGTTTGAGTTTCGTGGTTCGTGAAATCAAAGAAAGAGCCGATTCACTGGGCCGTCGATATGGCTTGGGATATTGCCAATGATTGTGATTTTCAACCTAGGCTTTGAGACACGAAACTTTCACCGTGAAGATAAAATCCGACACTGAGTAAGACAATTGAAAGGTGGGAGATGTGTAAGTTATCGATGATTGGGACAGCAGCTGATGAAAACAAGGTGGGAGATCTGGGCAAATGACTTGCGCTGGTTTGAAATTTGCACTCGGGGTGACGATTGAACAACACGGAACTTGAATCGCGGAGAGAGGATGTAGTTGTACTGAAGAAATTGCAGACTTCAAGATATCAACCCCGACGTGGTGACTATTTTTGTTTTGGTGAAGCGATGTTTCTGTCGATTTTAACGTGAACGCGGAGATACCGCGAAGGATAACGGGTTTGAACCTTGGACTCGCAACCCTGGAACTTTGACGAGGAGTAACACTTTCGAAAAGTGTACCCGAGAGTAATAATTGAATAATTGGCAGGCGCGAAGGTCGGAAGATAGTGGAGGTTGTTCCTGAAAGCTGGGTGGAAGGTCCACGGAGGATGACTGAAAGGCCCAGGAATGAGAGATGCAACCGAGTGCACCACTTGAATCGACAGAGATTGATCAGCCGGGGGAGGATAAAGTTCGAAAAGTGCAACCGTAAGGACGTAGAACCGTTGCCTCGCTGAAGTTTGTGTTCATAGATGTGCTCCGTATGAAAGAACCTGAGAAACAAGGCACGAAGAGTGACCAGAGTGCAATCAACGATTGAAAAGTGTAAAGATTGAAACGCAGCCGAGGAGTCAAATTCGAAAATTTTGAAGTGCTTAAAGTACACCGCAACCGAGTAAGGGTGTAGAGCAGTTTCCCTTCAAGTTTGCTCAACTGTGAATATGGTTTGTAGACCCGGATATTCCCAGACAAAAGCCCGAAAACTGCAACCGAAGGCGAGAAGTGCACAGAGTGCAAAGATCGAATAGAACGGAAGGGAAGTTGGAAAAGAGCAACAGCGAGAGTGAAAGAACCCGACTGAGGCCGGAAAATAAGAACAACTCTGCTTTAGCCGCAGGTTGTATCGTGGAAGAAGAAACTTGAAGTGAGAAGTAAAAAGGATAGTGGTGAGGTTTCTTTCGGCGTTGAAAAGCGGATTTTGCGATGCAGCCTTGCTCCTCGTTCTGGTGAAGCTTGATTTCCTTCAGGGTATTCCAGAAGAGTTGAAGATTGCACCAGAGTACAATAATCGAACAATGTAGGATTGGAAGACAGGCCGAAGTACTCGAAAAATGTAAAAGGCGATAGGAGTAAACCCAGATGAAGGCAAAAAGTGCAATGTTTTCGGGTCCAACCAAGCCACTCCGAGTGACAGCGTAAATTCTTTCTCGTTCCTCGTTGTAAGAGGAAGTGTAGAAAAGCGATGGCGTAAACTTGAATTGATCGGAGCTCCGAGCTTGCACTTTGCTGCTCGATGCGATTGCAAGATGCGAAAGGGCGTAGATAGAGAAAGGCGATGACGGATATCCAGGGTACCTGCGGGTTCGGTCACAGTAGATCGGGGGATTTTGGGATCAGAGAGGTAGAAAAGGAGGGTTTTGTTCAATGATGCTTGATATGCAGGGCAGCGATGCGAGAACCACAACTCGAAGTCCTTATGACAATTTCTTCGTCAGAACTCCGTAGTTGACGACTTCAGGACGTGAAAACCTCTCGACGTGCTTCCTGTGAGAACTGTGATTTGGAAATGACTTCGAACAGGTCAATTTTCTTCGTGATACGAAGTGCTTCGCAGGTAGAACAATGAGAAAGAATTTCGAGTATTGTTTTCAGAGTCGAGTGTTCCAAGGGTGATCAGAAGGGTAGCAGCAACCGAGGGTAAAAACTTGATCGAAGACCTTTCGAAGTGCGTCCTGTGAGAACTGCGGACTTAAGCGACTTCGAAACCCCAATATTTCTTCTCGATGCGAGATGTGAGATGTATCCAGCCCAGTCGCGTAGAAGTAAGAATTATAGACGGGGCCTAGAAGTCGATCTATCAGAGCTGGGAGCTGAGGTCTCTGAACAGTGTGCGAGCGTAAAAGGATATCGGCAACGGAGGGTAAAACTTGAGGACGTCGAAGACCTTTCGAAGTGTGTCCTGTTTTAGAACTGCAGACCTGAGCGATTCCAAAAGTACACCGTTTTCTTCGCGCGACAAAGTCCTTCGTATGTAGAAGGAATGAGACGGAATTTCGAGGCTTCGGAAGAAGAATAGCAGCGACCGAGGGTAAAACTCGAGGAAGTCAAACCTCATAAACCGAGATTTAAACTGAAGAGTTGAAAGCCCACGAGAGTAAAACCTTCCAAGGTTGAAAATGGCGAGAGTTGAAAATATTGAAGATCGCGAGAATTACCAACCTTGAAGGTCGCGAGAGTGAAAGGACGTAAAGGTCGTGACTAGGTTTCAAATTTCTGCTTGATCAGAATTTAGAAACCTTGGAAACCGTGGAAGTAGGTAAGAAACTTGAAGATTTGAATGGGGCGAGAGTTGACAACCTTGAAGGACGCAAGATTGAAAGGACTTCAAGGTCGTGACTTAATATCTCAAAATACCGCTTCTTAGGATTCAACAAGCAGATACCGAAGACGTCCACGACTGAAAGTTGAAAAAGTAGCGGTGTGGGAAGGAATTTGAAAAGGCAAAGTAAGGAGCGGATATGAAGAAGAGAAGAAGGTGAAGGCACACTCGGGAGAGAGATAAGGGGATGTAAACAAACCATTCAGAATAATCGGCAGGCACGCGTGTAGTTATCGGCAATTGGAAGGCACGACGGTACGGTGAATGGTATACTAGTAGTAGTAGTAGACCTCCGTCTCCGTGCCGTGGCCGTGCCGTGCCCCGGAGTACGCGGGATATAGTACATTTTGAACAGGGTCAGGTATAGCCTGATTGGTGAGTCACGGAGTATACTACTATCTGATGCCTTGAGGGATATCTTACATTGTTCAGATTGGAATGTCGATTCTTCAATTGTTCTAGGTTGACCTTTGATATACCAGGGTAACCTATTGTGATATCTATAAGACCGGGGAAGTAAATCGGAGCGGAGAAAGCCCTAACTCGGAGATAAGAATTCATTTTTGAATACGGCCTTGGGGCAGACGAGTAAAAGTTATAAAACTGAGACTGAGGTATACACATCAAGGTATACATTAGACCTTCTTGGGAGTCACCATATCATCCTCCTTCTCCTTCTCCTTTTCGACCGCAGTCTCGACCACCTTCTCAATCCCTTTGCCATTTTCCTTCTCATCATCCTTGTTGATGTTGATCCCCTTTCCAGTTTCACAGATCTTTTCCTTCCGGCTCTTGATAATCGTACTCGGGCTGCTAAGCGTGATCGATTCCTGAAGAACATTGAACTCCTCCTCATCCATGAGAGCGGCCATGCTCGGTTGTTTGCTGTGTTCGAAACTCATCCCCGTAACGCTGGATATAGCGCGGCTATTCGACGAGCTGTAGTCGAGCATCGGGATATCGTCACGGGAAGCACGCGCACCACGGTGCTGCCAGGTGGGATCAATCGGGATATCTTCACGAGACGAACGGGTACCACGCTGTTGCCAGGCGGGATCGGGATCAGTAAAAATGTCGTGCTCCTGCCCAATATCCCACCGAGGGTCCTGGGTATTATATGCAGGCCAATGAGAAATCGGAACGTCAAAGATACTGCTCGTTGCCCAATTGGTATAGAATGTCGGCGGGGGCGCAACTCGGGGCACAACCTGGCCATGAATAGGTTGCAGAGGAGCGCGAGACTCCTTGGTAGGTGTGTTGTGAGCGTGGCCCTCTGCGTCTTTGGTGTCGATTGAGGCTGAGCTGTATTTGAATGATGAGCGCGGGCGATGCCACATGCTGGGGTTTGGCCAGGCAATGTTCGAATACTCGAGGATGTCTGCAAGGGTGTCAATCAGTTGGGTTATGAAATGGAAGTGGGGATGTCTGAGATCCGATGACTTACTTAGCGGAGCATGCTGGAACGAAAGGGCGACAACGTCTTTGACTCTTTCGAATGGCGGCGAGCGATGGGGACGCGAAAACCCCTCTGCGAGAACGATCTTGATTCTGCCGTACGAATCACCGGCATCCCAATGCCGTTGTTCCAAGATATCCGGATGAAACGGGGGAAAGCGGAGGACATCTTGATTGCCGTCTCGGTCCATCTCTGTTTGCCTTGTTAGAATGGAGAATGACCAAAGGGAGAGATGCATCCGCATAAGCGCCGACATACGAGAACTCAAATCTGGACTCGAAAGATTAGCCCAGTCGTCTCAATCAAGATCGATCATAACTCACTAATAAGGTAGGGCCAATTTGCCCTTTGCGAAAAGATGCCTCCTCTAATTTCCGCAGAAAGTGGTCAACAAAGAACTGCCACGAGGTCCAATAAATGGATGGGGACTCACCCGACACAATCCCCATCAACATACACCCTGGCCTCGTAGAGCAACATATCATCCGGTTGCATGACACTTTCAATCAGACGACTAGGCCGAGGCTTCTCCCAATTATGAATCGAAACTCGAAAGCCAGTGTCCTTGGGCATGCTGGGAATGAAGGTTGTAAGAATAGGCAGCTGGCCGACATTGCCATGGTGAGGATAGAAGTAAGTATTTGCTGCTCCGAAGGTCGAGTGATATTTCAGATAAGGTGAATCGAGGTCCTTTGTGACGAAGCACTGGGTTTTGAATTCCTGAATCGGAGCTTTCGACTCGTCGGAGAAGAGTAGAACATCCCAGTTCTCGTAGCGCATGGTGGAAGGCTGCAGGGTAAGCGAAAGCAATACAGTGGACTTCAAATTGGGGACAAAGGGGGAGGCGGCTGGACTTTTTGTAAATCAAGTCCCCCAAGACTTGAAAGTAAAGAGGATGGACAGAGTTGAGAAGTAAGAAGTAGAAAGGATAAGTTGACGGGGAAGTTGACGGGACTGGAAGGTAGTCGATGCCGCACCATCTGATAGAGAAGGTGCGGGAGGAGTGGAAGGTGCATCTACTGCTGTGCTCTTACTACTACATCATGTCTAGGTATAGTAGTACCACTACTGGTATATGAGGTTACAAGATACGATATCCCAAGATCAAAGGTATGCAGACCAAAAGATTACCAACCAATTCGAGTACACATACACATACAGTCAATCTAGTCAAGTCCAGTGCAGGAAAACGCAAAAGTCAAAGAGTAGGACCTCCAAAAGGTATGCGCCAAACGAAACCAACCCTTGTAGGACATGACACCTGGGCAGAGTGAGTGAGAACAATGAACGCGAGATGGGGGAATCCAAATCCAAGCTATAAAAAAGAGGGATGAGAAAGAAAAACAACAAGCGAGAGTCCAATCCAAGCCGAGGCCAATTCTCAGGAAACCAAATGTCCCGCCAAAGACCGCAGCAGTCAGTTCCAAAGATCTATACCGGACAAAAGATTTGGCAAATGCAGGATGCATATGCATATGCATATGCATATGCCGGTTCGAAGCAGTGCTCAAACGCCCACATGGCAGACAGACACCAAACAAAGAATTTCAAGGACGGTGTTGTACATGTAGTCAATCTAACAACTTGAAAGAGAGGAAGAATAGAAAAAAAGACTGGAAGTGATAGCCGTTCCAAGACCTCATTCGCAGGTCTTCCAAGGACGAAAAGGAAAGCAGAACGCATCTTCGAAACGAACATAATTCAATTTGACTGCTTGGGGTGTGGGGAGGAAGGAGATGTAACTTGAAATTGGGGAGTTTAAAGAAGAGGACATATGAAACGTGAAAAGACTGGAATAGAAGAGAGATAATAGGAAAGAACTTGAAGAAAGTAAATGAGATTTGGAACTTTTGCAGAATGCCTTGCCCAAGGAGTATAGTAAAAAGAAACGCATAAACAAATACGCACTTTCGTTACACGCGAACATGACCCCTAGGGCGGGGTTGGATAAGAATAAAACAAAAGCAGGTTTCAACGTAAAAAGTTCGAAGGGGTTCCCATCAGTTCATCGAAAAGGGCAGATTGGTTAAAAAGCAGTTGGATAAAGGAAAAAAAGAGTAGAAATCCGTACGAAAGGTGTTGGGTGTACAGAAGATAAAGAAGAAAAAAAGAAGCAACAGCAGCATCAGATAAGAAAAAATGGAAATAAGAATGTGGGGCGATTGGGGGATTGGGGTTCGAAAGGAAGAAGAAAACGAGCTCAAATCTTACTAAGATAAAAGCGCTCAGGGAAATGCGTAGCAACAGGAAGGAGAAAGATGCTCATCAAGAGCTATAAGAGCGCATTGATGAAGTATCGGTAGGAACCAGGGAAAAAATAGCAAATTTGTTATGATAACACGGGAACCCATCATTGGAATGACGCAAACAACTCCTGCTGGTGCTTTTCAATCAAAGGAACGCTTACTGGAGAGAACGTAAAGAGTCAGCCGACCGAGCCTGTAACTCAAGAGTGTTCTGGGGCCGGGCTGCCGGGGTGACTGCTAACCTTCATCGGGGCAAACCCGCCATACTGGTGAGCCGGGGGCATGCCCATGGAGGGGTACATGGGGGAGGCGGGGGAGCGGGGCGGTAGGGGCTACCGGCAGGGCCGGAGTTGTTCTGAGAGCGACCCCAGCTCAGACGCACGCGAGAGTTACCGATGGGGTATCCCTGCATCTGGTTGATGGCCATCTCGGCAGCGTGGCGCTGGACGAACTGGACAAAGCCGCAGCCCTTTCCAGGGGGGGATCTTGACGTATGTGATCTCGCCGAATCCCTGGAAGAAAGAGCGGAGCTCATCCTCAGTGACGTAGCCAGACAGACCACCAACGAAGACAGTGGTGTTGTTGGGGTCGGTGAACTGGTTCATGGGCTGGGGAGCACCATAGAAGGGCATGGGGGGGACCGCCCATGGGAGGGTACATGCCGGCGGGGCCGGGACCCATACCCATGTTGGCGCCAACACCGGGGCCCTTGTTCTTGGGGGTAGCGGTGGAGATACGCATGGGGCGGTTGCCACAGTAGACACCCTGCATCTCGGTGAGGGCACGCTGCTGGTCATTCTCATCAGAGAAACGGACGAAGCCGTAGCCACGGGACATGCCGCTGATGGGGTCGGTCATGATCTTGGCGGACTTGCACGAGGGGAAGCGGCTCTGGAAGAGAGAGACGAGAACGTATTCGTTGACCTCTGGGCCGAGGTCACCAACGAAGATGGAGTACTCGGGACCACGGTCGTCACGGCTGCGGGAGAAGTCAGTAAAAACGCGTCACGTTGAAAACAACGATTGTTACTCACCTGCGGTCAGCAAGACCGCCGCCGGTAGCCCAGTTCAGCTTGAAGACCCGGTTGGTGTTGGGCATGGGGGTGCCGTTCAGGGAAAGGGCCTTAGCGGCGGCGGCAGGGGAGGAGAAGTCCACGAAGCAGTATCCAGCATTGCTCCTACTACCACCATTAGTATCCTTTTGGGTAATAATAGGAGGAAACAGTTCGTACCCAGAGAACTTGTCACGGATCATCTTGACGTTGACCTGCTCACCCATCTGGAACCAGAGGTTGCGGATGAAGTTCTCATCAATCCAGGGCTCGAGCTCACCCATCCTATGTTGGTCAGCGCTTGGTCCGCGGGGATTCGAGAATCAGTTCTGACATACCAGAGAGTGGTCTTGCCATCGGCGCCCTGCTGAGGGCCGGCGGAGTTGGGCTCACCAGGAGCGGGACCCTGGAAGGAGGCAGCGGCCATATCGGGCTGACCGGCCATGGCAGTGTCGGCATCGGGAGCACCGGGGCCGGGAGCGGCACCATCGGCCTGGTTGGGGAAGGAATCGAAGTTTTGGAAAGACATTTTGTAAAGCTCAAACTTGTCCGACAATCGACGTAAGAATATAGAACGGCCTGCGACGAGAAGTTCGTGGAGTCGTTAAGGGAGAGACGTGAACGAGCAATTCGTAATGAACCCGAAACGAAGAGATGGGCGTGAGTATTCCTGATGAAAGAGATGTTAGAATGGGTGAGGTGAGAGAATTGTGCCCAGAGCAAGCAATGCGACGTGAAAGGGAAGCGATGCGACGCGGGTCCAGATGCACACGTGCGGAGCGCAATCAAGCAGGCTGTGAGAGGAGATGCAGGCACCCGACAAGCGAAGATGTGAGAGCTGAAAGTGATCGAAGTGATGGAAGCGATGGAGGCGATGGAAGCGAAGCAAGCGATGAGATTCAACGAAATGAATTGAATGGTTCAAATCGACGAAAACCTCAACGAATGGATGCCTGGTAGTAGGTAACCAGGGTGCGCAGCAAGGATTGGGAATGGGAGCTCAGAGGGAGGAGAAGAAGAAAAATGGAATCGCTGCAGGCAGCGCTGCGCACAAAATCCAATGCGCCAGGTTGTGAGCGACGCTGTCGTGCAGTGCAACTGTTGTTGTGGAGTAGGTGGTTGCGCCGGCCGTTTCCGTCCAGCGCTCCTCGCACACAGTTCGGTGATTGCGACCGTCTTCGCCCCCAGTGTATCCACTCTTCGCTCCCGACCAGACCCAAGACCACTCCTAGCTGGCGCGACCTGATGCGACCATGTTTTCAATGCTGGCGACAAGCAGGGAGTGCTGGAAGTAAGCGGCGCGAGATCCCGGCAGGCATAACGAAAGTACCGGCTGGAGCGGGCGCGCGGGCGGAAAGCGAGGAAGGCGACCGGTAGGAGATACCCGGCGACCGAGAACAATGGAGGATCGAAGATGGAAGAGGCGAGGATGGATGCGCAGCTTGCTTCGCTTGGATGGCTCTGGGCGGGATGGAATAGGATGGGTGGTGGTGGGGGAGTGGGAGATGCATAGGCATTGGAAAGGGCGATGATGAAAGAGGCTGATGAGAAGTGACTTTGAGACTTACCAAGGGGATTTTGGAATAAACCTGTGCGAGAAAGCTCAAAGCAGAAGGGACGAGTGAGACCTGAAAAGAAGCACAACTCCCGAGAACGGCGCAAGACAGAAACAAGCAAACCGAAGGGAACAATAGGAAAGAGGAAAAAGTTGGAGGAGGGGAAAAGCGATGAAGAATGGAAATCTCTTGTGAAGAGAAAGTCGCAGAGGAGGGGAAGTGGGCTTTTGCGCGAATTTGCCTGGTATGTATGTATCGTGGTATGGTATGGTTATGTTATTGTATTTCAGTAATGCAGTGGTGGTGGTGCTGGAGCGGAAGTATACAGCCATGCTTACCTTATACTATACTACTGCAAGGAATATGACTTGTCGCAGACCCTAGCTTCAATAGAATTGTATTCACTGTATCTGTATCTATATCTGTACCGAGTATTCTGTACGAATGCTCTATTGACCAGCGGAGGTGGTCAATAGTATACAACAAAGTACTGTAGCTGTAGTATAGGTGTAAGTAGAAGGTGTACTCGTACCCACACTCTTCATCAGCTCTTTGAGCTGAAAGACAGAGGGGCGAGCTCAAAGCTCCACAACGCCACAGAACCATGGGAGAGTAACATAAGCGATGTGTTTCAGTCATTGAGGTACGGTAACCACCTCTAGTCATCAGGGTACTCTGTAATCTGTATCGCCATCACCATTGCCATCACCATCACCATCCCATCCCATCAACAAAGTCTAATAGCGCCAAAAACAAAGATCAGAACAAACCAACTCTATGCAAGGTATCCGATCCGTCCTTGCTGACTCGATACGTCACCCGCAGCAGACCCAGATCCGTGGGTGGAGTGGCGGGGTCCATACAATACCGTCAGCTTAAATACTCCGGACAGAGAATACCCAGTAATGATTCTAGAGAAACCGGTTTGAAGTGTCCAGCTGGACATGGACAGCATGACCTTAGCCATAACCACAGCCATGGCCATGGCCATGGCCATGGCACAGGTATGAATGAGCAAGGAGGACGCTGATCCCACCACGCCTTCTGCTTTGATTTTCGATCGTCTCCCCTTGGTTCAAAATATGAACTCATATTCCGTCGGGGTCTTATGTTATGCTCCGTACCAGTCAATTCATTTCCTGATGGTACAGTACCAGATTACCAGATTACCACAAACCCGTGAGATCGGATCCTTGCATCGCATCGGCTAATTCTTCGCATGATCGATTCCTATTTTCTCTAGCCTCTTCCTCCGTATAAGTTCGCCGTAACCACTACAGGTATGTACTTATTTACCCTCCCTGTCGATTTAACCTAGTGGATTCGCTGCGACCCCTGCAGTATGGGGGAAGGCAGGGGAGGGGGATGTACTAGTAGTACCGACCCTATCTGCAAGGCCGATACAGTATATAACTGTACTAGTAACTACCGACCACCCCTACCTCATGTACTGGGTATCCCTACCTGCCCTCCTTATAGTGCTTACTCTATACCCCGGAGCAGTGTATAGTTCAGCAAGGTCCAGGTACAATGAAATGAAATGAATCGAATCGAACTGGACATGATTACAGCTTAATAATGCTCTGTTCCGCGAACCATGGAACGAACCTCGGGCAATTCGGATTGGTAGGGTAAGCCCTAGCTACCTCAGACCAGTGCTGTATAGTCATCTTATGTATAGGATTATTGTATATACCCGTGGAATATCAACAAAGAAGAGAAGGGCCCAATCATGAATACAAATAAAGGGAGTTTTGGTAACAATAATTTTCTTTAAAAAAAAATACTCCCACTTCTCTAAACACATTCGTGGCTCAGGCCCGAGGCTGAGTCCAAGACGAGAAAAAGAGAAAACTCCACTTTCAGGGCTCGCATCCACACTAGTTCGCGACGCTTCATCCAAAGAGAAGCCCCAGACTCGCTTCGTTCAATACCGCCCGCGCTCCTCGTATAACCCTTTCCAAACAACCACACCATTACTCCATACGCCGCTGAAACATGCCTGTGTCAAGTTTTACTTGCTTTTTCGCTTTCCGCTTTTTCCGCATGGGAGCTCTCGTATGTACTAGCTCCAGCTTGGGACTGCTTGGCTTGGCTTTGGGATTGATTCCCGATGACCTGGTTACGTACAGTACCTAAAGTACGTAAACCCCGATTCTCGGGCTGCGCTGCACTTGGGTTTTTTTGGTGCCTGAATTGCTTTCAGCTTTCCCCACTGTATTTTCTTTTTTTGGGCACACCTGTCTCGAACTAGTGTTTTCGAGAAGGTTCTTTTGTTCCGTTTTTTTGGGAGGCGGATTCCTTAAGAGTGGGACTTTTGTGATGGGAATCTAGATCTTAGTTTGGGGGTGGATTAGCGTACAGAGCTACACTAGCCTTGAAGTACATACTTGACAATTGTTCTCTCTTAGATAGTTACTACTATATACTAGTAGAAAGCACAAATTTCCACAATCAATTACCAACAAAGCTTCAACGCAAGAATAATATAATACTACATACATACTCCGTCCTTTAGAAATAAACCATCATCATGATATTAATAGTATGTCACATCCCATCTAAACCACCCGCACCCCCAACCTAATCATCATCCGCAAGCAACATCAACGTCCGATCATAAACCCTAGTCGCCTCCAAAACCCACGGCTGCTCGCCAGCCCCTTCCTCCCCTTCCTCCTCCTCATCTCCCACAGGTAATACAGAAAAAACCTTATACCGCGTCGTCTCCGCAAGACTCCGAATCCGCACCTTTTGCGTCTGCGTCACCAGAACGGGGCCACGGCCGGAATGAACTGACGATGCCGACGCTGACACTGATGCCTCGCGGAGCGGTTCCCGCGTCAACGGATGAATACCCGTGCAAAGCGCGACGAAAACCTCGTCGAATTTATGCAAGAGGGTTAATGCGGATGGCCCGTCGAAGGGTGTGTTGGTAGGGCTGTTTCGGTGATTCCCGCCAGCGTTATTAGGCTTTCGGTTTGGATTGAGGCTGGGAAGTTTGTTAGTATATACTAGTACTAGTACTAGTACATAAATATAATATAATATAATATGAAATGAACATAACCAAGCATGAACTCACGAGAAGCACACCCCCAAAGCAAATCAACCAACACCTCCACATCAGCCGCAAATTCAGCAAAATTCTCATACCGCCGATGCGAGACGTGAGTATCTGGTGCATCCATGCCCATCTCGGATTTCATTTGTCGGTATGTTATTCTCTCGATGGCTGCGCTTACGCGGCCGCGGAGTTGGGTTTCTTCTTCTGAGCCTGGGAGGGGGGTTGGTTTTTGGGGTGGGAGGGTTAAGGTTGGGGTCCATGGTTTAGATTTGTTCGAGTTCAAGTTCGACGTGGATTGGGCTGAAAAGAAGCCGTTTGAATTGGGGTTGGAATTGGGGTTGGGCCCGTTAGTGGAGTGTTCATGGATGCCCGGGACGTCTTCGAATTCTTCGTTTAGGTCGGAGTCTGAGTCTGAGTCGCGGTCTTGGGTGGACATTTTAAGTTTGATTTGAGATGAGATGAGATGAGGCGTATTTTGAACTTAAGGTTGGTTTGCTGGGTTCTGGCGATCTGATATCTGGTACACCGTCCTACAGGGCTCTTTGATAGCTATAAGCTTACTGCGGGGTAGAGCTGATCGGTAATGGTGATGGTAATGGTAATGGCGGGAGTCGGCGTACCCGAGAAGCAGTAAGATGTGCGGAAGGAATAAGGTATTTCCTGTACGCCCGGTCTCAGCTGGAAAAAGGGGTTGTGCAACGATTCAGTCTATGAGGAGGTACGAAGCTTGGAGCTTGATCTGGGATGTCATGCCAAGCCTTGGTCTGTGCGCGGCATTGATGAGGTCCATGCCCGTTCGAGTTATACGGTGTATCTGCGGGCTAGGGTACGAAAAATCCGAAGAAGTACAGGTAGATAGGTCACAATCTGCAGAGACGATGATGCTGAGATCGAGAGCAGATTTTCAATAATAGCCTCAGGCTGGGAGAGATATTTTGAAGGGTAACCACAACATGGCGACATATAGTTACTAGGCAGTCGGTGGTCTATATATTACTTGCTCTATACTACTAGATCCATCAGTGGCATCTTCACAGTCCAGGCAAATAGTTTAAATCTACGCTCAGCACAAAAAGATTGTAAACTTGAATGGAATCTATATTCATGTCTTGATTTAATATTCGAACATTCGTAACTATATTCAATAGAAAATTAGCACAAGTCACATCAACGATCAAGATCGCGAACAAGGTAATTAGGGAAAGCTCCATGTCAGAGGTCGAGAAGATTTGATAATGCTGGTTTTTGTTGACATGGCAGACAGCGGCTAGCGCGTCTTGCTACACTGGCCCCAGCGTACTCATCATAGAGTGAAGAAGAGGGAAAGGGAAGAAGCATAAGAGCAAAAAAGGGACATGGGGGAATTGGACCAACTCACCATATACCAGAACAACATCCCACATCGAAAAACTCCACAAACGCCATAATGATGCCACACACTCACTCCGGCTAAAAGGATAAAAAGTTAGCATAAACACCTTCAACCCCAAAAAAAGCCAACCCTGCTGCGGGAAAACTTACCCTAATCTTCCCCCCTTCGCTCCTTAATATCCCGCAACTTCCGCTTATCCTCATCGAAAGCCCTAAGAAGCTGATTCTGCTTCTCCTTCCTCTTCTCTCTCGACTGGAACCGATAAAAGTCCTCAAGACCCTCATTCTTCTTCTTCTTCTCCCGTTCAACAAGAGCCTTAAGCTCCTCCTCCTCAGCAAGCGAATTAAGCTTCGGTCCATGCGAAACAGTAACAAATCCATCCTCATCAGGCTCAGTAAGTTTCCTCGCCTCCTCACGACGTCTCGCCTCCTTAACTTGTTCGAAAACAGTCATGAAATCATTCACTGATCGTAACAGCGCCGCTCGATCCGGATACCGCAATTTCTCATGCGCGATGTATCGCGATACGCCGAGGTTCGCGACGCGATCAGCGGGCACACCGGTGCCCCAGGGAATTAGCGTTCCCTTTTTTGATGCCTTGAGCGTTGCTTTGAGACTGGCTTCCATGGATGGTTTATCGGCGAAAATGACAATTGCGTGAGAGCCGGATTTTTGTAATTGTCTGTCCCAGGTTGAGGGGGCTTTTATTTCGTCGAGGGTTTCTTGGAGTTCGTCTGCTGTAGCGAGGGTGCGGGCACGTTTGCGTTTCTTGCTATTTCCTCGTGAGCCGTGGGCTATGCCGGTTTCTGTTGCGGCTGCTGCGGCTGCGGCGGCGCGTTTCTTGTTGCTGGGGACATTTTCGAATTGGACTTTTTCCACACGGCCTGCTGAGAGGGATGTGGCGAATAGGGCGCGGAGGTGTGCTTCTGTTGTGTCGATGGGTGTGTTGACGAGGAAGAGGGAGCGGGTCGAGTCTGGGTCTGGAATTCGGGGTTCGTGCGGTCGGATGTAGAGGTAGTGTGTTGCTGGTTTGGGGTAGGCTTCTGTGGCTGGGAGCTCGAGGGTTAGGGTGGTGTACCCTTCCACCTCTACGGAATCTTTCTTCATTCTTGGGGTGGGGAATGGGTTGTTGGATTGCGGGTGCAGTTGAGAAACTTTTTTGAAGGTTTTGCGCTAGCGTTGGATTCTGCCGGGGTTGGTGGGCGGTGGAGGATAGGCGGTGAGATCTATGCAGGACTTACATTGATGAAGATGGGATGGAATGGGGAAAATAATTAGTTCATTGGTTAAGTTGGGGGTAATTATAATAGTTTACAAAATGTCGTGGCTCATATCATAATAATGCATAATTGTCGTTTGGTCCGTGAAGCTTTCGTTCAAATCGTGATCATCGTACATCGGTAGTATCATAGCTTGTCGGGATCATTGATACCTCCATTCGTAATGATATAAGTCGCCTCTCGCTCGGGGCAGTCTAGAGCCATTAGCATCATTCAAAGAGTTTCTTCGAGAGGGTGATAACTAACCAGGCGAGTCTTGAATCTTGGCCACTCGTTCTTCACCACGACCCTTGCGGAGAAGCACACGGGTGGTCGACGCATGCGCAAGAACATGTCCTCCAACAGGCTTGCGGCCATCAGCTCCAGCAAACAGTGCACTAGCACCAGGGTCACTCTGAACTTGGTTTGTCTGGTATGATACAGGTCAGAAATCACCTCAACGTATCCAGCCGGGAAGGAAAGCAAAGCCCCCCGAAAAAGCAAAAGCAAAAGAAAAGAAAAGAAACTCACCATGAGAACACAAACATTGAACTCTGCAACCCACGATCAAATCAGCAAGCCATACATCAAACAACCCCAATCCAAAGTTGTTACAAAGACAAACTCACCCTCAGCCATATGCGCCAATTTCATAAGAAACTGATTAAGCTTCTGCTGCCTCTCAGCAAGTTCACCACGCCCACAATAATCGACCCGAAAACAATTCATAATGGAATCAATAACCAGCAACCGAAACTCGCCTCCGGCAAACTCACAACTAAGCGTATTCAACAACTCAAGTTGATGCTCACTATTCAGCGCACGCGCGTAAGCAATATTTTCCTGCGCCGTCTCAGGCTCGACGCCGAATCGTTCTGCAATTTGCGCAATTCTTTCGGGTCGGAAGGTTCCCTCGGTGTCGATGTATGCGACTTTTCCGTCTGCGCCTCCCAGGTTGCGTGGGAGTTGGGCTATAACGGACATTGTGTGGGAAAGTTGGGTTTTGCCGCAGCGGAATTCGCCGAAGACTTCGCTTATGGACATGCTTTGGAAGCCGCTGGTGGGATGGGTTAGATGGGGGTGGGCCGTGTTTGTATGTAGGTATATTGGAATGGCTTACCCGCCAAGGATAGAGTCGAATTGTTTGCTCCCAGTCGAAATGCGAACGACCTTTTTGCGTTGGTGGAATAGTTCCATGGCGGTGATGAAACCTGATGCGGATGGCTGGAATGGGATGAAATCGTTAGAGTCAGTGTCTGGTCTGGTCTGATCTTGTCGTCTCTATTTGGGAGAGAGAAGAGAGGAGAAATTTACCAAACATTTCTGAATCGCCTCTTTGACCTTCTCGACCTTGATCTCGCTGAATCCCTTGATTTTCAGAAGTGTTTTGCGCGTGGCGCCGTGGACGGACTGAAGGGTCGTAGTGTTGTGTTAGTATAGTACTGAAAGACTGTATGTTTGTGCAAACATAATTTGTCTGGGACTAAGTTGAAGCAAAGGCTAAGGCTTACGGCAACGGTGTAGAATCCATTTGCTTTTAGTTTTGTGATGTCTGCGGCGCCGATGCCGTGTGCTTGGATGCTGTCGATGTCGACGATGAAGTTCTGGACCGAGTGTTAGTGATTGAGGGTGATGGAGGAGGGTGGGAAGAGTGTACTTCGTCGTTTAATTCGTCGTCGGAGATTGAACCTGCCATTGCGATGGTTTGATTGTAATTTCAATGGACGAGGTGGTGATTGGAGTGGTGGTGGTGGTGTGTGAGGGAGAGGAAAGGAAAGTAGAGTAGAGTGAGGTAGCCTGGCTGTCTACCTCCACTACCCTACTAGTAAATACTTCTAGTAGTACTATAAATCCCGTCCCTTTCCCAAACTACAATCCAAAATCTGCTACAACAAACTACAGCCTACAAGTAAACCATTGAAGAAGGATTTGCGTTTTCATGTTCTCAGCACCGAGGATCTTCTCTTCCCACCAAAGGCCATTCCAACAAACTGCACTTCGCCAATATTCTCTCTGCAAACTTATCCACACATCCATATTCCACATCCATCATCTCATCTCATCGCCACCTGCTTCACACCACTCGTCTCATACTCTCTCTTCTCATCTCTCCACTCCTCTCTCCTCGGCCCTAGGAAAACCGAACCGCAATCAAGAGTAGAATCGAATCGAACTTCATCATATAGAGAGAAAGATTCATCCATGGGGAAAACAAATAGGACAAAAGACGCCAATCATGAGACTTGAGCTTTTTGCGACAGTATCAAGTTAAATCAAGTCAAGTCAGGAAGAGGGTAGGGTAGGGTAGGGGGGATCGTTCGTGAATCAAAAAGCAAAAAAGTAGGGGGGGACACAACTTTTTTCCGTTTGATTGTCGTATACATGATAAAATATAAGGAAAACAAATAAAAAGAAAGAGAAGAAAAGGGCTTGGAGAATAGTAAAGCTTGAAGGCTGATGGGAAGTTTTTTTTGTCGAAAAATCAAATCAACCAAAGGGAGTGGGTCGGAAGTGGTCAATATATGCAAAGGAGAAAGAAAATGGGCGCAGAGACTCCGTAAAGAAGAAAAGGATCGGACCGGACCGTGACCGTTCAGGGAAAGAGTTGACCGTAATACAGAAATTGAGGTGAAGAAATGATGAATGAATGGTAGTGAAACCTTCAATCCAACAGAATAGCCTAGTCAGCTCTCACTCCCTATGCGACAGCGGTAGTAGGAGCCGCAGACGCAACAGGAGCCGCATCACCATTAGCCTCGACAGCAGGCACAGCAGCAGCAACAGCAGCAGCGGGAGCAACAGGCGCATCAGCCGGGACAACCGGGGCGGCAGCATCGACAGCGGCGACAGCAGCAGCAGCAGCACCGGCCTCAGTGTTAGTCGGGCAATCGCGAGAAATGTGACCAGCCTGAGCACACTTGTAGCAAACCTTACCAGCAGAGCTGAGAGGACCACCGTTAGGAGCGGTACAGTCACGCGAGATGTGGCCCAGCTTGCCGCAGGCGTAGCACTTCATGGCCTGAGCTTGGCAATCACGGGCGAAGTGGTTGGGTCCACCGCACTTGTAGCATGTAGCGGCGCGAGGGTATCCGCCGAAGTTACCGCGGAATCCGGGCTGGAAGTTACCGCGAGGAGGACGGGGGCCTCCAGGACCGCCAGCTCCAGGACCAGCTCCGGGTCCAGCTGCAGCGCCGGGGGCGGCGGCGGGGTTGGGGCAGTTGCGGGCGAGGTGGCCGGGTTGGCTGCAGTTGTAGCAGCGGCCGTTGGCACCGCCGTTCAGGCGGAGGGTTGGGCAGTCGGCTTGGACGTGGCCGAGACCCTGGCAGTTATAGCATTGCTTGGCTGGAAGAGGTCAGTCAGCATGGCTGAGCGGGGAGCTGGGAGCTGGGTATGTGGGTTGGATATTTCTTACTCTCGGTGGTGCGAGGACGAGGGCAAGCGCTGGATTCATGTCCTATTTGGAGATCAATAAGAGCTGGCGGAGGAATGGTTATAGACGACGAACATACCGGGCTGCTTACCTATGAGAAAGAGGTTAGTAGGGCATTCCAAAAAGGTCAGGGAAAGAAAGATAAGAGGGAACTCACAGTTATAGCAGAGACGCTCAGAGGAGGAGCAGACCTCTACGGTAGTAGGTTAGCGACATGCTTCAAGATCGGCCCAAAAAAAAATCACGACATGAGCTCATATCGGGGCCGTGAACTCACCAGCGTAGTGGCCAATGTTGCCACACTTGTAGCACGCGCGACGAGACAGCATCATCTTCTATATTCTATGCAAATGGTTAATACCGAGGTAAAACGCAGAATTGCACCGCATGTCGCCGCGAGCTTGTTGTCCCTCCGCTCCCCTCGCATGGTGTAATATTATGGAATGCGCATGATATGATCCAGCGAATCGATCCGTCAAGCTCCGGGTAATCATCCAGCTGTCGCAGTGTTGATCGTCGAGTCGGAGATATTGGGGATTGCCCTCGTGCGGTGCGGGATGGAGGGGAGAAACGTCGATCCGCGGGGTGCAGCAAGCCAACAAGCTCACGACAGAAGGGGAATAAAGCATAAAAGAAGTCGAAAATTGAAAGTTCTCACATACCCTTCCTTAAAAAACACTTCGATACCTTGACAGATCTGAGCGGGGAAAAAAGAGGCCTTGGTCAGCAAGCTGAAAAAAAGAGAGAGCACCACGTTCTTGACAGGCGGGGGAGCAAGGCAAAGGGAAAGAAAAAAAAAGAACACACAAAGTGGGGTATACCGCACAACGCAGAGAGAAGGAAAAGAAATAGAAAATAGAAATCAAAGAAAAGAAATCAAGCATGAAATCAACTCACCAACTCGAACTCAAACTCACAAACGTTGAAGAAAGTCTTGAGTTTTGTGGAAGGAAAAGGTTGCAAACTCGACAAAATTGACACTGCCGGACTTTTCCGCATTGCGTAAGGCCTTTGCTGATTCACCCGCCCTGCCATTGGACTGAGTACTTTATAACATTGTTAACATTGTTAAAAATTAGTAACATTCAAGTAATTTACAATAGCAATTTAGTAAAAGTGAATTTCATTGAGACTACGAGTATGGGGATATTGACATGAAGGGCTTGGAATTGGGGAACTCCCTGCATTCCCGCTGCAAATATGATTAATGCAACGCCGGTCCCTCCATTCTCCGATCTGCGATACGATACGATGTGATGCGATGCAGTGCGATTCTTCTTGATAATGTATTTCATTTCTTCGTTCTCAAGCTGCATTAAGCCCGAGATGTGCCTGCACAGGGCGCGTACATGTTTTAAACTTCAAATAAAGAATAAGGTGTGCTTCAAAAGCTTCAAGGTCAAGGTCAAGTCAAGGTATGAGGAGAGCGACACCAGGCCGAATCTACTCCTCCTTCTCCAGGACGGCCGGGGCCTTGACCTCGCGACCGGCCAGGAATTCAAGGTTCTCACCTCCCTGTCAAAACTTAATCAGTCTTTGTTGCATCTTGGTTGCAGGTAAAAGGGGAAAATGGTATAATCACTTACATAGCTGATCAGCGGAGAAACTTCCACTCCATACGCCTCGGCATCGGTAATGACAATACCGCCAGCAGCCTCGAGCCACCTTTGCCCCTGCTTCATGATATCGTCGCGGCTGGTATCAGGATCATCCTGCCCGGTACCACGGGCGTTCTTGAGCGGCGAGAACTCATCCTCACGACGCACCTCAATACTGGCAAACTTGTTCAGAGGAGTCATGGGGAAGACATCAAAGACAAACTGCTCCAGTTTGATTCCGTTAGGCTTCTCGGGCTTCTCGGCCGCGCCGGTCTCAGTGTTCACGAAGGGGATCTTCTTGCGGGCCACGTGGTGGGGCAATTGGTGCGCCCAGTTCTCGATAGACTCGAAGAAGCGGAAGGAGTAGTAGTGGTTGACGATGTTGGCGGCGCGGTACTTGAGCAGATCGGCGTTCTTGGGGTCCTTGGCTTCGGCGGTCTCCTTGTCGATTTCGGAGTACTCGACGACATCGGGCTTGCCGTTCTTCTGGAGGATCAGACCGACGGACTCGGTGGCGTCACGCTTGCGAACGACCTTGGTTGCGATGTCGACGTCGTGGGCGGCGGAGAATCCGATGAAGACGGGGTCCGCGACCTTGACTAGGCAGTTGTCGACGCAGTAGGCGTGGATGTGCTTGATGCCGCGCTTGCGCATGTCCTCGCGGGCACCGGAGGTGACGAGAGCCTGGTAGATACCACCGTTTCCATCAGGAGCCACGGCGGCCTGGTGTTTACTATGTTAGCAAAGTGTCGAAACCATATGAGAGAGGGGTGGGGGGTTGCGATTGTGGACTCACCTTGCCCTTGTTCTCCAGAATAATCTTGCCCTCGTTCGAGATGCAAGGAAGAACACCTTGCTCAAAGATGAAGACATTCTTCTTATCGAGACCGAAGTAGTTGCTCTTCTCGAAGAACTCCTCGGTAGGACCGCGAGTAGGACCGCTGGTCATGACATACCAGGGGATGGTGGCGGAGGCAACACCGTGAGCCTTTGAGGCCAGCTCCTGCAGCTTAGCGATACGCTCAGCCTGGAGCTGGAAGAGAGACTTCTGGCTCAGCAGACCGATGTCGAAGCAACCCTTGGGGGCGGAGCTACCGAGACGGGTTCCCTGGCCACCGGCCATCAACACCACGGCCACCTTGTTATCAGCCACCTCCTTCAGACCGGCATCGTACCACTTCTTCAGGTCGGCGGGGTCAGAGTCGAGAATGGAGGCGGTCGCGGACTCGGGCAAGGGCTCGAGGGTCACGGCGGTCTCCTCGGTCTTGGGGGGGTTGAGGGCCTTGTCGGCCAGCTCGTTGATGCGGGCGGGGTCGAAGGTGGACAGCTGGTGGAAAAGACGGGACTTCTCGGCGGTAGGCAGCTCATCGATGAAGGCAAAGACTTGGCCTTGACCGGCGTCGGAGTACTTCTTCTGTAGTTGCTGGAGCTCCTCGGCGGAGGGCTCGCGGGGAGCTTCCTCAGCACCAGAGAATTTTCCAATTAGATTGGAGACGGTTTCTTTGATTGCAGCAGCCATTGTGAAAGGTGGAGGGGGGAAGGAGGAAATAATTAAAGTGGGAGGAGAGGGAAGGGAGAAAAGAAGGGCGGGAGAGGAAGAAAAAGAAGAAAGGAAGAGGGGAAAGTGGCAAAAGTAAATAAATTGAGACGCGGGGTGAAGCTGAAGCACCCAACAAAAGTGGCTACACCGTAAGTTTCACCACTGTCCTCCGTACACACTGCCACCCTTTGGAATGTGCTAGTTGCTGTAGTACTTATTTTTAGCGTGAGACGAATGAAACCCATGGATCGCGGCACTAGCAGTCAATCGGGCCTGAGACATGTCCACTGTTTGTCCACTGCCACTCCTCGGCGGGACCCGCTAGCGGGGCGAAGCTGCCTTTCAAGTTGATATTTGAATTTGCATTTGCATGAGCAGTTGTATTTACAGGAGTATTTGCATTTGGTGGATAGTGCACCGGGAGTGCCTTGCGAGAGGGGTTTGTGTAGGCCTTGGGGGTACCCTAGAGTATAGGTGTAGGTGTAGATATAGATCTTGATACTGCTGAAGCTCCAATACACCCCACTCTCCCACTAAATTAGTCGCTATGACAACAGCAAAAATCAATTGACTAGAGAACGCAGTGACAGCTCGACAATGGCATCCATTGCCTCGAGATCTCATCGCTTAGTTTACTAGTACTAGTATTTTCTAGTTTGCCCTGTTGTACTACTAGTAATACCAGTAGTCGACGGCTGCAGGCTTTACAATACCGGGTCTCAACTCTTGGCTACCTTACATCCAGTGGCACTGTCAGTAATATATATAGCTGTGATGTGAAACTACTAGTACACTATTTATTCACTTACCAGTTGACAGCCTGACACTTGAAAATACAAAAACTAGTCGCAATCGTTAGCGCCAATAGCGCGGGGTGATCTGGCGGGGCACAATAATCCCAGCTACCACACATTCCCTATTCAAAATTGACTCGGACTAGAACCATGGGAGACAGATTCCTACCCGTGAGAATGATATAGCATCAATATGATCTGAACCCCAGTTGAATCCAATGGACCCCCCTCTCAATATCAGCCGGCATAGCAGGCCTTATCGGCCTAGGAATCCAAATCGGCCCCGCCATCCACGACTACATCGCGACCGCCAAAAAAGCCGAACAAGACATAAGCTGGTACGCAGACGAAGTCGACGCATTGATAGAAGTCTGCGTATGTTTAGACGACTTTCTCAAAGCAGACGCCGTATCGCAACGGAATCATTTCCGAACAACGGACTCGGTTCTCGGCCGTACGGTTACATCTTGTGATGCGTCGTTGCGCAAATTGGGAACCTTGCTTGCGGTTCCGGTGGAGTGGACGCAGAAGTTGAAGTGGCCTTTTAAGAAGAAGAAGGTTGATGAGATTATTTCGAGACTTGGGAGGTTTACGGCGCTGTTTCAGTTTTCTTTGACTGTTGAGGGGTTGTAAGTCTTCACCCGCCTATTTAGGGCATTTCCTTTTCGGCGATAGGCGATATTGTGAGGCTAAATTAAGTAAATATAACAGTACGGTCCTTTCAAATACACCCAAAGATGTCGAGGATCTTTTGAAATTACAGGTAGAAGCTTCACAGAAACTTCACGAGATTACAAAAGATATCGATGCGCTCTCGGTTAATGCAGAGAAATACCGCAGCACAGCGGAGAACATGTCTTCAATGCTCGAGGGTATCCAGTCGTTGCTATCCGCCTCTGATCAACTATCATCTATCCAGCGTGATGTAGGTAGTATCAAGAGACAGCTCACTGATACGTATGATATGGAAATCCTCGAGTGGCTGTCACCAGAGCATGGGCGTGGACGACACTCCGAAGTACGCTCAAGACGAACGCCAGGAACGGGGAAGTGGCTGGTAGATACGTCGAGCTTTCAGAACTGGATTGATAAAGAATCGCTGCAGAGAATGCTTTGGCTTGTTGGTGATCCGGGTTGTGGCAAGTCGACTTTACTGTATGTACTGTACCTGACCCCCTCTCTCAAGAGAAATGTCACGCTAATGCCTTTCTAGATCCTTCGTCGTGGACGAATTGAAAGAATCCCACGCAGGAGACGAAAGTGCCATTGCATATTACTACTGTGACTACAGAGTTCAAGATACACATCCTCTCGTCGCTGCTCTTGGAGCTCTCCTCCGCCTACTACTCGAACGCAAGAAGATCATCCCGCCAATGCTGCGCGACACCTTCGAGAAATCGCGACATGAAGGGAGAAAGCCATTCCCCTCGGAGCTAAAGGAGATTCTCTTCTCTGTCACGGCATCGTTCGAGGATTGTTTTATTCTTATCGATGCCATGGATGAATTTAGTATCTCTGACACAGCACATCTCCCCCAATTCATCCACACTTTAGACGAACTTGCTGCATCTGGCGTCAATATTCTAGTAACGAGTCGCGCACCGCCAAGTCCGCCGTTGAAATGCGAGCATATTGTTAAAACGATTCATGCAAATGAGACGGATATCAGCAGCTATGTTGCCCACGCTCTGCATACGGATGATTCCTTGGTCGACATCCTTGATAAATCTTTGGAGAGAGATATTAGTCAAACGGTGGTTGAACAGGCAAAGGGGATGTAAGTGTCTATCCTGAACTCGTTTGATAAAATCTAAAACCACCACGAATATGAATATGAATATTAACTTGTTTAAAAAAAAAGGTTCCTCCTCGCCGTCCTCCACCTCCAAAACATCCGAGGCCAAGTAACCCGCTCCGGCGTGCGCAAAGCCCTAAAAACCCTCAGCGGCGGACTAAGCGACGCCTACAAAAAGACCTTCGAATGCATCGAGCACCAATCGCAAGCACGGCAAAAATTAGCCTTCGACTCACTAATGTGGGTATCAGCATCGTACCGTCCGTTGAAAAGTCTCGAGCTCCAACACGCACTGGCAACACAACTCGATGACGAAGAATGGGATCCGGAAAATATTCCTTCCCTCAGGTTGATTATTAGAAGTTGTTGTGGTCTTTTGGCTGTTGATGATCCTGATAACTCCGGGTCTGATGTGCGTTTGGTGCATAATACGCTTCATCATTATTTGTTTACTTGTTTGCCGGAGTGGGAGGATAGAGCGAATCGGCTTATAACTCTGACTAGTTTGACATATCTTCATTTTGCATCGGTGCAGGATCAGCATAGCAGCGACAGCAGCGGCAGCAGAAGAAGAAGCAGCGGTAGTACCAACGACACCAGCAGCAAGAGCAAAAAATCACCACGACAAAAACTGATTCTAACACCCTTCGCCCGCAACAACTGGGGCCACCACGCCAAACGCCTCAACGCCTCAATTTACGAAAAAACAAGCCCTAACCCTCCTATCAAACCGCTTCCGACTGTGCATCATATACCCGAGAAGCCCACGCATAACCGGCCTCCATATAACAGCCACATTCGGCTTAACGTCTCTCCTAAAGACCCTTCTCTCGCAAATTCCACAACCTCAACAACGCAATAACCGTGACACCCTAGAAGTTACAGAAGCACTCTGCAAAGCATGCAAACACAACCATCTAGACTGCGCATCAATACTCCTATCTCACGGCGCAAGGCCCGATCCACCGGGGTCGAGTATAACGCCACTATACACCTGCGTAACCAACCAGAACCTGGAGTTGGTGACCTTACTCCTTGACTCCGGCGCTGATCCAGATCGACCTTGTGCGGATGGGTGGACGGCTTTGCATAAGGCGGCTGATGATGGGAATTTGGAGATCGTGGGGTTACTTGTTCGGAGGGGGGCTTCTTTGAGTCGATATTCTGCGCGTGGATTGACGGCTTTACATCGTGCTGCGGGTCGGGGTCATGTTGATGTTATTGAAACTTTGTTGGCGAATGGGGCGAAGGTTGGTTGTAAGAGTTCGGATTGGTGGACGCCGGTTCATGGGGCTGCTTCTGCGGGGAGGACGGGGGTTGTTTCGTTTTTGATTGGGTATCATGAAATGCATTCTGGCGGTGGTGGGAGCAGCAGGTGGCCTGGCGATGATTTTGATGAGATACAGAGTCAAGATCAGAGTCAGAAACTGGCTGAAATTCCTGGTGGTGTGAATTTCCGCACGAGGAAGGGTTGGACTCCCCTTCATCTTGCTTGTCAGGGGGCGCATGTTGATACAGTTGAAGCATTGCTTTCTGCTGGTGCGAGTGTGAGTGTTGTGGATAAGGAGGGGGATTTGCCGTTGCATATTGCGGCGAGGGAAGGGAATACCGGGATTATGGAGGTTCTTTTGCGTGGGGTTGAGGGGAGGGCTGGACAGTTGGAGTGTAAGAATTTGAAAGGGTGGACGCCGTTGCAGGAGGCGCAGTTGAGTGGGATTTATGAGGCGGAGCAGATGCTTTGGAGGTTGAGTGGGTTGAGTTTGGAGAGTGCCAGTGTCCATGGTGATTCTGATTCTGATTCTCGTTATGGCCTCGTTTATTCCGATGCTGCTATCCGAGCGGAAGAGTTGGCCAAGGCGATTCGAATGGATGATGTTGAGGCTGTTTCTGAGTTATTGGGTCTTTCTGGTGGACAAGTGAGGGATGGAGAGGTTGTGCATGAGCATCAGGCATTGGAGGCGAGGAATCAAGGAGGTCGCTCGCCGCTTCAGCAGGCTCTTCTTTTTGGTTCATTGAAAGTCGCGAAAATGCTTCTGGTTTCTGGAGCGAGTGTTCATGCGAGATCGGATCCGGGGCAGTGGTCTGCGATTCATTATGCTGCGCTGTCGGGTAATGCCAGTGCCGTGGAACTGTGCTTGTCGAATGGAGCAGATGTACATGCCCAGACTCAACAAGGACAAACACCTTTGCATCATGCTTGTCGACGTGGCTCGGAGGACACGGCGAGATTGTTGTTGGACCAAGGTGCACGGGTAGATGCTGTCGATGATCGCAATTGGATGCCGGTGCAGGTTGCTGCTGCTGGAGGTCATGAACGGGTTGTCCGGTTGCTACTGAAAGAACGAGAAAAGGACAAGACTGCTAGATTCATAGATATAGAATCGATCCAGACGTGTGCAGCACAGGGAGGACATCATGGACTGGTGGAGCTGACTCGGAAATGGAGATATTCCTGGTTGACATAGTCGACTCAGGAACGTTTGTGATTTAGATGGGGAATAAGGATCATTAGACTAGTGTACATGGACATGGGATATATTTTGTTCTGCGTTTACTATACTCATCGTCGCCGGTCGTACCGATCATCTCGGCGATCATCTCGGCGATCCCGATCACGTCGCGAGTCTCGGCGTGGACTGCGGCTGTTTGATCGCCGGCGGTATCGATCGCGACTGCGGTCTCGTTCTCGTCGGGGGCTGCGGTCACGGTCATTGCGATGAAGAGGCTGAGCAGGCTTGAGTGCCTGGTTGGATGCTTGGTCTTTGTTCTTGCGGGACTTGTCGAAAAGCATGTTGTACGACTCGTCATCCTCATATGTAGGGGCATCCTCTGTCTCACGATACTGGCGTTTCTGTTCAAGATCATCAACACCACCGAAGCCACCTCGATGGCGGCGCTTGGTGACAGTAGCGTTGCGCCAACTCTCTGAAAGCTTGGAGACACTTTGGGAGAAATCGACGTGGATGCGGTGGTCGTCGATCAGCACACCCTGCATCTTGAAATAGGCCTGCTCACAGTCCTTTTGATTATCGAACTCGATAAATGCATATTGCAAACTGTCGCCGGTACGCTTATCGCGAATCACTTCGCATGAGAGGATTGTACCAAAGCGACTAAAGATCAGGTTAAGATCCTCATCTAGAGTTTCCATTAGCCGCGTCATTCCCGCTATCAGGATAGATACAACATGACATACCTTGTGTGACAGGATTCAATTTGCAGACGAAGAGAATATTCTCCGGCGGCTTGACATCAGCGAATGGCAGATCACCCACCATTTCCAAAGTCAATGCCTGCGCGCGAGCATCGCGTTCCCGGCGCAAATTCTCCATAGCCTCCTCGTCCATATTATCATCGAGTTCCTCATCATCCGCGATGCGCACAGTAGCCAATTGGGCCTTGGATGGCACCGGGCTCTCTGCCGGCTCAACCAACCCAGCAGGATCCGCGTAAGGGTCATCGAGCACGACTGTATGGCGAATTCGAATATCCTTCAAAGGACGTTGACGCTCATCCACAAATGACTCGTTAATCTTCTCCAGTACATCGAAGCCCTCGACCACTTTTCCAAAAATAGCAGCTTTCCCATCTAGATGGTCCTGATTGTCGCCCAGAGTAATGAGAAATTGGCTTGCCGCCAGTCTCTGGTCGGGGTCGTTCTTGGCTGCAGCCGTTGCCATGCTCACCGTACCGCGTTCGGTGTGCTTGAGCTTCGGCGGCAGGTCGATTGGGAAGGTTCTCTTCGACGGGCCGTCCAGCACCCCCCAAATGGAAGAACCGCCATCGCTTTCGGGGGCTCCAGGACCGAGTGGATCGCCGGTTTGGAGGGTGAAGCCTTTCTGAACGGTATGGATCGGGGAGAAATTGTAGTATTTGAGCTTGCAAAGTTTGAGGAAGCTATAAGAAAGGAATCATAGTCTTAGTATTTTGAAATCAACACGGCAGTACAGGTACAAGTACAAGTACAAAGTGACAGGGGGGAGTCGCAAGCCAAGACTGGTTCTGCAGGGAAGTGGAAGCTTGGGGGTACTCACTTTTCACAGGCCTTGGGCGACTCGTCGACCAGCAGGTCAATGACGATATCGCCCAAGGAGGTTTCCAGGAGAGCACTCATGGGATAAGCCCGATTGGCTAGAGGTGGAGGTGAAGGTGGAGGTGGCAGTTGTGGTGAAGCAGCAGCAGAGAGGAAGTTGCAGGAAAGGAAAAGGCCCAAGTCGCGCAGTGCAGATCAAGAAGCTCGGGCCGCAGTCACCGCGGGAAAAAGTCCAGCCGCAGCCAAGCTTGTTTTGATCAACTTCAACTTCAACTTCCCTTCTTCCCTTCCCTTCCCCCTACCACATAGTCCAATCAATTCCTCCCTTTCTTTGTTTTCTTTTTTTTGAACCCCCCTCGTGCTGGGTATTCTACTCCCAATCACATCTTCGGGGCCATTTTGATCAACAATATGCCGTGAAGCTCTCTCCGGATGAAGGTTCCGGGTGCCTGTACAACCTTACCTTGTCAATCGAACGGCATATCCTCCGGCTGGTCCCTGTTGGACAATCCGAATTGACTCCTCCGATTGAGAGACAGATCTTATTAAGGAGCTCGATAGTGTTTGTCCTAGCTCACCGGCTCTCAGAATGGTAGCCGCTGCAGCGGCAGTCCTGGCTAGAAGTCGATCCAGAATTTCCCTCTCTCTTCCCCCTCCAGAAAAAAAAAAAAAAAAAGAAACTGGAGAAGAAAGAAAATTCTGACCAGTCCATGCTTTGCCGAAGTCTGTGTCGCCTTGCCCTTTTCGAATTACCCTGTGTTGATTGTGCCTCGGACGGGGACTGAGATCACGATGACACTCCCCGTCCATCCTCGGTATACAGTACCACTAGGCCTCAGCATAGTGGTATCTAAATTCTTTTCCCGGTGACTGTTTCACCGCAGAAACCCCCAATCCACAAAAAGGAAGCAAAAAACGGGCGGGGAGAAACGGGCGGTCTCCTGCAGCGGGCTCTAGCGGCGCCGTCGTGGCGACAGCTGTCACCAGGAAATGGTTCTACATACACATGGCATCCTGAAGGAGATCGCCATGGAGGTATCAACTTTTTAGAACCGCGCTACCTCAGCCCCCCCCCCCCCCCAGCCTCCGATCGCCCTCATATTGTTCAGGCAAGAGCCTAACTTTGGCCTATGGATTGAGACTAAGAGAGGCAGGAGATGTAGGGGGTTAGTAAGAAGAGTAATAGGATCTCGGGTAGGAAACTCCTTCGCTGCGCAATATGAAGAGCCGGCCTCAATTCCAATGAGCGTTCCTGTCGATTCGTGAGAACAGTCAGCTGGCCTTGCCCCAATTTGGCTTTTCTTTGTTTCCATTTCGTCCTATTTTATTTTTATTTTATTTTAACACTTTTCTATTTATGCCCCCATGTCGTGCATCGTCAGACCTAGAGACTGCGTGGTTGGAACTCAACCAATCCCATAAACACTAGAGATTTGGTTCTTTCAAAGATGGGTTGGATACCTTCGTCTCGTGGTGTTTCCCCCAGATGGACTCATGGGCTCATGGGATCTTGACTCATCGACATGGGGGTAGATCCTAGCGCCTCAGAGAGATTCAGATCCAGATCCAGCCAGATCCACCTACATATCTCCAGCAATCGCCTCCACCTGCTCTCAGACCCATCGTGGCTGTCCCATGTGTAGCAAGCAACGGATCTGTATATCCCGGGACATTCTGCCTCTCTCTCCTACTTCTTTCAGACTCAGACATGAACCCCGAAAATCTTTCTTTTATGTTTTGCTTTGTTTTCCATCAGCTCCAGGCTTTTTGGAACCTATCCTCGTGTCTCAATTTATGGTTCGCCCCTTTTTGCTTTTTCAGGGATTTCCATTTCGATCTAACTGCGCCCCGGAAGCGCTAAGATTTCCCTCCCATGTCGTTGATCAACCTTAAGACCACCGATCCTTGCCAGCACGACACGACTCATTCTAGAGACACCGTTGCGGGGCCTGCCAAGGTTGAGATATGCGCTTGATCGTGCCCGTCGATCAAATTGACAGGTGTCAACTCTTTTCTTTTCTTTTTCTCTTCCATTCTATTTCCATTCTCGCTTGATCTTCCAATCCACACCCACCAGCTCACATATCATTAAGACATTTGTCGTGTTTGTGGTCTGAGACAGAGCAGAGCTCAAAGAAAGAAACAAGACACAGAGAAACAGAGAGAAAACAAGAAGGCCTTTCTGTGTCGGTCTGGTGGTTTTGTGGCAGAAGCCCCAGAGAGACCCCCCGGTCCTTTCTTTCCCAGCCATCTCAACTGGGGAGCCAGTTATCGCCCCAACTCAACGTCCCGAGCTGAGCTCGGAGTATTTTAGCGCCCTGTGTTTGATGCATCAAGGAATAGGCCTCAGCTTCAACGCTACTCCTAACAATATTTGCAGCGCTATCTCTCGAACTAACTCTCTGCCGTTAGGTGCATCGAACCCCGGTCAAACCGGGCGTCGTACCCATACCAATCAAATTTCAGGCCAATCCAACTAGGGACAGCAAAGGACAGCAAACATTTCACTACCATCGATCTTTCCACCCAGATGCATTTCCGGATCGACACTAGGATCATCTTTGCAAACGTAGGCGGCGGTCTGCCGTGACGTGTTACCAGCCGAGGGATTTAACTAGGACGTCGCTCCACATGTTCCCAGGGACCACCCAGAGAAAGTCAGGGACCTCCCCAAGCGCCTAGACTGAACAACGATCAAAGCATAATGGAAGGCGAAAAAAGGAGTTCATCCCCAATTGGCTGAAACATCTGGGCGGAACAGGCTCTAATCTCCCCGTCTGGACTTGTTCTCGTCATGGCCACCAGGTCATGTTCCGTGTGACGTTACTTTGTGAAACCAGGCCTGTTAAAACGCCGGGGGCAGTCTTGCTGGTCTTTCACCCTGAGAGAGAGAGAGAGGAGAGAGTAGAGAGGAGAGACTGGGGGAATCTGGATTTTGATGCACTGCGGAACTGTGCATATCATTTCCCCTGGGTACAACGAGTCTTAGAACAGAAAATAATTAAAATAATAATAATGATTGAAACACACAAGAAGTAAAAAAAAAAAAGAAATCCGACGGGGAAAAACGTCTTCGCGTTCATTATAGTACTTCCGGGGTTCGTACTGACGGTGTACGCCCAGGCTCAGGCCTTACGGCGCTCCCAGGACATAATCTAGGTAATTGCAGCCATAGATGAAGGGGGGCAAGAAACGATCTAAAGCACAAGAAAGGGGAAAAAAGAAATTCAAATTCAGAATAGGTAAAATCTGGAAAGAAAAAAAAATCCAAAAACCGAATGACCGGGGGTGTGTTTAGCCACTCTCTGTGTCTTCCCCTCCCCCCCCCAAAAGTCCACATATCATAGAGCAACCAAAAACGAACCAGGCAATCACACCGATTGCCGATTGTTACCAAAACCTGGACTTAAAACTCTAGCCCTACATCTCCCAGATAAAAAAAAAGGATCTTCCTTTTACTTATCTTCCTTGCCAACATGCTGTTTTTCCTCTAATATCTTGCTATTCTTCCTTTTTTTCTTCTACGGATCTCGCATAAGTATCTCGGAGCTCTACGTTCAAGTAGGTGCATGTTTGAGCTAGTGTTTGGTTCTTTTACCGGGCTTTCATTGATTTCCCTCAGAACAACAAATGGACTCCTTCTACTCCGAGAAGGCCGGTTTCGAAACGTCTCGGCACGACTCTTCTATCTCTATGTCCCGAGCAATGCGGAGCATGAAACAACACGAAATGGCTGATCGAACCAACTGTATCAGCCCAGAAGGAGAGATTGATGGCAAGCGTAACCCCCAAAGACGGCGAGTTCCTGTCGCAGTATGTACCCATCTCCCTTTCTTGCTTCGATGGAAGCTCATTCTTCTGGTACCATTCAGTGTGGTCGATGCCGACGACGAAAGATCAAGTGTAGCGGAGATTCCGGCGATGGCCAGGGATGCTCCAACTGCCGTAGTGCTGGAAATACGGACTGTCAGTTCTTACGAGTAGGTTTTTCTCCTCTATTCCCCGCCTCGTGAGAAGAGCCATAGTGTTTAGAGCTGACCCGGATGAATTCTAGGTGAATTCCAGTGCCGTTCTTCCCAAAGGAACAGGGTGGCCATACCCAAATGCAGTAGGCATGGCAGCTTCTCCCCGAATGAGGGTGTATACGCCGCATGTATCTGGCAAGTCGGCGCTCCTTTCCATGGGCTCGCCACAGACTCGCATGTCTGGGTTCCAGCGCAACTCGGATTTCGATCTTGGGACAGATGCGCAGGGCTTTCCACCCATTCATTACGAGAATGAACAGGGTGGGAACTATAATCAGTCCCCAGCATACATTCTTCCCAATGGTCCTTCAGGGATGCTGGACTACGAAACATCACCATGGGGCTCTAAGAACTGGGATAATGTGTTGAACGTCAACAGACCCGGTAATGGGGGCATCTATTCTGACACCGATACAAATGGCTCTATGGGACAATCTCCATACAACTACATGCTTCAAAGTCAAGGCATTCCCTCCCATGAAATTCCTCAAACTACCGCTGCTGCCATGAATATGGTCTCTGTCTCAGAAGTTCCAGGGTCAGACCGAACACTCCCCACGCCTACTAGTCGGTCACAGCAGGTCCCAGGCAACGCATCGGCCATGAAAGTCTTTGCAGAAGGCATGCCCGGACTCTCCGTTCCGTCCGACTTCAAAGGATCCTTCTGGAACCAAAGATGTGCAGACCAAAACCAAAGAACCCATACAGTTCCCAGCAACGCGCCATTCCCTAGCAGCACATCCCAATCTACAAAATGTAACAGCAACAGCAACAACGCTGCCCCCGAGCTTATCTTCCCTTACCTACCACTCTCTTCCTCTACAACCGACGATTCCTCTCCATCTCTATCATCTGCAGTCCCAGCATCCTCTACAACTAGCAGCAGCAGCACCTCATATGCCGGACTATCAATGGAAACCAGTCTCGACAGCCCATCTCAAGACTACCGAACCCTACCAAGCGACACTCGCCTAACACGCAGCTTTTCTCGAGACGAAAGCACCACCAACCAACGCCTCCTCACCTTATCCAATGAATGCTCGCCAGATATCTACGGCTACAGCAGTACCGAGAAGAGCAGCAAAGCCCGATCCGAAGAATCAGGATGCTCTGCAACTCTCATGAGCGGACTACCCTACATCAGAGTTCGATATGCCGACCCCCCAAACAACATGTTTCCATGCGGTTTGCTCCCGGATAATATACAAGAGTACCACCACCGTGGTGTAGCTGGGAACACGCACCGACCTCCCGTCTCGCCGCTAGGCAATCAAGGTGCTTACTAGAGAGTGTGCCTTTTTTCTTCTTCTCCTTTCTGCCTGATCTAACCCTTGCTCGCTTTGTCTTTCCTCGGATTCTGATTCCCGTGGGTTGATATTTTGACAGGGAAGATGCTTGTACGTGGGATACTTGCTGGCTTGAGCTTGTGCACGTGTCTCGGATGCACAGAACCGGCCGAAACGGAGTAAATCAACTCCCCCCCCTCCCTTTTCCTCCCCTTCCTCAATCTAAGTTCTTCTTCGAATGATACTAGAGGTCAATGGGGAATATCTTGTCTTCGACTGGTCGAGAACCGGACTGTTGGACGAGGGACTGGACTGGATACACTGTAGTTTTGGCACCTGCGCAATCTGCACTTGTCATGGACGACCCTTTCTTTATTGTTGGACCCATCTCATCTCTTGCATATGGCGGCTTATTGTTGTCCCTAATCTTGTATTTATCGATTGGTTTGGTTTGGCTTGGTTGTGTTGGACTGTGCTCTATTTTGCTTTTCTTCGTCCTCTTCTCCTTTCTGTCTTTCTTGTCCCCCTATTTTCCCTCGCCTGTTGTATTTTTGCTAAGTTATTTGCTTTACTTCCACCATCTCTACCCATTATCTGTCTTGCACTTCTTACTTCTCCCTGCAACGACAGCCTCAATTCCAGATCCCACTTAATACCCCCTCATCCTACGAGTCCGTGATTTCTCTCTACCTCTAGAATATGTTTGTTCTCCCTTCTTCTTTCCCTTCTATTTCTAGCTTTGTATAGGTGGATTTATCTCAATTCCGTCCTTGACGAATTCGAACCTACTAACTCCCAACCTATTTGGACAACATCCTCCTCTCGCATTGCATTGCATTACATTACATTTCCCCAGCTCCAGCCTATTTCGGGTACATTATGCTCAGAACCATGTGCCGCTCACTACATGGAATCGAATCCCGACTTTCATTCAAGGATTGCTGGGCGAGAAACCCTGTAACAATTGTTTTTTGGAAAATTAAGCTTGATCTCGCGGTCAATGTCACTCACTGTACCTGCAGTGCCCGCATGCTCTCGTGTCTCGTGTTTCCCAGCCATACACAATACAACTTACATACCAATGACCAGATTCGGCAATTTCCGTTCTTGATTTGGTTTGTGCTTAGCTAGAGCTAGCCTGCTAGGTAGAGGTACAAGAATCTTGACAAGGACGGGGACTATTTCCGAATACCTTTTACCTTTTACCTGTTTTGTTTTGTATCTCATTTTCTTTTTTTGGAGGTGTGTTTTTGCTATTTTTATCATGGCTTGCTTCCTGAGTGGGCATTTTTCTCAGTACGGATGGATGTGGTAAAGCTTGTGTTATTTCCTTTTCCCTTTCCTTTCCATCTATGTGCAGTTCCCGAGATGCCCAAGAACCCCGAGAAAAAAAGAAAAACAAAAGAAAAGGAGAAAAAAGAACAAAGACCATGCGGTCAGTGCGATGTGTGAGAGGGTTGTCTTGTGTTGGACAACAGGAAAGCAGATTCATACCCACGGGGAATACTGATTTTTATCCGCTGAGTTTCGTGGTGGAGGCTTATTTTTTAGGGGGGTTTTTTGGGGGTCATTTGGAGAAGTAATAGTATTGAAAACTTTGTTATTTTGCGTAGTTTTATTTCAAGTTTTATTACCTCTTCCCTCTTTCTGGCTCACTCGGAGTCGCTCACTTGCATAATTTTTCTTGTCTCTTATTCTCTTTTCTCGTGAGCGATTTGCGTGTTGGGGTCTTCCTCTTACCAACTTAATAGTAAATTAATATAAACTAATTAATCTATTCGTTCTATTTCTCCCAAAATACTCATAAATATCAGTATCAAGGAAGGGTTTTCTGCTGCCTACCAGTGTAGCTCCCCTAGCGGTTTCGGCGTCGTCGTATTCTGGGGCCTGTATACTTCAGAGATACTTCGATCTCATGTACCCATGTAATATATGAGATGTACACAATATAGGTATAATCAAGGAGCAATGAAGGACGGTACCAAGCCCCACAAAGTCAATAAAGGGACTCCAAGCTAACTCAGCCCTAGCCCATTGGCTTCAAGTTTGCGAATATCATCATAAACCTTAAACAATCTCATCTACACCACTCATATAGACCAAGCGAAGCTACCAGGCAAATGGCAATACAACCCCAATATACCCCACTCAAGTCCAGGACCCTCAATTGAAAATAATCACTAGCAGCAGACAATGAAAAAGACACTGGCATAACCGCACCGCACCGCACTCCTTGAGCTGGTTGTGTAATCCTGCACAACACGACCCCACACAGAAATTTGGAATCTTTATCATAGAGCCCTGCAGGCATGTTGTAACCTTCAAGTTCTCTCACTTCTTTTTTCTCTCTGGGGATATTTATGTACCAGCACGCACTAAACGGGGGAAGTGTACAAAGAGCCGCCAGGGATTAATTTGTAAGTGGGCAAACGGGGTCGATATATCTTCCGGTCGACTTGGCGATGCACCCCTTCCCCCTGACCTGATTTCCCGATTGAGATGAGATCGTGATTAGGGAATGTTGTAAGGGTAATTAGTCGGATCGGACTGGGAAGTGTATTACATGGATAGTAATACTAGTACTAGTACTCTAGAGTCATTGTCTGCTAATAGCTTTGTTGTTTAGCCATGAATGACTGTAGAATAGATCGGGCACAATATAGTAGACCGGCTCATGCCGGCTACGATTCAATATAGATCACGGCAATGCACTGGACGGCATATGCGAAGACGCTGTGTACAGACCGGTCGACTGCATCATTGTCTCTCGCCGGATTTCCGGACAGCGGACTGCCGGTAGTTACGTGGAATGTGGAGTTTATTTGAATTTGAGTTGAGGGTGTGCCTGGGTGGGTTGTACGACACGATGAGAGTTTGATCCCTTCTGATTTTGTCTTGATTTTCGCTTTTCAGTGTTAGCCTAGATGGGAAAACCAATGCTACGAGTAGTGACTTGGGGGTTCAGGTCCAGGCCCACCCCGGATTCTGGGTGGGACTGAGGCATCGAAAGGGTTTAGAGTTAGAGAGCTGGCCAAGGACATATGGATAGCACATGGGATGGTGTACGAGTACGTGTATGCCAGTAGCCATGCGTAGACCACTCACTATTACTACGCTGTGATCTGTGATCTGTGACCTACGATCTACACGAGGGAATCGATGAACAGAAACAAAATATGTAATTCATCCGGGACGAAGCCCGTTCTCATATCCCTCGCTGTTTTGATTCGAACCCGATGATCCAAACCACATAGAACAAAACAACACTGACGCCTTTCTTCTTTTGAAAAGGGGATCATCAGATCACCGGTCCTCAGCAGCATAGCATTAGCCATCCCCGGGGGGCACCGGTAACAGGGAAAAAGTTCCACATCCATTCGGAGACGGCAAACGACTTGTAAATTTTTTGGGAGAAAGCTAAATGCAAATGCCGAGAGCCATCTCCGTTTCACACCGACCACGTCCTATTCGCCTATCCCAGTCGTTATGAAAAACCGAAACAGGCGGGACTCCCAAACCACCAGGCCACCAAACGTATCCATCGCGCCATGAAAATCCATGATTGTGAAGTTATGCGGTGTGAGACATTTAGTCCTTGTTCTTCTTGGGGCCCTTGGTCTTGGCGGTACCACGGAACTTCTTGGAGCGGTTCTTCCGTTGCTTGCCTGGAGGGGGGGAAAGGAATGTTAGCATTGAGAGTGGTGGGAGTGGTGGGCGAGGGGAGATTGGCGAAGGGAAGGGGTTCGACGTACGCTGCTGGCGGGAAGGCTTCTCGACCTTGGTGGCGGCACCAATGCGAACCAGACGGTAGGCGGGCTCGAACTTCTTCAGGGCCTCCTGGGAGTCGTAGACCAGGGCGAAACCAGTGCTCTTACCACCACCGTACTGAGTGCGGAACCCGAAGACGGAGACCTGGTCCTTGTTGGACTTGTACAGGTCGGCCAGCTTCTCGCGGAGCTCGTCCTTGGAGACGTTGGGACGGTTGGGGTGGAGGACATCCCTAAGCAAGCACGAAAGTCAGTCGCGCAGTTCTGTGTGAAAAGTATTTCCAATCGATGATGGGTGGTCGGATTCGTGGTGCGATTCTCGATTCTCAAATTCTCGATGCTGGATGCTGGATTCTGGACTCTGGATGCGTCGAATATTCTTGCTTTCTTTTCAATCCTCCTATGTATGTGGTCGTAGATGTATTCCGATGTCTTGTGTGGTCGTGTCGCATCTCATTTGTCCAATCTCGAATTTTCGAATCTCGAATCGAATCGTCCATCTTTCCTCCCACCATCGCGGAAACCAAGGGGGAAAAGAGGGGGATTCTTACACGACCATCTGCTTGCGAGCCAGCAGAGGGTTGCGGATGAACTTGCGAGTCCGCAGGGTAACGGGGGTGTCGGCCATTTTGGTGGTGTCGTGGTGATGCAGAGAGGAACACTGTGGAGAGGCGACGACTTCAATTCAATTTTCGTGCGGTGCGTTCTCGGCTAGGGCTTGGCGCTAGCCATTTTAGGCGGTGACTAAGGGCGCGTCTTAGTCATCATTCCAGAAGATTGGAGTCACCTGACCACAGTCACCTGCCTCAGTTGCCCCGGTGCTGATCAGCTGACCCTTATCGATAAGCCACTCCTGCCTGAATCCACAGGCAGAACACATTTCTGCTTCTGCGGGGATCGATCTCCAATTGCAGAAAGAGAACTTGGAACAGCTTTCGAGACACCATACAACTCAATCCCAAAGCAGAATGTCCCGCCACATTCACACCCTCTCAAAACAGTACTTCCAACTGGTCGACGTCCCTCAACTATCAATCCCACCAAACAATGTCCTAATCCAGCCCGCCGTACAAGAAGCCTTGTACGAGCACATGTTCAACGAATCTCTCACCCCACTACCGCCAACAACCTACCGATCACGAGTCCTGAAGCTCCTCCTCGCGCGAATTGAAGAAGGAATCACAGACCCAGAAGAAGATGTACGTAATGGCATTTCCAAACCATCCACAACGCCAAAAACAAAACCCCGCGCGCAATTATATCCCGGAAATCGGCAAGACATTCTTCAAATCTAATATCTGACCCTTCTTTGAAACCAGGAAATCCTCGACTCATTAATGGAAACATGGGCCAATCTCCTAACAACTCCCAAACCCAGCGCCCTGGACCAAGCACAACAACTTTCTCAAATAAAATACACCGCGCCTACACCTCCACCTACACCTTCAAGCAGCACCACCACCACCACACCACCCCGAACAGTAACAATCTCCGAATCCCGCGGTGTAATCCTCTCAGGCGGAACAACCGGAAACAGAACCTGGGAAGCAGCCCTACACCTAGGTTCATATCTCGCAACAAGCGCAGGCGAGACCCTCATCCGGGGTAAACGGGTCATCGAGCTCGGTGCCGGCACGGGCTTTCTCTCACTATTTTGCGCGAAGCACCTTGGTGCAAGGGCTGTTGTTGCGACGGATCGGGAGCCGTTTTTGATTGATAATATGCGGGCTTGTGTGGGGGTTAATAACAGGGAAATTGAGATTGAAGAGGATGGGAGGGAAGTAGCTAGGACTATTCCGATGTACCCGGCCATCTGGGACTGGGGGACGAAATTAGAGACTGCGACTGTGGAAAATGAAGATGGAGAGGGAGAGGGAAAGGAGCAGGACTCTGTTTCTGCGGTGGGAGATAAGAGTGTTGGATTTGATATTGCTCTTGGAGCTGATTTGGTGCGTTTTCCCTTCGTCTCGCCTCGTCTACCAACAGGGATGAATAAGAAAGATGAATCCCAGGAAGGCTCTGTCTGGTTATTTTGTTTCGCACCTACTAACGAAAATCCTCCCACCCTCACAGATCTACGACGCAGATATAATCCCACTACTTATATCGACAGTACGGGATCTTTTCGAGAACTACCATATCAAGCAATTTATCATTGCGGCGACATTAAGGAATGAGAAGACGTTTAAGACGTTCTTGGATGCTTGTGGTGAGTATTTTTCTCTTTTCATTTTTCTGGCTGGCTGGCTGGTGAGATGCTAACTGCGGCGATGTATAGAAACGAATTCTTTCACTGTTGAGACACTCCCGTTTCAATCTATGGCTGAAGAGGAACAGACGGGGTTCTTTCATTCGACTAGTATTCCGATTCATACGTATCGGATTTTACCTTCTAGATAAGGGGGACTACGATATCCGAAGTACTAGTATTTCAAGAGAGTCGTTTCATGATGGATGTAAAGCTAATGGTGACTGATTGGGCTACTAGTATTGATGGATAACTCGGACTCAACCCGATCCGGGAGAGATGTATTACTACCTAAGTTATGACAATGCAATACATAGAGTTTAGGACCCAGTGAGATCCTTATTATATTTAAGAGATTGTATTATTATCATTGAAGCTATACCAGCAGCCCAACACAAGACAAATGTTCAGCAATAGTATCTAATAAACGAATGTCTCGGGGTATCACGAAATTGTCTGCAACGCCAACAAGCACCATTCAGATCCCTACCAGGGGTAAAGGATGAAGACAAAATTAAACAGAAAAGAAAAAGAGAAAAAGAGAGCAACAAAACCGAAACCAATGCAAAGCCGTCCATGCGATTGAAAAGTTGAGAGAAAAATGCAATGCAATGCAAGATAGATATGGGTGATTGGGTATTGAGATCAAGGAGATTCATAAATAGGGAGAGAGAGGGAGTGTAAGGCCGCAGCCCCAGGATCAGCTCTCCTCGGCAAGACTCTCGCGAAGCAGATTCTCGTCAATGCCTTCTGGGTGAATTGAGACTGGGGCCCGGGGCGGTGGACGGAAACCGAGTATTGGGCCTTTCTGGTTGACGCCTGTGAATCTGAAGCGGAATTGGGGCGGCGAGTCGAGATTGGGATTTGGAGTCGAGGAGAGGGGATGTGTTGTATTATTGGATGTTGGTATAGGTTGAGAGGCCTCCGGTTCGTGGTTTAGTTGCGATGGAGGAGGTATAGATTCGGATTCATGTCCAGGGTCGGGTCCAGGGCCAGGCTCGTTTGAAGCTGTCGTCTCGTTCGCTTCATTCTCATCGCACTCCGTAGGGACAGGTGCTGTACCCCACTTCCCCAGAACCCAGCCTCCCATGCGTCGACCCAATGTCGTCGTCTTCCGCGGGGCCGGGGTGGCAGAACTGGTGCTGGCACTCTCTGCCGAAACAGCAGACGCTGTGTCCGAGGTCACGCTGTTACTGGCTGCCATGGAGGCTAGTAAAGATCGAGATGACTTCTCCGGGGCCCTGGCGCGGTCGACTGTGATTATTGGCGCGGAAAGGACGGGTGGCGTGGAGACCAGCTCCACGCTAGGTGAGACGATGCGTTGCGGGATGCGCATGCCGGGATGCCAGTCGCCCATTCGGGAGTGGCGGGTTATAGGGGTGTGGATATCCATGCCAGCTACGGAAAGTAGACTGTCGTGGGACGATGATTTGCGGAGTGTAGGTAAAGGTACTTGTATGCCGAATGGGTTGTCTGTGGGCTGATCGCCAGGTACATGTTGAGACCAAATTCCAGATGATGATGGTTCGGATTCTTCTGGGATGACAGGTTCTGCGAGATCCAAGAAACCTGTTCGGTCATAGTGCTCGTCGTTGAAAATACCGGACGAATTCTCGGGAATTTCGGGAGAACCGAGTCCTGGCAATGGGCGGGATGGCATGTCGATACCCTTGAGGCCTCTGGCTTGCATGAGTGGCGATGAAAACACAGTGCTTTCGGGGCTTGTCGGTTCAGAGAAATCTGTGCCGCGATCAACACGGTCGAATATTGAGGATGTTCGGAATGCAGATTGCGGCGAGCTGGCCAACGAATCCGCGGGAGGTGATTGGTAGGACCAACGGCGAGAGGACGGTGGTGGGATCGAGACAGAAGTGTGTGAGAGGATCGTATTCATAGATGAACCGGATGATTGGGAGCGATGGATAGATCGACGAGGTGAATTCGTGCCCATCGCGGAATGTAAGGGAACCGGGCTACCCAGGGAAGGACGCTTCTTCTTGACGCGACGATTGACCGAACCCTTATCCTTCTTCGTCGGCGGGGTGTGGTAATGATGGTGAATATGGAACTCCTGCGAGACACGACGTTCCTTCGACTCCAGCTCCTCACACAGAGTCGGCGTGCGCGCTCCATCAGATTGCTCCTCACCTATACCGTCCAGCGGCTGATGAAACAGAACCTGATCGCGGAGATTTTGGACCTCCTGATTAGAACTTTCGAGCATCTCACGAAGCTCCATAATACCAACCTGCAGATTCGCATTATCCTGCAGGATATCCTTGACGAATCGCGAGACGACAGGAGTGCCAGGATTGCGGCCAATTTCGGACGCCGCAGCGGCACCTTTCAAGCGACCAGCAGCATTATCCAGCTCGCGCTCAACATGTCGTTTCCGCTCCATGCGCTGAACAAGTTCTTCGTGCCTCTCACGCTCCTCTCTCGCCTCAGCCTCGATGCGCTCAACCTGATCATTCAAATCACGGAGGGCACTCTCGGCATTCCTCCACCGCTGCATAGCAGATTTCTCATCTTCTTGCGCAGAAGAAAGACATTCCTGTAATCTGGACTGCTCGGTCTCCACTAGAACAAGCTGGGCCTCAAGCTCTGCCGCCCTCGATGCGGCAACTGTCAACCGGCGTAGCTCAGCCTGCGTACTTTCCAGAGTAAGCGTAAGCGACTCGACACGATCATCCGACTCGGCAACACTCTGATTCAAACCCTCGAGTTGCTCAAGCAGACTTCGGTTCTCCTCGACGATACGCGCATTCTCGACCTGAACCTGACGCTTCTCACGCTCCAGCGCATCGGCATTATCGACTAATCGCTGGCGATCCTCTTCCGCCTCCGCCATATAACTCTCATGACGATGGAGGAGAGCCTGTAAAGAAAAAGTCAGCGACGACAAGCCTAAGGAATCTGCATCTGCATTTGCATTTGCAGAGTAATCAAAGAAAGAAGTGGCCATGACGGACGCCAACGCAGTGGGTGAGGACGGGAGACCTCGGTAGGAGAGATGCCATGGAACAGGATGTGGATGGACTTGGACTGGCAGTGGAATGCAAATGGAATGGTCAGAGGTATGGTCGGGGATTTGGATTGTTATCCGTTTCGTCATTAATCCCTTCGTTGAAGAAAGGCGGGGAGGAATTCGAAGAAAAACCCCCGGCCCAAAAAGCAACGATCTGGAATTCCAAAATGATGCATCAAACATGCAGCAGCCTCAGCCAGCCCTGACCCAACCCACACCAGCTGTGCCACGTCGATGACCCATCGACCCACAGCACATCAAATTGGCGCCCGACAGGCCAGGAAATGAAAATGAAAATGAAAAAGATTGCTAGATGCAAGACGTACCTGTCCTAAGCGCGCCGCCGTCGCAAGATCCTTCTCCAACCCTTCCAGCGCAAGAGAATTATGCTCCAACAGGGCACAATCCTGGCGTCCACAGCAACAACGCAGATTCGCCGGGGTAGTTGAGTAAGTCGGAATGCCGGGGATGATCTCAGGCTGGGTTGTTGGGCCACAACTACCAGGGCCAACACCGTTGGTGCTGGCCAGGTTGTCGTTGTTGGCGGAACACATCGCGGAATGCGGAGAGGAATCCATCGCGAGAATGTGGAGCTGGAGCTGGCCCCCTCAGGTCGACGGGGCGGGCGGATCATTCGATGGGATTGGTGAAATCAGCGCGGGTTGAGTAGGGCCGAGCTCAGCAAAAGGAATAGCGACAGGAACAGGAAAGAAGACGGTGTAAGAGGCGAGAGAGGGGGGTGCGGTGCGGTGCGGTGCAGTTGCAGGTGGAGGTGGATGGCGTCTTTTGGGGTTGCACGGCGGAGAAATGGTGTCAGCTGATCTGATTGGCTGGTGTATGCTTAGTAAGGTAGGTTGGGCATACAGTATACAGCTGGGTACACTGGATATAGATCGAGTTAAATGGAAGAGCATGAATATCAACAGAGTAGAAAAGAGAGTATTATGTCAAGTACGTGATATTAGAAAATACTTGATTTCCAGGTATTTCTCCAGCCTCAAGGGTGACCGATATTCTTGCCACTAGGAGGCTCGGAATGAATACATGCCAGATATGTACTGTGGACCCTTGCATCACCATACAGATGTGAGAGATCTGGTGGGGTGACTGTGAAACGAAGAGAGGTACATACACAGTAACTCTTCTAGGGCATGGTCAGCGGGGCCTGCTGTGCGACTGTGAGTATTGGTTTGTAGATACATCTGTTTCAGCCGTGATACGAGTACGAGTAGGTAGTTGGAGTACTAGTGGATGTGGTAGTGAATGTCTGGGAACTTGACAACTAGACTTATGCCCTTGTTTCACAATCCACCGAATCTAATCTAATGCAACTACGCCACCGCTGGGTACCAAGATATACTAGTAGATCGAGTTGAGTGGGAGAAGAGTAGTATGGATTTCTACGATGCTCTGCAGGCGGTAAGGACTATGATATATATTTGAAATGCACTAAAATCTCCCAAAAAATAACAGATAACTACCACCACGCCGAACGAACGATGGAACCCAGCATTGCGGAAAGTACTCTGGAAAGTTCGTAAAGATCAAGATTCAAGAGATCCAATAGAAGCCCTGAGCAAGCTGGCAAAGATCGGAATCGTAACATTACTATCAAGTAGTTACCAGTTCACAGTTACCAGTTAATCCTGCTTGTAGGTGAGTTTTATTGTGCTCCGTCGAAAATATTTCTGCGCGAGTCTCTTGGTAGTGCAGGGCCTAGAAATGATAAATAATCTATTTCACTACCTCGTACCGATGGGTGCGTATAAGGAGTGTATAAGGAGTTTATAAGAACCACAATCTCCCATCTACTCCAAACACAAAAGAAAAAAGAACATGAAAGACAAAACAAGACATCCAAAGCAACTCGAAAAAACACACATCTCCCCTCCCCTCCCTCCCCTCACCGCGCATTAACATCAAACCCAATAGTAGCACAAGGCATATTCCACCACCCACCCTTATGCGTATCCCAACTCCATTCACAATAATTGTTAAGTTGCTGAAACTCGCTCTTACAATTATCCGGATTAACCGTATACTCCCAATCACAACCATTATAGATGTTAAAAATCATCTTATTCGTCGGATTCCACCGCGTAAATTCGACCTTACTCCCAGACGCGATGGTCTTACCCGCCCACTCATCGCACGCGTCGCTGCTACCCGACCAGGCTGGTCCTCGGCCGCCGATTGCCCCGCTGCAATAGCATTGCTTGTCTGGGGATGGGTTGTATTGGCCGCAGTTTCCACCGGTGCCGTTGTCGTCGACGCGTTTGAGTACTTGGGCTTGGGCTGTGGTGGAACTTGTCAGTGGGGGTGTTGTTGGGAGGGTTGGGTGTTGTTGAACTTATTAGTACTCTCTAGTTCAATTTCGGACTTTGGCTGTGGTGCGGCGAGGGCGAGGCCTAGGCCTGTTGCGAGGTTCAATGCGAGGATGATGAGGAACTTCATCGTGGAGACTCTTCTTTTTTTGGTTCTTTTTCAGCTCGGGTGGTTTCAACTTGGAGTTGTTTTCTGGTTATTCTATTGACGAGACTACTTCTGTGTCCTACTTACTTATACATACCTAGGTATATTTTGAAGATCAGGCAAGCAGCCAAGAATTAACTTCAATTTCACTTATAACTATCACTACTTTTATCATTCCTAATTAGGGTACTTATTCGTCAAGATAGATAGCAAATAGCAAATAGCCCCCTTTAAACAAGAAACAGACGAGGCTGAGATCGCAAGGGTTGGCCCTTTGGCCCATAATACTTGTGCAGTAGACATCCATGGATATCGTTGGCCTCATGATTTTGCCCTTTTGATTCGGTATCTTCAAGTTGTTGACATCTCCATCGACAATCTGATTATCTGTGCTTGGCTTGTTGGACGCTTGATCTACCGGCAATTGATGAATGGAACTGAATATGCGACATATCGTCAGCTTGTAGAATTTTGGACCAGGCCAGGGATTCCTCTGACCTAAGGATCATGGATATAGATAGATATTTTCCATAGAGGCGACGTCCAATATTAAGGGCTCGTTGAGCCTTGGCAGAGTAGTAGATGCAGGCTGAGGCTATGGGTATCCACCTGATAACTACTAGTACTAGTACTAAAAGACACAAACACTTCTACAGCAGAAACTAAACGAGTGGAAAGAACAAGGTCATTGCATTCAATGAGATAACTTGAACTTCCAATAATTTATAACATAGAGCGGAATGGAAAGTACGGAATAGATCATCTCATCCATCTCATCTTAGTATGGTAGGAACTACATGGCAGGGCAGGGCAGGGCAGGGCAGGGCAGAGTAGAGTATAGTGAGTAGAGTAGAGAAGAGTAGACGAAGCAATTAACACAATAATAATAATACTACTACTACTAAACCCAGAGAGAAAAAATTCTGAATTCAAATTCAATTCAAATGAAAGCATCACAAGATGAAGAGGAGGGATGGTAATCGAGCTGAGCTTTAGAAAAAAAGAAGAAAGAAATGGAGATAGGATAGAGATAGAAAAAAAAACAAACACCCAGCGCCTTTCAAAGCTCAAGTGGAATAGAACAGAACAGAAATAGAAGGCCAGTTCAGTATAAGCTTAAGCCGAAACCCAAGCTAAGCTAAGCTAAGCTCGACCTGGCCTGACTCGACTCAAGTAAACTGACCCATCTCATCATAGCAAAAGATCATTCCGAATATTGATAAACGCCCCAGCGCCGCCCTCGCTGATTTCATTGACTAGCACTTCAGTCTGTTGATAAAGCCTTTCTAGAGCTGCTTCGGAGTTTTTGCCTAGTGAGACTGGTGGAAGGAGGAATTTGGTTAGCAGGGGTGGTCTGTAATACACACAGGGTGGAAGACTCGGCCCGGAGGCTAAGGCTGGGGCTGGGGGCAGGGCAAACTCACCAAGAATAGCCGAATTTAACTCCTCAGCAACAGCAACCCTCCCCTCAGGATCTAGGTAATGACCATGCGGCGACCCCTTCGGATCAGGATAACAAACCAAAGAAAACACCTCATCAAGCATCTTAAGATCAAGACCGTCGTCGCCGGATTGATGGTAATCAAGCCGTAACTGCTGCCCGTACTCCACGGCTTCGGTGAGGAGTTCATTAAAACGTTCGTTTCGTTCGGTGGTCTTGGGACTTTCTTCTGTATCCATGCCCATCCCATCGTCCCACGCGCCGTCATCAAGTTCCATCTCCTGGTCGAAGACGGCGTGCTCGTCTAAACCGGGTGAGGCTGAGCGCCGCCGTTTGGATGCGGATGCTGATACTGGACTCGATGCTGAGAGGAGCAGTTCTTGCGATTTGCGCATCATTTCTATGAATTTGCGGCAGCGGAGTTTGAAGTGTATCTGTGGGTGCTCTTTTAGGACGTCGGCGTAGTATGCGTTTGTGTGCTTTAGGGCTTTGTCGATGTCGCCGTCTAAGATTGCGGCGCGGATTTCTGGGGGGTGTTAGTATGTGGATTGGGATTGGTAGTGGCACTGGGGAGAAAAGGAAGTACTTACTATTCCGATGAACAGCATGATGATCTTCTTCGACCTCATACTTCTTCAACGGCGCACCATGTCCACTTTGCAACGCTGCAGTTTCCGTAGCCACTTCTTGCGCGAATGCATGTGCAGTCTCGACATAACCATCATGGGCTAGGAACTGGGCCACTAATTCCTGCAAAAGTGATGATTCGTCGAGGGGTGGTTGGAGGGTATCCGTGCTTGTGGTGTTGATTTCTGCTTGGATTGATGCTCGTTCATGCTGTAAACGGGTTAGCTCATGCATGAAAAGCACGAATGCATGAACGAATGCCGAAAGCATTTCCAAAACCCTAGCTAGGCCAAGCCTAGTCTAGAGTAAACAGAACAGAAAAAAAAACTCACCTTAACCATTCCATCAATATCAAAAACAAACGGCTCCTGACCAAAATTCGTCCTCAAACAAACAGGCGGCTGTCTTTTCATCCCAACCGAAGGAAAAAGTGAAATCTCCGGCAACCCAGAGAAAGCCGTTCCCAAAAACACGCCATTCTTAGTAAAAAAAGCAGACCGAGTTGAGAAATTCACTCCACAACCCACAGTATCACCAACGCCATAAGTAGGTCCATAACTGCGTCCCTGACCTTGCGATTCGCCAAAGAAGGATTTCCCGTCATCGCCGTGGTAGGCCCATGATTCGGTTTCCCAGCCGGGCAGACGCTCGATTGAGGCCTTGGGACTTGATAGTCCGATTGCTACCATCCTGCAACAAGAGCCGAGATCAGTACGGATTCCACTTGCGCCCGAGGAGGAGGAGGGTGAGGATGAGGTGTTGTTGTTAGTGTTACTGTTGCTGCCACTGCCGTTGCCGCTGACGCTGTTAGTGTTATTATTATGAACTGCATCTGCGGCTGCGGTCAGTGGCAGCGTAGTAGTTGTTCGCACATACCCTTCCTTCGGCTTTGACTCGATCTTGATCTCGAAGTAGTAAATGCCGCATTGTGGTGGCATCGGGTTATCGGCTCTTAGGGCGGCGGCTTCGTGGTCGTTTGTCTTATGCTGTGGTCCTGTGTAGCGCACTTCGAGTCCGTCGCTGGATATCTCGAGGATGTCGTGGCGATCGTCTACGCCCCACTGCGTTGGTAGGGGCATCGGGGTATCGGTAGCTGTGGGCGGTTCCTTCTCGATGATATCATAGGTCATCCCGCGGTGCGAGGGTGCCATGCGAGGTAAGTGGACATTGCTGGATGATGCGGAGAGGGGAGGTTGTTGCAGGTTATTGTTTGAGGTGGAGGTTGTGATAGCTGAGGCCTCGCGCTGTTGAGCTAGTAGCTTTGCTCGGTGGGCGGCGTCGAGGCGGGAGATATAGCGGGAGTCACGGAGGTAGGAGGGGGGTGAAGAAGGGAGGGGAAGAAGAGTCAGGAGGGAGGGCGAAGGATGTGGGATAGTCGGCGGGTCGTAGACTGGCATATTTGCGGGAGAAGGTGGGCAGGGCGTCTGAGGACGTCATGTTCCTCCAAGCGGAGTTCATGTGCATGTCGGCATCCAGGCCGGATAGTGGCCGATGGGGACGGCCGTCGTGGTGAGGGTGAGGGTGAGGGTTGGAGGAGGTTGCAGATGGGTAGGATAGGTTTGGATCGTGGAGGAGGTTGGTCAAGGAGCCTGTTGGAGGGGAGATAGCGGTGCCCGACAGGACGGAGGCGTAGGAGAAGCGGCGTGGTGGGCGGGGGAGATGCTGGTTCCACTGCCACTACCGCTACCGTATGGAGCTCGAGCTCCAGCTCCAGCTCCACCGGGGTAAGGGATATCGGTCATCTCGTTCGTACCCACCCCCGAAATTCGAGTGACGCTCACAATCCCCCTGTTGACGGTTCGTACCTGTTTCGTGCTTGGAACTGAGGGGGTTCTCTGCTGACGTTGCGTGACAAGCGGGTCATCTGGTGACCGGAAGCAGCGTGGCCACGAAGCCGCACGGATAACGCTTGAACGCGGACGAGAATAGAGGAGATCTGTAGAGGACAGTGGAACCTGTCGGAAATAAATTCCTTTCTATTTCTGCTAGGAATAAAAGGACAACAAGAAGACTGGTGTAGTGATCTAATCAAAGACTGCGGGGAAAAGGCCGAAGAAAACGGAGGGGAAGTTCAAGGTGGTAAAGAACTTTAGGAACTTGAACCGTCACGAGGACCCCTCTCCGATCTGGGCGTTTTGTAAACTGCCGTGCATTATTGTGATAGTAAGCAGAGAGTGTGGAAGAAATATGATCGAAATTAGATGAAAGAAAGAGGAAGAAAGAGCTTTTTTGACAAAGGACTGGATCTACTACGACCTCGGGAGTATACTCTTATGGTTGCTGATCTATATCTACGAGTACTCCGAGTCCGCTATTCCCGAGAGCACCACCTGGGCATGTTTGAGTATCATAACTTAGATATTGTTGACAACCAAATTTTGGAAAAAAAGAGAATAAGAAACAATAGTAATAATAGTAGTAATAATAGGTAATCCTTCACCCTTCCCAGCAATCAAACACCGAGTCTCGACATGATAAAATATGATACAGTGAAGTAATAGTAAGACTCCCAAAATGAAGATAATCCAACCCAAGCATGACAGGCTGGGATCATCGACCAAACATAACGAAATCCCATCCAAAACTTCCCTCAAAACGCCAGTTGAACCCTAGATCCGTAACACACAAAGGAAGAAAGAAGAAGGAGAAAGGCCAGACATATGGCGAAAACACAACACACAAGTAAATGCGTAGATGCGTTAGAAGAAAAGAAAAGAGACAGCCAGGGAATCAGGGAAGACAATTCCTCTAGGGCGATCCCCTACATGTTATACACAAAACTCAACCCCCATCAAGCAGCCATCGCAATCGCCGGCGAAGAAGGCTCAACCAAATTAGACGGAGCCGGAGTGACATCACCATCACCTGAGTTACTCTTCTCGCTAGGGACAGCACTGCTACCATTCATTGTATCGGTGCCAGGCGCCGTCAAGGTGGGCTTTGTATCGCTATCACCACTTTCAAGGGCTGTTGTCGTCACTGTACTGCCATCGGCATTTTCTAATTTCGCCAGGGCATGCGTTTTCCATGATGGGAGTTGCCAGAGGATACCGGTGAAAGATCTCAGGCGGAGTGGTTGTTTTTCCCATTTGCGACAGGGAGATCCGGTGCGGTCTAAGGCGCGGAGACCCGCGTTTATGGCGCCGGTGTTGGCTTTTGGTCCTGAGTCGGTGTGCGGCGGCTACTTTGCCCAATTCGCCTTCGTCACTGTTGAAAGTATGTGTTAGCTATGCTTGCGGCAGGTGGTTGTGATTGTTGTTCCGCGCAGGGTTGACTTACAGTCTGGGCTTCTTCTTAGGACCTGGTCGACCTCTTGCTTTCGCGGGCTCTGTTTGGCCATTTGCGCGTTTGTTGCCGGGTTTCGGACCCGGAACGCCCTTCCGGCGTGGTGTGTCGCCTGGAGTTGCGCCGGTGGCTGGTGTTGAGGTCGCGTCCGCTTCGGAAGCATTGTCGGCAGATGATGGACGAGGTACAGGGACTTCGGAGGATGAAGCTGGGGAAGAGTGTTCTTGTTCGATGATCTTGTCGTCGGTGGGGATGGGTGTGGCGGGTTTCCGGTCGGCCGGGTCTAAGAAGCGTTGTAACAGGTCGGGCGACAGTTTCAGTGTGAGGACGAGAGAGTTGACGGGTTTGGCGGCGGCGGCAGCCCGGTTGGAGCGACCGTTTGGAGTGCCGGCGGGCATGATGAAGATGGTGGTATGGCGGGTGGTGGTGGAGATTGGATGGATGAGAAGGGATTGGAATTAGGATGAATGGTGAGAATGACAGGGGTGATTGTGACGTGGTGTTCCACCGCCCGGGGCGTTCAGAGTTGGGGTATTTCAGGGTGGTGGTTGGCAGTTCAGGTGTTGCGATTCAGGGTGAGGCGAAAGTCGAGGGTTGATGGGATGGGGGATGAGATGAGATGATGGATTGAAGATGAGAGGAGGGTAATAGAAGATGGAAATGGGAAAGGGAGGAAGGGAAGGGGGGAAAGGGGGCGAAGTGGACTGGGCCGGAGGCACAAGGCCGTGTGGATGCCATCTCGTCTAAATCTGCGATGGAAAAAAGGTTTCTTTGCTGAATGCCGTTGCGTGGTTCGTTTTGACGAGGATCGCGGTCATGTAATTACGGCGGGTGGTGGGTGGCAGGGTGGTGGGTGACTGCCAGGTGGGTGGCAGGGTGCCAATGTTACCGTATTGTTACACATCACAATACAGATCTATGTTGACTGCCTAGTAGAGTAGATAGTATACAGAGAGTAGGGGGAGAGGAGGGGAGAGTAGAGTATCTAGATACTATAGATATCATGTAGTAGAGTAATAGCACAAGAGATATAACATATATCTATACATGTCTATTGTACTTCCTAGAAGTATACCTATACCCATACCTATACCCCCCAATGTCAGCACTGGCACTCCGCCATCTCCCGGATTCCCCTCGCATTGGCCCGCTTCCATGCTTTTTTTCGTTTTACGCAGGTGTACTTCGTACTCCGTACAGTAATGATATCCATACCCAGTACCAGTACAACAAAGACCTCATTCACTTCATTCACCGCAATTTCTATATTCTATATTCTATATTCTATATTCTATATTCTATATACACTTACACTTACTGGCACCCATATATTCATTCACCTACTACTATCTCGAGTACATACTTGTACCTCTGACTGAGAGAAAAACCTTTCACCCTAGCGTACCAAACTTGAGTTGACTCGTCATCATCATCTGAAACAATCTACAGCTCACAATTCACCCGGAAAATAAATCCCAGAATGTCTACCAGTAGTTGTCTACTCCGCACATGTCTAGACATCGAGAAGAAAACCTTGAAAGTTACTGTACTTGCACACATAATGTCTCCACTTATTTACTCGCTATCTATGCAATGCTGTACTCTATATGACCATCTGAGACCATGAGATACCTCCACATGACGCCCAATCCCTCCCCTTCCTACGTCGACCCAGAGCCAGAGCCAGACCCATCATCCGCCCCAGCATCAACCGCACCCTGCCGCCGCTGAATAACTTCCCCAACAGCCTGCTGCACCCCGGGACTCGACCGCACCCCAGCAAGAACAAGAGCCTCCTGCATTCCCCGTCGCAACCCAGAAACAGTCTCGCGATCACCGCGGAACGGCGCCTGCGCCAACTGAAGCGACCGCGTAGCTTCCAGATCCGTCTGCTGCGCCGTCTGCACCAGCTTAACCACCTGCTGCATCGTTTGCGGAGAGACGCCGTCGTCGCCCCGAGTGGTCTGGGCTTGGCCCTTTGGAGCCATTTGCGAGATGAATATGTGGATTGTTATTGAGACGCGACGCGCGATCGTTAGGACTTGGAATGGGAGGAGGTGGAATGATTGGGCTGGTAGCCAGGCGCTTAGTGTTGGGGGGAGATAGGCTGCTGGCATGAAGACGGCGCGGGGACGGGTGATTAGGGCTAGTTCGAGGACGACCATTGCGGCGAGGGAAAAGAAGCGCCACTATATGGTTACAGTATTAGTATTAGTATCGGTATCGGTATATGTGTTGACCTTGCGACAGTATAATAGGCCGCTGGTGTGTTGTACTTACGTAGCGTCCGAAACCTCCCCACCAGAGCCAGTTCAATACCAGCATAGCCGCCAACGACATCACATACTGCGGCAACACCAGGCGTGTAAGCGAGATCATGAAAAACTCCTGCGTCGTCTTTAACTGGCCTCCCCATTTCAGCGCATCGGGGCCAAAGCGATCATAAGCGAAGCGCTGGACGGGGTCGAGGAGGGTTTCCTCTGCCTGGCGCAATAGCATGAATAGGATATCGGCCCCATCCTGGTGACCGATTTTATCAGGATGATAACGCGCAGCGAGGCGGCGGAACTTGGACTGGATCGTCTTGTCGGTGTCGAAGGGGGTGACGTCCAATAGGGTGTAGTAGTTGCCTGCAACTTGTACTTGGTGGAAGGTTTCGTAGAGGGTGTAGAGGAGGTAGCTGATAATGACGAGGATGAAGATGCGACGGCGATGAAGTTCGAAGCGTGGGGTTTGGGGCATTGGTTTCGGATCACCGGCGCGAATTGTTATGCCATAGTAGAGGCTTTGGAGGAATGATGTGGCGTACTATGTTGTTGTGTTGTGTTAGTAGAGATCATAGTATAGCTCTTGCTCTTGCTCTCCACACATTGATAACACCAAGTAGTCAACTTACGCCGGGTAGCACCGCCCATCCGATGAGAGGGAGAAGCGACATGATCGCAGTGAATTGACCAGCTTAAAAGGTCAACATGAGATGTTGAGGAATCTGGGATTCATTCACAGTATCCCAGCATCGCACGAACAAAAGAGAAAGAGAAAGGGACTGACGCAACAATGTATGTACTGGTGTTGGTGTTGGTCTTCAATGGAGAGTGTCCAGACCCACTGCCAACCCCAAAGGCGGTGAGAGTTCTGCCCAGCGAAGTAGAAAATAATTTTAATTTTGCGACTTCATTTTTGGAGAAGAAGAATATCCCCAACAGCAGATCCTCCCTCCACACACGACAGCTCAATTGCCGGTCTCAATCATGGCTGTCGACGCAATGGATCTGGACAGTTCCCCCGTGGCGACCACGGACGTGGAGCGCAAACGCAAGCACAAGAACAAGGACGCTTCGCCCTCGAAGAAGCGCAAGCAGACCGAGCTCGGTGAAAAGAAGAGCAAGAAGGAGAAATCTAGCAAGGCGACTGGCACCAGCAGCGCTACGACCACTACCGAGTCATCAGGTTCACCATTCTCCCTAATCACCGCTACGATGTATCTCCCACTATCGCCAATCTCTATCTCGCCCACTCACGCCTTGGCCTCGCTGCTCGCAGAGCACCTCTCCCCACTGCTATTGACCTACTACCCCCCACTGAAGGGAATCGTCATGGCCTACTCCAACGCCTCAATCTCCAGCACCAAACCCTCATCCAAACCCCGCCCATCTTCAGACCCGAACCCGAACCCGCAGCCTCTGACACTGGCCCGCACCGCAGACGAGTACGGCGTGCTGTACGTCTACCTGACAGCAACCTTCCTCGTCTTCCGACCGCAGCGCGGCCACATTCTCGAAGGAAGCGTGAACGTGCAGTCAGAGGGATTCCTCGGCGCCGTCATGTTCAACCTTTTCTCCGTCGGTATCGAGCGCAAGCGACTACCGCCTTCTTGGCGCTGGGTCCAACCCGGCGAGGAAGGTGAGAATAACGACCCTACAACCAGTACCGGCACAACAGACGACGAGTCCGGGTCCGGTACCGAGGGTGTTCCTGCGAACTTCGACATCGAGAAAGAACTCTTCCAGCCGACTGCTCTTGCGGCGGAAGAATTGGAGCTCGAAGATGGCGAGGACGAGGATGAAGCGACGGGCCATTTCCAGTCTGTCTCTGGACACCGTGTGCGCGGTAATGTGAAGTTCCGCGTCGTTGATGTCGATGTTATTCCTGGGTCGGATCGGGATCGTGGCTTTTTGAGTGTTGAGGGTACGATGTTGTCTGTTGAGGATGAGGAGAAGCTTTTGCTTGCAGAGCGAGAGGGTCAGTCGCTTCCTCCAGCTTTCTTGTCTACGTCTGCGGCTGCGGCTAAGAGGTCGAATCGGGTTGTTCCGATTTCGATTGAACCTGCTGCGGAGGCGGTTGTTTCTACGGTTGATGTTCATTTGGATCATGAGGTGGATGAGGCCGAGGAGGAGAAGCCTAAGAAGGAGAAGAAAGAAAAGAAGGAGAAGAAGGAGAAAAAGGAGAAGAGTGAGGACAAGGATAAGTCTAAGCGGGATAAGTCGAAGCACAGCAAGAAGAAGAGCAAGGAGTGAAGGGGGGGCAAGATACCTGCATCTGTGATATTTCCATTCCATGTTATTTACATTCGCGGAGGGCGTTCCGGCTAAAAGGATTACTATGTACAGTCATGCAAAGTCTACGTGTATACACTACGTTGCCTATAACGAGTACTCCTACGTGTTTCAGTAGAAGCCCTAGGGTAGCCTTAACCCAAGTAAACCCGAACGTCAATTCAACCTAAGCATAGATAATCACTATAAAAACGGTAACAAAACTTGAACCAAATCAAAATCCATATCCAAACCCCTATCAAACCCCCAAAACATCCACCCCAGAAATAACATCCTTCTTCCCAATCATCCTACCAACCCTCATAAGCGCCGCAACCTTGACCATAACCGGATCAACCCCCATAGTAGCAACCGCAACAACAATCTCCCCCTTAAAATAATACGCCACGAACTTCCCATTCTCCGGTTCCCCAGAGATAAAGATATCATCATACCCGTTCACCGTATTACCAGCATACCTCATCTGCCCTCCGAGCGCAGACCAGAAAATCGGTATAAATTTCTTCGGCTTGAGTTTTCCAGAGCCAGCAGCGTGCGAAATTGAACGAGCAACACTCCGTCCCGAATTCTGCGCTACGTTCCAATGTTCAATGCGTGTGTGTGATCCTCCTCCGCCGGGCCCGGTGTAGGGGAATGTAGCTATATCACCGAGAGCAAAGACCGAGTCCAGTCCCTGAACAGCGAAATTCTCATCCGTCCGAATAGATCCATCTCCTTCAAGTTGAATTGCCTGATTTCCCTTTAAGAAATCCGTCGCGGGACGAACGCCAACGCCTAGAATGACGATATCTGCGGGAATCACGGATCCATCTTTGAGATGGACTGCGGAGACGTTGGAGCCAGAGCCAGAGCCAGAGCTGGCCGAGGCCTTTTCAACAGAAGCACCAAGTATAAACCGAATCCCCGATTTCTCGAGGTTTTTCTGGAAAATGCGTCCTACTTCCGCACCCATGACTCGTTCCATTGGTGCTGATTCCATGCCGATTATCGTGACGGCGTGATTTTGATCTTGGGTGGCGAGTGCGTTTCCTACCTCCATGCCGATGAAGGATGATCCTATAACGACGATTTGCTTTTTGCCGTCATTGCCGCTACCGCTGCTGGTGTTGATATTGGCAATTCCATCTAGGATAGATTTCACATCATCAACATTCCTAAGCGTATAAATATTCTTCACGTCGTCCTCAAAACCCGGCAACGGCAATCGTCGCGGAACACCACCCGTCGCAAGAACGAGTTTAGTATATGAGTACCTCTCCCCCGAAGCCGTGGAGACGGACTTATTGTCAAAGTCGACGGACGTAACTTCCTGAGATAGGATCTCAATGCCGGCATCTTTGTACCATTCTTTCGGGCGGAGGAGGATCTTTGATGGATCGGCGATGAGGGCTTTTGAGAGTTTTGGTCGGTCGATTATTTGGGTTGTTGGTTCTTTTGTTAGGATTGTTATTTTGCCCGTGTATTTGTTTTCGCGGAGGGATTGGGTTAAGCCTATTGTTGCGCTTCCTCTGTTTGCATTGTGGTTTTGTTAGAGATTGAGATTGAGTTAAGATGAATCTTAGGGGTTTTTGTATTACGTACCCTCCAACAACAAGAACCCTCTCATCACTAGAGACGGTGCATTTCGAGACGGGATTTCGGTGTCCGGATTTTATATCTGATTCTTCGGCTTGGATGTAGATGCCGTCGGATTTTTCGAGGATTTCGTATTTGTTTAGCGCATTTAGGGCTGGTGCGTCTTCGACGTCGCCGGTTGTTATGTTGAAGCAGGCTGGGGGAAGGGGTTAGCCAAGTTCTTTTGTCTTCTTCGATTGTTTTTTAATGTCATGAGTAGAGGAGAGCGGAACAAGGCAAAGCCAAATACCACTAGTATAGTATATAGCGCTCTGCTCAGCTCTGCTCAGCCCAGAGAACCAAACTATAATCCCCAAAACAAACGAGAAAAGCCAAGTGTTTCTTTTTTGGCTGTTGAAAAGAAAAGAAAGAACCTACCCCCCATGCCACGGACAAGTAAGTCTCTCACCCTCCAGGACCCCACCCTTCAACGGAGCCCCATAATGCGTGCACCGCGGACTCAAAGCGTGAACAGTTCCATTCTCGGATTTGACGAGGAGGACTTTACCGTCTTCTATTCCTTCGACGTCGACTTCGAGTTTGTCGTGAATGCTAATGTCGTTGAGGGAGGGAATTTTGAGTTTTAGGTAAGTCATTTTGGATTTTGGGGTGGAGGCGTCGGTTGAGGTGGAGAGGTGTCGATGTTCGGTGTGTATGGCTTTTGTTTTGTTGAGGGGGAAATAGGAGGGGGATGATTTTGGTTTTGAGATTAGGCTTAGGCTGGGATTGGGACTGGGATTGGGACTGGGGAGGGCACTGGTAGAGTGGTATTTTCTGAGCAGGGAATGGAATTGCGGTGGGAGGTACTTTTTTTCTTTTTGAATTTGGGAGGGCAGAAGGGGAGGTGTAGCTTTAGCTTTAGCTTGAGCTATAGCTATTGGGGAATGAATGGGTTTAGATGATATAGCCCAAGAGCAATGATATGGCAGTGAGGAAGAGGAAGAGGAGGAAGAAGAAGAGGAAAGAAGAGAAGGGCCCGTTTGAGTTCGAGTCTTCTGCCTCTGACCTTGACCCTGACTCTGCTTCCACGAGTAACAGTAAAAGTAACGCAGACTGACGCCAGAGGTGCCGCTGATTGGCGATGGATGGTGACGCAGACGCAGACGCAGGCGGGGGAGGGGCATTGGGGAATTGGATTGGGGGTGGGAGAACACGGAGAGAAGATCAAGAAATGAGTTAACCTAGGAAGAAGGCATGCAATAATTATTTCCAAGCTGCACCTCAGGTTTTTATCAAGTTTCAATTTAATCTACCTTGAACCCAGGGTGCTCCGGTCGACGGGCTGAATGCGGTGATTGTACTGTGTAGTTCGATACTCGATTGTTTAGTGTTGATCGTGACATCACGGCCAACCAATCAGCGAGGGAATATTGTCAACATTTCCTGTTTGCTGCTTGGCTGATGCGACTACAGTACTACTCGTATGTAGTATAGTATTACGGCCCAAATTAAGGGATTCGGCATAATTTACTAGCATACTCCATGCTATTATTCAAGTTTCTTTCTTCATTCCCGATTATTGCAGAAAAACCATTGACGTAATGACGGAGTGTCGCTACTTAAACTAAGCCTAAGCCTAAGAGAATGAATGCATCGTCACGGTGGAACAGAATGATACATTTCAGAAGAACCCCTGAGAACATTAATTCCTTTCTTATCTTAATATTAATCTTCTCCCCGAAGGTAAGGTCCCTGTCATCCCGCTAAATCGAATCCGATAATTCAATTCTGGTATGGTATGTATGTCGTACTAATACTAGTAATATGTAAAGAATGTCCAGATCCATCATAGGTAGTGTAGATACATCGAAAAAGAATGTGGTAGATAGATACAAAGACCCAATGCACAGCATGGGTCAGTAAGGTGGTGGGTTGGGTTGGGTTGGGTTGGGTTAGGTGTATGATATCCCAAGCCGAGAAGTCCAGTCCAGTCCAGTCCAGTCCCATAGGTAAGTGAGTACCTCCCATCCGAAGGAGTGAATGAGGGATAGGTAGGTAGGTAGGTAGGTAGGCAAGGCAATCCATCAAATTCTCCACTCAGGTTTTTTCGGCGAAGGTTTCTGCTTCTGCTTCTGGGTCTTCTCAACCCGCGATTTCTCCTTGGTCTTCATATTCTTCTTATCCTTCCGCTTCGGAATCTTACTCGGAGACTGCGAAGACAGCTGTAAAAGTTGTGCCTTTGACGAAGCGCGAGTGCGACGCGGACGATATGGTGAATCAGTATTATTAGTACTGTTTTCCTCGGCGTTGTCTGTTGCCGTTGCTGCGAGGCGGGGTGTTGATGTATCGGTGTCGCGTGGTGGGAGGACGGGGGAGGAGGTTTGTGTTAGGTCTACGTAGTCGAAGACTTGGGATGGTGGGGGAGCAGATTGTTGATCTTGATCATGATCCTGTGACTGAGATGCAGAATCCTGGGCCTGGGCCTGCGAAGACCTCTTCCTAGACCTCGTCGAAACAGCCGGCGGCGTCAAAGATTTCAGCAAAGGCGAAGGCGAGTGTGAGTGGTTTCCGATAGCCGGGTCCGAGTCTGGACTGGAATTTGACTCTGGTTCTTGCTGTGCGCTTGTTGGGAGTTGGCGCGAGGAGAGGGAGGGGGAGCGCGAGTGCGAGTGCGAATTGGAGGGCGAGGGCGAGAGGTGCAGACTTGATTCACCGTGTAGAAGGTGGTCTTCGTCAGGGGTAAGGCCGAAATTGAAATCAGGGAGGAGTTCGTCGTCGTTAGGGCCGTCGCCTCCTAGTGTTGGTCTTGTTTCTGCAGCGGCAGTAGCAGGTTGCGCATCAACGACGACTTGGACTTGGACTTCGACGTCGCCTTCGCCTAGTGCAACGCCCGAGTTTGCGCCTTGTTCATTATCGTCGTCATTACCAGACTCATTCTCAGGAGTGTGCAAGCTGGCGAGAAGTGAATTCTGACTCGATTCTGCACTTCCACTTCCGAACTGGTATGACGGAGCGAGGAGAGAATCATTGATACTCGTAATCTGGCGACTAGGCGGAATATGGGATTGATTTATAGATGCCGAAGCGAATGATAATGCCGAACCATCTTGGTTGCTATCGCCCACCATTGACGGTTCACCAATTAGGGTATGGCCCAGCATCGACTGTTGTTCGTCGATGAGGGTGTGGCCTTCTAAGTGACTTTCCTCATCGGCTTCGTTTAGGCGGATTCTGATTCCCGCGCCGGGCGATGATCGCGCGGAGTGCGTGTGCGAGTGGAAACCCGAAAACGAAGGGGATGGTACGGGGACAGAATCACTGTTCTCTTCGTCCGCATCTTCGGTCCTTGGTAGTCTCACGCCACCGGGTGTTTGAACGGATGGCACGTCGGAGGTTCTACCGGGGGTGTTGGGTGAATTGCGTGCGATGCCGGCGCTAGTTACGAACGTGGTGGTACTCGGATTCGGATCATCTAGATCCATCTCCATATCCATATTCATCTCCATATCGACCGGGGGTGCGGACGGTAGCGTTCCCGCTAGATGGGCGTATGGATCTGGCATTGAGTCTTGAACTACAGAGACACTTTGACGAGTGAGCGAATGAAACAGCAAGCGAGTTAATTGACTGACATGCTACCTTCACGAACAACGCGCTTCCCCATTTCAACCGGTTGGTCCTCGTCCTCGTCCTCGGCCTCGGCCTCGTTCTCTAGCTGCGGGGGCCGTAGAAGCTTGGGTTCGCTGAGTTCCGCAAAGGCGAGTTCACGGTATCCGTCGTCCTCGTCCTCATCTTCGTCCATCCCGGGCATTTCGAATCCATCATATAAGCGCGGTTCATCGTCTTCGCCAGCGGCGTCTACCGTTGGTCGACGGTCTCGCAGGGCCAGTCGTACTTTGAGAACGCCGCCGTCGAGAACTTCGTGGACTTCTGCGACTCGGTACTCGGACATTCGGGGTTGCCAGTTTGTTGCTTTGGACATGTCTAATTGTCGGAAGGCGATGATTGATCCGGGTTTGGTTTCGTCTTCGAGAAGGTCCGCGATGGTTGAGGGGTCGGTTGGGAAGATAGGGAGGTCATCGACAGCGGCGGCGGTGGTGGTTTGCTGGTTCTGAAGCTCATGCTCATGCTCATTCTCGTTCCCATTCTCGGCATCAGCGTCATGAGCAGGCTCCTCCTCGTAGTTGAGTTCCATATTACTCTCATCGTAGTCATTGTAACCCTCCTCATAGGCATACCCTTCCTCATCATACTCCTCATCCCCATAATATTCATTGTAGACCTGGATTCGCTGCTTGCGCTTCCGCTTTTCCCCCAGCCCATTCGCTCACGGAGAATCTGGTCCGCCTCCTTATCCCAGCGATTTTTGAACGGGAATGGAGGCGCCGTAAGCTTGATGTCGGTATAAACACACTCGGTCGCGCTGATATCGAGCTTGGATTCCCAATCAACGTCCTCGTCGCCATCGTCATCCTCATCCACCGCAGTCTCCTCAGGCTTTGGAGGCGCCTTTTGCGATGATTTCCGTCGAGAGTTAACGGCGCTTGCCTGTGCAGCTAGCTTTTGGCGCGTTGCTTCTTCGTCCTCTTTGCTCTTGGGGGTACGTACACCCAGGGACCCAAAGAGAAGTCGACGGGAGCTGCCAATGTCGAGAGTCCTTCGGCGAGAAGATTGTTCTTCGGGCTTTTCGTTTTCGTCTTCGGGACTTGCTTCGTTCGTAGTAACAGGCGGGACGTTTTCCTTCTCGGATGTCTCGTCTACAGCGACGCCGCCGGATGAAAGGTCACGAAGCAGCTTTTGACGTCTGGCTTCGAACTCGGCCTGCTCCTGCTGCTTTTTCTCGGCCTTTGAAAGCCTGGGTTTCGCGGGCTCTTCTTTTGACGTCGGTGCAGAGATCATGCTAGACTCATCGAAGTGCCAATCGCCGTTTGCCTTTGTGAATGAGTTCAAGGCCGCAAAGTCAGCCTCGGCGGGAGGAGGCCTAGTTCTTTGAATTTGGATAGACGGCGGCGCAGTTTCTGGCGTGCGTTGCTCTTCTTCGTGCGGATGGACCCTTCGCCGGGAGGGGCCATGACGTGGGCCTTTTTCAGGGAGACTTTCTCTTCCTCGCCCTCGCCCTCGGAGTCGGAAGAGTCATCGGAGCTTGAATCGGAGCTGGAGTCGGAGCTTGAATCGGAGGAGTCGGATGAGGCATCTGACATTTCCTCGTCCGAGGAGTCGGAATCAGAGTCAGAACTGGACGCGACGCTGGACTGAGCCTCAGACTCGGAAGATTCAGCTGCGCTCTTCTCGACTTGCGAGGGATTGAGAGGGGCTTCGCCTTCGCCGCCCTGACTGAACCTAACAGCCTTGGAACTGCGTGGAGAAAACTCATCCACACGAGAGCGTTTGCTAGAAAGAGACGAAGCACCCGCCACCGATCCTCGACGCAAACTATCCGCCGAAGAAGGCCTCTTATCCACCAGACTGGAGCGTAGTGCGGGACCAGTACCGGGGATAGCAGGATTAGCGAGTTGGCCATGATTTCGAATATCAATGAACTGAGACGCAGGTTCTTCGAAATCTGCTTTCAAAGCTTTAAGTTCACTCTCCAGCTCTGCCTCTTCGGGTTCAGAGATGTCCCCGTCCGCATCCGCATCGCTATCCTCCTCATCCACAGAGTCACGGTCATGGCCATGATCAATCGGGTGCCGAATGACAGTCCCCATCTCAGAGACTTCCTGATCAGCCGGCAAAATGGAGAGTTCTTTCCCGAAGCCCGCATTCGGCGGCAGCCATTCGCCATCGCCTTCTTCATCGGCATTCACTTCTTCTTCCTCATTCTCATTCGCATACCCAGGACCCCCTCCCAGCCCGAGAAGACAGTGCGTCGCTTCTTGCGCGGGGGGATAGTGATGGTCGGTCTGGTCGCGGTACTCCGTTTAGAAAACGGGGAGCCGAAGGGAACACCATCAATTAGGTGTCTTCCTTCGGGGGTGATTTGATGACGACCGCATAATCTTCTAGCGCGTAGATCTGCGAGTTCCAAAGATCGAATTCTGCGTTGCGTTAGCCGACAGCTCTCGACAAGAATACATACACACAGAGGGAGGGAGGGGAGAGAGGGAATATTGGGCAGTATTGGGGCAGACTCGACTTGACTTACACAACTTCATCTCCATCCCGAAGTAACGCCCCAATCTCCATAAAATGAAGACACTCCGACCCATCAACTTCAACAACATAATCCTCCAACCCCCACGTCCCGCTAAACTCCGGGTCAAGGTCAAACATACTCGGCTCCGTCTCCAGCGGGACAACATCATTTACATCTTCTAACAATTGCGCGACCGTGTATCCGCCGACGCCGCTACCCCCTGCGCCTGCGCCTGCGAGCGCTAGGTGCGGAGTTCGGGTTGACGCGATTGCGCCGCGCTGGTGCGCGTAGCTATTTCCGATTCCATTTCCAGCGGACCCAGAACCGGGGCTCGCCGTTGTTGTCCAGAGGATGCGCGTGATGGGGAGCCCGTGTCGGGAGATTACGAGGTGGAGGCGCATTGTATGTAGATGGTGATGCGACGTGACGTTTGACGTCTTGGTGGTGAATCAGAGCATTGGGTCGGAGAATCGGGGAGGTAAGAATTTCAACTTCGATTTCGATTTCAATTCAGGTGAGCTTGGTTTGACCTTGGTCGGGGTCGCGGCTTGGTATTGTTATTGTTTTGCTATTGATTATCGCGAATCGGAGGAGTAAAAGAGGGGGTGTGACTGCTTGATCGGGGCAAAATTCGATAGTGCTTTTTTTTCAGCACTCGATTTTTGGGTTTCTTTGTTCGTTTTGCCCGGGGTCTTGCCCGGGGGTTGGATATGATTGGAAGGGGTGTATGGTGTATCTGGTGAGAATGTGGTTCGTGTTTTGTTCGTGTTATATTTGTGTGTCTGTGTGTTGTGGTGGTGATTTCCCAGGACACGCGACCTGGTTGAAGGTTGAAGATGGAGAAGTTCACGTTGGACGAGGATGGGCCGAGCAGAAGAAGCAGCGCCGACGCAGCTAAGAGAGCTTGGGGCGGGCTAACCGCTTTGGGACGGATCGGCGGAGTAGAACTGCACGAGGGAATGATCAATATATGTGATATGATATGATGGGTTGAACTGGTTTGGTTGGGATGAACTGCAGTGAGAAATAGAGAATTGTACTTTTCAACAGTAATTTGTGTATAATACTCCATCTTCAACCCTGACACGGGGTTACCAAAATAGGCCATCTACATAGGAACGTCATCCGTGCCTGACGGGCCTAACCTAACGGCCTAACCTAAAGAACACGCTATTACTAGTACGTACTGGTCATATCATATCCTTCAGTAAACATAATCTCGTCCATTAAATGTTCTATGTAATTCTTCTCGTGTCCGACTGAAAAAGCGGTGACCCTTCAACAGAATGCAAGGAAAAAGAAAAGAAAAAAAAGAAAAAACCAATAATAGCCCACTTGGTTCTAACCGTAGGGTATCAAATATGCAATCACGGAAGATGGGATGCGATCTGTCATTTTGGCCACTATATTTGACCAATATAGTATGCATGTGTGGGTGGGTATAGGTATAGGTATAAGTGATTTTGGCCTGGCCCGGCCTGGCCAAGCCAAGCCAGTCCACTACTGTCACAACCATCAACGCTGTCCTTCCGAACTGCGCGGAACAGGTTTTCGACTGGGCACACCAAGATTCATCGGGCGCGCATGACTCTGAGAAGTCTGTCTCTGCGCCACACCACCCACTGGCTGTTGCTGCTGATTCTCCGCAACAGGCTGATAAACAGGCGGACTCTCCTCATCCACAGGATTCCGCGTGACTTTAACCGTACTCTGAGATCGGCGCACCGGGGAAGTCGGAGGGGATCCGGAATTCGACTCGGGCGGGGTCGTAGGTAGCATATCAAAGGATTCGGACGAGGACCGGCCATCACGACTAATCGTATCGCGTCGTGCCGGCGCCGGTGTCACCACGAACCCCTCAGCCGCCGGACCCTTGCCAGTCTGGACTGGGGATTTACCATCAGTTCCTGGTTCCACGGAGCTTCGGGAGGAGGTGGAGGCGTCTGGTGGGTGATACTCGCGACGTGGTCCATCCACCGGGGCTAGATTATCTGCCATGGCATCCTCGTAGCTTGGGGGTGCGTCGTCGTAGACGGCTCCGGCGTCTGCGGGGACGGGTTCGCCTTCTGGTCTCGGGGGCATTGGGGGTCTGCTGGGTTGTTCGGTGGAGGTTGGCCAGGAGGGTCGGGGTGTGATTTTGGTGGGTGATGGTTGGAGTTTGGCGGCTGCCATTGCGTCTAGGAGGGCTTGGGGTGGTGCGATTCCAGAGTAGACCTTGACGGGCATTCGAAGGGGTAGAACGATGAGTTGGGGCTGTGGGATATTAGCCAAAAAGGATGCCGAGGGGGGTGGGAGAGGGAGTATAGCGCACCTTCATATCCCCAGGAGTGCCGTGCATTAATCCAATGCGGATTTCCAGCTCATATCTTCTCTCAATGTTGCAGGTCTCGAATGATGGAGCTACCGAGTTTGGTAAAGGGAGGTTGTTCCATAGTGTTGGGTCGATGTTCCAGTCGGTTCCGGGCGCATCGCTGGTACTCCCCAATGCGATGTTCATGTTACTACGGCTCACAATCACCCAAGAGCCGATCTCTTCGCGGGTAAGATCATGGGCGACAATCTTTGTGAACGAGATCAGTTCGATCTGCAGCATTTGAAGATAGATGCGATCGGGTGATTCGGTTAGTTTTTTCAGTATCAGACGAAGTGGCACTGGTTCATTGCATGTTAAGATCGAAGGATTTGGGAGACGAGCATCCAGCGTCACCTTTGGAGGCTCGGTAAGGCCATCCTTGAGAGAGCTGGTAGTTCTTGAGAAAATACTCTTCTTCTTGTTATTATTTGGGGGTTTTGAGAATTGGTGTTTTCGTCGGGCATAGGTCTCTTCGTTAGGGTTTCCGGTTCTCGGCGGTTCAATCGGTAGGAAGTTCAATGGTATGATCTATCGGGGGAGGGTCAGCGTTGGTCGGGGCAACCTTGGGGGCGATCCACTGGGATCGACATCGGTATCGTAATGGTGGTGGAACCTACAGCTCGAATATTCTCTTTGTAGAATTGTGGGCGGATGACTGTGACTTTGACGAAGTATTTGATATCCGCCATGCCAGAAAATCCACTTAAGCTTGGCGGAAGGGTCTTTTTCACATGGCGGTTGGTGTCGCGGGCCATTTCGACTTTGTAGCCGGTGAAGTTGAGGTTGGTGAGCATACTATTGTGGGTATTGCAGGCATTATTGAAAGGGAACTGGTGGATATCAGCGGAGGCTCTTCACTATGAGCATCTGGGGGCATTGGGGGGCATTTATACCTTGAATTGGAAGGGATATTCATAAGAGCCCGGGGCAAAAGTGTAGGAAGTGGCGGGTTGTCCGGTTTGCATGACTGCCGCGGTGGGAAAAACGGTCGCAACTTTGTACAAGATCTGCGATAAATTAGACACAGCTTCCATGGGTTCTGGAGAGATAATTTCACCCTGGGGCAAGCTTACCTTGTGATGCTCCAGCTCCGTGCGCTTCTTATCCGAATTCACATTCTGCGGGTTCCGAGCTCCCGAGAGTCGCGTTCGACTCTCTCCTTCCAGCTTGACTTGAATACCTCCAATGGCGGCTTCGGTCGGCAGGTGGAGGACAACCCTGCCAGAGAGAAAGTCGAGATTGGTATAGTGTTTGTGTTGGCTATCGAGCAAGATCGTCGCCGTAGCGGCCATGACGGCGGGCGCTCGGGGGTCCGGGGGTCCGGGTTCGGTATTCTTTCGTACAGATCGATGGGGGCGCGAAGGGATTGCAAGTAGAATGGGGTATAATGGATGGCGAGCAGTATCAATTGGCGGTGGAGAGACAACGCCAAAGGAGGGGGAGGGGAGAAGGTGAGGTGGAAGAGGCAGAATGGAGATGGAGATGGAGGGGATTAAATGCAGAGCCCGGAATGACGTTTTGGGGCAGGCGCAGATCAACTGACTGCGCTGCACAGCTTTACTTTGTACTGTCGTTTAGGCAGTGGCAGACCCTGATAGGATCAGTAAATGTTAATTCTAATTAATGTTAATGCTAATGCTAATGCTAAACACTCATGCTCATGTATGACTGCGCCTCGCTCAGCCACAACAAAGTAACCCTGGAACGTGAAGTACCGAAATACTGAAACAGGTTGGGTGATCTCATAGATACTTCTAATGCTTCGCTTCTCATAAGGCTGGCACTGGAGGGAAAAAGAAGATTCGACAGTGGGTCATAGGCGTACTCGTAGTGGACTGCGAAGAACTATCGGGATCGGTTAATCTAAACCGAGTTTTCAAGCACAATACAGTATTTGCAAAATACCCTAACTGAAAAAAAAGAAAAAAAGATTGGCATCTCCAGGCACCAGAATTCCCCCGCCAACACCACAACAACACTCTGCTAGTGGGACCTCGAACTCGGAATAGGCATCACTTGAACCCTACCATGGTTTAATTATAGCTTGCAGCTCGTGAAACATACTCAGCTCCTCATTCCACTGCTACCTAGTAGAAATAGAACCCTGAGCCCTGGAGTATATACATTCTGAGGCTAGTTATCAGTTTGGTCTGTGCCCGACAATCTGCCGGATATCCGAATTAAATCCGAATATCCGAATATCATCCCCCCACCGTGTCTGGTCTTCATCAACCACAATTTAGGAGAATGAATTTCGACCAAAGTATTGATTCTAGAATGTAGCAAATCAAATTAGTAGGGCCGAGGCTCGTGTCATAGGGAATTATACTCGAATTTGGCTCCGTAGAACTTGGACTGCATACTCCAAGACTCGATCGAGTGTTGTCATTCTCTTTCACTATATATGACCTCAAACTGCTTACACTGATCTTCAATGAGTGCTCTCACATCAGAATATTCTTCCTTCCAGCATCTTTTTACCACACTCCCAGCCGCCAGCCCATCCACAGACGGATGCCGTTTCGACCCAAACAAACTATCAACTAGTTCCCGGTATTGACGCATCTCCTCCGCAGATTGAAATGTTCTTCCTCATTTCACTCTGGCCGGAATTGTGTCCGGACCTTGGAAGGAAGTGAAGGTACTATCCCAACTTCCGCCAATGTGAATTTTTCCCTGGGCTGTCTTGCGCTGCGCCTGGCTGTATATAGTTAGCGAGAGAACCGGAAAAATGAGATGAAAGAGGTAAGACTCACGCTATATCTATCTAAGGACAAACGGCGGGCAAAGGATGCGCAATCGACGTGATGAAATCAATGCAATGCATGAAAGGGTAGAACCTACTCATGTATGTATGAAATGCGATCTGACAAAGTCGGATGTTAGAGGCTGGAGACATGACTATCTCAATAAGAATGTTCGTAATTGTGCCGGGAGAGCGATTAACTGGTTAGGCATCGATATGCTATAGATAAGGCCCCAAAGCCCCAATTGTCTGTTTGTGCCGAAGGCAAGACATGAGCCTGTACAGTATTTCTGCCTGGTGATGAGGGATTGTTGTTAGTATACTATGGAAAGGATTAGGCCTTTTTTTAGATGCTGAAAGATTGCCGGGGAATTCTTTGGACGTACAGACATTGCAATACAGGTAGGCTAATCGATGCCAAATCGCTCTTGGGGTTTGGATTACCTTTTCAAAGTTTGAATGGAAGGCGGCCATTCACCGATTTTGAATTATCGTACCACCATTGTGAATCGTGGTGGAATTGTCGGGACGACCTTAAAACACCCACCTTCAGAGCCATTAGCAGCCAGAACTTTTCTTCGCCACTCATTGAGTTGCAAGTCTAAGGCAGACATTCCCGCGCACCCTCGCTGAGTACCGGCTGGCCAAGTGTACAAGATGTGGAATAATCTTGATCTGAAGCGGAAACATACTCATGATCAAATCAACAAGTCCGGCGAGCTGATCTTCCTGCTGGACAGAGCCACGCCAGGACAGAAAGCCAAGCGAGGACAAATAGCCGCTACGCCAGGACAGAAACTCCATGCTGCTAGCATGGCCATTCAGTAGCCTATGGCTTCTGGCTTCTCCTCCCACTCACGAATTTCCTGTGTCATTGGAGATATCTGAGAGCTTTCGATGAATTGCCTCGACGTCATCTGCCGCATGCCAGGCGTCCTCGTCTGGCTTCTGTCTGATCATCAAATCATTTCGGACATCTTCGTTCCCATGAAAGTACTCCAGCTTCCTGGCGGCATGATTGTACTGGTAAAAGTTTATGTACCGCCCGGTTTCGGAATGACCTTAAATAAACTCATGAATATGACCCCATTTGTTCTTTCAAGAGGTTCCATTGGTCCCGCGTACCAGAGCGCACAGTGCGTTTAGATCGGCGAGTGCTGCTCATTATAACAATCGGGGAATGTGGCCCACGGCGCTGAGCAGATGGACGCAAACTTGTCCAGGGCTTCATACTTGGTGGCAACAACCGCTGAAATGTGGAGAAAGGATGAGAGGGATAGTTCAGCAGCATCCAAAGCCAAGAGTGTCTTTCGCCTTTTGATAGTATCAATTGGGTTGTTCTCGAAGTCGCTTGGAATACTGTGGTGGGTCAAACAGCTGTGCACTTTTTTCGGCCATTGTTTATATCGGTTACCCAACTCGTCAGTTTTGTTTTTGAGTGGTACCTTGTGGTTTCGGGCTGGAGCAGTGGCTTTCGGCATTTTCGTTCTGCCATGACAGCCCCACTGAATTGGCCTGAGTCCTCGAGCAGAGCCCGTTCTGGAGTAGACATTTCATCCACGCAATGGAATTCGTTGTTTCCCTTTGCCCCAAGAGTGAAAAAAAGAGCGAAGCATATTTGACGTTCAAATAGATGTAGGCAGAGGTAAATAACGTGGTTTGAAGATTGGCCGAGGTTATTGCAGAATCCATTCCCTCTCGCTGTTATGTCTGGGATGATTGAGGTAGTTGCTAAGGCTACGTGGATGGAAATAGAAAAAGGTAAACAATGGGCTTTGGAAGGTGGAGATGGGATGAGAGAAGGCAAGAGCGAAGCTATCTACACTGCAGACTCTAGACTCTAGACTCTCGACACGGAAGGAATGACCAGCCTAGAAGGCGAGGGTTTTCTCTGGTACAACCAATTAGAAGAGCAGTTTTGACGTTGGCCGTATACTATTGGCTGAGTAGACGCAATGTAGCCTGCATGTATGTGAGGATGTGATGTGCTGGCATAAGCTTGGGGGCCAGCCTGAACCGCATGGATCACCATTTGAGGTTTAAAATTGCAGGATTCCCCTCTTTTTCTTTTTCTTTTCTACTGTTATATGATCCACAACGTTAATGAAATCCAAGTTTCTCCCAAGATCTGCCTCCATCAAAATGGGCGACGATATAGATGAAGGCTACGAGACTATCATGAGTTCGACCTCAAGTCAGTCTTGCACAACCTGGGCAACTATTCAGGGTACTTTGATCGAACCGCGCGAGAAAGAAACCAAGGAACAAGTAATCGCCAAAATTGATACACTATACGAGTCCGGCGTTCCTTTTTTCACCAAGAACGCAATCCGCGCGCTGTCGAATCAACTTAAGACCAAAACCACCCCCGGAGATAAAATCATTACCAAGGACCTGACTGGTGCGAGTATTGAATGGAAAGTGAAAATTGGAAAGTCTATCAAACTCATATATGGCGATGATCTCCCGGAGAACAGGAAGGAATGTGCCTAGTAAGAATTCTGCCGGTAGTTGATACTTCGAGTGGGTGGTCAATTAAATCGGCAGCTAACACCACCAAGCTCTGAAGCTGGGGTAGGGTACACATCCAAGCCATCCCTCAAACAGTCGTTGGACTGGTATGGTGTTCAGGACACGGCTTACGAACCTTTGTCTTTGTCGTACCGGATACGCCAGCTTGATCCTAACAGTAAAACCAAGGAAACTATTCCCGATAACTTGGAAGATACAAAAGACCGCGAAACGGTAGCCAAAGACTTTCTAGAGAAGAGTCAGGCCTGGGAAGAAAGCGAGACGTGCCAGCGTTTCAAATCGATCTTATCTTCCGAAGTCAACGGCCACGATATCAACAAGATCGTCGGCCTAGCTTGCGGTAGTTTGGCCTTGCCAAATAACGAAAATGCCACGAATCAAACTGCGTTACTAGTCACTGTGAGAAATTGGTTGAAAGACCGGGACCAGGACGCCGATATATCTTGCTACATCCAAGATCCGATGAACACCTCCGTTGACAGGAAAGTTCTCGCAGATATCGGGTTCGAGATGATTGACGATCCACGCGGTTGGCTTGAGATTGATGAGCGATCGGTTGTGCTCTCGGTGGCTCCGAATGTCCCTGTTAAAGAAATTATCGCGGACACCGCGAGGCCTGCCGTTGTGATATGGAATCGGGTTGAAGAGGAGGATACAAAATCGTGAGTTTTTTGGGTCCTATACGAAGGGCCTTTGTATCTTGGGTCTCGAGACTGATAGATTTACTAGGACTGACCCTGACACGGCACGCGTTCGGAAAATGATGACAGGGTACAAGCTACATGAGTTCGGAGATGAAGAGACGTGGTCGGATGTGGTAATTTATACTAGGGAGTCCAAGGTGGCCCCAATTCCTAGAGAGGATGGTACGTTCCTAGATTAGCCCCTTGACGATGGCAAAGGAAACAAAGTGTGTATTGAGACTTTATAAATTGCATTAAGTATCCAAATGTTTCAAGCTGTCTGCACATGTAGGGCTTCCACTCGAGTGATAGCAAGTATTTAATTTATAATCTGAAATATAACTTTGAAGTTGGGCTTGCGGAACAGAAAGTTCATACGGTTTAAATTCAACAAAACCCCTCACGAGATTTTTCATTTAACTCCACACAGCAGCAGTTGACAGTAAACCAATTTTGCTTTGATAATGAAATGAAATTGCGTCGCGTTTTCACCAGAGCGTTCCATTCTCCTCTCTCTATATCGAACCACTCTCTTGAAAAGCAGAATGGTGGCAGAAAGAGGACTGTGACCTGTCAGATCGATAAAGTTTGAGGTTATTGCTCGAATGCCCAACCATGAATTGCCTGAATAGCTTTCATGCGGCGTTCACCTCGATCTGTAAACACGCGGACTTGCGCTTACCAGATGAGGCCGTTGACCGGCTATGCGGGAGGGCAAGGCACAGGAATGCGTCAAAAACCTTCTTTTTTCGCCAGGATCTCCGCGGTGTTCACGACAGTTTTCCAAAGTTTCATTCTTGCTCTATGGAAAAATGTTCCCTTCAATAGCTGATGCACATTCCAAAGTCCGAATCAAGTTCGGCGAACTCTCGTTAGGGCTGTGACTATGCAAATCATTCGGCAACATTCCAGCCCTTCAAAAAGCAAAATACTTTTTTTTTTTTTAATTAAAAAAAAAATGCCCTATCCTGCCCTGTTATTAATTGTCTTCTTCTCGGTTCATCGTCTTGGTCTGGTCACCTTTATTTTCAGCTCGACATAGTCACTCTTTCCGCCTCGGCCTACCTTCGCCATGGTTGTCACTCTTTTCGGCTTGTGTGTAGCCACACTAGCCATTCCCTCGATGGCACGTATTGCTCCACGCGATAGCACTTATCCGGCCCCGGGTCCTTGTATGGGGAACTGCTGGACACATGATCCGTCCATGATCCAGCGCAGTATTGACAGCATGTACTTCCGCTTCTCGACCGGGCCGGGAGTTAACACCATGGTTTCGCCCGATCTCGAGGGTCCATGGGAGGATTGGGGTCCGGCCCTACCAAAGGGCTCAATAATCCAACTGGACGGTGTGGACGACATGGACATTTGGGTATGTCAGCGGAACCCCGAGCCCCAATTTTGACATATGTTATGGAAAATACTGACACAAAAGTACCTTAAACCAGGCTCCTGATCTACACTACGCAGATGATACCTACTACATGTACTACGTGGTATCCAAACTCGGCACACAGACCTCTGAAATTGGCGTCGCGACCTCCAAGAGTATGGACCCCGGCACATGGACCGACCACGGTGTAATCGGCCTTCCTCCCAATAGCGCCTACAACCGCATCGACCCCAATTGGATTACCATTGATGGCAAGCAGTACCTCCAATTTGGCTCCTACTGGGAGGACCTCTTCCAGGTCGAGCTGGATACCCCACTGCAGGTCAGCTCTCAGACTCCGCACCAGTTGGCTTACAATGCCAGCTTGGACCACCGCGAGGAGGCATCATTCATGTTCCAGCATGGGGATTACTACTATCTCCTGTTTAGTGGTGGTGTCGCGGGCTCGTATACGGCGGATTATCCAGCTCAAGGCGAGGAGTATCGGATCCATATGTGTCGTTCGACGAGTGGGACTAGGGACTTTGTAAGTGCAGCGCGGCTCGACATGGTATACTGAATTATGCGACTGACTGGTTTCTGTGCAGGTCGACAAGGCTGGTGTTTCGTGCTTGGATTCCGGCGGCACTATCTTATTGGAGAGCCATGACCAGATTTATGCTCCCGGTGGACAGTATGTACCCCATATTTCTCCTGGCTCACCTATACTCCACGGACAGCATGCTAACTAGATTTCCTAGGGGTGTCCTTAATGACCAGGACAATGGCCTTGTCCTCTACTATCAGTACTATCCGCTGAGTCTGAAGGAGGCTGGCGGCGATGGCGTAGCTGGCTTTCTGTACGGGTGGAACAAGCTAGGCTGGCAGGATGACTGGCCGTACGTGATGGCTACAGACGGCTACTAAGCGCGATTTTCCCAGGCAATGAACTGCTGGATTCCTTTTATGTGCGGGAATATGCGTGTTGTGACGGGGTTGAGAGTGCATACCAGACTTAATTAATGGAGGAGATTGATTTCTTCGTTGAGGCCCTTTTTGCGAGAGGGCCTTGATATCTCTCCCCGATCTTATCTCACATGATCGAGATTAAAAGAAGACTGTTGTGATAACCAAGAGGAATTAATGTAATATTGTATGCATGTTGAACCCTTCGACTTTGAGACTGGAGACGCGGAAATGAATTCGAAATTTGACAATACGGTTGAGGCTACCAATTAGGCACAACTATGATGGTAATGACTGCGAATCACCAAGGTACATACTGTGATCAATCTGCAATGTGACCTAGCAAGCTAGCCAAGAGATAACATCATTCAAAAAGTCCTGCATCATCAGATTCATCCTCGGCCATGTTCTCGTCGCCCGAAGAGTTGGCAACATCCTCATTTCGCCAACGATCCAACTGGCTTCGTTGTATGGTAGTCACAGCAAAGCGCTCCTCAAAAGCCAAACGCACTACAGTCCTTGTGCCCTGTTTGAAGGTTTCCGGGTGCGAGACAACTAAAAGCACGGCATCGAAAAGCTTGACATAGTCCTTCTTTTCGTCACGGAATTCGCCGCGTATGATCAAGAATAAAAGTCGGAATGCCGCGTCCCGTGCTTTGAATTTAGCGTTCTCATCTTCAAGTTCGGAATCAGATTCGCAGATTCTCAAATCGGCAAGAATATCATTGATAGACTGCCCGGCCAGTACGTCAACCCGAAGAAATGCATATGTTTGACAGAGAATTTGATACTGAGAAATATCACCTCGCAAAGAGCAGAAACATTCCCGATACCCCGATTCCAAGCCTCTGAGCGCAACATCGAATAAAGCAATATCTTCATGGTTGAAATCCGCACTTTGTAGCGGTGAAAGATGTTCAAATCCGACAGTGGCCCAGAAATATGGGATCTTCGAAATGTCAACGTTGTAGAAAGTGTCTCCGATTTTGCATGTCGTTTTGCGAGAATTTGGTTCTTTCGCTTTGGATGTTCCTACTTCTTTGCCAAATTTGAAATAGAGATCATCTGGTAACATCTTGTTTCCTTCTCTTTTGCAGACTGCGAGAATTTCAGACCAACCGTCATATTTTAGGACGATATTCCCGCCATGTTCTCTTGCCACTCTCACGATTAGCTTGACTAGGGCAATCAATCTCTGAAGATCATCATAATGGTCACATTCCCACTCAGCGATGTCAAGAGCGACGTCTTGGATTTCCGGTGGTTTGCATATGCCATGCCTTTGGTAGGCACGGACAAGATTGGGTATTTGCGATACCCATAGTTGGAAAAGGAGTTCTTGGACGTTCACATGCTCACCAGAGTCAAGTGTCTTGATCAGAAGAGTTGAACTCATTGGTATTTTTTTCCCTTTTCCAGAATCACCAGTTTGGACCCTGCGGGAGGTTTGTGTCGCGACGGAGACGCATTTTCCGAACCCTCATTTTGAGCCTGGAGGTTTGAGACTTGTTCAACGTCGACGTAGGCGTCGGTCTCGTAGCTCACTACGAGTTTCAACCCGCCCAAATTATATGAGATAACCCGATGATGTCCACTGCTACCGGGTACCTGAGTTTTAGTAAAAGCTTGCTTAAACTCGTGATGATAGCTTGTGGATTCGTGGGCCGTGACGAATCTCCAAGGCTCGACTTCTGCCAGAGAAAAAATCGCTGTATTGCCTAGAATTTCAATTTCAATCGTGAAGGGCAACACTACATTCGGAGACAGATGTGGATTGCTAAATGATAGAAGTTTGCTGATGGCTTTTGGATCGGTTATTAAGTCAACTTTCCGTATGTTGTATGAAGGCTTTTCGATGTACAGCGAGCGAAAGAGTGGTTCGAGAGGAGTTTCAGGAAGGCGACCCACGTTTTGAGCAATGTAAATGATCCCGGAGTCTTGGATCACTTCCTGGGGAACTTTGGGAGGTGACCAAAGCGGCGGGCAGCCGGGGACTGCAATGGTCGGGTTGGATGATTCGATCCAGTTGTATGAAGACAAATGCTCCACCTTTGTGATGCATGGCTTGATCTTATCCTTGTCTGTAGGAATCAGGCGAGGTATGTTTGTTATCCAAATAGAACCCATTGTTGCGTTACTTGGCTGGAGATACTTTATTCTGAAAGCCTCGATGGTGATAAGGAAGGGTTAGTGATGATGAAGTTTGATGGTAGTAAAGTATCGGGAAAGGGAGGTGGGTTCAAGTTGGAAGAAGATGGAGATGAAGAAGGAAGAAGTTGTCATTTATAGTGTAAAAGGTCGAGTCTGCGGAGAGTTCCAGGATTATAAAAAAGATTGTACATCCGAGTCCGAGTCCAAGGGCGTGCTGGCCTTGGGGTTAAGGAAAATATCATATAAGCCGGAGTATCGAGAACAATTCAGATTATCCACCACCCATCACTCTCACAAACCCTCCTTAGCCAACATATCTACCCAAAAAAGGCAGAATTAGCACCCCATAAATCCAAATCATCACAGAAAAGCAAAGCGTAAAAAACAACCACTCACCAGCAATATCCAAATAAAAAGCAATAGCATTAAACTTCCTCGGATTCCCCAAAACCTCCCCAGCCAACCACTTAGCTCGATTTGTCCAATTAATCAGATCCAAATGACTAACGCCCACCAGCGTCCCCTTATACCCATTCTCCCCGCCCCAGCGACTACTAGCCACACTGACAAGGCCATCATTGGGTCCCTCCGTCTCGGCAAGAATTTTATGCGATAGTCGGAAGACGGACCAGATGCTCGGCTCGACGGCGGCACCGTAAGAGAAGTATCGTACATCGTCCACGTCAGGTGTGTTGGGGTTGAATGTCTCGGACATGTATTTTTGCGTTAGTTGTTCGAAGGCGCCGGTTTCGACTTTTAGTCGGTTTAGGGTGTAGTAGATTTGTGGGAGGCGGTCGGCTGGATTGAGATTTAGTGGGTGAGTTTGTATTATGTGTGTATGAGAATATTGTGTACCGTACCTCCTATTTGATTGAAGACGTAGTCTGCCACGGATGATCCTGGGATGGGAGAATTAGTGAGATGGGCTCTGACTGGGCCGCGGCAGCGAGTTGGTCAAACCTCGATGTGGAGATGCGATGGTGGTTAATGATGAGACTTTGAAGTTCCGAGATTTGAGACGACTAATCATGTATCGAGAATCAAGGCCGCTGGGGGGAAACATTGTGTTAGATTGGTGGAAGACTGGGAGTGGTATAATTAGTTGGCTAAGTAGAGAACGTAGAACATACCCCTAAAGCTGGATTAGCAAAGTTCCAAATTTCAAGAATATCATGATTTCCAACCAAGGGGGATAACTCACCATACTATGTCTATAATGACAGACCGAAGCGTTAGTACTGGATCTCAAACTCAATATAGAGTCTTTACATACGCAATAATATTCACATCCTTCCCCTTCGCCCCAGCCTCAATATCCCGCGCCAGTTCCTCCGCACGCTGCTCTATCGATGCGGACGGAGGTACTGTAGCAGTGATCACCTCTACGCCTCGAGCTGTCAAGGCCTCCCGGATCCCACGCCAGTATTGGACGCCAGGGAGGTAGGGACCGGCCAGGCGCAACTCATCGAAGCCGAGGAGGCCGTGCGCCAGGACGATGGGGTGTTTTGGCACATCTGATGGCATTAGCTAGCTATTCTCGCTATTATTCGTGTATATTGGGGTCAGGATGAGTCTTTTATGTACCGTATTTGTCTCGGATCAACGAGTACTCGTCGTGAATGACTCGTCCATGGTCTTCTAGCCGGGGTTCGAGGATGGGATTCAGTTTGTGCGCAGATGTGTGGATGGTCCTCTGTGTCGCGTATTTTGGTATTGGATGGGAATAGCTGGCAATTTTTAGTATGGATATTCTGGGATTCCCCGGTATTCCCATCGTTCGCCTTTGTTGTCGCGCGTTGTAGTTTCCACGCGATGACGCAACGGAAACTTTTGATGGGCGGAGCCGGCGGGTTGTCCGGGGTAGAAGAGGGTTGGTCAGGTACAACTGGTCTATTGCAACAACTACTTGGATTGAGTCATATTTATGGGGTATTTTAATACTAAGCAATCATACTTGAGCTCTTAATTTATGTAATTCCTTATACTCGTATGCATCGTGCTGCTTGACCAACACATACGGTAGACACCACCAGCTATAATGCCCCAAAGATAGACATACAAGATAAAAGAGATCATATTTCCCGAACAATGGATATCGATGAACAGCCACGAAAGCGCATCTTTCTAGCGACAACCGAAGAAAAAAAAGGAGATAAATAACAACAAATAACCAAGTCTTCGCTTTATGCCTTGGCAATCTTCTCGGGCACCTGGGGCTTGACGTCGGTCGTCGCCTTAATCAGGTCCGCCACCACCTTGTCACCCTGCTTCTTACCAGAAGCCTCAATTCCCTTCAACTTCTCCTCGGCTTCCTTGTTCGCATCGGCCTCGGCTGTCTTGAATCCGCTCGAGTGCTGTATAGATAGTCAGCATGGATGTCGCGGCGGCCGCGGTGTCCATAGCAGTAGCAGCGGAGAGTCTCACCTCAGCCTCGAATTTCTTGTACTCATTTTCCTTCTGGTTGCGGTACTCTTCAATTTCCTTCTGAGCCTCGGACTTGGCGTCTCTTATCCGCTTGGTGCGGTCTGTCACGAGTTATGTCATGTCAGATCAGATCTCAATCGCATATCGACATAGAGGCGGGATGAGCAGGGGTAATGGGGATAATTCGAGATATCGTACATTCTCGGGCTAAATAGGATATATTATTAGTCAAGCTGATCTAGTCTGGTCTGGTCTGAATAGACAGAGAGGAAGATGAGGGGGTGACGAGGGACACATACCTTGCTGCACAATCTTCTGAGCCTCTCTCTCGGCCTGAATATAGCGGTTAGTACGACGATACCACAGCGAGAACAGCATATCCCCGCCTAGAGTGCCCGCCACATACATCGAGGAGGGTCTGAATGCCCGCGGAGTTCTGAGCCGACTGTTCACACGTTCATCGTTAGCACCGCCACCAAATGAAACGACCTCGCCAGGTCCACGGAACCCGTGCAATCGTACCATATTCAATCGAAGCCCCTGGTATAGTGATGGAAAAGGAGAGAGAACGACAGGGGGTAATTCAAGGTCGAGGAGAAGCGGAGCTTTCGATTTGGAGCTCCAGCTCGATCGGCCACGCATGATTGTCTCCGGGGGCGGTGGGGGTGGTTCTGCCGCTTCATACCGCCCTTCTCCGCGGTCTCGCCCATTTTTGGATGGTTCGATCTGCTTTGACCTGCTTTACCCATATCAATCCGACGAATACCCGGACGAGACGAGATCATTGATCACAATGTCTCGTGCTTCGAAGTTGACTCTCGCTGCTACCGGTCTGGGCACGGCTGGTATTGTCTACTTTGTGCATTGGGCCCAGGAAAATGATCGTGCGGTATGTGAAAGGTTGATGGGCGGTGGACATTTCTTTGCGCCATTGGGGAAAGAGAGAGGGAGAGAAAGAAGATCATTGGCTAACTGATAAATTCTCTGCTTTTAGGCTATGCACCGTGGTGTCGAGCGAGATATGGAAAAGCAGCGCATTCGCCAGGAACGCCAAGCCGAGTTTGAATTGCAGAAGGCTCTCGAGAAGGAGTACCTCAAGCTTCAAACAGTACACAGTACGACCGATGACCCGAGAGTGGGAGCCAATCCAAGTACGAATACGGGGACGTGAAGGGGTTTATTGAATATGCTATATGCTCGTTTTGTCATTTAGCAACTGGATCTTTTGGAATGCATATCTGGTATGTCTGGTTCTGGGTGTTACCTGTTGTTCCTCGGAGGCATGGAACTACTGGCTAACTGTTGACTTTAGGAGTTGGAATTCTAGACACATCACATATCTTGTATAACATTGGTGCCGTGTACGGTTATTTTGTATTATATTTCACCACGAACTCATCTCTTTTATATCGTTTTACGATACATATTCACCGCTATATCTGCCACTCTCATTATTTATCGCAAGGGCCACGATCTAGCAAAACGCTTATTGATAATCTGGAACTATCATACATTGTTGTGCAACAGACTTTGGCATTATTAATCAAAGATGGACATGCTAATTTGATACTGCTTCCTTCTCAGCCGGTGCTGCCTCATCCACTTCCGTGGATTCCCTCTCGGGCTTTCCGTCGTTCGCGTGCTCAGACAGCACATGCTTGGGAATAACGACATCATCTTCGCCGTTGAAATATTCCGTATCTTTGATATGGAATGTGGCAATATAGGTGAAGATGAGGACACCACTCGTATAGAATGTGAAAATAACAGCGGCTTCCTTCATAAATGGCACTTTGAGAGAATCCACACCGAAACAAATGGCCTCACCAGCGCCAAGGAATCCACGGAAAACACCCTATATATCAAGGGCCATTAGTCAGTAACTCTCGGTTAGAAAATAGACTCGGATAGAGTTGGAAAAACCCACAGCATAATTGGCCGATTTTTTGGGAGAGTTAGTGAGAGCGCCTAAGAAATAGAGCACTATGTATTGCCACAAAGACCCAGTAACCCAATTTAGAACAAAGAGTACCAGAATCGGCCAGAAATCTGGCTCCGTCCAGTCCAGGCCCTGGGCAGGGGGGTTATGGCGGTCGTAATTTCTGACGCGAATTATCTCCCAGATCCACGCACCGATGAGAGGAATTCCAACCATCACTAATCCTAGAAAAGCTCTGTTTCGTCGATTCCACTTTTTGTGATCCAGGACATACTGTAGGAGAATGCCGCAAGGAATTTGTATAACGACTGCTAAGAAAGAGAGTAAACACCTCGTGCGTAGGTTGTTGCGGTAAGCGTTGACTGAGCCTCCATAAACCAAGAATGTTTCAGCAGGGAGGAAAGCAGGGACCTTTCAAGCGATTAGCATGATGTATGAAAATAAAAAACTTCAGTTCAATCTTTACCATAATAAGAAGCTTCCAGTCGCGAAATATCTCCAAATTTGCCTTTAGCTCTTCCATGAATCCCCGCGGCTTGATCAGAGCAATCTGCGTTCCATCGTCTCGAATAACGCGAGATGGAGGCATCAACAGGAAAGCAGCGCATGCCCCAACACCCATCATAACCATGAAGACGATATATACAGCCGAGGGGACACCAGTAGTCTCACTCTGTGAAGAACGGGTCAGATACATGTCGCAATTCCGAAAGAAATAATTGGAGTAGGCCATACCGAGTCCTTGTTTATGATCAGTGGAATAATACCACCAATTACCGACCCAACAGCTTGAAGATTGATAGACATAGTGATATACGCTCCTCGATCTTGCTCTTCAGAATAAGACATTGCAATAGATCCCATCGTAACGAAGATAAGACCAGCCGAGATTCCAATAGCCACACCGGCGAAGATTGGAAATCCACTCTTGCCTGTGTTGTCGAAGTACATCAAGCTACCGACGTAGATGATATAACCAATTACCCCAAGACAAGCCGTGATAGCGGGGCCGATAGTGTTGAGAACTGTTCCGCCGAAGGAAGCGGAAAAGAACCACACGGTGCAAAGTGTCGCATTGACTACTTGCACTGTTGAGGCGGAATTCGGTTTGCCACCGCCTGCTCCTAGAAGATTCAAGGAGACGTAGAGGCCGGCTGTGAGACCGACAAGAACGCCGATGAGAACACTAATGCGTTACTTGTTAGTTGGATGTGCAGCATTTGACATCGCGGAGACGATGGGGTGGTGCCAGTGGTATGCATACTTTTGCCAATAGGGTGAATTGAGCCTTAATTCGGGAGAAAAGGGGAGCTTGATACTTCTTTCATAATAGCGAACCATTTTGCAGCCCTGGACTCGTACTAGTCACGAAATTAATTTCGAAGAGTTCAAGTTATGGCGCAGATGATTGCCCATCACTTGACCATGCGGGTGTGCGTGTGAGATATATATTAATCGATCGCTCAGAATTGGAAGGTAGATATCAACTGATTCCACGCCTCAATTCTTCCTGAAAGTTAGTCCCTTTTTCTCTATCTGGGCATAGAAGCTAGCTCCTTTGACATGATGTCGATAAGATATCTTGAGGTGTGGGGGAGGCGTATTGAACAATCTGCGCTCATCTCCGTCGTCCGTGCGCCATTCTGGTGGGGTTTGCTGGCTGCGCTCATCTCCGTTGCCAAGCCATGCGGGGAGCTATACTGGTGGATCGCAGCATTTTCCACTCTGGTATAGAAGTTATTTTGAATTCTACACTTGGAGGTCATAGTGAATGACCCGGGCTTTTAGATTCCGTTCGAGTTGTCTCTTCTCAAGACAATGTCACAAGAGAGGCCTGTAGTGCCACAACGGATCTTGGTAAATTCGTACAATTAACTGTTTTTAAGTTTGACTTGACTGATTACGCATGTTTTATTGAACCTTAGAATCAAGAAAGTCCATTTGAATATTGGGGGTCTATCGTGATTGTGCACTTTGTATCTGGAGGATTAGGAGGAATCTAGATCACTAAATGAGGCGCAACATTTTCGGACGACCCTGTACGGCTTTAAGTACGGCTTTAAGCCAGAACAGCTCATATGCATGTTACACATTCCGACCGGGTTTAATGAGACTGAAGAGCTGGATGGTAAAAGATAATTTCTGAATTTGATGAATGGCCATCCAAGGTGTGGCTATTAGGAAGAAAGAAATCAAAATCCAACCGGGCTTTGCTCCTATGCCCCCCCTTCGACAGTTGTCCCAGGGATCTTGCCCTCTTTGAACTCGTCAACAATTTGTTCCATAGTAACCCATTCCACGCCCTCATGTGAATTGATATGATCGATAATATTTTCATGCATCAAAATCACCTGTGGCTTTCCACTCACTTGAGGATGGATGGTCATCGGAAAAATGAAAGTGTCATATTCCCGGTAGAAATAATCAAACTGTTTCTTCCATAGCTTCTCAATGACATCTGGATCAACATAGCCATGAGAGTTAGCTGCTTTGCTGACAACAAATGGAGGCCAGTCGTCAAGATGCCAATTAGCTGGAATCTCGACCACTTTGCTCGGCGTGATCTTAGTCATGGGCTGCATCCAGGTGGACGCTTCCTTCTTGGAGTTGGTTTCTTGCCATTCTTCTTCGCCATTTGGGACGTAGTATGGCTGGCAATCATGGTGCATGAAGGAATGATCGTACTCCTGGGACGGTGATCCATTATCAGCATTTCTGTAAAAAGCTTAGGTCTTGGGCTCTTGACTCACGATACCGAATTCCTCCAGCACTCGGATTGATTGTTTGGATGTGTTCCATGCGGGAGCGGTCCATCCACGCGGCCTTTTACCAAGGAAGTTTGTGAGCACGTCGATGGACTTTGTCATGATATCACGTTGTTGCTGCTCATTCATAGTGGCAACGAATTCATGGGAATATCCATGGAGACCACTAGACAATGGTTAAGTTTTAGGATATTCATAGGTAGAATAGAGGAATTATTCTAACACACATCTCATGTCCAGTATCGCGAACCTTTTTCAGCTGACTCGTGAAGGATTCCACAGAGTGGCCCGGAACGAACCATGTTCCTTTAATTCCGTACTTATTGAACAGCTTCAGGATACGGTCGATCCCAACGGTGGCTCCGAAAACACCCCGAGAGACATCCGTAGGGCCTGCAGGATCTCCTGAACAAGTATTAATCCTATGCGATGTGATGAGTCTTTATCATTCCTCATAACATTTGTTCCCATAATGCTCTGCTCTCACGTACCAGCCACTAACCGCATCGACATCGACACCGTAGACAACCAGAACTCTTTTGACCATTCTGAAGAGGTATTTGAGTCTTCGATTTATTTGAATGTATTATTCTGAGACTTCCTTTCAAGGAGTATGATAAGTATATGAGGGAGATAGGGGCGGTGCATAGATTTAAATAACGATTTGAATTTCCATTGTGTTTACCGAATCGATGTAATCAAACTAGCTCATCATGCTACCAAATGCAGACAACATGCTCCGCATCGTAGGTCGGCTCTATTCATTCCGTTAAATGGGAAGGGCGGGGTGTCGTGGCGAATCACGGATGTTCGGGCTGTCCGTCATGCCTAGTTGGGACTATGCGCTCATATCCGCCGCCTAAGTCCGTCGCTCAAACCCGCCGGTTTCCCCGCCATGGTCCACGGATTAGGATCAGATCAATACCATCGTGCCATATGGCGACTGCGTCCAATGAGAGTTGAATTTTCATGAAGAGATATCATGATAATTTAGAATATAAATTCGCGACGTTAAATCAGATAACCCACAAGGCCCATACTCGTCTGCCTATCGAAATTTGCCAGCAAGACAGAGTGAGAATTGTGATTAGAATGAAACAAATTGTGTGCTCAGGGACCCCCTACGAGGTTTGTTCGGACGATATTTCTTGAAGGAAGAAAATCCGTGCAGCTTACATTATTAGATTGGCTATGTTCATGGCCATGGCGCGAAAGTTGAAATTCAACGGAGCCATGATCTATATGCTGCTTTGTTCTGGAAAAAAAGCGGATTTCGCTGGCCTCAGGTTCAAGAACTGGCTAGAGACTTTGAGAGCTTAATTCTTACAGAATGGCCTCGTTACTACCAAGAACTGAAAGGTGAGTCTTACGCACAAATTGTATGATAGAGTCACTAACTCAAAGCCCGCCTAGGTGTCGCAGACGGAGCGGCACAGAATATTCTTGATATTATCGCATTAAATGTACGAACCGAAATTGTATTCGGACGCTTTAGTGATGGCTGTACAAGTGCATACTGGAAGCAGGGGAAGGAGGCTCACATAGGCCAAAACTGGGATGTAAGTAAATTCACAACAGAAATACAAAGTTGATTCTCTAATAGTTGCTATAGTGGGTGGAAGACCAGCTACCGAATTTGATACAACTCACCATCTTCCAAGATGGACTGCCCACGATCAAAATGGTCACAGAAGCTGGAATTATTGGTAAGATTGGCCTAAACTCGGACGGCGTGGGAGTTTGCTTCAACGCGATACGCGCAAAGGGCGTCGATAAAAACCGCCTCCCAGTCCACCTCGGGTTAAGGATGGCACTGGAAAGCAAGAGCGCTACGTTGGCAGCGGAAATGCTGGAGAGTATTGGCATGGCCAGCTCAGCATATATCGTGGTTGGCGATGCGACAACTGCAATCGGACTTGAATTTACATCTACGACGTTTCTCAGGGTACCAGTGAATGACCATGGCTTCTTGGTCCATTCAAACCACATGCTGCTCCAACATGAGAATATCTACGAGCCAAAGTGGCTAGAAGATTCTTATACACGATTGCAGACGATGGGGCGAAATATCCTTCAAACGAAGGAACTATCTCGAGAAAGTTTTAACGGTCTCTTCGAAGATGAATACGACTTCCCGTGCTCTATCAGTCGAGCACAGGAGGGAGCTAGCGATTGTGCGACCCTTTTTAATATTACTATTGACTTCAAAGAGGGGCTGGCAGTGGTTAGAGAAGGAAGACCAACTGGCGATAGAACTAGCCCGACAATGTGTTTGCAGTTTGAAGCCTCTAAATAGATGGACATGATCATACGGCTCAGATAACTTACATCAAGAGAGGCAGAGTTAGTTACTAATAACTGCAATTCCCACAATATCTGTTGTAATTTGATACCATTGTTTATAAGCATGGTGTTCAATAGGGTCTACCCAGACGTGAACAACATTGGGTCTGGTAAGTGATGAGTTTTCATCTGTGTTCAAATAGCCTGCATCAGATTATGACCAAACTCTCGAGTTAGTGACCTGCGTGATCACAATAAACGAAAACGTACCTTGATTGTAGTAAAGGGGTTTGGCATATCATCCAATTCATGCTATTCGGAGATAAGCGCAGTCCTCTTTGTCCACGTCTCCACCTCCCCCACCTGGATTTCCGATAACGTCTGGTGCCCCGCATGGATTTGCTAGGACCTGGATATTAGGACGGGAGTGGCCCGTTCCAGAGTATATCTTGGCATTTTATACTGATCGAGTAGTAGAAGAGGGGCGACGTACTTAAAGTACCCACAGACCGGAATTTAGCAATCCAGAAGAATCAGACTGAGAGTAGCACTAAATACCAGAAAGGTCATCGGATATGGCGGCCAATTCCAGCGCACTTGAAACTGTTGATGCGGATTATAAATCGAGAAGTATACTCGACTTGATCGGGTTGAAGGGGAAAGTGACGGTTGTGACAGGTATGTTAAACGGACATAATGCTTTGATGCTTGGCTAATATATACAGGAGCTGCTCGTGGAATCGGCCTAGCTTTGGCCAGAGGAGCGGCTGAGTTGGGTAGTGATGTCGCCATATTGGATACTCTTCCTGAGCCTAGCGAGGACATAAAAAGCTGGGAGCAACTCGGCGTTCATATAAAATATTATAGGTGAGGATTATCTTTGGAAGGAACTTCTGTTGGAATAACTTATGACCTGACATGATATAGGACCGATGTGACCCAGCTCGATAAGTTGACCGAAGTTTTCAGTAATATTAGAGCCGATTTTGGACATATTGATAATTGGTAAGACGCAGACTTCACAGAGTAAAATTATTCACAACTGATATTTTCTATCTAGCATCACTGCAGCAGGGGTAGTTCTGGACAAACCATTCCACGACCACGAATGGAATGAAAGCGCGAAGGTGTTGAATGTCAATGTAAGTACACTAATATAAATATAGCGCTAGATATTGATATTTATCAGGTCATGGGAACGTTTTTCTGCGCACAACTAGCTTCGAAAGCCATGAAAGAACAGAAAAAAGGAGGTAGTATCGTTATGATTGCCTCAAACGCAGCAAATGTCGCTATTCCATCTCGCAATATGTCAATTTACACAGCCTCAAAAGGCGCAATTCAATCTTTGACCAAGGCATTGGCTGTGGAACTGGCAGAATATGGAATAAGAGTCAATTCCGTTTCGCCTGGCTTCATTGCAACGGAGATGATCATGGAGGCATGCAGGAAGGATTCAGACCTTTGGAATGTTTTCAATTCCAAACCTCCACTTGGGCGTGTGGGTACACGGGGCGACTTGAAAGGCATCGTTGGCTATTTATTGAGCGATGCGGCGGCTTATACTACGGGGACCGATGTCGTGGTGGATGGTGGACTTGCTTGTGGCCACAATTAGATGTTAAAGGTATGCTATTCTTTTTTCGAATCAGAATTGAATAAGGCAGTTCCCTCCGGAAAGGTAAGAAAGAAAGCATAAGGTGGTATCACGTCTGTTTCCTCTTACTGTATCAGGGCCTAGACGCAGCTTCTTGAAGCGACGCTCTCAATGCATTGGCGCTTGGCCATCTCCGCGAGCACTGCTCCAGGAACAATAAACAATTTACGTAGGCCTGATAGCTTTTATGTAGATCATGGTTTTTTATTGTGCCCGGGTGCGATTGATGCGTTGATATCTTGGAGACAACAGCCAAGCCTGCTCGGTATGCCCACGAAGGACCCAGTGCCGTTCGGATGTAGAATTTCTGGGAATATATCTCAAGTAGACAGATTGCACTCTGCTCGTCATCCGACCGGATCAATAACCGTGTCTCGTAGACGGCTGCAATGACATTATGTCTTGATCGGATCGGCATTTTCTCAATGGTAGAGACATAACCGTCAAGCTCTTGTATTAGCGAAGTGACATCAACATTACCCCGCTGGGACCGGAAACAAGCTTGAATTCGATAGACCGCACAAAGGAAATCCTGAGGTGTGCTAGACTCAGGATCTATCATAGGCGGGGGCAGGAGTCCTGGGCGATCCAAGGCTGTAGCGTACTGATTTTCGAGACAGTAGATTGACTTGTAAATTTGCTCAATTTTGTTTCTCTCGTTTGAGTTATTGTTGGGCTTATCAACAGCTCCCAAGTCAATCGCTAATCTAGCAGCCAATCCGATGAGTTGCCCAATATTGCCTGTCTGCGGGGAAAACAAACTATGTAATGCGGCGAGAGTTACTGTTTCAAGCGTGTGTATGCTGATATCTGTCGCGGCTTTGTCGAAGATCATGAAGTCCTCTGCGGTGGGACGCATCGGCCAGCTTTTGGTAGTAATTCATTCCCTCGTGGATTGGTGATTCGTCAAGTACTCGATGGCTTGCTACTGAATACACCATTTCCAGCATGAAACGTTGCATATGAGTCAAATTTGGCTCATTGTTTTCCACAAGCCACTCCGGCGAGAGGAATGGCAATGTCTCATGCAGAAGTGGATAGATACTTTGTATATCTGAAATATACTTCACCACTAGATATTCAAAGGTCTCTTGATCAGGTGTCAAATCCCCTTGGAAGGGTACATAGGGTGGCATAGGCGCTTGTGATGCTTCGGTCTCGGTATTTCTGACGTTTGAAAAAGCTGGTGCCAAGCACGATAGGGGTCCGACATAGCGGTTGGTCTGTGGCCTCATCTCAACCCCCGAATATGTTAGGCTGCTAGGAGAAGCCGGAGAATTGTCATTGCTGTCGTATGGTTTGCTGCATTTCTTTTGTGTATTCTGAAGGCGTTGAATGAGGCCCAAGACATATCTGAAGGAGAATATGTAAGTCGAGGACAAAGATCTAATGCAAAGGATGTAACTGACGATCTTGAAATATCCTTTTCCGTGACATGATCAAAGAAGATGCACTCTGCACCCGCCTTGGAGCAGTTGCGACAAGAGGGCAGTTGGGTATCACATCTGCGCCTATTTGACCTGCACCGACGACAGGCCGGCAAGGAAGCAAGGAGGTCATCAATGTCGGGCGAAGCTGATCGTTCGTGCTCCATTGGTCCACCCCATCAAATTGATGGGTATGTAATGTTAGCTTAACATACGTTCTCGCATGGAGTGATGCAAGTCGGAATACCCCGAGGGCGACCCCAAAAAGCGGGGGCGGAGCCCGGTTTCGGCGCCGGGTCGATTGCAGTCCAGACACCATCTTGCATTGGTTGGTGTTTTCCGGGCCGCTTATCTGTTTTTATGGTTGAGAATTTGGAAATATTTAATTGGCTTGATAGAGCGGGGGAACCAGATTGGGCAGAGTGATGGCGATTCCCTCATTAAGGCAGGTCAAGTGGTTAACGATAAAAACGTGTTGGGGTAATGCGCTCACCTCCGCACCAACAGGAACGACTCTCTTTCACTGCATGTCGCTCACTTAGCGTGCATCAAGTTGATGTACATGGCTCCATCAAGAGTACGCAGAAGAGCGATAGCCTGTGCACGATGCCGGGCGCGAAAAATAATGGTGAGTGAATTTCTGAATGACGCTTTGATATGAGTGTTGAGACTCCAAGCTTAAGCAAAAGGATAGTGTGACGCTCGCTCTCCGAGCTGTTCTAAATGCCTCGAAGTTGGAGCTCCCTGTGTTGCGTCTGGGGAATCTAAAGAGAGGACAGTGCCTCGCTCCATTGTTCAATTTCTAGAGAATGAACTTGACAGGAAGCAAGCATCCCCTCTTTGGGTCTAGAGAAGAATGACGATTCAGGTCAAATGCTCGCCGAACAAGTCCTGGATGATCTCACACCCCCATTTCTCGGGCTCACATCTGCAGTTCCCCTTGTACGGTGTACGGTAGCGGGGACAAAGTTGCCATCTACAACCTTTCTCGGTGCTACGGAGTCCAACGACGCACAAGGACAGACAAACTTGTTATCCACGAATCAGCCAACAAGCGGTCTATCCACAATCCCAAAGTCTGTCGCAGACTTTCTCTTCGAGAACTATATGACAAGAGTCGTCGCGCAATGTCCGCTATTCTATTCAGCCGACCTAGTGGCTTACTTTGATTCCGTTTTCCGTGATCCCCTTCGGATTCTCGAAACAGATACCTCGGAGAATCCACGCGCTTCCTTCGTCATCGGTCTTATCATGGCGATCTCACTTACGACTTCAGCACGAATTCAACAAGTCTGGGCAAACTCCATTGCGACTGGTCTCGTGAAGGAAGCAATGCAGTACATACACACTGTTTGCACTAATGATATCTATGGATTACAAGCTCTGCTACTGCTGCTTCAATATACGAATCTTGATCCCACCGCGGCCAATATTTGGCTCCTGTCGGGCTTTACAACACAAGCATGTATCGATTTGGGCTTGCATATTGAAACTCCCACGACTCAACGAATGGATCCCCTCGTAAAGGATATCCGACGAAGAGTGTTTTGGTGCGCATACGAAATGGAGATAGCCACCTCCGCGGCACTTCTGAGACCTTCCAGCTTCTTTGGCCTCGCGATAAACGTCCCATTTCCTGCAGAGGTGGATGATGCTTTCATATCACGATCCGGCATCGACATGAGCGGCTACCCGACAAAATTTGCATCACGACGAATCTGGCAGTTCCGTCAAATCGAGGCCGAAGTTCTTCTGGTACAATTTTATAACGGGGCACTGCCATCCCCCTATCTCACACTTGACGAGTGGATGGAAGCTATAAAGCAACGAATCGACAATTGGAAGCAGGATATTCTCTGGACAGCATCTCTCAACGCGGACACAACCAAAACGTCCCAATGGGAAGAAATGTGTTTATATGCCAACATTGCTCGAGACGTCATCATCGTCACATTATTCCGCCCAAGTCCCAGAGTACAAGACCCTAGCTGCGAGAATCTCATGAAGGCGTTTCGAGCGTGTATTGGAGTCGCTGATGGTTACTGGAAACAATCAAATCTCAGTTTCGGTAACAGCAAATTCGTTTTTCACCCTTGCTACCACACATTCTCCGCCGGTATGTTATTCTTAAGAACGCTACAACGATGCAAGGATGTTATATCTGCCACATATAGCTTGAATGAGGTTGAGGATTTTATCTCCTGCTTTTCCCGACTTTTCACGACAATCGCTGAGCGGTGGCCGGCTGCGTCGCGGTGCCTTGAGGAGTTTGAACGATTGATGGTCCCGGTTAAGAGGGAATATATCGACTATACAGTACAGAAGGCGAGGAATGCCCCTCAAGGCCCGTCTTATCACCAGATCTCAACATTTGGAGATGAGCCAGAAGATTTGACAATGGACTCTTCGGCATGGCAGTTGGATAATACGAACTTCGGCCCTCTTTTGACTACAGGAATCTGGGACCATGAAAGTCCCGAACTGGCGCTCTCGGTTCCTCTGGATTGGAATGCGGAATTTGATTTCGGAATGAATTGATTTAATTTTTTTTTCCCTACATTTCATGATCTTTACAATCCATTACATAGTAGACAGGCTTCACGCATCATAAGCCACTTTCACCAACGAGTTCTGTACCTCCATCTCTTGAACACTCGTTCCGAGGTTACCTTTTGTATCCCTATCCCCCATCTGGTCGCTTCCCATACTTTTTGCACCTAAGTTCATTGACCGGTATCACAACAAGCGCGACTCTAGAAAGGAAAATTAATTGCTTCTACACATAGCTTGTCTGCTCCTTCGCGAAGCTTGTCTGCATTGTCGCGTAGCCTGTTTGCTTCTTCGCGTAAATTGGCCTTGGACGCTTCTTCATGGGTTTTGGATGCTGCTGCGCGTAGCTTGGATTCTTCCTGACGAGCCTTTCTGCTTGGTTGAGTAGATTTTCTGCTTCATCACGCAACTTGGCTCTTGCATCCTTGCGAGACTTGGCTTCTTCTTCGCGGGGTTTGGCTCTTTCTTCACCAGACCGGATTCGCACGGGCGGTGCTGGTAGCAGCGGTTGATTCTTCATAGACTAGTTAGTTCATTCCTCACAAATTGGCAATAGAATGTTGGATCTTACTTGTCGACCGTTTATACCTGGTTGTGAGGGAACTTCCGTCGATGTCTGCGGGGGTTGAGTCTGGGCCTGGGTCTGGGCCGGAGCGTGAGCTTGTTCGGTGGCTTGCTTTTGAGCAGGATGTAGATTTTGTTCCTCCCGGCGTACTGCGGCAGTGTTGATGGTGATAGTCATATTGACTTTCTGGTCGTTCATGGCGCAGTGGTCTGCGGTGTAGGTTTGGTTAACGGTTTGAGGGCAGCCATCGTGTGGTCCAGAGGACTTGTTAAGACAACTCATCGCGCTGCCAACAAGATGGAGGAGAGAAAATGAACGGTTTATGGATGCAAGTTAAAATAAACTCGACAGTTGGTAAGTTTTGGTGGTGGGTGGGGATGGATCTTGGATGGGAAAAGGAGGTGGTGGGTTGATGGAGGAATGGGATATGCCCAGGTGGGCACATCATTATATAGTGCCCGGTATATCTTACGGTACGCCAGTTTTAAAAGACTCAGACACAAGACAACTGAACCGAGAGTTGATTCGTCAAATACTCCTTCCAAACAGAAACGCCATCCCGTATCAACATGCTCGCTGGTCAGATAATGATATGTACAATTCAGATTAGGGTAGTATGCATTTTGGCCCTCTACCGGGAGGGAACGCCCATCAAGTCCTCTAACTCGTCAATGGTGAGAGTGCTTCGTCGGCGGTTGCTAGAACGAGTGGCTGTCTTCTCCGGACGACTGCGCTTCCGGGACTCGCCCTCTTTGCGCGCTTGCTCGGCAGTGCGAGCTTCATCTTCAGCTGCAGCGAGCTTTTGGCGAACACTCATTCGGGGCTCAGTGCCAGTTGTCTGCTTTTCACAAATCAGTACCAAACCGTTAGATTCGATGCGATATAACTTACCTGACGAGCGGTTTTAGGATCAGACTTGCGGCGGGAGGACCGGCGGGTAACAGCTTCGGATTTGAGGACCTTGACCTGAAGATTCTCCTCGGTGGCACCAGGACTGGGAATGGCTGGAGACCCTGCCAGGCCTGGGGTAAACGATACCTTGCGATGGCGTTTGGGCTTGGCAGCCAAAGTCGCATTATCGCTACGTTCCTTAAGCGCGCGTTCCGACCTTTCAGGCGCCTTGCGGATCTTGGATCGTGTTTTCGGAGGATTGGGGGCATCAGCCACAGTCGAGTCTTCAGTTTCGCTCATCGCCTCGTCCTCTCTGTCTTCAAGAATTGGCGAAATGGTGTGTGCACCTTCTCTGCTCTGCATGCTAATATCCTCAGTTGAGGTAAAGCTCAGATCGAGGTTCATGCCTCGCGTCAACTCTTCCACTTGAACGGAGCCACCACCATCGGCCAGGCGTCGCTGCCAGCCATCCATCATGGTGACTGCCTGTCGCCATCGGTTCTCCATCTTTTCCCATCCCTCACGAAGTCTGATGATCTCTTCATCTCTGAGTTCAACTTCCTCAAGTGGCACGAACGAGGGGTTGGTAAGCAAGGTTCGCAGGTGATCAAGCACGGTATGCATGCGGAGAGACAGCTCCTCGCAGGATGTAGGAAGAGAAGCCACGGCGCTTGTCGACTTTCCATGCCCAACGCTAGCAGACATGGCCGAAGCCCCCTCTTCAATACCATCTTCGTTTTCCGGTAGCCCTTGTAGCTCCTTAAGCGTGTCTACCGTGTTTCGCGCCAGCTCGATCAGGGTATCGTTCTCATCGCTCAAGTTTTGGCAGAGCTCGGTCAAGAACTCTGTTGTTTCCTCCTTGAGATTGTATTGGGGGTCATGAACCCTCTCGCCACCACTGGCACCCAGTCGAGATCGGTCCGCCTGGGGGGTTGATGTTGACTGTAGTAACACTCAACCCCTCCCGTTTACCACGCTGTCGTTCCGCAAGGTGAGACTTGAGCTTTTGCATTTCGAGATCGCGTTTGCGCACGTCATTGGCGCATTGCGCGCGGACTTGCTGGACAGTGGTCTTCATACGTTGCGACTGTTCCTTGAGTCCGCGAATGGTCGTCTCCGCACTGGACATGTTCGATTTCAGTGTGCGTTGCTGGGCTTCGGCAAGAGCGAGGGATCGCGACAGTTCGGATGATTTGGTCTTTAGTTTCCCCTATGCGATAATCACAATTAGAATTCTGGTTTGGCGCCTCTGTACTGCGTCGTGATCAACGTACAATTTCGGTCGTCTGTTCCGATTCAGTTACGCGCAACGCCCGAATGGTTGTCGCAAGACTCTCACGGTGGTCGGCCTCACGCTACAAGACAGTTAGAAGGATTGCAACACCAAAAGAAGAATAACAGCGACGAACATCTCTCCTCAGCACCAGATCATTGACCAGGTTAATGATCCGCGCCATGGTGGCTTCAGTGCCCCCCTCTTCATTGCCGGGCTCGGCGAAATCAATAGGGCTCCCACTCTTCAGCAGACCCCTAGCTAGTAGAATATTGTTGACATAGGTCGACGCAGCCTGCAAGTTATGCGCCTCCATGGCGATGGTCGATTTGCTTGAAGTGGAGCTTGGGGCGATCTCAAAGCGGAAGAAAGTAAACACTGCAGGAATATATGACTAAGCACGGTCACGTGCCATGACAGGGCGGGTTTCACGAGAATGCCATTTCAATCCTCGTTTGGTTTCTTCCACCTTGTTGAAGACTTGAAGACCATCGAGTTTACACTGCTCGACGGTCTGGATGTGAGCGGGCATCATGCGGCCCACCCCGTCGGCGTTGCATTCGCAGGGCCAGAAGCTCTATCAAAAAGGGGACTTCAAGGCGGCCATCACGGCGTTTACAGAGGTACCCCCAATTTCCATTCTAACCCAAAATGGCAGGCTGTTGATCCTTATTTCTAGGCCTTGAAGCAGAAGGATGCCGACGCTGTGGGTATCTTGGACAATCGAGCCGCGACATACTGTAAATTGGAGCAGTATGACCAGGCGCGCCGAGATGCAAAACATATGATTAAACAAGCCAAGGAGGATGAACGGGTAAATTGCCCCGTGCTTGTCGATTCGTCACGACGCCATGTCTCACATTTAATTTCATAGGGCTACTTGCGATGCGCTAAGGTTCTCCTACTTGAAGCTAAACCAGAGAAAGCATTGGAGATTTATGCCTATGGTCTCAAAGTGCTTCCAAGTGGACACCCTCGTCGCGAGGTACGTTTAATCACTACATGGGGGCCAATTCCACTTGCTGATCTCGCAATAGATAATGGAGCAACTTCACAAGAAGCTCGAAGACCGAATGAACTTGAACAGGAAAGATCCTTTTACAATGCTTCCCTTAGAAATGGCAGCACTCGTTATCGAGCATTTTTCATTCAAAAATATTGTGTAAGTGTATACCCAATTCATTTGCTTCACGCTCGCATTTCCTCTAATAATTTTAAAAGGGGCATTCTTCGGGTTTGCAAAAGTTGGGAGCGATTTTTTGGCAACATGCGCGAGCTCTGGATGAAGATAGATCTGTCCGGTGCTCGCCAAAAGGTGCCATGGACCGCCGTTAGGGCGTACATCCGTCGCTCTCGGGGGTTGCTCACTCATGCGACATTCAAGAACCTCGCCTTGTCGTCGACGCCGAAAAGCATCGAGTTCCTCAGCAGATGCCCGCGTCTAGAGCATCTCGAGCTTTGGGTCAATCACGACTTTAAGGATATCTTCCAAAAGTTTAAGGGCTGCAAGTCTTTGAAGAACATCATCTTATCGGCGGAGATTTCCGTGCCACATAGCTGTCTTGAAAGGCTCTTGACGCAATTTCCGAAACTCGAGCGGATTGAACTATGGAGTGTGAAGCATTCCCTTCTTACCATCGGCGAAGGGAATTGGCCGCAAAGCCTACCCAACTTGAAGAGCATCACTCTGGCCACCCAGCAAGCGGTATCGACGGCTCCACCAACCGCTCTAGTTATCCCGAATCTGGATCATGTAGGTCCTCATTTCTTCCCGGACTGTCCATGTCTCACGGTTGAAAACTGACAACCCCGCGAAGAGTCTCACCGATATTCCAAATTATCCAAACCTGCAAGAGCTGCGCCTGGATTGGGAACCTCCAGTCTATAGACCTTGGTTGTTCTTCCCCCGTCGCCGGACGATGGAGATGAAGCGCCGCCTATTCAATTCCCACCACTCCGACGCCTCGAATTAAATGGCCTGACGATTGGCAGCAACTTCTGCTCAATCCTACCAACTACAATTGAATATCTCAGCCTCAAAGGGGGATCCTCAAGATCAACTGCCGATTTCTCCGACACTCAAAAGTTTGAGAAGCTCAGCACTCTAATGCTGAAGGACGCCGGGTGGGTGAACGTTACCACAGCTACTTTCATGATCTGTGGCACCCAAGCACCTCTCCGAGTCTTGCATATCGACGAATGTTTCAATCTGTCGGACAGATGCTTCATGGAAGTGCTGCGATATGCAAGCGAACACAACCCGGAAGTTTTCAACTTGACTGAGCTGAGCCTTGTACAAATGCAAGGCTTTGACGATTCGTTCATGAAGCGTGTCTGTGTACAATTTCCAAAGCTCAAAGCCTTGAATCTTTCGAAAACCCGGGTCACGGGCTGCACTATCCGCGATCTTGCTGATGCAAGATTAAATGAGTCTTCCGAGCTACCGAGCTTGGACGTCCTCTGTGTCCGTGGCTGCGAGAGTGTATCTTCTGACGCGATCGCTTATGGCCGTGAACGTGGGCTAGAGGTTATCACTTGAGTGTTTTTCATCTAATGTGATATGAAACCTCGGCGAATTATCTCGAACCATTGCAGAAACACCTCTTCACTGCCTACCCCTCTCCGGATAGCTTATCTTCGACTATCTGTGCGCGAAATCCCTACGCAGGATCTGCGAGCCTTTCCCAGCGTTACACCGCCAATTTGAAATCTTCCAGGGATTTCTTTCCCAATTCGGGACGTTGGTTCAAACTCGTGATACACGGCGGATCTTTTTTCCACTGATTTCCGCACCAACACATCTCACAAGCGGGGAAAGGACCGTGCGAACGATGATAGCGACGTTGCGTAGTGTCTCTAACTACCCGTCCAAGAGCCCCACGACACTCCCTTTTCCAAAAGCCTGGTAGCTCAGCAGGCAACCCCCACTTTTAGATACCCATTAGTTTTACAAGAATGAAACATTTTCCACTATATAAAAACTATTCATATAAATTCCATTGAAATAACTTGAAGACTGCAATTTTATCAACACGCAAACATAAACATATACCTCCCGCAGCATCTAGGTAGTTGGTCATGAATCATGATGCGTATGCAAGGTAGAAAAGAAATCGGCAAAAGCGCAGCGAAAAAAAAAAAGCAAGATGCAACTCAATCTCAATCTCAATCCGAATCAGCCATCATTTTAAACCCCACGCTCCTGGCACCACTTCTCAACCTCCTTAGCCAACTTATCCTTCTGATCCCTAACAAGTTCCATCATAGGCTCAACCTGCTTTCGATGCGACGCAATCAAGTCCTCACTACCGTGGATAGCAACAACGCCCTCCTTGGGTGAGAGGTATGTGTCATAGATGGTGACCATGAGATCCATAACGGCGGAAAGCTGGTTAGGAAGCCACTAGAACAAAGGATACTGGTCAGAATCGTGCTCCCACTTCATTTCATCCCGGGACAGGGGTGAACTCACAGTTACAATCGGACTTCCACCAGTAGCAGTAGGATGCGGCGTGCGACGAATAATGTACTCACGCGCAAACAGCCAGTGACGCCAGCGGAAGGAGCGGACGTGGTTAAGAACCTTGAGGAACAAAACGGCTGTCTCCGAGTCCTGCACACAGTAGTCCCGGACTCCGATTTCGACGGACTTTTCGCGGATGTAGGTTAGGAATTCGCGGTGGGAAGCGGTCTGTAGGCGCGGAATTCGTGGAGGATTTTTGTTAGGGGTGTTTCGGGCATGGGAATTTCGCAGAGATGGTCGAGAAGAGGGATCTATGTGGTGGAGCGGATTGTTAGTGGGTGCCAGAGTATATGGTTATATTTGGAAGAAGGAATGGGGAGAAGATGTGGAATTGATGAATACTCACGATACTATCATTTGCACCGCTCTCGCCGCGGAAGTGAAGGGGCTTGTTATCTTCGACACCGTCGTAGATGACTCCGTTGGGGAACATGGATTGGTTTGTGATTCCGAAGATGAAGACACGGAAGGAAAGGTAGTCGGCTGGCTTAGAGTTTCCCCACATGGCTAATTTATGAGGTTAGATAAGGGTAAACGAGAAACTGGCGGTTGCTTGACTTACTCTCCATAGCGGCCTCGATCTTCTCCATGGTTTCCAGGATAAGGCGGAAACCATCGTTGACATCCTGTCGAGGTCCGTTTTGCTCGAGGTTGTCGACGACCCGAAGAACACCATTGATCAGTGAGCCGGTGTACTTGACCATGTCGACGTGGGTCAGAATGAATCCGGCCTCGGAGCTCTTGGGGTCCAGGCCCTTCTCAAAGGCGCGGACTAGACGGAGGTTGGAGTAGTCGTCGAGCCCCTTTGCAGGGTCCGCCAGTGTGTAGTTGAACAAAGCATATGAAGCTGCGTAGGACATGAAAGGAGGCAAGTCCAGACTATGTTGATGTTAGTTGCGTGTCATGGAAGTATAAATATATCGCCGATGATGTGGAAGTCCCGGGGCAGGTGAAATATGAAAGGAAACTCGAAGTAGATAGAAGATGACTCACATCTGTGCACAACGGTACATAGGACGGGCAACAGACTTGGGGAGAAGATCCCGACCAAGACCGTAGCTCTGGTCCGGCAACTTGTTCCAGTTCTCCCAGCATGGCTCAAGGAGGTAGGAGGAGGCGACGAAGGTGTAGTCACGGAAGATAGCAGCAATAGTGAACTTGTCATAAGAACCATCGGCGAGACGTAGCTTCTCGACTTCATCAGTCAGGTCGGTCAGCTCGGACTCCACGGCGGGACCTAGCTCATAGGTAGCGAGCAGACCCGGCTTGCCATCGAGCATGACAACAGGGGCACGTTCCACCAGTGAAGCAAGAGCTTTGAAGGCTTCCGGCAGGGTGGTAGGGGCAGTGGCATAGGGGAGGAAGCCAGTAGATGTGGTGATGGTGAAGGGGTCCAGGGACTGGGAGAGGGTAGAAGGGTCCGCATGGACATGAGGGAACTTCTTAAGGGTGGAAGGGGAAGGGAAGGACACTTGGGTTCGAGTCATGATGGGCGACGACAAGAAGGATCAAATAGAGTGAGAAAGAAGAAGATAGGTCTTGTGCTTGGGTTTGATGGGCAAGGGGGTATATTGATGTCTTGGTAGAGGCGGAGTGTGGAGGAAAGTTTGAGGGAAAGGCTAAGAAGGAAAGCCAACGACCAAGTCCGACTAGGAATTCTGGGGAAAAAGTAGAAAAAAAAAGATGTGGGAGAAAACCAGGTTTCTGGGAGATGATTAAAGAAGAGAAAAGCAGCAACCTTGGGCGGGTGCGCAGCGGATTCTTATAACCTCAGAGGCCGGTATCAATTCCGGCCTCATGTCGAACGGCGCAGCAATGGCGTGGATCCGGTTACATAAAACTCCCAAGTGGATTCAAATCACACGGGCATTTTCAGTCACGCTTATAGAAGTTCAAAATACAACCCGCGGTCATTTTAAGATGTTCCCCCCTTCCTTGAAGGTATTCAGAATATCTATACATCAGCCCTGTCAGGGAGGGCAGAGAAGGGTCACGGGAATGCACTAAGCCTATTTAAGTAGTACGTAAGTTAAAGTGGTAAGTGCCGTTTTGGTGTATGTCAGCACTCAGATTGATCATCAATAATTCTATTGGGTATAGCATTACCTGTAATATCGCTTCAATTAAATATATCGGCCTCAGGAGCTGGCTGGTGGTGTGATTTTGCTCACTGCGCCCCTGATGCAGACCATATACCTGCTCCAATGCCAAGCCAGATGATCCAGATCCCCCGCGCCGATTGGCGGAGATCCCTGACTTTGAGTTTGTTAGCGCCACGAGGCCGGAATAGAACCGGCCTCCGAATATAACCGGCCATCCCGACTGTATCCGGCCACATTGAAGTAGATAACGGAATGTGTTTAGAAGCTCACCAGAATGGCCCCCGCACACAGATATAACAGAAGCACAGAAATAGTGAATGGTCACTCGCAGTGCCTCAAAAGGCAACCTCGGAAGGCGTATGCAAAATTGTGTAAGCCAGCTGGCCGCTTGTAGTGTCAGTATTATTTTCAAGATCAGCCTAGGTCCCCGAGTGACATATATACACACACCTGGGCATGGGCACGAGTCAACAATTCAGAGTCCAAGTTCCTTCAAGTTTGAACAAAGCATTTTCAACTTGAACTTGGAGTTACCACTATTAGTATACTAGTATGACAAATGATTCGGGACTAGATCAAACTACTACTAGTAGTACTAGAGTGACGTGCGCAGCCAAAATGGTATGAATTAGTATGAGGGAGGAGGGAAGACCCCTCAGAGCAATATCGAACGCTAAATAGTAGTGCTATCAGCTACCAGATATCAAAGAAAACTGGCAAAGATGCGACAAATGCCATAAAGACCCCAAAGAAACTTCAATGTAAGGTGACTTTGACTTTGAGCCGCATGCCTGAGACCTCTGAGGCCTCAGTAGTAGTAGCAGCCGAAATATTTCCGCTTGCATAAATGGGTTAGAGCGTAGATAGATTCATAACCGAAGAGAAACTAAATTCGTGCAGACAAGAATATCACGAGAAGACATTTATTCTATGGTATACAGTAGATAAAAGAATCACAGACAGAAAAAGAAAAAAGCAACAGATCTAATAAAACATGGCAAATAAGAGGCAAAAGCGAAGGGCTGGAAAGGAAGATGCAGAAAAGAGGAAAATTGGGGTATTAGGGAAAGAGTTTCACCGTATCGAGACAATGGTTTCGAAGCGATGATTCCGGAGAGCAAAGTGAGGGAGAATGGGAAAGGGGAACGAGCAGGAGAGATAGACACTGGTAAGGATAGTCAGGGGTAAAGATAGAAATATGTCAAGATAGACAGGAAAGGTAGAGAGGTGAGGTGTACCAGAGTCCGAGTCTGACTGGGCTCTTGAACACGTGAATGCCGGCACCCATGTCCGCGGTCAATTATGGCGTTTCCTTTGAGCCAGAAGGACAACATCTAGCTCGAATCAACAAGATATTCTGCTCTACACTTTCATCGCGGTCCTGGTCCGCAGACAGTATGGAGAGGCCCAAGGGATGAATAACTGACAAACACTATAATTTTGGGAGGGAATGGAGAGACTCGAGTATCCGTCCAGATCACGAATTTTCTACCACCTTACTTCCTGGATACATAGTCATTGACATACATCGACCACGTTTATAGTTCTGAGCCTCTGTTAGTTGTCACTCTGGCCGAAATACAGGGTCTGTTGTTGGTATTGAGTGCGCAGTGCTGCCTGGCCCTGGCCCGGTCCCGGTCCGGCGTCGGCCTCGGGCTTTGAGCTGTTTGCATGCTGAGCTGCTGTCTTTCCTGCGTTCTTACCTTCTATTCTCTTCTCCCTTCCTAATCCTCCTGTCTATCAGTCCCATAAAATAATCCTTTCTTCTTGCCTTCCTACTAATTGTGTCACAACACCTCACCACCAGTCCGCTATCCAGCCTTCTGGTATCAAAGCCATCATCCGGTGAGTTTCAAGCCATCAAGTCTGTCTGCTGAAATTGAAAGCTAACCAGAAATCCAGCCGTCATGACGTTCGATCCCGAGGACGAAGCTCGTGGGCTGGTGTCATACCATAACACACATATCATGGCTTCCCCAGGAAACAACAGCGCTATTGCCCAGGGCGCCTTTTTCTTCAACCATGAACATACAGGTGTTTTTCTCAACTTGAGCGGCCAGGAGAAGGTGACTCGAGGAACCAATACAGATCATGCTGCACAGGCTGCCCATACTGCCCAGACCTCCCAGACCTCCCAGCTTCCAAAGACTGGCGAGTTCAACACGAAGAAGTCTAACGGCATGGAGTCCAAGCCGGTGGACCCAGCCATATCGAGCATGCCAAACATACCCAAGGTCGTGATTCCTGGACTAACCCTCCTTCAAGATGCGGAGAGACGATCCCAGTCAGGTATGTTCAATTCTCGATCTCATCCATGCGCCGTTTGATAGCGTATCCACTGACAAGGAGTCTAGAGGGACGAGCCTGGGGCGGACAGGCCGCACCCCGACCTGCCATGATCCAGAACGAAGCCCAAACCTGGGAAGACTTTTACGAAACCGAAACTGAAGCCTCGCAGAATCCTCTGAAAAGGGTGAGAGTATGTACAATTCCACAAGCCCTATGTGACTGATAGATTGACCGATGGGACCATTGAAGACAGCTCCCGCCATGCAGCTGAACAGCCCCCGCTCCGAGGACGCAGCATCGCCCCCTTCTCTGGTACGTCTGAGTCAATTCCCTCTTTTTGCAACAATCCAAATCATAAAAATACTAATCAAGCATTCGAAGTCACTAAGTGATATGTTGCAGGTGGATCTGGCTACTGCCCAGCAGCTCAAGAGAGAGCAGCAGCGTCGGTCACGCCGTGACGCTTGATGGGATCTACGACGGGGAGCAATAACTGTACGGATGTTCGTGGTGTCTCCATTTATTCGAATGTTCGGCTCGGTTCGGTTCGGTTCGAGTTGTGATAATATCTACTCTACCATCTCCACTCTATGTTGCAATAGCTGTTCTTCTATTGTGCTCAAAAGTCAAAAGTGTTTCTTCCGGGCCCCATGCCCCCAAATTACTCGTGCTCCCAGCAGAAGCTTAGGTATAGACCATTGTATGGTGGATATAGCTTGGAGACGGTATTCATCACCAGGCACTGGTGTAATGAGTAGCTGTGGAGTGAGTTGACGGGTAGTGGCGGTTCAGGATCAACGAATGTTTTAGTTCATGCAACTTGGAATCCTACACCGGCCGGTTCTATACTCCAGTACTCTCCATGGTAGGGATCAGGTAATCAATATGATGGTAGAATAGGTTTAACGAAAGGGTGGCAGAGCCCTGGCTTAATAGGCTGGCCCACATTGATAGAGTGAATATAGGGAATTTTGGGATACTACCAGCTTAGTCGTTCTCTCTGGTCCCGGCGCAGCTAGAACTTCTGTCCTGACATTCATGCTTTTCCATCTTGCACCTTCCATCAACCTCCTCCTCCCTGCCACATCCCTCTTTTTTCGTCTTCTTATTTCCCAACCCCACCACCCTCCATAACCAACTTCTATCAACGTCCATTCAGTTTCCAGGAGGCGGAAAGGGTACCCGGTGAGATTCACAGCGTCTAACCTTTCGATTAATGCTGAAAGCTAACGTCGCGCCCAGAAGTCATGGCATCCCCACACAAAGACGATGCCCGTGGCTGCCCTGTGAATAACCAGGAGGTCCAAAACAGCAGCGTTTCGATTTTTACGACGATCAATTCGACTTCTCCGAACAGCACAATCACCACCAGCAACACTAACTCGACGATCAACATCAGCAGCGGAGCTACAGGACAGGGATTTCCTGTCAATGCCCATGATCACACTCAGTCCGCCGAGTTGAATGAGACCCACGGCCACGGGGATGCAGTCCGGATGGAGGTGCGTGGACAGAATGGCAACCCGATCATCGAGGATTTCGACCTGGATGAATTAAACCTCCACCTGCCAAGGGTATCAAATTTACCCAGGGAGCTATTTTATGATCGGCCGCGGCGACTAGGGATTATCCAAGGCGCTCTCCAAGGTATACTTGATCTTTGACTTTTCCTGTACAGTACTTGATAGTATATCTGCTGACAGAATATTCAGATGAGCTTCGAGACAGAAGCCAACTGCGCCAAGATTGGCCCGATCCCGAGGGGGGGAGTTCTAGGCATGGATGGCTGGCGCCGCTCGGAGCCCAGATCTGCTATGGTACGGTTGATTCTATTTCATACCCGAACAACAAACCAAGCCATAAAGACACTAATCAAACCTTTGAAGACTGTTGATGAGGTTATGGCCCTCGACGCAGCCACGCCTGACCCATCCAAAAAGGAAGAAAGCACTGAAGCTATATGACTGGGATCGATGGTATCAAAGGAATGGGCGGGGAAAGTAAATTTATGGGAATTTGAGTAAAGACTACAATGTAATCTCAATCGTGAGAGCTAGCTAATGGTTCTCGGTCACCGCGGTTAATTCGGTGTTTCTGCCAGTAGGCCAGAGTTCCAACTTTACTTGTCCTCCCTATTCGAAGATCGACAAAGACTCTTGTATGATGTAAACGAACTGGGAATATACTATATGACCAAGTTCATGGCAAGATGCCTGTAGTTGACGATTGTGCTAAGAACTCAAAAGGTAGAACGCCAGTATCAAAGTCATAACCAATATTCTACTAGTCGACACCCGGCATCCTACTTGGGTATATACTAACTCCTTACTGCTCAGTACTAGTACTGTACCCTGACTCGGAGTTCTTAAGATGGATCAAATCGTATAGTGGAATCAAGTCACAGAGGGAGGAGCAAAGCCTTGGTATAGTACTAGTCAAGTTCAAATTCATATAAGAAACCCTGTTAGTGGTATAGAGAATTGTACCGCTCCTCGGACCCGATGTTGGGCTCGGAGTCGGCCTCGTCGGGATTTATTCTTGCGTACCTTCCATCTTGGATTTTCTCTTCAGTCAGTCTTCCTTCTTCTCCTTCCTTTTCCCCTCATCTTATTTCATCTCCTCTCTCGACTCACACATTCGCGAGATTCTTCGGCTTGCATACATACTCGACCACCGAAATCTTTCCCGGTGTCTTTGGAAATTAGGTCGTCTAGGTCAACCGCTAATAACTGGTTGGGTTCAAGCAACTGAATATCTTTCTTAGCCCCGAAAGCTAACATATCACCCAGAAACAATGTCGCCACCGGACAAAACTGATCCCCCTTCCCGCATAAATGTGGCCCTCAACACCAACTCTGCACCAGTTACGGTGGATGTCACTATGAATGTGAATAGTCAGGCTCACGCAGTCAAGCATATTCAACAAGTGGATGCGGAAAACATACATCGGTCCAACCTGGTTCAAGAATCGAAGCCAGCCGCAGGAGCTGATCCATCCCACACCTCGAACCAATCCAGCAAGCCGAGTAAAGCTACTGAGCCTAGAACTTCTGATCGACCAACAACTCCTATGACACCGAGGCCTGGACAGAAATGGCGCCTTCCCCTCTATTTCGGTGTTGGAAACTGGCGCCGACAGGGCGAGTGAGCGTTGGAGGAGGATGCTTTGATCGGTGGGGGCGCTCACCCAGCCCGTCAAAATCTAGGTAACTTTACAAAAACAAGTCCGATTCGAAAAGCTTGTTTTGAGTGGGAGTGAACAGCTATGGTGTTGGGGGGAAGGGTGTTGCTTTGATTGCCATTCCATCGGTAATTTAATTCGCATTGAGCTTCAGGAAGTTTGTTTTTCATGGGTTAGTTGTTTTTTGTTTGTTTACTAGTTTTACTAGCTGCCCGGTTTGAATAAGGAAGATACTCCACTCCAATCTATCGATAGGAACGATACTAAAAACTAGTAGGTAGAATAGCCATGAGTCACGGACACTATTGAAGCCATAGCCCTTTTCCAGTGCCCAGGGATTACACCACTCGTCAAATATATCCCGAGCCGAACCCTGTCAAGACGAATCCGAAATTGTCCAATGACTAGAAGAATACTACACCAAGGAAACCGAGAAGCCAGTCAACTTCAAAGTTCGAAGAGAAGGAAATCCAGACTCAATACATCAGAAAATATGCAAGCAACATGAGCAGTGACCGGGCGTTCGAAGTCCCGGGGGGGATTCAGGAACTAAGATCTCCAATTCAACAAGGTGCAGCTCCGTTCCACAAGAGGGTACCTGTCACCGGCAGGCCAGAGAGAGTGCCGTGTGACCCTTCCTCTACCGCGGGAAGCTCTATCCCGATGCGAACCCAGAGCCTTTCGATCCACCCCCCTCCAGCAGCCGATCGCCTCCGCCCTATGGCCTCGGCACTGGATTTAGTTCCCGGTCCTAGATTCAAGGTATTTAACTCATCAATCATGGAGATAATGGATATACTAACAAATTGTATCAAGGCAGACTACTATTTGGTCGGCCCGGTCTGCACAAGCGAAGTCTCGCGATCCATTAATTAGTCTGTGCGGGCGGGAAGAATACAGATATGCAGACACCAAGCTGATCCTAGTGCATTCAACCCAAAAGGATGGAATCGAATTCCAGGCTCCCGGAACCCTGCACAGAGTGGCGAGTCTAAAACCACGAAGTCCAACCAGTTGGACTCAAAGATGTCCACTGGTAGACGCATTCCCAGAGAGACGGTCTCCGGCTGGGGTCGCTTTGGATTTTCAAAGAAAGCAGCTCTTTTCATCTATGTCTGAACTCCGAGTACATCCACGCAAGACTTGATATTGCATCTGCTGGCAGGGTGTTTAGAGAGACCTGGGAAAGTCCCCATCCATAGGGCCTACGATAAGAGGACGTACTCTGATAAATTTCCAGTGGCGGCGCTGATCACAATCCTCCTATAAAGCTCGAGGTTTGTTCCATATCCTGATCCCTAGATCAAACCATCCATCCATCCACTGACGAAACTCTTCCAGGCAGTTCGATCAGGCTCGACTTCAACCAAGATGCAAAGTAGCGCGGTAGGGGGTATCTTTGGTGCGATAATTCTCCCCAATAGCAGTGATGATTTTATCTTGCTGAGACCGAGAGCAGCCTGGAACCGGGCAAGGTCAGAAGCATCTCTACGCCTAGTCCATAGTTTCGTCACTCCTATGTCTTTGGAGATCCTGAAGTGGGGAGTGATATCTACGCAGCGATTCCCCATGATTTATTATTGTCACTTTCCCGGCTGCTTCGCACTAATCAACATGTTGTCATCATTCAGGCCCTATAGGTTCGTGTAGATATGCTCGCAGGGTATACTTCCGGATATACTTCGGAGTACCCCAATGTCTCCACTTTTAAGCTCGGCTGGCGCAACCTCGGCTCATCGTCTTCTCCGCATCGCATGCGCGCGCCAATCTTCCCTGCTTGAAAACGAACCCCCAAACCAAAATTTTCCTTTGAAATCAATGATTGAACAGTCGCTAAATCCGAACGACAAAATTTCACCAATTTTATCCAAGAGTGCACCCACAAATTCGCCCGCAATCCACAACACAATGTCCGAGCCCGCGAAAACCTTCAACGGCTGGGTCGCCCATGACGCCACAAACCCCCTAAGAATTCGGAACATTCACACCGAAGCCATTCACAGAGACAGACGTCGAAATCCGCGTCACACACTGCGGCATCTGCGGCACAGATGTGCACACCCTTCGCTCGGGCTGGGCCCCAACCGACTACCCCTGCGTCGTCGGCCATGAGATCATCGGCATAGTCGAGCGAATTGGCTCCGGTGTACCGACACTCAAATCATCGACTGCATCCCGCGAAATTCGAATTGGCGACCGTGTTGGCATCGGCGCTCAAAGCGGCTCTTGCCTTAAAGCGGACTGTGAAGCCTGCGCTGATGGAGAGGAAAGTTATTGTACCCGGATGACTGGTACTTATAATGGACGATACAGCGACAAGAGCAAATCCTACGGCGGATTCGCGGAGAAGTGGCGCGGTCCTGCCCATTTCGTGTTCAAAATCCCGGATGCATTGCCCTCGGCCGAGGCTGCGCCTTTACTTTGCGGCGGTGTGACTGTTTTCGCCCCGTTGAAGAAGTACGGTGTTGGGCCTGGCAAGAAAGTCGGGATCGTGGGTATTGGAGGACTGGGACATATCGGTATTATGTTTGCGAAGGCACTCGGCGCTGATCAGGTCGTCGCTATTTCGCGGTCGTCGAGTAAGAAGGCCGATGCGATGCAGGGTCTTGGCGCGGACTCATTTATCGCGACCGGTGAGGAGAAGGGGTGGGCGAAGAAATATTCTCGGACTCTGGATGTGATTATTTCCACTGTTTCCGGTCCCGATATGCCTTTGGGTCTGTATCTGCGATTATTGAAGCGGGATGGTGTCTTTGTGCAGGTTGGTGCGCCAGAGGAGCCGTTGCCAGCTCTGGCGGCTTTCTCGCTCATTCAGAAGGGCGTTAAAGTTACTGGCTCGAATATTGGGTCGCCCGAGGATATTCGGCAGATGTTAAGCGTGGCGGCGGAGAAGAGGGTTTTGCCTTGGATTCAGAAAAGGGATATGCGGGATGTGAATGCTGCGTTGGTTGATATGCATGATGGCAAGGCGAGATATCGGTACGTGTTGCAGAATGGGGTGAAGGAAGCTAAGTTGTAGATACTATAAAGATTGGCGAGTGCCTACCTTGATGGTCGGGGACCTTGATAGAATATAAATTCGGAGTCTAGTGTTTACTACAGCCGGGGTTGCAGTCAAGGCCTCGAGATCCAAATATCCTCCACATCCAAAAACTTCACCCGCTTCCCCTTTGATGCCCAATAATCCATACAGCCACGCACACAAAATTGCTTGTTTTTTGGCATGACTCTCCAATAGAAGAATATGAAACACGTCGCACATCTCAGCCGCAACGCCAAGCTGGGTTGGGGTCAAAATTACCCCACGCCCCAGGATGTCCTCCAAGCTTCTTCTGCGCAGGGAGACAGTTACGGTTGATTTTTTACTGAACGATATCTGATGGGATTTGAACTCGATGAAATCGGAAATGGAGACTCCAACAACTGTCCAGAATCGATTCGGCGACGCGTGTGCCAGCGCTGACGGAATCACGTTCAAGGCGGGGGTGAATACGGGTACAATCAACATAAAAGGTGGGTGTCTTCTCTCCTCAGCCGAAAAACTCATTTCCGTACTGATCGTTGTCAAATTTTCAGAGAGGCCCAGAAATATCCCTTTCCCGAAAGCGGCCTACGATGCCACGTTTGATGCTGCGAAAAAGGAGCATGTGGCAAGTTGTCTACCTGGCACGCGTGTCGAGGTTCTGAAAGAAATACAAAAATGGATGGATGGTGACAATCCCAAAAAGCTATATTGGCTGAATGGAATGGCGGGTACCGGGAAGTCGACCACCGCCCTGACACTTACAAGAATATACAAGCGCTTGACTGTGACAAATGATTGTCCTAAGAAAAGTGTTCGTCTGGGAGCGAGCTTTTTCTTCTCAAGGGTGGTGGTGATCTTGCTTCCGCTAGCAGATTCGCTTCGACGATTGCCATTCAACTCTGTGAGGTCTCAGCCGAGATGCGAGGGCTTATTGAGAAGGTGGTTGATGATAACCCTCGCCTCGACAGCTTGAATGTACAGGAACAGTGGGATAAGCTGATCATTCAACCAATATCCGAGTTTTACCAACATGCTCTGACAGGCTCGATTGGTCTCCTGCTTGTGATTGATGCGTTAGACGAATGCAATAATACCGAGGATGTCAACGTCCTGATTCGATGTCTTGAGAGGGTGACCCAGATCGAGGGTGCGAATTGCCGCGTTTTTCTCACTAGCAGACCCGACCAACCCATCAAAGCCGGACTAGGTAGTAGTACTTCTGTGCCCAGGGAAAGCTTCATTCTTCACAATATCGAAAAATCAATTTTGTATGAAGACCTAGGGCTCTATTACAGAGACCAGTTTACCCGTATGAGAGCGACAATGTCTTTTCAAGAGGACGTCATTTCCGACAGCCTGATAGCCAGTCTCGTTGAGAGATCACATGGACTATTCATCCATGCAGCCACAGTCTGCCGATTTGTGCGCGACGGGCGATACCTTGCAGTTGAACGGCTGAAACGTTTCACAGAATCGGAGAAAGCCAACAGCGCAGATCAAGAACTGGATAAGATGTATTCAACGGTCCTTGAATACTCTTTCGTCTTTCGTCTCTGTGACAGATGGCCTTTCTCTGGAGGAGACAAGAAAAATCCACGAACTGTTTCAGCGTATCATTGGAGCAATAATTACGATATCTGACGCCATGAGCTCAGAGAACCTGGCCCTGCTTCTTGGAGAGAAAAGGGAGAGGATAGACACGACATTGGGTTATCTCCATTCAGTCATCGATGTGCCAGAAAGCAAACAGGAACTGATCCGAATCCTGCACCCATCATTCCGCGAACTTTTGCTAGATAACAAACGTTGTACCAACAAATCGTACTCCATTCTTGGGGAGGAAATCCACGGCTATCTTCTGAACCGTTGTTTTGACTTTTTGATCTCCCAGCTGCGGCGAAACCCGCTTCATATCTCACAGCCAGGTGCGAAGGCGCGGGACGCATCAATCGACAGAATCAACACGTGGATTTCAATACCTCTTCAATATTCCTCAAAATACTGGTGGAATCACTTTGAAAATAGCAGTGACAAGTGGCGAGCAAACGTCCCCCTATTGGAGCTTTTGCAAGACAAGTATCTTTACTGGCTCGAATGTCTCGCATGGCTCGGTCAGCTCGGTCATGCAGTTGAAGTGATGTTGAATCTGGATAATATACCACTAAGCCATTTCTATAATGTGTTTCAAATCGGGAGCTGATGAATTATAGCTAGGAAAGCTACCGCAGGGGAAGTCAACCACGTTGATATCGTCCAAGCATTGGAAACAGAAGACTGAGTCACTTCTCCGGTCATCTATTTCTGACGGATTGTATTTTCTCTTGAGCAGTAGAATTATGATAGAAGGAGCACCTTTGCAGCTCTATGTTTCGGTCTTGCTATTCACCCCAATGCTAAGCGATGTGAGAATTACGAACTACAAAGAGGTACCCAAGTGGATTCTAAACAAACCTTCCACCCGCGAGAAATGGGGCGAGTCAGATGATATCTTATCAATTCACCATTCGTCCCGAGTTCGCTCAATTGCTGTCTCTTCGGACATTACTCTGATTGCCACAGCGTGCGATGACCGTATGGTACACATATGGGATGCAACGAACGGAACAGAGAGGTTAGCACTTCAGGGCAATACCATGAGCTGGGCAAGTGTATCATTCTCACCAGATGGGTGTATTGTTGCGTCTCTCGTCAACAATACTGTGTCGATGTGGAACATTCGAGGAGTCCTTGGCCGAATACCACACCCAGACTTCCAATTCCACCTCCAAAATTCAGTTTCTCTAACCAAACCGAGTACCTACCCAATGTGTGCCTTTTATCCAGATGGAATACTATTCGCAGCAGGCTCATATCCCCATGACATTTGGGTTTGGGATATGAGGTTCAAATCCGCTGTCAAGTTCCACCTCCAAGCTGAACACAGCACCGAGATCGGTGGGCTATGCTTTTCACCAGATGGGTCCCTATTGATATCTGTCTCTCAAATTACACTCGCACATCCCAAACCAAATTTCAATATCTGGGATACATGTACTGGGACTGAGATTGGAAGTGAAGCTAAAATTCCTGGATCGAGTTCGGCGAGGCTCTTGTGCGGGACAAAGCACATTACGATTTCGTCTCCAACATCAAAAGAGAAAATGGGTCTGGTTCTTTGTGATATCCGTACGGGCGCAGATTTCAGAAGTTTCCCGCTTGGGTTCTTCTTTCCCGACGATGCACTGTTTAGGCCTCAAGATGGCAAGCTTTTACTCGCAAAATGCTCGCCCAATCAGATTTGGATGTGGCCACCTGACGAATTCAGAAAAACGTTCTTGTTCACGAGCGGTAATCATCCCATCGAAAGCTTTGTGTTTTCTCCAAATGGAAGATTTATCATCGCGGTCAAAGCCCCCAACGAACTAGTAATATGGAATATTGAAGATGTTGGACGTGAATCACCTAAACTGGTGGAGATGTATCGACGCATTCGCAACATGGGTACCCGTTGGGGAGAAAGAATCAGAGAGATTTTTAATAGTGACTTAACTGTAATCTTTCAAGGACACTTTATTAGATCCCCGAATGGAAAGCTACTCACAACCTGGAAAGATAATTCCATCGCCGCGGTCTGGGATACAAATACCGGAAAGGAGAAATGTCGCTTCGAAACACCCATTAGTCTCACGTATCCCATATTCTCTTCGGATGGCAACGTCTTAGCGGTGCTGGTGGATACAGGGATTCACTTTTGGCACACAGAAACCGGGCAGAAAGGACAAATACTGAGGACAAATGACGAGCAAACACTTGGGACTGGATGCTTTCAAGTATCTGCCAAGGGTGAGAAATTCATTTATATTCCGCAAGATACATGGTCTCAACCTTTCTGTGAATGTCAGATCTGGGATATTCATAACCACGGCAGAGTTTCCAACTCCACAGTACAGATCACCTCCTGTGAAAAGCCTGGAGTTGCGCTGTCACCAAATGCGCAGTTTTACGCTATATGGTGTGAAGAATCAACTTTCATCGAGATCAGATCATTCTCGAGCATTTCACTCCAACGCAGGACCTTCAAACAGTATGGAACTATGATCACTTGATAGTCGAACCAGAATGCTTTTAGTTGAAGCGTCGTCCGTTTTCGGAAATCTTTGTAAAATTTTGAGCCGGATTAGTATGGCTTGAAGGCGGGGGCGCCTCCACCTATCCCGAGCCTTCGGTGTTCCATCAATTATACTATTCGTCAACAGATGTAGTCAGATTCTGCAAATAAGACTTAAGGCTAGCTTGGTCATTTTGGGCTAATTAACATGATTCGCTGACCGGCCAAGTCATTAGAATCGAGGTCAACGTAATTTTATATATTCCACTAATGTTCTGATGGGGGTCTTTGGTTCTGCTTACTTTTAAGGTTAAATTCCTGGGTGATAGAGCGCGATCGCTTCACATGTGACAAAAGGTTAGGTACGGTTGGCTGAGTTCTAGAATGCTAGACAGGAACTTTAATGTACCAAGTTTCGCCCCTTTAATTTAGTCCTGTTGGCAATCACCCTCGCGAAGTCCACATCCAGCGATCAAAGCTATCATAGGTTCGGGGAAGTCTTAAATGGGACAATAAATCGCTGAAATTAATGCGGTTTTTTTCTTTTCTCGCTTAATGAGACGTGGAATAACTCGGCTTTAGGGACGGTGAGTGGACAACATAGACATAGGTCTAGACAATATAGTTGCGAGTGGCTGCCGCTGGGGTGGTTAGTCATCGCAAAAGCCATAACTCTCGATCAGGTCTGGGCTGTAAATTCGTTCTGTTTGCAGTAAAAGCTTGACAACCGAGTTCACTGTATAAAATTTGGAACCAAGAATCCCACAACGCTAAAAATCAGTCTGTGACGGGCCAACCATGGTGGCGAAGGCTCGGCTTTTCTAGCTGCCTAATCACTTTGGATCCAGCAAAATTATAATAACGAATATTGATTCGGTGATGACGTGTTCAGGAGCAAGAAAGGTTGAGTACTAGTGCTATTATCAATCATTACATACGAAGCCTTTACACGTTTATGTTACTTGAATGGTAATCTTGCAGGAGGGATGAAACTTTTTGGTACTCATTCCAACACCCTTTCCCATCGGTAATTAGATTTAATTTGAGTATAGCTGAAATGTGTCCGAAACATGCAACCTGAAAGAACTGACTCGTGGAAAATAGCCGCAAAGTCAGTGGAAAATTACTGACTCAGCTTCAACCGAAATACAATATTTTGCGTTCCAACTCCCGTGACGTTTGGAGCCAAGGAGATATCTCGAAGAGGCTCGTGACGAGATATAGGTACGTCACCCCCAGCATGATTGATGTTTTCCATTTGCCACGCACATGGTCAATTACATGAGCTACTAAGTACAGTGGAGGAATCGATCTATATAAGGCCGCTTAAATCGAGAATGAGAATAGATACTGCCAATGTGACAACCTATTGAGTGCATCTGCAGTATTTTCATCGATAATGCAGAAGTCAAAGACGACGAAAACCAAATTGCCAGCGGTATTGAAGCAGGCTGCTCCGATGATAGGATTTACTGGTGTCTCTAGCAGTCGGGATCCTGAGGAGTTTGAATTGGCCAAAACAGAAGGAACACCTGAAGCCCGTAATATGTGAGTCATTATTTTCAGTCATTAAAGTTGCTATCCTCACTCTCTATAGTGAAGGGAGGATCGCAGCACTACCCCCAGAAAATCACATTTGTACGTGCTCACAAGCCCTACTGCCGGTATTGCAGCAAATATCTAGGCAGATAGCGGCAGCGAATACGAGGTCGGACGCCTTCTACCGAAATATTGGGACGGTAGCTGTTCTTGGTTCGTCAATTTCATTCGCACTCATCGTCACACAAATCGCAGATCCGAAGACCATTTCTCAACATGGCAAATTTGATCTGTCCACAACACGAATACTGCTGGCAATTAGCTGGGTGCTTTTTATGGTGGTACTTAACTTCTCATTCTCGTTTGGGCAAACAATGCCTGGTTACTCAAGAGGAGTCCAAACATTTTGGTCTAAAATAGTATACCTTGTGGAGCTCGCAGCAGTGATATTCCTCTCGCTGGTGGTGGCAGCATATGTCGAGGTAGTGGGCTATGTCGCGGTGGGGTTGGCTTCCACCATTGCAATATGTGTGGTGCTAGAAGCCTGTACCTAGCATCCGCTCGTCCATCTCATGGAGTGCGACCGGTTAGCAGAAGGTAGGAATCACGTTTGCCACATTGCGGGTTGATCAAATCAAAACTTGGCCAATCTGGCGGGATTAGATCAAAATCGTTCTAAAACCCATGAGGGTCTTGCAAACCGTGGATGTCCTGTTGATATTTCTCCGAAACAGACAAAATGAGAGACGGGTTTTACCTTCGTGCGTAGGGATTGGTGTTACAAGTCACGTGTTTGTCATGTTGATGCCAGCTGCAGCAAGCATCCTACTTGTATTTAGATCGTCCTCTCGCACACTCTCCTTCTTTCCTTCCCCATTTTTGCTTCGTTGAATGCTATCATGTCGATGTAATATCTTCGTGCCTGAACTGTAACAGGGGGTAACCTTAGGAGGTTTTCCAATGGGAATAGTCCTTGACATAACGATTGTAAAGAGGAGTTTTAAGAAGAGATATTTTAAGTTTCTAGTTACAGAACAAAATATAGCAGACTCTTAAGTAGAACTAAGTACTTATACTTCTAAACAGACTAGCTACAGAGTGATAGTACAAATCCTAGCAAAGATAGCCTAGCTGTAAATCCTGGCAGAGATATCCTGGCCATAATCCTAGCAGAGATAATCTGGCTGTAAATCTCCGATACTATTATTCGATCACAGAAATACTTATTGGTATTGGCCAGCAGGGGAACAGAAACTTATTACCAGTGCTATATTACTAATAATAAACTTAAATTACTGACAACTTTAATGAGTAGGGTTTCTCATAATATAAGCAGGAATATTTAATAGAATCAGTAGTAATTTCAGTACTAGCTATAATAGTATAGAGACTGCAGGAAGCTTCTGAAGAGCAGTGAAGAAACAGCGTTTTACAGCACCAGCAAGCAGGACATCAAAAATGAACGTCTCTTTTGATGTAGAGGTTCATTAAGAGATAGGCAGCTGGTCTGATCTAAGGGAATTGAGAGCTGGAATTCTATCAAATCGATCATACTCTAAACACAATAAGAACATACTTAGCCATACAAGAATTAGTTCTCACTATTATGAGGTCTCTTTTGCTACTCTTACAATAAGGTTCGTATTTTATTTAGTTGAGTGGTGTTGGATTAGCTTCCATAGCTTAGGGTATAGACACTCTATACATCTTTCTATACTAACTACTGAATTACAGCAATTACTAATCTAACCAGTAAGAAACAACAGACAGCTAATTGTCCTTCCCGGACGGAAGGGGGATAGAGAAGCGGGCGGTTAAGCGACCGTCTAAAATCACCGATGGAAAGGCGATCGTTTCTGGCGCAAGAAGCTGTCATTTTCGGCGTCTATTTCAAAGGTCCCTATATTCTAGTTGTAATTCTGTAATATATAGATTCATGGGTCCTTGGCGGGGCGTTGGTAACCCATGGATACCTAAAAAAGAATATGGCGAGGTCTAGCCCCCACAATTGCCGAGGGTGCACTGGCGAGACTCACTTTGTCAGGTCCTCATTTTGTTGATACAACGCTTCTCAGGGGTCAGAAAACAATCAAGTAAAGTAAAATTTCTTGATATCCATCTAAATAACAGACTATATCTATTGCCAACAGGGGGGGTCGATGTTACTCGATAAAATCCATTTTCTCAGCTGCATAGTGAATAAAACACGGGTTTTGATCTATAGACCAGAAAGGATCCGAGATCCATATGCGGTTGGCCTTGACAGATCACCCCAGTCTTGACGTTGCGATATTACTAAGGGACGCCGCAGAGAGCACGGATCAGGGTTGAAATTAGACCTCGGGCTAGCAAGTCGGCTGTATCGTTTATTTGAGGTTCACGACGCCATCGAATAGCGTAAAGGGAAAATACTGGAAAATCGGGTCTTTTAGAGGAATGTGGGTACAAAGCGTGGCAAAACGTTCCAAGGAGGGGGCGAGGTTAATTTCCCCGCTCGGGATGAGCGCGTCTTGGAAACGGAAAGGTCTCACTCACCTCAAGGTTCAGATCACGAGCTTAATAGCTCGGAGCTTGAGAGCAGAACATTTAGTGGGAGATAAGGATTGTGTGACTGCCATTCTAATGTGCATTGATTAGGCTGATCGGACCCTGTCTTGGTTCCTGGCTCCGAACTCGTGCATGGTGGCTTGTTGACAAGTCGTACGCCACTCAGCGCTCTAGTCACACTAATTTCCACGATCAAACTGCTTGCTGTAACCGAGAAACTATTCGTGAGAGCCCCTAAAGAAGTCGTGATCTTCACTTATTTTGTCCTAGCGAAAGCCCGGGTTAGTACGGGATATGTTGGGGTCGATCTCAGCAGACGCCTTTGAACACAAGAAAAGTCTGACATATTAAATCGAGGATCCGTCGCGAGTAGATCAAGCAAGTATATTAACATAGCAAGGGAATGAAAGCGACCGAGGTCCTCATATGCGAACTGCTCGAGCAAAATGCTTATGAAAGAGGAGATCTGTGGACGAGGCTTAGGGGTCAACCAACAGGAGGGCTTGAGGATCACAAGATGGCGAGGAACAAGGGAGATACCGAGGCGCTACAGGGATTGCGTGGCTTTGGCCGCCCGGTCGTGCAGGCGGTGCCCAAAATCCAGCTTTCTCGTTGCTCGCTGAGGTATTGCGACCGATGGAGGATCAATGCGATACGACGAATCCGCATTGCTGCTCCACTTTCCCCGCATGTTGATTGCAGATCGTATTCTTCCCCACGGGGCTCTATATCGTCCGGCCAATGATGCAATATGTAATAGTTGCTGCAGGGGAGCAGCAGCTCGCTTCCACACGCGCATTTATGTACTCCTTCCCGTCGCCAGATTGAGTTGGAGACTTTTGTTCCGTTAATTTCCTGTCAAAATGTCTCCCACTGAAGGAAAACACATCCTGGGCGCAAACCGGGGGCCATTGCTCACCCCTGGCGACGACAGCTCTCAGGGGCTTGAGAAGGTCGAGTCGTCTGGAGGCCTTTCATTACACAGAACTCCGACGCGAACGGAGAAGTTGCGTCGACACTGGAAGCGATTTTGGTTGATTTATTGTGTTGGCAATGTTATTTTTCTCGCGATTCTCCTTCCTGTCTTGTGAGTTACTTCTTGAGGTACAAATTTCGCGATATTCAACTCTGACTCCTAATCAGCTTCCTCGTCGCGATTCCTGCGATCGCGCAATTGGTCGTCAACAAATCCGACATTGTACTTGTCAATGCGGTCGTGAATGACCCACAGCCAAATTCGACCATGCTGACTTTGGAAACCAAGGTGGATTTGAAAATCGCGCTCGCTGCGCGCATCGAAGCTGTTACTCTCCACCTCTTCCAACGAGAGTACGGCGTTGATGAGGCGTATGCAGACATCCATCTCCCGGGACAGACTATCAAGGGTAACCACACTCTGGGTATCGACGATGTCTACACTCCGCTCTTGAACCAAAAGGCCTGGAGGGAATTTGTTCGACAAGTCGTCTTCCAAGAGTCGGTTTCCCTCGCTCTGGATGGCTGGACAAACGCCTACCTAGGAGTCCTCAAGTCGCACGTTCATCTCGATAAGAATGTGGTTACACCAGGTACGGACTAGCTGTTTTGCTTGTTTTGCCTTTTCTGCCCAGCCCCTTGCGCCTTGCTCCTTACCCCTGCTTTGCGTGACCCAATAATCGTCACATATTGGTAAATTATGATTGCAGCTAGTACTAACCAGAATCAATAGGGTTGAATCAGTTCGATGGATTTTCGATCTCCGACGCGACTCTCCTACTGCCGGCCGAAGACGACGGCACGAACCTCATCGGCAACGTTACCCTTCCAAACCCGACCGTTATCAGCTTAGAGGTCGGCACACTCGTCTTGGATGTCAAGACCGCTAACGTTACGATCGGAAACGTGACAATCGACGATGTTATCCTTAAACCGGGCGACAATGTCTTCCCAATGAAGGGCATCCTCGATATCCGAACAATCTTCAAAAATCTCGGGGACGTCCTGAAAGCCCAGGCTAGCGCTCTGAAGAACGGATCATTGGCTATAGACTCAATTGCCAAGTCTGTCGAATGGAAGGGCACACCTGTCGATTACTACGCCGATATCCTGAAGACTCTTACCTTGTCGACCGAGATACCCCTTGGCGACACTATAAAGAATACACTCAAGAATCTGCTCCATGGCAAGAATCTGACAAGTGCGCTGTCAGGTCTCTTGGGTGATAGCAACAGTTCGCTTTCATCCAGGTCCTTGGGCGATAAGGAGCGTCGTGGCCCGGTTGACCTGGCGCCCTTCCTGAAGGAAAATCGCCATGTGCAAGACTTCTTCAGCGATATTGACGTGGATCAGCGGGATACATTTATTAATGCGGTAGCTGCAGCCTACCCCAATCTCTAACTATAATTAATGAATTTATGTTTTTATGTTTACATGCTCGCTTCATTCCACGTAAATATGTACAACTACTTGCAAACCAAGTCGCTCGCGCGTTCAATTCCGGTCGCATGATCTGAGATTGTGCGAAGGACCCACAACGCGAAACATTTTGATTTGCTGAAGCGTGTAGACTCGGCAGACTAACTACAATAAGAGGTGAGATGAGGTTTAGGACTACCTAATTGGTAGATACGTGGACTAACCCCCCCCCCAAAATTAATTTCAAGGCTTTGATGCTATCTCTAAGATACCTACCGTAGTGGGGTAAATCGAAGTATAAAGAAGGCCAGTCTCTCCTCTATTTGTCTACCTGCACTTCTTCAACATATCCAATCTCAATATCTCGTTTTCAAAATTTCCAGAATGGCAAGCGAACTATCACATCTAACTTCTTCTCTGACGTCCGCTCTGTCGAACCTTCCAGCTACAGAGAAGATCCCCGATGGCGAGCGCATGCAAATTCTGGGGATCGTCAATAAATTGCAAGAAGCACTGGAGCCCCCTCAGCTGCCCCTCCAACGATTCTGTTTTTCGGTACGCCTCTACAGATTGACAAAATATATATATCGCGTCTCGTTAAACCTTTGAATAAAATCACTGACATGGTCATTACCAGCACTATGGCATTGCTGTTATTCGCATAGCGCAGGGGATGGGGATATTTGACGCGTTCATCGAGTCTCAAGGACAAGAAATGCCATTAGAAGAGCTATCGTCTAAAGCAAAAGGAGACGATAGGCTGCTGAGTAAACAATGCCGCTCAGATACTGCACGAGAAGCCTGCTAATCATATCGCAGAACGTATCATGCGTTTCCTGTCCACGCAAAATATCTTCAAGCAAACAACGAGTGGGACATATAAACCTCTCCCGCTGGCAATGGTATTGGGGACTGGGTCGCCACCCGGCGACATGATCAAGCACTTGTGGGAATTTCTAGTTATCCTTATGGCGCGCAAAAAGCTGACAAGGACTAAAGCCACACCAACCTGCAAGTAACTGCAAAGCTTTTCGATTATTTTGAAATAAATGACTACAAGAGCCCGGACGACTCAAAGCATGCTCCCTTTCAACTTGCCTACAACACCGATAGCCATTACTTTGAATGGCTGAGCCAAAATCCAGACAAACAACAGGTATTTAACTCTGTCATGACTCAAAGCCAGCAATATCGTGGCGCAGACTGGTTCGAAATCTATCCAGTAGAGGAAAGACTGCGAGCATCTCCGGATCACGTTTTACTGGTTGATATTGGTGGCGGCGTTGGCCATGATATTACTGCTTTTCAGAAACGATTTCCAACCCTCCCAGGGAGGCTTATCCTTCAGGACCTTCCTCAGGTCATTGATACCATCAAGGAGCCTCTTCCTGAAGGCATTGCAGCAATTGGTCACAACATGTTCGAGAAACAACCTATCGGTGGTGCATTGGCATACTATATGAGAACCGTTTTACATGACTTCCCAGACAATCAAGCCCTTGATGCCCTTGCACGCATCCGGGATGCCATGACGAAGGAGTCTATTTTGTTAATTCATGAGCACACAATGCCCGACAGTCCAGATGTTCCTCCGATCGCGGCGACCCTCGATATACACATGATGGAAATGTTTGCCTCACTGGAGCGAACCGAGAAGGAATGGGTTGCTCTTTTGACAACGGCTGGCCTCAGGGTGGTAAAGATCTGGAATGAGGATTCATTTGGACAGTCTACTGCCCTTTTTGAAGCTAGGCTGAACTGAGTCTAAGATTATTATTGAAATATGCGTGAGATTGTATTAATTATCGTCCAGCCAGATTGTCCACATAGATATTGCGGATAATTAAATCAATTTTGTGATTTCAAATTTCAACTGATGACATTCCCCCCGAAGCACATAGTGTCCGCGAATGAATGACCATTTTTTTGCCTGCTCAGTTGAGTTCAACATGTCGAACAAAAATTTGGACAGCTCCTCTTCTGTTTCAGCATCTATAATAGAGCTATCTGGCTGGCCAGGGATCCGCAAGTCTGCCTTCAAATTATTTAAAGCCATGGAGGTAATGACATTGGAGTTAACTATCCCCTCACAGTGCGGCCAGCTTTGCACTGTGCGGATTGCTTCTAAGCGAATGGCATAATCCGGGCATTGCGAGGCTATCACCCACAAAGTTGGGAGAACACCATAATCCAATGTAAATGTTGGTCGGTCGGGAAACTTGGCCATGAAATCCTGAACAGCTAAGAGCAGGGCTCTGTATTCTGGCGTCAAGCTTTCAGGTACTGGTCCTTTAATGAGACAAGTCTTCAGACTGAGAATCTGGCCAAGGCTCTGAACCTGAAGCACATCAATACACCCCTGGTCACGGCGACTGAGGCTGCTATAGAATTCAAAATAGAATATACTGAAACGTTTTTGAAATTCATAGTTGAGGAGCAGAATATATTGCTGCTTTTGGAAAAGTTCGTCGTATTCAGCTGCAACTTCGGCGGCGGAGGACGGCCAGCACCGGGCAAGAAAGGGGATGCCTATATTGAGCAGACTGGTAACACTTCGTTTCACATCTGCTACATTCCCCATTTTTGAAAAGACATCCAAAATCTGCAAGTCATCATTGATCTTCTTGTTGGTGAATAGGAACGGGGTGCCTGGCCCAAAATGCGAGGATTCAATATCGAGTCTTTCAAATACCCGAATCAACGAGTCGTCGAGACAAAGCTTTCGATGATGCTCTTGTGTCTCGTTGATGATATGAAGCCCGCTATGCAAATGCTGGAAGGCATTTTGATATCGTCCGAGTAACAATTCCGACATGACAAAAAGGAGGCAGCATACTAGCATAACTTCCCGAAACTGAGGGTCGTTTGATGTCTGGCGTTTCGAAAGGTAGGAATATGCTCGCGAGGCCTGTTGAATTGCGAAGCGATGACGGGCTCGCCGGAGATTTTCACCAGATAAGCGCATTTTATTTGCGGCTGAGTCCTCATGCACAGCGCCAAGCATATTGGCGGCATGGTACACAGCGGGATCAGCATGGCTGATCTGCAAGATAATTCTACTCCAGAGAGGAGATTCGAAGAGCGCCCCTAGACCGGGGATAGAGCAACGTTGAAAGTATGAAAAACATCGTCGCTCGTCTGTGGTGGTTGTCCACGGCAAGTGGGGTAAGGCATTAGGGATGAACGTGAGGCTCTGCCTCTTGGTAGGCAAGCGATGCAGATCATAGCCATCGCATTTGCGGCCGGTGGACTGGCAGTTGTTGCATACTCCAGGGGCTTCGTCGCACTTGACGTGTCGCACGCTGTATACCTCACCAGTCAATATGGCATTTGTTGAATGAAGCAAGCCAGATATTGGATTGTGAGGGGGTTGAATAACCTACCGACATGTTCGGCACCCATTGCGGGACCGCTTACTGCACTTCCTGCGTCGATTTGGACGCTGTATCATGGATGGGCTACTGTAGGAAGGAGAAAGAAGCAAAGAAGGAGAGGTCGAAAAGACTTTCTGCACAGCCAGCTTGGCATGGATGCGCTGGAAACTTAAGCTTCAGCTCTGAATAAAAGAAGCTGAGACCAAATATTGCTTAGCAAATATTGGGGGCCAAAATGTGGAGCTGAAAGGCCCCCCGCAAAAACACCTCGACAGGACCCCACGGTTCTCTGCGATAGCCGATGATTTTATTGCGATCCATGGATATCACATTATGTCAACAATAGATTCCTAGGTCTTTTCTTAGGGGTGCCTCGCCTGCATAGAGGTTTCGTCGATCACATCTGTGACGGGGCATTAGAAAATCAGGGGCGAACAAAATCTGCAACTGGGAATGGGAATGATGTTTTCACAAAAATTCCCTACATAATCGGGAAGGGGGGTCTAAAACTTGTGATAGTAATAGAGGTTACCATGACGAAATTAAATGCTTTCTCGGCTGGGGTGTTTGAATCGCGGCGATAAAGAACCTCGGGGCTAACGCAAAAGGCATTGTATCTCTGTTCAATTCGCATTGTACAGCCTGTCTTCCGAGAAATTGAGTTGTACACATAGACACGGAATTTAGATAAGCCACTAATGTCTTGCAGATCTGTGGCAAGGCGTTTTCGCCCCCATCCGGTCTATCTCATTTTTCTTCCGCATTGGGAATTCTCGGCCCTCGCTGAATGAAATAAAAAAGGGCCTATAAAGACGCACAGTAGTATTACTGTGAGGCAGGTCTGATATCCGGAATCTTATAAATCACCAGTAAGTGTACTCGGTTACGTACTGGGGGGAGATTTGAAAGCCGAATTGCTATTCTAATGACATATACATTGAAATAATACTACCCTAGGTCACAAAGTTTTTGCTTGAAATAAATTACTCCTAGCCCGAGCCGGGTCTCGCTATGGATCACCGTAAATCATCTTCTACGAGAGGTTATGCTTCATCCATCTTTAGAATTGCCTTGAATACGCAGAGGCTTCGTCGATCGCAACTGTGATAGTGCATTGGACTACTCGGGATGGATAAACCTTGGAAATTTACGATTGAGACCGCGAATTAGGTTCTTTCTTAACACTGAATCCGTATCATTCTAGCTAGAGATACGAACGTAGGAGAATACTTGGAGACAAGAAGGCATAAGTAATGAGATGCAGTAATGAGGAGCTAAGAAACGAAGCTATGTAGACATGCTACCCCACACGAACTCGCCATCCTGCCATTTCGTCCATGCAGCATGGATGAAACATGAGGATAATGTACATGGGTCAAAAGCACCCCGGCCATACCGATGATGTGAAAATGGATAAGTCGTTGAAGATCGTAATGATGAATCCAGTGAAGACGCGTGCTGTTGAGGCGGAGGTGGATTGCGGGTCATAAAAAGCCCCCTGAGCAATCACCGCCAAATTGGCAGAAAGAGAGAGGACTCTTTCGCAGTTCTCAAATGAACCGCATTTGGTGCAGTAGGCGTAGTGACTCTCTTGTATCCATTTGTCCGCTCCCTGTACGGAATATTCTGACAATGACTCGTAGGCCGAGAGTCATGGTATTTATCTGAAGGCTGAACGGGATAGGCAGTAAGGCTGAGATAGCAGCGAAGATTAAGATAGTCAAGCCGGTTGCAAAGACTAGGAAAGAGGCAGCGATTCCTGTACTTCTCACCATAGCAACGATGTAAGTAATGGCATTGATAATGGCTGAAATGGCAAAGAGGCCCACTGTAGTAGTCCAGATAGCCGGGACAGCCACAACAGTAAGATCCCCCAGCAAATGGGTAAAGATGGTCGTGTTCATCGTCTCAATCATGCTGATAGCAAAAAGAAGAGACAAGCTGATTGTAATGACCCAGGAAGGGGTGAGAATGGGCATGTTTTCAGTCATAAAAATGGCGTCAATGAGGGCCATCATCATGGTCGAGAGAGAACTGAGAGCCAGGATAGTCAAGCTAATTGGGATAGCCATGAGGGTAAAATCGACGGGAAATGAGATGAGGAAGGCGATGCTTATGGCTGGGATGCCGTCAATGAGGGTTAGGATAGCGAAGGTAGCGAAAACAACTGCAAAGAAGCTGGGGATGACAATGTCAGAGACTTCCTTCAGAACAGCCATGGCTCCGTCAGTGTTGACTCGGGCCGTAAAGATTGCAGTAATCACGAGGCAAGCATCGGACATGGCAGTAGCCACTACGGCGCCACTTATGGCCATAATGGTGGATGGTATGGGGATGAGTGATCGGATTGACAAAATTGAGTGTAATTGATCTGAGGTCGATGGTCCTTGGATGAAAGGTGACTACGTCGATGGTAGGGAGAGGTAGGGGTGGGGGTGGTAGTAGTAATGGCAAGTTTGGTTGTTTGTTGCTGGGGAAAGTGAGAAGACGCGAGAGGCGCGTCAATTTCCTTCTCTTTTTCATGCGCTGCTCCATGCGGCTCGGTAGTAGTTACTGATTTCAAGCAAATGTTTTCTTATCCAGGCTATCACTTCAGTGCACATCTCATTGTAATATCCGTTCGGTTCTCAAATCATGCCTGCCACCTAGCCGAGGATACTTAATTAACACCTTGGACACTATCAAGACCTAATTTTGATATATTCCAAAATTTCCTTAAACATTGGTTATGCAAACCTTGGAAATCTACGGAAACAGGCGGCTGTCGGGACGCTCAAGCTGAATTTTAGACCAACTGAGCCGGTTACCGCTACAGAGCGCCACATTGGGAGCGAAAAAAAGATGTGCACCTGGAAGAATGACTACGTAGAGGCAGATATGATATTTATGGAGTGGTGGGTAGGTGAGAAGTGAAGCTATGTAAGCATGCTCCCCGACGAGCAAACTATCCTGTCATGCCGGATGTACAATGCGGTAAAAATGGACTCGTGTACATAAGAACGCCCCCCAACATGTGAATGTTGTAAACGCTGAAACTTCATTGAAACAATCACCATCATCGATGCTGTGAAGACGTACTGGCCACGCAGAGGAATTCAGGGCAGCCTCGTTGATAGTGATGGAGGACTGGTTGGAAATTCTCAAACGCACCAAGCGAGCTCGAAGAGTGGTAGGGACTCTGTGACTCCATTTTCGACCTGTGATAACTTGGACGCGCTAATAAGGGGCATAAAGATGCCCCAGATGAGAATCATGGCCTTCAATGTCAAAACATCCGAGAAGGAATAGCTGAACAGCCTGGCGCAGATGGTGAAAACGGCGATGAAGGAGGGGAGGAACGGCTTCTGCATGATGGTGACAAGAGTTTTTGGTGGTGGCAAGTTCAGTGTTTGTTTCAAGTTCTCTGGTGAAAGTGAGAGATAGACGCGACGGCCCGTCGGTTCCTCCCCTACGAGGGTCCATGACGGCTCAGTAGTAGTCACTGACCTCAAGAAAAGGTTTCTTCTTTCAACCTAGGGTATTATCTCAACACATATCCCATTGGACAACCACATTTTCTGTGCGAGGTGTTCTCCGTCAACACAGAACCAGCGTGCGATGGGATCCCTTGCGCCTTTTTGAACCCTGCAATGTACAAAATCAAAATCTTGAAGGACCCAGTATATGCATCAAAGTAGCCTGCTGTTCTTGAACTTAATACTCTTGTAGATCTTTGATAATCTCAAAGTGGCAAGGCATTTCCACCCCGGCTGGCCCAGGGCATATTTGTTCCCTTTTGGAACATTTTTTGCCCTCGTTTATATTATCATTAGAATGCATACCTGGCGGAAACTTTAAGCTTATGGCTTTTTACTGTCAGTCAAGGTTTTACTGTCAGTCAAGGCAAGGGCTGATGACTTGTGAGTGGTGCAGTCCATCCAGATCGGAATTACTTGGCATGCAGGGCGTGGGGGCCATTCTGACTCGAGTGAGGGGCAATATTCAGCCTCACCATCAGGTGATTACGACGCTAAGGGCTCCCTACCCCTCTCATCGCGTCAATTGGGCAGCAGAATATTTCGTATGCACTTCTTGAGGCTGAGTCGTGTCTCCCCTAAAAGCCTTACCCCATCCCTCCATTCGCACCCTCTCCCACCATCTCTGAAGGTCAACTTGACCTGAGCAGCCCATTCCTGGTCAACAATGTCCAAGCCAGATGATTTCTCCGTTGGGTGGATTTGTGCTATCCCCACTGAGTACGTTGCAGCCCAGGCAGTGCTCGATGAAACTTACGAAGTGAAGTTCCACCTGCCGAACAACAACAATAATTACACCTATGGGAGGACCGGAGACCACAAAGTAGTAATCTCAGTCCTCCCTATGGGCGAATATGGAACAGTCTCAGCATCTCGGGTGGCCGAGGGAATGATGATTAGTTTCTCAAATATTCGAGTTGCGCTAATGGTTGGGATTGGAGGAGGAGCACCTAACCGGAAGCACGATATTCGCCTAGGCGATATTGTGGTGAGCTCTCCTTCGTCCGGTCAAGGCGGGATTTATCAGTATGACTTTGGAAAGGCCATTCAGGGCAGAGAATTTGAGCAAACAGGATTTCTAAATCAACCACCGCCTATATTGCGGTCAGCGGTAGCCGGACTCAAAGCCGATTATGAATTGGATGGACATACCTTGGAAGAGACCATCGAGAAAGCTCTCGCGAAGAGACCCCGTCTCCGCAAGAAGTACAGGCGTCCAGACCTTGCATCTGATCGACTGTTCCGAAGTGATGTTGTTCATCAGTCTAGCGATGAGCCGTGTGATCCAGGATGTGGCGATAACCCATCCGATCTCGTGTTACGCCAGCCACGCGACGAAGAAGACGACAACCCGGCAATTCACTATGGGCTCATTGCATCGGGCAACTCACTTATGAAGGATGCCATCATCCGCGATCAATTTGCAGCAAAGAAAAATATTCTGTGCTTTGAGATGGAAGCAGCTGGCTTGCTGAATCATTTCCCTTGTCTTGTGATCCGTGGAATTTGCGATTACTCTGATTCCCATAAGAATAAGGAGTGGCAGGGATATGCAGCTATGGTTGCCGCAGCATATGCCAGAGACCTGTTGTACCAGATCCCCTCGCAGAAGGTCGAGGAGCAGAATACTGTCGCAGAGACTGTGAAGGCAGCCGAGGTCAATAATTACAACATATCTTTTGGAGACAACAATCGTGGTCTTCAAGTCGGCTGGAATGCAGGTTCGATCAACGAAGGTCCAGGTCAAAGGGCAATGTCAGACCTACAGCGGTTCGGAGTCGCTGAAAGGACTCGGGAGACATAGAAGTTTGGAGACCTTGAGAGGTTGTTTATATATTCCGGAAGACTGGCATTTTCTTTTTGTGTGTTTTTCAGCGAAAGACAAATTGAAATTCTTCGCCTTTGATTCAAATTTCTGCGTTTTGTTCCAATTGACCTCAGGCTCGGAAGTTGAAGGTTGTATATATTCGATGCTGCTATCCCGTTCTGTTTATCTTCAATCCCATGAATTTTTCCTTTCCGAAGTACTGGTGCCCAGGTGTTGCATAATTGATTAGCTCTAAAGTGAGAATGGTAAATGAAAATATCAGTATTCAGTATTACATCTTCATTTTCCCTTGAGCTAGTCAGCTCTGGCCATTGAGAATGGTGTGATACTGGTGATACTGATAAATTACCGATAGGTACCAGAATACCGTATTTCCCGTACAGGACTGTCCCACCGTCACGTGATGCGCATCGGCTCCGCAAGTGTCGGTTCCGCAGCGCAGACCCACTTTCCAAGATCGAACTTCATTGTTCATCGTCTTTCCCTTCCAGAAACTTGACTTCTTTTCTCATTCTTCCTCACCAATCAGAGCATGCAATTGTTCCGTTTTCCAAATTCGAGTAGAAACCATTGAAATCGCGGGCCCTGACGAAAACAACCACCATGTCGAATCAACCAACCCTCGTCTTCATACACGGTTCATGGCATACACCAACATGCTACAACCCACTAATCAAGCTCCTGGAACCAAAATTAAGATGTGTGGCCGTATCTCTACCCTCAACATCGGGAAATCCAAAGGCAACCTTCAAAGACGATCTCGACGCAGCTCGGACCGTGGTTTCCGACGAGACAAGCAACGGTCGCAATGTGGTTGTCATTGCGCATTCATACGGCGGTATCGTGGGGAGTAGCGTTATCAAAGGTTTCGCAAATTCAAAGGAATCACCACCCACCGACAACAACCAGTCAGGATACGTGATTGGTTTGATTCTCATAGCCTCCGGCTTCAATCTGACCGGACTGTCCTTCATGGATCCATTCTTCGGCCATCCACCACCTGCGTGGCGCGTGAACAATGAAACCGGCTACGCTGAACTCGTCACGCCGCCCCGCGAGTTATTTTATCACGATTTACCGGACGACGAGGCGGAGTACTGGGTCTCGGAACTTACTACCCAGAGTCTGAAGGCGTTGTTTGAAGGCGGCGAGTTTACTTATGCTGGGTGGCAGGATGTGCCGTCTTGGTATATTGGGACTGTGGAGGATCATGGGTTACCGGTTCTTGCTCAGCGGTTGTCCGTTGGTATGGCGAGGGAGATGGGGGGGTGTTGTGGAACATCGTGAGTTGCAAACTAGTCATTCGCCATTTTTGAGTCAACCTGCTTTGACGGCGAGGATCATATTGGAGGCTGTTGCTGCGTTTACGCGCTCTGGGGGTGACGATTCCACGCCGGTCATTGATGGGGACGGGACTTCCATAGTCGTCCCGCGCACGGCCCTCTTCAAGCCATTGTCCTGGTTCAAATTTGGAATACCGATGGCATTTGGTCGCTTCCTGGGGAGAGGGTTTCTTTTGTTTGGATGGGTGCGAAGGGTGTGGACAGCTGGGTTGCGTTAGGGTCGATGGGCTGGTGTGTCCGCTCGGTAGCGCAACCCTCGGAAGCTTATTTTAATAGAATTTATTGTAAATTACGAGTCACCTGAATGAATGATATGCTGGAAGAAGATTTTGTGGTGGTCGCTTTGATAGGGAGATACTCTTTCAAGTCGTTGGGGCTTGGCAGCAGACGTCGACGAAGACGAGTCGACAACCGAATGAAAAGGGCACAGAGGATGATACTGGTATTTTTCCCTTTGTTGTTTGAAGGTATATATGACATCTCAAGCGAGTCCAGGGCTCTGGTCTTCCTTGTCACAAAGCCGAGAAGCTCGGATCGATTTCATTTTCCGAAAAGAAACTCCTTTGAAACGCATCTAACTTGTCGTGAAGATTCGGTACCTCGCCATGCCTCGCCGAAGCAATAGAAAGAAGCAGCAGACCAGCTATGCCGAAGATCCAAGCTCAGCTGAAGAATATGTGCCCCAGAAAAGAAAGAGAGAAAATGACCGCCAGACTTCCGGCTCGTCTAAGAAAAGTTCTTCTGGATCCTCTAGAAAGACTTCAGGTTCTTCCAGACGCCAAGGTTCATCCGAAACACCTGCGACTTCTGACGAGTCAGACAATGACCAGAGACGTCATGGCCCTAAAGAGCTTACCACTGTAGCAGAAGTTTTGGAAGACTTCAAAGTGTCATACGTGGGAACTCTTGATTTTGATCAGCCTGAGACACCTTCCAAGCCTAGGTGGAAGATTCCCAAGAAGCCTATCACCGATATTAAGAAGGTTCCTAAAGGATGGACTCCTGTAGACCACGGAGTTGATCAGAAGTGGGTGTTCCAACTATCCCAGAGACCTTTGACATTGCTAACTGATCCTCAGTGATGTCGATGCTTTGATTAAACGTTGCAAGGAACGAATCGCAGAAAAGATCATGCCTCATATATTCGAGAATGACTTGAAGAGTCTCCTTGAGAGGAAGAAGAAGGAGGAGTAAGCAGCCCGAACTGTTTTTGGAAGCACCATGCTGATGAAATTTCTCTCTCTCTAGTTTCATGGTTAATGCTGAGATCCCGGGTCTATCCTTCAATGTGGCAAAACGTCTTAAGCAATTGAACCGAATGAAAGCATGGCTGGAAGGAAATGGTGACGGGTATAATTTCTTGCCAACAGTCAAAGCTATCGCGAAGGCCTATAGGAAGAAGGAACTTGACTGGAATCTCGGGCTTGTAACCTATTGGAGCGATGGCAAACAGATCTGCCAGCCCAGAGTGCATGATATGGCAGTTGTCGCGATTATTACCAAAGACCCGAGATACAAAAAGGGCTTTTGGGTAGAAGGAGTACGTTGATTGTCCAGACAGAGAAAGAAATCACTTTCGAAAACTAATTATTCTTTTAGAGCCGCTTGGCTGGTCCCTTGCCACCTGGCCCGAGCAACCTAAATGCCCAAGCTGGAAACCATTACAGACTATATCCGAAAGAGGGAAATAATATGGGCACTGGTACTAGGGCTTTGGCCTCAACCGGTCTATGTTACGAGCCCGCAGACGAGGGGCCCTTTCAGGTCAAGGTATGATCGCTCCCATGGCTAATAATTATTTCAACAACTGCATATTAATTTCGAGATCTGCTCAGATGAATATAAAACTCAAGATAACGGAAGATTCCCACCCATGGGTCTTTGAATTCTCAGACGACAGCGGTGCCGATTTCATGACGCTGTACCAAGATGACATTTTCACTCTATATAATGTGAATCAGCCCCCAACCGCACAGTTCGCTCCTAATACACCAGGGGGACTATGGAACGTCGCCCCCATTCTAGGAGTTGCTGAATCGCGCATAGGAGATGGAACAAGTTTCTTTAACTATGTTATCAGCCTCTATTTCAATCTCGAGGCTCCAGTCCCCGAGGACGATGCAGCAGGTAAAAGCTACAGAAATGACTACTTCCCCATCGAAGCTCTTGTGCGTGAAGGAAATATTCAGGCTGTTGGTGCGCCTAGATTGAATGGTCCTGCTCTGAGAGTTTTATTTAATACCGTTACTTCCTGTACTGATATGATCAGACTTTATGTCCTTACTAGTCTGGGTAATGGTACGACGTACGTAAAGAAGCCGCATTATAAATCCGCTCTGCCGGAGAATTTACCTCCGAGACAGAAGGATCTTCTGCCAGATTATGTTCCAGTTACCCCAATGGTTGATCGAGATACACCTATGGGAGGCATGGAGGTCCCACAAGAGGGTGGCCCGAGCAATTTCCCACCAGGGGTCGGCCAGGGGAATGTTTTCCAAGGGGGTGCCGGTGCCCAAGGAGATCTCCCACAATATGTCCCGGGAAATTACGGCAGCACATAGTATGGCATTTCCCTACCAATACTAAAGTTAGGTTCTCTATCAATTATGCAAGTTCCGTTCCTAATCAGGTTAAAACTCTGGTACAATCCTGTTGCAATGCCTCGGTGGTGAAATTCCTGGCTTCTTCGCCTCGTCCCGAAATCCTGAATGGCTTATACTATGAAATTTGTTTGGATTGCGGATTTATACTTATTTACATTTGCTTGATGATATTTTTGTTTTTAGCTTGGTCGCATGACCTGGCAATTGTGTCGCTCCTTAGTATGCAAGTGAATTTATATTGAAATACGAAGAGATGATTTTTGCTTTTTATGTCCTACTTGAACCATTCTGACTAAGTACGGAATTTCGATTTGATCCGACCCAAAGCTTATTTCAACGACACGCCCAAATTGAGAGAGTAGTCCCGTGACTAGAGAATGCTCTTCGAACACCGTGACCAGGACGAAGCATTCCAGGTGTAATGTAGACATGAAATCGTGGTATAGGAACTAGTAAGGGTAAAATGAAAGTTGTATTCCGATTCAATGAGCGATTCACCGCGGGTTTGCTGCCACTGGGCACGTTATGCGTAGCCTGCATCGTAGGTTGAGCTCTTGATTTTGCCCCAAAATGGGCAGTGTTATATGTTGAGTCGTTATGGGGAGTAGTATTTTCGGGTGTATTGACGATTCATAGATGAATTAGACGGATTTGAGGTGGTTCCCCCGTAGAGGCGGGATGTAAACAGTGGGATGCGTGTGGCGAGGAATGGCGGCGTCCTGCTAGCGGCGCTCGTGGAGGGGATGCTCGGTCTTTCGAGGCCCATCGAGAAGATGTAGAACATGATACAAACAAGGAATAGCTCGTTGCAGCGTAAATATCGCATGGGTGGCGCGGCATGACTCGCTGCGGCGGGCAGGCGGATGGCTCTCGATGCATGTCGGGCGCTTGTTCGACGCCACCACGGGGTCTTGGGGCTTTATATTGATGTAGAGGATGAGTTATACGAGTTCTCGTTCATTCGGTGTAAGAAACTGCTCTTTCGGGCCCGCTAAGCTGGGGCTTGACGCGCTGTGGCCGCGGGTATAGTTGTCGACGCCGGCTCGTTCCACACCACCACGGGCTCTTGGGGTCTGATATTGATAGAGAGGATGGGTTTCAAGATTTCCTGTTCACCCCGCGTACGAGGTTATCCTTTCGAGTCTGTTTAGATGGGGCATGTGTCGCCGTAGTTGGCTACTGGAGGGCTCTCAACGTACGCCTGTTCAACATAACTACGGGTTCTTGTGGGTTGAAATTGATAGAGAAGATGATTTCTACGATTTCCTATTCACTCCGAGTAGCATATTCTTGTTTCTGGTCCCCTGAGCTGGCGTATCGATCTGATGCTGCGGCGTCAACACACGGACCTCGCCCGTCCACGTCCGCGCGAACTGACTTTTGATATTGATATTGGGAGTTTATATGGATGTATACACTTGAAAGACATTGGATCTATCAAAATCTAGTCGAATTCAGCTCATTTCTAACACTTGGTATTCCCCGCATACACACTCGCTGTCCCCATACTGACTCTCGCCATCCCCGTCTCATACATAATCTCCATGGAGACGGCCTGTTGTTGTGATCCCGGACGGCGTGCCTTCCTCATGAACCTCATTTTCCACCGTTTTGAGTCACGATGATGCCATTTTTTCCGCGTGCCTTCCACCTTTTGGCAATGTTTTGGTCTTTTTTGACCTGCTCCAACGGTAGGAACGTTCAACCTCCAGGAAAACATACAAAAACCCCGCCGCCCTCCAACTTTCTCCTCTTCTCTTCTCTTCTTCCTCACACCTTTTGGCTGGTTTGCTCTTTGTCTTTGCTTTATGCTCTGGCGTTGTTTACCCCCATAGGTGTTTGGCTTTCTTCTTCCTTTCAGCTGCTGGTGATTCGAGATGTTTTCTTCGGAAACTCTCGTTTCTCCCTTGGCGGCTCGTTTGCTGCTAACTGGCTCTGCTGATCTGCCCAAGGTTGGTACCCAGTTAGTAGTTCAGGCAAGTCTCCCCCCCCTCTCCCTCCCCTCTTCTTCACCCTCTCCCTCGTGCGAAGTGTCCTTGCGGTACCCCTCTGCGTTGTCGAGCGTTCCTGTTCTTCCCCCCCTCCTGGCCTGTCCTTCATGCTTCCCTTTCTGTCCCCCCACCTCGTGGCAACCTGAAGGTTGCGGGAGCTTCCTCCGGGTCATCTCACGCTCGGCGTGTGACCTTTGGAGAAGTGACCATTGACAACTACCCTAAGTGGATTGGCCCTGCGTCCGCTTGGGAGGAGTCACCCTGGTGTCGGGCTTCTTGGGTTCCTGTTGGTGAGTGTGAGGAGGAGTCGGACTGCGAAGATGACCCTCTCGATCTCTTGACGGATTTTATCCCATACGGTGGTGTTGCGGAGAGCGAGCCAGTGGTGGTCGCTCCCCGGCAAGAGGATGGGGTGCTCACGGGTATGCCCGGAGCTTACCCGCAAGAGGAGGATCCTGAGATCGATGGTGATTGGAGTCCTTTGGTCTGGACATGCTCTTTGATAGCCTCTGTCGTGCGTGTTTCTGCTCGCGTTCTTGTTGGTGCTGGTGTTGCTGCTGTTGGTCTTCTTCGTCGTTTGTGGTGATCATACGGAGATGAACCTGTCCACTCCTTTAGTTCTTTAGTTTTTTTGGTTTTTTCTTTGCCCAAGCCCTGTCTGTCTTTACCTTCTTCTCTCTGGCTTGCTGGCTTGCTTTTTTTGTTTCTTTCTTGTCGTGCGTTCCATTGGTACGGACCTTCGCACGAGTTCTCCGTCGGAGGCCTTGTGCCTCCGGCCTCTTTCTCTGCTGATGTGTGCCTCCTAGAGGTGGCCTTTTTAGGCATATTTAGCTTCACGGTCCGTTGGTTTGTTTCTGGAGCGGGTCTGGGCAACCCGTGTCCAGGTGGCTTTGGGTGAGTTCTTCCATCTCGATCAACATTGGTGCATTGACTGACTCTCTCACAGGTGGTGAACGAAGAGCATCGTCGTTCCGTGCGCCTGGCAAACGCCCGGGGCGACGATGCTTCAAGGGACGTCCCCGAATTCCGATCCCTCGTATCGTTCCATACTGACCATGTTTGGCCCAGGTCCGTCCTTCTTCTAGGTCCGATCCGACGACGCCGACTCGAGCTTGCATCTCTCAGGTAAGTTGCCCGGTCCATTCAGGTTTGTCCCCCGGATCTTTGAGGTAAGTTCCCCTGTCTCTCGCTCCGTTCCTTTCTGGCCCTGACGACTCGACAGAGATGCATTGCCTCGCACATCGCCAATGCGTTTTGCGCAACGCATCGTGGCTCGCCCGGTGAAGGCCCAGGGTAAGTATCTCCGCTTGATCCAATGTGGACAATGACTGACTGTCGCAGGTGGGACATGCCCGAATCTGACACCGAGGTCACTTGTGGTAGCTCCGGGGTGAGGGCGCCCCGGTAAGTAACCTCCTTTCCTTCATGATGACTTGAGCTGACTGCTTACACCAAATAAACAGGGAGGCTTCGACAGCTGGGGAGGAGTAATTGTCGGGTGTGGTAGCTTGGGGGTCAGAGATGCCCCGGTAAGTAACATTCCTTCCATGGTGATGACTTGATCTAACTTCTTGCATGCGATGAACAGGGAGGTTTGGTCTGCCGCGTCGGCGGAGAGCGGTGGAGGCGTTGGGCGTTGAGGTTGGGTTGAGGCTTGGACAACCTATTAGGCAGACTCTAGCTCTAGCTTTCAAGCAGAACAGTGAATTGATTCTGTCTTCTACTACTCATACATTGACCTCGTTCCTTACCATCATCGTACATCGTAACACTGCTCCAGAACTCGAGGCGATTTCCAGTAGAACTATGGCCCGTCCCAGCCAGTTCCAGACTCTCACCATATTCTTCACCCACATCCACAACGGACTCACCAGCAGCGATAAACCCTTCATCTCGGAAGAATCTTCTCAACAAGACAATGCGAACATCGATACAGCAAAATCGAATGAAAGTTTCTCGAAAAAAGACCGGTCGCAAGCATTTTCACGTCGCCACGAACTCGATCTCTCAGTCGGAGAAAAGCTCAATTGTACACCCCCACGACCGACTATAGCCTTCCCCCCGAAATGTTTCAACCTGGTCGAGTATACCGACAGGTCACTGGAGTTCTGGAACAAAATCGATCGCGATGAGCAGCGTTGAGTTAACCAGGTCTATTGCTGCTCTACCGGGCGGGCCGTGGAGTCCACCCTGATATGATGGACACGAGATTCGGCCTGTGAAATGGATCCGACTTTTCGCAGGGCTGGAGGATTAGATATAAATGCCTCGGGAGAGGTTTGCTCGCACATGGATCTCGGGGTGGATGGGTTGATGACCTCACGATCGAGTCCTAAATGTAGGACCTGGCAGGCAGCGAAACGGACACGCTCGAACTCAGCGTGACGATGCCGTATGCCTCGGTGCATATCGACATTGAGAAGAACACTCGGGAGAAGAATACAGACTCTTGGGAATGCTGATACTCCAGAGTAACATCGTTCAGGTCCAAAGTTGCAACGGATCAAGGGGTTCTATTGACGGGCGTCGACGACGAATTCAATCGCCCGACCGGGATTTTTCACCGGGGTCGTGAAGTCCTGGTCCGATTTGACGTGAGGGAGAGGCCAGATGGTCCGGCTTTGAGTGCATGATCGAAATCAAGGCTTGTCTTCGTTGTTCATGGAGCAGTCTTGCTGCGCGTGAATTTGGCGGTGCATGGCCATTTCCTGCGGTTTTCTGGTCAGTTTTTGGTCAAGAGAGTAGTAGGTTGTGCTTACTTTGCAAATAGAAGTTGGATTTCTCCAGTTTTTGTGGTTGAGGCATTGTTGATGTGGGTCTTGCGGGGATTTGCTGCACTGGCATAGTTATTGGGCGCGATTGGCTGGAAGGCGGTGTAGAGCGATATCAATGAGTGGCAGAATGGGATATTCAAGCAGGACTGAGGTTAAGGTGTCGACCCTTGCAGCGTGCAGTGCAGTGGAATGTGTTACATGTCAAACGCGTGGTTCAGGGTTGAGACACGTGTACGAGATAAATGTTTCCATCGGGTTACCCAAGAAATTTTTCTATTTTTTTCTATTATTAATTCTGCGTATTGGATATTTTCTCCTACCTGATGATGATGTATGCTTGCTTGTTTTGCGGGTAGATTGCCGGTACCGGGATGAAGTAGGATATTCCCAGGTCTCACTTCCGTCATGGGAACTGTAGAAAATTTAGGAATATCATGCGTTAACGGCTTTTGTGAAATATTTTATACTCTATAATTCCACTGTGCAATGTTTTCACTTCTTTAGTCGTGTTTCCTGCCGCGAATTTGCATGTAGGTAGTTCCTATAGTTCATCCCGGTACCGGAACGGCCTAGTCATCCACCGGGGACTATTCCAGTATTTGACTGTTCACATCTAACAAAAGCCAACATCTTTTTCTATCCTCCTCACTCGACTGATTCCGCACCTCTACAACTTCTCAGTCTCTAGGGGACTCGCTCCCATCGTCAAAATGACCAGCGAGAACACCCCATCCCAACCTGCAGCTGCGGCCGAAGACTGCAAAGAAGCACAGCTTGCCCCGGATGCAAACCCCACCACCGAACAACGCGACTTCTCAGTCTTCACAGTCGGTCAAAAGAGGGCTATTGTGGCTACCGGATCTCTCGCTGCATTCTTCTCGCCCTTGTCATCGAGTATCTACTTCCCTGCGCTACAGACCATCTCGAACGAGCTGGGTGTTTCCATCTCAAAAATCAACTTGACAGTAACAACATATCTGGTGAGTGACACCCCATCCACCTTTCTACATCCAGATCTGATCTCTGAAAAACTCTTATCTCCCAGATTCTACAGGGCTTCGCGCCTATGCTGATCGCTGGCTTCTCGGATACCGCCGGTCGACGCCCCGCGTACATCATTTGCTTCACAATCTACATCGCCGCCAACCTCGGACTCGCTCTACAAAATAGCTATGCGGCCCTCCTGGTCCTCCGATGCATCCAGTCAGCCGGGAGCAGTGGAACGGTGGCCCTGGCAAACGGTCTTGTGGGAGATACAATCACCTCCGCAGAGAGAGGCTCATACATCGCCTTCGCATCCGTCGGCTCAATGCTAGGCCCCTCGCTATCCCCCGTCATCGGCGGCCTAATAAGCCAATATCTAAACTGGCACTGGATATTCTGGTTCCTGCTAATCTTCTCCGGAGTCTTCGCCACCTTCCTCATCCTCTTCCTACCAGAAACATGTCGAAAAGTCGTCGGCGACGGATCAATCCCCCCACCACTCCCCAGCATGTCCGTGACCGATTACATCCGACACCGAAACAGAAAACGCCGCGGCTCAGTCTCAACGCAAGAAATCGCCGACGCGAGAAAGAATTACGCCTTCCGTTTTCCTTCACCAATACCTACCCTCCGCGTCGCGACGGACCTCGAAACAGGCGCCATCCTCCTAACAACAGGCCTCATGTACGCTGGCTTTTACGCAGTAATGACAGGCGCAACAACAACCTTCCACGAAGTCTACCACTACAACAACATCCAAACAGCGTTGATGTACATCCCCATCGGCGCAGGAGGAATAGTCTCAGCTTTCACAACGGGGCGATTCGTAGACTGGAATTACCGCAGTCACGCTCTCCGGGCCGGCCTCCCGGTCCAAAGAAATAAACACCAAGACATAAGCAATTTCAATATCGAAAAAGTTCGCCTCGAACTCGCTATCCCAGTCTACTACGCCAGCAACATCCTCATGGTCGCATTCGGATGGGTCATTGGTAAGAAAGTCCACGTCGCGGCACCGGTTATTCTTCTCTTTCTTTCGGGTTGGGCTTTGAATGCTACGTCTCAGATTTTAAATGCGTTGATGGTGGATCTTTGGCCGGGGTCTTCGGCTGCGGCGACCGCGGCGAATAATCTCATGCGATGTGAGCTTGGTGCGGCTGCTTCTGCGGCTATTAATCCTATGCGTGAGGCTATGGGGTGGGGATGGGCTTTTACGACGCTCGCGCTTATTTCGATCGCGGCTTCGCCGACGCTTTGGGTTATGACTAGGTATGGAATTGTTTGGAGGAAGAGGCGACTGACTAGGGAGAGGGAGAGAGATGAGGAGAAGGAAAAGAGAGAAGGAAGTTAGAAAATGACGCTGTGGATGGGAAGCACGGTGTCAGGGGTTGAGCAAGTGGTTTATTGTTATGTACTCCATTGCTGTTTCAAAAGATAGCTAGGTAAAGCAAACGTTCAAATCAACTGCCTTCCAGGCCATCTCTGGCTTAATGAGATTTCTTCTGTTTGTGGGGAGATTCGATGGTCGTGCTAGTAGTGGGTTGGCCTGGGTTGTTGGCTTGAGAAAGACGCGCAGAAATATACTCCCAACCCTTCTTCATGAAGTGAAAAGCTAGCGCGAGAAGAATAATAATCATGCCAATACACCCTGGTACAAAAACCATCACAACCATGACGAGTACGAATGTTGGCATGATCAGGTCCATAATGTTGTCCACGAACTTCATTACCCCCTGATTGTATGTTTGGAAGTCCATGATAGGAATTGTGAGTTCAACTGGAGAGCGGAATGGATATTCGTGGGTAGTAGGTTTGTTTCTCCAGGGCTCTGGAGTCTCCAAGAATAAACTCTTGTCCAGGTTCGTGGTTATTTTTGAGGATTTATAGAGTTGCTAGGTTAATGTAGTAAAGTAAGAAATTTAAATCAGAGCTTTGCTGATGTAGAATAGTAGTAGTAGCACTGATACCTAGGTAGATATTGCATCATCATTCCATAGGAAGGTTCTTCGAGTATTTCTAAAACAATCCATAACGCGTATGAGCCTCACCTGGCACTAATAACGTGTTTCATACCAGGGCTACCAAGCCACCTCCAAACACGATAGTGAGGCAATAAATTACAACCTTGGAACGCAATACCTAGATACTATCTCGGCAATCCTTACTTCTTAGTAGAATCCTGTATGATATAGTAGTACTAGTATTTATAACTTTCCTTGTAGGCTCAGATGTTCTCCACGGCGTAAATCTGAATTTTGTAAAATATATATTCATGATCCACCAGGCAGCTGGAGGGTTATTTACTATTTCCAAGGTTCACAAGAAAGAAACACCTTCTTATATCCCTTCGTAATAGCCGCCATGCGGAAATCGAAATTGAATGAAGGTGGTGCTATTGAGATGATTTCATGACTGAACTATGGCGTTTGGGTGGGGGGGGCAGGAGTGAAATACATCGATAAAGCTAAGAGTAGTAAAGGGGTTTAAAGTAAGTAGCTCTCTGTTTTTAAAGTCAAGCTAGAATCATAAAAGGGCTGCAATATATTGATTTTTCTAAATTATGTTAAATTTATGGAAGCTTGGGCTGCGAAGCCGAGAACATGAGAACACGTCCCACAACACTTGTCTCAACCTTGCTATAGTCCTTGCAAAGAGCCTCCCGAAACTCCTTTTCACCATCATCCCAGTTGCTAAAGATGCCACGGCGGTTGTAAATGTTCATCAAGATCCGCCCAAACAAGTTGTGTTGGACATCTTTACCGAGAATTGTCGTCCCGTAGACAGTGCCATTTTCAGCGAGGTGAGGCTTTAGGTTCGTGAAAAGCACCATCTTCCGCTCCAAGGGACCCGGTAGGCAGTGAATGAGGAAGAAAGTCGAGATAGAGTCATAGACGCCGGTCAATGGGAGTGGCTGTGTGACATCTGCCTGGACGGTTTGGGTATCGGGTCTGCCCAGACGCTGCTTGGCGTAGTTCAAAGAGTGAGGATTCAAATCCATAAGTGTCATTTGAGTCTTCTCTGGAATACCGGCATTGGCCAAGTAATAGCCGGTGCCGGGACCGATGTCCAAATGGCGATGGCCCATGAACTTTCTGAAGAACGGGAGTTGGACATCCTTGGTGGAACAGTACCAAGCGAATGAGTTGGAAAGGCCTAGCACCCACGTGTCATACAGAGGCAGGGTGAATGGGCTATAAAGAGCCGCGCCAGCAGCACCATGGGCGGTGATCTGTGTTTGTTGAGCCATTGTGGTAATATGAACTGTGGAAAAGTGTTTATTATTCACTCACAGATTGAATGTTTCCAGCTCGTATATGTACCACTTCCAACCCTCGAAGAAGCCCACACCCACGCGAGAATTGACGCCATCTGCGTCAAGCTATCAACTCGGCAATCGCAGAGATTGGCGCCCCAGAGTCTCGGTGAGTCGATCAATTGAAGTACAGAGCTGGTTTTGGTCCAACTTTTAGGTTGAAGTGATGTCATTCAGAAAGCCATGTCTCCATTGTATGCGCTGTGCCTTCTTTCAGGTGGAGCCATAAGCGGCAGGCTTTGCCCCCGGCAGGATCGAGTGAATAGGATCTCGCAGTTTGGAGGCGATATCCGTCGCAGTTCATTTGAGAGGCGCTTTTCCTGCAATCGGGCAAATCGTGTAGAGGTTATACAGATATATGAGTTCTCAATTTCACGATACCCAAGTGAATTCAAAGGTACAAGAGCTGTACTTGTGGCTGCAGATCTTGCCGCTTATATTGCAGAGTCCGATTTTACGGGTGGGTCGTCAGGAACTCCAGTTCTTCAGGAAAAATGAAAACACCGAGTGGGGCTGAACGAGATAATGTGCCAAATCGCCATATCTCACTTTTTGCGGGTAAAATCGGAATTTTCATTCGTTCCGCCCTAAAAAATGACGTGGATGTATACAGATAAACAATTTTGAGCTTCCTATCCAAGAGTTGATTGGCACATGGTCCCCGGAAAATACACACCCTCGCCTCGATTATCGGTTATGAACCCTTGATCTACGTACGATATCCGATGTGAGTGTGAGTTCGTCAAAGTTCCGCTGATCGCCTTAAGCGAACACCCACCCCACTCTTTGAAATTTACCAGATCGGCTCAAACAAGCCGTAAATCGATCGAGTGCTAAATGCCCGATCTCGCTTTTCCGAGAAACCATTCTCGTTGATTTTTTTTCCTGCACGATCAAATAAGCTATCGGCTGACACCTTTAACCATGTGCAGTTCCATGGTATCTTGTAAATGTCAGGAACAGCGTGCTGGTCCACGAGTGGTTGAGCTGCGGCTTGTTGTGGGTACCCTCCAAGCACACCGCAAGTTCGATCGGCAATAAACCTATAAAAATCGACAGAGGTCCCACTGCCATGGCTTTGGGACCCCAATGGATGTTGAGTGGGGTGAGGGGGTTCGTCATGACAGGTTCGTGAGGGGCGGGTTAGACATTCTGGAAATACACGTAAGTTTTTGCAACGTACTCTTACTTCCCTCGGGTGAATTCAAAAAGCCTTAATGGAAATGGGAATGTCGTCATTTCAATTTCTTTCTTCTTGTTTCCCTGCGGTGGCATGACAGGATAGCTCTCCATTGCTCCCGCTGCCAGAGGGGAACCGGACGCGAGGCCCACTTGGTAAGATGGCGCCCAAGTACCTTTTTATAAAGAAATTAGTAGCTATATTCTCTAGTACGCCATAACACCTTTTCCAATCGACCGAAAGAAAATCATGTCGGAATGCCAATTGTTCCTCTTTGCGGACCAGACGGTCGATTCTGGGGCGTACTTGACAAATATTTCACTCCAGCCCGCACTTTCAAAACTATTGCTGCCCTTTTTCCAGTCCACAACGCATTCTCTTAAAACCCATATTCAAAGGTTACCCCACTACGAGAGGAATGCTTTCAGAAGTTTCGACTCAATCCTTGACCTCGCTTCTGAGAGTTCCAGCAGAGAGCCAAGTACCGTTATTTCCACTGTGCTTCACTGTGTTGCCCAGCTTGCTTCACTCATCATGTAAGTCATGTTCTCACAGTGGATCAAACCGAAGCGTAATACTGACAACAAGAAACACTTGAAGCTCAACTGAAAGTCAACCGGATCTATGGAAAGACGATTCTGAAAAATACTTTGCTGGTGTGTGCACTGGATCATTTGCGGCGGCGGCCGCAGCTACGAGCGAAAATAAACAGGAAATAATTGATATCACCCCTGAAATCATTGCTACAGCCTTCTATCTAGGAGTAGAAGCCGCCAGAAGATCCAGTATAATTGAGCCGGAAACAGATACCTGGGCCAGAGTTGTTCGGTGCACAGAGGCGAACTATACCAGAGAAAAACTGGCCAGATTCCATCACACAAAGGTATTGCTACGCTTCCTTCCTCTACTTCCCGTTTCTCCCCTCGAAGCAATCATGTCTAACTCTTCGAAAAGGGCATACCGTGTCACAAATGGGCATATATCAGTGCAGAATCACAACACTACAACACCATCAGCGGGCCGCCATCTACCCTAAAACTACTTTTTGAGGATTCCGAAAACCTCTCTGTTACGTCTGTCCCTATTCGCATTACGGCTGCGTTTCATGCCAATCATCTTCCCTTACCAGATATCGAGAATAAAATTCTGCAGCCGGCCTGCCTCCGAGACAAACCTCTGCGAAATCGAAATCATATTCTCTCTCCGAGTACTGGCAATTCCTATAAGGGTGGCACTTTGCACTCTGTTCTACAAGAAGCCCTTGTAGACATTCTGCAGACCCCAATACAATGGAACTCACTCCTGGTGGGCATCGCTTCCAGTATGCGTGGCCTGTGCGTGAAAATGACGGCAATAGGAGCGCCCGGTGGAATAAACTTGATATGCGACGGGCTTTCCTCAGCGGGTATAAATTGGGAAAAAACGAATGAGACTCAAATGGATAGGTCCTCTCAATCCGAAGCTATTGCAGTTGTTGGAATGTCAGGTCGGTTCCCTGGGGGTCAAGACTTGGAAGAATTCTGGGATACTCTAGCAACTGGGAAAGACATGCATCGATCGGTATGACAAACCCCATATACCTACTTACATCTCAGTGACCCGTGACTAATTTTAGAGTCAAGGTGCCCACCGATCGATTCGACGTGAAAGACTTCCTTGATCCGTCAGGAATCAAACAAAATACAAGTCGGACCCCATTCGGTTGTTTCATCGACAACCTAGGTCACTTCGATGCAAACCTGTTCAACGTATCACCACGCGAAGCAAAGCAAATGGACCCGACGCAAAGGCTGCTTCTGATGTCGGCATATGAAGCCCTAGAGATGGCCGGGTACAGTGACGGACGTGGAGGCACAGTCAGCACATTCATTGGCCAAATGTCAGACGACTGGCGAGAATCTAATGCAAGCGGAGACATAGACCTGTACTATATCCCAGGTACGATGCGGGTATTTGGACCAGGCCGACTTCAATATTTCTTTGGATGGGATGGTCCATCTTATAGTGTTGATACGGCATGCTCGGCAAGTATGAGCTCGGTGAATCTCGCATGTCGTGCTCTTCTCGCTGGCGATTGTGATACTTCATTGGCAGGTGGCGGAAATGTGATGACTGGGCCGCAGATGACTACTGGGCTAAGCAAAGGTGGTTTCCTAGCATCTTCAGGTCCTTGCAAGACATTTGATGATGCTGCTGATGGATACTGCCGCGGAGAGGGGGTTGGTGTCGTTGTCCTCAAGCGTTTATCGGATGCTATTGCAGACAATGATGAGATCCAGGGGGTAATTCGAAGTATCGGGACCAATAATTCTGCGGATGCACCTTCAATCACCCAGCCTCATCAAAATACCCAAGAGAGGCTGTTCAAGAAAGTGCTGCGAGATGCGTGTGTGCCTCCTAGCTCCGTGGATTACGTTGAGCTACACGGGACGGGTACCCAGCGAGGCGACGTGTCGGAAGTGTCTTCAGTGGCCAATATCTGTGCACGCGGCCGCGCCTCTGATTCTCCATTGATAATTGGATCGGTCAAAGCAAATGTCGGACATGGTGAAGCAGTAAGTTTGCCTTACCCTGCATATAGGTTGAACCATAGTACGGACCAATGATCACTAACCGTTCTCGTCATAAAGGCTGCAGGTATTACGTCGTTGGTCAAGTCACTTCTCATGTTTCAGAAAGATACGATTCCACCACATATCGGCATCAAGACACAAATGAACCGACGTATCTCTCCCGTGGACAGAGAAAGTATTTGTGTCCCAGCCTCCCCGCTCCGCTTTGATCCTAAACCTGGCGGATTACGTCGGATATTAATCAATAATTTCAATGCAGCGGTCAGTGAGCATTCTATCATCAAATACTGAACTTCAAAACTGATAATATTTTTCTAGGGTGGCAATACAAGCCTACTATTAGAAGACTACCAACGACATGATCCCAGTGCCGATGACCCGCGCTCGCACCACGTTGTAACTTTGTCAGCCAAGACACGATTCTCTCTTCAACAGAACAAGGAGCGGCTGAGCAGTTACCTAGAAAACCAACGGCAAACTTCAATCAGCAATTTGTCATATTCTTCCACAGCCAGGCACCTTCACCACGGCCTTCGCACCGCATATTCTGTTGAAGACGTCCCAGATCTAATTCACCAAATGGACAGCGATCTGTCCAAGACAACTATTCAACCTCAATCTACAGGAAGACCTCCAGTGATATTCTCTTTCGCTGGCCAAGGATTTCGTTATATCGGGATTGCCTCACAGCTTTTCAAAACATGCCCCACTTTTCGGAATATCCTTGAAGAATTGAACAGCCTTTGTGAGATGCTCGGATTTGCCACATGTCTTGAGGTTTTGCTTGATGACAAAATAAAACTTGAAGACATCGCACCAGGCACAGCTCATCTCGCATTGGTGTGTTTGGAGCTTGCTATTGCAAAGCTCTGGCAGACCTGGGGCATTGAGCCTGATGCTGTTATTGGTCACAGTTTGGGAGAGTACTCTGCGCTTTGCATCGCTGGTGTTCTATCCATCGGTGATACTTTATCTCTGGTTGGGAAACGTGCAGCCGTCATGGGAGAGCTATGCTCTGAAGGCTCGCATGTCATGTTGGCGATAGGTGCATCAGAAGAAACTGTTGAGAGACATCTCATGGCTGAACATTCCAGTTCCTGCGTGATATCGTGTCGAAACAGTGAGGCTTCTACCATTGTAAGCGGCCCCACAAAGGATATTAAAGAACTCGGAGAATCGCTTTCCTCTCATAAAATCAAGAATACCTTGATAGAGGTACCCTACGCTTTCCACTCTCCTCAAATGGATGCCATTCTGGGTCCAATTGAGGAATTCTCGATACCAATTCCCTTTCGCAAACCCGCGATCCCAGTGATATCGTCCCTATATGGAGACGTCATTCGCGACGAGGGGAGATTTGGCAGCACTTACCTCGCTCAGCAAACAAGACAAAAGGTCAATTTCGTTGGTGCACTCGAGAAATACCAATCCAGTGACCTATACAGCCCGGACACCGTTTGGGTTGATTGTGGCCCAGGTCCGGGTCAGTTCCGACCCGTAGCTCCTTACAAAGGAACCCGGAATTCTCGTTTTGATTATTCCAAAGGCAAAACGTTGCCGGTGAAGGTGCTGAAGGAGGTCATACGATGCGACATCCGTCTACGAGTAACATCCCAAGATATAGAGTGGAATGAGAAGGAATTATTCGATCAAAAGAGAATTTTGATGCTGATAGAGCGGACAACAAACACTTGAGAAGATCTTTGAAGCGGACCGAGGAGTATTTGAAACGATTGAAAAGGATCAAATTCAACCAGGAAGTACAGCTGCATCATGCCGAAGTTTTACTTCCAGAAAATCCGCTCAGGAGGGCTTATCACAAGATCAGAGAAAATCCTAAATGGTATCTATGTCCGGGGCTAACAAGGGACTGTATATCAAGAGGTGGATGCTGTGCCAGGGAATGCAGATGCTGCGAGCGTCGATGCGTGGCTCGCGGGATAACGGGGGCGTGGACGCCCGGTATTGGCCATTGCACACCTGTATGCTCTTGCTGTAACGAAAGTCGAGGATTTTCTGTGGACGAAGAGCAAAGGAATCGGGCTGCAAAGGGCCTGATTAAGCGCGTTTCGGCGTTCTGTCCTGCCTATCTCCAGACATTGTGTGATCCTAATTTTGCAGTCGAGAATCCCCCAACTTACGATCAGACTCGTTGATTGGAAATTGCACAAGATATGGACCAAATAATAGGAACATATACCTATGGAGCTTCGATAAACTCGAGGTCGGATGAAGTCGATCGGTAGTTTAGAGTGAGTGGGGCCTGGAATGAACAGATTGGATTCCAGATAACCCTACCATCTTGCTTTTTATTAGTGAAATGTGTGGCTAATTCATTATTTGATGTTATTTTTTTCTTCACGCTGACTTTATCTTTGTCTTACCTCAAAAGGCCACGGATACAAGCACAGACTTTCCTTGACTTCTGCATGTTGTCCGGTTGGAAGTAATAAGCTTGGCGTAACATCTACATATCACAATTTGACCAACCATATTTCAATTACTTGGTTCAGTATGGAGCACCGAAGGTAGCCAACTGATGGAGCTTCATAGGAGAGCAAATAAATGTCCAAGTTTGAGGGAATAGCTGAAATATACGAAGTATGTTTGTAGTGGCCCCGATTCTAGGGCCTCGTACGCGTAGTAGGGTTTCCGTCGTGCATTGACTAAGAAAATAGGGGATTCATCCCATTTCTGGAAGGCATCTCCCCCTACTGAGTACGCCGGGTTAAATGTAACAGAAAAAGTAGTTAGGAACGGACATCCGGGCCTAAAAGCTAAATGATTCCAAACCTCGCGGCAGAGTGGGGCTGATCTGGAAATGATTCCAAACGTCAGTGGGTCTGGAAAAGTTTGGATCCCTGGGGAGACTTGTACACTCCATAGCGTATTGTTAAACATATTACGAATTCGAAAACACTGCTACTCCTTACATGCATAGAATCGGAATCCATGCTATTTAAACCGCATCAGTGCCCTAGTGGTCATACCGTTTAGAACAGGCCGACGCATACGAAAGCGTTCTATTTTTTGGACAAATTTATCTCAAGGCACACTCTGAGCTACTCTCTCAACAAATTCGGAAATAACGGAATAGAAGGAACACGGACATACACACGCACTGGCAGCCCAGAAATAAATATGGCGACAACAACGATTCTAGACACCATCGGGAATACCGCCCTGCTGGAATTACGTCACGTCAGGCCATCAAATGGGTCTCGGGTCTTCGTGAAACTAGAAAGCCAAAACCCTACCGGAAGCATGAAAGACAGAATGGCCTTGGCCATGATCGAGGCAGCAGAGGCTGACGGGCGATTGAAGCCCGGTGGCGCAGTGGTCGAGTACACCGGCGGAAGTACCGGCGTGTCATTGGCATTTATCTGCACTGCGAAGAAGCACCCCCTTCACCTTGTTACCTCCGACGCTTTCTCTAGAGAGAAGCTGGACCATATGAGACTCCTTGGTGCAAACCTGACAATCTTGCCTAGCGAGAATGGCAAGCAGACAGAAAAGCTCACAAAAGATATGATCCGCGAGGCCCATGCCATTGCTGAGAGGACTGGAGCTTTTATCACTGCTCAAATGGACAACACAGACCAGCTTCAGGCCTATGTGAAGCTTGCAGACGAGATCTGGGAGCAAACTGGTGGTACAATCGATGCGTTCGTACAAAGCGTAGGCTCAGCGGCATCCTTCCGCGGGACTTCTGAAGTCCTCCGCCAACGGACTGATCGCATCGCTTGCGTTGCCGTCGAGCCTGCTGAATCTGCCGTGCTGTCTGGTGGTCCTTCTGGATCGCACAAAATTGATGGCACCGGCGCGGGCTATGTGGTGCCTTTGTGGTATGATGGCGTGGCGGATCAAATCGAACGCGTATCGACGGAAGATGCGAAAGCAATGGCCTTTCGTTTGGCAAAGGAAGAGGGTATTTTCTGTGGTACATCGACTGGGGCCAATGTGACCGCTGCACTCCGTCTGGCAGAGCGTATGGAGCCACAGTCTACTATTGTGACCATGATGTGTGACACGGGTATGAAATATCTGAAGGTTTTTTCGCAGGATCTCGACTAAGGTGCTTTGATATCCAATGTGTCTTTCAATGGATATATGTACCTTGGGGAATGAATTTTATACCATCAACATATCAACTTCAATCAAACCAAATGCACGTGAATATCAACATGTCATTAAAAAAATGCTCGTTCGAGTTTTCAACGTCCAGTACTGCGCTCCATAACTAAACGTAAGGCCGTTGACGGAGTAGGCTTGGCAATTGTGCAGAAAAAGAGACCGCCCGTATTACCCGCGTTTAAATTCACTAGCGTTCCTAAGATGACTTTGGAGATGGCTATTAGGTATATTTTACTATATAGGTCGAACCATACCGGCGTGTAATTGTTTGGTCAGGTGTTGGCATCAGCTCTCGATTATGTAACCAGAACAAACGAATCTTCGCACTATGGCCCGTGTGGCGCAATGGTAGCGCATCAGACTTCTAATCTGGGGGTTGCGAGTTCGAGCCTCGCCATGGGCTCCATTTTTTGATGAACTGAAGAATTCGTGTTTGTCCTGTTGTTGTTACAGACTGAACGGGGGGGCTTAGACAAACAAAAATCGTGACAGGCAGTCGTGCAAAAATGTGAAGATGGGGAAGGACTGACGAACTAACTCATGGGGGTGCAGCTGATGCCTAGTACACCGTGCCTTAGCAATTTACTATTTTTCCCCCCAATATCTCACCAAGACGTTCAGTTTCATGCCAATATTCAATCTTTTTTTCTTATTGTTTCCTTTCTAAGTTTGAAGGGATTAAGTACCCCTAGACGGCAACCATAGAATCTATGCTGGCCCTGGGGGTGCTTGTATTCCAAGGTTTGAAAGTACTACTATAGTTGTCGCAATGCAATTGCCATCGGAATTGATATCTTCAATGAGACGAACTACCACTGTCGCCCCAGGCGGCATACTACCGCGATGCCTGAAGCCGAAGGCTGAGACACACCTTCCGCCTGTCATTTGAGGACGACAGTGTCGTAAATGACCACATGGGTTGGGATTCATTCATGCTCGTTGAAAATTCGCCATCGCGCATAGGGTGGACCTCCTCAGGTCGGGGATAAATTGAAATAGAGTTCTTGAAATTGCTTGTTCGGAATTGCACGTAGGCCGGGATTAGATCTGCAGGCTTCTTCGCCAATTCCATGGAAAAAGGTGTCGGATCAATGAGGGGTTGATAAGCACGGGCGTTAAATGTAATTCTGTTCACGGACCTTAATGATGCTCGCACAAGAATCAATGGGGTGTGAGCAGATTGTCACTAAACGGGGTTTTGGCTACGATCGACATGTTTCTGGGTGTGCACGGCAGACCCATACATTATTTGGATTTCAGTACGAAAGTCCACCTTCCAAATTAAGAATACCTCAAGCTCCGCCAATCATATGTGTAGCAATTGTTAGCATGGGGATTCTCTAGTTAGCAAGGGTAGAAATGATGTGCAGACCTTCTCTTTCCCCGCTTGCGGGGAAATCCCCGGTGGAGCCGAGCTCGGGTTTCTGGCGAGAAATTATAGTACACTATGTTGCCGACGGCTGTAATCGGTTGGAGCCCTTCTCCACCGGAACTTGAGGATGGCCTTCCTATGTATCATAGGTGTTATTGGATACTGGGATAAATAGCTTTGGCGACCCATTCCTGGGTATGAACCTACCCTTTCTCCACATTACCCCATATCTTTCACAATGCTGAGCAATATTATAGTCAATCGTTACAATCTTTGGGCAGCAATAGTTTCTGCTATAGGTACTATCTCTACAGCCTATGGCTTGGCCATCATCGGATCCACTGTTGGCCAACCCAGCTTTTACACATATCTCAAGCTTGCACCACAAGGTACAACCGGTTATAGCCATACCACCAGAATCATTGCTGCTCTCAATGCAATTAATTCAGCTGGAGCAATTATCGGCTGTTTATACCATGTTTGGAGCTCAGAAACGCTCGGTCGTAAGAAGACCATGATAATAGGTTGTATCGTCTTGACTATCGGCGGTGCGATCTGCGCGGGGGCAGTTGACGTCGCAATGCTTCTTGTTGGTCGCGGTATTGCTGGAATTGTATGACTAGCCTCCCTTCCTGGAAAATGGAAGATCAAAAGCTAAACTAGCAATCTACGATAAGGGATCTGGCATTCTCGCCTGTGTTGGTATGTATACCAAACTCTCCTGGAACTAGCTCCCTCGAAAAGCATCATTGGCTGAAACCTTCGTTCTAAGTTCCCATGTACCAAGCGGAAATATCCACACCAGAAACCCGTGGTGCTATGGTATCTGTGACTGGCGTAAGTCTATATTCATTTCGTGTTAATCTCTATCGAGCGCTACTCAAAATATGCAGATTGCATACGCGTTGGGCTACTCTTTTGCCGGTTGGCTTGGGTATGCCTGCTCATTCATGTCAGAGACGAGCCAATACGCCCAATTTGCCTGGCGTTTTCCACTCGCCTTCCAGTGTGTTTTCCCAGGTATTTTTCTGTGTGGTCAGAACTTCATACCACTTTCTCCTCGCTGGCTTCTTTCACAACGCAGAGAGGAAGAAGCCTTCCAGATCATGTGCAAACTGCATGAGTCCAGCGATGACCTGAATAATGTTCGCGCTCGCGAGGAGTTCTTCCTCACCAAGAAACAGTACGAAATCGACAGTAATCTACCAAATCGATGGCATGACCTGTTCCGAACTGCCCCCAACCGTAAACGTGCTCTTATCGGAGCAATCCTAATGTTCGGAAATCAACTTCTCGGGGTCTATGTCATCGGAAACTACGGCGTTCTTATATATGCTCAGCTGGGACAAGATGGTTCAATTCCACTGCTACTGAACGCAATCTGGACAACAATCACCCTGTAAGCTTGTGATCGCGGTGCTTCTACATTTAGATTTCTTGCTGACTTTTCCGTTCCATAGGTTTGGGAATACTTGGACAGCGTTTTATGTGGACAAATATGGCCGTCGCACGTTAATATTGATTGGCGCGATAGGAACGTTCTGTACTTGCATTTGTCTCTGTGCATTAAGCGCAGTTTATTTGGACACAACGAACAAGGCTGGGCTAAAAGCCACTGTCTTTTTCTGTTTCCTCTATATCTTCTGGTGGTGTTTCTTTCTAGATGCTACACAATACGTGTATGTCTTTCCCCCTACCCCCTTCCATTCTGTCCGCCAAGCTATGCGAATCTAACAATCAGACCAGGTATGTTTCGGAAATATTCCCGAGTCATTTACGCTCCGCGGGCGTTGCTTTCAGTCTTGCATCCTTCTATTTGGCATCTGAGGTGACTCTATCGGTCGCACCCATTGCTATGGACAGTATCGGGTGGAAGTTCTATCTCGTACTCATTTGCCCTAGTTTCTTTTTTATCATCTTCCTTTTCATGTATCTGCCCGAGACCAAGGGACGAACTTTAGAGGAGATCGGCACTCTTTTTGGCGACAAGAATGTTGCGAATCAATGGTATGGACTAGCAGAGGAGGAGAAGAATGTCATTTATGACCAGGCCGTCTCGGATGAGAAGGGAGATGCCGTGACTGCAGGTCATACAGAAAATATCGAGGACATCGGTGTGGAAGAGTCGGCCTAAATCAGGGGACGGGTGCGATGCAGTAGCAGAAGCGTAACTAACTCTCAAAATTCAAAGGACATCTATTAGCCACAAGCAATATCGAACACGTTTGAAACCCCTTTCAATCATCCATCCAGGCCTCCAGGTGTTTTCAGGATCTGAATTTCGACCCACTAGAAAAACTGCTAGTGGGCCTTCGCCGACGAAGACCCACTTGAGCTTCTTGCGCGCCAATATGAGAACACCCTTGGCATAGATTCAATTTCTAGTCGTAGATCTATCAAATTGTCGGCCGAAGACTATGAGTGATCAATGCAGCTTTTTGCTATTCACAAGCAAAATTGACGCCTTATACGTCAACACGAGTAGGTCAACCGGTTCAGTCCTTTCTGCTGGTCATCAATTCATCCTTAGATCACTATCTGGCGGTTTTTGCTGGGTCCAAGCAATGCCACGAAACTTTCAGCACCCCGAAAAACACATATTGTTGCCACAGTATATACGCTTAGTATTGGTCTACTGCACTATTCAAGTTGTGGTGGCATTTTTATCGGGAGGTAAGCTATCTGCATACATATCTTTTCGCGTTCCGCGACGCCTGAAAGCAAGCCGCTAACTACCCAGGTGCCCAGGTGGAATTGGCCTTGAGATTTGAGTTAAATTTGCCGCTTAATATATTTTTAAGATGCAATGTCACTCTGATGAGCCCACTTCTTTCTCTCTTCCCGACAGTTGCTCTTTGCATTTCCAGCAAGGCGATGACTGGTCGGGCATAAGTGATCCCCGAACGCGGAGAAGGCTACAGAATCGATTGAACCAAAGAGCCTGTCGTATGTAAATTTTACTTCTCATACACAACTACTATACGAAGCATTTTTTCTTACTGGAAAACAGGCAAAAGAAAATATGGCCAAACGAGTCAGGTTCCCGAAAGTGAATCAAAATCGCCATCGACCAGCCACGTGCGAAAAGAATATCCTAGAAGGTGGCTTTCCTTTAACGATGCGGAGTTTCTGCTAGAGAAAATCAATGAAACCTCATTCAAGAGCTACGCACGAGGCCTCTCCACCGAAGGCCATCTGATAATACTCAGCAAGTTATATGTGTATCGTGCATTTCTCAAAAACCTGTCAATCCTCGGGATAATGCCTCACCGTGATTGGACATCGGAAAAGGCAATATCTCCATTCAATACCTGCCAACCAGAAGAAATCAATGAAAAGGACCTCCCTGTGAGTCTAAGGCCCACTCAGATACAGTGCGAAATTCCCCACCACCCCTGGCTGGATTTCTTCCCATTTCCCAGAATGCGGGACAACTTGATTTCTACCGGTGATAAACTGGACAATGGTCAATTCTGCGTCGACGTCATCGGGTTCTGGGATGTTTCTACAGAGAGCTGCAGCCTTCTTGTGTGGGGCGAGCCATCAGATCCTAAGAGTTGGGAAATTACGGAGGCATTTTTGAAAAGGTGGCCATGGGTGGTACGCGGGCTTCCGGAGCTGATTGACTCAACCAATTATTGGCGGACCAAACGAGGACAAAATAGTATTTTCCGGTATCTTTAACTTGTTGGCAAGTCTAGGCATTTTCAAGTGGTCCATAACTGCACATTTTGTGGAAAAATCTATGATTATTCACCCCGCACTCGCCTTGTTCAAGGCCGTGTGAGATCTGTTCAAACCAGTGTACCAAGTATAGACATACATAAATAGCAATATCAGGCAGAAGCCAATATTGAAACGAATGTGTCTTCGGCCGATGCGCAGTGGACCCTGATCAGCAGATAAACATCCAGAAAATAAGAAAGTACTTGAATGTCAATACTAACAATGGCTAGATTTCGGCCGACGGGTAGTTTCTACATTTATTGTCGGTTATGATGAAGTTCTAGGCAAGCCAGGCCGCGAGCCTATAAAATAACATTTATGAGAATCTTCCAAGCCACATCTTCTACGAAAGAGAGCTGCAACTTTATAAATTCGATCTCTAAATATGGCTTCCTCTAATATGACCTCTCTTTTGAATGAAACAATGCGAGCCGTGGTTTGGCAAGGACAACCATTTAACATCTCTGTTCTAGATGTGCCTATGCCGACCATCATCAACCAGACAGATGTAATCGTTAAGATGTCAAGGGCAGCTATCTGTGGGTCCGATTTGCACATATATCGCGGCACGATGGAAGGACAAGTTCTCCCAGTTGGCATCGGTCACGAAGGTGTCGGATATGTATCTGAGGTAGGATCAATGGTTGGATCTCTGAATGTTGGAGACCCCGTGATCGTACCTTTCACCAGTCCTGATGGCCACTTCGACATGGACCTTATCCCTATCCCATACGCAGCCTTTGGCAATGGGGGATCTTTAGGTGGAACTCAAGGTAAATACTTTCTTGATATGTGAAGATTTTCTCCAAAATGCTTACATCCAGGTTCATAGCGGAATATTTGCGCGTCCCGTTCGCAGACGACGGACTCATTCCTATACCTTCTGTCAATTATACCGACCCAGCCACCAACGAAACCACTTCCCTGCTCAGCGATTATGTCATGTTGTCAGATATCTTTGCAACGGGCTGGACCGCTCTTGACTTTGCCGGGATGGAACCAGGCGACACAGTGGCAATCTTCGGCGCTGGGCCCGTCGGGCTGATGGCTGCATATTCAGCAACTCTGCGTGGCGCATCCCGCGTCTACAGTGTTGATTACGTCCCGGAACGTTTACGACTCGCCGAATCGATAGGTGCGGTACCTATTAATTTCGAAGACGCAGACCCAGTCGACCAAATCCTGGCACTAGAGCCTAGTGGCGTTGCTCGAAGCCTCGACTGCGTCGGATTCGAACAAGTTAATCGAAACCTTACCGTGCAGTCAGACGTTATAATTCGAAACATGCTGGCTGTCACCTCAACCAATGGTGGCATGGGAACGGTTGGCGTTTACACCCACGAGCACGACAACACTGCAAGTCAGCCTCGTGCTTCAACTATCCAGACCCATTTTAATCTTTCCCTCGCGGATTTCTGGGGAAGAGGATTCCACTGGGGAGCTGGTATTTCTAGACCCTTGGATCTTGCACCTCATCTTCTGCAGCTGGTGGCATCTGGGAAAGCTAGGCCTGGGTTCATCGTCAGCGATGTCATCAATATCGAAGATGCCCCAGATGCGTACGCTAGATTCAATAGCCGTAACGCTACAAAGGTTGTGATCAATTTCGATCAGTAATTCTTGGTAACTGATACAAAGATCAAGAATCCATGATATCTGTTACTTTGTTCATCAAGAATTCAAAAGTAGTCTCCATGGTAGATGTGCCAAATGTTTAGAGACTCTGTCAATCCCAGTGCTTGATTTCGAACCAATGAACACAATTGTGAACTACTAGTAAATTTGTTTTTTTTATTCAGAGTGTATTATATTCTCTTTGGGTAACGTTAATTCAGGAAAAGCTTCTAGTGATTCACATAGTCTCGCTTGAAATTTCAATGCATATTCCTAGGCAGGACCTCGTTTATCGAGCCACTGCGCTCAAGCTACTACTATTGCCTACCTAGGTAGGTACCTGATTTTGGACCGTTGCCGATATTAAATATCCGTTGATCATACGAATACATATTTGCGCGTTGTTTGATTCGATTGAAAGACCTATCTAGGGAACCAAGTGCATTCTCTCTGACGCGTACTATATGTTTCAGATTTTAGGACTCTTCTTTCCTGATTGGCACTATTACCTAGCTGTGTTATTCGAGTTTTCTATTTTACATGTCAAAGGCACTCTGGTCGCCATGGCCCATGGGCATTGCCAGGGTATTATTTTCGGGCGATGCATCGGGCAAGTCCCCACTGGAAGGTCTTGGCGCGCTTTCTTGCATTCCGACCATTGAGATGCTTCCTTTTTGTGGAGCCTTATCGGCCGACGTAACGTCTTGCCAAGTGCAGCTTCTTGGCGTTTGTCCTCTGCCATTTCTTGAGTTCTAGGATGTTAAATACGGCGTAGGGAGCCGGTGGATATTGAACCTACCAAATTACCCTTAATATTTTGCTGCCGGCACCATTCGGATACAGCCCTCTACGGCGGGATAAGCGGTCATTACATTCACATCAACTTTTCAAAAGGGTCGAATCGATCACCTGGTTGGCTTCCATGTTTCTCAAATGGCCTTTAAGTCTCTTTTTACTCGAAAAAGTATTTGTGCTTGTTGCAGCACTACAACTTCCGTTGAGAGATATATCCTCGGAGAGTGAATCACTGGCAGCGGCGCAAGAGACGAGCAATCGCGATCCCACTTCATTACCAAGCTGCTCCCTTGACATGGTTGAACTCAAGGAAATTGACTACAGTACCATTTTTGATGGTGCCTACGGCTCTCAATTCGAAAACGCCATTCTTACCCTTTGCTCTGAGGAGGGAAAACAAATACCTTGGAAAAGTACCAACATATTCGAACCTTCAATGTTAGACCAGGTGGCGGAGCAGTGCTGTTCGGATATTATGTACGGATTGGATACAGTTACATTTGAAAGAGTGCATTCAGCAGGATGTGGCTTTTATTCGGGATTGTTATTTTTCTTTTCGGCTTTTGTGATTTGTACATTCTGCATTATTAGTAGATTTACACACGGGCGCAGATGATAGAAGTATTTTAAAGGAGTCTCAGGAGTTATCAGAGATTTTGAAGGCAACTGCGATTCGCGGCTTAAATTGACCACTGCCTTTTATTTCTACTAGCACCTCACTAGTAAATCAATTGTACTCTCGAAAGCCAGTTGTGGGCGCCGTCTGCGCGAATAAGCCCTCGGCAATCCCGGATTATATGGTATCACGTGGGAAAATTATAAAGAACTGGCAGAAGCTCAGAAGCATACTAGCTGCAGATCTTACTATGCAAATGTCTGGAGATGAACCTATGGGCCCTGGAGATAGAGCGAGGCAGCTGGGGAGCTTTAGTTAGTTAAGGCGATCTTGGATGCCTAAGGCAACAAAATTCCATCAAAAACCACACCTTTTAACCATGCATGTCAACATCACTATGAAGCGTAAGATACGAGATTCGTTCTATTTCCCCACGCTGCCGCCTTGTTGCCTCGAATAATTTTAACAGTGATATATTTTTAGGACAAACATCACAGAGTCAAGTAGGCTGTGTCATTTCATTAGTTAGCGAGAGCCAATAGGACTTGCATGATGACTAAGTCACATCGACAATCCCCAATCCGCCACGACTGGCGCCACATCCCTTTTCGCATATCCTCGAGTACAAGCGTCCCTCTTCGGTCCTGGATTTACATACCTTCGGCTATTATTCAGATTATGCAGACTCGAAAACGCCCGGTCACAGCTTGCACAGAATGCCGTCGAAGGAAACAAAAGGTGCCTGGCAACCAGCTCTCCGTACCGAAGTGTGGCATTTATGAGTACTTACTTGTTGAGATAGTGCGACCGTGAAAAGCCATGCAACATTTGCACTGGAAGGAATGTTCCGGATAGGTGTTCATATGAGTATCCTGAAAGGTAAGGGCAGTCGTGGTCATTCGGCAATCTGTCTTGGCATCTACATATGCAGATCCATTATCTTCTAACTGTCACCTCCAATGTTAGCACCGACGATGGATTGACTTCCCGACCTGATCAGATACCTCTGCAAAGTCCACCATTAACGATCGACGATGGTCATCCACCAGAGATGATCACAGACCAATTGATCCGAAATCAAGTTGGATATGGGGAGCCCAGTGAGGGAAACCCACTATTGGAACTGTACAAGGTAAGTTAATGATTGATCATCTGTCTTTGACATAATTGCATAGCTGATGATAAGACAGCTTATGGGAGATGATGGTCAGCTGAATACGTCGCACTCAACTTACAGCGTATCTTTGACTCCGCAGACAATGCGGAACCTCTCCGATCTTTGTGCAATGATCCCTTCCCAGGCAGTCACACGAGAACTCATCGATATCTATTTCTCAGAAGCAAATTGGTATTTTGCCCTCCTAGAAAAGCATTACTTCGAAAAGCTCTACCGCTCTTGGTATGCTCTCAACGATCACTCTAGAGAAAACGGTCACTCCGAAGGATTGTCTACAGATCTTCTCTACTTCCCAGCCCTAGTATTTCAGGTCCTTGCTGTTGCTTTACAGTTCGCCCCCCTCAATATACCCTGTCTTCAAGCTTTAGGGATAGACGATTTCATTCGGCGTGACTGCCTCTCGAGTGATTTCTCAAATAGAGGGATGGAAATCGTGCGCATCGTAGGAGCACATGCCCCATCAATCGTTGCCGTCCAGAACGACATTATGAGAGCATTGTGGCTGAAGAACTCCAGTCGTGGGAGAGAAGCATGGCACGTGTTAGGCGGTGCGATCAGGTTTGCTTTGACATCATCACCCAACCCAAGGGCGTTTCTAACTATCTATAAATAGAATGGCGCAGGACTTAGGACTTCACCGACAGGCCAAGGTTATCCAAAACGCACAGTCCCCGCTGGAAGAAACCCTTGATCTCCTGTGGTATGATGAGTATAAACGAAGATTATGGGTCAAATTATATTCCTGGGATAGGTATGACTCTCCCACCGATATTCGCAGCTTATGCTAACAAGTCTAGCCACATGGCTTTCAATCTTGGCAGACCCCGCGCCATAAATAGCAGTGATTGTACGATATTTCCACCATTGGATCGCGATATCCCCGACAATCCAGCGACAACTATCCCGACGGCTGTATTCCCACATGAACCTCCATCATCCTTCACACCGCATCTCTTTCAGTATGCCGTGTGCGAACAGATGCATGAAGCCATGTCTTTAGGCATTCATCAAAATCATCTTGAAGATTATAGTTTGGTCAAGACCATGCATGACCGTATTCTGTCCTTAACAAATAAATTGCCTCCCGTTCACAGACTGGCAAACCCAGACATGTCCTGGGATTCAACCCATACACACATTCCTAAGCAGCGTCAACAAATAGCAACAGCGGCACATTCATTCCTGCTGGCCCTGCACAGACCGCATTCAAAAAGCCACACGGCTAGTCGTGATGCTGCAATTCAATCAGCGCTGTCTGTATTGGATGCGCAAGAACGACTCTTCGATCTTATGGGGACCCAATACTCTAATATATACGCCCTGTCCGTTTACACTGTCGATGCGTCTACCTTTCTCTCAGTCACTATCCTTCAATACCCACCCTCGGATATCGCTTTGTCATATCGAATCAATACTGCAATAGAGAAGGCTAGGCGTCGTCTTGAATTGACGAAAGAAAGAGTTTCAATGGCAAATTCAGCATTACAGATTTTGAAGCTTTGCGACCTCAAAAGGCAGTCTTCACCCCAGCTCCAGTTTCCCACGCCGGGATTTTCCGTTTCTCAGCCAAGTCAAATACTGGGAACAACTACTTCTGGCGAGATGGGATTTAGCTACCCGTCTGACCCTGCACAAACGACACCCGTGCAAATCAATGTAGCCGGTGGCATTTCAAACTTTGAGCCGGGCCAAATTGACAGCGCAGTTATGTTTGATGATTTCATATTGTCGGATTTTGACATTGATTCTTGGGTGCAACAGATGGGCCCGATGACTGGTTTGGACTGGAATTAGCATAGCACATGTCAAAAAATTGCAACGCCGCCTCTTCTACTATCTACTGCAATCAATTTTCAATCGCATTAGTATTATAATAGCAGAATTCCAAAGAAATATTCTTGCAGGAGAGAACTTGAAAAAAAACTTCACCTAAAGGCTCGATGTCTGGAAAACTAAGAGTATAGGTATGAATCCCGGCATAATGGAATTCTCCTTACTGGCACTAGGCGGCCAGTTACCTAACAGGTTACAGAACCTAGTAGGTACCATTCACCCGGCCTCTCCTTCGGCATGAAAGAACCAAGATACAGTTTCGAATTCAGCTCATTGTTAAAGTAGGAACAACTCATATTTGAACATATATAGATTTGTATAACAGATTCGAGTCATTCACGATATGTCTATTTCCCACTTTGCAATTTTCTGGGAAAAAAGTCGCAGGAGGATGGGGACTAACTGATTTAGAGAGTTAATACAAGCCCTTCAATGCCAGAATTTGAGCTCTTGACCTCGAACTATTTCCCAGCCCTGATTCATGGATCCAACCACAACTTCAGGCAAAGGTCCCTTGGCAAGTGCAATCAAGTTCTCTTCCAAGTGCTTCAAGCTGCTGGCGCCAATAATGATCCCATCGCCCTTCTCTGCCTGCAGCTGAGAGTGATGAGACAACCAACGAAGTGCACACTCAGACTCACTGAGTCCATGCTTCCTCGCAACCGGTCGCAGATTGTCCAATGCATCAAAGAAGTAATCGTTGAAGTAGCGACTACGAGATAGTTTACCCTGGGATCGCTTCGGGTCAAACCGTGAGCCCTCCTCAAACTCGGTCATGTCGCGGGTATAACGGCTAGTCAAAAGGCCACCAGCCAGGGGATTGAAGCAATAGAAGGATAACCCATAGTAGCGCAAGCATGGGAACAGCTCAGCTTCGACAGCGCGGTGGAAAGCATTGTAGAGACCTTGGTAGATGGAGGGTTTGACCCATCCGTTCTTCTCACAGAGCTCGCAGATCTGCGCCACTTCCCATGCCTGATAATTGCTGATACCGTACCTCTCAAAGGCACCCTCTTCATGGAGCTCATTGACTGCACGAAGGGTGTCCGCAAAAGGTACCGTTCTATCCGGTCCATGAAGATACCAAGTTGTGACCTTATTGACCCCCAGAGCATTAAGACTCCGACGCAGGCCTTCACGGAGATCATTTGGGGAGTGGTGGTAAAGCTCATCCGGTGACAATGATGGTCGAACAGTGGTTGGGTAGAGTTTGGTATCGAGTTTGATCCCACGGCTCGGGCAGTCCATGGCTCCGAGGTACTGCTCTGATGAGCCTCCTCCGTAAACTCGAGCAGTATCAACTGTGTCATGTCCGTACTTCTGGAACATATCGAGGACAGAATTCGTTTCGTCGAATGTGTGAATGCGGGTCATCTCTACACCTACAGATAACAGTTAGTGCCGTGACAGCGCGACAGATTCCAAGAAACATACCTGGCTTCCCAATCGTCATGGCGCCGAAGATGACCTTAACGCCGGGATTCCGGGCTGTCGGTTGCATTGACATGTTTGCTAGAACCAACTGCAGTAAGAAGGGTGAAGCGTGAGTCGTAGCTGATGACGGAAAGGGCGTTAACGCAATAAGTGATAAATAGTAGTGGAAAGAAGAGGACGGTCCATTTTTAAATCCGAAAATCCGAACATGACGGAAAATCGGACACATATAGCCTCTAAATCCGACGTCCATCTACTACAAATCTAACTGTCCTACGATGCAAACTCGACCTGAGGGATATCGAAGGAAATGGGGTCGCTGATTGGCTGATGTGGATCGCCCCTTGGAATTGACCAATCAACGCTCCTCGGCCGAAGATTCGATACGGTTGTTGCTAACATCGGCCGATCGGTTCAAGAAGGTCATGTCCGGTTGTTTCGGCACGGAGTTAGACCATTCGCTGACGGATTTGCACCGACAAGGAAAGGCTTGGTGGTATTTAAGGTTCGACAAATCTAGTCATCATCTAGCCTAAATTTCCGTGACAACAAAATTCGAACACGCCATTCTACACAAAGCTTCCAATTCTTTGCAGTCGAACCGAAAAAAATGAAGGTTCTCCTGACAGGTCAGCATCCTCAAGATCTGTTCTCAATTTTGGAAGCAACTAATGATTGGATTCAGGTGGCTCTGGCTTCATTGCCTCTCACTGCTTAAAGGTATTCCCCCCTAATGTTGAGGTATACATGTCCAATTTGTCAACAACACTAAGAAAACACCAAGACTCTTCTCGCTAGCAACCATACCGTGGTTACTACTGTGAGGTGTGAATCAAAAGGCGAAAGAATTCTTGAACTTTATCCGGAATCCTTCAAAGGCAAACTTTCCTACGTGGTTGTTCCCGACATTTCCCAAGAAGGCGCTTTTGATGAAGCCGTCATTTCGGAGCCTCCATTTGACGCTGTTATACACACAGCAAGTCCCTTCCATTTCCGATTTCAGGATCCAAAGGAACTCCTTGATCCTGCTATCAATGGAACGAAGGGAATTCTCCGCGCAATCAAGGACAAGGCACATTCAGTGAAGCGAGTGGTCATTACTTCCTCCTTTGCTGCAATCGTTAGCACAGACGAGCACCCCGAAGTGTACAACGAGAGCCAGTGGAACCCGGTCACCTATGAGGAAGGTATTGAAGATCGCAGCAAAACCTACCGTGCTAGCAAAGCGCTGGCTGAGCGGGCTGCATGGTCATTCATGGAACAGGAGAAGCCTGGCTTTTCTCTTGCAACCATATGCCCTCCCTATGTATTTGGGCCTCCAATTCATCCGCCAGAATCCCAAGCGACGCTCAATACATCAAACGCTTATTTTGCGATGTTGATGCATGGAGGATGGAAGGAAAAGCTGCCTCCGACCGGCACCTGGCTGTGGGTTGATGTGCGAGACATCGCCCTTGCTCACGTGAGAGCTATAGAAGTTCCCGAGGCAGGTGGAAAGCGCTTCTTTATTACTGCTGGTCACTTTGACATGAAGGATGTTGCGGATATTACCAAGAAGAGATTTCCTGAGTATGTCGACAAACTCCCTACTAAGCTGATCTCGGACAAACCTAGCCCCCTTTATGGCTTCGACAACAACCGCTCAAAGGATATTCTTCACCTAGAATATCTACCTTTGGAGAACTCAGTTGTGGATACAATCAAGTTCCTGCAAAGACATCCGCTGTGAGCACTTTGATGGGAAAGAAGCAATCCCAGGCCGGTCTGCAGCCAAATGAAGATTGCTGGGTGCGGAAATGCGCATCATAGCCTGGAAAGCAGCATTGTTAATCCCATCGGGAAATGATCCCGCGAAAATAAGTTTACCGGAAAGTGAAAGAAAACATACGCGTATAATCACGATCACAAAAATAAACTATTTCTCCTGGTCTAAAATCTCTATGACTTGCCATTGATTCATCATTCGCGCGCAGCCAATTGGTGTACGGCCGTTCGAATCTTTGACGAACTTATTGGCGCTCTCACTGTGTAGAAAAATGATCACGTCTACTTTGCCGAGTTTGGCTGCTTTATGCAGAGCTGTTCCAAGGCCCATAAAGTGATATAGTGCCCAAGAGCGATCATCATATGCGAAGCGCGGGATATACACCTAGCAGAAACTTATTAGTAGCGCCTGTGCATCTACCGGAATTTCCGCGTTTCTGTGAGAAGCTGGCTGCAGTCTTTCTCCCTACTCTCAAGATCCATAGCCAAGATTGATATTGCACCGGAAAGAGATGTCACTTTGCTAATCCGACCATAACACCAAGCTTCAGGTTCAAGACGCCTCACATCGGTAGGCCAAAACGACGAAAAAGTTCAAGAAAAAAAAACATACAACAGCAGGGATTCGCATGTGGTCACCCACCATACTACTAACCTGCCGGCGTGTGGCTAAAACACAGCAGGTAGTGCGGTGGGTGCCGCCCGGGTGAGAATGGGGTGAGCGCCGCTTTAGCGTCGCGCGACCCGGGTGATTAGGGTGAGTGCGCAATAGACAGGGTGAGAATAGGGTGAGAGCGGGTGAGAATTATACCTTGCCATGCAAGGATTACGCTTTGACCCTCTAGGCTAAAGTAAAATATGTATCATTGGCTGGTCTACCACCACCTGAAGCACTAGTCACCTTAGCACCTGTACATAGCTACCTTCTATGTCCCAAAGGAGGAATAACGCGTAGGTTATCCTTTCCTCGGTATCTTCGAGCCCGCATGTTCATAATATATAGAAGCGATTTCTACGACTTGTCTATTGACGAGTCGCTCAGCAACTTCTTACGTAAATCTGTAAGGCTAATTATTATCATTTCTTGTCTGAATCCTATAGCTAACCAAGGATAAAAAATCCTGTGCTTCGCCTGTTCCTATTCCTTTACTTTCTATATCGCCTCAGCAAACACTACGTATGCCTCTAAATACAATAATAAAAGAATAGTCTCTAAACATCAATATAGGTATTTCTAAGAAGCAAATAATTACTAAAGATTATATTTTTAGTACCTTGTCTGGAAATTAGTAGAGTATTACTTACCTTAGCACTGGAAATTAGTAAAGTCTGCACCTAGCGTTGACTTACACTGCTCTGATGATGTGTTTCGGTGCCGGGGATTTGCAGAAGCTACTTTTACTAGAGACTATTATAGTATAACTATATCTAAATAGTACCTCTCCGTATATATGATAGTAAACACTTGAGTAGTAGACGTACTAACCGTAAGTACAACTGCCTAGATTTTAGGGGCTGCTAACTAGCCGATTGTAAGTATCAAGTCCTATTTGATTAGCTGTAATTTATGCAGCTATATTGATCATTGAGACTTAGATAAAGGTATGATAATAGTATTAGGTATTTAATATAAGAGTTAAAAAGTTGATACAGATCAGATATATCCAGCGAGAACGTCTAAAGACTTTGAGCACTACTTATATTTTTAAATCGGTGTATGCGACTTATAATCAATATAAGATTAATTAACAATTACAGACTTTCGGTTTAAATCTACTTCAGGATCTCGGCGAAAGTATTAATTGCGTACAGTTATGAATTCTAGTCAATCAGCTGTAATCTTTTCTAGAAATATCCTACTCGTACCTCGTAAACTCTACTATTTGGGTCGATAAGTATCGCGTTCTATACCTTTAGGTTCTAAAGATACCTATAAGTATATAGAGAAAATAGATTGTAAATATTTTCATTGGATAGGTGACATAGCTGGACTTATAGTATTTCATGCCTCATCTCACGTATGGCAGTCATCCCCGGCCACTGATCACATTGATATCTGGGTAAGCCGATCTTTTAGGCCAATACCGGCTGCTCTGTAAACGCTTTAGCTATATACTAAGCCTATAAGTACATAGACTAATTTGGTCAGTCAGTATTTCTGATTGCAGGGATGATCCTTTTGTAGTTATGCGAACGGGTAACTCCTTCTACCCACCTGTTTCTACCCTACTTACGTAATCTTGACTTCTCAATATATAACGTCTAGGGTATGCAAAATATCCTTCAAATCTATAACGAAAAAATCAGCCGATTACTTACGTTGTCGAACTCACCTGCCATAATAAAGCCTTAAGACAGATTCTACTCTGAGGGCTAAAGCTACTTCGGGCCGGGAGATAATCCCTTAACGGAAATACATTATAATATCTGGGATTAGGATTAGCTTAAGATAGTAAAGGTTAAAGGTATCGCTAAGCTCTTTCTGTCCGATAAGGATATAAAGATTCTAGTTCTGGCGTAATTTGTAGATTACTTATTACCGAAAGTTTGCGCTGTTACAGTTGACGAAGATAGACTTCTTGCAGAAGTTTCGACCAATCTAGAAGAGGATAATACTCTCTTTGTTGTATATCTTCCTATCTCTATGGCTGAGATACTTACTAATTGCTATATAGTGTAAGATGGGAATGCTCGCTGGCAGTCTGTCAAGCAGACGGGTCGATCGCGAAGAGACGAAACCACCACACTCGCAGAGTGCAGGAACGAGATGAGCAAAGCGTGACGCTATAGAGAGATGATCGAACGAGCAATAACAGAACCTTTCATACGCGGTATATCGATACCGCAACCTCAGCAGCCTCAGTAGAACATTTTCATAAGGGGGAACATGCATGTTTTATTGACAATCTAGAACGAACGCTACTTATTTGCCTGAAAGAAAACAGGAGCCTTGTTACTGAGGCTTCTGTCACCTGACCCTAGGATACCGGTGTTGAGAGCGGAAATCCCCATTACAATAGTTTAATACTCTAAACTCTAGAAGCTTGATCGGCTCAGACTAGAAGTTGATCTTTTATTATATAAAGATGAATTAGGGTTTTCTTACAGGGTTACTTTTAAATTTAACCCTTTAGATAAGCCCTAGAGACTATAGATAGCCTAGGATAAACTTAATCTTCTTAAAAGCCTGCTATTATACCCTAATATAGTACTATTTAATTATGTTGTGGTTGAAGATATAGAGTCTCGGGTTATTAGATTTACAATGAAATATATTCTAGGCAGAACCCTCGACAATACAAATATACCTTTCTAATTTGAGTAGTTACAACAACTTATCTAGCTTATAGACTTTCTTAATTTAGAATTAGGGATTATATATCAGGATATAGTGCCCCGCAACCTACTTATTGATTCTGATATAAATAAAATCCTTCTCTTTAATTTTGATTAGGCTGCAAATGGAGAGAACCGCTTACTGAAAGGCTGAGATGATATGACTACTGTTGTATTTATACTCTACGAGCTTATTTTAAACGATATATAATTTATAAGTATTCCTTACTAGAACTAAACCCTGGATATGGTTTAAAATATCTCAGAATAGATGTGTAATTAGGAGCTGGACTCTGACGTATTAATTTTTTGTAATTTTTTGAATGACTAGGTTGCTATACGAAAATTAGATAGAGACTCTGAACGTTATCTTAATACACTAAACCGGCTTTTATAGCCGGACCTACTAGTGGCGCCTGACTACAATATATCTTTCGAACTTGGCAAAAATCCGGATGGAGAACTAATCTGGACAACCGGCCCGCGGTTTAGACGTATTGTAATGGAAAAAGGACAGTATTGCTTTTGCTGGCAAAGGCCGCCACATAGTCAATTGTTGAACAAGGCCCGAAGGGCTCTTCAATAGTTAGTATATGTACACAGAACTATGAATATAAGTCTTCAGCTGAGAAATTATCAAAGATTTTCAAACCGAATTTACATTGGCTTACTGACAATAAGTATATCTTAATAGACAATTAGCTGGGCTGCTTGAGAATTTAAAATAATTCACTATAAACAGCTCGGGCTAGAAGGAAGGGTAGGGGGGGGGATTAGGCTAAGCTATGAGAGTGATTATATTTTTTGTCGAGACTATAACTCTTCATGCTTGTTTTGATCAGCTCTTCTATACATAATGCTTTTCGTTCTTTAAGCCAAGCCCTCTTGCGTATCGCAAGTCCTATTTATACGTATCCCTGCTGCGTTTGACTTAGATACAGTGCTGACTGGGTAAACTTATTAGATTGTCTATCGTATTATACAGCTAATATTCTGTACGATCTGCTCTCTTCTACTGCAAGAACTTAAATCAAACTAGGGAGTGGATGTAACGTAGACAAAATTGCTAGGAGCGACCGACTTGAAATCTTGAAGAAAATTATCAGTGATATAGAAATAAAGAAAGTATATGTAGTGCTGTGCGGCATGGATAAATATAATGCTATTACAGAAGATTAGTAGCTTTTCGCTATTTACTGAAAATCTAATGAAGTATCACGAAGTTACCTGCCCAGGTCTAATTTAGTGAACGGATCAGCCAATCTCGCCACTAAGGCCTCGCAAGTCATTTGTGCGAGATAAGTATCCGAGATGATTGGCCTCCTATTCTCCAGAAACTAGAAATGTCTCTTAGCTTCTAAAATCGCCATACGCTCTTTATCGACCCTAAAGACATTATCTTGTGCTATTTGTCGGTAAAGGCCTCCGTTATTAGTAGCGACTATTTTCCGTCTTAAAAAGGGAGATTTTATAGAAAGCCTTCTTTTGGCGTCTTGAAATTCGATAACTGATTGTAAATGTCCGGAATCCTGAGGTGGAGCATAGTACAAGGTATGCTGAATAATACAAGATATAAGTCGCAGAGTTTTATCTTCCGGTGACGATATCAGTATGTGGGACTCTCTATTAATATAACCGATAGATGAAGTTATATGGGAGCTGAAGCTGTCGGTCTGGGGGCTGTTTGAGCTAACCTGAAGTATACTAGAGTTAATGAAGTCTTCTTGCAATGTACTTTGTCTGGGATATTTTGCCCTTCTATGAGATTCGTCTTTGCTTTTACATTCGGCTTTTTTTCTATAAAAGTTTCCGTGCGGATGTTCTTGCTAGCTTTGATTATTGCCATTGCAGCCCAAATTTGCGCAAGAGATAGGCTACAGCTAGAATCACGAATGAGACCGTGCTTACTTTGAGACAAATAGGTCAAAGCCGGTCCTCTTAGAAAAGCAGAAATTTCGGGCGAGGATTTCAGGTCCGATAAGCCTATATATTCTGATAAAATAGGGAGAATATTGTTCTGAGTTTCTCGTTGTATTACCCGATAAGCGAACAAATGGTCATGTCCCCATTCACTTGTGGCGATGTGGTGAAGATTGGCTGAATTGTTAGAATTGCTTCATTAATCTTGGTTGTGAGTCTTGGCAGGGTTAGGTGATTTTCTTTCTTTATGCGCCTCTATAGATTCTTTCCCGCTTTGGTCGGAGCTAACACGGTTGCTACCTCTAACCTGATGAAGGGCAAGCAACTACCCGTCGTTTTGAACAACTAATCAAAGCAAGCAAAATATATCTCCTATTCCTGATGTGATATTACTCTCTGATATCTTGCGATTTCGTTGGGAGCTCCTGGTAAAACTGTTGTTTTGGACCTTACGCTATCTGGACGTGCTTGGATGTTTATTCCAGCAGACTGACAACTTTACGGTAAAGAATACTTGTGACGGCTATAAGGCTCGTCGATGTAGGGAAGATATTTAATTATCTGCTGCTAAAAACCGGACGAAAGTAAGCGATGTGGAGATGCTTGCTAAAAGTGCTGTGCCTTCTGTGAAACATAATATCCTGTGTCGCTTCTTGCTGCACGACGGAAGTTCCTTCAACCGGTTTAGGTAAGGTATACAACGCTCTTTGTGGATTCGCTATTTTAATTATTAACAGCTCTTGAGTATAGCAAAGGACCGGAGTTCTTCTTTGCCGGCTAGCCGGTTCATCGACCACGTTATACTGTTTTCTATTGCCGTAATTAATCTTACTAATTAAATAACAACATCCCGTCCTTAGTTGGCTATTTGGACTATTTAGATGTTACTGGTCTTCGTGCAAAGAAACTTTCGCTTCGTACGTATCCGGGCAAGAGACAGAATACTATTAGCATATGCCTCTTAGTCGAGCGACTGTTACAGTTCACATCCAGGCAATAGGTAGAGGACCTATATTTTCTGTGTATCTTGATATCTATTGTGCAGCTCTAGAGACACCTTTTGAAGGAACCATCTGCCATAAGTTATTCGGTATGCCTAACAAATAGATCATACCTTGATTTCGCTTAGAAAACCTGACTTACACATCACAGTCACGACTCCTTGTAGTGAACAGGGATGATTTTAACTTCATTTACCTTTATGAGGGCCAATTTACATGTGAATTCCTTGAAATGCTTGACAAACCAACGACTATCACCGGTTGTACCAATGCCCTAACTATCTTTCGAAGAAGGATACCCTTCCAACCCTTCGTCAGTTTTGCGGAACGGATACGAGCCGAGGTTTCTTTCGTGGGAAACCTGTCATCCTATTCGGCGACGTCGGGAAGCACTAATACTGCCAAGAAAGCTCTAAAGCGACCGTGCCAGCATGAAAGAGGCGAGGGGCGCAATGTGAAACGGAAGCCATGATTTCCATCCCTAGCCTTTCGCTTGCCTATCCGTAGGAATAGAGTAAAAGTGTGCGCACATGTTTTCCCATTAGACAGACAAAAGCTGGCCGCTCATACGCAAATCCCAAAGAAAGAATCACGGCGTTGTTCTCTGACAAGACCCCGGCTTTCCAAATCTAGAGCCTGATTCGTCCCATGAGTCCAGAAGCTCTACAATATTCTTCAGATGGACGTGAAACTCCTTCACGACTTCGATTTATCTATCCTTGGATATATGAGTGTCCTTTATGTAGCCGCGCCTAGTTCATGGATGATTTCTGATGATTGTAGGGGCATGGCTGCAAAGCTCCAGCTCAAAAATCCCTGAAATATCGGTCGCTCTTCTTCTCATTGTCGGTTGGATCAGGTCCTGAGAGAAGCTCGCGCTAGGGAGCTATGTTCCGATGACCGATTTTATAACACTCGATGGGCAGCTGGGCTGCTTGATTGCCCTTTACTGGATCTCGCAAACTCTTCAATCGCGGAGATATAATGAAACACAGCAGTAATGACGCAAACTGAACATCCCTAATGAAGATAAGTAGCATGAATTTTATAAAATAAAGACATCTATCTAGCGCCGTAGGTAACAGCACGCTATATAAGCCTTTCCAAAGCCGCGTGGCTCACCGGCGATAGAAGAGTTGCTCAAGGAATTTCTTCCGCAAATAATTATCTTGCATGATAATGCTTGGCAGTCGAACTAACGCTGGATTTTTGAATCCCAAAGGTTATCTGGCTAGATCATGAATGTTAGCATTATGGAAGGAATTCCCAGCTAATTTACAGAAGCCGGAATTTGAAGGAGGATCTCCAGCAAGATCAGGGAAGTCGGAGTTCAGAGAATCGTCATATAATGGTGGCCAACCGGACTCGAGCTGCATTGCAAGCGCAGTTTGTGCAGCAGGCTCATTCATTGGCATAATTGACCGACTGTATGGCTGTCGTGAAACGCTTATGATAAATCTGAATCGAATTGCCTCGGCAATAATATATATTAAGTAATATAGTAATTTACAGAACTTAGAAGTGCTAATATAACTATAGGAATATATTACGCTTGACTTTATTACCAAACTACCAAAATTAGACAGACATAATATAATTATAGTAGTAGTAGACTAATTAACAAAATATTTATACATAATACTAACAATAGAAACTATTAATATAAATACTATAGTATTGATATTATTTAGATACATATTCACTAACTATAGAATACCCTAGAAGATAATATCAGATAGAGATACGCTCTTTATAAGCAAGATATAGTAGTTATTTATGGATATTATAGGTATTGAGTATAGACTCTCTATTATCTACTATCCCTAAATATGTAGCTAAATAGAGAGAATAAACTAAACTCTAAGCTTTCCTAAAGAAATGGATAGATATCACAGGCCTCCAAACAAATAAAGCGATGAACTTGAAAGATAGAAAGGAATGGAAAGAATAATTTCCGACAAATCTAGGCGACGAATGTGGGACACCAATTCAATTTCAAGTGAGACATGGTTATCGGTATTAAAGTGACCAGGAACCCTATTTGAGGTGGTGGACGAGAAGTCTCGCAGACAAGTATAAAGTATCCCCCTACCAGCAGCTGAGCAAAAGATCCTGGAATCTTCCTTCCCGTAGCGCTGTATAGATCTTGCTCACTTGAGAGCCGATACATTCCTTTCCTTCGGAATTGTCTCGGTTGGTTGTTGGATGGGCGTCAATACCGGTGTGGATTGGTACCTTCAGATCCTCACGAACAAACTTGTACAGTTTCTGTGACGAAGTGCAGAGATATGCTTTGGTTGTGGGGCTAGCAAGGAACTGGATACGAGCGGCTTCATATGTCTTCTGCAGGGCACTAGATACGCTGCTCTTCCATTGCTGGGCAACACCTTGAGAAATACCAGCGTCGGCTGGCAGGCTGTCGAGAAGAACACCTATCGAGCCATTTGCAGTGGTCACACAACGGTCGGAAAGGTCGCTAGTGCTGGTTCTGCGCCAATGGCGCATTAGTTCCTCCCATATTGTCACCTGAATGGTCTCTAGATAAGCAGGGGCGGCTGAGAAAGCTCTCGCCGTTATTTCATCGATCTCAGGGCGTACAACTTTAATAAATTCGGCATGAAGCACGCGCAGATCTACAGCTTGGCAAAGGACGTATAAGTAGGTTGCCGTCATAAGCGAGAGAACTTCGACGGCATCTCCAGCATAGCGACAGCCAATAAATGCGAGTGAATTGATGGCTTGATTGTGCATCTCCGCTGACTGGACATGGTTGCTGATAGGGTGGTTTAGATAACCGAGCTCGGAGGTGTAGGATGCCATATTGATGTCAATACCCTTGAAAGCGAAGGAAAGACTTGGGTCGTCCATGCACAAGTTTGGAGGAAGGCCATTACTCAGAGTCGGGTTGATCAGCTCAGAGCACTGGGAGAAGATCATTTTGCCAATCATTTGCATAGTGTTCAAGGTTTTCTCCATAGAGGAGGTAATTGCTGCAGCTTGGAAATTACCACCATGATAGATATTACCATCTTCCGGGTTGATAAGGGGATTGTCCGTTGTCGAGTTTAGTTCAGCCTGTACCTGCTGGAGGGCTAGGGCCATATTCTCGATCTGGGGGCCAATCCACTGTGAAGAAGTCCGCAAAGCGTAACGATCTTGAGCTAGACCGTCCTGTCCAGGAGCAACCGGTGTAGCTAGCTTGGAGTCAAGTAGGAACTCAAAGATATTTTTCGCGGCCTCAACTTGTCCTTCGTGGGGTCGTGTCGCGGCAATAAAAGGGTGATAGTTACAAGTCATACCTATCATCGCTTCACTACCCATCGCTGTAAGAAGTTGTGATAATAGGACTAGCTGGTTGGCTTCAAACAAGACCAAGCTTGCCGCTCCACAGCTAAACGCCGTCCCGTTCAATAACCCCAGGCCTTCTTTCGGGCCAAACTCTAGAGGCTTCAGGTTTAATTCCTTAAGCACTTGATCAGCCCTAACAATGTCTCCATTCGATTTATGAACTGAGATATCTGGATTTCCCTCGAGCGCACCAGCAATGTATGCAAGCGGCGTCAGATCACCTGAGGCCGAGATACTTCCCCGGAGAGGGACCACCGGAGTAATAGAGCTTCGAAGAAAAGTGCAGATGTACTCAATCACCTCCGGTCGAACGGCCGAGTGACCTCGCAGCAGGGAGTTGCATCGGACTAACATTGCGGCTCTGACAACTGGCACAGGGATGCTGTGACTTTTCAAGGAACTGGAAAGGTGTGAGCTCTCCCGTCCTCGGTCACTGGGAATTAAGACTGCCGCATTGTGGTGTTGGATCAACGCCTTTTGTAGAGCAATGTAGTTGGTTGTTCGACTGTCTGCACTTCCACCAAAACCAGTATTGACACCGTACACAATTTCACCACGTGCGAGCTTTTCATTCAGAAGATCCACGCTCTTCATCAATAACTGGTGCAACTCGGGACTCTCAGTAAGAGAAACATTGCAACCAAGTCTTTAGCGACAAATTAGCATGTAAACGATAAACAGACAATGCATGAAAAGTGACGTACCGGGCAACGGCGACAACAGAGCTCAGATCCAATGATTGGCCGTCCAAGACAACCCGGGTCTCTTTACCTAGAAGGTTGCGGACCCCGAGACATGTTTGCAGTGTAGATTCGGTAAAAGATGAGTTTGGCTTTCGATTGAAGATAGTGGCTTCTTTGCACACCAAAGATTCGAATAATTCACCCATTGGAAAGAAAATAATAGGTTAATATGTTAGATTTGGAGCAGAAGTTTTTGCTACTAAAGGTGTACTTCTAAGAGACTTGCGCTGAAAGATTCAGCTAAAAGAACAAGATGTATTCACAGAAGGTCAACGAAGGACATCGAAATGAATTACAAAGCGGGGTAAGATAATGTCGAAATCAGTGGAGCAGGTCATCAAATAGAAAATGGTCAAAGATCTAAATTGTTTACTACCCCTTCGTACACAACTTATGGAGTCTATTACTACGGTAACTGTCAGGAAGAGGAGTTGATGTACAGGCTAGTAATTAACATTTTCAATAGGAATCAGTTAATCGATCGAAGGTCTTAAGACTAACGCCGCGTGCTTCGCATGCTGTGGCCTTGAAACGAATGGTGGTGAGTTGAGTGATGACGTGAAGATCGAAGGCTTAGTTTGGGTAAGGGGCTGCTGGAAAGTTACATGTTCGGTAAGATAAGCCAACTAGATTATATGTATACTAAGTCCCGCAGCATAGGGCGTTGTAAAGACTGGTTGGATGGACGTGGATAGAGAAACACACCCGTAAAGACAAAGAGAATTAAACGGATAGGTCATCTCAGTACAGTGTTACGAGAACTCGTCCAGAGAGTAGCGGAATGGCACGAGACAGAGGATATTGCCAAGAGCGCGGTGATTCATGGGACAAATCATCGTCGAGATTCTTGGCACCTACAGACTTCCGGCCCCATGTTTCTGGTATGATCCGGGCCCACCAGATTCCACCTTGCAACAATTTCCATCAATTTTATAGAATGTAAATATTCCGAACAAATTCGAATTACAATATTGCAATCAAGTTATACGCCTCCGGATTAGATTCAATTGAAGACACCGAGAAATCAAAGACGTAAAGATGGCTCCAGGGCTAATTATTTATTACCATGTGGCCTGCTAGAAGAAGATCCTTCCGAAGAAAATAGGAGCCTTTCAAGGCTAATCAATAAAAAAAACTGCAATTATGTACATCTTACAGGGTCATGCGACTCAAGACAGTGTTGCAATGATACAGTGCGTATTCATGCATATTGCGTCTGCCTAGGCAGAGAATGATAATCTGGTAAACCAACTTATCTTGACTCATTACTGCTCATGATGCGAAGATCGGACCTCGGTACCGGAGTACGGAGGATAGACTAAGATCCGACCTTTGTTTTGTCCGATTCTGATTTGTTCATTACCCAAGATAGGAACATGGAAGCCTAATACGTTGTTACAGCCTCGAAAATCTTTGGCGCTGGTAAATTTCTAATCAATGAAATACGGTGTAGAGAAGATATTCAGGAATCAGTTAGTGTTATTTAATGTAATATACATATGCAATCCTGCTTATGTTACAAGGCGACCAGTTGTTTGAGCTATGTAGGCTTAACGTACAGTAGCGTGACCTAGTGCCGTTCCTAGCGTAGAATTCCAAATTGCTTCAATTTCAGCGGTATGACGTTAAAATAGTACGTTTGTCGCTATCTGCGCCACGGCACCTCTCCCGGGTCCCCGTCCCGTCCCGAGCCCACATCCGGGAGAGATGGGCACATGCCACGGATAAGCTTTTATGTGGGCTTGGTTGTGTACAGTAAGATCCAGAGTGGGTCTCCATTGCTCTATTAAGCACGTACTCGCATACCATCATGAACCCACTCTCATCGAAATTATACAATTGCCAGCCCAGAATGCTGTACATGGCACATGTTAAGCACAAGTCGGAACTACGCGCCAATGAGCTTAGGGTCTTCGGAACGAGCTCGGCTGGAAGTCAGCAGTGTGAGAAAAACACGTGCGCAGCTCATCTCGTCGCTTGGTATAGCGATATGGCCATTAATTTCCCACGCGTGGCGCACCCGGCGACACGATAACTTAACCGGCCACTGGGCACAAACCTTCGATCGAGGGTGGAGATCCCCGTGAATATAAGTCTAAGATGTTATGAAATATGACATCCTCTTCTATCTCAGCCATAATCTAAGTGACAGGCCGATAATTGGTTTCAGGGGTGCGGCCCTTCATTCTGTCGGCGATGGTATAAGAAACATTGTAGATATTTGCAGCGGCACGGATGCATAGTTTGCTGGAGGATCGATTAACTTCAATGGCAATAATGATGGGACTTGCATTGTTTGTTGCTGCGAAATTACATGGAAAATGTAGAAGGTGGTGTTGTGTGGGAAAAGTGATCGTGCGATGTGATGAACCGCGTTATTCATATTCTTCACATTCTCCCCCAAGCCCTATGTATAACAACTGTTCATCTCGGCAGAGTACAGCTCTGCCAAAGCTAGTCTTTTTACTTCTCCTTTATGGTTCCTCGGAACTGGCTTCTCCGCTTGCACTAGGATGACTCGGGACGGCTTAATTACTTGGTGGTCAGGCATTCCCTCACAAGTTTTCCCAATCGTGTTCCAGATTTCTTCGAAGGAAATCTGTGGAGTTTCCTGCAGCTCCAGTATGAGACAGACCACAGAATAATTTATGCCAAGCACGATTGCCGTCTTGACAGATACATGACTTTCGATATTCTTTTCAATTGCCGATGGGTCGAACAACATGTCTTTGACCACGATTATATTGTCTGGTCGGCCTTCATATTTCCAATGGTCTGGTTTGTTGGGGTGCTGGGAGAATAAATCACCTGATGAGAATATATCTGCGTCTGGAAGTGTAAGAAACACGGGTTGAATGTCGATGGCTTCATTGCGCTTGATAAACTGCATCTCGAAACGGTTTGGAGCTTTTTCAACCCACTTGATGCCATCCTTCTCGGCATTTATATTGAGATAATTCCAGTCCTCAGGGTCAGTTTCAAAACTGACTAAGTAGCCACTTTCAGTTGTACCCCATAGCGTAGCTAAATGGGTACGATCGATGAGCAAGCGAGCGACATCCCATGATAATGGAGCTGAATCGACAAGATGGTCAGTATGAAGGGTCAACATTAATTCAAGCAAGCGAGACACTTACCCCCAATCCAAAATATTTTTCGTAGTCTCGTGAGTTGCTCAAGCAATGCTTGGCTATCTTCTATTAATGACAAAAAGCTTGGAAAAACAATTGCATCGTCACAGCCAGCTTTTTGTAACCAAGATGCAGCTCTATCCCCGCTATATTCGCTTACGTGGAAAGGCAGGAATACGACGACGACGTCGAGAAAGACCGCAGCTCCAATACCAGCAATCATGCTCGTATAGCAGCAACGTAGGCCGCAGAATCGTCGTGAACGTTTCTGGGCATGGCACACCGGATTGTGATGTTCAGACACCTCTTTTCCTCGGAAAGGAGGTATGCTCTGACCTTCATCCATTACGGCCACATGAGCATTGGTCCATACTCTGGCCTTTGGAAATCCTGTTGTTCCGGACGTGTGAAAAACCTGTTCTCAAATCAATATTACTATTAACACAATGACGCTTTCGCAAATTGGACGTACAATGATTGGATCCTGAGCAGCATCGGCAAAAGTTTTTGTATAAGGAAAACTTGGCACTTTGCCAACCCCGATCAATCTCTCCACACTAGGGATCAGTATGGTTGGCAAAGAGTATATCTTTGGCACGTTAGGAGACTCCTCTTCTGTAATGAAAAAGACCTTGGCATCTGCGTCCTGGAATAGTCGGGCCATGGCAGAAGCATCGTTGACCAAGGTGCAGAAGAGGATCTAAAAGCCCATCTCTTAGTATTTATACAAGACAAGAGATCAAAGTGAGTTTTTACTTTATATCCACATTTTATGGCCGCAACCAGCATACCATAGTGACGAAGGTCAAGGAAACCAGCAAAAGCAATTGTATCGAAATGCTTTAGCCCGATTTGACTGCATATCTCACTCATCCACCAGGATAATCGATCGATTATTCTAGCAAACACTCCAAAGGTCAATTCATATGTCTCACCAGAGTAATGAGGTGCTTCTAGGAACTCTGCAAATACGCGATCCGGGTCACTTTGAGCGATAGCATCTATGGTGGTCGGCAGCAGTCTTGGCAGATAGGTGGATGTGTTGAGTGATTCATTAGGCGTGAATCCGCCATGGGCTTCCGTAGGATTCGACATTATTTTCTCAGAAAAAAGGGATGATGGTGAAAGGATTTGATGGAACAAATTACAGGCATAGGCACGAGAGGTAGATTCACAGCTAGATAGGGCTATTCGTCGGTTACCTTTCCTTGTCCCTCGGTTGAGTCCAGTCTGACAAAAAACCTTGCCCCTCTCAATTCAAAGTGAATAATTATAGTGGCTTAACGTAAAAATGAGGTTTTAATGCATATTACGGTTCTAGACACAGAATATTCCGACGCTAGAGGACATGGGTTCCAAATACAGACTCTTCTGACGCCAGGGAACATATGACCTACGTACTGACTAGACCTTGACAAAACCCGTAACGGCCCCAAGGTCAGGACCCAAACCCGAACCCGCAAAACCCATGGGGGCCAAAAAAACGGGTCAAAAACGGGTTTTGTCGAGATCTAGTTCAGACTATTACAACGCTAAAGAACGTGAATTCTAGATACAGATATTGAAACGGTAGAGAGGTTCCAGATGTAGACTATTCCGACGCTAGAGGACAGGGATTATAGATACAGATGTTACAACGCTAGAGAACATAGGTTCCAGACGTAGACTATTCCGACGCTAGAGGATGAGGATTATAAATAGATGTTACAACGCTAGAGAATTTAGATTTCAATGCTGATGTATATATTGATATAGCGGAAGATGTCAGCGAGATTGCGCCATTCCAACATCTCCATTATACCCAAGCCGAGGTCGCAAAATTCTAACAGCCGAAAGATACCTAATTACTAGCCGTCAGGACCGGTCAGCACGGTATCTACCCTGTCCCAAGTTTCACCGATGGCAGCTCAGAGATACAGTGAAAGGGAGGGTAGCTTATACATATGCGTATGGTAATATAAGAATGCGAACTACTTGACAGTGGCAAGGCATCACCAAAGGTTTAGGAAAGGTATCATTTCCTTCAAGAAAAAGTATTGGATCTGTCCTAGTAGACTGTCAGTCAAGATTCTTGATTAGCAGGAGCGTCACAACGAGCATGTCCCAATCGCGGCTTCTTTCAACAGCGGATGGTGGCCCAGCCTCGCCTCCCCCTTCCAACTTTTGGCAATGGCTCGCTTTCGGCACCCTCCCTCAGGCACCAAGTTTGGCTTTTGTAGTGCATCACCAATCTTCTGGTTGCCTCTCTAATATTTTTGCTCCTTCCACATCATCTTCGACTTCGCCGTCAGATCAGCTTGGGTTCCGCTGCTCCTTCGGTCAACTGCTCGATGCCGTCGAGAGATTTGCAACCATTCTTTACGCCAAGGGCTTGCGCGAGGGTCATGTAGTCGCTTCTTTCATTGGCAATGACCGTTCGGTGGAATGGGCTCTTCTTCTGTGGGCATCGTGGAGGGTTGGCGCTGTTTTCGCACCAGTGGAGCCCGGCCTGTTGGGCCGGAGCACAGAATTGAGAGAGGTTTGCAAGCTGTTGAATCCCAAAGTCGTGGTACTTAATAATTCGACAGACATGAGGTCGTGGATGGAAAACGACATGGGAGATGAAAACAAAGTAATTCGGCTCACTTGCGGTGAAAACATCGACAACGACGGAAACAAGTGGTCCTCGATTGCACACTTGACTTGTCAACTGAATTGTTCATCCTCTCCACCGCTGCCCGTGTCGGGACCGACGCAGCCTGCTCTTATCATGTTCACATCCGGCACGACTAGTACACCAAAAGGCTGTCGCCTTACTTTTGCCAATATTCACGCTGAAATTGCAGGGCATCGCGCATTCGCAAGTAGTAGCTGGTCTTCCGCAGCGAGGTTCCTCGTGACTACCAGCGTCTTTCGGCCATTATGCTATCTTGGGTGCTTGAGCTCGTGGACTGCTGGCGGAAGTGTCATCTTTACAGCATCTACTTTCGACCCAACGGCAGTGGTAGAGGGGGTGAAGGCGGAGAGAGCGACGCACCTCATGATGGTGCCGACGCAACTGCACGCGCTGATAAACGAATTCGTGCAGCAACAGCACTCTCTGGAACACGAGCTCCTGTTCGTTACGTCAGCAGGCGATGTTTCAGAGAGAGAGCTGATCAGTAACGCTCGACAAGTCTTGAAGCCGCGTCGATTCGTTCCCCATTGGGGCGCGACAGAAGGTTCGCCTCTGTTTGGCTTTTCAGTTATAGAAAACACATCGGCCTCACTCCCGATGTTGGAAAGTGGTGCTACAGGTATCGGCCGCGCCTTACCAGGAACCAAAGCGAAGATTTGCTTGGCAAACGAGTCGCCTCCAACGCTTGTGCCAAGGGGGACCCGGGGCGAGCTTCACGTGTCTTCTCCTGCGTTGATTCAGGGGTACCTAGGCGGTGTGTCAAGCTCCAGCTTTTACGAAGATGCACAAGTAAATTGGTTCCGAACTGGCGATTGGGCGGTGATGAATGACGAAGGTGTGGTGTATGTAGTTGGGAGGATCAAAGACACGATCAAGTGTAAAGGAATCGGCCTATTTCCTCCAGTGATTGAAGGATATCTAAAGGATTTCTTCGGCATCCAAGTAAGTTGGTCACCATCAAACAGTGAAATGATTTCCATATTAGAAGACAGGGAGACCATATCCACCGCCTTATGGGACAGCGCAGCTTCAAATTCTAATACGCCTAGTAGGCAACGGTTGTTGGTGTTCCTGACATCGAGTACGGAGAGAAGCCTGTTGCTATCTTGATTTCAATGCCACCAAAAATCGCAGATGAAGTGGACGGTCATCCCACCAAGACTAGATTGAGCTCATCGAATCATACCAAGTCAAAGGGAACCGAAGCTATTCGGCGAGCGATGATTCGTTGCGTCTCAGACCACCTTGGTACAGAGTATATGCTGGGAGCAATTTATACGCTTGAAGAGTTGGGATTAGATGACTGGCCGTTAAATATCTCAGGAAAGCTAGACAAGAATATGCTTCGACATTGTGTTGTAAATAAGGCAATGGGAAGTGGCTAAATTGAGTTGTGTTGTACACTCACGGCCTTCCATAGTACTCTAAGCTTTTTTTTGTGCAAGCAATTTCGCGCTCGAAATGTCCTTTTTTGATTGTTCACATGGGAATTTGCTCTCAACCCCTGATAATATGGATGCACTAATCCAGTATCATTGAGATGGTATTATTAACGCACAAAAGAAACAGTAAAGAAACAAGTAATTTTTTTTGCTCCCCCCAGCCATAAAATATATACCCTATCAATACGATTAAGACATCCATGGATTCGATGCTCTTTTTTCTTCTTCTTCTTCTTCTTCTTCTACTTGATACGGTATGGTCAATACTATTACAGTATTTGGAATTTCCACGACGTAACTTTAGCTGAAGGTATCTAATAGAAGATGCTCTTGTTAATTGAACTTGTATGTTACACCTAGGCCCAACACCCGATCAAGGTGAAACGGCTTCCAGAAATAAGCCATTTGTTTTGAAAATCAAGGTGACTTCAAGAAATTATCATTGGACGCCACAATCATCATGTTGGGGGCCGATGATGAGAACCTAGAGGGCCTCAACTTCTCTCGTCCGGAAAAATTAGGGACGGGCGCTGTAGTAGAACTATAAAAGAGAATAGATTTCCGCCATAGAGTACAGTGGTCAATCTAAAAGCTACTACTCAGCTAGTTTGAAAGGCCCTTGAAACTTGCACGAAATACTTTACTTGCCACTATATCCAAAATGGTTGATAACTCTGGCACTTCCGGCTCACGTGTTCATCACTATCTCCAGCGTGCGTATGCTTTGGCTGAGAGCTCAGAGGCGGAGATTCTGTATGACCAATGGGCCGATGTCTATGACACCGACAACGCAAATGGCTACGCTTCCCCCCGGCGCTGCGTGGAGGCTGTTATTAAAAACCTCTCACCCGCCTCTGATAAGCTAAAAGTCCTCGATGCTGGCTGCGGTACCGGTCTCGTGGGTGACTGTCTAGCTGAAACATCCCTGCAATTTGTCCTTGACGGGGTGGATCTTAGTGCCGGTATGTTAGCGGAGGCACGGGGAAAGGGTGTGTACCGGGAGTTAGAAAGGGCGAATCTGAACGAAAAGATCGCAAAGCCGGATGGGAGCTACGACGTTGTTGTTTGCGTGGGCACACTGACAAAGGGTCATGTCGGGCCTGAGGTGTTAGCAGAACTTGCTAGGGTGGCTACGAAGTCTGGATTAATTGTTGCTACTGTGCACAATGATATCTGGGAAACCGGTGGCTACAAAGCGAAAATTGAAAAGTTGCAGAATGATGAGATAGTGCAAATTATTAGCGCGGAAGAATTTGGGATATTGGAGTGGAAGAACACAGGAGGAAGGATGCTAGTGGTGAGGAAGAGATGATATTTGTGTACCTAACCACACCCATAGAAATTAAAAATTTAATCAAAGATTTTCCCTCTAGTTATTTTATTCTTCTAATACTAAGAAGCCTAAATGCAAGTATGTACTGATAAGGAAACCGGGCTGATAGCTCTACATGCTTCACAGGAAGGAAGGAGATATATGAGGTATTCAACACCACACAGCTCCCAACGCCATATTTTGAAAGTTTTTATTCAATTCTCATAAGAATTCACGATGATGTATTTCGCTTCTATCGTGTCTCCTATTGAACGGCGATGAATACGCTCTCCGCTTCAACAAGCTTGTCCCCTGCGGAATTTGTGAGCTCTGCTTTCATAATTGTGTTACGCCCTTGTATCTCTTCTATCCACGCCGTCACACATACGATCGATTCTGTCGTGGCTATTGGGGCCATGAAGCTAATGTTGAGAGATGCCGTGACATTAATGGCGGCGAAGACGTAACCCATTTTTCCTAGAGCGGTATTGATCTCATGAACAATGCTGAGGCTCTCATCAAGGAGGGTAGCAGTAAGACCACCGTGCAGAACTCCCTGGTACCCCGAAGTGCTCTCTCCTAGGGCAAAGAGTGAAGCAACACGGGAGATATGGCGTAAGGGGTCATCAAGGTGAGAAGGGTCGGAGGGACGAAAGAGAGAGAGCATGTGGCGTAGGGGGGGGCGGACTTTTTGTATCGTTATAACTACCGATGGTCTTGTTGTTCCTTGAAAGGCAGCTTCCAATGAATTGATCGTGCCGCGGACTAGCAGGATTGAAACACTGTGGGATGAAGGGAATAGCCTGCCCGTAGCCGGGCAAAAGACTACAGGAGGCGACAGGCGAGGAGTCGTAAATGAGGCGCGAACACCAATCAAAATTGCTGAAGTAGCTCATGGCAGATGAGAAAAGGTGCAGAGGAGTGTTTGGGGGATTCAAGCTCAATGAAGGAGAGAGGACGCGATGAAGGGGCAAGATAGAACGCATTTTGGAGTGCTGTAACGGCGTAGAGTCATCATTGACTAACTGTGCCGCTATAGATGGAGACGACGATGATGATGAAGGTACTGTCGTGGAAGGTGTCGATATGGTAGATGTCGGGGTAATAGATGTTGTATTTGTCGAGGTCTCCTGTAAAATCTGGTATAAAAGGGACTGGCTGAAAGATCTCAGGTTTGGGTGACGGAATGCTACCATAGCGGGTAAACTAAGGCCAGTCTGGGCGTTGAGTCGGTTTCGCACCAGTATTGCATTCAGTGAATCGATTCCAATGTCTTGCAAGGGGAGGTCAATTTCGACAGCATCGGGCGACATATGCTCTAATACCCTGGCCACATTTTCTCGGACCATGGCCAGTACGATTTGGGGTTGCTGGTTCGGAGTAGCCATGATCAAGGCGCTGCGGAACTCATTTGGCGGACTTGCTTGATTAATAGCAGTGGCGGCAGTGGCGGCAGTCGCCTGAAGGGAATGAGTATGACTGATGTTGAGGTCTGGGTGCACAGGCTCCCGCTGGAAGGCGTAGGTCGGCAGGTCTACACGTTTGCAGTCAAAGGATTTGAAATAAGCAGACCAATTAATGGATACGTGGCGTATGTGCAGTTCGGCGAGACTCTTTTGGATAACGAAGGCAGCATCCTTGTTCCGAGTAACTGACGCCAACCAAGTAGGTGCATTGGTGGAATCACGAATATCTTGGAGACACGCGGCACCCATACCGCATAACACTGATTGCGGTCCTAGCTCCAAGAAGATATTGATATCGTGGTCCATCAGGAGGGTTTTGATTCCGTCGCTGAAAAGGACAGCGTTGCGTACCTGCTGGACCCAGTATGCAGGTAGCTCTAGTTGGCCAGGAGCAACTGTTTGGCCAGTCAAACTGCTCACGATGGGGATAGTAGGGGGATGGAAGTGAATTGAGTCTGCCATGGCATAAAAGTCAGCCAGTATATCATCCATATGGTGGGAATGAAAGGCATGGGAGACGCTCAGAGAATGGCATTTGCGGCCCTGGGAGGCAAAGTGAGCTCGTAATCCTTCGAGGGCATCTCCATCACCAGAGGCAACGGTTTGTGTGGGTGCGTTGTGACAGGCAATATCGACCTTTTTACCAAGGTGTAAAGTTTTAATGGCTGCTGCTACTTCAGCAGCACTGGCTTCCAGTGACATCATGCCCCCGATAGTTGTTACAGCCTGCATCAAACGGCCACGAGCGGCGACTAGACGGCAGGCATCGGCTAGATTAAAAACGCCGGCGATGTGAGCTACAGCCAGTTCACCAATGCTGTGGCCTAGCAGCACGTCGGGCTTCACAGCCCAGCTAGTCCACAGTCGCCACAGGGCCACCTCTAACGCAAAGAGGGCGGGTTGGGCGTAGTCGGTTCTTTGCAGCAGCGTGTTGTTCTTTTTGTCGCCATCATTATTAGAAGCAGTCCACATGACATCCAACAGGGGCGGCTCTAACTCTCCGCTAAAGTGAGCAGTGATCTCCTCTAACGCCTCGCGGAAGATGGGGAATTGTTTTGCAAGGTCTTTGCCCATATTCGGAAATTGGCTACCCTGGCCAGAAAACAACATGGCCAGGTTATATCTTGCTGGTTGCGCCTTGTCCTCTGTCCCTGATTTGGTGGATGCCGTAACGGAAATGGATGCTAGCTGGTCTATCAGCTGCCTCTTATCGTGCGCTACCAGCACCTTTCGCTTTCGAAAATGGGTGCGTGTAGTTGCCAGTGAGTAAGCCACGTCATGGAGAGAATAATCAGCCATGCTGCTACTACTCAAGTGTAATAACAGCTTTTCGGCTTGTGCTCGCAACGACGCATCGTTGTGGCCTGATAGCAGCAACGGAGCGAAAGGAGGCGTGGCAATATCATTACCATTTGTATGGGCATGATGATGGTTGATCGCATCCGCTGTTGGCGATGGCCACTCCTCAAGAATGACATGGGCATTGGTGCCACTTATACCAAATGCGCTAACACCTGCCCTTCGCCGCGCTGTCTGTCGCCGCCACGGTCGGTTCTCCTGCACCAACGCCATGTTTGCCTTCTCCCACTCCACTGCTGGCGTCGGCTTATTCGCCACGTGCAAGGTCCGTGGTAGCATCTTGTGCTGCATTGCCAACACCACCTTTAGTATCCCAACAAGACCTGCGGCTGCTTGGCTATGGCCAATGTTAGACTTCGCAGACCCGATCCATAATGGCTCTTCGCGGCTACCATCTTTAAATACTTCTGCGAGGGCCACGCCTTCGATGGGGTCTCCGAGCTTAGTTCCAGTACCATGGGCTTCGATGTAATCGATATCGCTCGCCTGTAGTCTCGATGCTGCCAGTGCAGTCCGAATGAGCCGTTTCTGTGCTGCTCCGCTAGGCGACGTGAGGCTAGCGCTGCCCCGTCCGCCATGGTTGATCGCCGAGCCACGCACCACCGCCAACACTTTATCGTTATCACGCTGTGCATCTGACAACCGCTTGAGCACCACTACTACAGAACCCTCACCCCATCCCGTGCCCTCACTGTCAGCCGCGAACGCTCGACATCGTCCATCTGCCGCCATTCCCCTGAGCCGACTAAATTCGACATGCACCCCTGGTGATAGCATCAAACTAATCCCACCAGATACCGCCATGTCGCACTCGCCTTGACGTAAAGCTGTACACGCCAAATGTGTCGTTACCAACGAAGACGAGCAAGCTGTATCCACCGTCATGCTCGGGCCTTCGAGTCCAAATGTGTACGAAACACGCCCAGACATGGTCGCGGAAGCTGACCCTGTCCCTGCATATCCGTCAAGATCTTCCAGCTGTCTGTTGCTTGCGCAATCACTTTGATATGCCGGAATGTTGCTGATCCCAATAAATACTCCGGTCTGGCTGCCACGCAGTTGTTCACTGGTATAACCAGCACGCTCAAACGCTTCCCAGCACGTCTCTAGCATCATGTATTGCATCGGATCTAACGATCGTCCCTCTCGTGGTGAAATTCCAAAGAATCCTGCATCATAACAACCAAGCGGGCTGCTGATAAACCCTCCCTGACGACAGTACGACTTGCCCTTCGCGTCTGGATCGGCACTGTAGATAGCCTGAGCATTCCACCGATCCTTTGGTACTTCACTGATTGCATCACCGCCGTCTTCAAGCAACTTCCAAAACTCATCCGGTGTCATGATCCCCCCCAGGAAGCCGGCATGCCATAGATACTATAGCAATGTTTTCGCTATCATGCTGCACAGAACCAAAGTTGATCGGGTCTGTTGTCAGGCCACCGGTCTTATCTTCAACCAAGTGTGCTGCTAATGTTTTGATGGTGTAGTGTTCGAATAGTTTTGCTAGCAAGATCGATTGCCCGAGCAATTCCTCCAATTTCGTGTGTACCCTGACGGCACGTAATGAGTCCCCTCCGATGTGAAAGAAGTTATCGTTGACATCGATACGGTTATGACCAAGGACATTTGACCACACGGCCAATATATCGCGCTCTAATTCCGTGACAGGCTTTTCAATAACGTTAATCTCCGTCACTGGATCGAGCAGGCTTTTGCGGTCGATTTTGCCATTTGGTGTCATTGGTAATCGGTCGAGTTCCACGAAAAATGACGGTATCATATATGCCGGTAGCCTGTCCGCTAACCATGGTCGGAGTAGTCGGTCAAGAGTAGCAGGTGTTGCCACTTCTCCAACCTTGGGTGCATTCGCGTACTCAGTCAATGTCTTCCTGTCTATTGGTTCGGGTGCATGAAGTGTGAGATCAGGAGTTTGGCCGGCCCGCCAAAACACAGCGTCAAAACACCACACATCGCCGGAGCGGCTGGGCAGGAGTGCCAACTGCACAGTGGACTCTCTAGCAATGTCCTGAAGAATACGTGGATGAACCCAAGATGAGTTTGTGTATGAAGCATCGCCAAGGATGGCCCCAAGTCGACTGTACACACCGCGTAGCCGCCCATTCAAAATGTTGTTCAAACGCAGTGGATTGCTCCCCTCCAGCACATCCACAAGCCTATCCTTCAGGGAGGTCAAATCAATCTTATCTCTCCAATTAAGCTCTATAGGCCACATGCAGACGTTGTCTCGCTCTCCGATGTGCAGGGTGACATCATATCGATAGAGAGTCATCTCGTTGTCATAATCACCGTCGCGCAAAGTGATATCGACGCGAGTTATCTGAGGAAATAGATTGGCTAGATTGGCAAAGAAATCAGGCGAAATTACCAATTCTCGTTCGTCTCTTACCGCATCTGCGGTGTAGCTGGCCATCTCAGCGGGAGAAAACTGGCGGTTTGTGCGGAAATGCATTACATCGCCATGAAAGATGTCAAGCAGCGCCAGGCTGCGCACGTCACCTAGGTATATGCGACCCCTTTCAACCGCCTTAATGGCCCAGTCGAGGAATGAGACCAAATAGTCGATGCTAGGAAAATACTGGAGTACTGAATTGACGATAACAGTATCGAAGGCATCTTTCATCACGGGAAGGGCGTGAGCTTGACCATGCTCGCAGATGACATGCGGAAAGGACCCAAGGTGACGGCGCGTAAACTCAACTGCTTTAATCGAAGCATCTATAGCGTGGTAGACCTTGCAGTGCGGTGCGATACTGAAGAGCATCATTCCGGTACCTGAGCCAACCTCGACAACCCGCTCTGGGATGTAGGACAAGATCCGTCGGACAGAACTTGACTGCCAGTCGCGCATTTCATGGATAGTGAACGGGGCGCCATCGTAACTGTTACGCCAGCCAGCCAGGTTGAAGGCGGTAGAATGGCTCACGACATCTTGGTCTGTGGCTCCGTAAGCATGATCCCATGCGCTGGCCCATGTTTCAATGCTGCAAAGCTGATCCTCGTCACTTGCCTGTGGAAGCTTCCGGACACAGTACGCAACTAACCGCTCGTCACGACTGACTACCACCACCCTGGAGATATCCGCGTGGGCGGTGATCGCTGCCTCTATATCACCTAGTTCAATCCGATAGCCCCGAATCTTGACCTGGTCATCGGTGCGGCCCAGCACAACTAGCTTTTCGGGAGCTAGAAAGCGGGCTATATCACCGGTTCGGTAAAGAGTGCCAGTGTAAGAAGGGCTATCCAGGAAGTGCGACTTGGTGAGGTCAGGGTTGTTACGATAACCACGGGCAACACCTGCACCTCCAATGTAAAGTTCACCTAGGCAACCTAGCGGCACTGGTGATAGGTCTTCTCCGAGTACGTATAGCGACATGTTGGCTATTGGGCTTCCAATGAGCACATCATCACCATGGCGTACCTTCCAGGTACAAGCCCACACAGTCGTTTCGGTTGGACCATACATATTCCATACAGAGTCACCGCAAGCGAGCAGGCTGTCTGCAAGATGACGAGTAAGCACTTCACCACCACACAAGATTTTAGACAATCGGGGTGTGCCTCGCCAGCCCGAATCTAGCAGCAACTGCCAAGTGGCAGGTGTTCCTTGCATCATCGTGATTGCATGACGCTTCATTAATCTAAGCAGGGCACCAGCGTCTCGGACTTGATGTTCCTGAGCGATGACCGTCCTTGCGCCGCAGACAAGTGGCAAAAATAGCTCCAAAACGGCTATATCAAATGAGACCGTTGTCACTGCCAATAATCTATCCGTTTCGTCGCATCCCGGGTCTCGTCGCATCGAGAATAGAAAATTTGAGAGCGCACCATGGCTGATCTCTACGCCCTTGGGCCTGCCGGTCGAACCAGACGTGTAGATAACGTATGCTAGATCCTCTGCTTGCACATCCAGTTGCAAGTTGCCGGTTTCAGCGTCTGAGGAGGTGCAGGTGTTGTTGTCGTTGTCGTTCCATATTTCATCGACACTCAAGCATAAGGCTGTCCACGGTGACAACACATCGACTGTAGTGTCCCGGCGGACAATAACCTTCGGGTCGGCATCCTCTATCATTTGGCTGATCCGCTGCATTGGGAAAGATATGTCAACGGGGACGTATGCAGCGCCCGTCTTCAGTACTCCTAACAAAGCCACAATCAGATCGACAGACCGATCCAGAGCTACAACGACCAAGTCACCGTGCCCTACGCCACGCCTGACCAGAACATGTGCAAGACGATTTGCGAGCACATTGAGTTGATGGAAAGACAGCTCCTTGGAGCCACAAACCAAGGCAATGCTCTCCGCGCAGCCATCCACAACATGCTCAAAAAGTTTATGCAGGCAATCACCCACTGCTGCGGCCTCGTTGATAGATTTTCGATGCGCCATTTGTGTCTCGTGGCTCGGTGTTACCGCTGTATTTGGTGATTTCCTTTAAGCGATGTGTCTCTGTTTGAGGGATTGCTTCGTACATACCCAGTTTTTTCGAGCTCTCTTCTAGTTAAGTTTGGTTGATTGTGCTGCGAGGAATTTCAACGAGGTTTCTCTTATCCACTGCTAAAATTATGTGTATTTTGTTGATACATATTCTTTGTCATGAATATGAAATATCAGCTTGATTGATGTAGAGTCTCCACGCTTGTATTTTCATACTGTGGTGGTAATGAATATAAAATGAATAATATTAATTTCTGTACCGCGTTTCTTTCAATCGGTTGATACCGGTGGGTTTTGGGACAAGGTAGATGCGGTATTGACCTTACGGCTAGTAATTAGATGTGTTTCGGCTGTCAGGAGTTTGAGTCCCCGGCTTGGGTGTAATGGAGATATTGGAAATGGCGCAATCTCGCTGACATCTTTCGATAGATCAATGTATACCTAGGTAATATATCATTGTACCCCTGTCCTCTAGCGTCGGAATAGTCTGTATCCGCACTCATGTTCTCTAGCGTTGTAACCTCTGTATCCAGAATCCCTGTCCTCTAGCGTCGGAATAGTCTGTATCCACTCTAGAACCTATATTCTCTATCATTTCTAGGAGCCTGGATTCAGTTTTTGTCAGCAGCGTCTCAGCAGCAAATCGGCCGGCCCGATAGTTGTGTTGTATTTGAGAATATATGTTTTAGTTTTCACAGCCCATCACCGCATCACGGATCCTTTGGGCGGTACCCACCCGTTTTAGAGGCAGTGCCATGAGTCTAGGGCTTGGAGGCATCCTGCGATTCAACCTGTAAGCGTGCTTTAGGGTCTTATCAATCGTACATGGCACAACCGAACCAAGCGGTGCCGAGGTCTCAAGTCCTGCAGCCTCGGCCTCTTTGTATAAGGGTTAGAGTATCCGGCACAGCTGAAGATCCTCCTCATTGTCCAACATTATCCACAGCGTGACGTCAGGCATTATGGTTTCCAATACCCAGGCCCAGATGGTAGGCGAGGCGCAGGAGGAAAAGAAGATAAGCAGCGTGAATGGCAACTTTGATATTGATCTTGACGCATCGCATGTTCTGCACAACTCGCTCGTCTCAATCCCTCTGACGGTAGCATCCGCTTCGGGCTCTTATGTTACTTTTTCGAACGGTCATCGCGTTCTCGATGCCTGCACAGGCGCCGCTGTCGCTATAATCGGCCACGGGGACCCTGACGTGCAGGCCGCCATCCAGGAACAGATGACCAAGGTATGCTACACGCACACGGTGGCATTTACGACCCCTGTCGCCGAGGCTCTAGCAAACGACATTCTCGAGGGAAACCCGCACGGGCTGTGTCGAGCCTTCTTTGTCTCCTCGGGCAGCGAGGCCATGGACACAGCACTTAAGCTCGCACGACAGTTCTACGTTGAGATCGGCCAGCCGCAGAGAAGGAGTCTCGTAGCCCGGCAGCGAGCATACCATGGCAATACGGTCGGGGCTTTGAGTGTATCAAGTCATGTAGCAAGGAGGGCGCCGTTCAAGGACGCCTTGATCTTGACAAACGTCAGTTACGTGAGTGCGACATATGCCTACCGTGGACAACTCGAGGAAGAAACCGAGGAAGACTATAGCGCAAGGCTTGTCAAGGAGCTCAATGAGGAGTTTCAAGCTGTTGGGCCAACAACTGTTATGGCATTTGTCGCCGAGCCCGTAGGCGGCGCCACAGCGGGATGCATCACGGCCCCGAGAGGATACTACCAAGGTGTCCGTCAGCTATGCGACAAGTACGGTATCTTGCTCATCCTTGATGAAGTCATGTGCGGCAGTGGTCGGACGGGCACGTACTTTGCGTTTGAACAGGAGGGTCCGGGCGTATACCCAGACCTGATCACCCTAGGCAAGGGGCTGGGAGGAGGGTATGCTCCCATGGGGGCGGTGCTTGCGCACAAAAAGGTCATTCGCGGGCTGCAGAGCGGTACCTCTTACTTTGTGCATTCGCATACCTATCAGGCTCACGCTTTGAGTTGCGCCGCCGCCCTAGCTGTGCAGAAAGTACTTCGCCGGGATGGCCTGGTAGCGCGGTGCGCGACTAAGGGACGGTGGCTCGAGAAGGCGCTTAATTCAACGATAGGCGAGTGCAAGTACGTGGGCAACATTCGCGGAAAAGGCTTGTTCTGGGGAATTGAGTTTGTTAAGGACAGGGCCACTAAGGAGCCGTTTGAACCAGCCCTTCGCTTTACGTGGAGGATGGTCGATGAGACTTTCCGGCGTGGACTGTCGATTTATCCCGGGGCGGGTACGGCTGACGGAATCAGAGGAGACCATGTCCTAATTGCGCCGCCTTATAATGCGTCGGACGAAGAATTCGAGGAGATGATTAGATTGTTAAGCGAGGCCTACGGTACGGTTGAGAGAGAGGTAGAGCTGGCTCTTGTGGCAGGCAAGTCTAATGACAGATAATTGTACTATACGACTTCTTTCATCATCATCAAGTCTGAATAATCTGCAATCCTATCATCCTGCTGTAATTCCCATAATTTTAGTGTTTCTTACAGCATATACCACTGCATAAATCGATACTCTAGGCACCTTCATCTCATCATTGCCTTCTAATCTCTTTCCTTCTTTCGTACATTATCTGTACGATGATGCTCGCCCATAAGCACAAATATATCCTCTCCTTGATCTTCAATTATCTCATTGATCAGCTCGATATAGTCACCAATTATTTAAGAATCTCCCATACACGGGAAGGCAGTACTTTAAGCCTACAGGTTTAATCGGCTTAGTTTGAGTCACTATAGTCGCATCAGTAATACTAGTAGCTGTCTGTAGCTTTATCGATAGGTATTTGAAACTACTATGGACTTCAAACGACACTTTTGAATCGTAGTTTGAGCAATAATACTGAGAGAGAGATTAAATCGAGAAGCTTTAGTAGGCACCTAGATACAACAATAAGTATTCCGTTAGAAACTTCTCGTCGCATGAGATACCAATTACGTTGTTGAAAGTGGAATCTTTTATCAATATACCTTCGCGTATCCTCCAGATTTAGAGCTTCCGTTCTGACAAATGTTCCCAGATAACCGCTTCTATTATTACAGTATCACCGGCGATGAATTAGCAAGATAGCGGTTACCAGCATCATGGCAAGAGCAGAATCGAGAGTGTACTCCTCTTTACTGGCCAATATATGCTAGGGATTATCACAGGGGATATAGTTAGCAGGAACAGTTGTCTTGTCATAAGGAGAAGACGAGGAGCAAAGAGCGATTCTTGTAGGAGACATGTATAGATCTATCGACTTTTGTCATTAGGTTGACTAGCAATTGTTTCCCATAGGTTTATAGCTTTTCAAGAGCCTTGACCTCTTGTAGAGCTCGATCAAATTTTGATATCAGTGCACGCTCATCCTCCAAGCCCACACTAATCCTCATGATATGTTTTGCTATTCCATGTGATTCCGCCCAGTCCAATTCGCAAGCATGTGCCAGCTGAGAATAAGGTAGCACAAGCGTAAAGTTGGCTCCGATGCTTGGTCCTTTGCATAGGTCAATAGTATCGTAGAAACGTATCGCGCTGTCAAAACTTTTAAAGACAAGACTGATCAAGCCGCCATACCCACCTTCGGGTCGTCGGTATTGTTCGTATAGGGAATGGCTGGGTACCATGCTAGGATAGTTGATATGTAAGATTGAGTCGTAGGATTTGAGGAAGTTGGCGATTGCTAGGGCATTTGTATTTGATTTTCGTACGCGGGCTGGAAAGTCGAGACAATTTTGGAGAAGAATCTTTGCGTCTAGAGGAAATAAAAGATCCTCATGTAACAAGGTAAGCTTCGACTTCAGGAATCTATACGATTTAGACTTTGAGTTCAAAACCGCGCTACACGCAGTAGGTCAGTAGATTCCTTAGCATGCTACAGCGAGAGGGAATCTTACCTTCCTCCCATAACATTGCAAGCCCCGCTGAAAGTCTTCGTGAGACTAGTAATAACAACATCAACATAGGGCAGGACATCAACATTGATGAAGGTTCCTATTGTCTCATCACACACCACAGTGAAGTGGTATTGATCTGCGAGGGCCCGAATGCGACTAAGGTCCGGTGTTGCGCATAGAGGATTGGATGGAATCTCGCAGAAAAGACTAGCGATTGAATGGCCAGATTCTAGTGATGCTTCTAATTGGTCCAATTCTTCTGATGTACCTTGGGAATAGAATGTGAAACTCTGGTACCCACTTGCCCTAACACACCTAGGTGTCGACCCATATGGCCATCTAGCAATTTTCAGTGCTGCCCAGGATCTCGTAGCAGAAGGAAGTTATAACTAACCCAAATACAATTGCTCCGGAGGATTTTGTTGGACCTGGAACTAGTATACTTGCCAGGCTGTGAATTGCGCACATACCTTTGGGGAAGAGGTAAACATCTTCTGGGCTGACTGTTTCTCGCCTAGGTTGGCTCGGAGTAACAAGCTTTGAAATAACTGTTTTAATAGTCTTTTTGGTGTCGGTATCAGAATGATGCCACGGCTCGGGAGGTATCATTCCGCAATCGTGTCTAGTCGCACGGCTTTGTAGGTCAGGGACCGATGACACTGAGCTCAAAAACGGGAATCTCTCCAGGCAAAATTCTGCATTACGACTGGAGATTCCATCCCCCATGTCTGCCCAGAACTCATTGGCACATTGACTGTACTGCTCGGAAAAGAGAATAGCACTAAAGCATGCCCAAATGCGATTCGCTTCCGATACTTTCTGGTTGAGAGAGAAAGATACCTCTTGAACTGTGATCGTGGGTCCTTGGCTCTTATGAAGGTACTGGCGACATCGGTTTGCCGCATCTTTGGAAGGAAATACCATGCATCGTATATGCTCCGGGGCCCCTACCCTGTTGAGAACGGCTTCATTCAATTTCTGAACACAAGCATGCTGGTAGAACCTTGGAAAGGTTAGTGTAGCTCAAAGTCCCCCTCGCCCTGATTCAAGTAAGGGGTTTATCGTACCTCGGGTAGTAGGACTGCAGTTGTCCGACAACAACCTCGTCACCCGCCATGTAATCTACTAGGTTCTTCCATGTCGGAATAGAGGCGCTCACGGCCTATATGGCCTACATGAGTACACTGATCAACCTATGATTGAGTAATACATACATGTATGTCTCCAGGTGGCAGAGATGTCCCGAGTGGGAAAGATCGAGGCTCTGAAGCGGTCATATTCAGTGTTGTTGATGTTGACATTGACGCTGACATTGACGTTGACGTTGATGATGATGATGATGATGATGATGATGATGATGATGTTGATATTGATGTTGATGTTGATAATGTTGTTGTTATTGTTGTTGTCGAGAAGGGATGAAACGCAGGGCACATGCTTAAGTCCGCTTCTCCCTCATCACAAGTACGAAGCGGGGCCGAAAAAGTTCCGGAGACTAGGTATGACAAATAGATGTGTTTGATGGTAAATTATGCAGCTTGCGAGACCCTAAAAATATTTATCTCCCCGTAAATATCGAGTATTTGGTGGCGCAAAGCTGAAATCCACTCCGTTGGACTTCTGAGTGTAGTAGCAACAGCGAAATCGTGTTAATTGATGACGTGTGACCTAGTAAGAGCTAGTATACTAGTAGGCGCTAGTAATTTATGTCAGTAAGCACTACTAACCTAGAAATTCAGAATCTCCATACCCGACTTCTTGGCCGTCGTAACGTACTTATCGCTCATTTATTATATTAAATTCAACATTTTTATTACGAATCGTTTTAATTTAATTTTAAAAATTGTAAATATGAATAAGTATTTTGTACTGAGTTTATATCTGACTACCTACGCCCTTACCGGTCCATAGACGAGAAAAGTGCACCAAGAGTATTCCACTGAGACTTCAAACATCATGTCTGGTTTTATTATTGTGAGAGACGCCAGCAATCATGAAGGTCTGTCTTAAAGCCCAGAATACACAGTCTTGCGCTTTACTCCTAGCGTCGCACTTTGCTGACAATTTGTGGTGATACAGCTCGGTTTCGATGCAATTGGCACGTCAATGATGCGACCAAACATGCGGTAAAAATCACTTCCTGGCAAACCATCGACCTTCGATTCAAAGGGGTCTCCAACTCCGGTCAATTCTCGTGGCCCGCGAGCAGAGAGGATGTACGCCTTTTTATTGAAATGGCCGTGGATGAGTACTTCCAGGTCGATGCGCAAGCTCTTGGATCCTTGGAGGCCTTTCACTTCATACTCGACTGTCTTTCAGCTGCCGATTATGTACAAGAAAGCGTTGCGAGGGTAGTGGTGCCACAGAATGATGGGTATATCGTGCGATCCGACATACTTTCACAGCGCCTACTGGACTGCCCACCTGTGAAAAAGGTTGTAAACTTTGCCAAACCTCTGCAGTCTTTCAGTGGGAAGCCCGTCTACATTGACAGTATGCAAATGCTTCCATCAGCTCTCGTAGCATCGGCTGGCGCCATGCTCTTAACCCCGATTGATTCAATCCGCTTTCCAACTGTCGAATCGCTATTGACTTGCCTTGATCTTGAATTGAACAATCGGCTGGCATTTACTTGGCTATCGATAGAGAAACCGAAGCGTCAAACTCTTGCCATAGTTGATGGCGGTCTTCGTAGTCCTGATGATGGAGGAACGGGAGAAAGCATTTACACAGCAGCTGAAGCTCTGGGTATTGATATGGTTGTTCTCGATTATCCTGAACATTGGCTGAATGAATCTCGTTATCGCCATTGGTACAAGTCATTCATTCCATTTGACACACCACTACATCCGGATGCTGGATATGCAAGTCGAATTGTGGACGCAGTGCGGTCCTTTCCTGGTCACATCGACGGTCTTGTGACTTTGCGCGATCAATACAAAATCGCAGTCGCTGAAGCGGCCTTGCAATTAGGATTATTCACGGACCCTCCGTCGGCGTTCGAAATTACCTCGAACAAGTTCAAAACGAGCGTCTCTGTAGGGCATAACGCATTCCAGGCTTCCAGCATTGAGCAAGCTATCAAGATTGTGCATGACCACCATCTCGATTTTCCATTGATCATCAAACCTTGTAACGGGTTCCTCTCGGAAGGTGTGTTCAGGGCCGAGAGCCTCTCCCAGCTGGAGACCGGCATACACAGCATCAATACTGATCGACATGGGGTCCAGTTTGTGCTGGAAAGGTATTGCGATGGACCTGAAGTAGATGCGAACCTTGTGCTTTGCGATGGGGAACTGCTGTTCTTTGAAGCATCTGATGATTTTCCTAAAAGCGCAGATTCAAATGGCAAGGGCAGCGTCAAAACCTTCATTGAACTAGCAAACGTTCTCCCATCCAGGTTGCCGCAATCCGAGCTTACTACATTACGAAACTCCCTACATCAAAGCCTAATTCGGATGGGTTTTCAGAATGGATTCTTTCACCTGGAAGCACGAATGGAGAACTCAAGCATGGAATATGGCACTCACAACAATATCTTGGACTTAACCGAGCGCTCTACGCCAGCCAAGGTCGTACCATCTGCCTGGTTGATCGAGGTCAACCCTCGACCGCCGGGGATCCAGGAATCAGAAGCGGTGCGACATACGTACGGTGTCGACTATTTCGGTCTCGCCTTGTTATTTGGTCTCAACGATAGGCATCGTATCAAGCAGCTTTCAGACCCCTTCGTTCAAGGACCGCAGTATTGGTGTGAGATGGTGTTTATCCCTGTCGATAGGGGAGGGGTTTTTACGTCAGGAGATGTGTGCGCAGAACTATTTTCCAGGCGTCCCGATCTCGTTGATTTTGTGTCGAAGTGCTTTTGCTTCTTACACCTGGGAGACAAAGTGCCAGATCCGGGAACAGGAGTAAATGCTTGGGTGGCATACTTCAACGTGTTCTCGAGAGAGAGCAGAGCCCATCTGTTGGAAATAGCAGAATGCGTAAGAAAAGAGGTGAAGTTTTGCATTCTGTAGCTCTCTAGCAGGGGTAAATTCTACTTGAGTCTATAAAGATACGTCCTCTCTGTTATAAACCTACGCAGCAACTGAGCAGCACGCTAGGTTAAACAGCACTTAGATAAGTTAAACTTGCGTTTTTCAGCGGTTCTTCATTTGTAAAGAAAATGTTCAAATTCTAGTTAACGTATTCCACTAGCGAGTCGCGCACTAGAGAATACCATAATAAACTTTAATGTTGTTGTTTCTAGTGTTATATCTCTACAGCCACGAATTAATTCAACCAAGCTGTCTCTAGGGGCGCCAGTTACTGGCACGCCCACCTCCCGTACGGAAATTAGTTTATTATACTGTACTCGTAACTTCAAGCGCTACTGTCTGATACCTATTATATAGGTAAGATGGCGGCGATAGTTGCAACTAGTGCGAATGCACAGAGATTACCCCCTGAAAGGAGAGGAACACCAAAATCCACGGCACCTGGTGACCCACTCCGATCTATGAACTACATGGCACTACAGTAAGAAAATTTCGTAATAGATTGTTGCTGTTGAGATATTGTAATACATCGCTTTTTAACAGTCTATTGGGTGCGCAACTCGCTAGTCGGATACTTTAAATATAATACAAAGTACGCATTGGGAATTCCTAACTTTTCTAAATTTCCTATTATAACTTTCTTACAACTACCTCACAAGAGCCAGTTGCTTGCTCCTGGTGCTCGCTCGTCATCTCTCACACATCCAAGACTTGATTTTGCCCCTTCCGGCTTCCCCTCTATACCTTCCCCCTGTATATAGAGACCACTGTATATAGAGACCACTGCAATACAGACACTTTGTCTCCCTGCAAGGGAGTGCGAACTGGCCCTATCTAAAGCTATGGTCTAAGACCACAGCGATAGGTGAGCCGTTTACGGCCAAACTTTACTCTTCTTGTCCCTCTTGACTGCGTGAGGTCACCAATAAAGTTGGTAATAGTTCTCTTAATAAAAGTATGAGGTGTTTTTATCAATTTCCTGACCCTAGCAAAAGCTGGTGTGTCACTAGCAATTCCTGGTGGGGGGCCAGGGGTGTCGAAACTCTTGCTGTGTCTCTGTGGAGTCCGTTACAGTTACCTATGCCAGAAGGTTAAGTTTGAAGTAGCAATAGATAGCGGTAGATAGGAAATGTAAATCCCACATGACGACGTTCCCGATTAGCAGAAGTGGTCGGCGTACGTCTGTCCTGGTATTTCGCATGGAAACAGGATCCACGAACTGACTACGAAATATGCGTGGGAAGATCGTAAGACCACATAAAAACTATTCGAAATACGGAGTTTCTCAATATAAAGAGCCAGGTATGCGAGACATCTAAGTTGCCTAGCTATATGTATACAAAATCCGTCCAGCTACCTCTCATAGTAATCTACAACTTTGCCTTGGCAGGCTCGAGGGTGGAGAGCAGAAGGTCCCTAATATCCCCTGCGGCCTCGTTGAGGTAAAAGCTCATTCGCTCGCTTCCAAGGCCCTTCGACACAATATTGAACTGGATGCTGTCAAGTATTAGCAATCTTCATTCTAGCTTCCGGAGAGGTGAAATACCTGTTCTCGTTGATCATATATGCGATTCCCCACCCGTCGTGGATGACTTGACTCCAGCCAAATCCATTGAAGTATTCCGAGCTCAATTGCGAGGTAGAGATGTACCATGAGCTCGAGTAACTGTATGTAGGATCCTTGAAGATGGCTGGAACCTCATCACTCGAACCAAGCAGCTTTTTTAGTCCAAGCAGATGGCGATCGACACCCTTCCCGTCTGCAGCAGCAGAAACGTATTCAATGTGCGCCTTGAGCGCCTTGTGAAACAAAGCAGCAGTCTCCTTAGGACCGACGGAATGATCAACCATGGCTTTGCAGAAAGCTACAGAGTCATCGGAGACTGTGCGGCAAACCTCTGTGCGACCTTGTTGGAACCGGCGCGTCATGACTGATTCGTACGTAGGCCTGTTCTTGCCATACATCTTGAAGTAGGCTAATTGGATGATCATTTGGACGTAGGCGTCCGGAGAACATCGCAGCTTCTTGATCAAGCCTTTGCCGTAGCCTTGGTAGGCTTGAACCTCCAACTCGTGGGCACCAATGACATCCCTGAAGTCTTTTTGGGCGCGCTCAATCTCGGCTTGCACCTCCTTGTTGATGTAGAATTTTATCACAGTGGGTTCTGGAAGGTTTGAGCGGACCGAAGGGTCGGAGAAGTCGAGCTTATTGTTAAAGATGACTTCGCTTACGTATTCGTTCAGTCGGTGAGTAGAGGTACCGTCCATCATAGAATGTTCACCCGTGAACCCAGAGGTCCCGTTGTCATTGATGATGAATTGGCAAGGTTTGTCATACCACCGGTTTTCTCCATCACCGTGCCAGTACTGGTGTGCTCGCTCTTTCAAGGTCACGGGGGCAGCATCGTCCAGACAGACAACGAATGACGCTGCTTCGACTTCCTTCATGGACTTTGCATTTGTAGGGTGGGCTTTTAGCAAGATTTCTCTTGCGTCCGTCCAGCTGTCGCGATTCTCAGAAGTCAAAGCACCGACAGGGGCCGTCCTGCCCGCCAGTTCGTAGACGCGCTTGAACTGCTGCTCCAACTCCGAAGTATTCAGCTGCTTTCCATGCACTTCGTGTAAGACCTTGAAGAACTGATTCTTGCGGATAACGAGGATGTACTTGTTCTCTTGGGGGGAATATTTGATTGGGTAATCGGCAGGTCGAGCGGGAACTCTGCAGGCGTTAAACATCCAATGGTAGCTCTCCATTGACATCGGCAGCCCCTTCATATATTCAGGCTCCAATGTACCTTCGTCGACCTGCTTCTTAAACTCCAGCGCCGCCGTAGATATAGCTGCGGCGCGCTTGGCAGGGTCTCGCCGTCTTCGATCATCGCGGTGAGAATAGAAGTAGCTGACATATGGCACAACGGGGTCTCTGTATGTCAGGTACGCCGCATCATTCCACCACTCGTAGAGCCAGTTCTTGTGTTTCGGGTCTTCACGGCGAGCAATCAGCTTTTCTTGAAGCTTAGCACCAATCCCATCAGGCTTGATAAACTCTTGGACGGCCTTTGTTGTTGAGGCTAGTTCGGTGCTTGAAAGGAGCGGATGGACGGACTTGAGGTATCGAGCTGCGGTTACTTCGAGGGTTGGGACAGGCAGTTTGGGGAGGGAGTCTTCGAATCGGAACATTGGGCCCTTCGAGCTGTCTTCTTTGTAGCCTAGTGTATCTTCGCTTTAGCTGACTGACTGACGCATCTGCGCAGGGCTGGTGGATAATTAACTGCATACTTGCTGGCAAAGCAGAGCTACTGCTCTGTCGTGCATTTCTCGGTGCCATTCCCGTGCTCTATGACTGAAAGTAAGTTCTAATTTCACAGGAAAGTATTGGAATGAGGCTTGCCTTGGAAAAGTGAGAGATTTGAAATGCACGTCTGAGCACTGTTGACTGCGTGTGAGCCTTTCCGAGTCCCTTCAGCATACCAACGATGTTCTTGGACTCCAAGAAAGTATTCAAGGGGTTCTGGAGATCAAATATAATGGTTGCGCAAGGCTATGCTTGCTTCGTTAGTAATGGGTCGTTCTTGGGGCCTCGGTTGTTCCGGGTCGAGGAAGACCCGAGGTTTTCCAGGAAGTGCGATGGCTTCGCAGAAGGGTGTCAGCCTGACGGCGGCGGATGCAGGGTCAGCCGAGGCCTGTTTGGATCACATGGGGGCTTCTAGACCGTAACTAGGGGTGCAGTGCATAAGCGCACAACACCACATTGATGGATGAATTACAAATTTTAATTTTAGATGATTTCTATAATCTACAAAGGATTTCTACCGTACTGGTACAGTATTGAAAGCTGTCCTTAAGCAACCATTGAATTATACAGAGGATATATGGGAGTCAGATTTGCCGCGTAATTTCGACTCTCTGCTAGGGATAGCAAAGCTAAAAAGCCGCCCGGCTCATCGTATTACCTACGATAGGCTGAAGGCGTGAAGGGTATATGTGACCGTATCAATGTAATTTCACCTAGGTATTATTCGCGTCCTTACGGCAAGCTATCGGGAGATTTCCAGAAAAATATTACATGTAGTGCCCCTTAGCGTAGAAATCCAAATTGCTTCAATTTCAGTGGTATGACGTTAAAATACTGCGTTTGTCGCTATCTGCGCCATACCTCTCTCGGGTTCCCCGTCCCGTTCCGGGCCCACATCCGGGAGAGTTGGGCACATGCAACGGATACTGTATGTTGATCGTCTTATAAGCTTTTATGTGGGCTTGGTTGTGTACAGTAGGATCCAGTGTGGGTCTCTATTTCTGTATTGAGCAGGTATCCGTGCCTTTCGCTACGCTGGGGCCACCCATCCGCTTCGTACGGATCGTTTTATTTCTTGACTTCTTGTGGACTATCTTGGATACCATTTTTTAATAAATAGTTAGTTATTTAATTAGAAAGCTTGGATCACGTGACCAATTGTGGTATTCTGAACTAGGTAGGTATAAAGGACCTGCTCCCGTGCATACCTACAAGCACTACTTCTATGTCTTAGCAATTACGTGAGCATATTGACCAGAATCGTCTAGTAAGCACCTCTACCTATTATTTCTTCGTTCTTCAAATTTCTTAAGCTGTTGGAGCTAGCCGCCTCGTTGCTTCCGGCCATGTCAGACCTCAATGGGAAGAGACAAGCAGAAGACGGAAGACAAGCAGAAGACGGAAGACAAGCAGAAGACAGAAGAGAAGCAAGTATCTTAGACCGGCAATTGAATGAGATTTCCGGGACCAAGCAGATCAAGCATAGCTCTCTACGCGCATACACAACGCCAGTCGACATTTTCTTCATCGGTATAAGCTCTTTGGCCGCTATCATTGCTGGTGCTCTAAACCCACTACTCACTGTATTACCCTAAATAATTCTCCACATGAGATATACCTATTGACGGAAATAGGTTATATATGGGCAATTCGCGGGCACATTTGACGACTTTTCCAAAGGCTCCACCAGCTCTGCGGTAGCATCGTCGAGGACCTCGCAATTCACCTTGTTCTTCGTCTACCTTGCCATCGGGCAATTCGTTTTCACGTATATAACTACTATCGGCTTCTATTATACCGGAGAGAAGGTCACTCGTCGTCTGAGGAAGTCATACTTCGGATCCATCGTTCGACAAAATATGGCTTTCTTCGACGTAACAGGGGCCGGAGAAATTACCTCACGCCTAACATCAGACATGAACTTAGTACAAGAGGGGATAACTGGGAAGTTTTCTTTGTGTCTGACCTCGGCGGCGACATTTGGATCCGCCTTTGTCATTGCATTCATCGTGTACTGGAAACTTGCCATCATTTTATCGTCCACCATCGTCGCAATGACCGTCGCTAGCTCCATAGGCGGGGCTTACGCTGTCAAGTACACGAAGCTTTCGCTTTCCTCTTCCAGCAAGGGAGCCACTGTCGCCGAAGAAGCTATCGGCTCCATCCGTCATGTCACGGCTTCTGGGATCCAAGAACAGCTCACGGACCGCTACTTGCCGTACTTGCTGAGCGCAAAGAACGATGGGATGAAGGCACGCTCATCTGTTGCAATCGTGGTGGCTGTCTTAAACTCTGTGCCGTACATGAGCTACGCCCTCTCCTTTTGGATGGGCTCCCGGTTTCTGGTTAGCGGTTCCATGAACGTTTCCGAAGTCGTTACCATGACTCTGGCTATTGTCATTGGAGCCTGGTCAGTCGGGAGAGTCGCTCCTAATGCACAAGCGTTTATCTCGTGTGTGGCAAGTGCAAGCGGCATTCTTCAATCCATCTCTCGGAAGTCGCCCCAGGATCCTTTTGATATGAATGGGATAGATGTAGACAGGATAAATGGAGATGTTACCTTCACAAACGTCGGGCTTGTGTATCCATCGAGGCCAGATGCGACAGTTTTGACGGATTTGACCTTCACGATACCTCCCCATAAAGCCACTGCGATTGTTGGGGCTTCCGGATCGGGGAAGAGCAGTATTATGGAGCTGATGATGCGCTTCTACGAGCCTACGAGTGGCCTGATATGTAGGTATTTTTTTTTCATTTATCGTCATCTATTGCTCCTCTTTGGATATCACTGAATTGAAAACCGTTAGCGTTCGCCGGATACGATATTCAATCAGTCAACCTACGGTCCCTCCGTCGCCAGATCTCCCTTGTTGGGCAAGAACCGATGCTTTTTAATACGTCAATATTTGAGAACATTCGTTACGGTCTAGACAGCACCACAAATCAATCGAACCATGAGGAAATTGCACAGAGAGTTGTCCAGGCAGCGAAGAATGCAAACGCTCATGGATTCATATCAGGGCTTCCATTGAGCTATCAAACACAAGTCGGTCAAAAAGGTCTCCAGCTCTCCGGTGGTCAACGACAGCGCATCGCTATTGCTCGAGGCCTGATCAAGAACCCAAAGTTGCTCCTTCTCGACGAGGCTACGTCTGCCCTTGACGTCCACTCTGAGCAAATAGTTCAAACGGGGCTCGAGAAGACGGCTCAAGATCGCACTACAGTCATTATAGCGCACCGTTTATCTACTATTCGACATGCAGATAAGATCATTGTTCTGTCGAAAGGCCACATAGTAGAGGAAGGAAGTCACGAGGATTTGATGTTGAAGAAAGAACATTACTTTCGACTTGTGGAGAATCAGCAGCTGTTGAACCCTAACAAAGAAGAGTTTACTGAAGCCCCTTCTCGCGAAGAGGGTCTAGTAGAAGTCACTAAAGACTCACTGATCGAGTCCAGCGTAACAGAAGAGAAGTCAGGAAACATAGCTAACCTTCATAAACGACCGATTCAAGTGACACCGGGAGAACTCCCAAAAGAAAACCAGGGCGCGGGTGCATTATCGTTCTTCGAGACCCAAAGACTTCTTGCTACAATAAACACCCCCAGCCTCAAACTTCTTGTCTTTGGCCTTGCAGTTTCAGTACTTTCAGGTCTAGGGACACCTGGGTTAGTGCCTCTCCTGCTTTCCAAACCACTATTTGTTTGACTTTGCACTAACTTCCACGAAGTCAGTCGATCATATTCGCAGAACTTATCGACGCCCTGTCATTATCCACAGACTCCTACCATACCTTACGGGAGCGGGTTGACTTTTGGGCACTCATATACCTCGTGCTTGGCCTAGTCATTCTCATGATTTGGATGTGCCAAGGTGTCGTATTGTCGCATTGCGAGGAAAGCGCTATCTTTCGTGCGAAACATCGCACTTTTCGAACGATTCTTCGCCAGGAGGTTCTCTTTTTTGATCAAAAGAACCATTCGGCAGGACAGCTGATGTCTCTTCTTTCTTCCAGCTCCACTGATATAGGGGGTGTTGGCGGCTTGGTGCTTGGCACTATTCTCTCATTCTGCGGTACCATCGGGGGCGGTCTCATCCTCTCCTTGGCCATTGGCTGGAAGTTAGCACTTGTGTGCGCGTCTACTATTCCTCTTGTTGCCGGTTGTGGCTATCTACGACTGATGATGCTGTCAATTTTCGATCAAAAAATGAAAGAATCGCACAACACGTCAATCAACTACGCCAGCGAAGCAACAAGCGCGATTCGCACGGTAGCTTCCCTTTGTCTCGAAGAGCAAGTTCTTGCCAATTACAATAAGATGCTAGCTGAACAAGCTGCTAAGTCACTAGTTTCAATACTCCAGACATCAGTTCTGTATGCTGCCTCTCAATCCATCACGTTTCTTTGTGCAGGATTAGCATTCTGGTATGGTGGAACGTTGGTCATTGATCATGAGTATACAATATTTCAGTTCTTCGTCTGCTTTGCCTCTTTGATATCTGGATCGCAGACTGCTGGTATCATCTTTTCCCATGCACCCGGATTCAGCAAAGCAATGACGGCAGCTGGAGAACTCAAGACCCTTTTCGATCGAAAACCTAACATAGACACTTGGAAGACCCGTGACAACCCAGTCCACAGAGAGAAAACTGAATCTCACATTAAGTTTGAAAATGTTGGTTTTCGGTACCCTGAAAGGCCTGATCGGCTTATCCTTGAAAACCTTACTCTATCAATCCGATCAGGACAGTACGTTGCGCTTGTCGGACCTAGTGGGTGTGGCAAGAGTACTATTATTGGACTAATTGAACGTTTCTTCGATCCAACTGAGGGTCGGATCAGCTTAGACGGTAAAGACATCACACAGCTCAATGTCAATGATTACCGGCGAATGCTATCCCTTGTTGGACAGGAAACTACGCTGTATTCAGGCACTATTTTGGAAAATCTCATGCTCGGTTCCTCAGAAAATGTTTCTGAGGATGCCGTCATCGCAGCTTGTAAGAAAGCAAATATATATGATTTCATCGTGTCTCTTCCGTGAGTGAGCAAATTGGCAGCTTCCAGGAGGGGACTAATATTGTATACGCAGAGATGGATTCTTGACAGAAGTCGGTACCCGAGGTATCATGCTGAGCGGTGGTCAGCGACAACGCATTGCCATAGCCCGAGCGCTTCTCCGAAACACGGAAATTCTACTTCTTGATGAGGCAACATCCTCACTAGACACGGAATCTGAGAAGCTGGTGCAGCAAGCATTAGATGTGGCCGTGCAGCGCCGTACTACCATCGCCGTTGCGCACCGACTTTCAACTATCCAGAGCGCAGATCTCATCTTTGTCCTTGATCATGGAGCCCTGGTCGAATCAGGAACGCATAGCGAGCTTATAGCAAGGAGAGGCATGTATTTCGAGATGGCACAGACGCAGAGCTTGGAGAAGACGAAGCCAAGAGTAGAAACCTGAACCTAAATAGCGATTTCCACCCTAAATATATTATTTGAGTTCTCCTTGCTCTTGTCGAAATTAAAGTTAAATTATTTGAACTTGAAAGTGATTCTAAGCGTTTCTAGTTCCCTCATTCATGCTCCATATATATTTTAGATAAAATTGTATTATTCAAAATTCCAAGGCGTACTTATAGTTAAAATATTCGACTAGCGAGTCGCCTACCCAATAGTTAGTACAGTCAACTCTCACTTATTGCACACCCGCTCTTAGCACACTCCCGCTTATAGCACACAATTCGCTTGGATGGGCCCACTTTTTCTTGATTTTACATACAAAACTCCCACTTTTAGCACACTCACCCTTTGCACACAATTTTCATCCCATATTTGCTGAGTCATGCGCTTAGTCAGTCATGTCGACCAATCAGAATGCCTGAAATCTCCGATCTTCCACCTCTTCCAACTGTCAGACCAGCTACACAAGCTGCTCTACCACCAGCAAAGCGTGCTCGATTAGGCATATCAGATGCCCAAAAGCAGGCATTACGTGCCTTCTGGTCTAATTCGAGCCCTAGACCAACCCAATCCGCGTGTGTAGATTGGTTTTTGTCCCAATTTAAACATAAGATTAATCGTACAACGGTCTCAAGAATTCTATCATCTCAATATGATTATCTTGATATAGGGCTTACTAAGGCAAATTCACGATTTTCTTCATCTTTCTGGCCTATTCTAGACCAGAAGCTTTCGAATTGGGTGAATAAGCATATTGAATCAGGGTTTCCCATCACTGGTCCTTTGATCCAGATCAAAGCAAACGAGCTTTGGTCTCAGATCCCTGAATATCGAGATCAACAAAAACCTGCTTTCTCAGAGGGTTGGCTTACGCGCTTCAAAAACCGGCATAATCTTCGATATCATACTTTCCATGGAGAAGCTGCTTCAGTCCCATCTTCTGTACACAATCATATGGAAGAAATTCGTACGATATGCGATCAATATGAACCATCTGAGATATATAATATGGATGAAACTGGCCTATTCTGGAGGCAGATGCCAAATGGGGGTCTTTCCCATGGAAAAATTGCTGGAAAGAAGAAAGATAAGACTAGAATATCTCTTGTCGTTACAACAAGAGGAAGATATTATATATGAAGATGAGACTGATGGGCAAGATATATATATTGATATAGAGAGCTCGGAAGCACAAGATATTGAAGAAAATGGGCCTCCACCAGAGATTCTGTCTAATTCTGATATAATGGGTCATCTACAGGATATATTACTATGGGTTGGAAGCAAGGAAAAGAGCACATCAGACCATATACGTCAGGTGACCCTAGAGGATATGGGATGGAAGCCTAAATAGGCAATGGGGCTAAGGGCTAGCTAATTTATTGATTATGTCATCCTCTCACTTATTGCACCTCCCGCTTATTGCACATGATTTTCCTTGGATAGGAGGGTGTGCAATAAGTGAGAGTTGACTGTAGTGGCGGAACGACCTTCGGGGAGCCCGCCCTTTACCAGCAAAATCTGCCATGGAAAAAATCATGAAAAGAATTTCAGTGCCGTTGCTTATGCTAGCGGAAGTTTCAAAGAAGGTGTTTGTGCCCAATATATCCAGTCAAATCATTCATGGCTAATGGACAAGGCACCAAATGGGGGTCGATCTGAAAGCTAAAGACACTCTTTTTTTCATTTTACACCCCCATCTTCTATTCCGAGAGACTGTCAATATTGATTGAAATGCGCACGGATCGGTCGTTGTCTGAGAATCTGTCTAGATTGATATCTCCAATACTAGCGTGCACATAGCGGTCGATTTTGGTAAAATACGCAGGCCAAATATGGTCCGATTCTGCTGTATAGACAATGCGGGAGATCACAAAGACCCAGGGTAAACAATCGAGCCATCCGATAATCTTAACAGAATAGAGACTGTGATCTCCGTATCAGGGTTGATTGCAGCAGCGCTTTTGAAGTTCGTGAAGAGGACGAGTAAATTCCGGGTGTGGCCAGCTCGGGTGTGAAACACGTTATAGCCTAATGTTTCCCTTTGAACAATAAGATAATATACGTCTGAACTACAACACTCCTTCGACACCGAGATCGGGCTTGGCAATCCCTCCCAGCCTCACACGATGGAATGGTTCTCTCTCAAAAGTGACGGCTTGATGTCTGTCCAATACTCGATCCCCATGAAAGTGCCCGGTGACTCCCAGCTTCGCATGTTTACGTGGAAAAGGACACACGCGCTGGGCAGGCACGGAGGCTTGAAGTTAGTGGATCAGGCGAATCAGATAGTTGCGGTGTTTGGATCGGGCGGGAGTTTTTCATCGACAGACGTGTTAGATATCTACGTGCAGTATGGAGAGCGGTTTCAGCTTCTGGTATTGGTGAGTGGGTTGGCTCTGCTTGAAAAACTCGCGAGAGGCAGAAACCGCGGAGCTGGTGGTGGCGGTGGTGGTGGGGGCGCTTAAGCAGGGCCTGACCCCAAATCTACATCAGCCCTAGACAGCCTGAGCCGGTGGCCCGGACGTGGTGTCTGGAGCCTGGAAATAGATGGGAACGTTGAAGTGAGCCGAGAATCATTTGGAAACTTGCTGATGAGAAAGGGCTTCAAGGTAAGAGTGCTTTACAAGATTTTTAGAAGAGCAGAGAGCTAAGTTGTTAATATAAGATATTGATGTTTCAGAAGAGTTACAGCCTCTTGTGTATAGATCAAGGAAGCTCCTGGCCACGAAGCTGAGAAGAGACAATGAATTACACCGCTGGATCAAGTCTTATACTCGGTGGCCACTTGGTCTCGCCTTACTTCTTCAATCTGAACATGTGTCAATTGATGGTGCACTCACTGCCGCGTGTGAAGCGAACTGCGAGGAAAGTGTCAGACTCTTGATCAACGATCACAGGTGCTTTATCGGGAAAGAGCATCTAGAGCTCGCTAGTTTCCACCCCAATCCAGCGATTGTTGATCTGATAGTGAACTCATTGATCGATCGCAGAAAGCGGTTACAGGCTCTAGCAGTGGTACATCTGCCAAGAGAAGTTATAGGTCATTTGAACATTGGATCTGATACGCTCTTAAACGTACATGCTTATGAAGTATACACTCTACTTTCAACGGTCTCTGTGGATCTGAGAAATCTTTTGGAGTGTCGTACGTGGTCAGTCTTTGACTCTTTTGGGGTCAATCTTGAACTGGCCGACCGGCTATACGATGCCGGCTTCAGAGACCTGAATGTAAAAGACAAGGATCACGAAACTTGCCTGACAAAATTGTGGCAAGCCACGCCACCTTGCACACTGGAAAAATTCCTCCAAAAGGCTTACTGGCTCATCAGCAAAGGTGCTAACGTCCATCACAAAGGTCCAGCTGGGTCCACTCTGCATATTCTGGGGAACAGTGTTGGATCTGTTCTATCGTGGAACGATCAAGAGACGGAATTTCATTTGGAGATTCAGTCTCTGAGCGATAGCTCGAAGGCCTTGCTGAGAATAATTCTATTCGACAATATCCGAGATGACTGTCAGTGTGCATGTTCTCTGAAAGGGTGCTCTCCGCTCACGGCTTTTCTCGGCGGGCTTTTCTCTAAATGGACGTGCAGTGATTCCAAGGACCTCATTCGGATGCTCACAGAATTATTGACCATTGTGCTCGATAAATACGACGCTGTGTCTCTCGAGTGCTACAAAACCCACTTGAGCTCAGGCATACTTCAATTCATCACATTCCGGAGCCTGGAACTCACTCATACTTGCTTGCATGAGTATAGAAAAATCGAGCTGGAGGAAATAAAGGAGATTCACGACGAAGAGAAATTACTAATATTGGATCTGATGAGCCTGTTAAAACAATTCTCTGAGGAAATCGAGAGGCACAACTTGCAACTTCCGAGTTTTATCACCGGCTCGTGGCAGACCCACATGGAGTCATTCCTGTCGTCGTCCGGAACCCAAAGCACACAGGAGATCAGTCAAATTCGAGAGACAGGAGTCATTATTGATCAGCCGATCTTTTCGCGTTAGCATAGACCATGAGAGAGCAGTTACTCCCGCAATATAGTCTTAATGGCGACATGTCTTACCAGAAGAATGTTCGCAAGTTTTCCGTTCACAAAATAGACCGCCAGCGTAGGCCAACCTGGCCTTCTTCCCCACCTCATAGCCATTCCTGTATGCTACTGTGAAGACTGTCAAAATAAAGACAAAGAGGATTCACACATGATCCAGGCCCAGGGAAAAGAGGCCCTAGATAGAAGTCAAGATAAAGATATAGAAGCAGGAGCTAGGTGCTAAAAGTACTGGGCAATAAAGCATCATGAAAGCGATGGAGAGGTGTCTTATCTTTATAAGATGAAGATTCAGATACCTTGGCCATATTAAGTGCTCGTTGCATTTTAAGTGCGGTGATTGGTTGTCATGGAAGTATGATCTCTGGTGTACCTGGTGGTGGTGGGTTGGGCGGGTTTATTAGAGAAGAGTTTGCACCTGGTCCAAAACGAGAGTCTCTCTTACGCCATACATCCATAAGTATGCGATTACAGGATGAGGATCTATGGATTATCTTGTCTAAAAATGCGAAAAAATGCCGAGATCACCTTATTTCTCACCCTGTCTATTGCGCACTCACCCTTCTCACCCTGGGTCGCGCGACCATCAAGCAGCGATCAGCTACTTCCCCACTAGGCTAGTCCTGGCGATTGGCTAGCCCGGTCATTAGGTGTGTGGCTTAAGTACGGCTGAGCGGACGGGAAGCCCTGTTCTCCACACCCTATGGTCGTATGTACTAGTTATTGCTTAGATAAGGTTGATGTAACTAGTAATGAATAGGAAATGTACATTTGTTCCAAAAAAGCGAGGAATTAGATCCTGTTTGCCCCGGCTAGTTACATTGGGATAGATCTCTAGTCTTCGTCTTTCTATAGTAGACTAGTACCTACCTAGAATAGAATATATTAGCTACTCTATTCTATCTGAGAAGGTACTAGTCTACTATTAGAAGAAAATAACTAACGTAATCCACGGCCGAGCTGGCCACCCACCCCTATTGCAAAATTTCAAAATTGATTATCTTAGCCAATACCTATTAATTTAACTAGATAATACGATTTTTATATGAAGTAATCCTATGCCCTTTTACTCTGTATCTACTACAGGTAGGAAGAGCCCTCCTAGCCGGTTGAATTAGCTGATTAGGCAGATCGACCTATTTATGTGATACTATCTTATTAGCTTCTATAGGCTTATTTAGCTGTTAAACTAGCTATAGGCCCTCTTTGATCAATAGGCCCTCTTTGTAAGCGATCTGCTTAGTCGAACGAGTACGCTTTTAACGTTTCTTTTTATTTACTGTACAAAGGTTCATATTATCCTGCACTAGTAATACAGTACTATATAACGATAGATAGGTACCTTTGATAATCTGATTAAGTATAAGTTTTGACAGTGTAGATAGGCTATACGATCGCCGTTTAAGAAGCTCTTTAAGTATAGAAGCTTACTTTTCTAGCTAAATTACTATTCTAGGTATTTTTAGTGTAAATTAGCTAGATCTGCTGCTTAGTCGGCTTAATAGTAGTAAAGGCGTTCGGAGAGAAATATTAAGCTGCGAAAGTACTCTATCGGTATTAACTGGTATAATACTAGTAGCTGTAAAGCTACTTTGAATAATATTCGGCTGAAAAGCTTCTACCCTTATGTGTAGATAGTCTATAAGAAAATTAAGCTTATTAATATAATTATAGTCAGTATAGGCTAAATTACGTATAAAGCGACCGTAGGTATACTTTAGTACTATAAAGTATCTAATATTAAGAGATTAAAGTAAGTATAACGAATATAAAGGTATACAGATTAGTATAATATTATTTTCGGTATAGATTCGATCGAATTAAGGTATAAGATAGCTACTGTACCCGTTAAGAATTAATAGCCGAAATTACCCCTGTATATGTAAATTAGTATATAGAATAAAGATCTTTTAGAGCCAGCGAAGGCTAATTTTATTAGTAGTCTAGCTATTATTCGATACTTTGATTTGCTAATCCCTAGGGTGATTCAACGATTTAAACTAACTAGCGATATAAACCTAGCCTTTGAATATAATACAGGGCGGCAGCGAATAGCCGTCAGTATATATTATTTTGATTATAGTAACCTGTTTATAATTTTCTGGCTGTAGAATTAATCGCTAACTGTAGTATTCTGCTTATATAACTATCTTTTACAATAATATAAGGCCTATTGTAAATCTAGTCTTATTAAAGTTATAGATATCCTCTGGTTAGATACTGTTCTTATTAATTACGTATTGTACTGTCAAAAACTACTCTTTTATAGACTTTAGATCCTTATTAAGAGTACGCTGATAGTTATATCGCTTTGAAAAGTACGATCGAAGCTTATCGTACCGTTTTATAAAGGTTAATACCTAATTAACGCCAATAGTTAATAGGGGGGGTTACTCTATGTGCTTTAGGAAGAATATTAGCCATCTCTCGTACGGTAGAAGGCCTTGGCGCTGCTCTACGCGAATCTATAGAGATAATCTACTCAGTAAGCGAATCCTCTTTGTATAGAGTTAATTTATAGCTATTTGGGTATGTATCAGCGCGTAAGACTGTGCTATAGGTATGCGTCTATAAGGTAGAACGCGGTATAGTATAGAGCTTCGCTGCTGTGCGAATATATTTGATACGGCCGTTTTTTATATCATCAAGGGCTAATAGGATCTTGCCCTCCTGATTAGCCAATTTCTGCGAAGATGCAGTGCGAATTAGTGGCATGGTAGGCGGTTGAATTAGGTAGGGTAGTAGGAAGATGCGATTTAGGATGGGGTGGCCAGCTCGGCCGTGTGGCCAGCTCGGCCGTGGATTACGTTAATAGTAGATAATAGGGAGTTAGAAACTTTTACAGTGCTACGAGTATTGTAGACATAGATTATTTATATCTAGATTTGAGTAGAGATTACATACTAATCTGGACTTATAAGGGCCCATGGTCCATTTAGCAGCCCTCCATTTTAGTGCCGTGTCACTGGCAAGATAACTACCCCTTCAAGGCGTACGAAAATACAAGTTAAGAAATAAATACAACACGCAATGAGTTATACAACGCCAGAAATAAGATAAGTCTATCGCTATGAATTATGTAAAACTCTGATTTTGCTTTACCGGCGCATTTGGTTGCAATTCGTAGCCGACGTAGACTTCGTCAGTGCGCCTGATGTGCATGTCTTCTTGGTCGTCGAGGATATTTTCCTCGCTAATATTCTTGAAATGTGAAGCCTGTCGGTTGCTCCTCTCAACAGCGGGTTTGGGATATACCCTTCCCTGGCTAAATGAGTTCGACGGGTACTTTTGATCACTCAATGTTGTCAATTTTAATTTGACGAGGATGAAATCGACAACGGGTTTCAGGGTAGGCATGCACGCTGCGATGACGACGATATTGGCCTCCACACTAAATTTCTGGATTAGAATGGATTCAAAGGGTCTTATGTAGATAGTCTCTTACCTTGTCCATATGACTAGGGGGACAGTAGAGTCTATATTTGATTAGTTCATTCAAATAAAGTCAAGCTCTGGAGGTAAATAAACTCACAGGTCAGGTCACTTTGGTCTCGGAGACCCCCAATCTGGGCACACTTGACCATAGCAACAGCGGATGCACTGAAGCCATTGTTAGTACTTGGACTTTTCATGCAAGCAAAACGAAGGGGTATGAAGATGGATTGAAATCTTCCACTACGTACACCGTCCCAAGCCCTAGGGCAGCACTCAATGCGATCTTTTTGCGCAATGACATTTGTAGGTGGAATAAAATGAAGGCGGGATAGGTGGCGAGGTATAAGTCGACGAAAGCAGAAAAAGCTATTTCAAAACGGGCATTAGTTAAACACGTGAATCGGTTGGCCATGGTCCACTAACCTCCATTGAATGTTGCAAACCCAACCAAAACGTCGACAGGTCTACATTTTGCCACTCCTGCTTGGACCAAGGTCGGCTTCCAAAGTCCTTGCGGTGGACTGCACATCGTCACATAGATCAAAATGTTGACTATGGCAATGACTGTAATCATGGAAACGAGCGTCCACAGGATAATGCGATGGATCCGTACTGGGTTGAGGATTCGATGAAGTAGGGCTGCGACGGCGAGTTTTGGGAGCGCAAAAGAGATGATGCCGAAGAGGAAGGAAATCATATTCCATAGAAGAGCTTGTTCAAGAGCATTGTTCGAAAGAGTAGCCGCGTGTTGGCCGAATCCCTTCACCACCGATACTGCCGCAGTGGCCGAGTATAGAAGGCCGAATATCTATGATGCCAGATTTTTCGCTGTCAGTTTGTTTTGAGATGAGGAAAAACAAGGAAATTATCTGAAAATAGAGAGTATAAGGAAATCCATGCAGCTCACCATGGAGAACGCAATCAACCAGTCGTCTAGTCCAAAGCTCCGAAGCAATCGCTGCCGAACGCATAGACGGGTGACAACCAACACCAGAGCCAGTGCTGTCAGCGACCACATCACGGCCAATACCGTGGGGCCCTTGCCCTCCATGGATACGGTTCCTGGAATCGAGATTACGCCAGAGCTGGGAGGTCGACTGTTTTCTGGCAATTGGCAACGGCAGACATAACGTGTGGATGTGGAATAGTTGAATGGATAAATTTTGTCAATCCTCTTATGCGATCGGAAGAAAAGTCTTGGGAGTTTTGGCCCCAATTACACCATCGAATTATCTGGCCCCAGGGTAGTATGCGCCTTGTTTAGTTCAATGTCCATGTCAATGTCAATGTCAGAGGGGCGGCCCGCCCGATTCCGTTAGTCTTTCACTGTAAGCGAGGGCCCAGAAATTCGATATTGATCGTGCATGCGCTAATATAAAGAAATTGGAGTGATTTGTTGAAGTTGTAAACATTAACCCACTATTGTCGCATCATAAATCTCCACCAGGGCAAGCCATCGGCGCCATCGGCACCATCGGATGCCCGGTCCGCGACTCCACCGAACGGAATATTCACTTCGAACGCCCCGCCATTGCATAGTTAGTAGTTCCACCAAACATTCGAGTCCTGAAATTGCTCCTCAGGATTCCCAAGATCTCCACCGTTTGGCCCCCTGCAACAGAAGCTCCGCACGCGTGCATTTGGCCCGGTTCCTGCCCCTGAGCCTTAAGCTGCTCCAATTCACCATGTCGATTCTTTGGATCAGCACTCACTTATTTCCTTCTCCGAATTATACCAGTCCATCGACAGTCTCACAATGACAAGAATCAATTCCGTTAACGAAAATGGCCAGGAGATTGATCCTAAGGTCGCCGTCTCTCCTACAGCCCCGCATCAACTTGCAGATCTGCTGCAGGAAATCCAATCACAAGCCAATGCATTCACGAATGGGGATTCACTAGCACGATTGCAACTTGTTGATTCAGCTCGTGCGCTTGTGCGAGCGATGGAGACTCCACAGGAGGCCATGCTCCGTGCTTGCTGGGCAGAGGTGCGTACATCCATTGTTGAGGAGTGTTGACGGTCCAAGTCGGGCATTTCAAGTTCGAAATACAAAGCTAATGCAGTCAACTTGAACAAATTTAGCCTTCCTACTTTGCCGTTATCGAAACATGTATCGACCTGGGAATATTTCGCTTGATCGCCCATACCAACGAGCCGAAATCCGTGGCAGACCTAGCGGTGGTAACAGGTGCAAGCGAGGAATTACTCGGTACACTCTTCTGCACGAGAACAGCAAAAGCGCGATAACTGATTGCTTTCATTAGAGCGTCTACTGAAGCATCTTGCTACCATGGGAGCATTAGTTGAGACTGGGCTGAACGAATACACCCACAACGGCCTCACCAAGACTTTGTCCCTGCAAAGATACAGTGACGCATGGCCTGCCATGTAAGCAAAGCACTCACCCAATGGCTAATCCGATTTCGCTCGAGATTAGCGATAAATAAATGACATTGGCTTACTTGTTGTCTCGGGCACAGCAACGGCTCTACCATGGGTCCAGTCTACGCATTGCCAAAGTGGCTCAAAGAGAACAACTACAAAAGCCCGACCGAGGGCAAGAACTGCCCTTTCACGATGGGAAACAAGACCGAGTACTCCTTCTTTGAATACATCAATGGCAAAAGTGCCGATTATCCAAACCTTGGACCTCAGTTCAACAATCTCATGTCCGCATATCACCAAGGCCGGCCCAGTTGGATGGATAAGGGATTCTACCCTGTGAAAGAGAAGTTGATCACGGGGGCGAAAAGTGGCTCGGAAGACGTCTTGATTGTGGATGTAGGTGGCAATAAGGGACACGATCTTGAAGAATTCAAATCGAAATGGCCCGATGCGCCCGGCCGATTAATCCTACAGGATCAGCCGCATGTTCTGAAGGAAATCCGCTCATTGAACCCGGCCGTCGAGCCCATGGTTCACGACTTTTATACCACGCAGCCAATCAAAGGTATGCGCCATCTATCCGCGTTGAGAAACGATGAGATGGCCATATCAGTTCTCTAACATGCGATCTATATTTTAGGTGCTCGGGCATACTTCTTGCATTCCATCCTCCACGATTGGAACGACACGATCTGCCAGGATATTCTCAAGAAACTCGTGGCTGCGATGACTCCTGGGTACAGCAAGATTTTGATCAACGAAAATGTTGTTCCGGACCGTGGAGCTCACTGGCAGGCTACCTCCCTTGATTTCATCATGATGATCGATCTGGCAGCCAAGGAACGCACGGAAAAGCAGTGGCATAATTTGATCGAAAGTGTTGGCCTGAAAATTACCAAGATTTGGACTCGAATTGACAGTGCGGAGAGTTTAATTGAGTGCGATTTGGCATAAGGGTTTCAGCCTGAAACGTCGCGACATTTGAATTTGAATTTGAATTTATTTTTATATTTATTTTTATATTTATTTTTTGAATTTTGGGGGCCTTTGCCTATGATGAGTCTAACTAAAATTATCTGCGCCCGGGGGCCAGTCAAATCAAGCCGTGGAGTACTCGTACACGAGTTTTCATTGGTTTTTTGAGATCCTGAAGTCTATTTCGATGAAGTTGAAATCTGGAAAAGCGAAATGGGATAAATTCGAAACAACAGGATGCTTTTCGACAGCATGTCCACGTCGATCAGTTAGATTTGAGAACCCAATGTACCCCTTTTTAATGATACTGTGCCGTGTCAGTTCCACGCCTGGCCCCTGCGATCCCCACCGATCATCGTTTAGCCCCAAGGATCAAACCATTGAGTGAACTTAACGGATCGGCAGGCGGAACCTCGCCCAAAGGAGACTCGTCATGCAAGCGCGTCTGGGTCCAACTGCTACGCCGCTCTATAAGCGCAAGGTGATCAGTGGTTTATTTCGGGGTATTTTACAGCGGCGTTGCAAATGTTTGAAACTCCCCGGGCCCGATTGCCCATCTTTATTCACCCCCTTCTATGGCAGACTGGTAGCTACCCGAGATGGAATAGATTGGCAAACCCAATCTATTTTAGGTACAAGTGCTACTAGTCCGCCATTATGAAGACGGAAACCAGGACGATCAACAAGAGCTTGGAAACTTTTGCTGTGCCACTATAGTATACCTACCTTTTTCTACCGGCCCCAGTATGCAACTACTGACCCCCCTCCGCGTATCGAGCGCCGGAAACCGCTGAGGCACATATAAGCATGCTTTACGAAGTTGATGATAAGCAACAGCTTAGCCACTGGTCCACTTATTTCTGCTGCCGAAATTTTTAAAGTGTAGTCTTGATAGGTGTAGTCTTGGGGGCCAAGTCAAACAATGACCACAATAGGATGATCGGCGATCATTGTGTGCCAAAATCCATCAACATGGGCTTTCAGTCCAGCATAGCATCAGAAATCCTCTTTTCCTGCCCTTGTCCGGTTAACTTGCGATGACACGGGTTCATTTGTTGAAAATACGTATGTCAAATTTGATAAGGTCGTCCAAGCAGAATCTGATCCCGTTTACACTAATAGCAGATATTATAAGCGATTTTCCTTATAGGAAAGTCTTTTATATTCCAAGGTTCTTTGCATATTCCGGGTACTTTGTCAGATCATGGATATTTTACTAGCAAGCCGGAATTAGCCGCGATTTTGCAGCAGCCTAGGCCTTCCATTAGCCAGTCTCGTCCATGTAATATAAAAAGACTTTACACCCGTGAACCTATTTTCCCCGTCTGGCAACATCAAGCTTTGTTATCTCCATGCTTCTAATAATTCTGACTTATTGGTAGACTTCTTCATAAGCGACACGCCTCCAATTTTAACTGTTATTTGCAATTGGGACGAACTTGAACTAGTACTGTCTGAGACATGATATATTTTCTATATGTTCAACAGTAAGCCACGTGCTAGTGGGCGCTTCAAGTCCCAGTTCGTCAACGTTCAAGTTTGGAATGCCCATTACTAGGTACAAATACCATCCCGCCCCCAGGGTATATGTAAATACGCTATCAATACTTTATAAATACGGTATCCAGCTAGAATGCGGTAGCTGTAGGTGTAGAAGTATTAATAATATAGTACTAATCAGCTACTACTACTTACTACTACTGGACCAAAACACCAGGACCAAAAGACTAGGGCTAAAACACCAGGGCTAAAACACCAGGGCTAAAACACCAGGGCTACAACGCGTTGCGATGCCAAAGGACCAAGGCTAAAACGTGTTGCGATTCTAAAGGACTAAGGCCAAAATAAGTTATGATGTCAAAGGGCCAAGGCCAAAACGCATTGCAATTGCAATAGTGAAAAGCTGCAGGTTAGTGCTGTAGGTTAGTGAGATAATTCATTGCTATTATAGCATATTGTAGGCCAAAAATCCAAGGGCAGAACGCGTTGTGTTGCCAGAAGGCTCCAGAAACTTGGAAGGGTAAACACCTGAAGGACTTGAAGAAGGAGGAAAAGATGGTGGTGGTGGTGTATATATATCTACGCGTTCCTGCCTTGCTTATTTTATCACCCGTTAGTAGGCAAATACTCTATGAATACTAATCCAAGCCCTCAATACCGTAGTACTACTGTATGTGAGGTATTAACTAGAATTTAAATATGTAGTGAAGGCGACCTGGTATTTAATCAAGCAGATTTAGAGAACCGTTACAATTGTGATAGTGAGAGACGCACAAATTACAATGGACGAATGAATACAATGGCGTTGCAAAAGTTTGAAACCCCATTTTTCCGCCCTGATCTCTGCCTTCCCAAGGGGAATAAGTAGCTACCCGTGAGGGAATAGATTGGTCAAATTATTCCCTTTCAGGTAGCTACTAGTCTGCCATTAGAAGGTGGTCTATAATGGTGGGCAATAGGAGACTCCAACCTTTTGCAATGCTACTGTAGGGCTCTTAGGTGTACACACATGTATGATTTTGTCAGACAAATGGCCGAGACTTCATGATAACAAAAGTAGTAGGAGTTTAATGACAGTCTCAAGATGGTTCAAAGATGTCTGTCAGTAAACCAAATTGCATTGTATGCCGCCACACTGCATGTTGCAGCCGTACACTCGCGAAATGACCCCAACCCCGTACTTCTTGTCTATGTTCCATCGAAAAATTCCAATTTGTAGCCCCACGACGAAAGCGATGGTTGCTAGATTGGAACAGGCGGAGCAAAGACAGGATTTCCCCAGCACATTATGGCTGCTGACTTTATTCATACCACAGATTCCTTGTCAATTTTCTTCAAGTCAGTGAATTTCAAATTTTGACTCCCTAGGTCGTCGATTCGTATATCCCGCCATCACGAGAGACTAGTAAGCAGGAGATAATATATAATTAGTGTACTATTCCATTATACTATATCAGTCACGCTGCCACACCGTGATACCTAGGCAGTAGATCCTCCAACTTGAAGATTTGGCGAAACTCGTAATTCTGATATGCAATCCAGACGTACCGTCGTTTCAAGCCTATGGCATGGATATTGATACAAGATCCGTGCATTACCTGAAATTATGCATGTCTATTATGGATATTACCAAGGCACTAAGCCCATTTTTTGTCCCGTCGTCAAGGATCCTTGCGCTCGTATTTACCTCTCAGACTACAGAACTTGAATATTTGGATTGAATACTTTTAGCGGGAATTAGAGGCTCCTTTGTTGGCCGAGACTACTGGGCACTCGGATACTAAATCATCACGCACAACATCGTGTGTAAATAGCCTCAGTAGTCAATATCCAATCGCCTTCATGGCGCTATTTTCTTCGGGTTGAGCGGTGCTATTCGGGAGGCGAATCGCAGAAATTGTGTGCATTGGAAGTATAGGTAGCTCTCGACTATGTAGGGGACGACAATGTATGAGGCCGCTGGGCCTCAACAGTTCATCTGATAATTTGGCTCGGCATGTTCGCTGGAATCTATTAATTCTCAGTAATAATGAAGCTTGAGAGGTTAGATAAGAAGTTCACATTTGTTGAGGCACGGGTGGCTCGGGCATCCAGGCTGCCGTTACTTGCATGTTCTAATAGCTTTGCCCTCTTCTTCATCCCCCACCACCTTTTCATCCTCACCATACCTTTCATCGGATTTCCGTCTTAATAGACAATAAATTTGACATCCGAACTCTTGATATACCCTCCTTTTGAGAAGATTATATCCACACTTTCCAATTGATCGCCCCCAACTCCGAGTCTCATCAAGTTAGCCAGTAACTACCGCGGGGCATATGGGCCCACACTGGTAACTTCAAGTTGTGAGTTTATGCACAGGGATAACCAAGCAGACACAATTCCACAAATCCGCGTTCAAGCTAGAGAATGCCAAGGTCTTATCTCCGTGAAGATCTGCGCTGTGACTAACGGGTATCCCCTTTCTACAAGAAACTTGGCTTGGAGCTTGGGGGCCTTACATTGTCAGCTGATTTTATTTCTGCAATGTAACCTTGGCCTGAAAGCGAACCAATTGAAGAATGTCGACGGTGTAAATAGTACCGACTAACTAGTATCAATGCAGCGCTCTCTTCAGCATATTTAAAGGCGGACAGAGGTCGTTCTTCAAAGATTTATCCTAGACCAATTTCTCTCTACACTCTCCTCATCCCATTCAGATCGTTTCGAATAATCAAATTCAATTCTTTACAATGAAGGTGTACATCTCTCTTCTTCTGGCATTGGCTGCCTTCGGAATGGCCGAAGCAAGCCCAAATCTACAAGAAAGAGCCGGATGTTCCCAGAGGGGCCAGTACTGCAATGGGGGAACTTTCCTTTGCTGTCCAGGACAGGGAAGCTGTTCGGGTAATGTGGTAAGTCTCTCCAGTCACTGCTTAGTTGAAAATAGTATAGTGTATGATTATGTTTTGTGACGGGTGGCTAATAATAACTCGACCCATTGCAGTGCAACTAAAGCGAGTTCAACTAAAGCGAGTGCAACTAAAGCGATTGCTGCCCCATCTTCCAGGGTTGAATTGAAATTACCACTCGATCTGCTAGATGATTTGCATTTTCTGCTTGCGATATGCGAATTCATGGTACTTTTGTATGGTACTACGGGTAGTAAGATGCGATGTATGTAATTCAGAATGTCATTAGGCAGTGATGCATCATCGAGCTTTGATTTTCATCGGCCCAAATTTAAGCTTGGTCAATATAGTAGCTACTAGTTGTACACTAGTCTGAAGTACGAGTAGTAGGTACTAGTCACCTGGGCAGTAGTTATATACTGCAGGTACTAACAATAGCAGTGGCAGCAACTTCAACTTCAACCTGAAGTGATCTTACCAGGTGCCCTACATCGACTAATACTAATTGGGTATGGAAATATATCTACGCGTGCCGTGCAACGTATCACCTGGGCACACATTGAGCGGGACTATTTGCACTGGCAGACTCCCACAACATAGCCGGCACTTCCAATCCAGGAACAACCTCAACGATTGCAACCGTGCGAAACCCCATATCCTCATAAAGAGCCAGACCCTGACGACTAGCATCGAGACCAACGGGGATCCGCTCCTCGTTCGCCCGATCCAGACCTCACTGCACTAAGCTCCGACCGAACCCGCGACGCTGATGGCGGGGATCCACCGCAACAGTCTCCAGGAACCAGAGCTCAGGGAGAGCGGCAAAATCATAGCCCGTCGCACAGGCCTGGATATACTGGTCTAAGCGGAGGGGGTCAATGCTGCGATCAGGGGAGACAAGGTTATGGTAATGGTTTTCGATGGAGAGGAGAGTGCGCTCGAGGGCTGATGGGATGGGTGAGGCAAGTGATTAGTTAGTCTGTGCCTGTTGATCAGCTAGTATTCATTGACAAGCTCCTTACCGTTCCACCAGCCATCCCCATGGCCATTCTTCTGCCATTGTGTGGCGACCGGTGAATCCCCGCGTCTGCTCCACACTGCGTAACCACACACGCGCTCGTTCCTGTCCCTGTCCCTGTCCCGGTCCCTGTCCGCGTAGTCCCCCGACTCCGAGTCCGACTCGATAGCGACTAGCATAATATAGCCCGGGGTATATAGGCGCATTTTCAGGCGACGGAGGAAGGCAGTCCGGAAGTCGGCATAGTAGGTGTGGCGGTGGGGACAGAGTTGGATGAAGAGTTCGTCGTGGAGCATAGCCTGGGCGGCGATATCTGCGATGGAGGTGAGGTCATTGGGAGTAGCTAGACGTATAAGCATGGTAGCTATAGTCAGAGTATTGATTATCAAGCGTAGTGGCGTAGTGGTGGTGGTGGTGGTGGTGGTGGAATGGAGGAGAATAGAATGGCGAGTGGCGACGGCAAAAGCCGAAAACAAACTTTGCGCGGCTCGGCAACGGTCGGCTTCTTCTTTCCTCCGCGACTCAACTTCACTTCACTTTTTCACTCCTCACTCTTTCGTTTACACTCCTCTCAGCTGGCCACTGTATACTCTCTGTATACTTGGTATACTCTGGATATACTGGCTACACTTGTCAGAGGGCGACAGAGTACTCTGCAGTACACTCCCACCGCTGATCAGTCCCACTCGCCCCTCTTCCCCAGTCTTCTCCAGTTTCACTCCTCCACACTCCATTTTTCACCGGTCACTCCTTTAATCTGCCTGACTTGGCTTGCCTTGGATTAAGTTCAATTAACTCAATTGGACTGTCTCCCTCTTTTTCTCTCTTTCCCCTCTCTCCTCTCTCCCTTCCACCCCTTCTCCTCATCCGTCGAGTCCTCCCCCGGGACTCCAACTCCCGACATCGGACTCGAGATTTCTACTCTCGCCCCAACTTGCGACTCTCGATCACGAGTCTTCATGTCCCAGTCATAGCACGGATAATGGCTGTGAATAGCGACTACACTCTCGACTCACCCTTCCCCTCAGGGCCTCGCCCCTGCCCGGCCTTTTTCTACCCACCCATCTCATAACAGAGATTGTGGACACTGCCGAAGACCACGCAGTCTACGCAGTCTACGCAGCCCACCCATATATAGCAGCTCTCTGTAAATAGCTGCGCAGCGCTATATACGCCATGACATCCACCCTTGACGAGCCACCAGATGGCCTCATCGGCGGCTACAAAGGCGGCAACTTCGTCGTTCGCATCCTAATGATCGTCTTCTCCTCCATCGCCCTCTACAACGCCATCGAACTCTTCATCCTCCTCTTTCTCACCTTCCAACACTACCGAGGCCTCTACTTCTGGACCCTCCTCCTCTCCGTCACCCTAGGCGTCATCCCCCACACCGTCGGATATATCCTCGAATTTTTTGCCCTCGCTCCACTATGGCTCGGCCTCACCCTCTCCACCATTGGTTTCTATTTCATGGTTCCCGGCCAATCCTTCGTCCTGTACTCGCGCCTCCATCTAGTCGTCCAAAGCCAGACAGTCCTTCGCTTCGTCCTATGGCTCATCATCATCGATGCGATCCTCCTCCTCATCCCGACAACAGTACTCACCTTCGCCACCGCTTACGTCCGAACAGTCCCATTTATCCGCGGCTACAATGTCATGGAAAGAATGCAACTAGCCTGGTTCTGTGCGCAGGAATTTGCCATCAGCGGCATATACATCTCAGAAACAATCAAACTGCTCAGCCTAATGCCAGAAAAGGATCGGCGCAGATCAAGAATCATGTACGAATTACTCGCCATCAATTTCGTCATCATCCTCCTGGACGTCGGTTTACTTCTCGTCGAGTATATCGGTTACTACTCTCTCCAAACGACGCTGAAACCAATGGTCTACAGCATCAAGCTGAAGCTTGAATTTGGCGTCCTGGGAAAACTTGTTTCCCTGGTGCAGACGCAACGGTCTCAGCCTACTTCTCTGGAGCACGATGAGTATCCGGGATTCGTGGATCCGTCGCAGTTGACCGGTGATGTTACGCATGCTGCGCCTATCGAGTCTGCTGGTCGGCGCGAGTCCCGGAGAAGGCAGCGGTTTTCCTTGGGGGATGAATATGAATAATTTCTCTTTGGAGAGTTTGCCCATGTCGGAACGGAGGATTCGTCCTTCGACGAGGGATACGAATAGTCCTGTTCCGCCGAGTCCGGATTTATCTTGACGCGTTACGAAACGATGTATATTGAATGTATAACTGTATAACTATGATGATAATTGACTGTATCTTACCACCTGGGCATATTTATGATTTATTCCTATTAGCATGTAGTAATTTAGATCTGCTTCGCTACCACTCTGAACCTGCCTCGCCTCTGCCTCCACCTATTCAAACTTGAACAGACTCCCCCATCTCATCAAAACACCCATTCATAATAGCATTCCACTCCGGCAAAAACGGAATATCAGCCGCGAAGCCGGAGAAAGCACTAAAATCCCCGCCCCCGAGATTCTGTATATCGAATTCGCTAAAGTCAACATCCATTGAACTGGCACCGGCATCTGCACCGGCATGAGTCTTCATCCTCAGCGTATCCTTGTAGTTGTTGCTGGTGCTAGTGCCACCATTCCCACCAGCACCAACACTATCCACTGGCATCACATTCCCAACCTCCCCCTGACCCTGCCCCTGCCCACCCCTCAAACCCATCGCCTGCTGCCTCAATCTAACCAAACACTTCCAAATACTCCCATGCTCCACATCCGAGCCACCGGGCGCACATCCACCAACACTCGCAGAAATAGTCGTAGACATATCAGGAAAGACATCATCGACTAACGCCCACGCGCGCTGAATATCAGCACCTTTGACTCCACGTGGCACATGCACATTGCAAAGACAGCGAAGGATATACGCTAGCGCATACCATTGCGTATATGTCGTGAATAACCATCGAAATTCGTTTGAGAAGGAGGATTGTAAAAGGAGCCTGTTTGAGTCGATTGCGTCGCAGGCTAGGGTGAATGAGTGTGGTGTTGGTGTTTGTGTTGGTTGGGCTGTGCTCAAGACCGGTGGCGTCGATATCGATTCCTCCCGAAGTTGGAGTATGAATTCCATTTTTTTCTTCGCTGTTGTGAAATGTTGTCCTGCGATTTTGGATAGGATTTCTGCAGTTGGAGATGGAGCTGGAGCGGAAGTTGAAGATGAATGATTCAAATGGACGTCGTCTGAAATTCCATATCTCGCAAAAACCTCCCCCCCTCCTCTCTTCAATAAATGCCCTCTTTGCCCTAATTTCAGAAATACTCTCCCCTGCCCCTTCCCAGGTCCCAAAACAGGACTCAACAACCGACAAGACTCAGTCTGCACCAAAAAAAACGACATCTCCGTCCAACCCACACTCTCAACAGGAAATTCCCTCATACCCGGAAACAATTGATCATCATTAACATTCAGCGGGAGCCTTAATCCCTGTCCCTGAACGTCGACACTAATTTCAAAACCCTGATCTTCCGGCGCCCTCAAATCAAGGACGCAAAGATGCCACCAGAGTCGGAGTCGGAGTTCGGTTTCGAAGGGGGTTAGGTTTAGATCTGTGCCGTTTCTGTGGAGGCCTATTGATTGGGATAGGCGGATTGTTAGGCCTGTTAGGACCCAGACTGAGCGGGTGGGTGAGTGGGTTCGGAGGGTTGTCTGGGGTCATGGTATCTGTTAGTGAGAGATGGGGTGGGATGGTTTAGTGGTGGATGGAGGGGAGGGAAGAGCTAACGTACGGCGTATATAGCCAATGCTTGCAAAGATGTTAGATCAGGACTATCCATCAACTCTGTTGAGAGGAGGATTGTGTCTAGAGCTGATTTGTATCTTGATAGGAGGGTTTTTCTTTCTTCTTCGTTTGACCAGTGTTCTGGGATAATCGTGTTGCTTCCACTCCTAGTAGTACCACTACCAGAGGTGTGATTATGGCACAGCGCCGTGATAGCTGCGTAGTATATCGCATAAGTCAGTGCGAACATTGAGCGAGTTGCGGAGGTTGGGTCGAGGATTGTTGATAGGACTGCCGATTGGGTTGTTGGTTTGTGGAGGATTTTTAGGACGGGGTCGACACTTTTCGAGTATGTTGACCAGAGGTGGAGGGCTAGTTCGGGGGTTGGGTAGGAGGTTAGGATTGTGGATTGTTGGTTCTGGCTTTGGAGTGGTGCTGGTGTTGGAATTGGAGTTGGAATGGCCGTGTTGCTGTTTGTTTGGAGATTTGGCGGTGATTTGTGATTTGAGGGCGATGGGGTTGCTCTCATTTTGTCTTCCTGTTTGTTTTGTATCAGATATGAGGCTTTCGGGGGATAGGTTCGTATTTTAGGTTGACTCAGTGGGCCCTGGTGCGGTATTACTCACATCCTGAAGAAGATCTTTGATATTCGGATTATTCACATATTGAACCACATGTCCGTCGTTCAGGAGGACTTCCCAGGACATATTATTTCGCTGCGCAGACTGTCCCCGATTCAAGTTGGTACGGAGATCTTCTCGATTGTCAGCTTTTCTGCCCTCTCCAAGTCCATATTCAGTCGTCTCATTTCCTTCATTGCTTGCCGATGCTTGATTGCGATCCGAGAGCTGCGTCTCGCACAAACGAGCCAACATTGACTCAACCCGCTCCAGCCGATCAGAAACATTTTGCAGAGACGCAGGCCTCTTTTCAGCTGTCTCTTTAGGGTAAACGCAAGTAAATTCGCATCGGTTGCAGTTCGTGCAAGGGACCCCTCGGTCGCACCGGACTTTGCGCCGGTGACACGCGATGCATGAGCGGGCGGACAGTCTGTAGCTTCGGTTTGCCGTGGGGGAAGGTTTTTCTTCGGATGACTTTGTTATGCGTTGCATGATGAGATGTAAATTCGAGACGTTGAGGGTGGAAAACAGCTGTAGATGTGGTGTTGCAGGTGGTCGAGATCGGTCGGAGTTTCGGTGCCGAGCAGGCCGAAGGATCACCGGCTTTTTCGGCTTTGCTGATTTCTTTGTGGATAGCCAGTCATCTTTATCTTGTATTGTATTAGTGGGGACAGAAGTAGATATCTCGGTCAGTAAGCACCAGATTGCCGAGAGTTGGTAGAAGAAAGTATTATAAAAGAAAGATCCTGGGATCTTGATCTTGATATCAGCCTGCTGCATAGTCCATCTTATCTGATCTGATAATCTGATCCGATTCGGACCGTCACCTCACATCACCAACTGCCCAACTAAAATGGGTACCTCAACCACAACACAAGATTCCAGAGCATCAGAGTCCCCACCCCCTCCGACCACATTCAGAGAAGGCGGATATGGTTGGGTCTGCGTCGCTTGCACATTCCTCATGAATGCCCATACTTGGGGCATCAACGCAGTATGCCGAACCCTACTCATCAACCCCAACCCAAACACCTCATTTACAAACGCTAACCTTAGGAACAACCCCATTCCAGGCATACGGAGTCTTCCTCTCATACTATCTCTCAACCGATATCTTCCCCGGAACATCAAGTCTGGAATACGCCTTCGTCGGCGGTCTGAGTATCTCCTGCGCAATGCTCATCGCCCCACTAGTAACATACCTTGACAAGCGTATCTCCACCCGCTTCGTGCTTAACCTCGGTGCCGTCCTCGAAACCCTCTCGTTCATAGCCTCATCGTTCGTGAAGAAGAATTGGCAACTCTTTCTCGCACAGGGCGTATGTTTCGGCTTCGGTATGGGTCTATGTTTCTGCGGATCTGTAGGAATCACATCGCACTGGTTCGAGAAGAAACGCAGCTTAGTCAATGGAATTGGATCCGCTGGATCGGGAATCGGTGGATTAATTTATTCCCTGGCAGTCGGAAAAATGATTCCGGAACTCGGTCTACCCTGGTCAATGCGTACATTGGGAATCATTTGCTTCGTGGTGAATCTCACTTGTGCAAATTTACTGCGCGTCCCTTCGCAAACCAGAGCGGCTACAAGCGTGAAAGCGCCGACACTCCCCCTATCGCTGTTGAAAAGACTCGACTTCGTTCTGTTGCTTGCTTGGGCTTTCCTCAGTGCACTGGCCTACGTCACTTTACTATTCAGTTTGTCCAGTTATTGCGTGGCCATTGGTTTAACCCAGCAACAGGGCAGTCTTGCAAGCGCACTACTCAGTCTAGGCCAGGCATTCGGACGTCCAGCAGTCGGTTTATTGAGCGATCATTTCGGTCGGATCTTCATTTCCATGATAGCCTCATTTCTTGCCGGTCTGCTGTCGCTGGTTGTCTGGATTTTTGCCAGTTCAGCTGGGCTGACGTATTTCTTTGCTATCATTGTTGGCTTATTCGCCGGTACGTTGTGGGCATCTGCTGCTCCCCTTGCTGCGGAGGTTGTGGGGATTCAACATCTCGGAGCTGCGCTGGGGGTTATTTGGTTCGTACTTACCCCTCCGGCGGCGGTTGCTGAAGCCATTGCTTTGCAGTTGAGAAATGAGGTGGGTTTTTCGAAGCCTTATCTTCGGGTTCAGCTGTTTGCGGGATTTGTTTATGTTGGTTCTGCGGCTTGTTTGGCCTGGTTGATGTTTGAGGTTAGGAGGAAGCGAAGGGTGGCTCGTCTTGATGTGGATAAATCTGATCTCTAAATTGGACCGTAGACATTGAATGATCTTTTTCACATAGAGTGCAAGGGGACTTGAACTAGGGGGTGCATTGAACATGGACAAGGGTTGTTAAATGGACCACCCCTTTTGCGACATGGACCATGGTCCTTCTAAATCCAGTTTAGTATGCAAGAAGCTTGCATACGTTAGCATGACGGCACTGATCAGATCTTCGGAGCTAATCCAACTCCTCTACTGCCAGTGGGTGCGATGCGCCCTTTTTTTACTCTTGTCAATTCAGAAAGAAATGGAATCAGCAACTTCAATTCACCATGGCCCCTACGAAACAATCTTATCAACCGCGTCGCCAGGCCTGCTGTTCCTAAAATCCTTCCTCCCCTGCAGTCGACACCCTCGACCCAGCAATCCACCCATTGACACCATTCTTCACTCCAAACGCCCCGATCCTCATCTGTAGCAATCCCCCAAGTACAGCTAGCGCCACAATTCCACTCCTCGAAGTAAGAAGTCGCCATCTCTCCCACTTCCACCACCAAGTGCATATAGCCTGGGACATCGATCTATCCCAGCATGACAGCGCCAGTACCGCTCTCACCAATGGAATAGAAAATAACCCCGAACATGGGACGTGTGATAAAACGACACTCTATGCGCCACTCCTGGGTCCGATGCGTCTTAAACGAACGGTCATGTTTGAAGCGACGAGTAGTTCGGTGTTCAAGAATGACCCGGATGAGTTCGTTGTTAAGGTTCGGGAATTCAATATTCTGGATTTGGAGGGCAGGGAGCAGGATGATCTGCAGGTTGTTGAGATGAGGGTTTTTATGGATGGGAAGCCTGTTCAGGCGCGTGCGCAACAGTTGAATGTTGGGTTGGCTTTTGGTGAAGGGGCTAGGGAGGCGGAGCCTTCGTGAGAACTAAAATAACTCCAAGTTTTGGGAGAATTTACAGCTGGCCCTTTTTCTCTTACCAAGCAGATTGCTGATATAACGACGTGGAATCTGAAATCACTTCTGAGCTGGGTAGTATGGGGTCAAACTTCGAGTGCGACCATACTCGCATAGTAACTCCTACAGACTCGACAGCCGTGGCTCGCTGGGTCCGTCACAGCACCGTACCACCCAGCTTTTCAACCATATCAGGGCATCTATATGTCGCTTCTATATATTTTTTCGAGTGTTGTTTTATACCCGCATATCCAGAATGGATCAAGCCGCCAGATATGCTTACCTCGGGTATCGTCTCGACATCCGCGGTTCAATCACATACTAAGCCAGCGAGAATCAGTTTGTCGACAGAATACACACTGGAGAACTATCAAAGACGTATTCGACACGTGAATAAAACCAAATACCACGCAAATATATCATATATTCGTCCTCTCCTGTGTGCTGTGTGCTATGACCTCCACATCCCCAGACCCTCGCGGCTAATCCCGCCACCAAGTTGACAAAACCAACCCCCAAACAAGCCCGAACATCCGACCCAACCCCTAGCAGTGAACTCAAATCCTATAAAATACAAAATCTGCCGAACATCTCATCCGACCGTGGAGAAACCCCCACATCCCCAGACCGGCTGCATGACCGGGAAGAAATCTGGGGGTCTGGATCCATCAAATCCGGGGCAATTGCATCTAGAAGCACGCATCAACCCCTAACAATAGGTCTTCCCCGCAAGTACCATGCCGGAGAAAAATGAATCCCATTACCCAGTCAAAACAAACTCGCGCACACTCATTGGTCATGCTGTATTAAGCTTGCTTTTTTTTTCTTATTTTTCCCCCGATGTGGCGTCTGATCCCCACCGCGGAAAACTACCGGGCCCAACCGTATTGGTAGGTTCATGCGATCCCCTTTCGCGATGTCGGAGCTGGGAGGGAAGTTGACACCGATTCTCTGATCGATGCTACAGCTGTGCTATGGAAATGCCGCGCTTGCTTCCGCGCATCGTGGGGATTAAAATAAGGGCTGTGGGTACGATCTGATCTCTTGGAATTTCCAGATATCCTTCTTTCATTCTTTTGTTTACTGCGGCTTGATTCTTTTGAAGTTGACTTCAGCAAAATGTCGGATGAACGTGATCTCAAACATGATATTGAGCCTGCTCGCCATGACGTCGATATCGGGCAGATGCTGGCTGTTGAGGCTACGCCGGAGGAGGAGCGAGCGGTTCTGCGAAAGCTGGATTGCTAGTAAGTGATCGCTTTTAAATGATGCATTTGCATTCTGTTCACAGTGGAATAGTTTGATGCCTCTGATGGGGTTTGCTTACTTTCTCCAATTTCTGGACAAGCTTGCTCTAAGCCAAGCGACACTTTTCAATTTGCGAGAAGACTTGGTAGGTCCCCACAGAACAGTTTGTTTCTCTTCAAATCTGATTCGTTATAGAATCTCCAAGGATCCAACTACTCCTGGACATCGGCCGTCTTCTACTTTGGCTACTTTTTCTGGAGTTGGCCGAGCTCGTACGTGATCGTACGTCTGCCAATTGGGAAGTACTTGGCCTGCTCAGTGTAAGCTACTATCGCGTGCCCCGGTTTCTATCCCGAACAGCGATCGCTAACATATTATAGATTTATCTGGGGAGGTATCCTGATGTGCCACGCCGCAACAAAAGATTTCGCCGGCCTGATGTGCGCCCGTTTTTTCCTCGGTGTCGGAGAAGCGGCCATTGCGCCTGGCTTCACCTTGCTAACAGGAATGTTCTATAAGCGAGAGGAGCAGCCAATGCGGTATGTGACTGAGCTCGCTTCGCTATAATATTCCTTTTTTCACTTCCCACCCTAACCTAATCACAGACAATCGGCGTGGTTTTTCGGAAACTGCATCGCCGTCCTCGTCGGCGGTCTAATCGCCTACGGAATCGGCAACATAAACACAACAGCGATTGAGCACTGGAAACTGCTCTTCCTCATTCTAGGCGCCTTTACTTCTTGCTACTCAATCGTTCTATTCTTCTTCCTACCCGACGCAGTCGATAAGGCTGTATTTCTAACAGAGAATGAACGCGCCATCGCCGTCCAACGCACAATCACAAACAAGACCGGTATCCTAGATAATGGCAAATTCAAATGGTCGCAGGCAGTCCAAGCACTCAAGGATCCACAGGCCTGGTGCTTGATTTTGAATTCACTCACTTCGAACCTGTGTAATGGGGGCATCACAACTGTAAGCCAGAGCCTGAGCCGACTCCATCCCACCATGCTTTGCCATAGTCCTCCCTAACTAACAATCTCTCCAACTCTCAGTTCACGTCAATAATAACAGCCGGCTTCGGCTTCACGGACCTAAAAGCCCTCCTAATGCAAATGCCCCAAGGCGCCGCGCAAATAATCTTCCTGGTATCAACATCACTAGCGGTAACATATATCCCACACTCGCGCGTTCTAGCGCAAATTTTCAACACGATCGTCTCGGTCGTCGGAATGCTACTTATCTGGAAACTTAATCCGGAAGAACAAGTCGGGCGAATGGTTGGACTTAGTATCGGTATCGTTTACGCGATCAATTTGCCTATCTCGTTGAGTATTGTTACCTCCAATGTGGCGGGGTTCTCGAAGAAGAGTGTTGTTAGCTCTTTGCTTTTTATTTCTTATTGTGTTGGGAATGTTATTGGGCCTCAGTTCTTTTTGGCTAGTGAGGAGCCTTCTTATCCGGTGAGTTCCAGTTCGAGCTTATGGTTATGTCTGCGGCAGGGTTTCTTGCGATGTTGCTCTTGGTCCATGCTAACTCGATCTTCTTTCTTAATTTAGACCGGTATCAAGGCCGCCATGTCTGGTCTCGTATTGAGTATTTTCTTCTTGGTCGTTCTCTACTTCTATTATATCTATGAGAATCGGCGTCGGGATCGATTGTATGGTCGGCCTGAGGACATTACTGTTGGGGCGGAGCTGCAGGATGAGCTGTCTAATAAGACGGACACGGAGATTGAGAGTTTCCGATACATTCTCTAACTTGGACCTCGGGACCTTATTGGAAGGGGCGAGTCGGAAATTCAAGTTACTCAGGTGGCAAGCATTCGTGGACTCATGGGGTCGGGGTTTTGCACTTGTATATACCATTCGCCAGCAGCAGAGCAACAAATTCTGTCCATCGCGGCTTAAGAACTTGAACTTACAGTTGATTTCACCTGGATAGTCATCATGATTCCAAACTATCGACACTACTACTAGCCCTGTAGTTAGTAGTAACGACTGCAAGTATTATCCTCTGTGATGGTAGTTTCCATTCACTTCAACTTCAAGTTCGGCCGCCATGATAAATCAAGTTCACCTTCAAGTTTCCTCTCTAGGGCTCAGCAAAATGATATGCGACCCTCAATATCACCACTACGCGTGAAAACGGACTGCACCACTACGTAGGTACACTTCAATTCAGCCTACATCCAATCCAATGATATTTCCAATATGATACAGTGAGATAAAGGAAAAAGGAAATGCAAACAACCTTGAAACCAAGAGTTCAAGTCGGATATCATATGACTGTGAGATAAACTCAAAGCAGGACCCGGCTAAAGAAGAAAATACAACCCACGGATGAAAACAAAATGGGAAATGGGTATCGTATATTTATTCCAAGCTCCTAAAGACATCAGACAATAGGAAAGACATGGAACGCCGAGATGGAGATGAAAGCTGAAAGGGTGGGAACCCAGGCCGTTATTCGTGTACACGGCATGTGTTATGCAGAACATTGTGTGCGAGAGGTAAAAGGATTTCAGTGATGAATATGTAAGGGATTGAAAATCGTCGATTCGTCATATGCGCTGTGATTTGTATATCGTGGACTGATCCCCACGTTCAGGTTGCTTCGCGATGAAAATGCATGGGAAATCGGGATGGTGTTTTTAGAGGAGGTCGGAGTGAGTGGGTAGATGTGTTCAAGTTCGTGTGTTTGCATAGGTAGAGGTTAATCAAAGAATCAACGATGATCAAACCACCCGCCATTCTCCCATTCACCGGGCCTATAAGTCGCGCCCTTCCTAACGTCAAGATCAACAAGACCATTAAGAAGAACATTAAGTCTGGCAAAATTAATTGGTTTCATAACCCAGCCATCGAAGCCCACATCGATATATTTCTGATACTCAGACTCGAGGAGTGAGGCCGACACTGCGAAGATAGGGACTCGGGCGTTTCGCTGGGCTTTTTCGGAGAGGGCTTCGGGGGTGGCGTTTATTTCGTGTTCGCGGATCATTCGGGTTGCGGTGTACCCGTCTGCGATTGGCATCTGTTTTCCTGTTAGTCTTGTCCAGTTCCATGTTTGATAATATGTCACTGGCATGACTTGACTTGCCTGTATATCCATCATGATAACATCAAAACCCTTGCTATTAGAGCAAAATGCACTCGCACAAGCTTCACCGTTCCCAGTCAATTCGACCGTGTGGCCCAACTTCGTCAGACGCTTGTGAATAATTCTGGAATTGATCGGGTCGTCTTCTGCAACCAGGACGCGCAATAATCCAGCGTGTGCCGGTACAGTCGAGGTCGGAGTTGTAGAAGATGGGATATTAGACGAGATAGTTTCAGCAATGCCCACTCTCTCAATTGGCATTCGAGGGAAGTAGGATTTTTCTTGTTGTTGTTGCACCTGCAACGCTTGTTTCAAGCCACGTTCAGAAACGCGAACGGCGCTCATGGGAACTCCAGAATCCTGGATATTTGCCGTGCCCGGGGTAGGTGGGGTTTTCAATGCTTGCAATGTTATTGGAGGAGTATGTGTCACGGCGCCCAGGCTTGCGAGTGGGCTCTGCGAAGACAGCCGCTTCTCGCTGGGCGGAGACACGATAGCTTGTGAAAGCTGGCTGCCACTTGGGCTGGTCGGTTGGAACCTCACTTGTTTGCTGTCCATGCTCTCGCTTCGAGATTTGCTGAACGGTGTCTCCTTCAATGCGCTGATAAGTCTGTCTGCCTGACTCCTCTGGCTCTTTCCACTGCGAGAGCTACCACCGCTTCGAAGACTCTCAGTGCTTCGTCGGCGTGTGTCCCTACTCTCAGAAACACCACCAACTAAAGTGAATTCTCGGTCTGAGATCATAGGCGTGGGTGGAACAGAAACAAGTTGTGCTGGGGAGGTTGTGGTGGGATGAGCGGATGCAACTCCCTCTGGCAACCTGAACTGCAACATGATCTTGAAACGACTCCCCTTGCCCTCTTCTGATTTAACGCCCAGTTGACCCTGCATGTTATGAACGATCCTAGCCACGAGCGCAAGGCCCAGACCAAGGACCTGCCGAGATCCACTGCTGGGAGTCTCCCGTGCCTCGTCTGGGTTCTGTTCGTCGTCGTATTGAGTTGCATCAGTCGAGACCTCCTCAAGCTCTTGGAACATAGCTTCCAGCTTCTCCTTAGACATACCCGCGCCGGTGTCGATAACCATCATCTCAATGGCGGAGTAACCTTCTAGAGTCTGGGTCGCCGAAGGCCATAATTCCACTGTAACCGCTCCAGAAACAGTTTGTTGGATGGCGTTGGAGATGAGGTTGGAGAACACCTGCCGCAAGCGTCGCTGATCACCCATGACCAGTGGAGGGATGCCCGGCTGGACAGTTACAGAGTATGAGATATTTTTCCTCTTTGCCTCACCAGCAAGCATATCGCTGGATTCTCGGAAAGTCGCCGCAAGGTCGAATTTTTCATCCTTGATGAGATCCTGGCCCTTTTCGGTGTTCGTCAGATCCAGGAGATCATTGATAACGTAGATCAGTGATTTGGAGGCGGAGTGAGATTTCGTCAAACTGTCACGAGTATCGGCGTCAAGACTTCCTTCCAGCGCAATCTCGAGGTAGTTGATGATGGCGTTGAGAGGTGTGCGAACCTCGTGGGCAGAATTAGCAAGTAGAAGCTTCGTGAGCTGCGAGTTTTGCATAGCGGCCTCCTTCTGTCGCCACACTTTGATGAACTTTCCATAAACGAGGCACAAAACTGCAGCTGTCTCGACATCAGATTCGGACCACTCGCGCGATTGACTCAGGACAGTTTCCCGCCACGCTGCAAAACTGTTGCGCGGTTCCAGGTACCCTGCAGTGGCTTTCCTTTTCGCAACATTGTAGGGGTTTCCTGCCCACTTGATTTCCGTGAGTTGACCCTTGCGGAAGAAAACGATAAAGTCATTTCCACCGGTCGATAAGGGGACATAGAGCATTCCCGAGATTGCCTTGAGACCTGGCGGATAATACAGATCGGGGAAATCTTTGATAATATCGTGTGACGCCATCACGGAACTCAATTGTCGCATTCGAATGAATTCGAGAAGAGCAAGAACTTCTTGTGAGTGTTCATTATCGCCCAGGATTTTGGTTTCGTCACGGATTGATAGAGCACCATAATCAGCACCGAACAGTTGCAGCATGTCGTCAGACGAGGCAATGATATACCCAGAAGGGTTGGCTTCAGTAGGAACTGTGTTGATCAATTTCCGGGCTTGGAGTCGAGATGCGTATGAAAGTCGCTCGATATTTTGAGAAACAGTGTCTCCAAGAAGTCGACACATCTTCCGAACCGGGAATGAAACACGCATACCATGATTACCATAGGAATGACACGAGATAAGTCCCCAGAGGTCGTTGAAGGCATTGACACTGATAGACATTGATGATCGCACCTGCATGTGACGCAGGTATTTGATATGAATTGGGGACATGGCTCGGAGGTACGCATGTGTCATGTCCAGAGGAGTTTCCAGGTCCTCCACTGTTCGGCAAACTAGGCGTGAGGTCTCGTGGTCGCAGTCGTATAGAAGACGAACTTTGTTTATCTTGTATAGCTCGCGGGCCTGGGCGGGAATATCGGATGCAGGGAAGTGAAGTCCCTTGTAAAGATCGATCGAAGCTTTCGGGTCGGCAAGTTCCGCAACAACAAGACCATTCCAGCTGCTATCAAACTGATATATCAAAACTCGGTGAAACCCCGTAAGCTCTTTGACTAGGCCAGTTGCAACATTAAGTAATTGGTCTAGATCGGTGGTCCGACCGAGCTGTTCTTGAATCTGGGTCAACATGCTGAACACGTCCATTGCCGCTGCTTCACCCCTTCGTCTTCGGGCGTTGCGAAGAACACGAAGTGGCTGACTGATGTTAATGGTACTAGCTGCGAACTGTTCTGCGCTTGGCATGCCCTTTAACGTGTCAATTGGAATGGCTGGAGTTGTAAGTCCGGCCACATTCAATGGATTAACCTCATCGTCTTCCATTTCGAATTCACATATAATCATATCCTTCTGAGACTGGCTGACGTGGGCGGCACACCAAAATCGACGTTCACCTCCAGAAGGGAGAGGTATAGACACGATGAAGACTTCGGGGCCATCGACGACCGGGTCGTAGGCGTCATCTCGAACGAAGTCGATGTGATCCAGTAAGGTGTCGGCCTGGTCGTCGCTCAAGATGTCGCAAAAGTTGGGAAGTTCGAAAAGCTGCTTGGGGGTGTACCCCATGATCTGGGTGGAATTCTCACTGACAATGCGAACGACGAGTTGATTTGGCGACTCCTCTCTCATCACAATCATAAGACCAAAACTCTGCACAGCGCCTGGGAATCGGATCGGCTCGTCCTCACAATATTGAAATGCCTCGCCATCCCTTCCAGTGATAACGGCGTGTCCACCTTCGGTTTCTATGTGTTTGAAGCGTGCAGTGACATGTCCATACTGCTCATTTGGTGTATGTGGTGGCGGTATTTGTAACTCTCCTTGCTGCTGTTGTTGCTGCTGTTGTTGCTGCTGCTGCTGCTGCTGCTGCTGCTCCGAGTATCTCGCAGAACCAACTCCCGACCGGCTTTCACTCTTGACCCTCGCAAATCTTTCCGGATGCTGAGCCACCTCAGATGCCATGGAGTGTGCACCCAATTCCGCTTCATCATTTGTGGCATAGGTCTTGTGGCGAGGAACATCGGTAGGAATCGTGGGTTCTAGGTTCGTTTCGACAGAGGAATATACCGGCGGCGGTGACTGACATTGCGATCGCGGCTGAGAATGAGCTTGCGGGGGAATTTGAGACTGTAAGTCGTTCCAGGTTCGAGCGGATATGATCGGGTATTGACGAGCCCCTTCTCGAACAGGCGAGGTCGGACCGCGTGGCTGTATTGAATGCGCAGCTTGGGCAGCTGTTGGGTCAACCGAGACGACTGATCGGATGGGGAAAACTCGATCGATGCTATCGAATCCTGCGTCGGGACCGGTGCCTGTTGTCCATCGTTGTGTGAGACAGATTGCGACCGCTCCCTGACATCTGACCGGTTTGAGGAAATGTCGATCGAGATCGGTCGATTCGATGGCGCTTCGCTTCCAGAACGTTGTCGCGCGGTCCCCGGTCGGCTGCCTCCTGGATTGGACGACATATTTGCGATAGAGGCCGAGGCGTGAACAACGCGGTGAGACTCCAGGCAGGGGCGAGGAATCTGCAATGAGGCTCGGATCTAGCGATCGGGGTTGTATAAGGGGTCGTTTGGTGGAGTGTGCGAGCAACTTGGCAAACGAAATGTTACACCATCGACGGGCTTAGTCTGCGACTCTTCTATGAAGGCTTTTGCAGCAGGGCTCGCAACCCACGCAGCCCACGCAGCTATTATTATCGATGCCCCCGTGGGTGAACAGCACAGGAATCCGAACGAAGGTGGGTGGGGTGGATCTCTGCAGTTGAGTTCATCAGGGATCGTTATCCACCGGGAGGCGTGTCGATCGGACTGCAAGAGGTGTGTACCTGGAAGGATGGAATCCGAGAGAATGGAAATCGGACGACGATCTGGAGAAGCCAGAGGAAGTGGAGAGGAGGGAAAAAAAAGCCCTATGGAGGGGCAAGCGGAGAGTGGCCATCCAGCATATGGGCAAAAACGGGAATAGGGAAATGATGTGCAATCCGCTGTCAACCGATCAGACTTTGGAGGGTGTCAGGTGCGATTGGATGTTAGGCGCGCAAGATGGAGTAAGATGGAGCAAGTTGGTCCACTGCGTGTAAGGGCTCCATGGGGAAGGATTCATCCGCCAGCTTGGAACAGTGCGGGATTGGCTTGCATGAGAATGGATTGGCCTGTGGCTCAGCCAAGAGCCCGCTGGAGATTACCGGCCGAACAATTTGATGAAGGGATTCCTAGAATTCCCTTGGGTCAGCGGTGCCTGAGCGGGGGGCGTATTCGGTACCAGCAAAAAGGTGAAGATAACTAGGATTGAGTATGTACCCGGTACTCTAGACACCTGAGGTGGCTTATGGGTGGAACCAAGCATCATCATGACCATGATCATGACATCATCACGGGAGGATCAACTCAATGTTTGTCGCAGAGTTCATTGCTCGATGAGGCTTGCAGGTACCATGCAGTATGACGAAATACCAGACCATCTTTTGAAGATCCAGCAGGCATTTCAACGGTTCCTGGGCCCATTGCGTTTGCCCAAAGTGGTGTATTGCGTTGAGGCTTTGCGCGGTCGACCCGGCCGAAGGGTCGGCGATCGGGTCATGTAATGAGCCACAGGCACTGAATGGTTTGCCACCGCAGGAGCGGCTACTCCGTACCAAGGGCGGTGATGAGTCGAAAGCGATGGAATTGGAAGTGGAAGTGGTAGTAAATAGAAATGTATAGTAGGCGATCAGCGATGTTCAACTTGAAGTTGAAGTTCTGCAGAGGAGTGTGAGTGGTGGAGGAGAAGTTGAAGTCAACAGAGGAAGTCACGGGTTACTTCGAACACCCGCAGCGATGAGACTGGCCTCGGTACTACCAGCATACTAGGAGTAGTAGAGTAATACTACTCCAGGTTTAAAAATTCAAGTCGGCCAAGGTTTTCAATTTTGAAGAAGGGCATAAGCGAAGAATCAAAGAAAAATGTTCTAACATAAACAACCTGGACTGTGCGGTGGCGATATATTTGACACTAGTCAGGAATGGTATACAACTTGAAGCAGTTTGGACAGGGTTACCTTCAAATTGGAAATTGGAAGAAACCTTGGAATGATAGTAATTTTGGGACAATATATATTAAAACAAGTAGACCTCCAAAAAAAAAAAAGAATGAGACCGCCCGTAAACCTCCTGACACTGAGATGCATGGCGAGGTGAGCTGAAATAAGACAAAGAATAATATCGAAAAACAACTTGAATTAAACTACCAGGAGGAAAATGTACCACCCACAAAACAAAAGACCACACTGAGATGCACGCTGTAAGCTGCGATGGGTATAGAATAGAATGAAAGATGCATGCACTTGCGAAAAGACAGACAACCGACCAAGTAATCACAGGGATATCGAAGTAAAGAATCTAGCCAACCCAAGATGAAGAGAAGAAGGAACAAAAGGAAAGAAGAGCGAAAGATAAGAGAGGACAGAGACAGGACCAGGGGGCATTGTCGCTCGGGCCCTACTTCGGCGTCACCAATAACTCCGCCTCAATGGTCGACCTTGTCTCGGAAGACCCGATCCTGCCACGCGTATTTCTATCACTGGAGCACCACTCGGAACGAGATGATCCAGGCGAGGTATACAAGGCCACAGTCGGCGCGGGCGAAGCGGGTAGATTTACATTCTCGTTCGAGGCTTCCAGACTAACCTCGTGGAAATCAGGCGTGCTGCCCATCTGAGTTTCTTGCTGTCTCTTTCTCCTTGGCTCGCAGTTTGCCATGGAGACCTGGAAGCAACTCGCGAATGGGTCTGGCTCGAAGGTATTGAGACCCGGTGTTGGTGTTGGTGTGGGCATGCTGGACATCCCGTCGTATGGTGGTCGATGGTCTGCGTTGACCATGTTGTAGATGTTCAGATCACTGGAATGGCGTCGATAAGTTGTTGAGTTGGAATCATCCAGGTCGTGTCTGTTTCCACGCCCATGACCACCTCCATGGAAGACGTAAGGGGTGTGCGAGGAGAGGAAAGAGCGTAATCGGTTGAGGATGGCGAATTCGAGTTTCAGTTTCAGGCCATAGATGACTGTTTTCATGGGAGCAGCAAAAATGGCGACTCTCCATGTGATCACGACGTCAAGGGTGTTCAGAAGAATAACAATCACACTGATGATGATGAGATGGTTAATGACCCTTTTGCCTTCCTTGCCTCGAATCGCCATGATAGGACCCAGTGCCCGACGCGCCTCGCGAATGTAAATTACGCAGATTATCAGATCTTGTGCGTGGAGGATAAAAACATGGGTTCGGTTCCAAATGAAGGCGGGAAGGGCGAAATTCTCATGGCCGACGGAAAAGCCAAAAACCAGGGTGGCCATGGTGACATAGATGATGAATGCATTGATAATTATCATCCAAAGGATCCAGCGAAAACGGGAGATATCTGCCACAACGAGATGCAAGCGCGAGTAAAGGACCAAAGGTTGACCATTGACCATACATCCCCAGCCGATGGAGGCAATGATGGTTGAAGGGAGTATGTTTTTAGGGTTGACAAACATCACCAGTGAGGGAATGGTATGTAGCACGATACCCCAGGCAGCAATTTGCATGCTCCAGAAGTAGAGACCGCGGTGGCGCTTGAAGAGGTTGAGAGAGGAGATGCCGACCTCAAGAGCCGTAAATGCTCCTATGGTATACATGATAATCACTTCGACAATGACCAAATTCTCCCTCAGCATCTTCGCAATCTCTGGAGGCAGCGCCGGTATGCCGACAAAATGAATCGCCATGGTGCATCAGGATGCATAGAGACTGCCGCCGATTCCGGGGGTGTTGTAAAAGGACAAGACAGTGCAAGGTCGAGAGGACGAGAGGACTTGGCCAAGCCCAGGATTAATAGGAACACGGACCAAGAGATCGACGGATGCAGCCATGGGGATCCCCTGATCATAGGTGGATAGATGCATCTAGGGCCTGGGCCCCTTTGAGTCTAGTTGTATGGAGTAAGCGGCTATCCCCGCGGAATGGTAGGGAAGGAGGCGTCAGGGCTTTACAAGGCTTGAATTGAAAATGTGGTCCCCGGGTCAAGTCTGATAAAGTTGCGGATGTGACGACCGTTCAATGGAACTTGCGCTTCTGTGATTAGTGTTGGGCTACACTAGAATTGGTCATTGCACCAGCAGGTTATGTGATTGCGAGTAGACACTCGCCAATTGCTGTGCCTGGTTAATGACAGGGAATAGATCCTTCGCGCGGAACGTGGGGCCGGTGTGATCGATCGCGCGGATCGAAGCAATGGTCATCTGAACTTGCAGGTAGATAGATTCGATAGTGCAGCAGACGGAGTATGAAAGAATAGAGGTATGACAGTTCCACAGCCTCCGTGGAGAATACCGATATAGTATTCAGGACATTTCCTGGGAAAGAGCTCGCAATGGCCTCTTGGTTCCAGGGATCAATGTTGGGGGAGAGTCCATAACTGGTAAAGAATGGCTGACTGCGGTGACCAGAAGCGAGGATGGTACGAAGCTATTGTCGCGTCAGACAGGGATGCAGCGCGGCAAACAAAGAGAGTCGAGGGAGAGTTCATGCACCTGTCGACTTTTGGCTGTTGATGGCGCTGATGAGAGTGGTTCATGCAGGACAAAAATCCGGAAGCTTTTTGTTCAAATCATTTGGACCCGGGGTGGTCATTTGAAGGGGATCGATCCGGCCAATAGTGGTTGGTTGTGGTTGGTGGGTGACATTTCTTTGTTTGAAGATGGACGGATCTAGGCTTTGGAGTGGAGTTGGTGGTAGTCATGGACAGCGTAATGAGCAATGACCAGAGCTTAGTTAAGTAAAAGTGTCAGCGTTCAGCAAATGGCCCCGGGTGTATGATGAAGTACGGAATACTCGGTAGAGCAGTGAAGAGAAGAAGTGAAGTTGTCAAGTTGTGAAGTGAAGTTGATAGTTCCTGCTGTGGCTGGTGCTGTGGCACGTGCTCTTTGCTACTTCCGCCTCCGCCGCAGTTCGACCCGCTTTGGAGCTGTCAACGATGGTCTCCCTGTGGCCCTGGAGGGTGAGTACTCCTTTTGAACAGCTGTTGATGGATTATGATCCTTGCTAACACTTTCTAGGGCGAGGATAACTCCCCAGCAAACTTCGAGAAAACCCTGTCCACTCTGTCCACCAAGATCGCAGAGGCCACCACTCGTCTCGACCAGCATCGCTCCTCTGCTCGTCGCTTCAAAGCTCTCTGGACCCTCTATTCAACCTTTGCATATCTCTTCTACAGCATCGTTCTTGCTCTAGTGTTAGGATGGGAGAGTTGGGGCGTCAAGGAGTACGCTGCCATTGCTGGCGGACCCGTCCTGTAAGTTGCTCCAGATACAGCTCCTCTCCAGCTGCAGCTCGAGCTTGAGCTTGAGCTGCAATTTCAGCTGTCGCAACCCTCAAGCTCCCACTAACATAGCGTTCTTTTCGCAGTATTTACGTGGTTCGCACCTTTGGATCCCGCATCTTTGACTATCGCATCACCAGGATCCAACGCCGCCTGGACGACTACAATAAACAACGTGACGCGACGATCGAGAAGCTTAAGGTCGCGACAAAGTACAACTCTACCCAGCAACTGCTAGAAAAATACGGCGGCGAGTCTCCTAAACAATTCCCTTCCCCAAACACCAACACCAACGCCGGACCCGGATCGACCGAGAAACGCAACCCGCCCACTCCCTCGCAACCCGTCGCCAGAACAGGTCTACCCCCACCACCCACTGCCAATATCCGACGTGCTCCTCCTCCCGGTCAACAACCCCTTGCAGGACCCCCCGGTACTGCCCCATCCCCACCGCCAGGCTACAACCAGGAATCGGGGCAGCAGCAGTTACCGCCGAATACGCCTCCCTCCCCCCCTCCCCCCTTCTCCTATTCCCCAGCCCGACGAACCAGGTTTCGCGCCGAATGCCTTCCCCAGTTCCGGTCAATATATTGAACAGCCTCACTGGTATGATCGACTTCTCGACGTTCTCCTCGGCGAGGATGAGATGCAGCCGCGGAATCGGATGGCTATGATCTGCGCGTCTTGTCGGTTGGTCAATGGTCAGGCTCCCCCGGGGATAAAGACACCGGAGGAACTCGGTCGTTGGCGATGTGGGAGCTGCGGGGCTTGGAATGGAGTTGAGAGCGAGACTACCAAGATGCTCTCGAGCTTGAGGCAGCGGGCCCCTGGTCAGGGATCTTGGGATGCCGGACGGGTTTCTAATGAGAATATCCCTGGGCAAACTGAGGAGGAGGATACAGTTATTGTGCACAATAGCGAGGAGGATGCGGAGTCTGCTAAGGAGGAATCCGAGGAGGATGATGTCAAGCAGGAGCAAGAGGAAGAAGAAGAAGAGAAGACCGAGCCCGAGCCTGTGAGACGGTCCAAAAGGAAGGGCGGGAAGAAGTAGTGGATGTGAATAGCTTTGGATGTTACTGTCCATCAAAGATTGCAATAAATGTTCCCTACCGTGATATTGTCTCTTTCTTTTGCTGTTTTTAGTCACAAGAGTAGTTGAAGCTCATGTGTATAGCTTGCGGGAGGCGGCACCATGTAGCTATACCCTGGCTACAACACCACGCAAGAGAAACCAACTCCGGAGATCACTCATGTGGCAGAGGCCCAAAGGAATAGGACGAAATCGAGCACTGGTATCTTGCTATCAAGCTCCATACTACTAGCATTGTCGTAGACCATCCGTAATTTGCAATGGCCATCTACCCAGGCAGTATACATTGGATTTACCATAAACGCTTGCATTGCTGGCCAGCTGGGAAGAAAATCATTCAGAAAACTTATCATTGAAATAGAATAAGGCTCATTTTCTATTCTTCATGCGAGCTAAAGGTTGAACATCGCTTAATCGCATATTGAAACATCCCATCTTTCCTCTTTCATCCCAATCCATTCACCCAAAGAGCATAGCATACAGCTCTAAAGCATCCAGCACCACCATACCCATACATCATTCATTGCAAATCCATCAAATCACCCTTCCCATCCTTCCCATCCTTCATATCATTCTCATCCTGCTTCGCCTGCAACTTAGCCTCCCTCTTCCTCCTCTTCTTCAACTTATTCTGCTCCTGCCGATGCACCACCCTCTCAATCTGCGTCAGTCTATCCTTCTCGGCATTCCTTTCCTCCCTATCAACAAGAACCGGAATAGCCGCATAAGCCGCCCGAATCTCCGCCTCCTCTCTAAACGCCACACCCCGAACAACAGTCATATCCTCCAACGGTCCCTGTTTAGCCCCATATCTCGCCGTACAGGTATAATTATTCAATGCACCGGTAATCTTAAACTCAACCATCCTTTCCTCTTTAATAAGTCCCTGCGCTTTATTCCTCGGGTGCTGGACGTCGACATCGTCCTCGATGAATCGGCGTAGGATTGGTAGGACGCCGATTCGTTCAGCGAAGGATGTACATGCTTCCATATCGCCGCGGGAATCGACAAATATAGCCCCGATCGTTGACTCGATGATGTCGCAGAAGAATTTGTCGGCGTGTATTTGCGCGAGGAGGAGCCAGGGGTATTTGGGGCTTGTTTGGAGGGCGGTTGTTGTTTCTTCGCGGTGGTTGTTGTAGCGGGTTATGCTTGCGGTGCGGGATTTGTCTGTGATGTCGCCGTTGTAGCGGAGGAAATCGTACAGGTGGATTCGTTTGGGTTTGGAGGGATGTGAATGATTTGAAGCCGGATACAAGCCAGAGCCAGAAGAAGATTCGGGCTCTTCTTCGATGTACAGACTCATGCATAGGAAGGCTAGGAGATTCCCATTTGTCAAGGCGTGTTTTAGGAGCGTCATTTGGCCTTGTGCTATCTTTTTCGGAAGACTGGCCATTGTGGTGACTACTATTATGTCCAGGACTGCGTCGCCGAGATATTCAAGGCGATTGTAGCTTTGGGATCCGTCATGGCTGCCAGATGCGTGGGTCAGGGCCTCTGTCATAAGTGATGGATCGTTGAACGTATAGCCGAGCAAGACGCCCAGAGAAGATGGTAGGTCAACACTGGTAGATCTTCGCTCTTTGCTGGGACCATTGGCATGGGACGGAAGGCCATCTTGTAGGATATCTGCTTCGGGCATGAAGCGGTACAGGCATGTTTGGGCTTTTGTCATCCCGCCGTCCATGTATGCAGCTCCAATTAATGCTTCCACAACGTCAGCAATGACCTTGTTGGCCAGCTGGCGCTTCGGGATTTCTCGAGAAACCTTGTCTTCGATTGAGGGTGCAGTCCAATTGGTTGGCGTGAAGCGGTCGGCTAAGATATATGCATCCAGACCGACCAGCAGGGCTGAGCGCGTGAGGTTCGAGTTACTAATGACCTTATCACGTTCCATCGAGAGACGCGCTTCCTGCCACGTTGGATTTGCGTAGAAGAGCTGACAAGCCACGGTGTACTTGAGCACGGAGTCGCCGAAGAATTCATACAACTGATAGTCGGTCCTGGCTTGTGCAATTGGCATGGTAATTGCAGTCAAGACATGGCTGATGTCGTTGAAGCCAACTCCCTTGAGGATAGTACTGGCTAGTTCCTGGGCAACGAGTGTGGCCTCGAATCGGTCGAGGATGGCGGAGAAAAACCGTCCCATGATCCCAGTTTGTGCAGGGACTTTGCTCACTGTGCAGCCGGTTGCTGGAAAGATTTGAATCTTTGGCGCGAAGGCAGGAAGACCGCCCATCTTGGACTCATGGTACATTGTTGCTGGATTGAGGAGGTTTCGTCTCTGCGGTAGAGACTGGCACTCTATGCTAACATTCTTCTTTGTTGCACTGGTATCAACCACCCATCTCATGAACATACGCGCCTCTGCGTAAATAGAGGTATCGCGAATGAAACCAAGGGGAGCGGCGTCTGGGTCTCGCTCAAAAGACTCCAACACAAAGTCCGTTCCTTCATGTTCGTTTAGCCAATCCGTGAATTGCTCCGGCGCAATACATGGGACAAAAGGAACAACATAGTCTTCCTTCTTCAGATGAGCACCTCGGGCCGAGGGTGCTTTGAGTAGCATGGCGGTGATCTGCTGCATCTTCGAGATGTGCTCTTGTGTCACGCTAGTTAGAAGCTTTGGAGGCGAGAACTGTACAAGAAGCTGTCTCTCCAAGGACCAGTAAAGTGTGATTGGAGCGGGCATGGTCACAAGCATGGGCAGGACCATCGACGTAGTCAGATTCTCATCGACGACGCCATTGATGGAGAAGGTGATTTTCGTCTGATAGTACCGCCCAGACGATGTCCATGCGCGCGCCAAAGGCACATACGGGTCATACTGTCCAGAGATCCAGACACTGTTGGACTGGGTGGGTGCGTTCATTGCATTAGACATTTCGAGTTGTGTTTTTTGAGTCGGGGGTAGCAGATTGTCGTTCACGAGGCCGTATTTCCAGAGGGCTTCGTATGCGAGAAAAGATGCTTCTTTTGTCGCGGCATGTTCGGTGTGCCACCAGTTCTCGCCTTGAGCTCGGCGGACAGCGGGGTGAACAGAGGAAGGGAGAATGACGGTTGCTCGAATAAGTCCGGTGTTGTCTTCTTCGAATGTGAATATCGGTCGATTGTCGCTAATGTTTGAGTGCGGTAGAACAGAGCAGAAGTGGTAAAGGTGTTGCATAGATTCATCGGCAGACAAACAAGCACTAGTGAAGAAATTAAATAAGATGGTGACAACACTGAGGTGTGTGGTAAATAACAATACCTGGTTGAGGGAATAAACAAACGCCTTTCAACGGTTTCGTCATAGCTTTCCAAACTTTCCATTTCTGTTTGTCGTCTTCTATCGTCCAAATAGGTCTCCACCATAACGTTCTCCAGTTCTTGCCATTTAGTCACGTTAATCTTGTCATCCTCTGTAGATGCCATGATCGTATATGTCGACACCTGGCGACGTGCTCTACCTCGCCGCTGCACAAATGATTTCAAGTTCGCCGGTTTGTCAAAACAAATCACCAAGCTGCAGGAGCTAATATCCAGACCCTCTTCTAAGACATCAGTCGCTACAATGAGATTCTTTCTACCCGCTCTGAATTCAGAGAGGGTATCTCGTTGCATATCTTTGCTCACAAGATCACCGAGACAATCGCCATTTTGGGAGGACGACCATCCCACATATGGAGCACTTTGGAACCTACCCTTGGTTGTAGGGTGCAACGAAATTAACCGCGCCAGCACACCAACAACTGCCCGTCTTTGAGCGAAAATGATGCCAGAAAATTCGGGCTGGTCCATTTGTTCCAGGTATTCAAAGAGTGTCGCCAGCTTGGGTGAGATGTGGAAACTTTCTGGCTTAGCTTCGGGCACAGACATACTCATTAGAAGGTCCAAGAGATGAACCCGTTCCTGACGATTTATCCCTGTCAGATCCTTGTCATTCTCGATCGAGTTTCGGAAATGCTCAATTGACGCCTTGATGAAGAAGTCTGTGGCCCAGCCTCCAAGCTCCTCGTACATGTGCACGCTGCGTTCCAAGAACTTGACAAGCTGTTCCTTGCAGAAGGTCTTACCAGAAACAACAAACTCGTGTGCCTCGGCCAGTTTATCCGGATCCTGTCGCATTAATTCTATGTATGGGTCGTCTTGGATATCATATTCCAGAATACAACGGCGTAACGGAAGCAAAAGTCGACTATTAGGGGTTTTGTCATCCAATTCAGTTGGACTGTAGCTGAGCCGTTTTAGATGGGGTCGATGAACGCATTCAAGTAGCTCGGTGCGATTTACTCGGGGTGTCCTGCACACAGCATTGAGGTTGGTTTCGATCGCTTGCAATTCTTCCTTGTTAGATCGGACAATTGGACTCGCTGTCAGTCCTAGGATACTTGGCACCGCATATGTTCCATGGCTTTCGCGTAGTGGATGATAATGTAGCTGCATTATTTTATTCGCTGGGTGTCGGCGCATGCAGTGGTGTGCTGGATGGTGACGATCAGTCCTGGCTCATTCAAATCAACCTCACCGTCTAAAAGACAGCCTACCTTCATCGAAAACCATGAGAGCTAATTGCGACATCCTCACGAAGCCATGATTCAAGGCATCCGATAGCACAGCGTGAGTGGATACGACTATACGAATATTTTGCAGCGCTTTGTCCCAGGCAGACTGATCTGTCCAGCGGTCGACATTGTCCAAACCAGTCAACATCCGAATTTGCACGTTTGGAATATGTGTTTTTAGAACTTCATGCTGCTGGAAGCAAAGGGCCATAGTTGGTGTTAAGAACCAAATCAATTTGTGAGATGCACAGATTTCAAGCTCGGCCTTGATGCGCAAGACGGCTCTATTTTGATTAGTTTACTGGTCAATCCATTTGAGAAGATGGCCTTACATATGAGTCTTCCCACTACCCGTATCCATCTGCAGCCCAATGATCAGCTTAGACGTCAAACCCCAAAGGAGGGGCTTAGACATACCGCTACAATAATGTTCTGCTTCATGCTCGCGTCCAGCATTTCCAACTGATATCCCCGGGGCCTGTAGGTTACCAGTATCTCTGGGGCCATAGCTGACGGGGAATTGAACACTTTATCCATCATATCGACGTCGACGGTGTTGTCCACTGGGGATATCGAGTTACATACAACCGCCCTGGTCCGGATCTATAGCGCAGACATGAGAGATATAGGGAAAGAATGATATAAATGCAGATCTCTCAGATGATCAGCGGCCCCGGCATTATGAAAGAAAGTCACAGGGCGCGAGTCAGGTCAAAGAAGAGAAAAACAGTGGCGGGCGCTAACTTTGAGTCTGTGTTTGCAACGTGGGGCAGCAACTGCCAGTGCCGCCCGCGGAATCTCCCACCGCCAGCCGACGGCTGGTTGAATGCAGAACCAACGAATAGTATGGAATAGGGCTGGGTAAAATGCAGGGTACAGGGAATATCGTTTCCTTTCAAGCGGTGCTTATTGGATCTAAATCTGATTTTTTTCCCATGTAGTGGCGGGGGCCTATTGGCCTCAGTACCATGTCTTAGGTCCGTCCCCAGGCGGTTGAACTTGAAGGAAGCTCTGGAAAATATTTAGTGGTATCAATATGGCGAGAGAGAGGTATCCGATGATGAGGATGATGCTAGCTAAATTTGGAATCCCCTCACTAGATATAGTACTCTCTCAACGGATGGCAAAGGGTTGTGCAAACGACTAATCAACTTGAAAGCGACAAAGGCCATGAAAGCACATGAAGTGTGACCTGACTCAGAGCTGAAGACCTGAGGCCTGAGGACCAGGAAAATATATACTACCTAGGTACTAGTAGTACTTGGAAACAATTTTAAATTGAAGTAGAGGAGGGTAAGCTTTGGAATATAATGCGAATAGGCCCCACTAGTAGTACAGTAGTGCTGGTAAGGCTCAAGTTGGAAATCTTTATAGTTACTCCTAGTAGTAACCTTGAAATTATTGAGAATACTATAATATATGCTGGGTATCATATTATGCTATATACATTCGACAGCGTCGAGTTCGGGAGTCTATATCCGTTCGGAGGGCACGACATATCCGCCATGTTCTGAAGGTGAAGGTTCATGATGGGCTTCGCCATTCTCATAAGTCAGACTAATATCCGTAGTCTTCATAATTGCGCCGTCTTCCATGGCGAGTATATTTTCCTCGCTTTCATTTGCGCTAGACAGCGCTGGCGACATATGACGCACGCGTGGGGCAGCCTTAGAGTTTTGCGAGAAGGAGTGCAACTCTGTCGACCTGCCATTTCCGTTCGTTTGACCCGATCTTGATTTGGTAGAGATTGCGACCTTGTGGAATAATGCGATGAAAAGAGGCCGGATTGGTGGTATACAACCGACAATAATAACGGCCCATTTCTCGGTTTTGTTCCAGATAATCAGACGGGCAATGTTGTCTTCGATATTATTAGCGATTTGAAGCGGGCAGCAGCGAAATATGAAATAGACTCCAGCTTACATGTCAAATCCTCTCCATCGCCCAGGGCTGTCAGTCCCAAGGTTGTCTTTAGAATTGAACATACGCAAGCACTGGTGATGGTTAATTTTGAAAATAGTATAATGCGGCAGTAGAAGACATACATCACGCCCACTCCCATCAAGGCACAGAGACCAATTTTGACTCGCATCTGAAGTCTCACAGTCCATAGAAAGACGATGGGATAAAGCGCCAGAGCTAGGTCACAGAAGGCTGACCAGCCTGGGTGAATCGGGTTTCGTCAGCAAACCATTTCCAGAGAAGCAAAATGAGGCTGAGTACTCACTTCCTTGAAAATACGCAATATGTTCATTGCGCCCTAGCCCGCCACAAGTGCCCGGCAGTGAAAAGTCCCATAATTTTTCCAGAGGCGTACACTGAGTCAAGACCATGCCGACCGTGATGGCATTGACGATCAGATTGCTCATAGCAAGGATCCACAATCCAGCCACCCATTCGCGATGTTCTGGGCCATGTATCTGCTGTAAAAAGGCGACAATCGCCAATTTTCCGAAGGCTGTCGCGAGACGGCCAAGCATTTGGTTTATCCATCCCCACTTGAGAGCCTTGACTTTATCGCTTTCGGAGAGAACGTTTTCGTGGGATCCGATTCCGTAGATGACGCTCACTGTAACGAGGATAACACCGGTAATGGCGAAGACCTATCGCAGATACGTTAGTCAATTCGATAGAAAGGTATGCTCCCGTCAAGAGTTCCATACAAAAGTAAGTAAGATCAAATACAGATCGAGTCGGATATGTCGCGTGATCTTCCAAGTGGTGTATATGCGAGCAAATAACAGAAATAAAGCGATTGCACATTCGGTCCAGCTCACAGCCAGGACTGTGACGCCATAACTTTGAATCGGCATGCTTTTCGACGCCAAAGATGCCGTATGGAAAGTGTCTCGGGATGTGAGACAAAAAAAGTCGCCGTGCGGAACTCGAGAAATAAAATAGAAAGATTCGTATTACAAAAGTGGCCAAGCGAATGCTTAAGAGATGGCCCTAAAAGAGTTTGTGCGAGCCAACGCGGCCTTTTCCACGGATACTCTCCCAAGCTTCAGCCGTCTTAGCTTTTTGATCCTTGTGCCTTGCAGGGATTCTGTTGGGCACGGCGAATCCCACTCGTAAAAATAGTCACGGCCGAGAACCACATCCCAGTGCCATGAAATCGTAGACATCGACGAGACAGAAGTATGGATTCATCGTCGCCTGCTGGCCTCTGTTAAGCAGTGATCAACGATTTGGACTGCGATCTCAGTGGAACCACCGTAGAAACTACACGAGCCAAATAGCCGCCCGGGGAACTCCCAGCGTTGCATTGCTTTTGCCTTTCACACACATCGAACCGCGCAAGGAATGCGATCAGGCGCGTGGGGAAGCGCGAACTCTCGTCTCCACCTGGATTTTCTTCCAATGGCCGGGGAATGGAGATCTCCGATGGGCCTCTTATAGGCCTTCCCGGGCGCAGAGAGCAATCTTTCCGAGATCGGAGTACGTGCTTCGACCGTTGGTTGGTTCAAGAGAGCGAGCCATCCTATGGGAACGGCTTTGAAAGCAGAATTAAACCCTTGAACATGTACGAGTAGGGGGCATCGCATTAGTTAATATCGATAATATCAAGTTGGCCCCAGTGGCGCCGCCCACATTCTCCGCCCCCACGGCATGAATCCCTTCCGCATACTCGTACTTACATAGCTGGCCAAGACAGTGGACAGGCCCTTGATCCCCTAAATTTACTCATTGTTCGGATTCTAGGATGATCTGGTGCTAAGGAACAGACTCAAAATTGTATACCTTGGCCAGTCACTTCATTGGTTTACACGCAGTACCCTGGTTCTTTAAAACGACGCCGCAAACTTAATCTCCAAGATATCAGAAGTCATCCTTGTCATATTCAAACACCCCCAGAAATAGCCGGTGGTAATAGGCTCAAGGTTGGTCCCCATCTTTGGGGAGGTGTGCATCCCCGCATGATCGGCCAAATCGGATGGTGTTAATCAATGTTGGCTCCACTAGTCGCCAAGCTATCCAAGCAACTGTCTTTATTTCTTAAGGTACGGAACAGTCGGCACCAGAACCACAGACGGATCCTGCAGATCATGGAAACCCGGTACATTTGGATGTTATCGTAGTTGGTGCCGGGCTTGCTGGGCTTGCCACGGCTATCGCACTTGCACGAAGAAATCACAAGGTCACGATTTATGAACAAGCACAACGGCTCGCGGAGGTATGAGCATGGCGTCAGCCATGAGTCTTGCTAAGGTTTCTTACGAGACTAAAGAAAGCACATGGGCAGGCTGGAGCGGGTATTCAAATTCCTCCGAATTCCACGCGGCTGCTCCTGAAGCTGGGACTTGGTCCTTGTTTGGAGAAATATGTTACAGAGCCCCAAAGGGCATTGAGCGACGCTGGGAATATGGCAAAGTTATTGGTCGTACAAGATTGTTCCCTGCGTTTCGAGAACAATTTGATGCTCCATACTGGGTGGTCCACAAGGTACACTTTCTTGAAGCCATGCATAAACTGGCGGTGGATCTAGGGGTTTCCATTGAACTCGCATCCAAGGTTACTTCTTACGACGTTCACCACCCGAGCATCACGCTCGCAACGGGCTCGATTATCCACGCCGATCTGAGACATCGCTGCAGACGTTATGTCGCCTGGGCAAATGTCTCTTGGCCTTAATTAATGTGGCTTCTGCAGGCGTGAATTCATCGACCCGAAAGATTGTCCTTGGCGGCAAGGAATCTCTTCCCCAGCGCACGGGGTTTTCTGCGTACCGTGCCGTTGTAGATATTAAACGCATTCAGAATGACCCGGATGTCTCATGGCTATTGGAGAAGCCTTCCTTCAATCTTTGGTCAGTCGCTCTTTTCTCATTAATTCTTCGCTATTAATAATGGGCAATCGCTGTTTTAGGCTCGGAGACAACCGACATGTAATGACTTACATTATTAGTACTGGCAAATCCTTCAATGTGGTTCTCAATCATGAAGATCTCTCTGACCCTGCCGACTGGAGACAAGACAAGGATTGGCGTTTGAGCAATATGCGAAAGGACTTCGAAGGCTGGGACCCAGTGTATGCACAATGGTTTCGATATTTCAGTTTGTATGCTGCTGATATCCAGAACAGACTTTCGAAAATCATAGGAATGATCGACAAGACCATGAAGTGGCCGCTATATAGCAGTTCTATTATGCGCAGGTGGGTTTCGGGAAAGCTTGTTGTCCTCGGCGATGCGGCTCATGCAATGGTTCCATACATGTCGCAAGGTACGTTTCATAATATAATGAGGTGTTTCAGATACTACTGATATTTCTCGGGGTTGAGGTCGCTCACTCAAATTTTGTCAACTAGGATCCGCTATTGCAGTGGAAGACGGTGTAGCCATCGCGCGTTGTCTCCGAAAAGTCAGCACCAAAAATAAAATCTATCTTGCACTATCTATTTTTGAAAAAGTGCGCATTCGTCGGGCATCTCAGATGCAGGAAGCAAGTCTGCTCAATAGTAAAATTTGGCACTTCCCAGATGGACCCATTCAACGCGCTCGAGACCAGGCGATGCGGCCTGAAATTGAAGATCTTCCATTTTCTCACAGCCCCAACCAATGGAGCAATCCAGCGACACAGATGTGGTGCTACGGGTACGGGTCTTTTTGAAGAACTTGGGATTCTAAAACTGGCTGATAATTAATCTAGATACGATACCGAGGGGAGATCGACCGAGCTTGGAAAAAGCGTCATATTGCTAGTTGACACAGGATTGGGAATACTACAACCATCTAGAATTAGGTCCATGCGGACTCTATATTAATAGCTTTATTAAAGAAAGAAATTATTACGACCATGATCCAGGATTATGTATTCAAATAGTCCGGGATATCATTAAACATCGTCAGGATCGATTCGAAACTTGATTAAATTCGCGACAATTTTGCAATTCCGTGGGGTGTATGAGTCCGTGTTCTCCATAATCATCCAATCGAGACTAATTAACTACCAAAAATTATAATCATATTCTAGAACACGTAGCGGAAGTTGATGTTCTCCTGGTCCGTCTTATCCTCAAAGGCATGAATGAGGTTTGGGTCAGAAGCAGACAGTCCCTGAGCAGCAAGAGCCTCATCCTTCTTCTTGTTCTGCCTGATAAGGTAGAATCGCAGGAAAATCACCGCAGTAGTCATGCAAGCATAGCAGGCCAGGTGGACACTCCAGGCAATATGGTACCGTGGGGCGTCCCAGTCAAGGAAGACCTGAGGACCAATTGCATTTCCAGCGGCCCAAGAGATAAATGTCATAGCGACCACAGTGGCCTTCTTGGTCTGGCCGGCAATATTTCGAGAGACCATAGACAAAGTGAGAGTCTGAGCGGACCAGAAAGAAAGAGTGATGTAGTAGCTGAAGAGTAGGCCAGCCTTCGTTGCCAGAGTCGTGTTCGGGACTGTCATAAGGACAATGGTTCCGATATAGGATGGAATGACAAAGCCCAGCATAACAAGAAGATTCTGCTTATACCTCTTAACGAGCCAGGCAGAGGTCAACAAGATGACGATGATGTAGAAACCCAGAACCATCGCGAGCAATTGACTCTGGAGGGTTGTGAAGTTGAAGCTGGTCATGATGATACCGGCAAATGCACCAAGACCGCTGGTCGGCAGGGTGGTGAAAAGCTGGACACTGCAGTAGCACCATGTCTGGGGATCCTTAAAGGCTTCCCACATCTGGTAAGATCGAAACGTTCTGTTCTGGAGACCAGTCTGATTGGAACGAATGCGCTCAACCATGAGGTGCTTATCTTCCTCGCTGAAGCACTTAGCCCTCATGGGGGAGTCGGGCATCCACCAGATAACAAAGAGGCCCCAAAACACAGATATGCATCCATAAGTGAGAAAGATCGCTTGCCATGACTTGATTGCCTTGTCGCCTCCGATGAGGGTAAAGCAATAAGCGAGGAGACCGCCAACAATCTGCTGGGCACCGTTCATCATATACCTGTTCAATGTATTAGTATCAGCGGACATAGCTCAAAATACACACTGTGTTGGTACATACCAGTAAGTGACGGTAGCCGCTTGCTCTTCACGTTTGTACCACATGGACGAGAGAAGGACGAAGGTGGGCTGGCAGCATGCCTCGAAAATACCCAGCAACGTACGCACGACAACCAGTCCAGCAAAGTTGTGGCAGGCAGCATGCATGGCTAGAATTGCACCCCATATACAGATGTTGATTCCAAGGTATTTGGCAATGGGAACACGTTGGATGATCCAATTGGTAGGGTACTCGACAACCAGGACAGCGATGTAGATACAGGTCGTAAGCCAGGAATACTAAGAGAATTGCGTGAGCTACGTTCAATCCAAATCAACTCTCCAATGCACAAACCTTTTGACCGTTCTCAAGGCCTGCATCCGTCTTGATTCCCATGATCGAGGCGAAAGACATGGTTCCCTTATCCAGTGCTTGGAGAAAATAGGTCAGGATCATGATCACCAGCACGCGGCGATCAATCAACTTCTTCAGGCGTGCGTTGGTGGCTTCATCGATCTCGACTGCACCCCGGCCAACATACATCTGAATTTCCTTATCGACACGGTCGAAGTCCATGTCTTCTTTCGTCAGATCATCGTCATCGGTGGGTGATAAAATCCGTTCGACATGCGAAATGTCTTCTTTAGCCTTCACATCCCGATTGTCTTTTTGTTGTAGCTCGATCGGGGTTTGCTGAACATCCACTGCCTCGATGCCATCATTTCCACCCTGCGATGGAGGTCTGCTCTGACCCATATTTGCAGACGGCAGCAAGTTGAAAGGGGAAATAAAAGTGCTATGAGTGTTCTCAAAAAAGAGGGAGGAGCGGAATCCTGGGGTCACCAATCATCCTTATAAAAAAATCATCGCCAAGCTTCAAGCACACCGGAGACAGCAGAATTTCCCCCCCAATTTAACCGTGGTGACACTCAAAAGCAGCCTGCATGTGCCAGTGCGCGCATTCCTGTCAAGCCATCTGACAGCCATCCTACCTGATCAACCAATCACCCTAACAAGGGCACTATATCCCGCCCCCGGGGGTTCTTGGCAGCGGAAAGAGTTCCCCAGCTACCATTCGGTCTTCGGTTGTGTTGAATGGGGCGACGTGGGGGATTGGATGTCAAAGAATCGCCCCACGTTGGGGGAGAGTCCGGGGAAGCAATCAACCGAGCACTTTCACGCAACGGGCCTCGCGTGGCCCAACCTTCAGGTCATTAGCGTTAATTAAAAGGCGCTAACACCGGTTCACACGAGTAAGCTTGGGTCCAGGCAAGCTAGTGAAGTCTTTCGGTATCTTCTACCCCGAGCCCGCCTTGGCTCGCGCGGGGATTGTGGAGGCGCGTGATGGCAATTCTTCCGCAAATCATGGCGGGGCAAATACTTATTGCTAGGAACGACACTTGAAATTTGTCGCGACTTGCAAAAATTGCTTGCTAAACATTGTTCGCTAGTTCTTTTCTGACACGGTCCAATATGGCAGCATCAAAGGCCCCCGCGACCGAAATTCATCGGGTCGTCAACCTGGTTATCAACAATCTCGTCAACATCAAAGATGAGTCCGGGAAATTCCTCATGCCCCTTGCGGACGGTCGCATCATCGACACAAAGTCCTGGCACGGATGGGAGTGGACTCACGGTATCGGTCTATACGGTGTCTGGAAATACTATGAAATGACTGGCGATGAGAACTTGCTGAAGATCATCGAGGATTGGTTTGCCGGGCGCTTCGCCGAAGGCACAACGAAGAACATCAACACCATGTCCCCATTTCTCACTCTTGCTTATGTCTATGAGAAGACTGGAAATGTCACCTATCTCCCTTGGCTCGAGTCATGGGCTGAATGGGCCATGTACGACCTTCCGCGTACCAAATACGGCGGCATGCAGCATGTCACCTATCTCGCCGATCACAATCAGCAGCTCTGGGACGATACTCTTATGATGACCGTTATGCCTCTTGCAAAGATCGGCAAATTGTTGAACCGACCACACTATGTCGCCGAAGCGAAGAAGCAGTTCCTTACCCACATCAAATACCTTTTCGACACAAAGACAGGACTTTGGTTCCATGGATGGACATTCGAGGATGGTGGACATAATTTTGCGGATGCGCGATGGGCCCGCGGAAATAGTTGGATTACCATCGTTATTCCCGAGATTATCGAGCTTCTTGATCTCGAGCCAACTGATCCAATCCGTCTTCACCTGATCGAGACACTGGATGCGCAGGTTGAGGCTCTGACGCGCGTTCAGGCCGAGTCGGGCGGTTTCCACACTCTTCTTGACCACCCCGATTCATACTTAGAGGCATCTGCGACCGCAGGATTTGCCTGCGGTATCCTCAAGGCCGTGAGGAAGCGCTATATCAGCTCTAAGTACACACCTGTTGCGGAGAAGGCCATCCAAGCTGTGTTGAAGGATATCGACCCGAGTGGTGAGCTACTCAACACTAGCTTCGGCACGGGCATGGGTCCCAACTTGCAGTTCTACAAGGATATCCCCCTCACATCGATGCCGTATGGTCAAGCAATGGCCATTATGGCTCTGGGTGAATATCTGCGAACATACCTGTAGCCTTATGAGAATTTCTACGCATTGATGCATTAAATAGACTTCGCATGGGATAGACATGGCCGTGTGACGAAAGACAAAATGACAATTTTTACTTGCATAAGTGTGCTATAATATTTCCAGCCTCATAGCGGGCATCGGCGATAATGGATTTCTGGTTTCTATTTTATTCATTTTAAAATCCGCACTCATCCGCATTTCTTATCAAGATGCCCCATCTGCCCCTCCTATTTCATGTGGGCTCTTGTGGGGGTCGCCGGTTTCCGTCACTAAAGCACGCAGGTGTGAAAAGGAGGGGTTGATGATGCGGGATGGAGTTTAGGAACGCTAACCACGTTTTTGTAAATGCATAGTCGATCAGATAGGCATCGATTGTGGTATTAAACGTCCCTTCACAACCCCTGACTTGAGAGCGCCATCCCACCTGGATAAATTATAAGACCCACTTGTCTCAACCAATTCATTGGCAATCCCTGCTCACCATGCTTTATACGCATGCCACCATCATCACGGTCGATGGCACTCGTCGCATCATTGATGACGGTGCTATCTACGTGAAGAATGATATCATCGCGGATATTGGCAAGACTGCCGTGCTCAAGGAGCGATACTCGGTCGATGAGGAACTTGATCTTTCGGGTCGTATCATCATTCCTGGTTTGATCTCAACTCATATGCATACTGCGCAGACCTTGCTGCGTGGGACTGCCGATGACCTCGAGCTTGTTTCGTGGCTCTGTGAGCGCATCTGGGTGCTTCAGGGCAATTTCACCGAGGCGGATGGATATGCGGCTGCTAGACTGAGTATCGGCGAGATGCTGAAATCCGGTACTACTTGTTTCCTAGAGAGTATGGTGAGTATAATTTTGCGTACAATGACGTTTGCTAGGGCTAACTAATACTTTCTCCAGTTCGCTGATCGGTATGGCTTTGACGGCCTTGCGCGCGCGGTTGACGAATCCGGTATTCGTGGCTGCTTGGGTAAAATTGTCATGGACATCGCCAAGTACGCCAAAGACGACGCGTGGGCAATGCACCCTGGTCTGGTGGAGAATCGT